ATTTTCGGTTGTAGTTAGCTAGTCCGAGGAATGCTTGAATGTCTCGGACTGTCGTTAGGGTAGGCTACTCTATAATTGACTTAATCTTTTCTAGATCTATACGAATGCCGTTGACTCTAACGATAAAGCCTAAGAAGTCGACCTCCTTATAGAAGAACTTGTACTTCTCGGGTGTAGTTTTGAAGCCTGAATTGCTAAGGCGTTCGAGTACCTCGCCGACGTATCTGGCGTGTAATTCTCGAGGACTATTTGTAAAGATAAGCACATCGTCTATATAGGCGATTACTATAATGTCGAGGACGTCGCGTAGAGCGTCGTTGATAACTTCTTAGTATATTGCTAGCGCATTTGTTAAGCCTATTAGCATAACTCGGAATTAGTATAGTCCGAAGCGCGTTCTAAAGGCTGTCTTCTATTCTTCTCCGGGTGCTATACGTACTGCGTAAAAGGCGTCCCGTAGGTCGATTTTCGAATACTATATAGAACCTATAAGTCGGTTCTTCATTTCTTCGATATTTGGTAGCGGATATCGGTTCTTAATCGTTATTAAGTTTAGTCGTCTGTAGTCGATAACTATACGTAGTTTTCCTCCTTTCTTCGGAACAAACATTAAGGGTAAAGCGGCAGGCGATTGGGACTTCTTAATCTATCCCCTAGATAAGTTCTTATCTATCTAGCTTCGCTGCTCTTCTAGCTCTCGTTGTAATAATACGTAAAGTAGTCCCTATAGTAGTTCCTTACTAGGCTAGATTAGTATTTTGTAATCCTATAGTCTGTGTATAGGCAAGGCCGCGAGCCCTGTCTCTTCCTAAAAGAGGCTTTTCTATCGTGTAAACTCTTTAGGGATTCCTAGAGGTGCGTTCTTGTCCTCCTTCGCTCTAACTTGTTAATCCGGTAGATCTATTCCGGCGTCTGTCGAGCTTAGGCTACTACGTAGCTCCTATTTCGGTTATTAATTAGCTATATATGTATACTATCGTTCCTTATCTACCGCTAAACTCTGCCGGCGTGTAGGCTCGATGTCGGTAACGTATACGCATCGCTCAAATATGAGTACTCTCGTTTTCTATTCTATGTGTAGGTTGTAACGTTCCAACTAAGGCGTGCCTAATACGATATCGTGTCTAGCTATAGGCACGATATCTAGGACTATCGTCTCGTAGTGCTGTTATATCGTTAGGGATAGTAGCATCGTTTTACTATCTACGTCGGGTAGGGATAAGCTATCGACGGCTATTAGCTTGTACCCGCTATTCTTCTTCCTCCGGGTTGCGATCCCGTGTCGTTGCACGAATTGGGCTAATATAAACGTTCTGTTGGCTCCGGAGTCGATTATTGCTATTGTTTCGTGTCCTTATATAATGTATTTAGTGCGTAGGACTACTACTAAAGTCTGTTAAACATTCGTGTTATTAAGTTCCCGTAATCTGTTCTTACTAACGGGCTCTCCTAGTTTTTTGTCTCTAGAGCTACTAGAAGCTCGGGGTCCTTAAGGCAGACTTCCTAACTAAGGGGTCTATCCTTAGGCAATAGTATAATTCTTCCTCGTTCGATACTTGTCGATACTAGTCCTTTAGTTAATAGTAACAATTTACCGAAAACCTATCCTTTCTATACTAGTAGTAGTAGGATTTTGTAGGTTGTAGCGTGTGACCACTTGTATAACGCAGTCTTGTACTACTAGATTATCTCTTGTTCTGTAATAAGGTCGTTCTGCTAGTTTTCCTATATCGTGTAGATCTCGTCGAATCGCTATATAAGCACCTTAACGTAGTCTCGTATGTTCTTACTAATATAGATCCCGTCTAGGGCGTGATATCCTCTAGACCTATCGAACTTGCTTCCTATCGGGGGTGTGTCTCGTACGTAGTAATGTCCTCCGTCGAGGTTAACTTATCGATAGTCCTAAAACTCCCTCCGTAGGCTATTAAGTAGTAAGTCGAAGTTGTTTCGATGTAGTCGTCGTTTCCCTTGCACCTTCGGGAAGACTTCCTCGTGTTGTCTAACTATTGTAAGAATTATTCGTCTAATTGGTTCTAGTGCGTCGACACTAAAGTTAAGTGTTTCGTTATCGCTATTATTGTCGTCGTCGGTGTATTCGTATTCTAATAACTCGGGCGTATCCTCGTAACCGTCCTTAGAGTCTGGTATAATAGGGGTTAGCGCGAAGCTTCCCTAATCGTATATTACGACTAGTTGTCTTAATTCTTCTTCGTCGTCGGATTCCTCCTCCTAAGGTTGTTGTGTTTCTTGTAGGGTTGTATCCTCCTACCTAAGTAGAGGTAGAGACCTTCCTCGGGCGTAAATGCCGTCGTCTCTATCCTACTATAGTTGCTGTTATCGAACTAGTACTAGTTCGAATATAGGGGGCTAATACGCAGCACTATTAGATCCCTATAATTCCGTCGAATTAAACTCTCGACGAGGCTTACTCGGGAACTATCCTAAGTCTGCCTTGCTCGAGTAGTAAGTCGTATAGGAGTCGTTATAACATCCTATCTAGTGTAGTTGTTTATGTTCGTTATCTAGGTCCTTTCCGACGCTTTCTCCGATCTTTATTATCGTGTCGCGGATGACGTAGATGTCGTCCGTAGAGACCGTTCCGAGTAGTTCGAGGAACTTGTTCTCCTATTTAATAATTTCGTTCTTACGATTAGGGTGTCGCTTCCTTATTAAGCTTATTATATTAGTAATTTCGGATTGCGTTTGTCGTATAGCATTGCTGTTAGCTAATTCCTTACTAACGTGCATTCCTAACTAAATAACGTTAATAGCTTCCTAAATATGTTCGGCAAATAGATTACGTCGTTCTATAACGTTGATCTCTATAGCGTTAACCTCCCTAAGATCCGCCTTATAGTTCTGCTATAGTTGCACCTTGCGGCTACGGTAGTCTCGTACGTAGTGTCCTTCCTTTCCGTACGAATAGCACTTTAGTCCTTACTTCTTACCCTAGGCGTAGTTCTTGCCCTTAGCTCCTACTCTATTGTTCTTGCCTCCTCTAAACTTGCGTTAAGTAGCGTCGAGTTCTATAGCGTTAGGGTCGCGACGTTACTATCCTCCGGTCCGGCCGTAGGGAGCATAGCTAGTTCGTCCGCGGTCCTAATTAGTATTGCGTTTTTCTATATATCGCTCGTAGAGCATATCGTCTACCTTGATTATAGCCTCCTACAAGTATTCTAAGGTGTCTTAGCGTCCTCCGTATCTTATAAGCTCGTCCTTAACGTTGTCTTTAAGTCCTCGATAGTATATAGATCTTAATACATTGCCGTCCCATCTAGTACGAGTAGAAACCTCTTTGAACTTAGCGGTATACTAGGATGTAGAGGCCTTCTACGTAACGTGTTAGATGTTCCGGATAGCGACTTACTAGTTATTGCTAAGTCCATAGATTCCCTTAACCTATTTGGCGAACTCCGAGAAGTCGGCAAAGATCCCGTCTAGGTCTCTGTTCTTAAGTAGGACTATAGTTAATTTAGGACGTATCTAGCTTTAAGCTTCGCCTCGAAGGTAGGATGCTGCGATGCGGCAGCGTCGTTATTTACTTATAATACCTTTAAGGGAGAAGTATAGCATAATCTAGTTTAACTAGTTATCGAGCTTATTGCGATCCCTATAGAAGAAGTCCGGCTTAGCGGAATACTTTGTCCTATCTTTATTAGTAGAGGTACTAGCTCGAGTAGTCGAAGCTATACTAACGTCTCTTTCGTTGTTAGGAGCTATTTGTTTGCTTAGGGTACTTACCTACTATAAGGGTGTTCAAAATGTTATGCACCTACGGTATAAGGGGGTTAGAGCTCGTTAGACGAGTAAGTTCTAAGCGATAGGTCGGGTAAGTAACTGCTCTAAGGTTTAACCTTTCGGCGGGTTAGTAACTTAGGTTAAACACGAACTATCTATATAGGAAAGGGCTTATCTATATATATAGGAGATTCGTGTTCTAACTAGCTACTAGTCCGCTAGACTACTCGTCTAGTCGGATGGCTAGTTACGTGTCTGTCTAAGGTTTAGTAAAGTTGGCTAGTTACGTAATTCGCGGGTGCGCCCTTAGCGCTTCCCTTTAAGGCTAAAATAACTGGTCCTTATTCTCCCTCTCTGCACCCTATGTCATATGTTCGTAACAATACTCTAAGAATATATAACTAACTAAAGTTACTAGACTTTAGTTAGATATATAACTAATTAATATACTAGCCGACTAGTTAGCTATTTAGATAGATAGATAAGGTACGAATCTCCTATATATATAGAATAGATATTTCTTATATAAGTAGTCTATATCTAATCTAAGTTACTAACCTACTTAAAGGTAACCGAGATTTTTTACCTAATTACATACTTAAGGACTTACCTAATTAACGAGCTCTAGCCCTAGTATACCGCAGGTGTATAACATTAGCTATTCTATATTTTACAAACATTATTCTATACGTTGGCTAAATTACAGATACTATGTTATGCATAAGAGCGTCGCACTGGCGTAGACATTGTCCGAATGCAAATAGATCAATTGTCGCATTATGGAGCATGCAGCGCTTGTGCGCCACTTACTTCGACCTCCTTGCTTACAGGGTTCCATACCATTAGCAGCCATAGCGACAGTCCCCTGATATGCCAGGTGCAGCATGATCCACAGCGTCGCCCTTGTATCAACCTAAGTAATCCAGGAACTTCTTGATCTCGCCACCCACACCCTCAAGATCAAGCAAGAAAGTATCATGTCCAAACAGAGACCTGTCCTCGCCCAGCTCAACATGCGTCACCCGTCTGTTACCTATTCTCCGCAATGTGTCGGCAATCTCGCGCTGCTGGAAAGCAGGGAATAGAATATCTGATGCCACGCCCAAGACCAGCGCTGGTGTATCGCGAAGAGGAGCCATCCCCTTGACCAAATCCTCAGACGTAGAGCCCAGACTAGATGACCCCGGCGTCTCTCCATCCATGATATCAGCAGAAGACTCCTTCTCCTCGTACGGCTCGTCGGGAAGTGCCAAACTGCAGACATCTGCTGAAAGCTGCCGACTCACGGCATCTTGTAATCTTCCCGCATTGTTGCGTTTGCGAATCGTAGTGGAATCCTGCATCTCCTTGCCCAGATCGAACAGATCCATCGCTTTGCTTACGTAGAGCAGACTATTGGCATCATATTCTAGACACCACTTCTCGCCCGCATGATCGAGATATGTCTCGATGAGGAAGTCCGGACACAGGGCTGGTGGGCGACTACCATCTGCTCGCCTCCGACCAAAGCGCTTCTCCCATTCAGGTCCAGATCGGTAAGTGACGGTTGCGATTTGTCGGGCAAGCTTCATGCCTTGATGTGGCGGAAGTGCGCTATAATAATTGCCACGAGTCTGTGCCCAATTTGGATCGCTCATGAGGACTTGTCGCTGTGTATGTCGCATTGCGATACTGTAAGGATGACTTCTCGCACATCCAGATATTGACACGATACGCGGTACCCTGTCGGGTTCCATCACCCCTGCCGCTAATGACTGCATGCCGCCCATACTACTTCCTACGCTGGCATATAGCTTGCAAATGCCCAGGTAATCCAATAGTCGGAACTGGGCCCGTACCATATCTTGCATGGTCAAGATAGGGAAGCTGGTGGCATACGGCTGCTTGCTAACAGGATCCAGACTCGCTGGTCCTGTACTCCCATAGCAACCGCCTAGCACATTCGTGCAGATGACGAAGTACTTGTTCGTGTCCAGCGGTGCATCGGGCCCGATGAACTTCTCCCACCATCCTGGCTTCGGGTTCGCCTCTGTACTGTGAGCATGACTGCTCGCAGACAGTCCAGTGTGAAGTAAGATCGCATTACTCTTGTCCGTGTTTAGTGTACCCCATGTCTCGTATGCGACATCGAAGCTAGGTAGCACACCTCCCCAGTCCAGTAATATGGGCTCAGCAGAGCGGAATGTCTCGTGCTTGCCACTCGTGTATGAAGGTTCTGGTCCTGATGTTGCCGATCTTCTACTGCTAATCCTCTGTGTTCGCTCTTCTACGTTGTCTAAGCAGGGAAATGCTAGCTGTGGATTCGATGATATCGGGACATCTGGTATCGCTGGTTCAATAGCAGGTGCGGCTGCTGCTTGGGCTGTCCGTTTGCTACTCTGGTGTATGGTGCGGCTGTGTGCCCATGGCTGTGATACTACACGTTGACTTCGAGGCCTCGAGACATTGGTCCGAGTCGTTCTAGACGCAGTCCGCAGTATGTTCGTTATGGGACGAGTTGGATTCATGTTGGCGACAGCTTGGTGCAATCTAGCTGTCGAGGACCTCTTGCACAGCACAGTTGGATAGGATCAGCACCCTGTTGTAGTGACTAACAGCAGAACAGATACAAGCAGCTATACTATCGTACATGAACCTCGAAACCGAAGAAATGGCCGCCGGTGATGCCAAATCAAAATCCCGACTGACGCCATTCTGACCAATGCGGTCTAGACTCATTTTCGCCATTCACCTAAGACTCGTCCCTCGAAACGTCTTCTTCACTCTCCCTTCCAGGAGCTGCACACGCCTTTGGTAGTGGCGTTCGCGTGCAAGCAGGAGAGCAATCGAATATACTGCTACGAGACGTCGGTGATATGCACAACACTGTCTAAGCCACCCTCGCTTAAGAAATGTCCGCCGTCCGCCCACTTGGCACTGGACTTCAAGCCGTAACGATCGAGAGGAGTGCTTCGGACATGATACTAAAGCGATGCACTGTCATGGTCTGGTGAGCCTAGAGTGACCACGTTTATACTTTCCTGCTCGTACATAGTATGTAGCGAGGCAGTGCAAGAATCGGACGACATTAGTCGTTTGTAGCGACATTCTTATAGTATTATGAGGTATAGTATATCATGGTAGGCTGCCCTGGCCTGGTCGTAAAAGCGGATAATCGAGCTCAATGGGTCTTATGGAATCATACCTACCCGACAAGTCTCGTCTCATATGCCCACCCATGGCCGCCGACCTCTACGCTCGCATACATGCATGCGCAGTGGACTTCATAACTTCCTATCAACAGGAGATCGCTCAACATGACATCTCGAAGCTTTCCAGCACACTGTCCAACCCTTTTGACATCAAGTGCGAGCCCGTATCTTCTGGACTAGGGCACTCCAAAATCGAGACAGAGTCCTCTCCAACATCCCAACAAGCGCCAATCCCAGGCTCAAGCAGTGGCGATACAAACCCATGCCATGAACAACGCCTCCTCGCTACCAAGACAGAAGTGTGGACAAGCTGGACCATCGAGCCCAAGGATATCATCGTCGACGAGCGGGCCCACAAGGCAGTTGTGATTACTGTGCATCACATGAAGAAAGCAAGCGGTAGAGCATATCCCATCGAAGTTGTGTATACCTTATACACGTCTGAGGACGGCGGAACAGTGGACAGAATCGTGCACTGGGTCGACACTACACTCGCCTCACAATTAATGAATGAGCAGGAGCAGAGGTCAGAGGGGGGGTGGCGACGAAGATCTGCTGAAGACGAGGCAGGAAGATTTGAACCAGGTCTCTATGATGTTGATGAACCCTGTTGGCTGACAGCCTGGCCAATGTGTATATATGAGTCCTGCAAAGTCATCCATAAGGTCAAAGATACCCTGCTGAGCAGGTCGATTGAGCATCCGCAATTCTGTCACAACTTGCACTCTTGCCCATGATTCATACCCAAGGTTGCGAGAGCAACTCCTCTTCATTCGCTTGAAACGCTGTACATCTATCCCAAAAAAACAGTGAAGGCCTGATCAAGCATCTGCCGTACACTGAGCTTTACCATATCGCCACGGCCGAGCTCACGATTGGCATCATGTGTGCTGATGCGGAGGTCGATTGTCTTGTACATCTCACATAGCCCTAAAGTAGATGGTAGTCAACGAGAAAGCGGCTTCGGGTAGGCTGTGCGAACAGTGTCCATTCACTCATTCACTCCGTTTGCCGGAGCTTTCCTTGGAAATCCGCAACGCAGCAAAAGCTTGGTGGCATGATGTCGTGCCAAATGCTCACAATAATCGTCCACAATGACTGTGATGTACGTTGCTCTTCTAATCAAGTAGCATATCAAACAGCGTCGGCAAGGTCACGAGCTCTTCGTGCCTTACAAGCGTGAACTCATCTCAACCCCCAGCCCATTTCCCCCTTCTGCCTCCACCACATGCGCAACGCCTAACCATCCCATGCATACGCCGCAAAGCCGTCCATCCCGCGCATAAGATCAAGGACAAAAGGCGCCTAAGCCATCTTGACATGCCCATCCGCATTCTCCATAGCCTCAACATCGTCATCGAGAATGATCTCAACAGCTACGCCCGACTTATCTTCAGAAAGCAGCGGTGTATCTTCCACATCATCCATGTGCTGCATCTCAATATCGCCACCATCATATTCATGCGAATACCCGCGAGCGTCCATGTATGCCGAGTGATCATCCTCATGGGCATCCCCGAACTCCATCTCACTACCAAGGGGTGTACCATAACGTTGTACACCTTCGCGGAAGAAACCACCTTCGTTATCATCATCGTCCGATCGATCGCCGAGCGCATCCGTACTATCGTTGTCCTCGGCCTCGAACTCGTCGCCGTCTTGTACAAGGTCCAACAAATTACCTGTCGCAGAGTCGTCAGCCTCAGTCGCAGGCTGTGCGGATTCCGAGCCAATGGCGTCGAAGCTCCAATTATTACCCTGTGAGCCATACTGTAAATGTGGCGGCCTCTGCGGTCCCGACAACGGCTTGCCATCGAGCATACCCAACGAACTCTCCGACTCCTCAGACCCCTCATTCGACATCCTCGTCATCAGACTGCTGCCGACTCCACGAGAACCACTTCCGGCTGTGTTGAGACCCTTCCCGCTCGTGGTTTTGTCGGCTCCTGCTACGACTAAAGCGCTCGACGACCCATGCAGTGAGGGTGTTAGGCCGCCGAGCTTGCCTTCCCCCGACTCCTCATCGTCTGCTTCGGTAGCATCTCCAATCTCAGGAGGATTTCGGAAATCATTGACGAGTTCCTGGAGGTATTGAGGACCGAGAGGCTTGTCGGAGCGGCGACGGTAGAAAAGGAGGTAGGCGGCTGCGGAGTGGATGCGGGACTCGCTGACTTTAGAGCATGTGGAGTCTGTAGAATGGTCAGCTTAGCAGTCTCACAGTATCGATATCAAGAGCTTACCGTTGTAATCATACCACTGGCCGTCATTAAAGTTCTTGGCCAATGCAGTATAATGCCCGCCACCCAAGCCACCAAAGTGGTTATCCACCGCAAAAAGATCGTAGATATACTCCTTCCCATCCTCCTTGCTCCCAATCTTCTTCGTGAGATCGAGACCTCCAACAGGATAATCAACAAGGACATCGATCTTGTCGCGAGAGATACGGCCACCACCAAACCTCTTCATGTGCACGATCAGTATATCAGGCGCAGTCCAGATCTCGAGCGTCTTAGCCGCTTGCCGCATCTCTTTGCAGCGATTGCAGTACCATGCATTGTCTGCGGATAGGATCTCGCGCTTGCCGGTTTCTTGAAAGCAGTCTTCGAGCGTGACGCCGTGCTTACGACGAGCTGCACGCGTCTGCTTCTTCGCTTCGAGGACGGGGTCGGAGATGAAGGGGAGGTCCTTGCCAGTGGGGGTCGACAGCCAGTGGCCTCGTAGCTCGTTCTCGTCATCAGCTTTGCCGCCGAAGACGCCATCTAGGGCTTCAGGGTACCAGTCGAGGACGATGGCTTCACCGAGCTTGATGTAGAACGGATTGTCTTCATCATAGGTAGTATTACCATTGGTGAGTCGTCCGTTTTGCGCACCAGTGTTTTGACGATTGTTGCGATTGGCCTGTCTGTCCTTCCGACTGTATCCCTTCTGTTTCCGATTACGCTTGTTCTTACCCTTCTTGCATTTGCCGCCGCGCCTCTTAATAAACTTCTCGGGTGGAGGTAGGTCTTCGTCGTTGCTATCCTGAGTCTCGCTCATTGGCGTCGGGGCAGACATAGCGTCCTCACCACCAATCACGAGATCAGGCTTGTCCTCCTCATCGTCGTCAGCATCGCTCTCCTCGTCATCTTCGTCAGCCTGGCCTGTTGCCGCGCTTGTGGTAGAGCTCTCGGAAATTGAGGTCGTTGAGGGTCGACGGACGGGCTTCTTGACTCGATCGTACATATTACACACGGTCCGTTCGACAATGCTTGACATACTAGCGCAAAGCATGCCGTCAGAACTCGAGGCATAATTGAGAGCGAACATGCCGTTCCTTAGAGATTGAGGTAGCGTGTACTGTGGCTCCATGAAGTGCTTCGGTATGGGATTGACTTTGGCAGCAGGCTCGGTCACCACATCCTGCATGCTTTCGCTCGTCCCATCATCTCCCGCTTTGCTGACTGAGACTTCGACATAACCATCTTCGGAAGGCATTGAGCAGTCACTAACCTGCGCGCCGTCTTCTGCAGTTGACTGATCCACATGTCCGTTTGTCTGAGGCTCCTCGTCCTCGTCGCTAGCATCATCATCCTCAGTCAAGATTGCACGACTGGTCTGGTTGGAAACAGCAAAAAGGACTTTCTTGAGTATGATCTCGAAGTCCTGTGCTTCTTCGCGTGTCACTGTAATGTAGAGAGGGTGCATGCTGATGTCCCATCCATTGCCCATGCGATTCTTCTGACGTGGGAAGACAGGCACAGCGAGACACGCAGCCTTCTCTGAATCCATGCCAGGGATATCTTCCTTCTTCGAAGAGTTCCAGGAGGAATACGGCGTGAACTTTTCTTTCTTATCAACCTCTGGGAGATTGGTCGGCACGGCATCGAGCTCAAACACGAAGATATGATCCGAAGTGCCAATGCCCTCATCCGACAATGTTCTGCTGTCGTCATGGAACACTTTGTAGATCTTATGGCTGTAGACCTCGATCATCCAAAGCCGATCTTCCGAGACACCTGGATGCTTGCTGGCCACGTTCTGCTTGACCATCTTGATCGTCGCATTCTTGTCCATGTCAATGGCGTGGTTGACTGGTGGACCATGCTGTGGCACGAATGTGAAAGGATGCGTGAAGGTATTCTCGAACGGGATCTGAACGGTGAGCAGCGAGTAGGGGTCGAATGTCACGCTGACTTTGTCGCAGACAGGGCACTCCATCGTGTTCTTGTAAAAGCCACTGAAGAGATCCATGCAGATAGACTCATTGCGTTTCTTGTGGTTCGATCGATATGTCTCGCCAAGCTCTGCAATGTAGTACTTGTCGCGCACACGAGCGTCGTCAGAGTCTGGATTCTCAATATATGGCTTCTTCTCGATGCGGTTCAAATCTTCATGCAGAGCATCAACCAGAAAGCTTAAAAATTCTTGGGAATCCTGCTGACCGTAGCCCGAGAACATCGGCTGAAGTCTGCCCAGTGTGGTCTTGAACTCGCGAGGTGTGAAGGACCCGCCAGAGTTGTCGCCGTATATACCATTCAGTACACCAGCATATTGCTTCGCCATGACGCCACCGTGGCCGAGGGGGTTGTTGACGTTAATTTCCTTTTTGTACGTGCTTACCAGGAAGTAGATCGCCAACTCTTCAACGCTCCGAATGCATTGCAGGGCGGAATTCATGTAGCAGGTGTTGCCGAGATTGGTAAGCCCGACACAACCGCGCACACGACCATCCCGTCGAGCACGACCACGGGTAAGCATACCCCCAGGCGCAGGACTAGTGCGGCCCGAGTTTGTGGTCGAGCTAGGTTTGGAAGCGCTGTTTTTGATGGTTAAAGTGGGAGGCTTGCCACTGCGCTTCTGGTTGTCGGACAGGAACTCGCCACCGGCAGGACCACCGATCATTTCCTCCAACACTAGTGTCTGGTCCTCGAATATGCCAAGAAGTTGGAGTGTGCTCCTGCCATTGTAGTTGTCGTCGTGGCTCATGTCTTTTGTGTCAACTGGTTCGAGGTGCTTGCCAATCTCCATGGCCTTGAATTCAGATGTTGATAGAATGAGCTTGCTATCGGAAGTCTTGGCTGCTTTAGCAGGCGAGCTAGCTCTGGAGGGTGGTGGCGAGAGTACGTTCCTCTGCGCATCACTCGGCTGGTCGACAGACACGTTCTGTGGATTCAGTAATCGCCATATCTTGACCTTGGTCGTGCGCGGAACAGCAGCGGCCTCTTTACTGCGCTTGAGGAAGTTCTGGAAACGCTCGGATCTTGACGCAACAAGCTTGATTGCATCATCCGGAGACAGCTGTCCCAACGTTCGCTGCTCCTTCCTCCAGCGTAGACTTTCCACTGACGTCTTCGGGGTGATGGGTCGCTCGGTGTCTCTCAGTTGTGGGACTTTGCGAAGCGTGATGACGAGTGGATACAAATCATAGGCGATGTTTTGTTGTGTCGCATCATCAGGCGCTGTGTTGATAGCATAGCGATTGATCTGATGCTGGTCCTTCGCCAACCCGTAGTTACTGGCCACAACACCCCAGACTGAGTTTGGGATGAGTGAGATGTCCTCGTCTATCTGGAGACCAGGCTTGAGTGGGATGAAGGTACTCATTCGACCGTCGCTGAGCGATGAGCTGAACCCATCTTCGACCACAATGCTGGAGTTGTCTATAGGTCCTATTGGGCCTTCTCGAGCCTCCTTGGGAAAGTCGCTGCTCTTCAGACCGTCAGAGGTCCGGGACAACACTCTCTCCAGCCATGCTTTCGATACTACTATGCCTTTGTCCCCAATATCCAGCGGGTTGCTCATAGCTTTCATGACCTTCGAAAGCTGAACGTCAATTTCTTCCGTTGTGTAGTGAGGTGTCGACTTGCTGATGGCGGGCTTTTCTGTCTCTGTGTACGGGGGAAGACTGTCAGACAGACTCGTTGCTGAGCTGTTGGCAGTCTGTGTGTTCTCGATCGAGGTGACAGCGCTGTCCTGAGTGATGTCCATATTGGTATCCTTCGACTGCATTCCCGCCAGCACGTGATCGTAGTCCGTAAGCCCGTCGCTCTCCGTCTTCTCAAAGCTACCAGGTACGACCTGGCCCTCGTCCTGTGCCATATCATCGCCATCCATATCCGCTGCACTTCTCTTCGCCGGCGATACGGACCTCGCACCTAGGCTCTGCGTTGGACTCACGGTCCTCTGCACCTGCTGCTGCCCGCTCCCAGCCCCACCATCCTCATTCCCACCCGCCATACTTTCACCGCCAATATGTATGCCCGCAAACTGCCCACTCGGACTCGCGCCCTCACTCAGATTCACACCAGCACCAAAACTTACCTCAGAACTCTGCAAAACCTGTCCAACCTGCGGCGACAGCAGGGCACTCGGCGGAGGCGTGTTTCGTGCCGTCGTATGCGAGGACGTCGGCGAAGGGACGTCAGAAGTGATATGTGGCCGTGGCGAGCTCGAGGGTGACGAGGTCGCGTGATGGATGTGAAGACCGTGCTGATCGAACTGCGCTTCTTGGTCGTTGTTTGTGTGTGTGTTGTGAAGGAAGGGAGCCAAGCGTCGCTTTTTCTGCGATGACGCGGCCGTGGTGACAGGCGTGGGTGAGCTGCTCGGTCGTGAGCAGCCCAAAAAATGATTATATGAGGAGAGAAGTCGCGTGTCGGCCTCTACTTGCGCTGGCAGTGAACGGGATTATCGGGAATATTTGCTGGAGGACAAGGCTGCAAATCAGGTTGTCACGAGTAGTGTGATGGTAAGGAAACGAGTAAGTGCGGTTGTTGAAGATACACGCATGAAGGCGGAGATTCACTTCACACGACGACAATGAGAGACCGATCTAGTAATGATTATAGCTGCTCGTTTGCTCTTGAGTGACGTTGATCGTACGCTCGGACCACTTCTCCGTTTTCTGCAAGAACGCGTTTTCTGGGGTTGCCTCCGCTGGATGGGGAAGGAGCGCACGTGGCACTACGTTCACATCGCATGTCCATCTGAGTGTGTACAAAGGACGGACGTAGTAGCATCATTAGCATTCCTATATATCATCTCACAGCTGGTGGGTCCACCTAGCACAATAATGTCTTCCTGGCATGTACTTGCCGTCGTTCACTTCGCCCCACCAATACCACCAGCATTCAACCACGAAAACGCCGAAGCACCACCAACAGGATTTGCCTTCGTCTTCGTAACACCTGGAGTCGTGGCCGTTGTAGCACCTTGAGCCGGGTTCTCCCTCTTCCCATCACCCGTCACAAGCGCACCAGCAGCAAAACCAGGCTTCCCGATCACGCTATCAGGCCCACTACGCCTTCTGCCTTCGTCGAAGAACCTGCTTCTACCATTGCTCCCATCGCCTGCTGGGCTCGGCAAGCCGGTAGTCGAGCTGGCATTACTCGCAGTCGTGGAGAATGTGCGTGTAGCTGATTTAGGCTTGAGAACTTTGATGCCGGATTCCTTGCGCTGGTAAGGTGCCTCCCGGTCCTTGCCCGCGTTAGCCCAGTCGAGACCTGCTGCTGCTGACTGCTGAGAGGGAGCGGAAGGGGTTGTTGCTGCAGCAGGAGTCGTGGCATTCCCATCTCGACGCCAATTGCCCCATATTGCCGGTGTGCTGGCTGCTCGTGAAGGTGTGTTTTGTGCTGATGTGTCCCCCTCATCGTGCGCGTCAGTGCCGATATTGAGCAAAGTCAGAGATGGTCGTGAAACAGTAGACGATCGACTCGGAGGCCTTGCGTCAATGTCTAGGCCCGAGGCGCCAGCTTTCGCCGACTCGATGGTGCTTGACTCTGCTGCAATGGCGCCAGGTGGCCGGTACTTGCCTGGTGGTGGACTTGCCGCGGCAGAAGATGTGGAGGCAATTGAGCTGCCTTGGCCGAGACCATTGAGGTATGGTTGATACTCTTTCCGCTGCTCGACGGATCGCTGAGGAGCGGACTGAAGTTGTGCTGAGCCGCTGGTAATGAAGAGGCTCTTGAACGCTCCCTCGTCCTCTGGTCGAACAAGCGGTATACTGAGTTTGCTTCTCTCGTCATCAAACAACGTCATACTGTTAGACGAGAAGAGGATGTCTGCGTTATGTGCTCGGAGGACGTCGCTGCCGAGAAAGACCTGAATAGCTTTCGCCTGATGCTCGACGGCGTGATCGACGACCAAGAATGTGACAGTAAGTGTTGGCAATTGTGGCGCGGGACTGCTTGATCGTGAAGACGCGGGATGAGGTACAGCTTCTGGGAAGTACACAGGGAGCTGGACAGTTTTCACATTGTCCGAGTTGCTAGTAATGCTGTCCTCAAACCCAAGTTTCTGGATGAGGCGCAGGTCCAGGTAGGATTTGTATGAGCCAGTGCAGACAGCAGCATATAACAAGGCGTCGTGCTTGAAGTTCGTGTTCATCCAGCAGCGAATGATGGCAGGCACAGATCCGAGGAGTAATAATCCAGGAGCCAGACCAGGCGCATCGACAGGCGATTGATTCGACCCATTAAGACTGAACCCAGATTCGAGGTTCAGACTGTTAGCACGCCCCGAGGCAGCCGAGCGCATCGAATGCACAGAACTCGCACGGCCCTCCGACTTGTGCGATGCAGTCCGCTCGGTCATCTGCAAGCCGCCAAGTCCACTACTAGTCCTCGACATGAAGTCCATCGATGGTCTTGATGAATGCGAAAAGTGGTTCTGGTTGGCAGATTCGTCGAAGCGGACGCTGTTGGCGCGCGAGTTGGCACCCAGACCTCTCCGGGGCTCATCCTCGGCATCGAGATGTAGACTGCTCATGAGGTTATTCGCTTCGTCGTCAAAGCCTCGGAACTGATCGCTAGGAGGTTGCTGAAGTGGTGCTAGAGGCTATCTATCAGCTTGCTCTCCCATCATGCTTGCATTCCCGTCGCCACTCACCTTGCTGCGGCGTCCCACTCAAAACACTAGGAAATGGCGAGCTGCTGCCCCACACACTCTTCACCCTCGCGTCCTCGTCCTGCCGCCGCTCCAAGCGCGCAATCCGATCTGCGTGCTCAGCCTGGACTTGCTGTACTCGCACCACATCTGTCTGTAGCTTCCACGTGTCTGTGTTGGTACTATGCGGTGTGAAGGACTGGCTTTGCGGGTCCATCGCTCAGTGTCCACACATCTGTTTCTGCTCCTCTGCCCTCTCTAGGCTTCCACGTGCCTTTGCCCTGCACCTAAACGAGCTCCAACTCCTACAACTCCTACACCTCCTGGCACAACCGTGCGGCACTCGCCACGACTGCCGAGGAGTCCTACGCCAGTGCTGCAATTCTGAAATGGTGGTGGGTTGTGCTTATTACCTTTGTTGTCCAAGCAGAACTGCAAGCTTCAATTCCTGCTGACCCCAGTTCGCTTTATCGTTCACAACTCCTCGTCGCAGATATCTGTCGATTTCCAGGTCGCTATCAGTTGAAGTATGGTAATCGAGAGAGGGCGTCGTGTCGTTCAAGCAGTAGTGTGACAGGTCGCTGGTGGTCAAATCGTGGTGTAGTGGTGAATCACTGCGAAATCCGGCCACAGTCGCTGGTCAACTTCTCCTTTTCGAGAGTACTTGGAGTGCACGAAAGAGACGTCTTTGGCTCCCGAGTCTATTGGTGATGGATATGTCCCGACTCGGGATGTTCGATGTCTCTCTTTCCATACAAGCGATCCACGCTAGTGTCAAGATTCAGCACTGACCAGTACGGGCGGCGCCGCCTTGCATCAGGACACGTGCGACGCAGATGTTTCGCATATGGCATCTACAACATGGAAAGCACGAGATCGTAACGCGACCAAGCTCGTGACACAGCAAGTACATCGTACGCTAGGAATTTTGTCGTTGCGACCAAGCTCTACAGAGTCAACAGAAATCACGATGCCGATCTAAAACGCTTGTCCTTCTCCCAAGACCAGATCATCAATGACTTTCACCAGTCTTTTCACGATACTTCTGCAGCTTTGCCCGCACTTCCTGGGTCGATAAGCTGTCGATGAACTCCACGATCTCCGTGATAAGCCGACCATCCTCAGTGAAGGTGAGGTACCATACGTACTCATTCTCAAACAGTCCCCAAGGCGCATCCGCTCGCATAGTCGATCGAACGACCGCTTTTTTTTCGGTGTTGACAGCCAAGTAGTCATCTATGGTCATCTGGTATCGTCGTCAATTAGAGATCCAGCTGGAAGTTGAGGGGAGCAGTACCCTTGCATTGCTGAAGACACCGTCTAGGCTCTTGAAATAGGTCCGGAACTCCTCGTTCGTTCTCGCAGCGAAACCAACGTTCTTTGGATACATGGTCTGCTTGCAATCGGGTGCGCGCATTGCCATTACGGGCTCAATCGACCATGTCTCCCAGGCTTTGATGAATGCCTCTGATGTGGCGCGCATGTTGGCTGCAAGATCTCCAAAACTCATGACGGGCGATGAAGTTCTCGTATGCTTTCTATCGTATTCAAGAGTTCATCCTCGACCTAGTATACTAGGACGAAGGCAGGCTCGGCTGTATTTATGTCCCATCGTCCTTAAGACCGAGACTTAAGCCCGTTAACTTTTCGGCTTTGTACAACAGTATGATCCGGCTGGAGCAATCATGATGGTAGCTCTCTCGCCTCTGATATTGTATCTGGAGCTGTGCTTTACTCGGCTTCGGAGGAGGAAATCTGGCTCTGGCTGGAGGTCTCGTGCAGGAGATCGAAGTGTAGCCTCAGTATCACTTCGGTACCACCACTTCATTCATACATGTACCTCATGCATATTCATCTGATGCCCCACCACGATGCGGCTCTGCAACGTCCCGCAAAGCCGCTGCAGTCAGCTCAACGTCACCTCTCCAACATTTCTGTTTCCTGTTTCCCAGGCACACAAACTGCCCATGATGTTGAGCCAGTGACCGAATCATCTCGGATCTCGCGTACAGCGTCCTGGCAGACCGGCGGCACGTCGAACACAGCATTTGAGAAGAATGACATCCAAGTATTGCAATATCTGAGGTATGACATTCAACGGTGAGTGGCAGGCGCATGACAACCCTAGCACCTTCTCACCATCTTGGTATCCGTCGTGCCGCACCTGCTTTGCATGCATTTGTGGCGCATGGGTAGTGTTGGCAAGTGGCATGCATGAGCAATAGTTTTACGACATCTTCTTGATTCACCTTCCACTCCTTACACATCATCCACCGCAACGAGCAGCTTCTAGTAGACGGTGACGAAAGCACCTTCCTATCAAGCATCGGAAAGCCACACATCCACGGCAGCATTCAAGGTAAGCTTCTTTCCTCATATTTCAACGTGCATACCAGATCCTGCGACCAGCCAAGAAGCATACCAAGACATCGCTATCCGTATTGGCAACGCGCATGTGGAATAACAGGACCACGACGCGGCCAGCATTCGGCGCCCTCAGGAATACTTTCGAAAATCTCAGCAAACCTCAAACCGCCTTCTCACCACCAACACCTAAGCCTACTGACAACACAGCTAACGCCATGTCTCTTCCTAAGCAATCTGAGCCCATCAGGTCCAAAGCATCAATTGCCGAGGTTCTCAATACTCCTGCACAACCAGCAGCTGCACTATTGAACACGCTACGAAGTACCTCACCCTTAGTGAATCAGCCTGCGACAGCCACGACCACACCTGCTCCTGCGTCGACTCCAGTAAATACACCAACGAGTCCAGCACCGCAGACAATCGCATCAGCCACAGGTGTTCCCGTTCAGCTACCAGCAACAACAGCTCCCCCTACTACACCAGTGCAAGCCGATTCTAGCAACCAAGCTGCACCGCCAGCTTCTTCATCTCCGAGGATAGTCACACCAGTCGATTCAGTCCCCATCGTCCCTGCTCGGCCAAACTTCGCACAGCGACCTTCCTGGATTGGTCCACCTCGGCCAGATCGACCAGTGACTCCAGGGATTGTAGACATGAAGCAGCCTGTGATTGTCGAATATACCTCAAAGGGACTACAACCCCCGGTATACGTTTGCACAAGCTTAAGTGACCCGCAGTGGAGTGCAGTCGAGATGGACAGTGAAGGGAAAGACGACGGCGAGTACAGATTCTATAAGGCCTTCCAGGCAGAAGAGGGTGAATACCAATACAAATTCAGGCTTGGACCTGGTGATTGGTGGGCCTGTGACGAGAGCAAGCCTTTGGTAGATGATGGGCAGGGCAATAAGAACAATCAGGTGACCGTGAAGCCCGCGCAAGTCGCACCACCGGAGCGGACAGACGTACAGCAACGAAACAAGCAGCAGGATGCATCAGTACCGCAGACGACACAACCATCCGCAGCGCTACCTGCAAACCTCTCAAAGCCCTTGGAAGCTGTCCAAGCTGCTCTTCAGCCTGTAGTGGAAGCCGTGAAGCAGCAAGATGCGCCGGTGGCAGGGCAGCTGGCCTCATTGAACCCAGCCGTCAGCATGCAGCCACAATCGAATCCAACACCCGCACCAGAAGCAGCACCACTTTTGCCTCATGAGAAAGTCTCACCTGCCGTACAACCAGTGCAGCGCCCAACTTCCGTCCAAATGCCTGCACTTGACACGGTGGAACCTCCATTCTCTACACCAACGGTCGAGACACCAGCTGCCGCCCCCTTAATGAAGCATGAGTCCTTCGCCGCGGAGAAGTCCGCTGCAGATAATGGCGATGTGCCACCACAATGGGAGGCACATGATACTGACGAAAGGCCTGCTGAGGAGATCGCTGACGAGGATGATGATGCTAACGATCATGATGATAACGATCATGATGACGATGAGCCTGACGAACATGCCAGCCCTCTTCTCCGCCACGAGTCTCTTAGTCCGGATCCCCAACAGCATGCACCACTGATGCGACACGAGAGTGCCAGTATCGGTGAGCATTATGATGATGGAGACGTGTTCTTGGCCAGAAAAGCGAGCTCTACGTCCAGTGCCGAGGACTCGATCGCACCAGAGGCAGATCCCAATGATCCGACGCTCGAGAAGTTCCCTACCGGCAAGAACGCTATCCTGGACCACATCCGCTGTGTCTCCACTGGCAAGCATGCGGACGAGACGCTCGACAGTGCACATCATGGCCCCGCTGCCGTCGATGGATTCGGCTCGCCGCTTAGTTCCTTGGCCAGCGTGCAAGAAGATGAAGAAGAAGAGTCGAGCCAACCGAAGATCAACTTGACTAAGCATAAAGAGCGGCATGCTGGCCCTATCACACCTCCTCTGACTCCGCAGGAGCTCGACACCATCGTCCAACGTGCAGAAGATAAAGAAAGGGCTGAAGAGGTCGAGGAGCTAATGGCTGAGCGTATCATTGAGCGCCAAAAGGAAGCCTCAATGAAGGAGAGGACGGAAGAGGCAATCGCAGAGACCGTGCAGGATCGAGGGCTGTTGGGCACGTTCATGAAACGTATGGCTGCAAGTCCTTTCATCATGTAAGTGCTGCCGTGAGTCTGTTGAATCGCTGTTGCTGACGTCTAGCAGTCTTGCTGCCGCCGGTATCGTTCTTGCTCTTGCAGCCAGCTACTGGAAATTGTGGTATGCTTCTGAGGCACAATAATGCGATGCTCTCCACACATTGCAAGACCCGGTCTAATGTAAAAGCCGGGACAGGACTTGACAGCAAAGTAGAAACACTGTGATCTAAGACAGCAGCATCGTGAGACAGAACGATTATAGAGCCAACATAATAGTGCCTTGGTTCGATACGAGGCACTCACGGGACAATTGGCGCGGCGGATGGTCATGCGAGCGAGCACCTATACTAATCAACATCGATGTGCATAGCGGAGGCGCAACTTGGTCTGAATACTGATATCCTGTAGCACAAATGATCTCTCCCATTACCGCTCAACGAAGCCATATTCCTCCATACTCGCATGTTCTCCAGTACACCTTGCTAAACACCTGCAACTTCTCCGGCCTCACCTGCGATCGTAAAATCTTTTGACTCTGCCATGGCTTCCGACATAAAGATTTACGCTTCTCCGCCAAGAATAGCCTCGATTGCTGCGATGATGCTCACAGCTTTCTTGACGTCTCCCTTGTCGACCACGGCAGTCACATTCCCACCTGGTATACTCGCACATAATCTTCTCACGTCAAGTCAGCTGTATGCCGGATCCACCGACCAGTCGTCCGGGACGCCTGAGCATTTGCCCATCAGCCTTTCAGCGAGCTTGTCAATGCCCGTGTCTGTCTTGAGGAACTTGTCCAGAGTGGCTCCGGCGACGTGGCACATCACTGCCAATTCGGAATTCGTGCCGAACAGGTTACCCAGACGCTGCACGATTTGGAGCTGCTTCTCCATAAGCATGGTTCTGTCGTCTACCCACCGCATCCGCCAGCCAGCCATGCTGCCGTCTGGCGTCTGCACGCGTCTCATACCTGCCGCTTGTTTCAGATCTGCCATGCTCTTCGTCGTGAATGTGGAGCCTGGGACGATACCGAAGACCAGGAACTCGTACTCATGGCCTACACCACTTGCAGCGAACAACCCTGGATAAGTTGTCAAGATCACCAAGTTCACGGACTCATTTCCGCCGTCCAGTTTCTGCAAAAGTTTCTTGGTATTCAGCACACTGACGTGTATCTCATTTGACTAGCACTGGAGCGAAGCGGCGCATCTCACCATTGCTGCCCATGACACAGTCCAGGTGGAGAATACTGTTGGTAGTCGTTTCTCGGGGTTGAAGTGATTCACGTAAAGCTTCTTGTAAATATCCCCATTCAAGTCCTGGATCGCCGTTGGTCCATCTGATGGCCGCCAATAGCCACTAGGTGTAATTGCTTCCTCTGTGTTGTACTCGGCATCGCCTCCCGACGCTGCTTTCCAGGCTTTGAGCAAATAGCGAGGTGGGTCCGTGGCGGCTTGCTTGAGCGACTGGTGGAACGCGGATGTCATGAATGCTTGGTGGGCATTGCAACAGAACGTGATGGCTGCTTAAGAGATATCTTGATGGTGTCTGGTGCAGGAAGTTCACTCCATTGTCTCGAGTGGACAAGCTGTTTGCTCTAGTTGAAGGGGAACTAGGAAGGTCTTTGTAGTCATGCATGCTGTCATACGTGTAAGGCGACTGCTACGTGAGACAAATCTTTGTATCAGCTCAAGATGTACAGCTTGATCTGCAGGTCGCAGTGGAAAGCAAGACTAGGTTTGTTCTGACATCCTGTCGGTCTTGCCTTGCCAAACCACAGCCACAACAGTGAGTCTTATGCAGGCCTCTCTTCACGAGTGGCTGGATGAGATGCGTATTTGGGCTTCAAATACCGCCGACCGCAAGCCAGTCCCATGCACGGCCCTTCTCTACCATGAGACCCTCGAGAGACATCTTGGAGTCCTTGAACACAAATTGCACCATTTTCCCATCCATCTCCACAAAGTTCAGAAGCTTCGAAGGCACGATTGTATACCGCCTCTCCATCTCTGGCGTGTTCATGCCACTCAACATGAAAGTACATAGCTCATGATACTTGCCAAAGCTAGCAAGAGCATCGAGCTCGACCACAGGTAATCGTCCACCCGGCCCACTTGCGTCGAAGATCAAGACCGGAATACCTTTGTTCTCAGCCGGAGCTGTATCGTAAGTGTGTGGAAGGCCGCCGTCGCCGTTGAGGTGACGCTCTTTCTCGAGGGTAGTCCAGGCATGACGGCTAAACATAACATGGCTGAAGTGCGGTTGGGGCAAGCGGACTACGAGGCACCCTTCAACTCGTGCTCCGTGTTAGTTGAGCTTGTCGAGCATGAAGGTTCTCAAGGCAGACTCGTTATCGGCCTTGTACGGATCGGGCTATTCCACCGTGACGGTCAGATCAGAGTGAGCCAATGGTTCTCAGCAATAAGAGACGCCACTTGTGTTAAGAAGCAGCTAGCCGTTCGCAGCAAACAGCATAGACATCCCTCTCGAATTGTCGTAGCTTTCAGCCCAGTCGCAACGATATCGATGACAGCGCCTCCTGCACTGGTCTGTCTCGTGGTAAGTACTGTATTGCCACTCTTAGTAGCCTCCGTGCCTCATCACTATTGTCCAGTTCTTTCAGCGCAATAGCAGTCCGATAGTAGATTTTACCCATCTGGTCTGCAGCTGGGAAGCCACGTATGACTTCATCCTCGGGTGATATATCCTGCCTGACATCTGCACCCACCGCTTCGCGCAACATGTTGATTGTTCGCTTACCCCAGAACACACATTCAGCATAGTCATGAAGTTTGAGGAATACTTGGCATGTGTTCGCCACAAGCTGCACCCGAAGAATGAGACGCTCAGTCTGTCCATTCTTGCCAATATATGGCTCTTCCCGTAGCTCTCGGCTGAAATACCGGTCAGCATGGATATGACGCTTGTGCCCTGCTATCACGACGTGAATAGCTAGCCAAGCTTCGTTGTAGATTCGAAGTGCCTCTTGATAGTTGCCCTTCTTCAGTTCGTCGTTACCGAGCTGTTTCAGGCGAGTGCCTTCTCGTAGACAGTGTTCAGGTGAGAGCTGAGGTCTCGCTTGCTCTTCCCGCATTTCGGCCTCGATCGACGGGAAGGGTTTGGGGTCGCCCGTTACAATGATATCGCGGAGGTCACGCACCTGGCCGAAGGGGAGGATGAGCTTGCGCTGGAGACCCTTGAGCATGCGCTTCTCTTCGTAATCGGGCGTGAATGGGTCATGTAGGTCCAAGGTCAATCGTAGCTGTGGGTTGAGACCAGGGTGTGATAGATTACTGTAGTACCACATTTTCGCGAACGACGTCAGATCGTTCAGCAACACCAAGAACATCTGCTCGTCACCAATCTCCATGGGTACTTCTGGAGCGTCGATTCGTACGCGCATACTGTATCCAGCAAACCGAGCAGCTCTTGTGCCGCATGCTATCATCGGAACATGGCCCTCTGCTGCTACATGCTGCTGTGCCTCGGGCCACGGCGTCTCGATGCGGATGAACGTGTTCAGATCTCGAAAAATCTTTCGTGACTCGTGGTAAATCTGCTTGTTGATGCGGAATAGCACGAGTGCTGGTGTGTAGTCGTAAGACGTGTACTCGTCATCGTGGTAATGCCTACTAGCATCTGGATGGAGGATGATTCGGTAAATCAGCTCGCGGATCTCTGGCGGCACAGCTAGCAAAGGTGATATTTGTGTCATATTGGCAATGCCATAGAGATTGAAGCCTGCCAATTTTGTAACAAGACAAGGTTATGTCGTCTATGCCTATGGCAGTGGGATACAGCTGACATGGAACATCATGATCGTGCATAACCATCGAGGAGCGGATGACGAGTGGTTTTCCATCCGACAGCTGCCCCTTTCGGACTAGCACTTCATCGCTGCACTTCACTCCAGCTTCTTTCCCATACGCTCAATATCGCGCTGAGAGCATGAAGACGGCCATGTCTTCCTGCATAATAAGTCGACAGGCTGTACAGAAGGAAGGCTGGACTGCTACACTCGAAAGCTTTGGACTGTGCTTGTGACATTCATCAAATCGATCGACGGACAAGAAAGCATGGCAGCACAACATGTATAAGATGGGCAGCACCACACTGACTCACACAGGAGTCGTGGTAAGACATCGCACTCTTGCACGATCGCAAGTCCTGGAATCTCAATCATCGCCAGCCCACAGGTCCAGGGACAAGTGAGGTTCGCCCAACCACACTCGCTACCTACAAGATTCCAGAGCTCGGGCACGAAAGCCGGAATGAAAAGCCCGGACATGCCAGTGTCGAAGAATAGTCTAGTGTCCTATCGCCCTAGCCCGTGCTCGATGCTGTAAAGGCTTCTTAATGGAACCAGGCGAACGAACCAGTTCCGGGCGATGGTATAGTGTCAGAGGCTGAGCGCCAGTGATGCGTGGTGACCTTTGGGCCATCAGTCCCTGGAGTACGCTCTTCGTTGAGCGTCCTGCAACTGTCTCTAATAGCCTGAGTAAACCAAGACTATCCTTGTGCACTTACTATGACCCCGAAGTATCTGTACTTATCTGAAGTCCGCCAAAGTGCGAAGTTGGCTGTGTGCACGGATGGGGGAGCGAAGAGGGTATTTGTATGGATGATGAAAGAGTCCGAACCACATGCCTACAAACGCCGAAGCCACGATAGGAAGGCGCGATGCAGGTTTCACCTCAGAGCATGATCTGTGCGTGTAAAGACCAAGGTCACTCACGACTCTGGCGGATCGACAACTCGAAGGATGTGTCCCCATATATCGTATGGCTTGATGTCAATCACACCACATCGGCATGAACATCAGCGACTACAAACCCGAACAAGAAGAGCTCGAGCAGCTCACTCCACAGAAGCGTCGAAAAGCGAAGCCTCAGAAGAACACGACGAAGGGCGACAAAACGCCTCAAAAGTGTAAAGGCCGCCCTGAGATTGGCAACAACACGCTCTCGATCCGTCTGGAGTGTAGTGAGAAGTTCCGTGAGCTTCGCTTCATCCACGGCAAGGATGAAGGCAGTATCCGTGTCCTACAGCAACTCGACATTGTGCAAAATCAACACAGATGGCACATCTTCGTCATCTGCTTTAGTCGTCTGGACGCCTCTTGCCCTATCGAGCATGCTGATCCATAGTACTGGCACACCCATACCTTCACGTGTGGTGAGGTCATCAACAAGCTGCTTGACCTGCTATTCGGCCATATCGATATGATTAACATCATGAAGAGCCAGCCGTATCGCTCTCTGTGGGCACCCGCGTAGATGGAAGAGAAGTAAACCCAACCAGCACAACGAAAAGTTCATTGCTAGATCATCTACTGAATTGACCCGTAGCATGGACACCCGTCTCGTGGACTTCACCAGATTTCCTGGCAACCCCAGCACGAAGCGCAGCAAGAGGGGCAATATCGCGATCAAGAAGTGGTCGAATGGCGAGGATGTTCAGAAGTGGATCGAGATCTTTCAGGTTGATACTGTCATCTTTCAGGACGATGAGGAGCCTCTTGATTTCTGCATTTGATGATAGAAATGGCAGGGAGGCAGTGACAATGTCCTCCGGCCATGACTCCATGAGCCATTCGCATTCCTGTGAGGGGTGGCTTGGCACTGGTCGGTGCTTGCAGCAAATCGAGGATAATGCTGTGTCGAACCAAATTTCTGCCATAGACGGGACCCTTGGGCTAAGTGTCCAGCCCGGCACAAGATCTATAGAAAACGGCGCCACAACGTCGGTCTTGATCGCAGGCTTCACGTCTTTGCAGTCTTCACCCCTCTGCGATCCAGTCTTAAAGCACTATTCCTCAAGCTGCTTTCACTGTCAGACCCGTATGTGAAAAGATATACGTGAAAGTGTAAAGCACGTTCAATCACGCTAGCTGCTCTAGCGGCAACCTAAATCGCGTGGTCAGCGCGTCAAGCTTCGAAACGTCATTCGATACTCTGAAGATCGATCTATCATGCAGTCGCGATATATATTCGCCTCAAGATACTGACCCAAATACTGTGCCATCACTCTGCGCACGATCACGAGCAAAGTAACACAAGATGGCGCGTGGCCGCAGGCGAGCAGCAGCACCGGACCCCGTTGAAGAGGAGCCTGGGGTGTCAGATCAGGCAATGGAAGATGTCATGCAGGACCCGGCCAACACATTACAGTTTGACGAGGCCTTGACATGGCGCTCCGGCAAGCCGATACCGGTGAGCGACTTGCTACGACGACTGAGAACGTTGCACGAGGAGCTGCAGCCTATGGACCAGAGTGAAGCCGACCGCGAAACACTCGTACCCAAAGCCCAAGAGCTCGCGAATGTGCAATTGCTAGGCCACAAGGATAAAGGAGTGAAAGCATGGACGCTTCTCAACATAGTCGAGATGTTCAAACTTCTCGCACCGGATGCGCCATACAAGAGTGCACAGCTGAAGCAGATCTTTGATCTCTTTGTGTCGCACGTGATCCCCGCTCTTGCCAGTCCTGGAGATCCATACAACCAACAGCACTTTCTGATTTTGACGTCGTTGACAACAGTCAAGAGTATCGTCCTGCTTACGGATATCCCCGGATCTGACGCCCTCGTTCTGAACCTCTTCACGAACTGCTTCGATGTCATGATTGGCAATGTGAAAGGGGCGGACAGAGAGCAGATTGGCAAGAACGTGGAGTATCACATGACGAATATGCTATGTACGCTCGTGGATGAATGTCCCGTTCTACCCACCGGTGCTGTAGACATCATACTTGCACAGTTCCTACGAGCTGATCCGGCGACGCTCAGCTCGGTCAAGAAGAAGGGTGGTGCTCCGACCTCCTCCATCGTGGTCCGAGAAGTGTCTCCGGCGTATAACATGGCACGGTCCGTCTGCAACACTTGCGCAGACACGATGAGCAGAGCTGTAGGACAATACTTCAGCTCGGTGCTCATAGATGCGTCTGAGAGCCTTCCCGCAGTCAAGCCTTTCAAGTCGCGAGGCAGGAAGCGCACACACGACGAGAGCGAAGACGAGTCGGATGACGGCATGATCACGCCACCAGCCGAAGACGATATACGAGAGGTTGAGAAAGCACATCGCCTTTTACGCGAGCTATGGCGGTCATCACCCGATGTCATCCGTAACATCATTCCGCAGATGGAAAGCCAGGTCAGCGCCGAGAACGTCCAGCTGCGCACCATGGCAGTTCAGACTGTAGGAGACATGGCGGCTGGCATTGGGGCTACAGGTCCACCTCCACCGCTTTTCCTCGATCCTGCAGCATATCCATCTCAAAGTCTTGAACCATCTGACGCGAATATACCACCCGAGAATCCGCTCTTAGTGCCTGCAGCACCACACGCATTCTCCTCTGTCTATCCAGGCGCATATAAAAGCTTCATTGACAGGCGACGGGATAAGAATCCTCAAGTACGAAGTGCTTTCACAACAGCCGTTGGTCGCATCCTGTCGACGTCAGGAGGAGGCAAAGGGCTGGACACAGACCAGGAGACGGACTTGTTACGGTACTTGTCTGACTTGCTAACAGACATTGATGAGCGTGTACGGCTTGCAGCGGTGCAGGCGGTCGGCGGGTTCGACTTCAATACGTTCCAGGAAAAGGTTGGGAAGCACGGAGGTGCCAACACGACAGGCTCGGTACTCCACAACCTAGTCGAGAGAATCAAGGATCGCAAGCATAATGTACGAGTTGCTGCTGTGGAGCTGCTAGCACGGATATGGGGTGTTGCTTCTGGTGCCATGGCGGAAGGCAGTGATCGAGCTCGCGACTTATTCAGTCCGATTGCCACGAACATATTCAACGCCGTCTATATCAACGACCGCGAACTCAATGCGCTTGTGCAGCGCGTGTTGTACGAGTCACTGCTGCCTGTAGGCTTCCCACCACTCAAAGCCAGGCAACCTACTGCTGACTCGCAGCGTGTGGCCGACAGCCAAGTACTGCAGGAGGATCAGGATCCCGATGCTATCCGCGCAGAACGCGTTCTTACATTGCTTCGCGACCTTGATGAGAAGGCTCGCAAAGTGTTCTTCGCACTTCAGCACCAGTCTATTGGCAAGGCAAAGTACATGGAGAAGTACCTGAATGCATGCACATTGGTCTATGGCACTTCGGACAAGGAACATGATATCGATGACAAGGCTGCTAGGAATGAACTCAATACAATGATCGAGGCTTTGTCAAAGCTCGATCCAGAACCTCAAATTGCCTCCGATGATCTCAAGAAGTTCGCCAAGCATCATGACAAGCGCAGCTATCAGCTCATTCGCTTCTGCTATGCGCCTGACAGCGACTATCGGAAAATTGTCAAGGCCACGAAGGAATTGACTAAGCGGCTGGAGGACGCACCTAGTGGCATGCTCACGGTGCTCAACACTGTTCTACCGCTGACACGCTCGCTGTCTAACCTGGTCTACAACCGAAGTCACATGCCCACAATCATGGCCACAGCTCGTTCAGATATGAAGGGCCTTGGTAGTGCTGCTCACGACATCCTGAAGCAGATCTCTGCCGATGCGCCAGACGTCTTTCGAGTTCACATTCGCGAGATGTGTGATGGGCTGCGAAAGCAAGCACCGACTGTAAAGACGCCAAACCAGCCTTCTGCGGTCGACGAGCTGAAAGCGTGCGCAGGCTTCGCACAGCGCTTCCCGGAGGACATGCCGCAAGATCGGGATTTCTATAAAGCCATGACGGCTTTTGCGAAATATGGATCGCCTCCCGAGGCTGCCAAGCATGCTGTCACGGTCATTGTCGCATCCGCCGACAAGAAGGAAATGTACATCAAGGACATTCTGGGGTATGCCATTACGGACTTTGACTATGGCGCGGAGTGCTTCCTTGCCAGACTTGCTGCCATCAGCCAGCTCAGGTTGATTGCCTACAAGGACACGGCAGATCACTCCGACCAAATTATGGCCATCGCGGCTGCCAACATTTTAGGTCAAGTTCGAACCATGGACAGTGCTAGCGAGGCGGAATGGTCGGATGCGATCAATGATGATCTTGCTTCAAAGCTCTGGGCTATAAAGATCCTTGTCAATGGTCTTCGAGGGATAGTCAACAGCGGCAGCTCAGACGACGCACAGGACGAGATTGCTTCAGCAGCTGTGAATGTCTATAAGTTTCTCAACACACTGGTCGAGAAAGAGGGTGAGCTGTCCAAAACCGACATCACGGCAAGACATCATAGATCGCATCTACGCCTCGTGGCTGCGAACCAGCTTTTAAAGCTATCGTGCAACAGAGCTATCGATCAGTATTTCACGCCGGGTGACTTCAATCGACTAGCACGCGTCGCGCAAGACAACCTACCGGAAGTGCGGAGGGGTATTGTGAGGACGCTTCGCAAATACCTTGGACAAGCAAGGTTGCCGAACAGATTCTATGCCATCGTCTTCTTGTATGCCTTCGAGCCACAGAGGGCCATCCTTGAGCCGACTGCCACCTGGTTGAAGGCAAGGGCTACTCTTTCTACCAAGGCCAAGGATACAGCGATCGAATCCGTCTTTGCGAGATTCCTGAGTTTGCTAGCACATCACCAAGACTTCAGCCGCGAAGCGGAGGAATTGGAAGACTTCGTGGAGTATATCCTATTCTACCTGAAGAACGTTGCTACACAGGAGAACCTGCCCATGATCTACCACCTCGCACAACGCTTGAAAGCTGTACAGGATGGCATTGATCCTGACAAGAGCGAGAATCTATACGTCATGTCCGACCTTGCCGAGGCCACAATCAGGTGTTACCAGGACGTTCAAGGCTGGTCGCTACAGCTCTATCCGGGCAAGGCAAGAATGCCGAGTGGTATCTTCGCTGCACTCCCGAGCCATATCATAGCCCAGGAGATCGCGGAGAAGAACTACATACCCGCAGACCTCGCGGAGAATCTGGAAGACCTCGTCAAGGCCAGCATGAGGACAAAGAAGCGCAAGGCTGAGAGCTCGATCAAGCAGCCTGCTTCGAAGAAGGTGAAGGAAGAAAATGAAGGCGGTGAGAAGAAGAGGTTGCCTGTCAAGAAGGCTTCAAAAGCTGCGAAGCCCGCCAAGACACCGAAGAGGAGGCTTGAGGATACAATCCCATCTTCCGACAGACGCAAGAGCGCTCGTGCTTCCAATATCAAGACTTATGCCGAATCGAGCGATAGCTCAGCTGACGAAGGTGCTGAGCAGGGTGATGAGAGCGACGACGACAATGACCCTGAGGCCAATAAGGAGAATGTCACAAGTCCAACTCCACCGGCAAGTGATCTCACGCCGGCGCTACCACGTACCGCTGAGAAGCAGAAACCGGTCAAACCTACGAAAGCGGCGAACAAGGCGGCAGTGAAGAAGATTGCGCATGCCGCTCCAAAAAGGAGTACACGAGCAACGAGGGCGAGCAAGGAGAAGGACGTGATGGATATTCCCAGCGACAATGAGGCTGAGCTTTCGGAGCCGCCGGGTGATGTCGAAGGTTGATGAATGGAGATGCTGCGCCAAAGGCCGCTTGCGCACTGGCGTGAATAAGGCACTGATCTGCTATGTTTGACCATTGAAAATGGGGTGGAGGATTGCTTCGCGAGAATTCTGTGGATCGTCGTGCTAATTGTTGTAACGAGGACACGTTGCTGCCTGTCTAAATTTATGGTGCAGCGTTCCAGCGACTGAGTCTTCAGTACCATGTACCAAGCGGAATTTGTAGTAGCAATAGCAAGATATTCGAATCGATGTACTTCAACTTCTTCCTACCATATGATCTAAACACCCTGCCTGGTTAGTTCTAGCGTAAAGATCTTCAACGCGATCTGTCCATGGACCTGCAAATCCGTCCTGTCCGATTCCGTGTCTTGGCGTAAGGACGAGAATTGGAATCGCGTGGACAAAAGATTGGCTTTACGGTATGTAATGCATAAGTATACTTTTCGTCCTCTTGCCCATCAACCCATAGCGCTGCTTTGTGCATTGCGCGATCATGCCATCATTCACCTCGTTATCACACCAAAGGTCAAGCAAAAGTATTACTACCTTGAAGATAGGTCAAAAGACCGAAGATCACTTCTGTCTCGCTGCGTGGCTCGCCATCAGGCACGCCAACCCTTGGTCGTGGTCGAGGATCCTGGTCCGTAGCTTCCCGGTCCGCCTACCCAGAACGTCGAGGAGGATGAGGCTGTAGTGATGGCGCAGGAGGCTGGAAGGGTCTCGGTCAATGTAGTTGCGCCAGCTGTGACAGTCGTGGCAGAGTACTCGGTTGTTGTTCCTGCTGTACATCCATTAGCAGAAGACAAGGAGCAGTTATCAATGGAAATAGTGTACCTGGGATACTGGTGACTAGAGTGCTGACCTCAGTGACGGTGGCACCATTACCTCCAAGGATCGTATTGGTTGAGAGTTCGGTGATTGTAGCAGCTATACACAGGTCAGCAGGCGACTCCACGAGAATGATCAGGGTCGGCTTACTTGAGCCGCCAGTCTCAACGGTACTGTACTCTGTCACAGTCGCGGTGCTGCCGCTGCCAACAAGAGTCGTAGATGAGATCTCTGTCACGGTAGCACCTTGATGCTAGTCAGCATCGCCGGTCATCGCTAGTGAGCATGTATGCCTGCTTACCTGACACTGTGCTGATAACAGTGCTGACCTCGGTCACGGTAGCGCCGTTGCCACCAAGAACAGTTGTTATTAAGAGCTCGGTAATTGTGGCAGCTATATCGACGTAAGCGAATGCGATCCTACTTTACCATGCCTGACAATACTTACTGGAGCCGCCAGTCTCGACAGTGCTGTACTCTGTCTCGGTGATGGTAGCACTACCACCCAAGACAGTAGTAGCAGAATACTCTGTGACTGTAGCACCTTGATGGTCATTAGCAAGACCATATACTACAGATTTCAACACAAGGTTGGTTCACTCACCTGGTCCGCTGCTGACAACAGTACTGTATTGCGTGATGGTAGCGAAAACAGTACTGCCAGGGCCGCTTTCGGTTTCTGTCTCAGTTGCTGTCCGAGTGTATGTGGTGGAGTATGTAGGTAAAGCCGGTCCTACTGGCGTAGACGCGCAGCTTGCGGTGTACGTCACATTCCAGCCGGAGAGCGTCAAGGTGCTCGTCTCGTAAGTAGTAGTTGTCTGGACTCCGCCAGGCGCCGTGAGAATACTGGTCACTGTAGCCCCGGGAGCAGTCGAAACGCTGTACGACGTCACAACGACTGTTTGTGCTGCTGTTGCAGCGCAAGAGCTTGGGACTGTTTCGGTCAAGTAATCTGTCTCAGTAGCGAAAGCACTTACCGCCGGCAATGTGGTCACGCTGACTTCGGTTTGTGTCTCCTGGATAGTAGAGACGACTACCTCCGTACTTGGGGCAGCGGTTGATGTAACGAACACAGTGTAAGGAGAGGTGATGGATTCTGTGATCAATTTCGTGTAGGTGACCGGTGCTTGTGTTTCCTGAGAATAATTCAGCTGATGGCGCATCGCCGAAGGTGCAAAGAGTACGTACGGTGCTTATGACGGTAGCGGTTGACGGTGCCAACGTAGAAGTCAGAGTTGTTGTCAGCTCTTCGACGATCGAAGAAGTAAGGATCTCGGTATAGGTGCTTGGCGCTTCAGTCTCCTAAAACCCCATCATTAGCCCCATATCACTCTGCATCCGAAGCAGTACGTACAGTGCTGGTGATAGTTTGAGTCAAAGGAGCAGCGAATGAGGTGACCGTCGAGGTGAATGCCTCAGTGATAGAAGAAGTAATCACTTTCGTCAATGTGGTCGGTGCTTGAGTTTCCTGCCACGATATTAGCTCTATCTCACCAAGGATCTTCACGCTTAAGACACACAATGCTAATCACAGTTTGTGTGGACGGCGCTGCACTTGAGATTATAGTCGTCGTCAGCTCCTCCGTGATGGACGAGACAATGGTCTGTGTATAAGTCGTTGGCGCTTGTGTCTCCTGGCCGAATGTCAGTCATTGTGGCCGTCCTCCACTGTACCACAGTCCACTCACAATGCTTGTTACCGTTGCTGTTGACGGAGCTGCAGTCGAAACTACAGTGCTTGTAAGGACCTCAGTTATGGACGAAGTAACAACTTGGGTATAGGTTGATGGAGCCTGCGTCTCCTACTAATGTCAGTATTTCAGCAGCATATTCAGATCATGGTTGATGACGTACAGTGCTCGTGATAGTTGTAGTAGAAGGAGCTGCCGTTTCTGTAGAAGTAATGGTCAATTCTTCGGTGATCGATGTGGTGATTGTCTCGATGGACGTCGACGGCGCTAGTGTCTCCTGGCAGTATGTAAGCGGGTGCATTGTGTATTCGGCTTCTCACACGTACAGTGCCGGTAATAGTCTCGAGGATTGGAGGTGCGGTGACCAGCAAAGTAGTTTGCGAGGTCAATATCGTCGTGACCTCTTCCGTTGACTGGCAACCTGTCAGCTCACTCGGGTCTTCAGGTAGGCCAACCGGACGAGGTAGATGACGTACGTAGCTTGTGACGGTTTGTGTAGATGGCGCTGCAGTTGAGATCACGGTCGTCGTCAACTCTTCGGTAATCGATGAAGTGACGTATAGTGTGGTCGTGGACGGCGCCTAGAGGAATCAGCTCGATCATCTACTATAAGGATTGCTTTGGACATACCTCTGTGATCGTAGATACTTCAGAGATGGTCGATACCTCAGAAACGGTGCTGTACTGCGTGATCGGACTTGTCACAGTGACGAGAACGGTGTTAGGAGGTCCAGCTAAGATACGCGCTTAGCACAAGTCCGACACGATCAGAAAGTTATACGTACCATTGATCGTTGATGTGACAGTCACAGTCAAAGGAGACTCGGTCAGCTAGGTGATGTTAGCGAGTGTTCCAGTCCAAGAGTAACCAAGGACGGCACATGCTGTCGAGGTTATTACTGTGCCTGGGGCAGTCTCCGTGATCTTGGCGACACTAGTGGTTCCAGGCAAGGTCTGCGTGAGCTGTTTCATCGTCAGAAGCATTCTAGAGACTGCGATATGCGAGCGGATATACTGTTGTCGTTTCACACGCTGTACTTGTGACAGTCTCGGTTTGCACTGTGATGCATGATTAGCTAATGTTTGATCTAGCCCGCCTTAAATTGGCATCAGGAGGATTGTAAGCCCTGGGCTATCGGATACACTTACTAGGTCCAGAAACGACGGACGTGGACGTGATGATCGTTCCGGGAAGTATTGTACTTTCGACGATCGTAGTCGGCGCTTCATACTCCTGATCTTGTGGTCAGCCTGGGAGCTCAGCGTCCTCTAGCTGTCAAATTTACCGTCGTGGTGGAAGTGTAATCTGAAGTGATCGTGTTGTTCACGGTCTCCGTTGTCGCTGGAAGGATGTCAGCAGGTGCTAGTATACAGCGGCGCAATCCATGGTGCCCTTTGTGGCTGCTTTCGTCTTCATGGCTAGTCAACCTCACTCACCTGGCTGCGTCTCGATAGATGTTGAGTAAATCGTGGTACCAGGTAGAGTCTCTACCGATGCTGGATATACCGTTGTCCCAGGCAGGGTCTCGACGGATGTAGCATATATTGTGGTGCCAGGGAGGGTTTCGACGGACGTGGAATAGATCGTTATGCCTGGTGCTGTGATTGTCGAGAGAATTGTGGCGGTGTTGTTGATGCCGGGAAAGGTCTGAGTGGCGAAAGAAGCAGACGCTGTATTGGTGATATATACGGTGGAAGCTATGTGGCATCAGCACTGTCTGGGCGCGGAAGGACTGTCTCTTTCCCACCGGCTTCTGTTACCGTCGAAGCTTGACAAGTCGAGCTCTGGCCCCAGCCGGCTCCGAGGGAGGTAGATGAGGCACTGCTGTAGCCAATAGGACCGACCGTAGCCGACGAGGAAGAGCCCCAGGAGCCGCCACCATGCCCGCCATATGACTGAGGACCATCGCCGCGCTTTTGCAGTCGTACCCACGGGGTGGCCAATGCCGATGACGCTAAGGCCACGACGCAAAGCTGAAGTCTTGCCATGTCTACGGAACTGATCGACTTGGTCAGTCACGATAGACAAGCTTGATGAAGAGGTAGAACGAGGGATACGAAGAGCGTTAGTACATCGAAGGCAGTCCTGACGAGCAACGGAACAGCAGATATACTTGTGCCTGAGCAACTTGAACAACCATGAAGGTCACTCTCGCACAGCATAACTCAACAGGTCTCTGCAGGAACGCATGCTCGAACGTGGAGACAGTTCAGGCACGATCCGTGGCCCTCATGGCATTGGGGAGCACGAACGGGCTAAAAGTGTAGTCTCCAGTCGTAGTCGTCTTGAGTGTCCAGAGTCATACAGAACGATGTCCAATGAGCCGTCACGAACACAATTAGCGTCTCCATGCGTGCATCAAGTGTATCACCTTGATGACGAGCCATATCCTTTCGCTGTGTGCAACGGAGTGGCCAGGACTTATGGCACCGCATCAACCAGGCGCATCGAAAACCATATAAGGCAAGTATGCAAAGTCTTCCACTTGATCCGTAGATGCGGAAAGCGTGCGCTATAGCACAAAGCTGTTGTGAAGTTCGTGCTTCTCGTGGTGCATATGAGCACACGCTACAATGCAAAGTCATTTCCAATGCTCCTTCACTTGTCTAGGCCGATGGAATGACTAGATTGGTCACCAAATTGGTTGGAGGGAGGATCAAGCTCCTCCCTGATATATCGGCCTCAGCTCGAACTCGCTCACCAGTATATTGTGTTGGTCCATGTCAGATGACTGGGAATGCAGGTACACGCATGTGTTAGCAATAGTGAGGTACGAAACCCGGCATATTCTGGACGCCGTGCAGTCGTGCATACAGGTTGGAGCGAACATCCGTGGTGCACGTGTTCTCACGTGCATGTCAGACGTGTATCGTTAGCAGCATGTCGATGCAGCTGGTGTTACTCCGTAGTCCGAGCCCTGGCACAGCAGTCTTTCGCTTTCGACCAGCAGGCCATGGATAGATGTGGCGGTTTAGCCTCTCGCAAAATATGGGAGTGTACTTTGTTGACTTTCAGGAAATATACAGGGAAATCTGACAGAAATGTCCTTCTCATGGGCTCTGGTCGGAGCGGAGCCGTGTCTTGGCCGCAACACGCCACCCATTTCGTCGGAAATTTCATGCACACAGCATTCTCGCAATGCAGACGAGCTTTGTATCTGGCTGCACCTCGTCATGAACATTACTGTTTGAAGAGTGGATGGTTCTCGATCACCCGCATGTGAGGCACAGTGGGCGACGTGCCGGGAAATTGCTGTTGGCCACGCCAGTAATGACAAGACGAACAATGTTGCGCAAAGCGCAACGTGCTTGATTGCCTCTGCAATCCTTCTAGCGGCCGAGATCGTGGCATATCGGCACCGAAGATTTGACAACAATGGTGAGAGCCATTGCCGTGTCACGACGAAACAAGGGCTGGAGACGCAGCACACAGCTTCGACTCACATACGGCCGTTCCTTGTAGTCCCACGAACAGCATTCGAAGCTTGGCAATCTTTTATGCCTAGCATACCGAGCGAAATGATCGTCATCCGAGAAGAACATACTCTCCTCGTCTCTCCAAGAGCTCTTAGAGGGACAGCCACACTGAAGCTGGCGATGATCACTTGCTGAACACAATTGCCTTGTGCGCACCCAACGCATGAGTTCGACCTGTGCATGGCTGTGCTTCGCATCACAGGAAATGCAACCAAAAGGCACATGGCGCGACAGCTGTCAATTGATGGGTCGAGATTGGATGATGGAGCCTTCACACGGTTAGTGCCCTTTCTGCACGAGGTCTGGTATGCTCCTGGGACTTCTCAATTCTGTGATCATGCTTGGTCGGAAGGCTACGTGACGAGTGCACTCATCGCAATACCTGCCCAGTCTGGAAACAAATTGGCATTTTGTTGTCCCAGACTCCATACTTGTTGTGGTCGCTGGTGTCACAGTGAACGATGCCAGAAAGCTTGTATTCATACGTCCTCCATCCCGAATTGGCCTGGAAAGAGGCAGCTGCGAGACTGAACGGCTTCTCTGAGAGTCAGAAACCATCATAGAATTAGGGACCCTGGTCACCGGTAGGTCAACCGACCTACATGCGCTGTCCTGGTGGCGATTGCCCCCTCACGTCCTGCGATGAGCCCTAGTGTGTAGATTGGACAGCAAGTATTGACATCCAAATCTTCTTCCGTGTTCCTGCTGTTTCCCAGCAATGTCTGCCATACGTACGTCTCATGCCAGTCCGCGGAAATGTGATATCGGTTTTGCAGAGGGTGTTAAATTGTCTCATGCCCAGGGCCGACGAGACGACTTCTCTTTGCGTCTTCTCGCTTTGCGTCCTCTCGACGCAAGTGACGAAGTGTCCTCCGATAATGGCGGATTCATGGCGCATCCGAAGAAATGGAGCCTCGCAATTGAAGCAAGGATTGAGGAAAGTGTTGATTGAAAGGATATTTGCCAGGTACGTATGACATCTACACATCGACCCGTGCAAGGACTGGGCCATTATTCGAGTTTCAAGCCACCAGTACCGAACAAGGGTTACCGTATCCAGTCATGCCTCCGCAACCTCATAATCTGACGCCTCGGAATCGAACACTTTCACATCATCGTATGTCTGCCTCTTTTTTGTATTGTTATTTTTGCTTACCTTTGGACTCGCCTTGGCCACTGATGCATATGTTCTTGCTGTTGCTGCTTGCGATGGCTTCGAAGGACGGCGTACGTGCACAAAATCGCCTTCTAGGGATGGAGATCCCGCGAACGTCGTTGTTGACCTGTCCAGAGCCCTGAGAGGTGCTTCAGTTTTCACTGATGACGTAACATCAAGCTCTAGGCTCGTGGGAGTTGGCATCTTCATGTCGGTCCAGAAGCCACGTCCCTTAGCCTCGTACGCAAGGTAAGACGTTTGCTGTGCGCAGTCAGTTTTCCGCATGCAGCGATTAACCAGGAGAAAGCTTACGAATACTATACGTAGTCCGTAGTAAAGGGGTCTCATCGCTCTTGCTTCAGCACCAGCTGCGTCCATAGAGCGGGGCCACTCCTCATCCTCGTCCAGGATGAACCACCCCGGGCAGAATTCCCAGAACGTCCATACGAGTCCTCGTATCATCCAATCCTCGGGTAATGGCTTTGCCACACCAGCCTTCTCTGGCCACACACCTTGCTGCGCACACTGAATTATGTTGATCGTGATGGGATACAAGCGTGCCAAACGATTGAGGTAGGTGGCCACCAACGGCCACGCAACATCTTCCATGCGGAGGGGTAAGGGAACACTTGATCCTGCTTCCACTGCCATCTCACCATAAAGCCAAGATAGGGATGAAAGAAAACACATCATAACGCCAACGAAAGCAATTGTATCCCTGAACGCCATGCTATCCTTTGAAAATGCCGCCGTGCCTGGGGGACACTGCATAGCCGTATGAACAGAAGCCAGTAGCAGGTCCTTCGACCAGCTAAGCTGTCGTCGAGTCTCATCTGTATTGCTGTTGATGGGTCCGACGATGCTGTCAAAACTTGTCGCATTGGTTTGAGTAGGAGTCTCGCTTCGTTGCAATCTATTCCGTATCGCTACGTCAAACGCCATCCGGAGCGGATTAGTAGCCGCGCCAAACATGAGGAGCGGCGAGATATTGGCCACTGCCAAGGAGGATCCACAGTCCCGCCATGAAAATGTCTTCGGCTGCTGCAGGAAACCAAGGGCCTCGACCGAGGCGTCCCTGATAGTCCGATCATCCTTGGCGAGGAAGATCACCGCATGCAGTTTGCAAAAGCAGGCTTCGGCCAGAATCCGCGGTGATTGTGTCAGATGCGACTGCTGCGCCAATGGCCCGTATAGCGTCCGAAGTGAGTCATTGGCATTAGCGAATGGCACAACGCAAGTCAAAGACTTCCCGTAGCATGCTACCTTGCGCAGGCTAGGACGCTCAAGTATCGCCAGGTGATGGTACAAGCGACCCACCTGGGGATGCCTGTCAGACGCTTTGAGATACCATGACGCCGCCACGGCACCCCATTGCGCGTGTGGTTCTCTGTCTTCTTCGATGGCCATTCTGTACCGAGCCAAGTCTCCTAAGCATTCTATCCAAGTATCAAGGAAGATGGGAATAGTCTCGTACAGCAGCGTTGTCATTTGGTAAGCCAGATATATGAAAGACATCATATAGTCCTGCGAATCTGGCCTACGATGCCTTAGCACTTCGAGAAAGGCATGTATGCCATGCTTCCACATCCGGGCTGGCATGCTGTACTTGACTGGCAACGCACGAAGCGCTGGAGTAGCAGACGGATGTTGCGTGGCCATCATGAAATCATGGTGCTCGTACAGCAGTGTACGATGCAACGCAATTAGTGCCTGCCACTGGCTTGCGTCAAGCACCATCGAGAGGTCGGAGGCCTGGGCCTTATCGATGTTGATGCATTTGGCTTCGACGATCACTAGCCCAGCGTAGATACCCTTAATCTCTGCTGTGAGCTGATCTTCGGAGATGGTGGAGCTGTCGGGCTGCAGTATAAGTCCTGGCCAGCGTGCTTTCTGTGGTACAGTGATGATCGTCGTCTGCTTGGGTATTGGGATGGTCATGGTTGGCACGTGATTTGGCTGCTTTCGGGTGACAGCCGTGGCGGCGAGCTTTGGTTGTACAGGATTGGACTTCTCCTTCGAAGCTGCTTCCCATGTCTGCAACATCGTAGTTTTCCGCGAGATGTACCCCGAGTCCTGACGGGACTGCTTGGTCTCATGTAAGCTGGGAAGTCGCCCAGGCATGTTGGCTCCGTCATCTGTGTACTGAGTGAGTAAATGCGTAGTGTCTGTCAGTAACATGACCTACCATGTTTTTCGGAACGTCTAGATCTGCTTGGTGACTTGCGAGGTGATCTACGTCTTGGGGGCGATCTCTTCGACGGCGACTGTGGGCCAGAGATCCGACTGGCACACATTGCTTTGCTGCCTGATGACTGTCCATCATGATCACGCGACAAGTCCTCACTAGCAGGTCGTTTGACCGAATTTCCATGACTGGTCTTGGGGTTCTGTTCACAAGCAATCGAGGGCGCCGTTGATCGAACATTATCTTCCAGCGATAGTTCCGCAATCTTTGTTACCTCGACTGGCGGCGGTTCTGGTCCAGGGCTCTCTGGCGGGGTGTATTCACTCTTGTTCGAGTTCATCGAATCATCAGATGCATCAGATACACTGTACTCAGAAGCGACGTGTGATTGGCAAAGCTCATCATTGTATTTCCCTTCATTACTGTGCAAATATCAGCTATCTGCTTTTCTGCACTCGCCACAACGACTCGGCTCGGCAGACAACGTACCATGAGGCTGGTGCCTTCAAGGCGGCGTTGCCTTCTGCTACTCCGGCGCGGTCAGACCGTGACGAATCCGGATCTCTCAACCTACGAACCATCAGTATCAAGTTTGCTGCATGTACACGTTTACCTTGTGGCAAAGCCTCTTCATGATCGTGTGACGGATCGATTGCCCACGTAATCTATCGAATCGGAGGAGCCGGACGTGCGGACATCTTTGCTAGGGAAAACTCGGCGCTATTGTCAACTGTGCACGACGTACCCTTCTCGCTGTCTATTGATCTTGCTTTCTGATACGGTGGCCGCATCGCGAGGACCAAAGGACATCGCGTATTTTCAGTCTCGAACGTATGTGGAAGCTCCTGTACTAGAATGGGCATCTGGTGGCGCATTCGCAATAATTTGATTGGTACAGCCTGATCCGGCAGAAGCTCCAGCCTTGCGATGCCACCCTAAATTCGAGGCTGCAGTTTGCGTCACTTTCGCCAAACGTTGAGGCCGCCCTCCCAATTTTCGAATGGAGCCAGAATGTGCGCTTCACCAAATCGCACTCTGTCCAGGTCCAGGTCTCGTAAGTACCGTCGGTATCTTCCAAATGGCAGATCGCTTTCGCTTGTCGCCACTGCAAGGCCGGTGTCCGTAAGCCGTGGGCAGTGCTGCCGGATAACACCGAGATCGATGGTCGAAGAAACCAGCAGAAGTCAAGTCATTGCGTGTGGCAAACATTGGATCGAACGGACGGCAACGCAAGAAATGGCGAGGCGGGTCTTTTCAGTGTGGTTGTGCGAACTGCATGATATTAAGGCAACGATGCTTAACACCCCACCCTCCTTCCGTGTGACAATGGAGCCTTGGCTCGATCAGCCACGATCGAGAAAGTGCCCTGCCGTCGCCCTCCCCACAGCCTGGTCCATCCATTTATCCCGGTGAACGTCCCTTCCACTCTCATTCTCTGTGACAATCAATTCATGTTTTTACTGAAGACCTGTGTCAAGCCTCCAGACCTTGTACAGTACGATGCGCATCAGTCTCTGAATCTACCACGGCTCATTTCGGACCATGATTACCCGTTGTCTCAGCTTTGAGCCCTATTCAGCCGCCCCTTTGTTGGCTTCGTCGCGCCTCCATACGACAGCCGCTGACATAAATCTCCTCACAAGTCGTTCGCAAGGCGATGAACTCAGTTAAAGCCGCAAGGGATACACTGACGCACTCCTGAAAGGAACTCAGCTGAGGGCTCGTGTCGGACTACATGCACTCGCATAGTAGATACAACAGTGAATCGAGACGTCTCACGTGTTCTCAGCTCATACCGCATACTTTGGCGATTACACAAGACCGGGCAGTAGATGAGTAGCGACTTCGAACGTCAGCAAAGTCAGGACTCTGCTTTCTGTTCCCTGAGGCAATTCGATAAGGCTGACGTTGCAGACCTTTGCTGAGCTTCGGCTCACCACTTTTCAGAGGATGACCTTGAGGTATTACGCCCCTCCGCCTTCGGCTGCCTGTAACGAGCAATCACACCAGAGGTCTGTCATAATGCGCAGTCACTTGACGTTTGGGATGCCAAGATAGTGGTAGGCAAGGCCATGGGGCCGGCAGGTCGCCCAGTCATAGACCAGATTTGGCATTCCGAGCGATTATATGCCCACAACAGAGACACAGGCGATGCTGTCATACAGCTTGCAAAGGCAAAGCAACCCGTCGTCCGAACAGGATCCAGTAATAAACTTGCGGCATGACTTAGACTGCATGAGCATGCCACTGGCCTCGTTGAAGCTTGAAGCTCCAGCTCAACATGACGCGTGAAGCTGCACACAATGGCACATCTACACACGTGCACATGTCACAGTGAGCAGCTCAAGTAGCTCCTGTGTCTCGAATGTCTGCCAACATTCGAGATCTTTCGCCCTTGATGACTATGGTTTCGACGGCAAGATCCAAATTGTGCCTACAGCGAGACATGTGATCAGCCACTGTAGCCTGGGCTGACGAGAGTCCCGTGGTGGAAATACAACCGGACAGCCTGACTGTACTGTAGATAGACCCAGACTAGTGGAAAGCCACATTAAGGCAACAAGGCCGCCTGATCGTCGGGTGCAATCACGTTGCCTTGATTTTGTGGAAAGCGCAATGTCGGCTGTGATTCGCGGTAATTACAGTATCTTTGAGTAGGCAGTGTACTGGATTGCGCACTTTGTATGCAGCACCTCGTCCATGGCTGCCTTGACCTGCAGCTTGAAACGAGGGAGGAGGTCGACAGGAGCATGTCGTGGCCGGCTAGCTCATTCGGATCGAACAGGAGGGTCGCACGATGCCTGCCGATGGCTGGCACAAGGTCAGTACTCTATTATTGTAGCCACAGCGAAGCAACAGATGAAGTGACGCCCTCGTTGTGCAGTGTAATTGCTATGAGACTGCTTCGGATGCCTGCAGACATGTACGACGATGTTCTCAGCAATACGTCCTTGCACGAAACCGTGGTGAGGATAGGTGACGGTCGTCAGGATCACAATGTGCATGGAGATCCATTCAGTCCTGGTAATCCTGGTGCACCCGAGTCAAGTAATTTTGGTAATACAGCGGAAGTGGGCTTCGTTTGTCCGACATTATGTGTGGCTGCTCACGTCTGTAGAAAATAGTCGTTCGAACAAGACTATGGCTCCAGGCGGATGGGCTGTCGACAAGCTTGGAAACGTCGTTGTGCGTTGAGGAGATCTAATGTAGATGGCGGTGAACGAAAGATTTGGGTCACTACGGTCCTATGGTGGCGAAAAAGCTCAGTGCGTGAACTGGCCAGTGCGCAAATCTCGGTTGTTTCGACTTCACGTCGCCGCGAACATACAAATACCATTGGAAGCGACCATCAGAAATTTGGGCCTTCAGTGAATTAGACACTTGTCTCTCTGAGCAATCGCCAATGGAAGTATACGATTGTTGTTCCAAGTTACCCGCAGTTGCACCGCTCATCTAATTAGGCGTCTTTTCTGTCCATCTTCCAGCATAATCGGCAGATGATAATCGAGCAGACGAGCATAGAGTGGCGAACGACCACTTAGCTATCCTGGGAGTCACCTTCGCATGCTTCGGCACCGCATATGGAATGGTGGTCTCGGCTTGTGGGAGGCGCTCCTACACCAGCACACATCACACCAAAAGCTAGCATCTCGTCAGATCCGCAGGCACGACTCTCCAGATTCAAGAGGACTTTCAATCATATCCTGGCCCTCTGTAACAAGCCCAGGCAACCCGAGAATGAACAGCCATTGCTGTACCAGCTGAAGACCGCACTCGACAGACTCGCTGTACTGATACGCGAAGAGTCGCGCGCATCAATACCTCATGTCTGCCTCACCTTCGCCGCCTCGAGCCAGCTATACACAGTGGTCAGTCGAGCTGCCATCGTCTCACAATATGAACCCATCATCTCTTCCGCCGTGGCCATCTTCGCCGCTCTCGTCGACAGCGAGGAAGAAGATCTGCTATCGACCGCACCGTTCGCGAAAAGTCTTATGCGGCTAGTCACGAAAGTGGTCGACAGTAACAATGTTCTCATTGGTATCGAGACCGAGACTGACATCCTCGAATTGCTCTTCACCATATCAGCCAAGATCAGGTTGCAGCCCGAGATCTTGGCTGTGTGGTTTCGATCCACAGCACGGCCGGACCTGGAAGATGTGTTTGTTAAGGAGAAGCGCAGCTTTGTCGGCATTACGCAGCGCGATGACTTCCCGTTGTGCTACATCATGATTGACCGAGTGCATAATGATGGCAGGATTGGCGACTTTGCCAGGACGGGCTTGCTGTACATATTCGAAGCCACTGGGCGGTCCATGGCACTGGAGGAGTGGGTGATCTCTAGTGATCTGTCCACACTCATGGCGAGTGGGCTCGGAGCGCTGTACAGCCAGCTCAGCCGAGAGCTCTCCATTCTACATCCAGATGCGACGTTGCCAGCTGTGCTAGCGATGTCGGATTATTCTACGACTCATCCACGAGCCACGGCCGAGTCTGCCTTCTCAGAACGACACCAGGCTCATATGGTAACGTTCCTATCATATCTTGCGTTCTGGCAGGATGTGCTAGATCACTGCAGGAGCGCAGATGTGAAGCAGACTTTACTGGACCACTTTCAGATCCTCTTCCTCCAACAGCTACTGTATCCTTCACTTCTGCAATCGAGCGATACCGATGCTGGCAGCTCGGTCGCAGTACTGACATATCTGTGTGCCATGTTGGAGGAGCTACAGTATCCGGATCTGGTGGAAATGATGCTCGCATACCTCCTCAACATCCGCCCAGGCGCATTGGAGACAGTGCCCTCCACACCAGTGACACCAGTACGACCTGGAATGCCACCACGATCGCCGACCACCCAGCGAAGAAGGCAGAGCTTGATGCTGTTGACCGCTCCCAAGGACCCAGAGGAGGCCATGGAGCCTAGTCTGTTCAATCTTACAGATCTTGTGCTCAACAGCGCACGCTCGAGTAATGCTCAAACGATATTTGCTGCCTTGCGACTGATCACGACGATGCTGAATCGACAAAGGAAATACATGTTTGGCACACTGCTACGGACGAGGAAGGAGTCCTCCATTGCGACCATACCAGAAGACGGCCCTGCACCGTCCCTGGGGAGACTACAGATCGATTCCTCTGGCTATGGTGTGCACCATGTACCACCAAGCCAGACAGTCGGCGCTCATGAGCTTATGTTGTCGAGGTACACGGATCTCGTGGTGGCTCTTTATGGTCACGTGTTTCCTGGAGAAACCTACGAGAGTGTTTGCGAAGATACACGATATTACATCGAAGCTCAAGCTATTACAAGTCTGGCAGCACAGGACATTGAGCAGACGCCAAACAGTCGTACGCTCCCTCGTCGAGACCCGCTGCTCCGAGCCCTGACAGCACGTCTGGAGAACTTCTTCACCGATAGTCTAGATGTAAACTTGGCCTTGACGCAGACCCTCATCACGATGGCTTCTTGTATCGAGCTCAGGCTGGACTCGTGGGTGACACTGGATCCTGCTGTTGCCCGACCGGAGCAAGCTTCGGAGATGATGCCACGTCCATGGCACACGCACCTCGGTGACGACGAGAGGGCGTCGGGTAATGCTCTGCGAGCCGCCCTGCAACCACCAGTCTGGTCAGACGATATAGCGCCCGCCCTCTACACCACACTACAACACCTCCTGACGCAAGTGGAACACGTGCGCAAAACAATACCAAGCCTCGACAGCCTGCTCGCCAGTCGCCAACACATGCTTCAAGCATCATCCACGCCCGAGGTCGCCTTGAGCGCACCGCCTTCACTCGCAAGCAGCCCGATGACAGCAACGACATCTACTTCGTACCTCGATGCTGTCCAACCATCGCGAAATTTAAATCGATCGCGTGACGGGGATCCGCTGTCCGCGGACCGCAGCCACAAGGCAACCAATAGACCGGCTGTGGGGTCCGACTTCTCGGTTTCGAATGCGCGTCACATAGGCGCAAACATGTCATCAGTCTCGGGAACACGCCCTGCTACAGAAACCAATGCGAGTTTGCCTGGTTCGTCGTTGGGTAAGATGAAGCAATCGATGTTTCGGCCGCCTCCACCTGAGGTTCCCTCCACCACAGACATGCTGATGGAGAAGATCACGTTCACCGGAACGACGGAAGCTCAGGCGGTGGAAACTGATGGCGAGGCTGAGGAGAGAAGTGCGAGTTTGAATCACGTGTTGACCAACATCGTCGTCTTGCAACAGTTTGTACTGGAGATCGTGGCGGTTATCCAAGTCCGAGCCGCTGTGCTTGGAGAGCGGGAACTGAGGTTCTGTTGATGGCCGTCATGATACTTGCATGTATATATCCTAAGCCGTTTCCAGCCTACACGACGCTGGTCGTTGTTCCTACTTTACATATGGTTATTATATCAGTTTCTCAATGCCTTTCGAAATGGTCCTTTCGTGGAAAGGCGTTGTGAGGCCGCCCCGGCACGCCACACTTTGCTGTGATTGGCTGCCTCATGCGATCGATGCTAGCGTGCGTCCATGATGCATCTTTGGAGATCCTGATGTCGACTTTCTTTGGTAGGTATTGGGAATCATCACATGCCATCGCATTGAAGGAATCGTAGTATTATCAGCAACCATGGCGTCCAAGTCGATCTGTACATCTTGTCTCCGACCACTGCGCCAACGAATACCACAGAAACCACATCTCATCAGCAGCAGCAGCAGCAGCAGCAGCAACAGTATCATAAATCGATCCTTCACCACCGCACCGCCGCGACGACGCAATGAACAGTCAACAAAAACAACCCCCCCACCACCACCACCATCATCAAACCCCATCCCCCAACCATCATCCTCCCCTAATCTCGCCACAAACCTCGCCTCCACCCTCCGCCACAACCCGGCCCTAAAATCCACAACAGAACCCTACATCGCCTACGGCAGCACAGAAACCCTCTTCCTCGCCTGCCAATCCCAAGCCTCCTACACCATCCCCTCCGTCCTCGCCACACCCCCACAACCCACGCCCAAAAATGCCGGCGGGGAGGACGTCGGGGTGGGGGAAGGGTGGTGGATGACTCCCAAGTCTACTAACACCACAAACACAGCAACCACCACAGGAGGGGTGGTAGGAGGAGTAGGAGGAGGAGGAGGAGGAGGGTTGGCAGCAGGGGGACTGGGATTGGAACCAACCTTCAACACCTGGGCCCAAATAGTAATGCTCCACATGTACCTCCTCACCCTCCGCCTCCGCCAATTCCCCCCCGCCCACGCACCAATCTGGCACCAAAACCTGCTCGACCATTTCTTCTACGCCGCCGAAGATAGGATGGCAGTCTGGCACGGCATGTCCGCGCGCGGGGTCCGAAACAAGTACCTGAAAGATCTCTGGCTGCAATGGCGCGGATTACAACTTTCTTATGATGAAGGGTTGATTAAAGGGGATGCGGTGATGGCGGGGGCTGTGTGGCGGAATTTGTTCAGGGGGGGTATGGGGACGGAGGTGGATGTGGGGGATTTGGGGGTGGTGGTTGCTTATATGAGGAGGGAGATGGCTAGACTTGGGGAGCTGTCGGATCAGCAGGTTGGGGAGGGAGCGGTGAAGTTTGGGGATCCGAGGACTGTGGCTACTTTGATGCAGAGGGAGAGCGGGTGGGTGAGGCGGGCGTTTGAGCAGGAGGATTTGAAGCCGGCTGTGCAGGAGGCTGGACGGTAGAACAGAGATCTTTTCGGCCGAGCTGAATGGGAGATTTGGTGCACGGTATGGGGCGTGTTCAGGTGAGAGTATGTACGATCAGAGGGTGCGGGCCATGGAAGATTGGGAGCGTAGACATAGCAATGCGTTCAGTCAAATGTGCCATGCTTGTAAAGATGTATCGATACACAACACAGCCAGTGTCAAAGGCCTTAGGAGGCATAGGGGTATCTTTCCCCGCTTCCAACGCCGGAGAACGCCTTGCTAAAATTACGAATTCTTCGCCAGAGGCTCTTGAGCCTAAGGATCAACTTGCTGCTTTCTACTCATCATCATACCTCGGCCCATCATCATCCTCCTCCTCCTGACCCACCACTACTTTCGCCTGCAAACTCTCCTCCCTCCTCACCTGCCCATTCCCCTGCTGCTGCTGTACCCCACCACCCTGCCCCCTCCCCTGCAACCCCTGTCCTTGTCCCTGCCCCTGCCCCATCTGCCCCTCCCTCCGCCTCTTCCTCTCCTCCTCCGCCGCCCTCCTATCCCCCTCCACCTTCTCCGCCTGCCTCCTCTTATACCCCTTCTTGATCCTCCCGGCCGCCTCGATCAAATCCCCCTCACCGACCGCATCCTCAATACTCTGCAAAACACTATTGACAGTAGAAATATGATTCGCGTCCGTCTTATCGTCTCGGAATCGCGGAGTCCCATCTCGATCTTCGATTTTCGGTCGCCAGTGGCCGGTGGCGGGGTCGCGGTAGCATTCTATTATCCGGCCGTCGAGGGGCTGCTGGAGGGATTTGAAGGCCGTCCATTCGGGGGGGGTGAGGGTGAGGTTGGCGAAGCGGTGGTAGCCTCCTGCTGTTCCGGAGCCGGCGGATCTCGAGTCGCCGTGGTTGACGTGGAGTTCGAGGTCGGGACAGGCGTCCCAGTCCGGGTAGGTGCCGTCTTCGTCTTCGAGCATGGGGAAATCACCAAGCACGAGGCGGAAATCAATAGTATTTTCATGCGGCGGTTTCCATTTCAGAATATGCTGATCTGTACCTGAAACGTATTCTGTTCCGACACAGGTGAAGATCAACCCGTCGTTGCCGTGGGGGAGGTTGGGGATACGGTCTTTGAACATCATTTCCGTTCCGTAGGGCAATTCCATGGCTTTGAGTTCGGGCTGGAAGGGGAAAGTTTTGGCGTCTTCGGGGTAGCGGTCGGTGAATTTCCGATAAGGGCGCGCGACTTGTTGTTGGAGGCGGGCTAGGCGGCGGTCGAAGGGTTTGTTCATTACGGATTCGCCGTCTAGGGCAAGGATGTCGAACATGAGGTAGGCTAGCCGCTGCCCACCTTCTTTCAGGCGTTGCAGCACCAACTCCCCGTCTAATAGAGTTCCTAGATGGAAATTCGCCACGTCGAAATCCTCCTTCACACCTTCGGGCGGCGGGGTGGGGATATGTAGGGCGTCACGCGGGATGTAATAATAATCATTCTTCCGATCGATCAAGAACTGCACTTCCACCCTCTGCCCGTCCTCGTTCACGAACTGGGTGAGGTAGAGGAGACATCTGATCCCGTCCGTCTTCTCGCACATGAAGTAATCGCGTTGCTGCAGCTCATGGATGTGGTGTCGGGAGAAGGAGACGGGTTGGGCGCCGGGGAAAGCGAGGGATTGGCGGTGGAGGAGGTCGGCCACTTGTTCTTGTTGCCATTTCAGGTCGGGGTTCTGGAGACGGGTACCGATGTCGGAAAGGTTGACTGAGGAGCCCATGGTGGGTGTGGTTGGAACATAGATCTCAAGCTCATGTGCTCGAGAGCAGCATTGTTTGCATGTCCATCACTGCTGACTATCGCCCAAGTGGAGCATTCACTAACTAACAATCGGATAATGTCCGCCGGGCGGGAACAACATTTCTCCATGCCCCCCGCTACTGCAAGCTAAGAAAAGCCACATTGGAGTCGGTGTGCTTCAAAGACGCAGAACGCTTCTTCCCATTGCTCGCGTTCCTGGGACTAATGCACGCCATTCTATGCGGTGAAGAGAGCAGTGGAATGGCGAAATGGCGCGACTTCCTTCACCTTCACCTTCACCTTCACCTACCTATATCCGCATCCGAAGCCTGGTATGCTCTTCTCTCTCAAACCACCTCATCCTTTGTCTCGGCCATTGCGGCGTGAAGCTTTCTCTTGTTCCTCCACCCTCCCATTGTACTCACTGTAGCTACTCTGACCACCTCATCTGGTGATTGTCCATACCATGATCTCCAATCTCGACATCCCGGACCTGCGTGTCTTCTGTGCCGTCGACCAGAAACTCGCCGCTCTGAACCGCGAACTACGCTTCATAGCCCGTACACTCGCGCGACTACGACATCGTCACCATGCCGCTCTTGTCTTCTCGAGCAGTAGCAGTAGCAGTAGCAACAGCAAGCAATCAAACTCGATATACACCGTCACGGAACTCCAGCAGAATCTTCAGAAGCATTCCGTGGAAATGCTGAAACGACTATTCATCACTCCTAAAAAGGAAAGGCAAGACGATATTGAAAGTGCGCCTACGACGCCGGTTGATGAGAATCCACCGCCATGTCTTTCGCCACCTGACTCCAGGCCCGCTTCAACGGCGAGGAGATCCGTTACAGAGCGACCGCAGAGTCTGCAACTACTGGCCGGTCTATCGAGGACGTATCCAGCAAGTGCACCCTCGTCACGCCCGACTTCCTATCACGAGTATACCTCGCCACCACGACCAGCCTCATATGCCGCGTGAGTCCACCCATCACAATCATACATATCAGCCACGAGCCAACTAACCCAAACCCAACCACAGACCCAGCCAAACAGACACAATAACCCTCCTCGTCGACCAAACCTCCCAAGCAATCTTCACCCTCCCCCGCCACCACCTCCCCACCATCTCCGCCAAATTCGCCCCCAAACCCATCACCATCTTCCCCAACCGCGGCTCCGACGACCCAATAACAATAACAGCCATCCATCTCCCCGGCATCACCACCGCAGACCTAACCGATTTCCTCCACTGGACCCGCACAGGCCACATCCTCCCCTTTTCCCAAAAACCCTCCGATCCAGAATGGCATCTCGAGTCCCTCGCTCGCCGCCTCATCGCCGCCCTCGCCCTCGGCATCACACTTTCAAGTATCCCCTACCAAGCCGCCTTTTTGCGGGAATTTCACGCACTAGGCCCTTCATTGCCGTGGCCAGAGGATTTCGTCAATATTCTTTTTGCCGCGACGAAGTTGGCCGGATGCGGAGATCATCCGGCGGAGGGGTTGATGGTTGGGTTGGTCAAGGCGAAGACGATGGGGGGGAACGGGAGGAAGGTTAGGGCGGGCCCGCGGGACAGAAATTGTGAGCGGGGGGATCGGATCAGGTGTTCGAGGTTTTGGGGGTTGTTTGATGAGGGGGTTCTTGGTGAGGGGGATGGTGGGGAGGGAGGGTCCTTGGGGGATGTGGAGGAGTATGTAAGTAGATTATGATGGGAAAAAGTTTTTGCTTTTCAAATTCTTGCGTCTGCTTATTTATTACGTACTGGATTACTGAAGTGCGAGGCTCTTCCGTCCGTCGCGGTGGTGGTGGTGGGAGGCACGGTGGCAGTGAAATTAGGCACTCGAGAATCTATCAGTGAACGTCCGAGGCTCGTGATTAAATTCGCCACGGCCCAAACCAACCCATTCACCTTTTGATCATTCCTCCCCGGATCATGTCAAAGGATGTGTACAGTCCGGTGGATTATGTAATTTACTGTATAAAGGAATGGACAGTCGATCACAATTACCTCAACAAGCGGTCCTATATCCGACCCACCCGCAAACCCCCCACCCCATGCAATTATACCGCAAAGTCCCAAACCCATGTAGATACCCTGCCCCATTTTTACTTTGTACAGCCCATGCCAAACGCGAAAACCCACGACCACCATCGACCAGCAAATCGATGTCCTCTTAGGCCTGACTCAGCAATCTCGACGCAACAGAGTGCGTACTATCATTGAAACCCCCCGTCCCCAACCCCTCAAACCCCCACTCCCCCCCTTCCTTCCCCCCCGACAAACTCGACCGCTGACTCTTTCCCCGTGGAGCATTCTTCGGATTCCGCAACTTCCCAATCCAGAGCATCTGTTCATGCTCCCTCAGATAGCGCTCCGAGGAGAAACTCTCCAGCACATTCTTCCTCCCAATCATCCCCAGCGCCCGTCGCTGCTCAGTCTTCTCATACATCCTCTTCGTAATCCGCACAACATCTCGTGCGGAGGGACGATCCATACCGAGTTTCGGCAGCGGCTCGCTGAGATCACCGGATTCGTCGTCGGCGTATTCCGCCCATTCGCCTAGGAGCGCGAGGACTTCGATTTGTGCTTGGGCTAGAGCGTGGGAGTCGTTGGGTGCGACGACGGCGCTGAATTTCTTCCAGGTCACCGGGTCGGTGACGACGCGGAAGCTGGCGCCCACGTCTGTGCAGACGATTGGGACGCCGGTTAGGGCTGCTTCGCCCATGGCTAGGGGGAGGCCTTCCGAGACGGAGGAATTGAGGAAGAGCCAGGCGTTTTCTAGGACTTTGGAGGGCTTGCCTAGACCTCGCAGAGCGACATTGTCCCTCAACCCTTTCGACGCCAGAATCTCCTTGCACTCGGCGGAGTATGAGGGCGTCTTCTCTAGGTCGCCGTAGATGTCCAACTGATAGTCCTTGATGCCCCAGTCGTTGACGATGATGTCTGCGGCTAAGATGGCGTTTTTAATGTCCTTGATGAAGCGCACATGGGACAACATCACTACAGTCGGTCGATCCGTCTTGATCTTCTTGACGGGCTCGAACTGTTCCATGCCGGTGATACCATTCACGATGGGATCGATCTTGCGAGCAAAGAGGCGACGATGCTGTAAAGTACCGCCTTGAGTCCCGTGCTCCGTCTCCCAGTCCGGGTTGAAGAAGTCGGCGCATGGTAGGAGGATGTCGGCATGGTATAATGTCAATATCGACGTCATGCGGGACAGTGATAGTAACGAAGAGGACACGAAAGGTGCATCCCACGACATGGCGGAGGAGAGCGTGACCGTGACCTCACGCCAGCTTATACCATGGTCCCAGATGTGCAGGCTACTGCCCCGGAGCATTTTCCACAGGATGCCGTAGGAAGCGCCGGCGAAGTGGTGCGATGCTTGGAAGACATCTGGTACCTTCTCTGGAATCGGTACAGAAAAGATGAACAGATCTGCGTCTCCGTTAGTAAGATGAAGCGTAGCAAACTCGACGTAGACATGATGACTTACATCGATGCCATCTATCCAGAGCGCCATCGAGGTGGTCCAACGACGGTAGCTCCGCATCAAGCCACTTCGATACTGGGTAGGTATTCTCAATATCTTCCGCAAGCCATAGCTCTCGCCAACGCTTCTTGACGGTAGCACTCAGCCACACCTGTCCCCAATGCCGGGACTTCTCAAAGTATGCATTCAATCGTATGAGTGCTTCTGTCGCTTCAGTCACATGTCTTTGCTCAAAGTTGACGGCTCTTGCACACTTCACTAGGCTGTAGAGGATAGGCAGGAAGTTCTCTTCGATATCCTTGACGCTTGTGTGGTTCCAGCGCTGTTGCACGGCTGAGTCCAGAGAGTCCTCAAAGACACCATGTGATGGCGTGAGAAAGTCCAGGCCCCATAATGGCAGTATTGACAACGACTCAACATTGCGTTCGATCTGGAACTTCGGGGTGCCGAAATCGTTGGCAGCTTCCGCAATGACATGCCATCTGATACTATCGAGCCCGTTGACCATATCGCGGCGGCATGCGGAAACACCGCCTCCTTCGATCGGCCAAGTACCAGTGTCTATGGCGGTGACATGGAGTGTATTGTGTGTATCAACGAATTGCAGAGACGGGTTGCGGGCAGTGACTCGACTATCGCCACCCTGGCCAAAGCTATACAAGTCGCCAAACTTGTATGCGATGGACGACCTCGAGCTCACCTCAGGATCCATGTCTGTTTGAGCCAAGATGGCATCAGCATGCTGATCAAGGTACTTTCGAGCAGCTGTCAGTCTTCCACGGTCACGATGTCTCCAGTATGGCTTTAGTACGCTATCTGAGCGGAGAGACATGTAGTCGAGCCATCGGATCGTGGCAGCGTCGTACTGTCTGTTACCTGCCCAAGTCTTCCACAAATGGGACCTGGCGGAGGCAGTCGACACAGGGTAGCGCACAATATTGAGCCGCAGCGCACGAGTGAGTATATTGGTTTTCAGCGTGGTGAATTTCAGCAGCGGATCGTCGCTCGCGAAGGTAACATTGTGTGGTTTCTTCAGTATGTCAAACCAATCGAACTTGATCATATCAGGGGTGTCGACTTCTTCTCCGTTCAGCGTCGTGGAGATGATGGGATACCATTTCTGGTGGTAGCTCCATGTACTGCGATACACGCCTCGCTCGTTAATGAAAGTAGCCTCGGTGACCTTCGAATGTGGTATCCACTGATCCATCTTGTGCGCTTGCTCGGGTGGTGGGAAACACCAGGACACTCTCATACGAATATGGGCTAGGTTGAATTCGGCTCGCAGTAGCTCGTCCTCATATCGAGCATCTTTCCTGTAGAAGTACTTGAAGGCTATCAGGTTGTTGTCCTTGAAGTACGACCCAGACTTGGTGTAACCCTTCTCGTCGTATATCACGAGCTGCTGCTCGAGGTCACCCTGAACACAATGGCGTGTAAACGGCAATCGCTTGTGTCGGAGTGGGTCGTGAGTAGCATATTCATAAGTGAAAGTTCTTGCCAGGTTGCCAGAAGAGTACTGCTCCCGGGTCTTGAGGACAAGATGCGCACCGTAAATATTGATGGCTGCGAGACTTTTGAGATCATCGTGTGGTGGTTGCGTATCGTGATGCCCGGTATATTGAAACAGCTTCCACGAACCCGACTCGGCAGGCTTGATGAAGCATGTGGATATGCCGCTCCAACCCTCAATGATCACTTTGCGCTTTCCAACGACAGTCTTGATACCTTTCATGTCGCTATTGAGACGGTCCAGTGTTGGTCGACCGTGAAAAAGAAACCAGGGAATGACAGCGTGCTGTACTGCACCGCAGTACAACCACACGCTGCTGTAAATCAGTCGAGCGGAGCGCTTGACGATAGTGTTTTGTTTCGCTGTGACAAAGTCTAGCTCTCGCTGAAGCTCTGGATCCGCAACCAGAGAGATGACGAAAAGCTTAATAGCCATCCGAGTAATGTTTATGGCATGTTGGAGCTGTCGGAGCACCCCGGTGCCAACCTTGATCGCAGTAGAGGAGACTTGACGATCACGATCTGGCATACCGACTAGGACTTTTCGGCTTGGGTAGGTGTTCGGGGTAGTAATGTACTGCTGATCGACCGCCCTTCCGTACTCGGCTACAGCAGCCTGCAAACCGATGCTGAGCGACCATCTGAGGACGCACTGCACGGCATCCTGGGCGCTCGTCAGGTTGAACTTGGATCGTGTCCACTTGACTTGTGCCGCCGTCAGAGTATTTGAGCGCCCACAACATCGATGAACCAACCACGACCGAATATCCGGTGGAAGGTTCTGCCAATGTTGATCGCATTCAAGGCCGAAGAGCAGATCAGAGAGCAGATTTTGGTCTCGACGTTCGATTGCATTGGTGCGAACGTCAACGGAGAACTCAACAAGGCGCTTTACACCCTGCGCTAATGGAATACCTTCGTGAGTGTCATTGTGTGTCAACAAAAGCTCGACAAGCATAGAGTCGTGATGCGACATGCCGAACATTGCTTCAGCAGAAGCATGCACAAGAGCTTCCGCGACACTAACAGGATTAGCCAGAGGGTTCGTTGACAGACAAGGCGTGTACTCACATCTTGACCATCTGCCCATCATTCTGTTCCCAGCAGCCATCCACCCTGACTGAGCCCACGAAGACGAGGATATGAAGTTCGCTTCCACGATAGGAAGTCATGGATCTCGTATGCTGAGCGAGGTCCGACCTACTGTCAGACATCGTAGCGCCTGAAACGGCGTCCAGCAAGATCTCACCGCAATGCCATCGGGTCGCTATCTGGTGAAACAGTTGCTGGTAATCGGGGAAGGCATCGTTCATAAGTGACGTTCTTCTTGTTAAGCATGATTGGGTAAGCAAGCTAACGACCTCACTCCCTGGATACTCACTGGGCACGACCCTGTAGCGCTTGTCTTCTGGTAACGAGGAGTACATTTCGAACGCATTCGAGGCCATCTCGTGAGAATCGTCCTGTTCTGATGACGTGGCACTATGAACCAGCAACTTGTACGAAGGAGTGTTGACTGCCTTAATCGCCGTACGGTGGCTGGGCCAGCCAATCTTCGCCGTCCGGAAAGATAAGAGGTTTGCACACCAGGCGGTAGCCGCGAGTGCGATCACGCCGCCATATGGCCAGTCTCCGTTCCACACCTGTAACGCTATGCCTATCGAAAGACCAAGTGGGGCAGTGATCAGCAAATCCATCAGCACGTTAGAGCCGGCAAAGATCCTGTTGTATTGGTACCATAAGAGGCCGGTGTACGCGAAAGTGTATGCTAAGAACAAGACAGGTCCATTGCCGGAGGTCGCAAATACCCACATAAGGGTTGCAAAGATACAAACGCCCCAAACATGCAGGAAGAAGAACTTCACGAAGCTAGACCAGTAGAGTCGTCGTCGTGTCGACGCAGCATTGTTGACGGCATGGTGAAGATTGTCCAGAGAGCTGATCGGTTGATCTGTGCCGTGGTTCGCCGTTGACCAAAGTGGTAATGCAACAATGTCCAGGCAGATTGCAGCAGTCAGATAGTAAGCCAGGCTGAAACCTACTGCGAATCGATGTTGTGCGTTCTGCGCAATATCATAGCCAAGGAAACCACCAGACAGTGAGCCGCCACCTAATAATCGACCCCATTTGTCCATAAGAGCTATCACGAAATAGAATGCACCACACCAAGTCTCGTTGCCAGCGAAGCGCCAGTGGATAAATGCATTGTGCATTCTCAGACCTTTCTGGAGGTCTTGGAGGGTATCAACAGCCGTCTTGCACTGGAGATTCCAAGTAGGACTGAAAGTGTAGGGCATCTTGGTGCGTGAGTATTTCGTGTACCAGTCCATCAAGAATGAGGTGGCGTCGGAACCTTCTGCTAAGCGTTTCACGAGTGGACTGCTGGTGGACTTCCTCCACCATGGACGACATCGCTCTTTCCATACAGCTTCTGCCAGCGCCTTGCGTGGGGCCGGCGTGGTTGCGAGATCCGTAACATAGCTAGGAACTTCGTCCTTCGGCCCAGAGAGCTGTTTGTAAAAGTCCACAACCTCGCCATCAGTTGCAAAAGACATGTTGAAGTACCAGGTCGCCCACTTGCCCATCACATCGCGAGTACCAAGGACGAGACCAACGACCAGTATAGTGAGGACGCATGGATAGATGATGATATCGTGGCCGAGCCACAAGGTGAGGAGTGGCGGCACAAAGAGTATAGGCACCCACGCAACGATCACAGTCCTGCCTGATTGGAACGAGAATCCAGGTACCTGATAGAGCGCAAGAGTGGCCAGGAGCGTTAGATAAGATGTCAATATCACGTAATAGAAGAAGAATATCCAGGCCCCGTAGAAGCCATCGAGGATACCAATGATGATGAACGCCATACCGCCAATTCCAAGACAGACAGCTGCGCAGGCAACAAGTCTAGTGAGGACGTACAGGTTCATTGCTGGGTATGCCATGGCGAAGAAATAATAGCTACCGCCAGTTCCGATCCACGTTCCGAAGGCTCCGCAAGTGAGGAGGCTAAACATGAGGGCTGCCGTAGCCATGCTTGATTCCGTCTTACTCATGAATGTGCTTAGGTACAAGCCACGGCCAAGGGTGGAAAGCAGTAGGATGTCGATCAGAGCTGGTGCGGCAAAGATGCTAAGGAAACTGATTCGGTACCATACCGGCGGATCTAGTCGAGCGGCATCCGGGTCCTCATCGACTAATTTCGACGCGTATGAGGTCGGCTGTTCTGAGTCGTTTTCGTCAGGACGAGGAGGTGGGTGCGTAGCACAGTGCAAGCGGAATTTTTCGGACAATATCCGGCCAAGCACTTGAGGGCGGAGATCGAAATAGGTCTCACACTGAGCGCCAGTCGCAAACATCTCCGCGAAGGATGCCGCCTGATCAGAATGCTGACCGAGGAAGGGGTTGCGATCTAGGATCTCGACATAGACCTCCTCGAGTGCTAGCTTGCGGAAAGCCGAGAACATAGCAAGCGCCAGAAAATCCGCACTGGCGTCGATCTTTCCGGAAGACACTATCCCCTGTTGGAGGACGGTCTGGAGGCGGTCGAGAAAGTCCGATGAGGAGTCGATTTTCATTAGTATTTGTGGCAGGCGTTGCTCGATCTCCTGAAATACTGACAGGGCAGCACCATACTCGAGACATGCGCATCCTTGGTCGACGTACCAAGCCAGGCGTGATCTCACGACGTCTGCAGGTTGATACTGGCCGCGAAGATAGAGTTCTGCATTCTGCGCTCGTAGTTGAATCAATGTTGGGAGAGTCAATAGCTGGTGCTCGCAGTACGCGCTGATCTTGCATGACAAGGTTATCGGATAGTTGCAGAGTTCGCTTTGGCTGGTCAAGCCAGAGTTGGAGAGTCGGTCGTCGATAAGCTTGTCGCTGGTAGATTCGTGGGCTGCTTGAGTTGCAAGCCGTCGAAGAAGCAGCATGGCCTCGCTGGGGGACAGCTGATCAAGATTGTTCAGAAGTCCCATTGGAAGCCCAAATGATGTGTTGAGGCTATTGTTCGCGCTGGCCAAATCGACCTCTGCCGTAAAGCACACACTTCGTGAAATTCCACGGCTGGACAAGAAGGCATGAAGCAATGTGCTCAATCGATCTTTTGCGTTGCGTGACACAAAGACGTCCATAGATTCAGTGACAATGTCCCTTGAATAGACTGCCCAGAATTGTCGATTGAGACCTTTACAGAACCCAGAGTGCAAGCCCTCATATATGCGCAATGAACTGTTCTCGTCCGTCGTAGCGCTGCTTACTAGCTCCAACAGCTCAGCTAATGGCTCAGAGTACACAGACAACGAGCCGGTGGATGTGTGGATGTCGACCAGTCTCTCCAGACGGCCACGCATGCTCTCGATATCAGCCAACTTGAAGCGACTCAACAGACCGAGCTCTTTGAGGTGAACTTGACTATCAACAATGTCGTCAAAGTCTTGCTGTGAACAATCTTGTCCTAGTTGAAAGCAGCCATAGGACTCAAATGGCACTCCTTGTTCGGAAGCGTCCAGGGGATGGAAGTTGCCTTCACAGGGTAAAGGCATTGGCTGCAACGAGCTCACGATGTCCGAGTCGCGATCTTGTCTTCCACTGGCAGGCGACAAAAGTGTAAGCCGGGAGCGTAAATTGGGAATGTCGGTTTCCAAGCAATCGTAGATCGCTGAATCTGTGCAGGGCAGTATGTTTATCCGTTCGTTGGCTCGCCAAGAGCCTTGTAGAGCGATCCTCTCGTGACCTTGTAACCACATTAGCGCTCCGATAGGCTCCTCCGAAATAGTAACAGCGGAGACCTCCTCGGAATGGAGAAGCGCACTCTGTCGGCCAATCCATATTGGAATGGTATTGAACCTACACCAGGAAAAGCTGCGCTTGATCACGGCGTGTATTAGCGGCGCCTCGTCGTCAAGAGTATCCCAAGCAAGCAAAATATGGCCTCCTAGTGATGTGTGCTTCGCTAGAGCTCGCTGCACGCGCTGGAGGCCGACCATCTGGTAGTAGTCACATCGTTCGCCATCGACACGCACTGTAGCATTGCGGCAGATGATGCCTCGTAATGGCGCGACATCGATGCTAGAGCACTGTTCGGCCGTGAGATAGTCTGGTGGAGATACTTCAAGGTAAACGTCGACATTGAGGCCGACCAGCAATTTTACCAGCTCGTTGATGATCGCCGGCTGAATAATGTGATGGTAATTAGCCAACAGGACGCCAGTAAATGGAGTTGCCGACTCGGCGTGACATCTGAGATATGCATCCACTGTCTGGAAAAGAGTATCGAGTGCTTTGGCAGGCTCCGTCAACTCAAGCTTTGGGAAGGATATCGCAGCGTCGAGCCGTGCGATGATTTGCTTTCCAGGGCCAAGCGGAGATGCTGACGCGACAGCCTCCAGAACGCCTTCGCGTCGTGGATCGAGGACTGTGAGATCCCATTGCGTGAACAGCTGAGCTTCCCTCCTTGTCGGTGGAACATTGATGCTTCCCAGGAAGATGCCAAAGGACGAAGGCTCGATGGGTTGGCTCACGAGCTGCGTGGCGCGGAGTGGTCGTAGATTGCGGAACTTTTCCGTCGCGAACGTTGGTGGGCGTCGCTGTCGAAGCCTTTCCATCGTCCACTTCGAAGCCGTGAAGATGGCATATCCAGATCCGAGTAAGAAGCCAACACATGCCACTACTGCGAGAACCTGTCTCTGGTCAGCAAAGCACCTGTCCGTGACCGCGCCATGTCTCAGGACCTACCAGCCCGGGCCAAGGGCGCTGCATCAACTTCCATCCCACCGGCACGTCTCCTCGCACAATGGTTGCGTTCATGCTGAGGAGTCCAAGAAAAAAAGAGAGGAAGATGGCGCGCAGCGCTCAAGTTAGAGCGTAACTCATGAACATCGACATGAAGAGCATGACAGAGGCAGGTTCCTCGTCTTACCGCAGGTATTACGTTTACGTCCATGACCTTTGCCACTAGCCAACTACTACTGCTGAGCCTTGCTTGCGTTAACGTTGGCAAGCTTGGTCCAATATAGTCTGCCGAAGTCTTCGATAGATTATTGGCGCCTCGGCGAGAAAGCGTGCAAGCACTTCACCTGGGCCCGCCTAAATGGATGTTGGAGGACGCGCAGGGGTCGCCCAAAGCTGCGCTTGCGCACTGATCATCCATTTATTCCGAGCACTTGCAGCACACTTATCGGGATGATGGCAATAGTTCCCTGTCACGCAATCACCTATGGCAACAACCTCGATGACATGCAGTATCACTGCGTGAATCCCATCTCGCCCATCCCGAGCTCTCGCCATCGAATCATGGAGGCACCCAGTACAGCATTGCACGAACAGGAAACACGTAAGACTCGACGAAGACGCATACTGGTTGCGATCGCAGCCTTCCTTGTGGTTGCCATAGTCGTCATCGTAGTAGCTGTGATCTTCTCCAACAAACGACAACATGGTCTAGAATCAACGATCCTGGTCCCTTTGTACATCTATCCAGACAACGGCTCTTGGAATAGCCTTTACAAAGCGTCAGTGTCTCTGTAGATCTGCTAGAATTGACGTGCTGACCATCAGCATAGCATCGGTTCAAGACCGAATCTCAACTTCACCGCGATCATCAACCCATCGAGTGGCCCAGGAAATGCATCAACTCCCGGGGCCGACTACGTGGCTGCGATTCAGAAGCTGAACAGCTTCTCGAATGTACAGTCAGTGGGTTATGTGCCCACTTCTCTCGCCACTCGCCCTGTCGATGAGGTCCTCGCCGACATATCCGTCTATGCTGGATGGTGCCATACAACAAACCTGAGCATGCACGGTATCTTCTTCGATGAGATGCCTGTGAACTACTCAGCGGCTACTGCCGACTATGTTGGGCAGATCGATGTCGCAGTGAAGATTTCGGAAGGCATTTCCAGCCCAAGACTCGTATGTGCAGCTTTCAGAAACACGTTTGAGGGTGTATCGTACGCTGGCAACTGACAGCTGATGCAGGTTGTGCACAACCCAGGCGCTGTGCCAGATCCTCGCTTAGTGCTGGAGACGACGGATGTGACAATCAGCTTTGAAGGAGACTACAACACCTTCGTCCAGCAACAAGCTACACTGTCGAGTCTGCCGCAGCCTAGATCTCGCTACGGCGTCGTCGTACATTCGACGCCACTCTCCGCCAAGCTGGACAAGTTGGTGGACGAGATGAGCCACGTTGCTCAGTCGCTCTTTCTGACTGACTTGGATGAGAATGCATATGCAGACTTCGGCTCGACTTGGATCAGCTTTGTGCGCGCAGTACGAGCGTGAAAGAGTGATTGGCCTAGACTTCGCATTATGGATGAGCTGGTCAGGCCAGCGAAATTGTCTCTGGCACTGCGCTGACTGGCCGGAGATGCATGTAAAAGCTGCAATGTCAGCCCGTGCCAAGTATTGCCAGATGATTTTGCAATTTGATCTGCTCGTGTTCCAGGATCAAGCATCAAGCTTGATCCCAGGCCAGCGCCGGAGCTCCGTTTCTGGCAATGAGGCGGAAGAGGCAATCACGTGGCTGGGCCACGTTTTCGTCGTCTGCATTAGAGTGGATAGCATCGTGCTTGGCAGCCCCCGCATATTGAGTACCCGCTGCTTTGTTTCGGGAAAGTTTAGATAGAGGAAATATATTAGGGCATGAAACAGGGCAGAAATTCTCCGCATGTGCTGATTCTTCAGCCGCTGAAGACGTATAGTAGCCGGCAAGCAATATATGCCCGTGAGACCTGGTAAGATTCTTGTTCGCTCTCGACCATTTCCTTATTCTGGCCCAACTGACGCTATGCACGCACCCTTGAAGTCGAAGCCGAGATTGGGCATAATCCTACCACTGTACATTTACCCGTTGTCCTCGGAAAGCTGGAAGCCACTGTACGACGCGTATGTTCTGAGTCGAGGGACGTTACGCACAGAAGCGTCAGCTGAGTTTGTTCCACAGTGTCACCGCCCACAAGGATCTCCAGTTCCTTGTCATTGTCAATCCGAATAGCGGACCAGGCACAACACCCTTGCCAGACGAGAACTACCTCCGAGAGTTGGCCGTCCTCAACGCACATCCAAACATCATCACTCTTGGCTACGTCTCCTCCAGCTATTGTCGTCGCTCACTGCAAGCCGTCTGTAGTGAGATCGAGGTGTATGCAAGCTGGACTAGCTACCAAGAAGGGAAAATTCAGGTGCAGGGCATTTTCCTAGACGAATGTCCAGATTGGTGGCAGAAAGACGCCAACAGTACCTACCTGCATGCAGTTCAAAGCTGTACGGAGGCGGCCTTTGCGAACGCATCAGTGGTGTGTTCTCCCCCGATTCACAGCAGGATTGACCGCTTAGAGTTGGCGAGTCTGTTCGAAGTTCGAATTCGGCCAGGGCTCAAGTACTGACATGTCCTCATGGTCAGATCATCCATAATCCAGGAGCCAGGCCGGCGCCACTTCCGCAGCGTGTGCGAACCACGGCCACGATCATTCGCGAAGACTCAGCAGCTCGCTTCGCCACCACAGACATTGCTTGGACCAAAGCATCGACTCCCAGCGATCGAGCTGAATACGCCATCATACTGTATGACGTGCCTCGTGAACAGATGATGCACCTGGTGAAGAGTCTGCGAGATCAAGTCGGATGGCTCTACCTGACGGCAAGCGCCGGCTATACGGCGCTAGACTCGCTAGCCGAATTCTGTGACTTAGTGAATGCTTAGCATGAATTTCTATCTGCACTACCATTTTCCGTCCGCACATGAAACGTGCTGCATCTCTGCCCTTTTGACAGAAGCTATTTCTGACTGCATGAGTTGAACCACCCTGTTACCATACTGCTCACGTATTGGAAGCTGAATTACCTGTGCCCATGCTTTTATGCTGCGACCGCGCCGAAGCTCACGTCAACCAATCAATATGCAACACGTCCGAAACCGCTTCAGCTAAGCTGACTCTTGGGACATCTGCAAACAATGCCAAGTATCACGAGCGCAGTCGGCGAGCGAGTGCTGTGTCCGCCACCCAAGCTCTGTTGAAGCTCGTGCGGTTACCGCTACGCAATAGCCTACATCGCCTGTCCTGCGACCCACATGCTTGACGGGAATGCACTGTGACGATGCCGCCTCCAGGCAAGAAACCACCTGCGCTACGGTTGAGCCTGTGCCGGTACCAAGATTGTATGCGCGGAAGGCGTGATGGTCGGGTCGGGACATCGCGGTGCCAAGCGCCGCAAGGTGGCCCCGAGCAAGGTCAACCTGGAGCATGTCAGTATCATGACTCGTGATATACCATGGGGTAATATCAAGGGTGCGGGGTCTCTTACAACGTGGATAAAATCCCTTGTAGCAGTCCCATCCCCACTGGACCAGTCCGTGCCGAAGACACTCAACACTTCTCGCTTGCCAGTAAGTACCTGTGCTATAACAGGGAAGAGGTTCGTCGGTGTTTGTCGTGGGCTCTCACCAAGCATACCACTAGGCTCACACCCGACAGGATTGAAATAGCGAAGGGCAGTCATGCGCCAGGCTGGGTTGGCATGAGCCACGTCGGCAAGTATGGCTTCGCAAAAGTACTTTGTGCGGCCGTAGGGAGAGGTCAGCCCGGTAATGCCCGGGACTAAGTGTGTCGTTTCATCACTGCCACCTTCAACCTTCGTCTCGTGGTGGACCAAGTGCTCTTCGTGCAGAGGAGCGCCTCGATTCATGGTTGAGCCGTAGACAGTCGCGGACGACGAGAAGACGAAGCTAAAGATGCCGAAAACTTCGAGGAGGCCCAGAAAATCGATGAGACCAGCTACATTGTTGAGATAGTAATCCAGCGGCCGAATAGTGCTCTCTTCAACTGATTTGTAGGCGGCGAAATGGATCACACCTCTGATCGAGCTCAGCTGATTGCTGTCGTTCTCGAGGACGTACCTTCCGAGAACAGCTCTCATGGAGGCGCTGCGGTAGTCGATCTTGTACAGGACGATGATGGGACTTCGACGTCCTTGAGCTGCCCAGTGCTTCGTAGCCAATGCCCGGATGCTGACGAGAGTGGACTCGAACGAGTTGCTAAGACTGTCGACGACGATGACATTATGGCCATCATTCAGCAATTCCAGGCAAGTATGAGATCCAATGTAGCCTAGGCCCCCGACAACCAAGATATAGCCATCGTTGTGCACGGCATCCTCAAGTGCGAATAGATTGGTCTCTGAAAGGCTTTCGAGGGAGGACTGGCTGGATGAAGTTGGTAGGTCTGGTGAAGAGCAATCGGATGGGACCAACGAGGGACTCGAGCCGGTGCTCATCTGCTCGTCTTGAAACGACATTTTGGAGTCCCAAAGTGAAGGAGTAGACGCTGATGAAAACCTGAAGAGTGGGCAACGCTTCACAGTATTCTACGGGAAGAATATGGACTGAGACCACTCATATTGGCATGGTTGCTGCATCCCTTCCTTCAAAACGCTGACACGGCTCGGCGCCTGCAGAGAATATTTTCAGTTCTCGTTGAGCAATTCAAGCCATCGGAGCCATGCGTCCGATTGCATATTGGAACTTCCGTCAGACGACTGCAACTTTCTATGCAAGGGCTGAGAGCATAGAGTAATGTCTTCGCGTGTACGATGAGTGATTGCAGCGAATGAGCCTGTACACGATGCTCCTAGCATACTGTAAGCCAATACACTACCGTCTGAGCTATATGGGTGATGGCAATGGCAAAATCGGAGAAGCCTTGAATTGTAAGCGCACGTCCCGAAAGGTGATCTTGCGTGATGTTCCCCTTGAACTTTCGCCATCTCTCCCCGTTGTTCCAGACTTCACGGTAGGTCGTGATCAGTCTTCATTCCGAAAGTGTCCGCGGGATGAGGCACCGACGGGATGCACAACAACGGTTTGGTCTTGGCCATGACCGTGCCGTCTCAATCTGCAGCCGGCACGAAGGCCAGCTGAATGTCGTTATATTGACGGTCCACGCTTCTTCGCGTAGACTGGTACCACGTTCGCGCTCTCGTCGGGATCGTTGGTGGACCATTTGGCGTACGTGCGCAGTGGAGGATGCTAGCCTAAACGCCCAGTCAGACGTCTATAGTGTGATGTAGCGGGCTTTGCCGGATGTAAATGGTATACTCCTTCCGAATGAACACTCTTGGCATCCAGGCATCCCGCCCCGCTCAGCTGAAAGTACCCGCATACGCCCCTGCGTAGGTGGGTCAACATGCAAGTGAGACGAGAATATTGAGCCTCATACGGCCTGCGCAGCGTTACGCTATTGTTTCTTCCCGGGACCAGGACACGCATTCATCTATCGAGGCTACGGCAAGCACCTGAAGGTGAGCTTTATCCTGCATCTCCACGACCACGACTCACCACAACACACTCAAGATGAGATTCTTCGACATTCTACTGGTCTCAACACTGACGGCAACGGCCGTGGCACACAAACATGGTGCAGACAACCACACCGAGGTGCTCCCGGTCCTCAAGAAGCCTTGCGTCTGCCCTCCGCCAAGTTGTCCCGTCTTCCTCAACGCAAAGAGCGTGAGTTGGCCAGATCTCAATGGTGTCGAACGAGTGAATGACGCCTTCGCTTAGTTGTGCGAATGCAAACAGGCGGCTGCATGGGCTTGCTACACAGCAGCAAATGGAGGCTGCCCAAAACCAAGGAACTCCGTATGCTCTCCCGCATGTCCCACCGATTCGCATTCGGCTGACTTCAGAAATAGCATGGCCTCTGCTGAAGAGCCCGACAAACTGATCCTGGCTTCCAGTCGCGAATGGTGGAACATCTTTCATAGGCTGAATATTCCTGTAGAGAGTTGATGAGTTGCGGTAATCAAAAATCCATGTTATGACATTGCAAAATTCGTACTTGCCAAGATTTCTTCTCCGCGCCCCACATCTCGCGCTCGGGGTGCCTGCATCCATCCTTGCATCAAGGTAATAAGGCGTCCCGACGGGTCAGGTACCGAAGTCTGGATCTTCTGCAAGTACCTGGCCTACTATATTGTCATGCCACTAGTACGTGCATTCCGCTACGCCGCTTGCAGAGCATTGCGAACGTGGTCCCGGTCTTCCTTGCCTTGTCTGCCAGCACCAACTCCAAGCGGATCACGCAACGATATTGGCTGACGTGCGGCGCCATGAAAAGACGAAACAATAGTCTTGAGGCTGAGAGGAAGGCATATTGGATGCAGCGATATTGCTGCATGGGTACGAGCTCGTTGAGTCTGGTGCTACCATAGTCCTGTGCTGCTCCTCGTGGCCTCGCATTATCTAGCACCTCATTGCTGCACAGTCGTTCCCGTCCTGCCTGTCTCCTACTATCGACGACATGAAGCTCATGTCGAGGCTCTTTGGCAGCATCGCCTTGTCGGCCTGTCTGGCTACTGCACAATACACCGTCGATCAAACTGTTCTCATTCTCGCTCGTTCGACCACAGAAGCATCCTCGGCATATTCTGGACTTGCTGGCTATGGCATTCCTTACCAGATTGTGGTCGTGCCCCAGAGCGGCATCAACATCCCGACCTTGAACTCATCCGCCACACATGGATTGTACAGCGGTCTTATCATCCTCAGTGAGGTTTCCTACAGTTATTCGGCCACGAACTGGTCAAGTGCCATCAGCCCTGCCCAGTACAACCAACTCTATGCCTATCAGACCGCCTTTGGTGTGCGTATGGTAAAGTTGGACTGGTATGTAGGGTCGATCATCAAGTTCCTATATGTCTACTAACGGGTTTCGACAGCTACCCTAGTCCTCAGTATGGCGCTACTACAGCCATTGCAGGTGCAGGATGCTGCGGAACTGCTGTCGAGCAGCTAGTCAGCATATCGAACTCGACCGGCTTCCCCACTGCTAACTTGGTCAACGGAGCTGGCATGACCACTCAGAGCTTATACCACTATCCAGCGACTATCACTGATTCCACAACGACATGGGAGATTGCTCAATTCGCGCCAGACTCGGCCGGTACTTACCTTGGTACAACGACCGCGGGCGTCATCAACAACTTCGGGGGCCGAGAACAGATGGTGTTCTTCACCAGCTGGGCGACTGATTGGGCGGCAACTTCGAACTTTCTCCAGCATGCATATATTCACTGGATGACCAGGGGCTTCTTTGTTGGATCGAGGAAGCTCTACTTCAATACTCAAATCGACGACGTCCATCTGTCGACCGCGACGTATAACCCAGGAAACTACACTTTCCGCCTCGGGTAAGCAATATAGTCCAGCAAGTCTTTGCTATTACTGATACAGTATGACAGTGGAAACGATCTAGCCATCCACGTCACATGGATGAAGAGCATCAACTCAAGACTTCCTGCAGGGTCCAGCTACAAGATCGAGCTCGGTCACAATGGCGCCGGTGACATCGAAAACGCGACCAACATCGAATACAACGCTGCCACGGATGTCTGCAACCCTGTTGACTCGGTCTATCCTGATGATCAACCTGACACAGGGTTAGAGTTCCAGAAGCCACTGGGAACAGGCCAGACCTTCTGGCCCAGCACGCCTACTAACTACACCTGGAGCCTTACCTGCGCCAAGGTTGACCAGCTTGTATGTGATCTGATTGGACATGGTCGTACCCTGGCTAATCGTTATGGCATAGCTAACCTGGCTCAACAACCCAACCAACAGAGATGCTTTCAGCCACATCTCCCATACCTTCACCCATCTGAATCTCGACAACTCCACCTATAGTGATTCCTACAAAGAGATCCAATTTAACCAGGCCTGGCTAAAGCAAGTTGGCATCACAGCCGGATCGTTTTCCGCCAAGGGCCTGATTCCACCGGCCATTACCGGCATGCACAACGGTGATGCCATTCGTGCTTTCATCGATCTGGGAATCTCCAATGTCGTTGGCGATAACAGCCGTTCGGCGCTGCTGAACACGCAAAACCCATTCTGGCCACTTACTTCCACGGTCGCTGCCAACGGATATGCCGGTCTTAATATCGTCAGCTCGGAATTCCTGTTTCTCCCTCCCCAGGCATTGGCTGACATTGTTCATTAGGTGCCTCGCTGGCCGACAGCCATCTTTTACAACTGCGATAACCCGACCTGCGACTTGCTAGAATGGATCGACACTTCCGGTGGTGCTGGTAAGGCCGAAGCCTTGAGCGGACTACATTAGACATCTTCAACTGACTAGCACACCGCAGGCACCTTCACCGACCTCCTCACCCACGAGAGATCAGTCTCCTCTCGCTACCTCCTCGCCCTGCGCCAAGACCCCTTCATGTTCCACCAAGCCAACCTCCGCGCTTCCGATCGTCCCGCCACAACTATCGGCACACAATCCGTGAACTCACTCCTCCAGATGTGGGTCGAGACCGTAACACAGGAAATGACCCGCTTGACCAAATGGCCTCTGGTAACGAAGAAGCATGACGATATCGCCGCCCTCTTCATACAACGCCAGGTTCGCGATAGCTGCTCGCCGATGCTGACGTATCAGTACGGTAGCAATGGGACGAAGATCATTGGTGCTACTGTCAGTGCGACGGGCAATTCGTGTTCGGCACCGATTGGTATTACACTACCGGGTTCTGGTTCGGCGACAGGGACCGTAACGAAGGACCAGCTCGGCTCGGAGCCGTTGATCTTTTGGGCGACTTTGAGCGGAAGCCCGGTGACTGTCACTCTTGCTACACCCATGTCTGTACTCTGACGTTTGACATTGCCCATAGCGACAGGAAAGATTCTTGGCGTTGATTGTAGTTGTATTTACATCGTCCAAAACATTGGCGGTACTCAAATTAATTCATACTCACACTTCGCACCTAATCTCCCGTCACAAGAGCCTCCCAATCCACCTTGCTCCTCCAATCTATGATGACATGTTAAATCAACGTCCAGCAGCCTTCAGGTCTTACAGCTCACTTGAACCCAAGTCCTCCAACTCGGCCATGCACCTTAAGCTCGTCGTCTACACGACCCTCTTCCCGTGCCAGTGATGATGCTTCGCAGCACTCTCAAGTCTCCCGAGCTCTAGCAACACGCCTCCATCGTTCGCAACCCAGACACGTAACTCGTGGTCAAGCTACCCATCCCAAGCCGGACACAATCCATGCCTCGAAGCCTCTCTTGTACGCCTCTGCACCTCTCGCCCAAGCCCCAAGCTCGAAATGCCTTCGATCCCGCCAGTCGGTAGCGCATTATGCTCGCCACTTGCGACGCTCGACATGATACCGCCGTTCCCATCTCAAGCAGAGGAGCATAAGCTCGAGGCCATACAGTACTTTCGTCCCTCCCTGGCTAGAAGAGCAGAAGGAAGCACCATAACTACGTGACGCTAGACGACGCTTGCTCTCCCATGGCAGCAAGATCATGCTCTTATGTCAAAATAATCTAATGCATGGCATTGCTCAAAGGCAGGAGAATGTGACGACTATGACTTGATGAGCGACCATACACAACCCCTTATCATACGGTATGTACAATAAACACTCGTGTCTGCATATCGTCCATGGCTGCACGACCGACTAGGCGCTCGGCGATACTGACATTTCGGTCGTCGCTGAGCCATGATCTTCGTGCCAAGCAGCCGAGGAAACACAAACGGCGCCCACTCGTTGCAGCTCCCGTATAACTGCCGTACCGTCCCATCCGTACAGATCGGTATAGGGTTCATAGTTTGCTGCACACACATCACTTCTCCGCCTGCCCCACCTCAGCCACCCCACCATCACCAGCAATGGCTCCAGCGTCCACGTCCTCCACCCCTACCTTCTCACCACCAACTCCACCCTCCTTCCCCCTCCCCAAATCCATCCCACAAGCCTTAACCCCCATACTACCAACAAACAAAAAATACCCCTCCTTAAAATTATCCACATGATTAAAAAACCGCCCAAACTCATTCCTCTCCTCCTCCTCGCGGAAGATCCTCTGATAAATCTCCCTCGCCTTGAAAGCCTCCAATTCCGTCTCGAATTTACTGAACATCAGCGCTTCGCGGCCATGCTTCGGAGCATGCAGAGTGTTATAACTATCAAACACCGGCCGCTCCAACAGTAAACCCAGCCCCGGAACCTTGGGGATAGAGAATTTCTCCGCCCCCATCGCCTCGGTCAAAGTATCGAGATTCGAGCCGCAGCGGACGAGCAAAGCAACCATCCCGACCATCTTCCGAATCTGGTGCATCATGAAACTCTGTCCATGGACTTTTAAACTCAACCATTCCGACTTCTCCTCGTCCGCGCCCTCGCCGATCAAAATCGGGGTGGGATTCACTTTGAAACTCTTGATATGACGTTTCGCGCTCGGATCTCGATAGCTTTTCTGGATGGTGAAGTTGTGGAAATTGTTCGTTCCGACGTAGCGGTCTAGGGCCTCTTGGATGCGGACGACACGGGTCGAGGGGATGCGGTAGCGGCGTTTGGCTCGGAGGTAGGCGGCGCGGAGGCTTTTGGTTGCTGCTTTGAGGCGGAGCAGGCGGTCTTGGTCTTTGCTTGTTGCGGGTGGGTGAGTAGTGGATGTGTCCGTGGCGGGTATGATGTCGGGGAGGGAGATGGCGGAGTCGACCATGCTGTTGACTACAGATGCGGTGTCTTCCGATGGTGCGGTGGCGGTGACGCTTTCCGTTTCCTCGGCGACCTTCCTCTCGGCTCCTGCCGCTGCAGGCTCATTGATAACAATAGCAGCCTCGACCGTCTGCTCCTCATCCTCACTCATAGCCCCACCCTCATCCTCCTCCTGCCCCTTGTTCTTCCTCCCACCAACACTCTTGCCAAACTTAACCAACACATCAACATCCGCATCAGCCCTCGCTGCCTTCGCTCCAGCCTCTTCCTCCCCCTGCAAAGCAGCCACAACATCCCACCTCAAATCCTCGTCAATCTCCGCCAACACCGCCTGGATCTCCCCCTCATCGATCCTCTCCCAAAACCCCTTGACCTCCTCCTGCCTCCCCTCATACCCCTCCCGATCCCCAGCCAAATCAGCCAACTCCTCCAACTTCTTCGCCAACCACGAACTCGGATGCGGTGGCAAAAAAGCATGAGTAGGGATAAGGTACTCATACCACCTACTATCACAGGCCTGATAGCACGAAAACGAACCAATCGTCCTCTCGATGCCCCAGACTCGGATCTGAGGCGTAAGCTCGGCGTTAATCTTCTCCACGATATCCTCGTCCTCCACTATCAGCTTCAGACTGATCATATTCCCCGCCGCATGGACCCCCTTGTCCGTCCTCGCACACCGCACCAATCCCGCTTTCTTGGGATCGTCCGCATTCGCTTTACTGATCGCACCGGCCTTGATGAAAGCCTGGAATAAATCGCCCTCGATCGTCTTTTCTGTAGGTGTGATCTGCATGCCCTTATAGCCCGTCCCGGCATACCCAATCAACACGGCGACTTTCCTCTTCGGCTTCCTCTCTTCGGCTTCGATTTCTTCTTTGCTATATTGCACTCCATATCTGCCTGCGTCCTGTCCTTCCCGCTTCTCACGTGACTCGCCGCTTTTGGTGCGCTTGTCTGGTCCATCGCGACTGTTCGTTAGCCATGTCAGTGACGATTTCGATCAATCAATATTTCATTAATGGGTAAGGTATAAACTTACAAGTATTCTCCACGTCCCATATCTCCCTTCTTATGGCGCTTACCGTCATTACGCCCGCCTCGAGATCCGTATTGCTGTCCGTTGGCCTTTCGTTTTTGGGAGCGCTTGTCGTTGTGTTGGCTGCGTTCGTCGTTGTAGTCCACCTTTTCGTTGTTGTCGTCTGGCTTGGTGGCAGCGTCGACCACCTTGCCGGCGTCTTCCAGGTTTGCTTGAGAGTGCTCCATGTTGGCACTACTGCGCGCATTGAAGGCCTCGAGCTGGATTGCTTCGAAGAATTTGATGAAGCTTCACCCAAATGCTTTCTTCATGCAGCTTGACGTGGGAGCGACTTTGAGTCATGCTCGATTGTGGGGGCGGCTAGAACCGGGGCTAGCATTTCAGCCTCGTGTTCGATCACAAGCAGCAGGCTTCAGTCACTCTTTCTTTCTTTCTTCCTCCTCTCAGTCAGCAGCAGCACTTGACTGTGTCTGCCCGGCCATCACACTCACTTGACACCACCTCTCACCAGACGGGGAGTTCCTGTACGGACATCTTGACATAGACTGGATTCGGCTGCGATCTTCGAGCTATCTGACATTGCTGTAACAAACGACATCATCATGGCCAACCTTGCAACAGACCTCCTTCGCACCGTGACTCGCGCCTTCTACCCAACCGATCACACCCTCGTCATCGAAGCCCTCATCATCCACTCCACCCTCCCGGACAACGACCTGGCACACGTCCTGGGCATGCAAGCAAAAGCAGTGCGGAAGCTCTGCGGCCGCCTGAAAGAAGACGGTCTCCTCTCAGTCCAGACACGCCAGGAGAAGCGCACCGACGGCACCGGCTCCTTCTACCCCAGCTCCCAGCCCGGCATGCAAGGGAAGGAGAGGCTGACGAATAAAGAATGGTATTACTTGAACTACCACCGAGCCATCGACAGTATCAAGTACCGGATGCACAAGCTCAACAAGCACTTCTCAAGTCTCGGACTTCCGGCCACTGAGAAGAAAGATCTGAGTTGTCCGCAGTGCAAATCGCAGTGGACGGAACTGGAAGTAGTAGACCGTGTCGACTTCTCCACCGGCCAATTCCTCTGCGCCCGCTGCGGCCACCCCCTCGACCCCGTCGAAGAAGACGAACGCGCCAACGAAAACGAAAGCGTCAAACGCCTAAACTCGCAACTCGAAAAAGTCCTCCGCCTCATGCAACAAATCGACTCGACCTCCGTCCCCGAAAACGACTTCGACGCCGCCCTCGCTCGCCAAAAACCCGTCGTCCGCACTGACGTCAACCCCGCCCAACGGATCGAGACTGTAGATCTGCCGAACAAAAATCTCCTCAGCTCAAAGGGCCTGGCGATCAAGCCGGAGAAAATCGCCGTTTCCCTGCACAACGACGAAGATGTCAAGAAAGCCAGTGCTGAAGCCGAGGCGCGGGAACGGCGGGAGAAGGAAGCAAGGCAGAATGCTTTACCGGAATGGATTGCCAAGTCGACGGTGGGACCTGGTGGGCTGACGACGGTGGGTGCGAAGGAGGAGAGGGAGAGGAGGGAGAGGGAGGTGAATGGGGGTGCGGCGGTGAAAGCGGAGGAGGAGGGGGAGAGGAAGGCGGGAAGGAGCGGCGATGTGGATTTAGACGCTTACTATGCTGAGTTGGCCGAGGCGCAGAAGGCGGAAGCTGCTCAGCGGGCGGCGGAGGAGGAGGAAGATGAAGAGGAGGATGAGGATGATTTTGAAGATGTTGATGTGGGTGCTAGTGGGATGATCGGCTCCGCTGCGCCTGCAAACGGCACTGTGGTTCCGGCTGCGGGTGTTCCGCCTGCTAGTACGGGTGTGAGCACGCCTGCTATCGAAAGCAGCAACGCGACAGATGACGAGCGAGACGCGAAAAGGCAGAGGACGGAGAAGTCGCCTCCAGCTGCTGCTCTGCTTCCGAACGGGACAGCCAAGACTGTGGCAGCCGGAAATGTGCTTTCGCAGGAGAATGCGCCTGAAGGCACACCAGCGGCTTCTGATGAAGACGAGGACGACGGTCTGGAGTTCGAGAATGTTTGAGTAAAGAAATTTGCCGTGATGGGATCAGGCGGAATCGTCGGTTTGGTTTTCCCGTGATCTTTAGCGAGGTGTTTCCGGCGTCTTTCTATCACGTGGGCTGGTCACGAAAGAGTTTGACTATACAGCCTATGCTATTCCTTATCGTTATGATCAAAATCACAGTATCATATACCAGTCTTACAAGATACTCCACCACCCAAACTACCAAGCCCAAGCCCATCTCTTCCCAGTCATCCTCACGAGCAGTCCGTATAATCCGCCAATCCCGCATCCGGCACCGCAGCGATGGGAAGACACAACGCGACGTCCTCGCCCTCCAGATCCGTGAAGACGCGGCTGTACTCGCGCTAGCCAACAGCAATCAGTCAAGGTCAGCAAGAAAACCAAAAAAGTGCAGAGAAGTGAGAGCGATCGAGATCAGATCCTCTAAACTCACATTCGTCACGTTGATAAACTCATTATAAATCCCCTCCTCCATCATCTTCACCCTCACGAATCCGCTCACGCCACCTAGTAAAGCAACGACGGTAGTGACCTTACTATCCCAGCTCACGAAACTGGAAACGGCCGTGCCGTCGAGGCGTTCGGACTCGGTGCTGCCGTAGGGGTTCTGCATTTTCCTGGCTCGAACCATGTTCCTGCCCGGCAAGTCTCTTGGTCAGTAAAGCAAAAGGTGGGAGGGAGGGAGAGAGGGAGGGAGGGAGGGGAAAAGTAAAGAACAAGACGAACCACCACCACACCATTCCCACCCTCCTCCCCCACCCTCCCTCCACCAACAGCGTAGGAAAAACACTATAAGGCGTCACAACATCCAACTCCTGCAGCGTCTGGTTCGCCACACTCGGAACCCCCGCATTAGAAATATATCCAATAATCTGGCCCGTCGCATCGGTAACATTATTCACACTAGCATACATCCCGGGAATCCCCAGACTAGCCGAATTACACGTCCTCACCCTCTCCGCGTTGGTGAAAACCCTCCGGACGATATCGACGTCATAGTACGGCATCTCGAGTACCTTCCATTGTTCGTGGGCGGAGAACCAGAAACCCTTTTGGACTGTTATGGGACCGAGCCCTGACCCGTTCTGGTTCGTGTACTCCACACCAACCAACTGCGCCCTCTTAGCGACCCAAATCGCCCCCTTCTCCACTTCGTCCAGACCCCCGAAGAAATAGAGCCACCAGGCGAAGAGCTCGCCTTCGTACGGATCGTTGAGGACATCTATCCCCTCGCACGTATAGTTCTGTTTTGGATCCGTGGGGAGAAGCGTCTGATTCAGCGTAGTGACTGCGCAAACTTTTCCATTTCCGCGGTAGAAGATCGCGGCGGCGTGGCGCTTAGTGTAGTCGAGCCAGCTCTGCCATCCCGATCCTAGGGTTCGGAAGGCAGGGTCAGGGGAAGTCTGAAGGACGTGCACGGCGGCGTAGACAGCCCAGAGGAGTTCGCCGTTATCGAGAGCTGGGACACGGTTTACCCAGTCGCTTGTCGGACGTAAGGGTTGGCCGAGCGTGTTATTGAACCAGGGGAGAAAGCCGCCGAAGCCGGGGAAAGTCTGGTTGAAGAAAAGGTAAGAGGCCAGTTTCTGCTCCATGGTGTGGAAGGCGAGTTGTTGACCACCCGCCGGATTATCAGGTGAAACGACCCGTGTAGCGGAGGCATCACCAGCTAAAGCGTGCGCGAGCAGCATAACGTGCAGGGACTCCTTACTCGCGGCGGAGAAATTATGCTGGCCGCTTTCGTATGCGTCTGCCAGGCCAGTGGTCGTGTTGAGAAGGGTACCGTCGTAGGTCATGGCGTTGGCGCCGTTGAAGCCGATCCCAGGCTGCGTGAAGTGGCCTTCCCAGTAGAGGAGGTCGCAGATGAAGGGTTCTGGGTTAGCGAGGATTTGGGCTTCAGTGTAGGCGGGTGCGAAACGGCATTTGGGGGATGCGGTGCATGATCCCTTCCAGCCATTGTAGCCGTGTGGATGCTGAGCCAGAGCATTCTGCGCGATGGACAGGGCGAAGAGGAAGAGCATGGTCTCGGGTTTTGACCAGCTTGAGGTCGTGTGTGAAGAGAGGTCGTCGTGTAGAGGTCACCAAAGCGGGTGAGTTGGAAGGCATGTTGGTAGGCAGTTTGCAGCTCTTGAACCACGCAACCCTTGAAACCGCAAGCCTTGTACGTCAATTACCTTTCGCAAAGGCAGTGGCATGCGGGGAAGGATGGTCTGAAGGTTAGATGCAGGTACAAAGTATGAACAGTTGGAAGCGGGGCATGCTCAGCAGAGCTTGAATGGTGGTTCTGATGTTTGCGAGCACTCCATTGCTAGCTGAAAGTATGCGCCATTGTGGGTATCAATGCAAGCCTATAAACTAATCGTTAACATCTACCGTAGAAGCTGTAAGTCGTAAAGCAGATCCCATGGTGACCAGAATTCGTCACTGCTGCACTAAGTATACCACCCGCGCTCGCCAACCTGGGCCTGCTGTTCATCCTGTCGATGCGGTATCATAGGCTCTCCAATATCGAAAGCCTCGATGAGCTGCTGCCAGGTCCCGTAATCGATGGAAAACACAGCCTGTCGTCTACTGGTCTTTTTCGTGCGTTGCTCTTCCAGCGATGTTGGGTTGGAGATTACTATTACATGTCAGTCAGCTTCACGTCACACATTTCTCACACGTCGCTTGCCACGTACCTAGAGTAGGCATTCCGGTGTCATCTTCGTCCACGCCCACACTACCCTCCTTGATCAGAAAGCTGATGTAGAACAAGTTCTCCACACTCTGTCCAAAAGATCGTGGATTGAGCACGTAGTCGAACAGAGGCACACAACCATTGCTGGCTAGGCGGTGCTTCTTCAGTAATGCTCTGCTGCGCTCCTCATCCGCTGGATCGTAGCCATCGTTTGTCAAGCCTCGTTCTGCCTCATTTTGATGTTTGGCTAGATGCTTCCGTATTCGAGTGCAAATCGCAGTCAACCCGTTCTCGTCCGACTGTTGAAGATCCTCGCGCGTTAGTGCTTCCGGTCTGGCTTCTCGTCCGGCTGTGTCCTTCTGCAGTCGTGCTCGCCGTTGCATTTGCGTTCTCTGTTTCTTCTCGACAGACAGAGGACCAAGCAAGAACGATGGTACTGGTGGCCGTGAGTTGAACGGAAAGCAAGCCGTTCGTCCAAGAACTTCCCAGTCAAGGACTTCGCCGCCGGCATCATCGTCTTCATCGTCACTTTCGGCGTGTCGGCGACCGGATTGACGACGCGAGCCACTAGCAGCCCCGTTCTCTTCTCTATTTGCGGGACCACCGTTGCGCATGTATGTAATGCATTTGGACAAGAACTCGTCAACATCAATGCCGGTAGAAGTGTCGCCAAACGCTAGCTGGGTGGTCTTCTTGTATGCGAGATCGACGACATTTACCAGTAGTCGCGAATCGAGGGTGGCCTCGGTTGTCTGCTTCACTTTCTGGAACAGGTTATTGGCTCGATTCACTGTCTTCCGCAAGCCCTCTGTATCTCCGCGCAGAAGCTCTTCGCGGTTCTCTGCTCGTATATTAGCCTTGTATTTGCCAGACGATACGTTCTTCGAGCTCACCTTGGAAGTCCCGCTCCAAGTCTCGTGCCTTCTTCTTCAGCTGCCTCCGGACCTCGGGATCCTGATTTGGATCGAAGTATTTCGTAAACTCCTCATCATCATCATGCTCCTCCTCCACACCCTCCCCACCATCTTGTATGCTGCTTGGCGGCAAAGTCACGCGTTTCCGCTTCTGTCCACGTGACTCACTGCCATCAGAAGTCGGCGTTGGAAGACTCGATCGTTGGTGGTGGGAAGAGGGCGGAGGCATGGCACGTTGCTTGCCCTTATCACGTGTTTGACCTGCTGGGTCACGGTTCTCTTGGTCAGAGCCTCCCTCAGGCACAGGTGTCGCTGTGCCGTATCGTGAGGATGGTATATTCGATGGTCTAGTGTTGATTCGTGCCATGGTGTGAAGTTCCAGCGAGGTTGTCGGGTGCTGATAAGGCTACAGGTCGACTGCTGCGGTGCGGCACAGGTCGCGAAACGCGCGCGTCAATTGCGATAGAGTCGGGCGACCTCGATCACCGCGGTTGCATCTGATTGTGGCTCTGTCGCATGTGTTTGCGACAAGTGTCCAGCGAGGAAGGTGTCGTGTGGTGGTGAAGTGAAGCGACAATAAAAGACAGTGAATGTGAATCATTTTACATCTTGATCGCAGGGTCGCGTTCACGCTCGAGACACGCTAGTGTAAATCCCACTTGGTCCGTGCGACAGCTTGCGATCTGGAGCCGTAAGACATATAGCAGAGGCAGAAGCCATATCGATGTCATACCACTCCCCGAACTCTCCGAACCACAGGGCTTAGTATTGCGCGAGCTGAAGAGGCGGCTCATGACTCAAACTCGACAGCATGGAACCATTCACCTTCGCGAGCTCTTCTGAATTGGATCTGGCAGTAGCAGTGAAGGTGTGGGTCACCTGTATCCGTACAGGCAGTGAGGACATATGCTGACCAGCGCAGCAACCGCCTTGAAGGCTACGAGAAGCCTCTGCCATATTCTACACTCCTCAAGCGGCCAGATCTCCGACATCGCGGGAGCAATCTCAACCCCAACTCCGAGCTCTACATCACCGTCCAGCCGTTCGCCGACTCGAAACCACTGACCGTCCCTGCTCAGACTCCATACAAGCACTTTAAGACGGTCCGTGTGTGGAATCAATGGCTCACACTACCCATAACATACAGCAGTCTCCCAGCCAACACTCAGCTTGCCGTGACATTATGGGATCTAAGTCCGATCAACCCGGACGGCGGAGATCGTGGTCATCATGTGCCCTTTGGTGGCACGACCATACCTTTATTTGACGACACTGCCACGCTACGCACTGGCCGACAGAAATGCCGCATATGGCGACACAAAGCTGCGGATGGTTTTTCAGACACTACTACCCCATGGCAGGAGCCAAGACGGCGTGGTCGTAGAGGGCAGGAGGCGGAGACGATTGTGGTGGAGAACAAGCAGAGTCGGCGAGAGGCTGAGCGAGAACGACTGGTGGATCTCATGAAGCAGCATGAAATGGGCTCGATACCGGAGAGCAAGTGGCTGGACCAGATGGTCTTCCGACAGATCGAGAAGCTGGAGAGGGCGTCGATACGGGAGAGTAATCGACCGGAAGTATTCCCACGGCGTAAATGTGAAGTGAACAGTCAGCAGGATGGGGAAGACCCAGCGCCTCCGTGCGCCGAGGGTGACCCTGACCATATCGACGGCTCCTTCTTCCTCTACATCGAGCTGCCACGATTCGACCATCCTATAGTCTTCACAGACCACGAATACGATGCACCGCCCATCTCCAGTGTCCACCCATCGGCATCACAGACCGTAGCAGCTGTCAATTTCAAGCCTCCGCCCGAAGTTCAGCTCGGTCCAGGTATCCAGTCAGAGGTCGGAGGCGCGAGTGACACAGACGGTGGTGGACGACTGATCCGGCTCTACGATCCAGAGATCGGCTATGCAGACAATCCAGCCGAGACGAAGCACCGTCGACTCATTCGCGGTCAACGTAATGCACTGGATCGGGACCTCAAGCCCAACCCGAAGATGCGGGACTTTCTCAATCGCGTCATGCTCTACGGCCCGACTGTCGAGCTGAGCGAAAAGGAAAAAGATGAAGTCTGGCGGTTCCGACATCATCTTACGCGCGACAAGCGTGCCCTCACGAAGCTTGTCAAGTCGGTCAATTGGAGTGAGCCTGCTGAAGCGCGACAAGCCATCGGTCTGCTTACGAAGTGGGTGGAGATTGACGTGGACGACGCCCTCGAGCTGCTAGGACCAGGCGTGCAGAACCCAACCGTTCGTGCATATGCTGTCGACCGACTGCGAAAAGCCGACGACGAAGAGCTACTTCTGTACCTGCTACAACTCGTGCAAGCCCTGAAGTTCGAGCCTCAACACTCGAGGGACGACGATGAGACAGACTCATCCCTGGCATCCTTCCTCATAGCACGCTCGGCAGCGAATCTGAACCTGGGCAACTTCCTGCATTGGTACCTCATGGTCGAGCTAGACGAAGATGCACCCTCACAATCACCACACAACAAACGCCTATTCGCCCGAGTAAGCTACGACTTCATGAAAGAGCTCGAAATGACCACTGAAGGCCACGCTCGCCGCAAAGTCCTCCTGCGACAAGGCGAATTCATCACAGTCCTCAGCAAGATCAGCAAAGAAATCCGCGGCTCACGTGGCGATCGGCTACGCAAGATCGAGCAATTGAAGAAAATGCTTGCGGATCCGAAGAACGAAATGCTAGCCTTCGATCCACCCCTACCACTCCCCCTCGACCCCGAGATTCGAGTCACAGGCGTGATACCAGACGACTGCAACGTTTTCAAATCCACCTTACTACCCTTATACATCAACTTCAAGACCGACATGGGCGAGCAATACCCCCTCATCTTCAAAACCGGCGATGATCTCCGCCAAGACCAACTCGTGGTCCAGATCATCGCCCTCATGGACCGCCTCCTACAAAAAGAAAATCTCGATTTAAAACTAACCCCCTACCGCATCCTCGCCACCTCAACCCTAGCCGGCGCCGTCCAATTCATTCCCTCCACCCCCCTCTCCACCATCCTCAGCAGCGCAAAATACAAAGGCAGTATACTCGGCTACCTGCGCTTCCACAACCCGGCCTCCGCCTCCACCCCCTCTATACTCGGTGTCAAAAAAGAAGCAATGGACACCTACGTCAAATCCGTCGCGGGCTACTGCGTCATCACATACCTCCTAGGCGTCGGCGACCGCCATCTCGACAACCTCCTCCTCTGCCCCGACGGCCACTTCTTCCACATCGACTTCGGATATATCCTCGGCCGGGACCCGAAACCCATGGCCCCGCTCATGAAACTCAGTCGAGAGATGGTAGAGGGGATGGGCGGGAACAGCCACCTTTCCGACTCTCAATTCGAAGTCTTCAAACAGTATTGTTTCACGGCCTACACCACGCTCCGGCGCTCAAGTAGTCTGATTCTGAATCTTTTCGCCCTGATGCAGGATGCGGCGATTCCTGGGCTGGCAGTTTTCGGTGGAACGGAGAGTGTGGGGAAGGTGGAGGAGAGGTTTAAGTTGGAGGGCGGGGAGGAGGAGGCGTTGGGGTTTTTTGCCCAGTTGATTGAACGGGAGATGGGGGCGTGGGGGCCCGTGTTGATTGATAAGCTGCATGGGCTTGCTCAGGGGTGGCGGGCGTAGATGACCTCATGACCTCCGTCGTTGTCGCGAAAGCTGTTGCAGTGTGCAATATGAGTCTTCCATGAAACTCGGGGTCCGAGACCGTAATCGTGACTTGTGATTGGAGCTTAGAAGAGAGACCTCCCCGGCCCCCGAATGTTTCGCTGCTCACTCATCAACCACCTCCCATCCCCTTCCCGTTTCCACGTCAACATGAGTACGCTCTCCCTCCTCACATTCTCGAAGCCAGCGTGTGGTAGTCCAGAAACCGCAAGCGTGACCCAGACCCGCGCCATCCCTGCTTCCTCATCTACACCTACGCACGAAGAGAGAACTTCAACTCGCCACTCCGGATGTTGGCGCGCTGTGCTCTCGACCATGTGCAGGTGTGTGGAGGCGTTGCGGGATAAGGGCATGTTGTCGAAGTCGCCTTTGAGCGTGGGGCTCATGATGCGGAGGTTGAGGGGGTTGGTGGTCATGTTGCGGGTAGTGAAGCTGGCTATGTGGGCGAGGGAGAGGTTGAGGATGGCTTGTTCTAGGGGTTGGCCGGTGGATGTTGGGGCGGTGGCGATGGTTATATTTTCACTATTAGCCGGGTGTCCTTGGCTTGAGATATGCTCTGTCATGTGGGCTTCTGGAGATATCGTCGTCCGGCTTTGCTGGTGTTCCTGTGGGATTGCCATATTTCGTACTCCCCGAACCAGCCTTGGTGAATCTCAGAAGTCGACCGATCTTGTATTGTTTGTAATGTTCCGGAATGGCTCAATGCTCGCAGACCAGATCATTGTCGAACCCCAGGTCATGGTCAGGTGCGATCGCTCTTCATCGGCATGTCGAGTCAGTATCGTTGTCTAGTTTCACTCTACCCATCTGATCTACAAGTTCAGCTGCCATGCGTCTCTGCGGCTGATGGGTGGGTCTTGCATTTATCAGCGCGGTCAATCTTGTGAAGTATATTCAAGCGTACTGCTGGATATCTGTACCGCCAGAACAAACGAAGACATTGTGTGACGGTGCCTTGTGATCGTCTACAGTCGAGGGATGAGAAGAGCAGGTGTTCATATCTACCCAAACCCTTACCCTAGCCGCCAAGCTTCCGGGTTTACAAGGAGCAGACAGGGATACCTTACGTCGAACAAGTCAATGCAACAATCGCTAAGCTGTTGCATACGACACTCGAGCTATCTTGCACGAGAACAACAGGTATCTTGCGGCGCTCGTACGCACAATCGATCGCCTTAGCCACGACATTTCGTGCTTCGATTGACATTTCACCAGATCACGAAAATGTGTCCCAGGCCTGACATGCAATAGCATCCTGACACACAGCTTTGACGCAGCGCCTACCGATCGACCTACTCGACGACCTTCGCAAGCAACATGACAGCGATCTCCACGTCCCCAGCAGTCAAAATCGTGCAATCGCGATCCCCGACAACTCCCTCCAGCACATTCTTCGCCCTCCCCCTGCCATCTGATCCTTCCGCACCAGGCACAGCAGACAGTCTAGCCAGCGCTTCAAAGAGCTCCCTACTCACTTCCTCACCAAAGCACTCCTCGCCCACCATATCTCCTAGCGTCATGAACCATCCACATCCCCAGTTCTTGCGCATGGTGGCCAAGTACTGCATTCGTTCGATCTCACTCTCCGGTGGTAGGATGAGGCGCGAGCGTGTCTTCGGATACTTCTCATAGGGCAGGTTTCGGACTGGTCTTGGGTCTGTGGCGTGGAGTCGTTCTTCGTATTCTGATGAGGGTGTGGCGGTCCAGGTCGAGTCGACCATTTGCGCTTCGGTTGCATCAAACATAGCGGTGTCGATGCTGGCGGTCGTCGCACGAGGTACTGGGCTGACGGAACGATCTGGTAAAGTCTCGCCTGCTTGTTGATGAGGTGTCGCTGGGACGTGAGGCGACACCACGTAGCCAGATCGCCAACCAGATGGAGCGGCCGGTGGTATCAAGTAGCGAGTCATCGAATCTCAGAACCTTGTCTTGATACGAGGTGCTCGTAGGACAGATGCGCTGTCCTGATATGTACTTGCAATTTGGGCGGCACTAGCCGGTACAAGATGTTGTTGCCATTTGCATTCACTCATACAAGGGACAAGGTCGTGAAAGCGAACAAGACGGGAGAGCAAGCCTGATGGCTTAACCAATAGAGCAGGATCACAAGCTGGCGTGAAGCGTCAAAGACGTCGCTAGCGGGCTTCGGATAGTCCAAGATGGAAGGCACGGCACCAAGATCAGCTGACGCATTCACAGCGCGCCAGCTTGTTGAGCTATGTATAGTCTCATGACATGCATACTTGTGCACTGATTCTATCAACGGTTTAAGAGCTTCAGATCATCTTCTCGGCCTGGTCCTGGGTGTGAACGCGAAGGTATTGGACCGTATGCAGCACGTGTGTGGAATGTGCTAAGCCAGGGCAGCCAAGCTTATAGCAAACGAGGTAACAATCTCGACGGCCTCTCCAGATCAGCACCTTTGATTGGTGACTGCGTCTCCGCCTGGTGGTCAGGTTGGTGCGCCCATCTCTCCTTGTACAGTGTATACAGCAACCGTACAAAGGTCAGAGTCCCAATCAGCAATGGAGTCAACTGGCTAGAATTGGCAATACCAGCATTGGCTAGCACCCCGGCCACGTTGTTGAAGTTGAGGGTGAATTCTACGCTGAGCATGGTGTATAGAACAAAGAGGAGGTTAACGACGGCGAGAGCGACTTGAAATAACCTGTAAGAACAAGTCAGTCTTCATGCTGGTGTGGGCCATGGCACAAATGCACTTACGTCCACGACCTCAACGCCTGCCGCATCTCAAGCTCGTCAGTATTCCACCGCTCACGCAGCACGATCGAGCGTGCGAACGTTACCATTGCTACCAGAAGCATTGTCCCGAAGTACACGGATGCAAGTGCAGAGACGACAATCGCAATCGTTCTCACCCAGGAATCGCTCATCTTAACATTGGCGAACATGAACCATCGCAGGCCGTCGCGGGATTCTCGAAGGAAGCAGTTTGGAGTGGGGTCGACGACTCCATCGATCCAAAACCATAGACTGTATCCCGACACGGCCGCGCATAGTAACAGTCGAAAATGCGTGCCCCAGCCGCCGAAGTGACCTTGCTTGTAGAATGCTGTGCGTCTGCCCCAGATTGTCATTACGCTGAACACGAATCCGAAGCTGAGCTGCAGCAGAATGTTCGAGTCGATGACCCATATCTTCTTCTGTACTGAAAGTACCGTGACCGTCAAGGCGAGAGCGAGCAGAAAGATGGAATCGTGTCGAGACTTCCAGCCATCTCGCTCGCGACAAAATTGTTGGCGATCCATGACGAGATCCATGTCAAGTAGATGCCAATGCGCACGCCAAAGCCGTAGAAGTCAGGCTCCCCTGGTATCGTGCAGAAGGGTGCGCCAGCAAGCGTGTCGTTCGGTGAAAGACCACGCTCGAGGCCTTTTTCAAAGCAGGATTCGTCCATTATGGTGGCGGAGGGAGATCAACGCAACGTGTATGGGAGTACTCATCGCGTGCGAAGGGTGCTGTCGCCACGGTCTTATGTATCTTGTAGCCAAGGCAAGCCGGTGTGGATCGTGTGGTAGATGTATCGCGGACTGGCCCCATATGGTGAGAGGTCGTCAGCTGCTGACGCGAGATCCGGCCTCATCTTGGTGTGAGAAGACACACTATAGACGCCAGCTTCTCAGATCAGCTGTGCAGACTGACAGAATTATGCACAGTAAGCACAAAGATCAGATGATGCGCATGCAGTATCGCCACCTCGGCCACAAGCGACTATGTCTCCGACGCTGCTACTTTGTAAAGATATTCTTGCCAAGATCTCTTTGCTGTTGCATCTTGGTCTCAAAGTCAGTAGCATGGGCTTGAGTCGAGATCTCACGTTGTACCTGCAACCTCGAATCGAAGTCGTTGGCTTGCCTTGCTGAAGCAGAAACCTCTTCTGCCTTCTGGCCATGCTCCTCCCGCAGCTCCAGCCTTTCAAATCGTTCGTGCACAGCATCATATCGTTCGCGACGTAGTTCTTTGCGCCAGACCTCCAGTTCTAGCATCATCTTGCCAAGCTTGCCAGGCTGCCCGTCTCGTCTCAAACCGTCGTCGTTGCAATCGAAGTACAATGCCCACATATCACTTCCCGATTCCTCCTGCACAGCCATGAAAGCTTCCCAGCCTTCGAATGTCAAGCGATGCTCGATCTTCGTACAATCCCATGGGCCAACTTTGTGCTCTTCAGCTTCAACCCGAATGCCGTACTTCACCTCGTGGGTGTCTTTGTCCACGTAGACCCAATTGAGGAAATTCTCGTCGTTGATCGTGGTCACTAATCCTTCCCCGGACGTATAGCCCAGTCGTCTCCATTCTTCCTCCTTGTTGCCATGCGGCCACGGCAGGAAATAGCCAGTGAATGGATGATAGCTTTCGTTGCTGCTCTTGTTCTGCCGGCCATCGATCCACAGCTTGTTGTCTTTCAGCACTATTGACGCTCCATCGAATTGCACTCTGTATGGGCTCCGTCTCAGCAAAGTCACGGTGAGGTTATTCTTCCTGCCACGTTGTTCTTCACGTCGATTCTCCCTCTGCCCTTGACGGATGGCTTCCGTTGTGCCGACGATTGCGGGCGCCGCTGCGACGGCGGTGAGGATGCCGAGAACCATTTTGTGTGCAAGAGAGAGGCAAAGACATCGTAGCTTGTGAACATGTCAAGAAGAGGTAGTGGATGAAGCCGATTGTCCATTTTCAGGTCAAAGCCTCCACAAAAGTGAGAGGGGACGGTTTTGCACGCATGGGAGCTGACAAGATGACCATTTCAATACCTTACCACTGTATAATGTCGTATATTAAGATAATACTTTGGTCACAGATCCAGCTTCGACTTCATAGCTACGCAAACATCGACAACAGCCTCTAACAATACGAATAATAATTCACCACACTGCATAAGATGAAACAGCCATCGTACCTGCCTCTGGTAGGTACCTTACCCTCCGCAATCCACCTTAACTACAGAGACACGGTGGTCAGCTTCTATGAAGCTAACATCAACCGCATACGATGCGCAACACATGAATGACGAGCAAATCGACAACGAAGCAGTGTATCTTGATGGTCGAGAACCCCTCGATGATGCTACTTATAACAGCCCGATCACAATATCACCTTTCACCCTCGCCGTCAAATGTACTTCGACCTCCAAGTTTAGCTCGATTCTGATTTTCAAGCTGCTTTTCTCTTCTTTCTTGATATCCTCGCGGATCTGGCTCTCCATCATTGATGTGTATCCTTTGTACCCCTTCTCCTTGATCACTGTGTCGATCTCATCTTGGGACATATCCTTGATGAGCTTGCCTCCCTTGCTTCAAGATTGATCAGTATGGGTGTAGCGACTCTCGCAAGTTCGTCGACCTACGCAGGAGCCTCTGCGGTTGGGGTCGCAAGAGCCATGGGGGAAAGGGTTGCGAATGTTTGCTGATATGTATGCTATCCCCCAATTCTCGATGACTTCAATTCCGTAGGTGTGTCGTTGTAGAGCGAGCCGTAGAGACAGAACAGCTCATGAAGACTCCATTAGTCCATGGCCCACCTACTCCAATGGCTACAACATTGACGGACCAAGTTCCCAACCTCTGTCAGAACAGGATCGACAGCTAACATGCGACGTCATGATGAATCGGGCCGTAGGTGGGTTGTCAGAGTGCATACCGCCCACCAATATGATCTGAGCAGTCTCCGGTTAATCCTACTTGCGGTTGAAGACTAACTGAAACTGGAATAAGCACAATCAGAATAAATCGACGATTGGTGGTGTTGAGTTCCTCGGTGGAGATCCGGAGCATGAGGCGAACGGCCGAATTCGCAACCTACCGACAGTGTAGCTTCCCAGACGGGAAGTAATCGTTGAATGCACGAGCTGCTCACGCAGCAAGACGTCAGGTTGGCGATGAAATCGAAGACACCACCACTTCATAGCGACGCCATGTTGTCTTCGATCTAGAGTATCAGGCAAGTTGTCAAGCTTTGTATGCTTTTATATCAGACTCTCAGAACTCCCATTATATCTCCGAGATGGGCGCAGGACCTAGCACCTTGCAAGGCCACGAGAAAGTGCTCGCGACTGACATCGTAGGCGACGAATTCCCCTCCGGAGCAAGCTTCTTCCTCACGAACGGAGCCAGCGATTTCAAACATTGTCTCGCCGTGGAGCTGAACGGCAACTCAAAATGTAAAGCCCTCAAGGACTCGCCCGACCGAAAATGGATCGCTGAATATGCTGGCAACGATCGATCCAAGATAGCTTTCAAGAATGTCGGCACAGGGAAGTACCTGTGTATAGCGAATGCCGCATGGTCTAGCCAGACAATGGCCTATGGTGGCCCTGTCTATCTGTACATATATAAGACCGCAAAGGACAACACTTTCTGGTTAAGCACACCGCAGAGCCCGGACTGCTTCTTGTGTGCCTGGGATAATGTTCCCGACATTGGCAAGGACGTTTGTAACTTTACCACTAGACACGGGAAGGGCTACGGCAAAGGGGTGGAGTTCTACAACGAGAACAATGCAGCTCTAAGCTGGCAGCTGGAATGGACACCCGAGTATCAGAAACTCAAGGAGGCCACACCTGAGGGGCAGGCAGCTTCCGAGAAGCGCAAAGCTGTAGCATTGCAAGAACCCAAGGCCGAGCAAGGCGTCTGCTGTGATAAATGCGGCGACAAGTGCCAAGTGTATCAAGAAGCGTTCGCGGAGCTCGAACAGTTCAAAGGCCAGTACGGCGATTGCAAGACTGCCATGGCCGAGCTCCACGATCGTGAGACGCAGCTCGAGCAGGCTCAGCAAGATGCGCAATATAAGGACGTTGCGCAGAAATCGCAATTCAAGGAGTTGTTGGAACGAGAAGCGGAATTGGAGAAGAAGCAGAACGAGCAAAAGGAACGCGAAAAGGATCTGGCACGTAAAGAAGTTGCCATAAAGCAGCAGGAGATTGAGATGCAGAAGCGTGATCAAGATCTTGACGCTCGCAAAAACGCTGTTCTTAAAGACGAAGCGCGTGCCAGACCTGCCCAAGCTGATAAGGCTGCCATCAAGAAGAGGCAGGATGAGCAAGCGGCGCATGCAAAGGAAGTGCAGAAAAAGAGTGAACAAGTGCAACAGGCGCGGCAGAAAGAGCAGGCAGAGCTTGCAAAGGTGAAGGCAGAGAATGCCAAACTGCAGGACAGTGTTTCGAAACTGAAGAAAAAGGATGCGCAGTCGTCCGGCGACTCCCAGGGCAGCGCGAATCCTGCTGCCGACATGGAGAAGGCCAGATTACAAGCAGACCTGCAACATGCCTTGGACATGCTTGCCGAGATGCAGCAGAAAGTGGATCAGAAACCAGCTCCGGCTGTGTCATCGGCGAGCTATGGATTCTCCATTCCTCCACCGGTAGCGAGGATGCCGCCATCGACGCTAGGGCGGCCATTGACGAGAATGCCAGAGTTCACGACCAGTCCTCCTGCGCAGCAGATGCCTGAATTTGTGATGAAGCATCAGATCGAGCAGCCCAAGAATACCTTGCCGCAGATGCTCGCCACGGGCCTTGGTAGGTCGGTTGCGAAGCGCGAGACTGCGCAGGCGAGTTGATCGAACGATCTACTCTCCATGAGGACTCAACCCCTTGCGCTGCCGACTTGGGTACGAAGGCTGCTGGCCGAATTAAATCGCTCTTTCCAGAGTGACTCCGGCGGGCGTCCATGTACTAGTGACGTCGGCGTCCATCGACAATCCACCTACTCGTCGCGGCAACACCGCCGCCAGGGGATGTTCCCGCCTTGGCACTTGGATTTGAAAAATCTCGAAGAAATTTCACTCTTTGGCTTATACCGCCTTCCACACATGATTTGGAAGGAGTCTGATCTTATGAGGGTGTTGCTATGACTGCGCTCTTCCTTATAGACATGCACATGTATGTGTGTATAGCCAGGTCAGGTCGCAAAGGGGGGTGCCTGGAAGCAAGTCCCACCAAATGTTTCTCCATCACGTGACATAACCCGGGATCGACCTGCGACAGCGGCAGCAACCTCATCTCAATCAGCCAAGTCTGCCGTCGGGCGACCAGAGCCGGAAACATAACGGAGATTGCACTCTATCGAAGGAAGGTGATGCTTGATAGTGGAGAACGGGCTGTGAGACCTGGAAGGACGAGCTTTCAGCCCATAAGAACAGTGTGAGTTGAGAGGGGCTATGGGTCAGTGGATGCAATATCTTCAGACCAGTCGATCCCTGCTGTACGATCCTTGACAATCTTGCCATCATGGAGGAGAAAACTCTTTCCAGCTTTCTGGAGATAATTCATAGGTATCTTATATAGGCTCTGCGCCAGCTCAAGCCCACCACTTGATGCCTTATACGTCAGACCCCCAAAACACACAGGATATCATCATTGATCAAATGTATGTCATCAAAAAGGCCAGACATCATGGACTCGTGTACACGAACTCAAAAGTAGCGCCATGACCACCGACTCCCCGGTGCTTTCGCGGCAGGACGACCCACGTGCTCTTCCTGCCAGGCTGCCACGTTCGTGAATGATATTCAGCGCAAACAGAGAATACAGGCGATGTTTCTTGTGATCATGCCAATGACCTCGGAGTTCTGTATACTGCCGAACTCTCGACCGACTTGACTGCGTCATTCCTGGAGATACGATGCCAAAAGAGCAGCGCCGAGAAAATTATGAACAATCTTTGGGTGCATGGAGAGCACGGCTGCAGGCTACGAATCAAACAAGAAAACCTCTGATAGAAAAGGTCACGAACACATGGCGAGAAGATGAAAAGTTCCGCGTAGCTGAGGAATGTGACACCAAAGAACCGAATTTCTGCGACCTCGACGATGAAAATAGCTTCCCGAGCCTCAGCGTGAAGGCCATAAGGTCACGACGATTCCGAAGGATGTTTGCGGTGCTAGTGCTTGTGAGTGTTGGGATGTATTATATTTGGACACGACACATTCGGCCGAGCGTACAAGAGGGGTGGGAATTGAAGCAAGGATTCTTGCCCGCTCAGGTTAACGGGACGTATGGTGTTGCGAAGGGCGGGCATTTCGATGGTGTGAGGATTAAGGATATCGATGCAACTTATGTGCCTGGCGGTAATAAGGATCCCGAGGGCAACCGGCGGCTCATTTTCGTCGGCGATATTCATGGTTGTAAAGATGAGTTGAAGCATTTGTTGAAGAAAGTCGACTTCAACAGCAAGACAGATCATTTGGTCGCGACGGGAGATGTGGTATCTAAAGGCCCGCACAGTCCTGGTGTACTCGACTTGCTCATCCACTACGGCGCCGAAAGCGTTCGAGGCAACCACGAAGACCGCTTACTTGAAGCCGCGAAGACACTATCTGGCTCAGACAACAAGCGAGACGATGCAATGTCAACGAGCAAGGGCTACTCGAAGGACGCCGAGCTACTCAAAGAACTCAAACCACACCACATGCGCTTCCTCCACGACATGCCATTAATGCTGCGGATACCTGCTTTACCCTTCGCCACTTCATCCTGGCGCAAAGATAAGCACAATATCGCAGAAGAAACAATAGTCATCCACGCCGGACTAGTCCCACACGTGCCACTGGAACGACAAGATCCATATTTCGTGATGAATATGCGCAGCATCGACCACAAAACCCACGTGCCCTCCGCTCTACGCGAGACAAAGAAAGGGAACTCCAAACCGTGGATGCACATCTGGAACTGGTATAACAACAGGCTTGCCAAGGGACGATCAATCAAAGGGTTTCATATCTGGTCTTATGCCGAGTGGCTGAATCAGCGCGTAACCGGAAGCTGGATCAGTAATTCTTGGAGCAGCATGTCTAAGAAGCAACCGCAGCCTCAGCCACAGGTCGCAGTGTATGGCCATGATAGCAAGATGGGGTTGCAGATGCATCGGTGGAGTAAAGGGTTGGATACTGGATGTGCGAGTGGTGGGAAGCTGACAGCTATGGTGCTTGATGCTAAGGGGAAGACGGAGATTGTACAGGTCAAGTGTGACAGTTATCGGACTTGACGGTGCAAAGAGATGGTTCATATGCTGCATTGTTGCGTTCTAAGCATGGCGTTGGGGACTGAAGTATATATATATCGTTGTGCATCGCCTTGTACAGAAATCTTGGTTTCTTAGCCAAACACGATCTAACCCAAAACTGTCCGTGAAGACTGACTATGACACCCAAACCCGTAATCACACTCTCTTAACTAGTATCTGGCCACTAGTACTGCCTTTCGTCTTATATCTGTTATAGCCAATCATCTCGGGACCTCGGCGTCATCGAAGCTCTGGAGATGCACTAGAAAGTCTAACTACATATCACGTCTACGGCCTCTACTTCCTCCTCCTTCTTCGCCAGCAGTATCGCAACTTGTGCTGGTCTTCTGGACCTGCGGATTCACATCACAATCAGAATCACATAAAATGAGCGTCCAACGCCCCCTCCAAGCGCTCACAAAGCGCGCCACACCCTCCCAATCCCTTACACTCCAATACCGAACACGGCAACCACATCGAAGCCTAGCCAGCGTTGTGCCCCCCGTAACCCAATCACACGTCGGTCGTCAAGGCCCAACAGCAATGGTCTTCATGAACATGGGCGGCCCCAGCTCCACAGACCAGGTCGGCGACTTCCTCTCTCGCCTCTTCGCTGACGGCGACCTGATACCCCTCGGTCCCTTACAAAACTACCTCGGGCCCCTAATCAGCAGGAGAAGAACACCCAAGATCAAGAAACAATATGCCGAGATTGGTGGTGGGAGTCCGATCAGGAAATGGAGCGAATATCAGGCGGAGGAAATGTGTAAGATCCTTGACCAGACCAACCCGGAGACGGCACCGCATAAGCCTTATGTTGCTTTTCGTTATGCCAGTCCGCTTACGGAGGAGATGTATACGCGCCTGCTGGAAGATGGGTTTGGGAAAGGGAGGGGTGGGAGGGCGGTGGCGTTCACACAGTACCCGCAGTACTCGTGCAGCACGACGGGTTCTTCGTTGAACGATTTGTGGAAGGTCAGGAATCGGCTTGAATCGCCGAGCAGGAATCAGAATCTGAGCGCGGCGGAGGCGGAAGGGAGTATACGGTGGAGTGTGATAGATCGATGGCCGACGCATCCAGGCTTGATTGAGGCATTCGCGGAGAACATCACGGCGAAGCTTGAGACGTATCCTGAGGAGATGAGAGACAGCGTGGTGCTACTCTACTCGGCGCATAGTCTACCCATGTCCGTGGTCAATCGAGGAGACCCCTACCCAGCCGAAGTGGCGGCAACAGTTTGGGCAGTACAGCAGAAACTTGGCTTCCGCAACCCTTACCGATTATGCTGGCAATCCCAAGTCGGACCCTCCGCCTGGCTAGGAGCACAAACGTCAGACACAGTGAACAATTTCGTCAAGCAAGGACAAAAGGATCTTGTGCTCATCCCTATCGCCTTCACATCAGACCACATCGAAACGCTCTTCGAGATCGACAAGGAAGTCATTCATGAGGCGGACCAGCTCGGCGCTGAGGGCAGAGTGCGGAGAGCGGAGAGTTTGAATGGCAGTCCGACTTTCATCAAGGCGTTGGCGGATCTCGCGGGCAGCCATCTGAAGAATAATGAAGTGTGTAGTAGACAGATGGGGCTGAGATGTCCTGGATGCAAGAACGAGAAGTGCTTGCAGCAGAAGAAGTTCTTTATGGGGCAGGGGGCGCAGGATAATGCTGCTGTGACTTTGTAGACGCTATTGTGGAGATGGCGGTAGGAAGCTGGCTGTACGAGTATCAGTCTCGAGGTTATGTAGAATGTGTAAATACGTGTATCCAAGATCTGTCAGTGAATGCTTTCGTCATCAGCAGCCGCCGGAATCTCGGGAAGCTGCCTTGTCCAAGCTTCTTCGAGCACATGTACACTGTCAATCAACACTCTCACCTGTATCACCAACACACAAACGACCTCCACAACGCCGCCAACATGGCCGTCGACAAAGACGAATCACCCAACCCGCTCGTCATCACAGGGAAAGCACCCGACGCCTCTCTCTCGGTACAACTCCACCCACTGGTGCTTCTCACAATCTCCGACTACATCACCCGCCATACTCTTCGCTCACAAGAAGGCCCCATCGTCGGCGCAATCATCGGACAGCAGAACGGTCGGAATTTCACACTAGAACATGCGTTCGAATGTCGACTGGCGGAGCAGAAGGGCGCGGTGGTGTTGGATAGTGACTGGTTCGCTGAGAGATTAGAGCAGTACAAAGATGTGCACAAAGCTCCAGCACTAGATCTAGTGGCGCTGTTCACGATGGGACCTGTGGAGGGGCCGCAAGAGGTTCACCTACCGGTGTTGAAGCAGATGCAGCAGCTCACGGGCAATGATGGTATTATGCTCCTGCTATTTCATGGTGCCCTTATAGATCAGTTGCAGGGTGGGAAGTTGCCAATCAGCCTATATGAGAGTGTGCAGGAGCAGGATGGGGAGAAAGTGTCGTTCCGGGAGATGAGTTTTGAGGTCGAGACGGGTGAAGCGGAGATGATTGCTGTGGATACTGTTGCCAAAGGTGGGAGTACGGCTGTCGCTGTGCAGAAGGCAGATACCGCGCAGACGACGGAGGGTGCTAGTAAGAACCAGAAGGGAAAAGGGAAGGGGAAGGGGAAGGATAAGGAGGATGAGGCGAATGGTGAGGCGGCCGCTGGTACACTCTCGGCTGAGGACGACGAACTCATTGCCTCTTTGACGGCCAAGTCGAATGCTATCAAGATGCTCAACCAGCGCATCAATCTCATTCGCTCATACCTCGAGACACTACCGAGCAGTCAACTCACAGACGCTTCTTCAACGACACCACCACCGGACACAACGAATCACGCACTCCTCCGCAGCATCAACGCCATGCTCTCCCGTATCCCACTCCTAGCTCCACCAATTGCTGAAACCCCACGTCTCACCTCAACCGAGACCAACGGCGACACGACCACGACGCACCCGAAGCCCGCAAACGGCCCACTAAGCGCAGGCACAAAAGAGCGGCAAGACGTGCACCTCACTTCGCTACTCGCTAGCCTCTCTCGCTCGATTGCCGAGGCTCAGAGCATGGGATCGAAATTCCACATTGTATCACGCGAACGCGAGAACAAATCTCGGAGCTCTGCATTCGGGGGCGGTGGCGGTGGGGGAAGAGGTAACGGCGGGATGATGGTAGGAAGATTTGGAGACGATGGGAATTTTGCTGGAGGCGAGGCTGGAGGGCTTTAGTGAGGTTCTAGTGGAAAATCTCGCTTTTACTAGATTTCTGTCGTCCGCCGGCGTGCCGTGTTGGTCGTTGGTGGCTTAGCGAGGGAGTTTCTGAGGACATGATTTCACGAGTGCATGCATGCGTAGATTGGGGATATGGGAGCATTTGAGGCGTTTCTGCATATGCTGTGCTTCATGGACATGGACAGCGCGAAAGCGTGGACGTGGCGAAGCACGAAAGCTCCTCATAGCATCGAGTTCCTCTCGCTTGAGAATAAGTAGGGAGGCTACACAATACGTACGTCGACCTATCATCACAAAACCTGAAATACTCCTGTTGTTCATGATCTTCGTCAAGCCGTCACTTCGTCTCAACCAGGATCTGTCCCACCGCTACATCGTGACTGGGGTCTGGCCATTTCACGCCTCGATAGCGTGCCACGCAGGCAGGTTATTCACCCCATCCAGCAGACTCGCATCCTCATTGTCCCGTGCTTTCCTCCGCATACTCGTAGTCCTGGCCTTGCGCCTCAAATGTGGTGGCTGGACTTTTCGTTCTGCTGATTGTGGCGAAGCCATAATCGGCGTCGCCTGGCCCACGAACCGGGCCGTGATACTTTGACCTGTTTTCGAGCGAAGATGAGGTGGTGTGAACTTCATTGGTGTTACTGGCTGGGTATTATCGGAGGGAGTCGGATGTGCTGTGGAAATGAGATATGATGTTTCGGCACAAGGTGGAGCTGGTTGAAATGTTGATGGAGCAGCTGTACAGGTCGTGGAGGAGAGGGTGCAGCTGATATCCTCCGGCAACTTCTCGATTGATGCAAATGGCCTCGTCATCTCGCAGGCCTGCAGGCTTGTATCACGATTCTCATCTTCGTCGGGACTCTCCTCCAACCAAGCCTTGTATTCAGCAGCCATCTCTGCCTCACATGCTCTGACCTCATCCGGCTTCTCGGGTCCTGCTTTCTCGAGCTCCTCGCCGAGTGTGACATAATTATCACCCCAATCATCGTCCCAGCTACTACCATCACAAGTCGAGATCTCCTCAGGTCTGACTTCTGTGCGTAAGGGGCTAGATCCAGCTCGAGTTGCCTTCCCACTTCTCTCCGGTCGGATGGACTTCTCGAGCGGTTGACCAGGTGGCGGAAATTGCCTTCGCAGATTCCACAGTGGGTCTTTCGACTCTGCTTCCCAGCGTAGAGGCGCTTCGACGAAAGGTTCGAAGCACCAGTCCGATGTGCTTGAGTCAGCCTTGTCCTCGGGATTCTCTCCTTTTGTTGCCATTTCAAATTGACAATTGCCACACTGCTGCGGCAATCTCATCACTATGGAAGGCGAACTATGGCATGACGCCCTCGGTATGGCGAGTTTCTTCGTGGTGTACGTGAAATTGCCACGACATGTGCTGAGACGGACGTGCAGAACGTGAGAGCACGCATAGGTGTATGTCCATGTCTTGCACATCTTGACAGATTCGTCGACTGTCCTCGCTTGTCTGGTGATGGAGATACTAGCGATGAATTCGGAGTCAAGTGAACACTCATGGAGTACCGCTGGACTGCTGCAGCGTAGAAGTTGATGTTGATACTGCTGATATCTGACGCGATCAGAAGTCCAATGACCATCGCGGGCATGAGTCGTGATGGTCTGGCGTGTGCGGTTATCTCGTGCCATCAGATGAGGGTGTTTTTTAGTCACTATGTCGCAGCTGCCTGGAATTTATGATCGCTGAACTGTATTGCACCTGCTCAATGTCTCAGATGTTAGCCGCTTGACATGAAAGCATGTTGAGAGCACCGTGGTGTTCGCCATGGCAGGAGCTCATCGGCGATGATGTCAAGGTCGGAACGAACTTTGCCGAGTCCAGTCGTGCCTTCCAGATTTGGAAATGGTTTGGTTTGGGTGTCACCCGCCATCCTCGGATTATGTGTGGTCGTGAGCATGTCCAAATTCTCCTGTCGATTCTGAGCCTGAAGGAGGGGGATACGCATGCTTGGGAAGACTATAACTCCAATTGAAGCGATGGCTGCAGATCTCATGGCGAGCAGAAAGGTCAATTGGTATTATGTAAACAACTTTTGCAACGTAACAGCAGAGATTCCAATGGTGCTTTCGGCCCAACTCGAGAGAAACTCCATGCAATCGGTCGTCCCACAACCTAGCATCCAAAACAAGGAGCTCCCAAACGCCTCGCTAAACCCCTTGCTGGGACTGATTAGGTCCTGGTATCATAACGCATCGAACGCCCAAAAGCGCAGCACAAAAGAAACCACATCACCTCATCTCAGTGTTCAAGAAGCAATTCTTCCCTTCGCTCATCCCATAGATTCCATTAATATTTCACGATGGGCTGAGCACCCGCCGCATCATCCGTAAGCAGGACTCCGCCATGAGATCCGCTCTTCACCACCTGATCCATCCAATTTCCGGACTTCTTGTCCTTACTTCTCTGCCACCACTTCCCTTTCGACGCCTTCTCCTTCGCTGCTGCGTCTTGTGATGGCGTGTTCGAGTTCGAAAGTGCGATCTCGGCCAGGTTCTGATATCGAATGTCGTTCATTCGTGCCGCGTCGTCCATACTGAGCTTGTTCGGTACACTACTTCCGTTACTAGCATTCCGCGAATGAGCTGCTGGAGTGTGATCCGCAGTCTTGGCCACCTGCCGTACCCTGCTAGCTTTCCTGCTCAAACCACCTGGTAAGAAGCCGCGGCCGAGGCTGGCCTGTTCCACTTTCGGTGCAGAAGCCGTGCGTTCTCCGGCGGGTGGTCTCTTGACTGGTGCGGCTTGTGGTGAGCCAGTAGGCTGATATACTTGTATGGTCTTACTTCGTTGTCGTTCGTGCTTGCTGGATTTATTCGAATGTGCTAGGCTCGGTGAAGACGACCAGGTGTCGTAGCTGAAGTCGTTGATGGTCGAGAAGTTGGCACTCATCATCGGTGGAGCTGGTGGAGGTGCTGTCGGTGGTGGTGGTGCCACTCGTGAGGGTGATCCCATGCGCGCTGCGAGGATCTCATCGCGCTCTCCTATGTCAGGCTGTTTGCTCACTGGCGCTGCTTCGTGTCGTGGAGGCTGACATTTCTGGGACCGCGGTGACATAGGTGTTTCGAGGTGCAATCCCTCTTTGGTCTCATCTTGAATCACCTCTTCATCCTTCCACTGGTCTAGTCCAGGAAGCGGTGGTAGATCTCGATTCAGGTTTACCGTGGGCATGCTGGCCACTGATGCTTCCTGTACGTCTCGTCGAGGCGCTCGGCCACGATCCTCGCTCTGAGAACCAGAGGTGCCAGGTCTACTCGTATCCCTGCTCTCTTGCTTGCGGTGGAATGGTCGCCAATTTCGTGTCTTCTTGTCGCCATCTACTTCATCAGAAGCTGCCGCGTGTGAGTGCGACGTTCTGAACGAGTCAATTGAGTGGGATCGACTGCCCAAATCGACACTTGGTTTACGACTCCCCGTAGTGGATCCTGGCCGCATGTACTCCTTCACCTGCCGTACGGCACGACCTGACCTGCTAGGAGCGCGAGACAGCCCTTCTGGTTTCTCTGACCGCTGTCGAGACGTTGACCTCACATATTCCCGCACCTTTCGACTTATGCTACGAGCTCTGCTTGGCGCTCGTTCTAAAGATGCATGTGGCGGTACAGGTGGTGCCTGTCTACTCGGTGCGGTCATCGTTTCTGAATCCTGGCGGCTAGGTGTATAGGACTTCCGCTGTTCAGGCGTGTGGCGTTTCGACGCTGATAGCTGATCACCGCTTATTTTTTCCTGTACTCGCACTGGAAGTTGTATATGCTCGTGGCTGCTTCCAGCTCGAGAGTGAGGTACTGGCTTTCGTGACGGCATCTTGATCGCAACCGGGGTCGTCGCTGTTTGTGTTGAGACCTGCGTTGGCGTGGTTTCCGTAGCCGAAGAATCATTCTGGCCATTGCTCTCTCGGGCTCGTTCCTCGTGCGCCTTTTTGTGCTTCTCCAACTCGATGCGCATCCAATCTGCTCCAGCAGGGTCTGCTTTCGGTGCACTGCCGCTCTCGGATCCAGTTTGCAACGCTTGTGTAGACGTTCGCTTCGAGCTACGAGCCGGTGTCAGTGCAGCGGATGTCATGCCGGTCGAATTCTTCTCTGACCATGGATAGTCCGTAGTATCGGTCTGCGGCGTCGAGCCAGACGTTTCAACTGAATCTGCTCTCGGAATCGTCCAAGGTCGTTCTGGCATGGCGGGCTTTGGCGGAATGAGCGCTGCTGCCGGCGTTGGACTCGAAGCAGAACGCTGGTGCAAGTCGGTACGTTCGAGTACTGGTATGGCTGCAGCGCTCGATGCATCAGACCTCATGAGCTGCTCAGCTCGTAGCATCGCACTCTTCCGTGACGCCTTCTTCCGCTCCAGCTCCTCCGTGTCCTGCTCCTTGAACAGCTCCGCTGTCACGGCGGCTGGCTTGTATTTGAACTTGTCCGAGCTGACATTGTCCGGCTCTTTGTCGTTGCCTTTCATGATCAACGCTACAGCATCTTGCTTGCGTGAGCTGATCTTGCTCAAGATCGGTGCGGAGACGTCGACATCTCGTTGCGTCTGGCCCTTGACCGCGGCGTAGTCCAGCTGCTGCTTCTGCGGTGCGCCATGTTTCTCGTCGAAGACAATGTGAGACGGCTTGAAGTTCTGCAAGACATAGGCGCACGCTGACCGGAGCTCAGCCTCGACATGCGGCGTGAGTGGTGGTCGGACGCTTTTAGGCGTGGGTGGAGGCGAGTCTAGCTGAACCGCGAGATGGTCCTTCAGTGCTTTGTTGTCTGCCTTGGAGGGCCCAATCTTCTGCACGAGGCATTAGCATCGAGAAGGGTAAGCATTACAGGCCAAGTCATTGGCTGTTCACATACTAGGCGCGGTATGTCGAAGGAGAACTTCCGTGACTTCATCATTTTGGTTCGTGATGTTGTTGTTCGTGGTGTCGCGTGATCGGAAAGCCTCTAAAGGCGACAGGAAAAGTGTGAGATGTTGTTGGGTCGCCCGCGAGACTGGGTGTCTAAGACCACTTTAGCGGCCAGACCGAGTGGCCTGCGGGAGTGGTGTGCTGCTGACTACGTGCCGGGTAAGGTAGCGGTAGCGGTGAGGAGTTCCTTCAGATCACAGGGGACTGCTCGGTGTGGCGCGCGTGGTTGTACCCGTGCAAAACCCCGTCTCCCATGCGCTGCTGCGCTGTGGTACAGGCACGACGTTATAGGCGTAGAGTTTGCTTCTCTCGCTGCACGACCGCCCGACGGTGAAAGTGTGCACGTTCTCGACTGGGATCAGACCAAGCTATTCCTCCTTTAAGCTTAGCTGAACCAACACTAGATTTTACTTTCTCCAGGGATCGGCTGGCCGTGAAACACAATCTGGAGAACCTGGGAACCTGCATCGCCTTCGCTGAAGATTTGGGATTGTCCTTTCGCCTGGCAAACATTACTTGTGCCATTGGAAAGACACGGGGCCGTGACAGATTTGCATCCAGACGATATCATCACGAATTCGAGCCACAATGCTCGTCTCAGCGGCTCGAACTAAAATTTGGTCGCCGGCTTGGCTACGCAGGAGTTCGCTTAAGCAATCCGCCAACAAATACCCTTTCTAGATCTCCCTTGGAGCAAAGCAGGCGAGTGCCGAGTACGAGGCGGAAGGGTAATGGCTTGCGTGGGTCAGCTCTACAATGCACTGCTAGTTGTGGGCAGCGAGCTTTGCCACGGTAGCCACATGTCGTTCCCTCTCCTGCAGTGTACCTTGCATTAGTAGTGTTGCACGTATATACGTGGCGTGTTAGATACAAGCACGAGGACATATCACACGCGGCTATGTGTCTCACGAGCCGAGTTACTACAACTTTGAGCAAGGTGGAAGCCAGAGCAGCGAAAACCTCGATGCATTGCTGGGAGACGTACGCTCTAGGATCTTTGCAACAGCTGCTAATCATCAGATCATGTAAACCATACAGTCCAGACACGCTCTACCGAACGACTGGGGTTTCATCTGTAGAGGAACCTCAAGGGTCTGTTATGACATATTCTATAAGGATACTCTCTGGTTGCGCATAGCCACCGCAATCAACGAACACCAAGACGCACTGTTGGTAGACCACGTAGAAACTCGACCGCTTCATCAGACTTGCGGCGTCCAAGGTTTTGTTACATACCATCTCTTGTCGATAGCGTTGCTCACCCATCGCACCCAACAAGCGCAGGCCCTGCCATCAGAACGAATACACTCGAGATGTCAATCAAGAAGCACCGTGAAAGAGAACACTATCTGTAATGCGGTCGTTGAGTAAGCTCTTGCTGAACGCCTGAATGCCACCCCGCTCGTACGAGGTCTAGCAGCTGAATCCTGAATCCTACTCAGCGCAAGAGCTCGAAGATCATCTTGTCATCGACACGCCTCCTTGGCTGACGGTTGAAGACAGACGTGTTCAAACGACAGTGGCCACCCTTGTCGTTGTTTTAGTCTACATGAGCATCGCATCCCCTCAATACTGAAGATCTTGCTCAGGTTACATTGAAAAACGTTAAAATGGCGACGGAAGCGGACTTCAAACGGATTGGCAATTATGCTCGCATGTACAACAAGGATCAGAACATAGATAGACGACATGCCAAGCGTAAAGTGCCTTTGGAAGTCATCTGTCCAGGTTACTCCCGCACTGGAACTCTGACGATGCAGAAAGCCATGACGATCCTGGGATACCCAAATCCATACCACTTCAGCTCATTCTACGACAACATAAGAGACAGCGATATGTGGATGGAAGCACTCGATGCCAAATTCAACGGCAAAGGCGAGTTGCCAGACAGAGCCTTCTTCGACGGCATCCTAAGCCACGTCGGCGCAACGACAGATGCACCGTGTAACCTCTTCACAGAAGAACTAGTCGAATCCTACCCTGAGGCTAAAGTGGTCCTGGTAGAGCGAGACATTGATGCCTGGTACAACAGCTGGGTCGCGTTCTGCGAAAGCGCCTACAGCCCTACGATTGCGGCTATCGCGCGGTACGATCCATATTGGATGGGCAAGATCGCGGGTCTTGGTGGCGCTATCACGAGACCCCAGGCTGGATTCGCTCTGACTTTCAATCAGGCCAGGGCGAGAAGTCGTAATGCTTATCGGCATCATTATCGAGATGTGAGGGATTGTGTGCCGAGAGAGATGTTGTTGGAGTTCAAGCTTGAGGATGGATGGGAACCACTGTGTGCATTTCTTGGGAAGGCGGTTCCTGGGGTGCCGTTTCCGCATGAGAATGAGACGAAGGCTAATAAGCGGTCGTTTGTTGAGCTCGGTCAGCTGGGAATGAAGCGTATTGCTAGTAGGTTGGCACTAATCGTACTCGCGATTGGACTTCCGATCACCGCTGCATGGTTCTTGAGATCTTGAACCGCTTTCCGGATATCATGGGGGCTTTGTGAGCTGCCATAACACTAGCCATGTATATGGAGTCGACTGGTTCCCATGTAGGCTTCCGCCGCTCCCTCGTAGACATGCCCCGCCTACTCTTCAGTCTTCACTTTTATCAAATCGTCACTGGGTACTTTGCCGATCGAGCCGTCCTGATCAGTATCGTCTTCCTCGAAGGTCGTGAAAGGACACCTGAATGGCCGCTCCACCAATCCGTCAGGCTGGGATGCGTCTAATGTGGCGTGACTTGAAGTTCTCATATGTGACTCGTTTCCCATCGCAAATGGCCGATGTGATGTAAGGGACGCTCGCCATCCTGGCGTTTGGTGGCCACTCTTTGACTGGGAAGCTGACATCGGACGTGATACCTTTGATTTTTGCATAGCAGCGGTCAAGACCCCGCTTACTGGATCGTGAGTTGTCTTTTGTCTTTTGCGAGGAGTAGCGGGTCTGGCTGATTGGGGCAGTGGTACCTGCTTGTATGACCCGACGCTGGCAGCGCATGTGATGATCAGGTCCTTTCGATGCCGAGGAGCTCCAGTGCCTTCGGTAATGACTGCAAGAGGCGTAGATGGATCCCCCTGCTCATCACTCTGATCTTCGTCGAAGTGAAGCGATACAGCCTTCTTAATCCCTTCTCCAAGGAGAAGATCATCAGTCATTCCAGCGGCAGTCGTGAAGACCTGGTGGTTGTGGTTTTGGGAAAGACTGAGGTAAACAAATTGGGTGGATACTTCCTCTGTTTTCCGCGAAGCTCTCTTTCAGAAGGAAAGAGCAACTGAAACCTGAGGTGTACACGTCTTCGGCACAGGATGCAAGCAGTGTAGATCATGTACTTACATATACTGACTGCAAAACCAAACCTCTTAATCAGCAGGACGACTGTCTCAAGTCAAAGTATAACGAGGTGCAATACGTTGCGGCAGAGATAACCAAATGCAGTACGGGTATATCTAGATACTCCCAGCATAATGGTGGCTCTAGGCGAGGAAATGCAGAATGGGATTTATGACTGCGATATGAAGGTGTATCCTGATTTTGTGAGCAGAGGAGAAGGTGCAGTCGGGGTCCTGGTTGTTGCCTTCTATTCACATCGTTAAGGAGTGGTCGCCAATAGTTCGAGCTACCCAGCAGGAGTATTGCCTCCCTTCAAGTGTTCTCCGACGTGAGTCCTCTTTTCCTGTATGTGTGCCTGAGGATATGACCCTGTCACATGCACGACTGAACTCTAAGCACTAGCGCCTATATTAAGGCGGCCACCAAGAATCATACATCAACTTAGATGTACGCGACGCGTTGACCAGTATAAGTGTTAAATGCTCACATCTAAACCACTCTGTCGGGCAAGATCGCTCTTTCTATATCGCTACTCCTGATGACGAGTAACATACCGACCGAAAAGGCGATGAGACTGCCGTACTTTGCAGCCCTGTCGTCGCAATCGCAACGGATCTACGATCATTAGCGTAAGGCACCATCGACAAACAGTGAATCACAGTGTGGCTGTACAGCGCGTTCACCACTGAATACCTGCAGCAGCAAACGCAGACTAGTACTTGCCTCATGGCTCAAACATGCTCTCCTCGAGATCATGGGGTCGATGCCAACTCTGAGGTCTCGCGGAAGCGCGCAAGGCTGACGGACTCGCCAACATCTAACGACGATATCCCAATAGAAGCATTAGAGCCCGAATGTATTACTCCCGACTACGGTGACGCTATCGTGATTGAGGGCGACGCTTTCTCAGACATGGCCGACTCACACCAGAATTCGCCGGGCCAGACTGCCTCTAGTGAGTGCCACAAAGCAGAACAACAACCTCAACATTATTGTATGAAACCCGCTGACTTCGCACGCCGTCTTGAAGGTGCCCTGGAGCAGTATCGCCAGGAAGTCTCGGGCACTGCGCAGCAAATCAGCAAGGATGATTTCAACGCAATCATCGATTGGCTTGAGAAGAACACGGATGCTGCCGCGCAAGTCTTGCATGAGAGCTTTCGCCAAGTCCGTGACCCAGCGGAGTGCATGCTAGCGATACTCAATGGAGCAATCTTCCCTCGCATTCGTGAAAGGCATCCGGGTGCGCTACCGCCAAACTTCCACACCTTGACCGTTAAGATCGGCATGGAGGCAACAGAGGTTCGCGCTACGACAATGGACTACAGCCCCTCGGACTGCTACGCACTATATCGCAAATTTGTGCAGGGCGAGCAAGATATGTTACTGGAACAGGACGCGAACAACGAGGCTGGCTTGGAAGAGCTTTGCCAAGGCGCTCCAGCTATACGGACCCCTTTGCTGTATTTTGCGTTTGCACTTCAGGCGGACATGAAGTACATCATGAGTAGCATCATGGACATTCGCCGACTTGGTGTTTTCATGATGTGTGCTCACTTATTGCGAGTCTACCATGGCTTCGTCGCGCGTGACAGCATGCATGATAGTCAGCACGCTGTACCGCAATATGCCATTCGGTTCATCAAGGGCAACGACCTGATCGGGTACATTTTCGGTCCCGAGTCGCACGCCAGCATCATATTGCACTGTCGCGATATAGTGTGCTTCCTCGCAGTCACCTCAACGATCTCCAATGATGAACTCGATGTGATCTGGCGAACGGCCACAACCAGTGTGGAGGCTGAGTTTTCCAAATCCTCATACAGCATACTGGAACAGACATGCACACATCTGGGACTTGATAACCTTCTGCATTTGGCCGAGCTGTATACGACCACGCCTGTCGACAGGATCATGGAGCCTCTTGCCGCTGCATGCTTAACCCAGATCTTCAGGAAAATACACGAACACATAGACACAGCCGACGACGCTGCTCGGGAGACCCCTTCAATGACCATCACCCGGACTGCAATACATTTTCTGCAGATTCTCCATCAAGCTCCGCCTTCTGAGCCGATCATTGAGCTGCAGCAGATTGTCACAGCGGAGATCAATTTCGCGGCGCACTATCCTTCGGACTGGAGATTGAGCCTATACGAGTGGTGCTTACCTGCAATCCTGGAGAAGACCAAAGCAGCGACAGCTGTCTACACTACACTGGGTGTCATGCTTCGGGCCGTGGAGACTTCTGACGAGGCTAATGTCGTGCTCGAGAAGCTCCCAGCAAGCGTCGCGGTCGCAGGCTTACGAGAATACGTGGAGGATCCGATCTCGCGTTCGAATGAAATTGACTTCGAGCTGGGCTTGCGAGTTCGATTGGGCGTCGTGCTTCTCCTTCTTGGTTTCGCACCAGAAGCTGAACTTGATCGGCACGAGAATACCTTGTTCGACACTATGCTGGGCGAGTGCGCGCTAGACAACCATCTTCGCAATGTTGCTTGGCAGGAGCTGACTACACTCACGCATTCACTAAGGCACGCTCGGGCGGCTGAAAGACTACTGAAGCATTATCTCGATACTACTGTATCGGTGATGCCCGCCGAGTTTGCAACACCAATGCTAATTGATCTCATGTCATGCAACCTGAAGGAGATGATCCGGCGTAGTATCGTGTCAGACCCCGAATCGAGCCCACTAGATCAGCCACTCTGGAAGGCTTTAGTCCGTTTCGCGGTACACGTTCCTGTCGAAGATGCCTCGAAAGCCGCCATGGAGGCAATCTGTGACCTGCTTTTTGTCTGGCCAATGAAAGGTGGAGCGAAGGACACATTGGCTCAATGTCATGTACGCTTCGTTGGGGACTACGTCGACTGGCTGTGCGCCACCTACATGGACACAACACACTTGGATGCTGCAAGGCAGGCAATGGGCTTTCGACAGGCTCTGCGGGTACTTACCATGGTCTTGCGCAAAAGCAGGACCGTTCAACCTGCTGCACAACTGTTGGCGCCTATGGCACAAATATCTCTGGATGGCAGCGTTTCAGATGCAGACGCCCTATGCTTCACCGTTCAGACATGCTCGCCTCAATCTCGACCGCGGGTCACCGACGTAAGGGCGAATGGTGGGACCACCGCCAGGCAGCTGTTGGATGCTTTGCCGGAGGTCACGGCGGCTGCCGCAAGCATCAAGGTCATCATCTCTGGTCAACAAATCGACCTTGAAGCTGCTGGGCGTAGAACTCTGTCTGAACTTGGTCTTACAGCTACAGGTTCGATCATGATCTGCCCCACATATGATTTCGATTGCAATCTTGATGCAGTGTTGACAGTGTCAGGTCCGATTGAACAAGAGCTACTCGCACAATACGATCGCATCGAGCCTTTCCTGGATGGCTCGGTAGAGTTTGCAAACTGCACATTCGACTTCCTCAAGAGGCTCCGGGCGTCAAAGAGGACGCGCGCTCGTGTCTGCGCAGCTGACGCTACCGTGGATCAGCTCTTTCCTCACTTAAGACCTCTGAGGGTGTCGCATTCTGCTCAAGTGCTGCATGACACGTTGCAAGCTTATATGAAGCTCGGCGTCGCGGACGAAACATTTATTACTCGCAGTATCCGCCTACTAGCTGCGTACGTGATCGACCCACGGCGTGACACGGACTACGATGCTCTGCCGCGAGTTTCTGCCTGTCTATTTGCCTTCCTCAATGGTGAGTCTGCTTCTGCAATTTGCAACATACATGGACCAGTGTGTTCTGACCATGGCGCAGAGAAGTCAAAGGCTAATCGGACGCCCTGTCTGGAGGATGGCACACTGTTCAGCACCCGGATGATCGAAGTCATTAATCGAAGGCTGCTGTTTGTCAAGGCGGATGACGAACCCAGCGCTTTGGTACACAACAGTCAGCTTGTTTCATCGCTGTACAAATCTGTCATCCAGGCCTGCAGGATCGACGCCCAAATTTGGACCAGTCTTGCGGCTCACGCTGGGTTCGCGGCTCTACACACCTCATTGTGGCTGCATGCAGTTGGTGATCTATCACGAATGGTCATTCAGGCTGCCAGTAACTTTTGCCTTGGCTCCGAAGCGCCCAATGCAGCCAAGAACGACTACTGGAGAGCAGTACTGGTCACACTTCCGTCGGCACTGCACGCAGACGTCAACAGATCAGCATTCTTCGGTCTCGCTGTTAACCTACTGAACAAGAGTGACGCCATCCGATCCTCAGAAGATGCTGCCAGAGCGCTAATTACGGACGTGACAAGTTGTCTCGCAACATACGAGCACACCGAAGCACCAACGCACCCTATCCCAGACGAGGCGGTCATTGGCATGCTGCAGATACTCGGATGTGCCATCGTGGTCCTAAAGAGCTTTAAGAAGCGTCTGAATCTCGAGGACGTTGGCGCAACCTTGTTCGACACACTGCTGTTCCCACCGCCTGAATCAGTTTCACAGCCTGTGTTGGCTGAACAGACACGCGGATTGCTTTACGACGCGATCAAAGCAACGGTCGAGACTCCACAAGACTACGCTCGACTTGCCCAGAAGTCTGTCGAGGTTATTCGAACACTGGGCGAGAACTACAACGAACACTTTCCAGACATGAATGGTTGGCACCGAGAGTACGACTTACCAGCCGGCTTGACCAATCTCAGTATGACCTGCTACATGAATTCTTTACTCCAACAGCTCTTCGCCAATATCGCCTTTCGCAAGTTCGTCCTTAACATCCCCGTCGTGGAGACGCTCAAGCAGCCTTTGCTCGAGGCTGTCCAGAGCCTGTTCGCTAACATGCAAAGTGGTTCCGTGCCTTGTGTGGCAACGCAGCACCTGGTAAGTGTTCTTGGCGCAAATCCGAATACGCAGGAAGACGTACATTATTTTTATGCAAAGCTGCTTGCGCAACTGGAGCAAGAGCTACCGAGCGAAGACTACAAAGAGACACTCTCGACCTTCTTCACCGGCAAATTCGTAACGCAGATCAAAGGCGAATGTGGCCATATCTCCTCAACGTCCGAGGACTTCACGGATGTGCCGATCACTGTGAAAAACAAAGCAAACCTGACAGAAGGCTTGCAAGAGTTTGTGCAAGGCGAGCCCATGCAAGGCGCTAACAAGTACCGGTGCATGACATGCAGCCCTGACGACGGCGGGCGACTCGTCAATGCTATGAAGCGTTCATGCTTGGAAAAGACGCCGGACAATGTCACATTCTGTTTGAAGCGTTTTGCGTACGAGTCGTACGACTCACAGCAAGCGAAAGTGAACGATCGTTTCGAGTTCCCACCTCAGATCGATCTGGCATCATATCGATTGGAGAGCCTCGATGGAAAGCAACCACATAGCGAACCAGATATGTTCGATCTTGTCGGGGTTGTGGTGCATCAGGGAGCGCTGGACTATGGTCACTATTGGTCCTACGTAAGGATTCGAAATTCTGCCGATCCACCAACTTGGATGAAGATTGAGGATAACATCGCCAAACGTTGCGAGAATCTTGAGCAGATGCTTCGAGAATGCTACGGTGGATTGCGCACCTTCAAAGGCTCTGAAAAGGATGACAATGCTTACATGCTGTTCTACCAACGCCGTTCTCGCAGACTCGAAGACATGAGTCTGCTGAAGCAGGCTCGCGTGTCTCGCAGACTACTTCGAGAGCTGTTGCCGCACGTCGAGATGCCAACAAAGATGACCCAGGACATTGCCACATATGCTGCATGGCGATGGAGGATGGGGCATGTGTATTCGCCGCAGTTTGCACAATTTGTTGAATGGCTCCTTGGCACTTCTGGGAGACTGCCATCTGCTTCACAGGCAGCCATTGACGTCCAAGACACCACGAGCAATGAGCTGGAGCTGCAACAAGTGGATCAGCAAGACGCCGAACTGCTCAACACATTGTCAGAGCTAGCTGCTCGTTATCTGCTACGTGTCTGTCTGAGAGACATGAATACGGCTTCGAGGACGGCCGCACTACTGCGGCTCGTCGAGCATGAGAAGCTTGCGAACAGCACGCGTGAATCATTCGTGGCACGACTGGTCACGCATATGTCCAACGATCCTGCTTTCGTGGCTGCAATCTGGATGACACCTCGCGCCGCCTTTCGTCGACCGGTGTCTCGCTTCCTCGCCACTTGTCTGCGCCGGTGGGGTGACGTTGGCATTCATGACGAGTTCAGGCCATCTGATGAGACTATCGCAAAGCTCATCGCGGCTCACGACAGCGTTCATCTCGACAGAATACACAACCTCTGGACTGATTGGTTCGAATTCATGTCCCTTGCCAACCTTGCGCGCAGCGTAATGGAAGCTGGCATTTTCGACACCGTTTTTGAAGTGCTCTATATCGAGGTCTGCCCACCAGAAATCCAGGCCAGATATCCTAACATGATCCTGGCCATGAAGAAGGAAACTCTCAATCTGACACCGCTTTTCAGCTTCCTCTATGAATTCCTTCGGAAACACGTGGATCTCCATGACTCGGGCTCAACAGTCAGCTATACTGAGCACGAGGGCATCTTCTACCTCGGGCAACGAGATGTGGAAAACCTATACCGATGTCGACCTGGCACCACTGAGAATTGCGATTGGTGGTTGCTTGATATCGCGCTGAAGTATACCGTCGTACCAGCTAACAGCGACTTGGTCATGTTCTCACCGGGCAAGCTCTATGGTCATTTACTGAAAAGACCACCTCTGGAATTCCTGAAACAAGAGCTTGACCTGAGGCTCATACACACTCTGGTCGACCGCTTCGGCACTGAGCAGCACAAGCTGCTGCCCTTGCTGAGCATGCTTCTGAACCACTGTTGCTCGCACGGCAACCAGAGTAGGGACATGGTCGTGCAGCTGAGCAAGGAGATGATCGAGTGGCTCGACGCCTACGGCATTGAGATAGTACGCAGTTTCGGCGAGTGTGCCAAAATTGCGCGCCTATCTGCGCTCGAAGGTATGTGCGAATGGGTCCCGGCTTACTTGGTGTGTAACAAACCCCAAGTACGCGAGGCCACCAGAGCGCTGTTGGACGAGCATATGTTCCTGGATCCGCAACCCAATCCTGAAGAGACACCTGCTCGGATCCGATTAGCTCGTACTATGACGAGCAAACTCGCGCCATTTCTCCGCACGTCATACCAGGATGGCTCACGTAGGAAATGTATCCTGGATGTCTTCGCGATTGCACAGGTAACACTGCGATGGCTGAAGGCGCTGCATCGCGAAATGGAGAATGTTAGCAAGTTCACGCCACCCGAAAAGCTTAAATTGAGCCCCAAGACCCTCGTTGAGTGCGAAGAGTCGAAGAGCGCTATTGCCAGCCTCGAGCAGCTTTTCGACGATTTGAAGGAGTGGGAGGTGGTCACCAGTCTTGTGACGAACGAGGAGACGGCACCGGAGGATCTCCCATCATTGGGGGAGTCGCCAACGAAGACGACGCATGTGAAGTATGACAAGGAAGTTGATGAGGACGAGGATGATGATGAGGATCCGCCGAGCGATGATAGTGCGTTTGGGGGTGAGGATTAGTGATAAGGGCTTATGAATGCATGATTGATGGGCAATGATTTATGACAGCTCACTTTGTTGGCTCGCAAAAGCGGACAATCTCGGTTCTATCACCGGTCGATACTGCTGGCTTGCTGGTTGATGACTTCCGCGAAGTCCGCAGATATGATGGTGGTTGGAAAAGTGCTTGATTGTCTTGAAGCCCATTCCTCCTGAGCTAGACATAAAGCCTAGCTACAATATTGTATAATATCCACAGCCCGGCCTGTGTACATGTATTCCTGTATGATGACGGTGAGCCTCGATTGTGGGTATGAGAGAGCGTTCTCGCACCGTACAAGGACCCAGCTCGTCTCGGAGATGACCGTACCTGTGCAAGGATTTCCAAGAATACACTTCTATGAAGGCAGCGTCGTAGACAACAAAATTATAGCACACGTTCCTGAAAAGAGTGTCTCATGGTCGCCAACAGTGTGGGTCGTAATACGCCTAGATAACATCGCGTTTGTGGTGATTTCTTGGTCGTGCTCCGCCGCGAATGGGACACTGAGGTGTCACATTAAATCGTTACGCCATCCCAGCATTCTGGCCTGCGCTATAAAGAACTGAACCAACACCAACTCATACAACTCTCCACGCTTTGCAAGCTCCCAGCAGAGTCCGATCCGTACGAATCGCCGTTGTGACTGACCAGTCCATCAAGTCTTGTCGACAGAGCTGGTCTGCAATTCGAATGGTGGGCTGAGAATGCACGGGACGAACGAACTCTCCTGCGACAATGCTTGGAATCATCAGTAATTTTCCAGCTGCGTCACGCGGGCGTTCCGGCAAGACCCGAGATCAATACCCGAAGGAGCTTGAAGCCTCGCAAGCGAAGAGACCTGGAGCCGAAAAAGCAAGAAGTCTTCTGAACAAGAGTCGCGGTCTTAGCTTGACAGCGAACGATGTTGTACAAGTCAATCGAGTCTCGGAAGCAAAGGCGATAGCAGGTGCAGTTGAAGGCGGGAAAGAGGTAGGTATCAGGACGCTGAGTGATCATGAAGGTGTGAAACAACGTAAAAACAGCTTGTCAAAGCAGCTGACTATGGCTATACCGCTCCTCCTCCAATGTGAGCCAGAAGTGCTGACTCGTTTCTATAGTCGATCGTGCGGACTCGTCTGTCCAAGAGTCTCACACATATTAGAAAATAAGCGCGATTCCGGTGGTCAAGATTGTGGGTATCGATTGTCAGGATGCTGTGGCCACGTGCGGTGGCAAAGATAGAGATGTAGACCGGGATGATCGTGAGCCTCAGAGACATGGTGCGAGTGTCCGCCTGGACAGGATAGGCAAGATCACCGGCGCACTCGGAAAAGTCGTATCAGCCGCCCTCGAGAGTCTCAAGCCAGGAGGTCGAATCGCCGGCGATACAAGGAAGCCAGATCTTGACTCTAGCACAGGCCGTTAGAAGCCCGCAGGTTCCCAGCAGCGTGGCTCTTACCAAGGTGGAAGGAACACTAGTCAATGCAGTGGCACTTCCGGGACTAGCATGCTCAGCGGACAGAAGCTGCGAAACGACAACAGCAGCAGCCAGTCACTTGGCTATAGCGCTGGTCCACTGTCCTTCGCTCCCGAGAGAGGGCCAGTCAGCAGGCAGAAGTCTAATCCTTCAAAACAGTATCCAACCGACTGGAAGACGCTCTCGGCATCAGAACTTCAAGTAATTGAGCGGTATGGCGAAGTCGTCGTTGTCTACACTGATGGCTCCACCCATTACCACTTCATAGGACCTCCGTTGGCCGACGGAAGTCCCAAGTACGAACTAGACCAATTCGGACAGAGCAAACCCAAGACTTCAGGCTTCAGTGTCGCGTGGCGTGGAGAAGGTGGTGAGTTCGAGGCGGATGCTTACTCCACAGGAGCGGCCAGCAGCTCGAGGGTCGAAATTCGTGCTCTTGACGCTGCGATCCATACAGCGTTCGAGTTATGTCATGAGCGCAGAAAGGTTCGTGCTCTCCTGGTCAGCGACAGTCTTGACGCCATTCATATGTGCTCGGGACCGAGCGGGATGTGTTCGAAGATGCGACCGACGGATCCTTGTGTTTCGCACGACGAAATCCGCACAACAAAATCCGCACAGAGCAAAGACTGGATTCAATTGGATTTACTTCGACATCACTTGGGTCAGGTCCCACGAAGATTGTGCTGGAAATTGTGTGGCCGACGGCGTGGCGAAGTACGCTTCTAGGACTTCCGATGAGGCTTGGCGAGCGGGATTGTTCAACAAGCCAAGACGATAGTGGTCGAGGCGCAATATGAGGGACGCTGCTCGCGTGGCGGATCTTCGTCTTGCAGCCAAGCAGCAGGAGGTGACGACGACTGGGTCTGACGAAGACGACTTTCTTACTAGCACCTCGGTACCTAATGAGCAGCCACCTCAACTGCCTGGCAACACCACCGGACAGGCCGTTATGGTGGTTGATCCGGGCGTAGCGAAACGTACGATGAGCAAGACGTTCATCACACACGAGATGCAGCAGGCGGGTCTTGAGGCCACCGTCCCCAAAAGTCAAGATGACGATGCTAGTGGTAGCGGTATTATCGATCGTGGTAGTGGGAGAAGCAACGGTAGTGAGCCGAGGAAGAAACTTAGAGCTGAGTCGGATGGAATTCTGCGTGACTCTGGCGATGACGGGAGCATGCATCGGACTTCCAAGAAGTCAAGACGTTCGGCGTTTGGTGGGTAGACGAGAGAGGAGGTATACAGAGGTCGAGAGGAGTGTCCAGCAAGGGACTTCTTGAACGGGCGAAAATAAGCTTTAATAGCTAGATGTGCTGATCAGCGAGGCGACAGTTCACGGCAGCCTCTGCACTCTTTAAAACACACCTGGTCCGTCACACCGGCAGCTTAGGTTCGCCGAGTTTCGACGCACGCAATGGTCTCACGTAGCAGTTCACATTTTTCTTTCCAGCGCTCCAATGCTTTGCACCTGACCGCCGATCGCTCATTAAGATGACAGACGACACTAGCTCCGACGCCGACAGACTCGCCATCCCAATGGTCCATTTCAGGTTTGTCTCATTGCTCATCCTGATGCTCGTTCAGGTTCTGTAGCGCCAATTTCACGCTCTCAGGCCAAGGCAAGATAATCCGGAAGTCATAAAGCCAGTATCCTTCCTCGATGATTCGGGTACCCTCTGCAGCATATTCCTTCTCTGACAGACTGTAACAAGGCTTCCAATCCGCAGGATGCTCTGGAAATGTTGGAAGATCGATGTCCACGTTCCGCAGTTCGTATGTACTGTCCTCGTCGTCGTATGGTGCGCCACCAGCTCTCATGAGACGGTCCCTTGCTTCCACGTACGCTTGCTCGGTGGGCCCCAGGGCATTGGCAGTCGTCTGGACTCTTGCAAATATAACTGTCCAACTTCTTCCGCATCCCGTGCTTCACCAATTGTTATTAGTCGAGTATACTCTTCCCCATATCTGCCACGTCTATGATGACGTATGTACGGCCCATAGGCTCTGTTCATCCTGCGCACCTTCCCATCAACTTCTTCTTCCCTTCGCTTGAGCTCCTCCTTAGCTGCGTCGCTGAGTGAAGCCACTTTTCGGGGGAATTCCCGAGCAAGTGCCTTCTGTGCCGCGATGTAGCGTTCCTGTACGGTCATGCCATCGTCCCCACGTACCGTCTGTGTCCGTCGCCGTCTGTCGTCCGGATCAACGGGCAGAAGATCAAGTGCGCGAACGATCCTGTCGAGATGATGTTCGTGGAAGCTGCTGACAACCGACAGCATATTCTCGTCCTCAGCCTCGGGCACAAAGCTGAAGTCCGGCTTACGTCCGTGCTGAGCAACAGCAAAAGCGCCCATGGCACCGAAGAACTGCCTGATAGAGTAGGAGTCCGTGGTGGATTATGGTGAAACGACCCACTTTCGAGCCAGATCGTGAGGCTACTTCTATGTGGCAAGACTCTCACGGCTTCATCCGTCTGATCCCACTCCAGCGCTTGCGCGTTTCCTTACTACACTCCTCCGCATCGAAGACGGTGCGAAATCCGTGCTGTTGACACAGTCGATCGAGGTGAACAGAGTTTTGTGCAAGACGGGGAAGTGCGTGTAACAGCAAAAAGTCCGTGTCGAGGTGATAGTAGAGACAGATCAACCCACATTCCTAAACACGTAAGCGAGCTCACGACCTCGAATGCTGCTCCGCCGTGCTCTGGCTGTTCCGCTGGAGTGTCTCAGTCGAAAGGCAGAGAAGTGGACGCCAGCTGCCACAGCAGCGTGAGACTCGCTCAAAACGACCCTTGTCGTGAAAAGTAGGGGGTAATATGCGCAGCACAGGCCTAGGTGCCTCCGAACACACCAGAGCCAGGCGGGACGCTGATGGTAGGGTGAAGTCTTGTGCACTGGTATCGATCATTAGCTTTAGTCATGGTGACACTGGTAAAGCAATGTTCAATACTAGTAAAGCAATAGTCAACACCAGTAGAGCAATAGTCGACACTAGGCAAGCAGCAACACGGGCAAAGCAATTGTCGAACCTCCCAGAACCAGTGGCTAAGATCGTAGCAGAGTGCAGAGCCGGCTGGAATGAAGAGTGAAGTACTAGCAAGTATGACGCGAGTAGATGGCGAGCTTGCGGGTGATCTGACACCCCTAGTCAAGCCGTTTGATGGTGATCATCGTCCTCGCACTCAATAAGATGGCGAGTGTGATACTTGCAGATAGGATGAGATCTTCCAGAATGGCAGATCGACTGATCATCCAGCGAGCCAGAAGATATCGACACCAAGCTTTGTCCAGCTCAAGATGACGTCCGACTACCAAGACGACGAACGTTCATTCATCCAAACATCTCACAAATTTCCAAAACCCATCTCACCTCACCACCCACATTCAAGCAGTCCACATTCAAGCAGTCCACATTCAAGCAGTCCACATTCAAGCAGTCAAAGCACTACTAACCCCCATAACCCCCATCCCAACAACCGCAGCCCCCAAACACAACCCCCTCCGATGACTCAACCCCACCGCCTCCCCAAAAAGCTGCAACCCCACCACCGCCAAAATCCCACTCGTAACAGCAAACATCCCGCCATACACCCCCTCCCTAGGCTCCCACTTCCCATCCCCCGCGCCCCAGAACCACAGCGCCGCGACTCCGGCCCCTAGTGGCTGAGATAAACCGCCTAGGACGAAAGCCACGAGCATGGCTTTCAAGCGGTTATTTAATGCGAGGTAGAGCGGGAGGGCGAGGGCGAAACCCTCGGTGATGTTGTGGATGAACAGGGCGAGGAAGACGGAGAGGCCGAGAGTTGGGTTGGCGTGGTTCGTGGCGTAGGTTATGAAGCCCTCGGGGAGTTTGTGCAGGGCGATGGCGATGGATGTCTGGAGGCCGAGCGATAGGAAGGCGTTTTGGGGGACGTGGTGGTGGTGGTGGTCTGGTTTCGTGTCCTCGTCTTCATTTTCGGGATCGCCGGAGTCGTGGTCTTGGTGGTCGCTTGGATCGTGATGTGAGCCATTGCTAGGGTTCCGGGGGTTGGGGGGGCCGTTGGGTGTACCGTTGGTCTTGGGGGTCGATCTACTACTATCGTTCGAGTTTCCTCTCTCCAGATCCTCGATCCCGGCGAATATCTCCTCGAGCTGCTGGGCCTGTCTTGCAGAATCGCAGGTATGCGGCTGCGGTCTTCTTCTCGGCTCCACCCGAATATCCTGCAATAAAGGCGTCCTTTCCGTATCCGCAGTGGGGAGCGCGCCCTGCACAGTCGCCCGCTCAGAAAGAAGAGGACGTACGCTTCTCGCGCTAGCTAGTCTTGCAGGAGCGCGAAAACCACCCCTTCCACTGACATTCTTGAAACAATCTTGGCCGCAGGGTTCGCTGTAGCCGTAGCAGGGTCCGTCGCAACCGCAGGCTTCCCTGACCGGGGTAGATGTTATACGCGTGATTGTGCTGGTTAGTCGTTCCTGTAGTGTTGGTCTTCTAGGCTGTTCGGCGAGCAGTGGTCGAGGTTGTGCTTGTCCATTGGCCAGGGTCGGGATTTCGGCTGGAGGTTCAAGAGATGATTGTTGAGGTCTGAAGATGCCAAAGTATGACGATTGTCTTCTCCCTGCGGATGGGGAGTTGCGGTAGTTGCTATTGCGCCAGTGCATATGTCCCGGCAGCGAACTCAAGCGCTGGGAGGCCTGCGGTCTTCGTTGTGCTGGCGGATCTTTATGCTGGTGCTCGTGCTCAGTCGCATCCCCATTCTCATGAACATGGCCATCAGTGTCCTCATTGTGTTCCTTCGCCGTCTCGTCACCCTCATCATCGTGAGAGTGCTCACAGTCCACAACATGGGAAGGAATGAACCGATGAATGATTCGTGAGACGATAGTAATACCCACCACACCCCCAAGAAAACACCCAATCATGATCCACGTCGCTTCCTTGGGAGCGAAGCCGCCTTCTTGGAGAGATTTCTTGGCGTTGGGAAGCATACTATACAAAGCCGAAAACATCTGACTCAACGTAAGCATAAAGTACACCAAGAGAGTTCCAGTATGGGATAATTTATACATACCATAACGCCAAAACTTAGACTAAGTGAGGCAGAGAGGAAAGTATCACTATCCTGGATCTTGAAATCTCGCTTGCCTGGAAATTGGCGGACAATGATGTCGACGCATATGATGGAGGCTCCCAGTACGCAAGCAATGCCACTTAAGACGGTCATTATCCAGCCCCGTTCGTCGTTCGAGAGACCCATATTGGCGGTATCGAGCTAGGGTAATTTCCCAGGATGTTACAATTGTGGATTTCGAGGGTGTAGATGCTATACAGTTGGATAGAATGCCTACGTTATTTTTCAAGCCGCTCGAATAAGAGACTGGAAGTAACAGCCTCACTTCTTCTGCCCTTGTTCTGGTGACGGCCGGCTCAGGCGAAGATGTCCAGATGGAGTTTGATCCTCCACGTCCGGGGAGCTATCGTCTTTTACCGGGAGCAGCTGTCGATGAGGCCAGAAGTTGTGCTGATGAAGGTGCAAGCGTGATGCGCCCATGCGATGCTCTCTCATCAAGGTGCGTGGCGCCAACCAAAGTTTCCGAGCAGTTGTGGCGCAAGCTTCACGCACGGACGTTATCGAAGAATGACTCGCATGTGACGATGACGTTGTGTATATCAAATATTAGGCGTATAGATACTTGGCAAGGATTCGAGACTTGAGTTCCTAGTGCGGGCAGTGGAGTGGCGGGAAGACGGTTTTGTAAGGACAAAGGCATAAGATGGCTCAACTCCAGCCCAAAGCAGCCGACAAGCTACTCCAGCGACCACTGTACGTCTTCGATCTGCCGGAGGGGTTACTTTATACACTGCAACTTCGGGTACAGTCTATAGTAGGGTCGGCAGAAGAGGCAGAAGTGCCAACACCGACCCCCACAGAAGGTCAGACAAATGGCAGCCATGATGATCCCACCAAGGCCTCATTGTCGTGCGCTCTATGTAGTCTCACCTTCACCAACCTCCAAGAGCAAAGAAGTCACGTGCGATCAGACCTGCACGGCTACAACTTAAAGCAGAAGTTACGGGGGAAGAAAGCGGTGGGCGAGAATGAATTCGAGCGGCTAGTCGGGGAACTGAACGAAAGTCTGTCGGGCTCAGACGACACTTCCTCAGAAGACGAGGACGGGGCAGAGGATGGCAGCAGACCGAAGGACACCACACTGAATGCGCTTTTAAAACGCCAAGCGAAACTTACAGACGGTGATGCGGACGATGCGCCCGTGAGAAGGAAAAAGGACAGTGGCAAGCCACCACTGCTCTGGTTCACGTGCTCGAAACTGCCATCGAATACACGTCTCGGCTTCTACCGCGCCGTCTTCACCAACACCGAGCAAGCGAACGAGGGAAGTCTAGTTCAAACCATTCAACAGAAACAGCTCGCACCAAAATCGCCACCCAAGCAACCACCGAAGCCGAACCCCTCAGCAACAGTAGCAGACGACGAAGAAGACGGTGGCGTACCTTTGCCCACCACCATCACTACTCTGTCCACCCCCACACCAAGCCAATCCCAAGGACCTCACTACTTCCTCTGCATGATAGGCGGCGGCCACTTCGCCGCCATGCTCGTCTCCCTCACCCCCAAATCCAGCAAGCAGTCCGGCATCGAGGACCGCTCCGCCACAGTCCTAGCACACAAAACCTTCCACCGCTACACCACCCGTCGCAAACAAGGTGGTAGTCAAAGCAGCAACGACAACAGTAAGGGAAACGCTCATTCCGCCGGAGCGGGGATAAGACGTTACAATGAGACTGCTCTGATCGCGGACGTGCGAGCTTTACTGGCGGAGTGGAGAGCTTGGATTGACAGTGCCGAATTGCTGTTTGTCCGAGCCACGGGGTCGACGAATCGTAGGACGCTTTTTGGGCCTTATGAGGAGCAAGTACTGTCGCTCAAAGATGAAAGGTTAAGAGGTTTTCCCTTTTCGACGAGGAGGGCGACGCAGAGTGAACTGATGAAAGGGTTTGTGGAGTTGACTAGGGTCAAAGTCAGTGTTGTTGATGAGGAGGCGGAAGCCAGACGAATAGAAGAAGCCAAGGCCGCTGCGGCGAGGAGGAAGGATGCTGCGCAGAACAAGCTCGATGCTTCCACGGCGGCGAAGAAAGCGAACAAGCCGTTGAAGCAGGACGAGGAGGCTGCGGTGCATACGACACAACTCCAAGCTCTGATCCGACGATCCAAAGCACCCGCCCTTCTGACATACCTCCAAGCTAACAACCTCTCCCCGGGCTTCCTCTTCCACCCGCCGGAGCAAAACCATCATGCTCCAACGCCATTACATCTAGCCGCCGCATCGAACAGCGGAGCCTGCGTCCTCGCTCTACTAACAAAAAGCGAAGCGGATCCTGCGATCAAGAATGGCGAAGGCAAGACCGCCTTCGACATAGCCGGCGACCGCAACACACGCGACACCTTCCGCCTCGCCCGCAATCTCCTAGGCGAAGCCCGCTGGGACTGGCCCAGCACCTCCATCCCCACCCCCCTCTCCCAAACCGAATTCGACGCCCGCTCTCTGCGCGAAAAAGAGGAAAAAGCCGCCGAGGAAGCGGCGGAGAAATCGCGACGGAAAGCCGAAGAAGAGCGGATTAGAAAGGAAGACCAGGGGAAGCAGGGTGCAGAGAATGAGAGGAAGTTCGGGAAGGGGAATGTGCTGTCGAAACCCGTGTTGACGGCTGAGCAGAAGAGGCAGTTAGAGGGCAGGGGGATGACGGAGGAGATGCGGATGAGGTTGGAGAGGGAGAAGAGGGCGAGGGCGGCGGAGGAGAGGATTAAGCGGATGACGGGGCAGAAATGAGGAGACTATTGCTGTTTCATGGCATTTGAGATGGACCATTTGCCGACGAAGTAGAGGGCGTGGCCAGGACCCGATCAAATATCCATTTTGATGGTAAATGTGATGTTACGATGATTCCTGTCAAGATGGATAATCATACCATGATGAAAATATGGGCACAGCTCTGACAACCACAGACGCATCCTCCGTTGTCAGCAGCAGCGCCGCCTCCTTCAACCCCTTCATCTCCCTCCCCTCCCCTTCTGGCTCTCCAGTCGATCCCGAGATCAATCAAATGCCCCACGTGCGCGCAAAACAACTCCGACCCCTGCTTCCGCACCGCCAGGGCCCTGGCATCCTTGTCCTCAAGATCACCAGCGCCCCACGACCCATCACCCCATCCTCCCACACCCCAAGAGACGCCCTTTCGAATCTTCTCCTTCCGCCATCTCTCCGCCGACCGCCGCAACCGCGTGGAACAAAAATCACAAACCCACCCCCCCATCCCCCATCTCCCTTCCACCTCAACAAAGCCCTCAAGCGGGTGTAAACATCGACACCCCACACACCTCCTCCTCCCAACCCTCTGCTCTCGAAACTCATTCACATATTTCCGAATCGCGGTCCGCTCGCAGAGCGAGAGGTTGTGGAAGGCTGCTTTGCCAACATACCATTTCGAGAGGGGGATCAAGTGGTAGAGTGCTCGATCGACTAGTTTTAGGGAGATAATGCTTGAGAGGGGGAGGTGGGTTAGGATGAGTTGGAGGAGTTCGGGCGGTAGGGAGTGGAGGTTTGGTGACGCTGTGGTGGTCGCTGAGGCTGTGCTTGTAGCACCGGATGGCGGAGATGTGGTGATTGTCATGGCTTTCTTGGAAGGCGCCGGGGATACCGTGGTGGGCGGTTGTTTTGTTGAGATGAGGGTACTCGATGACTGATATCTTTCGAGTGAGGTTTCAGGCGACCACCACGAGGAGCTTATGCGGGCCTGGGCGAGACGAGCGAGCTCGTAGTCGCTCGCGGCTTCTGCTATTTGTCGTTGAACGCCCTGGACCAGTGGTCACGAGCGCGATGTTGCGATGGTAGATAGCGACCTGGTCTCGATATTGTCCAATGTTTCCTCAAGTCGTAATCGTCAAGGTGTAGACTGTCGACATACTGATATTGAAGCAAACATGTGAAGATCACATAGTGAAGACATATAAAGGAATTATACTGAACCGATCTATCTGACATGTTTGCGTCGAGGTTGTGCGCATCCAGGCATGTGCGCATCCACCGCGACACACTCACGGTCGCGCATGACACCTTGACAAGATTCGCGTTTGGGAAGGAGCACCGTACCTTAGACTTACCTGCCCCTTGATGGTTGTAAGCAGAGCCCAACAAGCAGGCGCAGTTGTGGCAAACACGAAGCCGAGTTCTGAATGTAAGTCGGCAACACAGAAGAACGAGTCGGGAATGCCTTGATATCATATTCGTATAGCCAGGCATAGTATGTCAAGTTAAGTCCACTGGAGACACAAGGTACTCTGAACGACCTTCCAGCAAACCCAGGACAATGGGCCATGTAGCACGAATGGAGCAGTCACACATTGACCAGCAAGCCACGAGTTTTGAGTAGTGGTGTGGTTCGAACCGAAGAGGGATCCATCCTCCAGATGACGAGAGAGGTCATCCTGTCAGATGGCCATCGCATTCAGTTCATGCTTACCCGAGTCAGGTGGGAGGAGCAAAGTGTAGCAAGAAGTCGACGTGCATGATGCGACTGCACGGTCCGTACCGTCGATGGCCGCAAGATAGCCCTACGAAACGATTTCTGTTCCGGATTCTAGACCGTGCCTCATGTTGGTCTTTTCCGTGGTCAGAATGAACGGCGTACGGCTGTGCGCTTGCGAACCGACGCGAGCTGGATGTCATGCGACAACCCGTACCTTCAATGCCCAAGCGGAAAGTCTCACCAAGCTTCGGGTAGCTTTGACATGTGATACGGTTAGACTAGCCAGCCGCATTAGGCGCGCAACTCCGATGTGTGTGTGTGTGTGTGAGATCGCAAACATGGGTGCGGCCGTCCTATTCAGCCGGTGGGACAGCCTTGTGAGCGAGGGTCTCGATAGGCGATGTTTCCAGTATGGCTGTGTTCGATGCCGCTGCTGGTGATCGCTGTTGCCCGCTCTATCCTTCAAGCCAGTACAGAACACCACCAGGGAGTCGGTCCGAAGCCATGATGTCGACATCTTGATCGTGCCTCTCGGATCTCAAATTTCTCCGCTCGACGAAGTCTGCAGGTCACTGAAGACGGTATTGGTCATCATGCACCGCTTCGATGCAGCTCTAGGCGCGGGGATGGTTGCATACATATATGCAGAATTACCGCCGGACGCTTGACACCATCGTCCAAGTCATCATGCGTGTACCGACGAGGATAGCAAGCGATCATACAGCAGATCTCGTGATCAAGTAGCGTCGTACAGGAGGTAGAGAGGGATTCATGCGGTAGAGCGAGGGACGAACCGATCAGGGTTTTAGGGTGTGAAGGGCGGCTCGACATGTGGAAAAAAGCTTGGCTCCGCTGTGGCGCCTTCGTCGCGTGTCGTGTGAATGGCACTTCCGAGGGTATTTCTTCGGGCGGGACTGTGAAGAATGTCGCGAAACCGTCTGATCTCGCTCGTTTGGTAAACCAGATTCATGGGGACAGGCGCGATAGCTGTAGTCGCCTTTTCGCATACCGGATGCATCTGAATGGGAACCCTCGATTAGAAGGCCAAAAAGGCTATAGGGAAATGAGTGTTGAGGCTAGCAACTTTTTGGGCGGAGATTTGGCCAGCGCCAGCAGAACTCCTCCCACCTGCTCGTCCCGCATTCGACCGATAGTCCTTCCCTTCTCTTTGCTTTCGTGTTGTCGTTAATTGTGTTGTCGTCGCCAAAGCCGTTCCTTTCCAGGTGTTGATTTTGAATACGAGGTGGTTGTTGTTGTTGTGGAAGGTGAGTCGCATGCCGTGGACCCATGGTCCCTATTCCCGCGTATAGTGCCTGGACCTCGAGGCTCAAACTGGTACCTTATACGCCTAACGGTCTTGAGGGACAAGAAGCGTGGAGTGATTTGTCGCGGCGATAATGTTCTCATACTCGGTCATTCAGAAGACATTTGACGACAGACGTTCCTAACAACTTCACACAGACGCCATATTTGCTTTCGAGAGCTCGAGTCCATATACCCTAATTCGACTCGAATACACTACTACTACGATATGTCATTCTACGATAACGACGGTGGGGCTTTTGGTCGTCAGTCTTCATGGGAGCAGCCACCGCCGCCGTCCCGATCTGGCACCGGATCGTCAATGTCTCAGCCCCAGCAATCCGAAGCGAACGCCTTCGCATCGCAGTTCGAAGAGATCGACAGAGCGACCGATAACCTCGTGCGCAGCGGCAAGATGTTCCCAGGTCAGACGCCGGGTGGTGTGCCCGGTACACCTGGTGGAGGTCGCAGAGATAGCGTGCCTGGTGGAGGTAGGGGGTATGAGAACTTTGGTAGTGGAGATGCGAGGATGTCGGGACCTTCGAGGCATCAAAGCATGAGCGAGTACGAGGGCGGAAGGCCGGGGTCGGCGGGTCTACAGGGCTACTATGCAGGACAACGGTATCCGGGTGGGAGGCAGAGTGAAGCGGAGCAGATGTTGCAGGCGAAGCGGAGGATGGCTGCTGCGAGGGAGAGGGAGTTGAGGAATTACCATCAGGAGCAGCAGTACAACCGAAGTGAGTAGGACAAGATATGTTGGACGTGCGCTCTGATCACTGACTATGGACAACAGCATCCGCACCGGGCGTAAAGACTGATCGCGCGATGAGCCCAACCGCTATGTCCGAGGAAGACCGCCGCGATCTCATAGCCCGCCAACACCGTGCTCTGTACGGCGACAACGCCAGCCTCTACACCGCTGAGAGCGCACCACGCCCACAAAGCCAAGATGCACGATCCGCCGCATCCGCTGGACGTGGCCCTTCACCACTAGCGTTCGATCCCTACGGCGTTCAGGCACAAGGTGGTGCCGAGAACGCGGTCCAGATGCCGCCGCGCGACCGCGCCGAAAGTACTGCAAGCCCGGCCTCGAATACGCTAGCACCACAGCAGCAGAGTTTTGGCTTGTTGGGTGAAGCGCAGTCGGCAGGCCGCACCTCCAATTCTTCACCAGGCGAATCACCGCCCTTGACTCAGAACCAAAAGAGCGCAGGCTCCGGCGTGGCACCAATCGGCACGCGACCGCTTCAGCAGCAACAACAGGGCGTGAACAAGCCTCGTTCAACAACACCTCTTACCCCTTCATCACTCAGCTATGGCTACACGAGCGATAACCAGCAGACGTCGAAAGACGACCCGCGCTCGACTTCCGCTGCTTCTAACCCGGGACTTGCTGCTGAAAAGGGTGTCAGCGGGTTAGGAAGTTGGGGCGGTAATAGTGCTATGTGGGGTTCTGGGAAGAACACTTTGGCTGTGCAGCCGTCGGTCTGGGGTTAGTGGTCTCAGTCGAGGGCAAAGTAATAGGTGAGGCGTCAGTGACATGAGCATCATGTGTTTTGACGTGTGAAGGAGTCGTGGGGCACTGTGGCTTTGTCAGGCTGGGGTCTGTTGTGTGGGATTGATGATTCTAGCAAGCGCGTTCATGCGGTTATCTGCTTGAGTTTGCTTTTCACATCAGGCTTCGGATCTGCGTTCATACGGGTTCATTTTTTGAGGTTTGCAACGGTCTGGGTTGGGTCTGCGGGTTCATGTTGGGCATGGGATGGGAATGGGCATATTGGTGATCGTGCTTCTGCATTATACCATGCTGCGTAATTTGTCGCGACTTCGGGCATGGCTTAGGTACTCGGGATAGGTTGAAAGCATTGTTTCACTCTTCCACATGGCCCTGGATGTTAACTCATAGCCCCGTGGCTGTGGCTCAGTACCTGACTGTCACGTGTATTTCCCCACACAGACCATTTCGGCGCGGATAAAGGTGAAATCCGGGGCATCGAGCTACACCTGTCCTGTCTCGTACGTGCCAAATTATGGTACATCGACGAATCCAGCATCACATCTCCGACTGTGTCCATTGAATCTTCTCGAATAGTCTAATAAGCACAAGAGACGATTCGCGGCCACAATCACCGATTTCTGGACGGCAATACTGTCGTCATCTTCCACCATGGTAGGTTCGCTCTCTTGACAATGACTAGAACATGGAGAGAAGACATCACACATGATCCCACGAGCGGCGTCTGGCGTAGAAGTGATGTCTACCTCATGATCCACATTCTTCGGCGGAGCCACAGCCAACCCTCGGACACATGCTAACATGAACACCACAGTCTTCTCCTCGCCCATCCTCCCCTGTCAACACTCCCTCGTCCACCGCGACCACAACCGGCCGTCCTTCCTCGCCAAAACCACCAGGAGGTCCCGCGACTGCGATTAGGAGAAGAGCTGCTGCGGATCGAGCGGACAAGGTTGCCAATGCTAGGCCCTCGAGCACGCGAGCAGCTGGCGCAGGCGGAAGCAGCAGCACTATGTTGAGTACGTCAAAGCTCACATGATGATGCACGTCCCGCGTAGATGGGAGCGTTGGCTGACATACGATATAGGGCTATACACGGATGAGTCGCCAGGCTTGAAAGTTGACCCTTTTGTGGTTATGGTGTTGTCCATCGGTTTCATCATCAGTGTGGTTATGTTGCACAGTAAGTCAAGACCGTCGTTTACCACTGCTTTGAAACATCAATGCTAATCCCGCTCGAAGTCATCGCGAAATTCACGAAGCGATTTTCTTCATAGCGTTCGAGCAGTCGTCTCAACGATTGGCACAAAGCACGGCGTTTGGGTGGCAGGGAAAGAAAGACTTGGTCTGGTGCTGCAGCATGTACCCCTGTAACATATGGCGGTGAGAATATATGGTTGCCAATATGTGTTCGCTCTTGCCCTTCGACCGATAGTCGTTCTATAGGCTATCATAGCCAAGCTTACCCTTTCCGTCTTCTGGGCACAGCTGGTAACATTATTGCGGGCGAATTCTGGCACAGGCGCTCTCGTCCTGCAGCGAGCCTATGACTTTGTGCAAGGTCATGTCCAGAACAGCCTACGGAGCCATGCCCTTTCAATTCGATGCTACTGCAGTCTTATCGTCCACCCTCCCAGTGAAACAGCCCACATCACCTGCAAGCTTCCACGAGCTCCATGTGTCTATTCTACATGCAGCCTTGCCGCCACGGTGCTTCACTTCCCGTTGCAAGAACGGGCGTAGTCAGCCGATCACAGCCTACGCCGATCGCATACAATCACGCACCAGCCTCGCAGCAAAGGAAACCCGATCTGCCTCGAAGACATGCCTTGCACGGTTTGTCTGACTTGCCCACTTTCTCACGATTTTATCCGGCCGCTTCTTTCAGCCGCCGGTCCCTCTCCGGGAACCTCCGACTCCACTTGAACGTCAAGATGCGATCGAACAAGCTCACCAGCGCCTGAATGCGACCCCCACCAAATCGCGACCCCTCACCAATCGACTCCAATGTTGACGTGCCAGGGGCCGTCCTTGCAACATGTTTAAAGGTGCCAGGCTGCCGGCAGAATGGACGACGCATGAAATTTCTGTATCTGTGTCGTTGGTGCCGAGACGGCCCAATCTATTGAAGGCGCGGTCATGAGTTTGCTCAAACCATTCGCTAGGTAAGTGGAGGCCCATCGTGCAGCACAAGTGTCTTCGTTCCTGGATGCACGCCGAGAACGCTATATAGATAGGCTTTCCTGTCCTGACGTTGATGTGCGGCTTAGAACTACTTTTTTGTTTCGACAGTCGACTTTTACTGCACGAGCTGCTTTGCCCAAACCTGTATTCGCCAGACAACCACAACTCATCAGAACATACGCGATGCCTTCTGCACCTTCCGTCAAGCTTAACAATGGCAAGGAGGTTAGTTTGTTTCAAACGAGAGTTAAATGTAGATCAGAAATTGACGAAATTGGTAGATGCCTCTTGTAGGCTTCGGCCTCTGGAAGGTTGACAACGCCACTTGCGCCGATACCGTCTACAACGCCATCAAGACTGGCTACAGGCTGTTCGATGGCGCCTGCGATTATGGCAACGAGCAAGAGGTTGGCCAGGGTATCAAGAAGGCCATTGACGAAAAGCTTGTGAAGCGTGAGGAGCTGTTCATCGTCTCTAAGCTTTGGAACTCTTTCCACGACCGCGAGCGTGTGAAGCCTATCTGCAAGAAGCAACTGCAAGATTACGGCATCGACTACTTCGACCTCTACGTCATCCACTTCCCAATCGCGCTCAAGTACGTCGACCCCTCAGTCAAATACCCACCAAGCTGGACCAGCGAGGCCGACAAGGTCGAGGTCAGCAAGACTCCCCTGTCTGAGACCTACGCCGCTATGGAAGAGCTGTACAACGAGGGTCTGATCAAGGCCATCGGCATCTCCAACTACAACGGTGCTCTCCTCCTCGACCTCCAGCGCTACGCAAAGACCATGCCCCAGTGCCTCCAGATCGAGCACCACCCATACCTCGTCCAGAAGGACCTCCTTGCCATTGCTGAGGAGCTCAAGCTTACCGTCACCGCTTACTCCTCTTTCGGCCCAGCATCATTCGTCGAGTTGGACATGACTTCTGCCAAGGACACACCTCTTCTGTTCGACCAGCAAGATGTTCAGGCTATCGCCAAGAAGCACAACAAGAGCGCCGGCCAGGTTCTCCTCCGATGGGCGACCCAGCGTGGCGTAGCTGTCATTCCGAAGTCCAACAACCCGGACCGTCTTGCGCAGAACTTGGATGTCTGCAGCTTCGATCTGGAGAAGAGTGAGATCGAGAAGATTAGCAGTTTGGACAAGGGTTTGCGATTCAACAACCCGCTCAACTACGGTCTTGCTCAGATCACTGGTATCTTTGCTTAGATATGAGCTGTATAGAGCATGATCGTGGCCTGTGAGTGCGCAACGGCTTGCTGAGTGAGTATATAGCTGAACAACACAAACAAGACATATAAGAAACCTCATGCAGTAGCTGCAAGCTTTTTCGAAGCTCTTTGTTTGGTCGCCTTCGAGTCACATGTCCTCGTTGCCTGATGAGTAGTGGGGCGAAGCTGCAGCCTGCAGCCTGCTGAGTGTGGCCTGACGCTTTCACCGGTTCAGCCACCACCTCTCATGCACTTTCAAGCACAGTGCATGCGAGGCTACAGTGGAAACACCGCAAGTATCAACCTCTTTTGATTATTCTTCCTACACATACCTCTGCCGTACACAATACCACATTTCAAACCATTCATGTAGGGTCAACATGGCGGAACTCTCCACGCCTGGTGCCGGCCTCGCCACCTCTGGTGTTGGCAGGCTGCGGGCGATGCAAGATGTGCTGTGGCGAACGAGTGTAGCTATGGGGACTGAGTCGCCGGAGATAGTGGCATCCAATTTCCTTACTGCGATCAAAGAAACAGGCATGTGTGAAACAGGACAGCCATCGATCATCAGCTAACCGTTCCCACAGGACCACGTCTCAATACTCTCATCACACTAGTTGTGCCGTGGGCGATGCTGGCAGCAGCTTGCTGGAGATACGACTTCCTCTGTCGCGGATACGATGCGGCGAAGAATTACCTGGCGAGCTGCGTCTATGCATCCATCGTGGTCCCTAGCGACCATCAACTTCATCAGCAAGTTCTGCAATGGATGCTGGAGAACGTGCCGCAGAACCATGTACGTAGTCTGGCGGTAGTCCCACGTATCGATCCTCCACAGTTCGCCGTCGACCAAATGGGTCGTCAGTTCAAGATCAAGAACAAACGCTCCAAGGTGAAGATTCCTGTCGAAGACTCGGAAGATTCTGATTTGTCAATGTCTTACTTACCAGCGATCGGGACCTATGCATTCAACTTCAGAGGCTACCGTATGACTGTTGAGCGGACACAAGCAGAGTCCAAACTCGGCAGGCATATGATGGTCGACCCGATGTTGCCGCCACCGTCAAGGAGGGAAGAGTCCATACTGATTTCTGTTCGATCGTTGTGGAACGGCGTGCAGCCTATCAAAGACTTCCTCGAGCATATCGAAGCCGAGACTGCAGCAGCTCGGGAAAACAAGACGACGATCTTCAGGCCGTGGCCAGATGCTCGCGGTTGGGACGTTGGTGTTTCGCGCGTAGCTAGAACCTTGGACGCGGTGACATTGCAGAAAGGTCTCAAAGAAGCTCTGGTGCAGGACGTGGAGGCATATCTCCATCCCAAGACTCGACGCTACTACAACAATCGAGGGATACCCTGGCGTCGAGGCTACCTGTTCTTCGGTCCTCCGGGCACGGGCAAAACGAGCCTGGCTACTGCACTTGCTGGCCACTTCGACCTGAATGTTTACATGGCTAGTCTGTCGTCTATGTCGCTGAACGATTCGAAGCTGGACAATCTTTTCTCGATGCTACCACAGAAGTGCATGGTACTGCTCGAAGACATCGACAGTGCGGGTGTAAAGCGAGAGAAAATGGCGGCACCGTCGAAGAGACCACCCATGATGCCGATGATGGACCCTTTCGGTAACATGCAGACGGGGGAGCTGGATGGGATTACCTTGAGTGGTCTTCTGAACGTGATCGATGGTGTACGCGCTGCAGAGGGCCGTATTTTGATCATGACGACGAACCATCCGGAGACTCTTGACGAAGCGTTGATCCGGCGTGGCCGCATCGACCAGAAGATACATTTCGACTGCGCTTCGAAGGAAACTTCGGTGAAGCTGTTCACGCAAATTTTCTGCAAAACGGCTGACGAACTGCTTGATGGTGAGATACCGCAAGATGAGGCAACTGTGGCCAAGCTTGCGAAGGAATTTGTGGCAACCGTCGAAGAGGACTCCTTCACACCAGCAGAAGTGCAAGGCTATCTAATCGACCATCGCACGAATCTTGAGCAGGCTGTACAGCAAGCATCAACGTACTTCGAGCAGTTGCTGAATAGCAAGATCAAAGGTCTGAATGTGCTGAAAGCCGCGGAGTCAAGTTCAGAATCAGACTCAGATAGCGCCGACGAGCTCTCGCCGGAAGCTCTCGCCGACCGAATCTCGAATGCCGGTGTAGGAGACCGGATGGTGGACGGTGTCGCCAAGAGCGGTCTGCTCACACCGGATTCTGCTGATCATGAGAAGACCAAGGCGTTGGAAATTGCTGCGTAGAATGCTGCATCGAAGGCACGATCAGACGAACTGAATCGGCTACGATGGAACATGATAATGGCGCGAATGCATTATGAGTCCGATTATATGCATTGAGGAGCATGACCTCGCACTATGTGGTCACGCTGGTGATAGCGGTGCAAAGATGAGACGCATACTGAAGACGAGGGCGCTGTGCTTGGTTCGCTGTACATGGTAGCGGCTTCATCATTTGGTCTGGCGATGGAGCGAGCAGTGTGCGTTCCGTGTCTGCTCTGCAGTCCTGCGATAGATGGACGGTAAATGTTGTGATGATATCTACCATCAGCCGCAAGAATGCCGAAGGATCAAATCGCCATCCGTGCGCTGGAATCCTTCTCGCTTGGCCTCACACGTAGCTCCTGCAATACCAAATCGATGACTTTGCCCGACACATCGCATACAAGCTCCTTGGCATAAAACGTAGCGTGCGTTTGTTCCCAGATGCTCTGCGCATTCGCTTCGAGTGATCTATATTGAGACGTTCCATGCAATTTGGCGTCAGATCATTGGGTGGTGGCCTTTGGTGCCTGTTTGATATTTGTGCTAGCCACGCTGCTAATGTGATCTTTCAGGTTGGCACTGCCGGCATACTTTGCACAGTAATACGAGGCCTTCATGCCGGCTAGTTAGCTGAAGAGAACAACAACATGCACTTCATTCCGTCAAGCCCCCTTAAGGCAATCGAGCACTCACGGCTCTTTGTGCTGCAATCAATATGCGGCTTTTCGATCTGCCACCGCCATTGATTGGACAAATTGCCATATTGCTAGTATCTGCTTCTCCAGGCACAGCAGAGTTCCTGAACTTTAGCACGACAAGCACCACTTTGACTTCGGAGGTCAATGTAGGCTCTTATATCGTTTCGGGTCTTGGAGGAGCAACAGAGACATTAGATACCACCTCGACACCCTTACCAGTCGCTACGAGCACGGGCTTCGACTACGCGTCAAGCTGCAATGCTGCTTCATATTCATATAGTAGTGCTTCATCCGCATATGGCAACGACCACTACTACAACGTAACAAACACGACAACATTTGAGTACACCTATACAACGGCACCAGCACCACCTTCATCCCACGCTACCAGTCTGACCAGCCTATGCGATGGATATCCAAGAGTCGTGGGCAAGGCCACGATCTCGAATGCTAGCTCAAGGGTAGTAACATCAGCGACGACATATCCGGTCACATACTCAGTGGCTGCAACCGATTATACCAGCCCGTCGCCGTCGTGCTATATCGGTACAAGGGACTGCAGTCTACTGTGGAACTCCTACAGTACCTCCCTTAGCTCCGCAGCAGCTCAAACCGATGGCTACTATGACAACCCCCCACTATGCGAAACCAATACCGCCACCACGACGTCTGCTACTACATGTACGGACTGCCAAATCGTGGCGGCAAGTGCACGATTACTGTACTGGCCGGTCACGACTGTGCCTGGGACTGGTGATCTCTGTAACAAAAGTGCAGAGACCATCACCAAAACACCCACTGGGCCCCCGAGTAGTTTCGTGACAGCCGGGATCACCATAACATCACCGACAGTAGCTCTGAGCTTCGGAGGTCTGCAAAGGCAAGACGACTGTGGAGCGACGACCGATACTATCGTTGCAGTCAATCCAGACGAGGTTTTCACGGTGCGAGGATACCACGCACTTTTTTCGCACTACTCATTCAACTATGCCGATTTGAACTACAGGTGTGCCTCGAACACAAGCAACACGTCTGGTACACCAGACTGGGAGCGCGACGACTGTTATCAAGCTGTGCCAGCTGATGCATACTTTGCTGGTCTGCAAGAAGCTTCCAACAATTACATGCGCCAGAATGGCACCGAGGGCTTGACGATCTGGCCGGACTATCATCCGCAGGTGATGGTACCAGATACTATGATGCCGGCGATCTCGAGTATTTGGGGTAAAGGTTGCATAATCCATCCGCTTGGTGTTTGGGATCCGTGAGTACCGCCTAAAGAGCAGTGAACATCATGGTGCTGACTCCCGCTTCAGACCGGTAGCACTGACTCAGCAGAGCGAGATCGACGGAGTGACCACACCCGCACATGCTCCAGCGACGACAACGACATCAGAAGATCCCGGTGTTACCGCCTCAGGACCTGTCAAGCTAAATCCACAGGAGACCGCGGTTGGGCCCACAACACCGACGCAGCCTTCGCCGACCACGAGCTCGACGTCTATGAGCGTTGTGACAGCGGCGTACCCGCAAGTAGCCTCGACGCAGACCAAGCTCGTCGGGCCCGGCAGTGATTCTGAGAGTTCCACGACCATTATCCTTGCCCCGTCACCAATAATTGCCGTGACTGGGACAAAGCTATCGGTGCCGGGAGAAGACTCTGCGAGCCCTGTAACGGCATACTCACCCGCCATCGCTGTGACAGGCACCAAGCTTATCGTTTCTGGAGGCGGATCTGCAGACCCTGGTACAACTTCTTCGCCCTCGCCTAACAAAGAAAGCGCGGCCGGTGTGCTGGTATCGATACTCGGTGGATCCTCTCAGCAAGATGCTGTGCAACAAGCTTCTCGCCCGCAGGATCCTGGCCAAGCTTCTCAAGGACCTGCGAGTGCAGTCATGTCCATACTCGGCGACGATGCTCAAGCACGACAAAGCCAAGTGGCCAATGATCCAGCTGCTGGCGGAGTGAGCCAAGCTATTGGGGCAGGCGGCGCTCATGCGCCGATCAATCAGCAAGGCAGCACAATATCCGCTATCCAGGACCCAGCCTCAGCATCTCTATCCCAAGTCATTGCTTTCGGCTCTCAAACTGCCACAGTCACTAGACCTACGAGCTCGCCCGGCGTGGCTATCCTAGCGGATATCACTCTCTCAGAAGGAGGACCTGCGGCTACGATTTCTGGTCACTCAGTGTCCGTCGCAACTGGTGGAGTCGTGCTTGTGGATGGCGTTACGGCTTCTGCTGCGAGCCTCAGTGGTCATAGTAATACTGGTTCTGCTGGGTCTGCTGGATCTGCGACGACTAGTAACGGTAGTAGTACGAGCTTGTCTGATCTGCCGACAACCAATAGGGTGTCTGGAAGTCAGACTGGTCCAGGAGCAGCGAATCCTTCTAGTGCTACTGGAGCCAGTGCTAGCGGGACAACGAACTCAAGCAGTACGGATGAGAAGTGGTCCATGTTCGGTATGTCCGCGGTCATGGCTGCGATCATGGCTGCGATCATGGCTGTGATTGTGTTATAGATGAATATATAGATCTTGCGATCATATTAAACCAGATTCAAAACTTATCTATACAACCGCTCACTCTCACAATTACCCTACCTCGCCTTCGCAGGCTCAATCCTCTTCCTGGTAAACTCAATCATAGCCCTCAACCCGCCCTGCCGTTCCGCCTGCCCATTAGACAAAAACAACTTGACGACCGGCCAAGCATGGATCCATCCCTTCTCCTCCAGCACCTCCACCGGGATCCCGCCATCGCGTAATCGAGATATCAAGTCCCGCGCATCAGGCGCAAAGACTTCCTCCGCTCCGTACACGAAGAACCAGCCTAGGGTTGGGGAGGCTCGTCGCCACCATGCCATATCTGCACACAGGCCCGGTGAGACGAGAGGGTCGGTGCCGGAGGCTTTGGAGCCGATGTACTGGCTTCCGTAAAGATTCAAGCTGTCTTGGTCCAGGTAGTCGGAGGCAGTATTCTTGTTGTTCTCGCTAAGGATTATGCTCCAAGGAGATATTGGTATCGCCACCCCAGGTAGTTTGCCCCTCATACCGGAGTACTTATCCAACACAAGCAGTAAACTCAGGATAAGCGTCGCGCCCGCCGAGTCGCCACTCACGCAGATCCGACTCGGATCGCTGGCGATGGAAAGACAGTACTTGTACCCCGCTAGCACCTGCTGCACTTGCGTCGGATAAGTCGCTTCAGGGACAAGCGTATACTCCAGCGCGAATAGCGCCGGATTCTCATACCCAGCGTCCTTGAGCAAACTCACCCACGCGAGCAGGAATTCCATATAAAAGTATGCACTTCCCATACTGAACCCTCCGCCATGACAATAGTAGACCACGATATCCGGCCGGTGGGAGGCATCATGGATCATGTAGAGGCCTTGGAGTTGGTCCGCAGGGCGATGGACTTCGCGCCAGTAGACGGGGGATTTGGTGTAGCCGTGGCGAAGCATGCGGAAACGGAAAAAGGGGAGGGCGACGGGTTTGGAGAAGAAGACTTTTCCTATTGTGGCGGGGATCTTGGCGAAGGCGTAGCGGACGCAGCGGATTACGACGTCTTGGAAGAGAGTGGCGTTTTGGACGAAGCGGGAGCGTTGGTAGCGCGGGGTGAGGTAGCGTTCTCGGATGAGTTGTATGGGTAGCACGAAGACTGGGTCGGTGTCAGTGATTGTGTTTATCAGCTTTTGGGCCTGAGATGTGGTAGGCATACGTAGATGTGGCAATGCTTTGAGAGCACACGACAACGTCTCAATGATTCCGGCGTGGATGAGTAGTTGTGGCGCGAGGAATATTAGAAAAGCAAAGCAGTCGACCCAGGCAATCTGACTGAGTATCATGTTTGCGACGCCCGAATTGAGAGCGCTGATATATACAACGAGAAGGCACAATGGCAAGTAGTACAAGGTTGATGTAAGTGAATGGACGATGAGGTCAAATGCCATTGGCAGAAGTCAAATCGGCTAGACCGCATCTGTCCATTGTTTCTTGATTTGAACAGGCAGAGGGTGAGCGAGTGTCATGGTTCTTCCACTACTTCTGTGACTTGCATGCTTCGTTGTGCTATTGTCAAGTAGAGGAGTGAAAGAGTGTCGAGCTCATTCACCTTGTGACCTCAAAAATCATTCCATGGCGGTCGTACCTGGGCGGCGAATAACTTAGCGTGCGTTGCGAGCTACGGGTATGCGGCTGCTGCCGAACCTTATTGGATTTATCTCTGGCAAGCGCGACTCAGGCAAGCTTCACGATCAATTGGAAACGATGGCACGCGACAAATCATACGCAGCTTGACACTTTCGCGGCACGACCACAACTCCTAGCGAGGCCGGGGGGAGACTTCCGAGAGATAGGGCGACGGTAACTATCAATCACGGATGGCGAACGCGGCCCACTGAACATATAAGCAGCGCAAACATATTGCTCCTGGTAGCTCTTTCCAGCATACGCACGAACGATCAAGCATCGCGCACGCCGACATGGCCTCCCTCGGCGAGACTGCGGTGGAGATGAGGAAGTAACTTCGCTTCAACCATACTCACCTAATCCTCCGTACTGACCCGTGGTAGCTCCCTTGAACTTGATGAAGTGCCGGCAAAGCTACGGTGCTGCAACTGCAACAAGCTCTGTATTGAAGGCGTGAAGACTCCATGCTGCGAGCAAAACGTCTGCGGACCATGTGAGTGTTGTACAGCGCAAGCTCTCAACGTCACTGAAACCGTCGCTGATAATTATGTAGGCTCGCTCGAATTAGGCGACACCTGCCCCGTTTGCGGACACACACCCATCGATGGTAGCGCATGTACCCCCAACAAGTCCCTCCGCGTGACCATTAACGCGTTCATCAAGACCGAGCTCAAGAAGAGGGAGAAGGCCGCAGCACCTCCGGTCACTACGCCAGTCGTGCAATCGATAGAAACGTCCGCCACTACTGGGGCAGCTGAGATCTCCGAACTCCCTGCTTTGGAGCGGCCATCGAGTGCACAGGGTGAGGTGGCTACTGGTGCAGAAGTATGTATGGGCTGTCAGCCAGCTTGGTTCATGTGCTAACCGAGAACAGGCTCCCGAACTTGAAATCGCCGCGGCCGCCGTCGAGCCAGATGCGAACGGCGACGAGGAAGAGTCGGAGTATGACGAAGATGATGACGTGAAGATCAAGACCGATTACGATGAACGTCAGCATCAGCAAGAGCAGGAGCCAGCGAAGCAAGATCCAGCCGTCAACGACCCGAACCCGCAACAGCAGATGGTAAGTCAGGAGCAGCTCGCGGAGAACCTACAGGAGCAAGGCGACCAGCAACAGAATGGTTACGAGAACTATGACCAGCAGAGTCAGCAGAACGGCTTCGCAAACGGCGGCATGAACAATTTCAACAGTATGGGCAGCTTCAACATGATGACCCCGATGGCCATGGGTGGTTTCGGTGGCATGATGCCAAACATGATGGGTAAGTTCCGATCTCTCTTCCGTCCTCACAAACGATCACATTGGCTGAGACGTGCTTCGTCAGGAATGTCCAATATGATGGATCCATCGATGATGTTCAATGCTGGTTTTGGAGGGATGGGCATGGGTGGCATGATGAATATGGGTATGGGTATGGGCAACGGCATGGGTGGCTTCAATCCAGGCATGATGAATGGCGGCGGTGGCTACAACGGTGGTGGACCCAACAATGGCTTCAATGGCCCGAATGGGTATAACAACCAAAACTACGGAAACCAGAACCAGATGAACCAATCGTTTCGTAATGATCGTGGTTTTGGCGGCCGCCCTTATGGTCGCGGTTTCAATAACCGTGGTCGAGGCTTTAATGGCGGCTTCAATCGTGGTGGCCGAGGTGGGTATGGTTTCCAGAACCAGAACCAGAACCAGAACCAGAACCAGAACTTCAACCAGCAGCAGCAGTACGGCCAACAGCAGAACCCGAATATGATGAATCAACAACAACCTACTGCGGACATGTCTGAGCAGAGTGTGACTTCTGGTGGCCGTCGTGGTTCGCCTAGCTATGAGCCAATGGACGGTGGAAGCGTCGACGCCACGAAGACACCACGTGACCAAGACACGACGGAGAAGGGCCCCGATACTACTACTAATGATACAGCTAACACTAACGAGACAGCTGCCGAGACTGACGAGCCGAAAATGAATGGAGAAGAGCAGAATGAGCACTCTGCGGAGGTCGGAGAAGATGACCAGGGTAAGTTTGCGTACCGTGATGCTTCTTTGACAAATGATTGACAAGTTTACGCCAGGTACAGCTCAGGTTGGTGCGCCAGAAGAACAAGCCAATGGCGATGCGTCATTGCAGCAGAATGGGTACGCCGACGAATCGATGTCGTTGAATGGCATGGACGCCTCTCACCAGGACCAAGCCTACGAAAACCAGCAGAACTACAACCAAAATTCCACGTTCGGCCCTCGTGGTCGTGGTAATTCCTTCCGCGGCCGAGGTGGCTTCAGAGGTGGTCGAGGAGGCTTCAATGCTATGCAAAGCGAGGCAACAGACCTCACTCCCACACCCGCGCCTCCTGTCAATGCGCCGTCAGGTCCTAAAGCTATGCGTGAGGGTCGACCTAACACGGGATTCTTCGCTGCGAGGCAACAACAACAACAACAACAACAACAACAGCAACAGCAAGCCGCGGCTCTGGCTGCGCAACAAGCACAGGCGAGACAGACACCGTCGGTCGCGGCGAAGGATGAGAAAGACTATCGTGAGACGGAGTACGATCATCGCTCACGCTCGCGCTCGAGATCGAGGGACAAGCATCGTAGTTCTCGGCGTCATAGGCATCGAGATGGGGACGATGAGTACGAGACTGAAGAGCAACGTCGGCATCGCAAGGACAAGGAGAGGGAGCGTCGACGTAAGGATAAGCGTGACCGGGAGAGCAAGTACGACGATGACGAGGAAGGCGATCGGTCCAGTCGTCGCGGCGATGGCAGATCGAGAGATGAATCGAGGGATGATGAAGGTGATAGGCGCGAATCGAAATCTCATCGTGATCGTGACGGGCGTAAGAGACGTCATCGGTCGCGCTCGAGGTCGCCGGAGAAGGCTGTGGCTGGCGAAGATGCTGGCTCGAGGCGGAAAAGCAAGAGCGATCGTGGTGGGGGGAGTGGAAGATATGACGATGAAGACAGTAGTCGGTCGCGCAAACACTCCTCGCGTCGAGAGGAGGGGTCCTCGCATCGTCATTCCCGCGAGAACGGCGCTCGGAACGGTAGTAGTAGGAGAGAAAGCGGGATGAAATCTGTCATTGAGCCCGAGAGCGACGAAGTGGGGTTCAAGATCAAGGGTTCCACTACGAACAACAACAAATCTGCCGCCATGCCACCGCCTTCTGGTCGTCGTGGTGGCGGACATCATGATCGTCGGTCCAGCACGACGGATTCCTCGGCCCCTGGTCTGCCGACTCCGGGCTCCAATGATCCGTATGCTGAGGAGCGGGAGAAGAGGACTGCTGAGCGGGTCGCCAAGGAGCAATCGCGGCGGTCTGGTGGTGGTGGTGGTGGTGGTGGTGGGAGTGGGAGTTCGTTGGGCAAGCGTATGTCTAGGGATGGGGAGGAGGATGGAGGAGGTGAAGGTGGTGGGCATGGGAGTGGTGGGTCGAGTAAGAAGGGGCGGAAGGAGAGGAAGGCGAGTGTGAGGTATGAGGACGAGTTGGATGGGTATCATCGTTGACTCCCGCGTTGAGAATTGTGTGATTGGCGGAGCTGATTTGCTTGCTTCTGGCCGTTCGCTGAAGGCGCGAACGTTACTTGTCTTAACAGCGCGCGAGCGAAGGAGCGAGGCGTCTTAAGCGCATGGGAAGGGTGGCGCTCACTTCTCATGCGATCGCGCTGCTGTTGCCTACGAGTGCCGGGTCATTAAGGGTCGCTTCGGCCGTGTATCATAGTGCGATAGCGAAGCAGACAGACAGCAGGGACAAGAACTACTATCATGGTCTTGACTCTCCTCTCAGCCCACAAGTAAAATGATGCAAGGCATCATAAGCGTTTGGTCGTGTTACAGCAAGTATCATAGTACATTCAAAACAGAATATCATCGGTTTCGTCCACATCGTGGTACTCATGGAAGCCGGACAACGCCTACGCCGATCGAATGCACTTTTGCGGAGTCTCAACTCTGCGGAACAGGAATATCCACACTCGTCCACTGTCCCGCCACCAAGTCCCTCGTGAACTCACTGATATCGCTTCCATTCGTCTGATAGAAGACAACCAAATCGTTGCCTCCGCTCGTGTTTGGCAAGGCCGAGACGCTCATATGTGTCCCAGGCAGACCGGGTTCGCCCTGGACCGTGAAAGTGTCTTTGCCGACTATCGTGGTATTCTCCGCTGCCCACGAGATGTTATACCCCATTATCAAGTTCGTCGCTGCGGATTGGGCGTAGAAGTAGTTCGTGTAGCCCAAACTCGTGGAAGGATTGACGTCCGGAATGCTGATGGAGCTGTTTGTCCATTTATTTATTGGATGCGACCGGGTAGAAGTATCGTTCGTATTCGTGTCTTTCCAGTAGATATTGACGGTATTATTTAGGTCGACAAACATCACATATGTGGTCGTGCCGGGGCCCCAGCTATAGCATCCCACTCCAGCATGTCCCTGCAGATTCGTCCAGCTCTGTTGGAATGTCCATTGAGTATCCCCTTCCCGCCAGCCAAGTTGTTGGAACGTGGTGTCGTCGCTCGCGTACCAAACATGCATCCCTACGTCGTCCGTGGAGTACGTGACATCTCCGTTCTGGCCGGGGAGAGGGGTATGGGTGTAGTCTACATCCCCATAGTCGCTACCGTACCAGCATGCTTGCATGCCTACTTGATCGGCGCTGTTGGCTGTCAAGTTCGAAAGGTTGATGGGGCCATCGACCCAGACATTCGTTGTATTGCTGTTGCTTCGTTGGCGGATGCGGTTGTCGGTGTCAATATCTGTGGTATATGTCAGCACAGTGTAAAGGCACATAATCCCACGATCGGTTGATCTAATCTCGTACAGAAGATATGCCATATGCTCGAGCCATTGGAGGTATATGCTACCGCTGACAGAGGGGTGCTGTTCTTCGCGTCCGAAGCCACGACTTCAGAAGCAGAGCCGCCCAACCATTGCCCATTTGAGCTTAATTGCTGCCAACGAATCTGGCCCGAGTGATGCTGGAAGTACATGACTAGACTGCCTTCTGTGCTCGTCTGTAGCTGCTTAGCGAATGACTGCGAGGCCAAGGCGATCCCCGAGCCATTGAAAGCTCCAGTGGTGCTGTAGTAAGACGGGTCAATAGCGCCACCGATTGAGTATTGCGAATTCGTGACAGGCGTTGGTGTCGATGTTGCGCTTGTAGCCGAGGATGTGGTGGAGGTGGCGGTCGCTGTACCTGATACACTGGCCGATCTGGAGAATCTATTAGCGTAGATCTAAGACAGAGTCAGTGATTTTACGCACGATGGCTTCTTCGTGCCAAGCCCAACACCTAAGCCCACTCCTAGGCCTACCGCGAGAGCGCAGACTAGCGCAATCAGGACGTAAAATGACTTTCTCGGAATGCCGCACACTTTTCTTCCCTCTGTCGATGGTGCAGGTCTTTCATACTGATGTGGCTGTGGCTCTTGTCCTGGCCAAGCGACTTCCTTTTCTCCCTCTCCAGCCCATACTGATTGCAGCCCAGGAGACATTATCTCGGGTGGGGTAGGCCGCTCTTTATTAGACAGTCGATGACCCATTTGTTTGTCTCCATCCACCGGTCCATACTGTGGGCTCGGAACGTCAGTATTGTAATTTTGATATGGCTGATATGGTGGCGAGTTGTGTCTAAGTGCTAATGAGCAAAAAAACCACTTCATTTTCGGGTGACTCGCAGTTCACCTACATGTGTTCGATGAATCGAGGTCCACCAGTCTCTGAAAACCTTGGAGGAGGACTGTCCATGATACCAAAGATCCACGTCACTCCAGTACGACTGTCACTAGCCCTTGTAGAACCTATGATAAATGCTGTAGCACACTGAGGTATGATAGAGCCAAGAAGACCGTGAAACAATAGGTGATCAAGGCGATGCGAATTGGAAGTCGCGAGAGAGGGAAGTCGCGAACATTGCGTCCTTACCGCAGCTTGCACACCATTGTCCTGGCTGTGCAACCTGTCAGCTATGGTGGCTGCACATTGGCGGATTCCGGCTGTCAGATGCTATACTGCCGACCAGCCTGAGCAGTGTTTATGCTTACGGGGCTAGCTCAGCTGGCCTTCTGGAATATGTTTGTGGCCAATAAGGGCATTGGTGTAGCTGCAAGATATACAATCTAGTGCTGATATTTCGGACTCAGCAGTCAGCTCGCTTGCCCCGCAGAGGCGCTGCCAGGCGTGGCTGCTGAACATTATAGCTGCATTCGCATCACTGGAGCTCTCGCCTGGAAGAACCGATGGCGCGGCCAAGTCATTGGTCACGTCTGGGTGATATAGCATGGGCAGCTGGACAATGCTGGTAAACTGCGCGCTCCCACCGAAACATGCCAGGACAAACGGCGCAGGCGTAGTGCCCTGTCTCTGGTACTTCCAAGGGATCGTCTCTGAATTCGTTGCAATGCCCATCGTGTCCACAATCGGGCCATGATGGTTGATCGGCAATGATGTGAGCATTGTTGCCCATGTGTCCATCAACCAATTTGCTGACCCGATGGTTTGACGCCGTGAAATTCTCTGGTAGGAGCATTTGATATGATTTCGCCAAGTCCCCAGATTTATGGACCATCAGCAGGAGTATATGCAGCCAGAGTCGACATCACATCGCCGTAATGCTGGGGGCTCTAATGGACAATGTCAAGTGAGGAGGGCTTGCAGCATTGCTTACGCTGACAAGTGTCCGTATCTGTCGATGGCTGTTTTCATCTCAGGGCGTTTTTGTGCATCAGCTTTGGTAGTTCCATGTCGCCACGATAGTTTGATGGCACAAGCAATTAGATGGATTGTGTGAGAGAAAAGAGTGCTCTGGCTCTACCGTGCCTTGCAAAAATCAGTGGTCTGTGCGAGTCGTAGGGCTGATATCGACGCGTGAGCTGCATCTACTTTCTATCGTGTTGATATTAACGAAACGAACTTTCATCGACGTTCCCCAACCAACTCTTGATGCGCAGGGTGGTTATCACCGGCCTTGGCGCAATAACACCATTGGGTGCTGGCGTCAAGACGACATGGCGCCGACTACTGGAATCTGGTGATGGCATCGTCTCCACGACCAAGCTCGGCACCGATTTCACCTCCCTGCCTAGTCAAGTTGCCGGACTCGTACCATTAGGAAGTCGTAGTGATGGCCGCTGGCAAGCCAAAGACTGGTTGCCAGCAAGTGAAGAACGACAGATGGCGCTATTTGCACAGTATGCTATAGCGTCTGCTCACGAGGCCCTTGAAGACGCTGGGTGGCATCCTACGGCGCAAGCGGATCTGGAAGCTACGGGCGTGACCATTGGATCCGGTATAGGCAATCTTGATGAGGCATACAATACGTCTGTAGCTTTCAGTCATGGTGGTTATCGAAAGGTATCTCCGCTGTTCGTGCCAAGGCTGCTGATCAACCTTGCCGCTGGACATGTCTCGATACGCTATGGCTTCAAGGGACCTAACCATGCGGCAACTACAGCATGCACGACCGGTGTACACGCTATCGGCGATGCCTCACGGCTTATTGCTTTCGGCGATGCAGATGTCATGGTAGCAGGAGGAGCGGAGTCTTGCATTCATCCTTTGGCCATCGCAGGCTTTGCTAGAGCACGTAGCCTGGCGACAGCCTGGAACGATAAACCGTCTGCTTCTTCAAGACCCTTTGATACAAACAGGGCTGGCTTTGTGATTGGCGAAGGTGCTGGTATCATGGTGCTTGAGGTATGGCAGACCGCCTGCAGACATTGAATGCAACTCACACTATACAGGAACTCGAACATGCAAAAGCTCGCAAGGCCAACATATATGCAGAGATCAGGGGCTACGGCCTTTCATCCGATGCGTATCATATGACTGCGCCCAGGGAAGATGGAGAAGGTGCCTTCCTCGCTATGCGTCACGCCCTTCGTCACGCTCAAGCTAAACCTGCTGATGTCGACTACATCAATGCTCATGCTACTTCGACTGTGCTAGGGGACGCTGCTGAAAACAGAGCCATCAAAAGATTACTTCTTGGCCCGGATGGTAAGAGCTCAGCATCTCAGATCAATGTCAGTAGTACGAAAGGCGCAATAGGTCATCTACTTGGCGCAGCAGGAGCGGTCGAGGCGCTTTTTACTACTCTTGCTATACACCGTGTAAGTATGAAACACAAAAGCAAGACTACATATCGCTGACTATCGTAGAACGTGCTGCCTCCTACCCTGAACCTGGAGAACACTTCGGAGGACTTCGACTGCAACTATGTGCCCAAAACGGCTCAACAACACGCAGTTGATCTTGCAATAAGCAACAGCTTTGGCTTCGGTGGCACAAATGCGAGCCTGTGTCTTGGAGCATATCGATGAGCACGCCACTCTTATCAGTGGATGGGCGACGCACGACCCCGCAGCACCCCCACCATTTGGCATCACAATGCACAAGAATGAAAAAGCTACATTGTTGTGCTACTTGAGTATCATCCAGCAGTATCTACGCTCCGGAACAAGAACCGACATGGACGCTACAGCAGATGATAGACGACTGATACCAAAACTTAGAGCAAAAGCAGAGCATTATCATGCCCGCATACCACTACTCAGAAGCTTGCCGGGTAAGGCATTGGCGATTGTCATTTTACTCGCCATAGTCAACATCGTCGTCTGGATCGTATGTGCCATCGTGCTGGCCTTCCATACCTCACTGGCCGCAACGGCTGTGCTAGCCTGGACCTTAGGCCTTCGACATGCACTCGACGCCGACCATATCTCTGCCATCGACTTGATGACGAGAAGACTCATGGCATCTGGTCAGCGACCTGTGACTGTCGGTACTTTCTTCTCCCTCGGGCACTCGACGATCGTCATCATTACCTCTATCGTCGTCGCGGCAAGTTCTGCAGCCATCTCAGACCGCTTCGGTGCCTTCTCTGATATCGGAGGCATCATTGGCTCCTCGGTGTCAGCTGGGTTTTTGATCCTGCTGGGCATCATGAACGCATACATTCTCCACAAGCTCATCGAGCAGCTTCGCCAAGCCATCGAGGCACCAGTTGGCGAAGAAGCTATCAATTTCACCTTCGAGGGTGGTGGATGCATGATGTTATTGCTTCGCAAGATGTTCAAGATCGTCGACAGGCCGTGGAAGATGTACCCACTGGGCGTCATGTTTGGACTAGGGTTCGATACGTCGTCTGAGATTGCCTTGCTTGGTATCTCTTCTATCGAGGCTGCTCAGGGTACGTCAATCTGGCTCATCCTGATCTTTCCATTTTTATTCACAGCGGGAATGTGCTTTCTGGATACTTTTGACGGTGCGAACATGATGAGCGTCTACACTTCCGCCAAGCTCGCTCGAGATCCTATCGCCATCTTATATTACCAGTGTGTGCTGACCGCCATCACGGTGGTGGTTGCCATCGTCATTGGCGTTCTTCAACTCCTAAACCTGATTCTCAGCGTCAAGCCCGGCCTTCACAATTCCTTCTGGGATGGTGTACAGACTGCGGGTGACCATTACGACATCATCGGAGGCGCCATCTGTGGCTCGTTTCTCGTATTTGGGCTTCTATCTGTTCTATTGTATAGACCATGGAGGAACATGGTCGATCGCAAACGCCCCTCCCGCCCAATCTCTCTGGAGGTTCGAACGAGTGCGATAGATCCTAGTGGTATGGATGCTATTGAACCACAATACGAAAACTCAAGGACAGCCGATTTGAAGACAAGTAAGATGAGCAATATCCATGTAGATGCGGATGAGATTCAAGCGTCTCGCGCCTAGACGGAGTTCGAATAGGCCTGGCGCGATGCACATGTCTATAGAGCGAAGTATTGCAAAGACCACGAGCCTGAATGAGATCTGTCTTTGCGTGGTCATGGCTGCGTCACATGAGAACACCGTACACCACGCTGACCCTGAACCATATCCTCTGAGATCACACGCCAAGGGAAGATCAATGCTCGAACGAGGAAGTGCGCCGCCGTCTCAATCCAACCCAGCGAGCTGGCTCGCGTCCCTTGGCGGTGCTTTCATAGCATCATGACTGAATAATTGCTTCAAACTACCCTCCGCTTCCGAGATCCGACGAGTGGCAGTCTGCTTCTCGTAGGAGATATCACTCCCCTCAGCAACGCGGTATGAAGTGACGGTGCTCGCAGAACTCTTCATGCTGGAAGGGTTGGGCGGAGGATCGGGATTTTGGTACGGTGTTACCAAGTCGACAGCAGGTGTCGTGCATGCCGAGTATGACTTGTTGTGCCGAGATGGACGGGGTCGAGTAGGTGCCATCGAGGCTGTCGAGGCTACTGAGGAGCTTGGTGAATGTACTAAAGAAGGCAGGTCTGATGAGTCCGTGGCTGTGGAGGATCTGTCTGGTCTTGACCGTGGTTGCGACGCCGTTGTACCAGCTCTCCCATCCCACCTATACTGACCAAAGGCGCGCGCATGCTCGGCATCCCACTGTGTACGGTGTTTGTCGATGTCGAGCAACGAAGATATCTCATCCATGGCCACATCCGAGAATGTCATCGATAGTGGCCGGAGTATAGTTGGTGAGCGCTGTGGTAAGATGTCTTGAGTGGGATGATCGAAGTACGATGACAACGCGGCTGATGTTGGCGAATGGAGGTCATGTGTACAAGTCGACTGCGAGACATCTTTTCTTCGACAGCTGGACGGCGGTGTTAGTGGGTGCGCATGGGATTGTGCAGAGGTGGTTGACGTACGCTTCCGAGCAGTAAAGTATGCTCGCACCAGGTGTAACAATTTGTCGCTCGCAGGTAGCGCTGATCAACGATCAGTGTGTCACACAGCATAGCGACGATCACGACAAAGCTCACCAATAGTTCAAGAAGCTTGCCATACCTCCTTCGTCTTCCTCCACGTCCACTACACTCTGGATCGTCTCGCTCCTTCCAAGCTCTGCCTTGCCATGGGAGGCTATCTGACCCGAGTTGAGCGAAACATTGTAACTACTGCCTCTCTTCAGCCCAAGTGTCGGCCGTGAAATTCGAGCATGTGTCTGCACTGCCTTTCGTCGATGGAGTACTGTCTGTTGGGTTTGCATTTGATAGATCGACCAATCGAGCGATGGCTGTATCAACATCCGAAGCCTCTGCTCCGATAATGTTACTGCCTTCTTCCGCTATTGGGCAGAGCGGATGCAGGGTGCGTTGCGGTCTGGAAGGCGGTGACGGCTGTTATCTTCGATAAGGATGCGGCGTAGATGTGTGACTGAATTTTGACAGAGTCGACTACAGAAGCTTCGTCAGTCTGGAATGCATACTGACTGAGAAGTACTCGCAATGGGTGACGTACCCACACAGTTGATATGCTGTATAACTGGACTATCTCGCCGACGTTATGCTGTGGTCAACAACGTGATATCGTGAGTATTTCAGTGGCTCCGTCCCGCGCGATGGTGGATGAAAAGAGATCGATAGTGGGAGTGAGATGAAAGAATGCACGCATCTTGGCCGGACCATGATGGCTCATACAGTACCTTAATGGCGCCTTGATAACGTGCTCCCGATATGGAGATAGCTGGCCCAAACGTTCGACCGTGCAAAAGGTGGGCCAACAGAGACACGCAGCTGCTGAGACTTCCCGGGCCCAAGCCAGACACGACTGCTTCGACGCCGTGGCCGCTAGTCGATGCATTCCATTTGCAGTAGCCGACAGAAACTGACACGATGCGAGTATGGGTGGTGGAGTTGAAGTCTTGGCCCCCAGCTCAAAGCTGGTCCCTCCTTGGCTTTGTGTGTGCGGGAGCGGTCCTCGCTCCCTGCGTGTCGATCAGATGGCGTGTTTGCCGGTCGCCGAGCTCGACTCTGTATCCACCACCAGCGAATTCTCTAACCTCGTGTTTTTGGCCGATAGGGCTGCTCATTCACTGCTCGAACATCGTGACCCGTGGGTGGCGACGTTACAGACCGCCTTGCCACAACGAAGAAAAGCCGACAACATTGGAATGGGCAATGCGGACAACTAGAAATGTTCGGTCCAACCGACCGCTAATAACCGATTGGCAGAGAGCTCAATACCGAACCCACGTGGAGCGGAACTATGTTGGCAATGGGGCCTTCGCTCTGCCGTACATAAAGTAGGCACGTATGATATGTGGCCTCTTCAGCTTTGCAACTTGATCAACTTCGATTGCCGGCCCCACTCGCCAGATACTGGGTCTCACCTCGATAAGTACAAGCACAGAAGGACTATGAGGCATGTGCCACGACGCTTCTCCACACGTCGTAAGCAAACTGTGGAGAGGGATGTTTCAATATGAGCAAGTTCTTGTTCAGCTACACGTGCTTCTAGATCGTTACATGCTGATTCGAGAGCTTGTGGGTCGTATGACTGTACTCCAAACGCTATCGAGTCTTCCATTTCGTATTCGATCCGCTTCCTGCTTACTTCAACAAAGTGCCGATGCTCGAGGCACATTCCACTTTGAAATCGTATGGCGTCGGAATGACTTGTGCCGGTCATCGGTTTGGTGATGGCCGCTGTACTTTAAAAATACGGACAGCCTCGCATCTGGGTGGTATTGGTGTATTGCTCAAAGTCATTCCAGACTCAGGATAATGAGCTGTATGCTCCTTTGGCCAAGTAGCTGGAACGTCACGATTCGAGGCTGCGAATTACGACAGGATGAGTGCCGGCCTGTTGACCATTGCTGGAGTGTTCTTGGATGGATGCCATAATGTCTAGGCATACCTTTCGCTTCCCTCGTACTCAGTCGCCGATAAGCAATGGCTTAGCATCCCTCCACGGTGCCTTCTCAGCACGCTTGCACTTTGCCAGAATTCGAGCTTGTCGCTGCTTCTCGGACATGGCGAAATCGTCCTCCCGTGGGGCCATTGGTAGCATCATGCTCTCCCACGTACTGTCGACAGACGAGTGGGATGAGCTTGTCGACCTCGTGCTGTAGTCGCTGTTGTCTGAGCTACGGCGGCTCAAGGGCTTGATGTGGAAATGCATTGTGCTTGAGTATGATCGGTATATTTGAGCTGGTCTGGTGTGCAATGGCTGGTGACTTGGGCAAGTTTGTGTTGTTTAAGTGCCTGATGATTTAGATACATTCGATCGGGAGGGTGAGGAGTCTATACATATAACTTGATGCTTATGGGGACAGACGGGCATAGAGCGGACCCTTTGTACAACTAATCGCCGACGTGTTTACGCAAGCCCGGAAGCGAAGAGGAGTCATCAGTCGCTGGCCTTTGTTCACTTCGGGCTTACTCTCTCTTAATTGCCATTCGCTAGGCTGATGATGTGATTGGGCAAAGGGCTCGGCCACACAAAACACTATTCGTCCGAGACCGGGGCGGAGGTGAGGTCGTTTCTCTGTACTTCCGCCGCAGTAACGATTACTTCCACGCGGACACGTGTGTGGTTCCATCGGCCATTGTTGTTGACTGTAAGGCAGCGAGCACGAGCAAACAGATACTCATCAGCCTCCATCACGACCGGCTGAATAGACTGAGCATGCCACAGAGCCTTTGGTAGCCATGAGTAGTCAACATGGTCTTGAGCTCGCCTTCTAAACACTTACATTCGGCTTCTCCAGGACTAACGATCTGTGCATCTGGTAACATTCGGAGGCTTCAGCAATAGGCTGGCTGCTGATGATGTAGCCCACCAGCTGCTGATCAACAAGACTGTGCGACCCCGCTCAATTCATCTGATCAACCGCGGTGTCATATTCATGCCTTGGTAATCAGATGGCAACTTCTGGTAGGTGAAGCATGCCATCTTGATCTTGCTATCATCATACCTCCGAAATATTACGAAAATGGCCATTCAACAAATCCAGTCCGAAGGCATCTACCATGGCCTCCCGGTCTATCCTCCCGAAGAACATTCTGGCTTGACGGCCATCATAACCGGCGCCAATGGCATCAGTGGCCATTACATGCTACGAGTCCTCTCACGAGATCCGGAACGATGGAAGAGGATCTACTGTCTAAGTCGACGACCGCCTTTGATCCCTGGTGGTCTGCCTGATAATGCTGAGCATATACCATGTGACTTTCTCAAAGACCCAAAGGACATTTCGGACGTACTGAAGAGCCATGGAGTTTCCGCGGACCATGTGTTCTTCTTCTCATACCTTCAGCCACCACCTAAGCCCGGGACACGAGGACTGTGGTCCAATGCCGAGGAGATGGTCCGAGTGAACACACTTCTGCTTTCCAACTTCTTGGAGGCGTTGAAGCATGCTAGTATCACGCCCAAGCGCTTTATGCTGCAGACTGGAGCAAAGAACTATGGAGTGGTGAGTGCGATGTTCCAGAGAACAGTGGTCCTGTCACATTGTGTTAGCCTGTGCTAGCGCCTTTCACTTTCAGATGTTCCTCGGCTAGTGTGATGTGCTCTAACGAAACGATGTATAGCATCTTGGTCCCACCAAGCTACCGCAAGAAGAGACTGACCCTCGAGTGACTCTTGAGCCAAACTTCTACTACAACCAAGAAGACGTCCTGTGGTCCTGGTGCAAAGAAACTGGTTGCGGCTGGAATATAGGCATGCCTGGTCCCATCCTCGGCGCCGTTCCTGACGCGGCCATGAACGCCGCCTTCCCACTTGCGGTCTACTGTGCAGTCAGCCAACACCTTGGGAAAGCACTAGAGTTCCCTGGCGATATCGATTCTTGGCGGATGAATCAAAGCATGAGCTCTTCCATGATGAACGCCTACATGGAAGAGTGGTCCGTTCTGCTTGGTCCTCCAAACGAGAAGTACAATACTTGCGACAGTAGTACGTTCGCATGGGAGAGCTCTTGGCCACGAGTTGCCGGGTGGTATGGTTTGGAAAGTAAGGGGCCTCAGGATGGTGATGAGTACGTTGAGAATGAGTCGCCTTTCAACCCTAAAGGTTATGGATCAAAGGGTGTCACGAGGAGAAAATTCCGGATGTCGGAATGGGCCAAGAGGGATGAGGTGAAGAAGGCTTGGAAGGAGTTGGCAGAGAAGCATGATCTGACGCAGAAGGAGCTTGTGAATGTTGACCGAGTCTTTGGTTTCTTGGACGGCAGTCTATGTCGGCCGGACGCTCTGAGCTTCAGGTGAGTCCACTCCTTTGCTTTCACGTATCGAGATGATGTAAACTGGAAATGCTGACAATATGTAGCATGGACAAAAGCCGCAAGTTGGGCTGGCATGGCTTTGTCGACTCTACTGAATCGCTACTTGAAGTTTTCAGGGATCTGGCAAAGATCAAGATGACTCCTCCTGTGCCGGAAGTCAAGGTCACTTTCAACTGATCCGTGTTACATGCAGCTGAGTGCAGCTGCGAGGTCGTGAAGTGCTCAATGCCGCTTGTACTGGTCGAGCGCTTCGTATTCAGGCGGCATCGATCGTCGGAATGGTCACACCGATGCTCAGCCCATCGGGGAAACAAGAATGGCCCAAGAAGGCCAGGGACAGGTTTCGCGCTGGTATACGAGAGACTGATGCAGACAATGGAGCAGCGAACAAACGATGCGCGTTGCGTAGGATAGTCTTGTTGGATAGACGGGAGTGCCATGGTCGGAAGATGCGAATGCTCTGGGGCGAAGGCCCTGAATCGTGATTGTGTCTTGTTCGCCAATCTTTATGCCAGTATGAGAATCCTCGATGGACTATCGCCCTTGGCACTCTAGATTGGTTCAAAAGGCCAGTTTAAGCTCCGGCAATGCTTTGCTTGTGTAGATGATGACGCTACTCAGCTGGGAGCCTAGCATTGAGAAGCAAATTCGTAAAGTGATTCGCGAAGACGTCCATTGCATTGCGTATGGCATAGCCAGTCCGGAACATCATTGGTAGCATTGCGTGCTTGTGATAGCTCATGCTGCACAGCTTCCACAATCGCCCATAGCCTCTGGTTGACGCGATTATCTGATATGTCAGCTCGAAGGATCGACAAGGTGCGGCTGTACGACTGCATGATTACATATGATGGCGCAAGAAGGTTCATTTCAAGTAACTTCCTATCCTCCTTATACTTCTATAAGACCGCTCTGTACTGGTCTATACACCTTTAGCCATGGCAAACCTCTTGAAACGGGCAGAGCGTAATGTAGGACGAGATGGATAGCCTGGCCAGAAGTCTAAGTTTGGCAACAAGGAAGTGAGACCTCGGACGGAGGTGGCAGCCGAAATGGATGCGCCGTGGCCGTAGAAGGCAGTCGCAACGACAACGACTTTGCGCCGTGGCCGTCAACTTTTGTGAGGAGAGATCTCGTAGGTGTCAAAAACGATTAGCCTTCCGTCACCTCTATCCAGAAAACACACTTCACCACAACCTCCTCAACTCCTGCCATCGAGGCTTAACATCACAATGGCAACTACCCTCTTCGGTCTGCCCAAGGAATATGGGTGCGTTCGATTGTGCTATTGGGAGGGTCAGGCCGGGAGCTGACTATATCTGGCAGCTACGTCGTCATTGCGACCGCCAGCACCTGCTTCGTATGCTGTTTGGAAGCTCAAAGTCATACCTCAGTGCTGACCTACGCATAGCTCGGCTTCTGGCATGGCGCCCGCATAGGCATCTTCCGCAAGGCAGCTGGTGTACCGTACCCGAAGGCCTTCGCCGACAGTGGCGATCTGGCCAGCGCCGAGACTGGAGACCAGAAGAAGAGGATGTATCTCTTCAACTGTGCCCAGCGTGCTCACGTAACTACGATCCAATACCGTTCCGTTAGAATACAGTCACTGACAGTATGGACTATAGGCCAACTACCTCGAGAACCAGCCCTCCGTCATGATCGCCATGCTCATTGCTGGTATTCGCTTCCCACTGTGGTCTGCTGGTCTGGGTGCCTTTTGGATGATCAGCAGGGTGATCTACGCAACGGGTTACACGAGCCCGAGCGGCACAAAAGGTGAGGGAAGACTGTACGGTAGCGGGTTCTGGTTTGCTCAGCTTGGTCTGTTTGGGCTTGCGGGGTGGACCGGCTACAAGATGTTGTGATGAGATATGGGGCGGTCGTGATTGGCAGCGATTGAGATGATACAGCATACATGAGGGGACAGTATGCGGTCACCATTACTGTGAGGCATTTGAGGCGTTCGAGACGATACCCTTGAACATAAGAGCAATGCAATTGTCCACTTCATCAGTCACCAGGATATATATGTTCTTGCCATCTGTCACATACCTACAGCATTGGGAGGCCGCCAAGCATCCGTACTGTTGACTTGAAAAATGCCACCACAATTGGAAATAATGAAGCTCATAAGCTTTGGGCCACCAGGCGAAAGCGGCAGCTTGCTCGAACGCTTCGGTAGGGCGAAGAGGAAGAGCACATCGGAGGGTGAAGACACGCAGTCAGTAAGGTAGGAGAACGTCTTAGTAGCTCATTCACGGGCTGCGACAACTTTCAAGCACATGGAAGAGCAGGCAAACGAGTCCTCTCAGACACAAACCGTGACTAATGCCACTTCTTTCACAGTCGCTCCTCTATTCTCCCATATATGTTTCAGCATAGGGCAGGGTCCTCCCTCGCAGCTTCACATCTTCTGCGATCACTGCCAGCATGAGTCTGACCCTTCGCAAGAAGCTGAGCAGATGCAAGTCCAGCGACAAGTTGAGTGGTCAAGAGTCCGACACGAGCATTCCGCCTGACCAGCTCGAAGTCACTGAAGGCATATCACATGACGCTATCGCGGCATTCGACTTTGGTGACTTAAGCAGAACGCCACAGCATCCAGCACCAACCATCAAGTGTGTGTCTTCACCTTCGGAATTGCATCGATACAAAGCTCGGGCGGCAACGGGCATACCGCCCACGGTCTCGCCAGCAAGATCGCAAGTCGCTTACCGTACTGCTTTCACGGAAAACTTCGGCAAGACAGCTTCAGAACCGGTCACTGCAGCCGGAAGTGGCCAAAGTACGCCGGCACAAGAAGTGTGCGATCAAGTCATGGTTTCAGGCGACGAGCACGATCTCTTGACTTCGTCTGCGGACAGCCCTGCGAAACGGCGCAGGAGCGTTGATGTCTTCGCTCGTGCACGGTCCAGGAGCAGTGGCAACCCGACAATTAGGCGTGTCACGCGATCGAGGTCCCGCCGTGAGGAAAGGCAGGACTCTGCGAGTGAAGCAGTCTTGGTTGGCACAAATGATCGCAAGGCCTCAAATGCATCTTCGAGTGAGGACGAGCTCGTACGATCACCATCTGGCCTCAACTTCAACCAGGCGAAGCAACTACCACGTACGCCATCGCCACAAGAGACCAATGGCGAAGTCAAGCTCGGCGGCGTGAATGAGACATCAGCACCCACCAACAGCCCAAGCTTCAGCTTACCTTTCAGATTCGGCAACAACCGTTGCAAGAATAATGTGATCCCACCTTCCACCACTACATCTACCAACGCAGCCCCTACTAACACGAATGGAGCTCTGGCCGACCCCGGTTCCGTCGAGCATGACTCCTCTCTCTATCCCGGACCTCTCACCATATCGCCACCTAATGCCAAGGTAACCACGCCCATCGACTTGAACGGATACACCATCCCCAAGCCCACCTCCAGCAAAACCGAGAACGAGCCATTCCCACCCGCGACCGTGCCCGTATGTCCACCCCTCTACGACCCAACACGTCTAGCCTTCCAGCAGTGGGTAGATTTTCGCGCCACGAGTAGTCGCCCCGACGGCGCATGGGGTTGGCATAAGCGGTGGACGTGCTGTCGCTGTAGCGCGCAGACGATCGTAGAGCAGCAGTCTTGTGCCAGATTGAGTTGTGGGCATGGGAGGTGTGGTGGACGGTGTAAGATCATTGTCAAGGCTATCACCTGAGGCTTTTCTTGGTGCAATCCACAGGCATTAGCATTGTGCGGCACGAGTAGCATGGGGAGATGGGTCTAAAGGGGCTTCTTTGCTCGGCCAGAAGTGAATTGGAAAGGTTGATTACTGAGCGGGCATGGGAAGCATTCTATCACTGAACGAAAACGCGGTCTATTATAAGTTTCATCCTCTCTGCTGATGGTGATGGTGATGCACGCTAGGACATGGAAAGCGATCAGTTGGGTAATTAGCTTGCTTTACACTATAGCTAGTTGTGCCGTCGTACAAATGGAAGCACATTGCTCGTGCCATTATGCCCATTCCTAGCGGTACGTGTGATGATGTCGAGCAGATCGGTCGTGCTCACCAAGATGGCGAAGGACGAAAACGAAAGTAGCAGGTGGAGACTTGATGATCATAACCAGAACATCCTAGATCGAATTATAGACACCATGAACATCGCATGAGACACACCTGCTTGAACGCTATCACTCCCAAGCTGTACAGTAGGTATCTTTCTTTCCACTCAAAACCTGTCCCGCTGCCTCGCCCTATACACCGTCCATCCCACATACGCACCCGCCACTACCAAGCCAAAAATCACAAACCGCATGAAGAACCAGAACCAGCTTCCACCTGAGCTCGCAGGCTTGCTGGGTCTGCCCTTGCCTCTGCTGTAGTCTTTGCTTCCTGCCGCACCTGTATTGGTGGAGCCAGATGGAGAGTACAAGTTCTTCGTCTCCACGCGAATGATGTCGTGATTGTCACTCAATTCTCCCGTCTCGGCGCTGAAGCCTAGGTATGTCACGGCCGGGAGCTTGACGTTGGGCACCTCGAAGCAGCGGGTCCACTCGTCCTCCTTCTTGTACATCACATCCACCGTCAACTGCTTGTCCTGGAAATATGTAATTTTCGCTTTGGTCGGGTAGTCCGCGTTCCTCACGCCTCGCACCGAGCAGCCAGCTAATTCATTCGCCTTGCCGTCGTTTGCTTGGTCGTAGCTCGTCTGTCCGTCACCGACCATGGCCATGATATACGGAAAGACCACTCCCGGTCTGTTGTTCTTGTAGGTATCAAAGAACAGCCCTAGTCCCTCGAATCTATCCTGCATGCCAAAGACCGTCCCCTGCTGCGCACGATCCTTGGTGAGCCACATCGCCATGCCATCGCCGAATAGGTTGCCTGTGCCGTGAATCGCAAATTCGACTTCGATCTCCCAGTTCGTCGCCGTCAGGGGCACTCGACTGAAAATCCAGCCGGCTTGTGAAGGATGTTGCGAGGTGAGACGGATGTACTGGTCGGCTCTTATCACTGTGCTTCCGCCGAAGTCGAACCATCGTGATTGAAGATCTGAGTCTAGGTATGGCTGGGGACTGTGTTAGTATTCCAGTCTGTCTATTGATGATCCACGCGATCGACCCACCTGCTGCAAGCTATGCGTTCGTAAAGGTATCGCTTTTATGTCTGAACCATCTTGTGCTACAACGAATGTGGTCCACGCTGCCAGCAGCACAGATAGTAGCGGAAGGAAGAAATGGAACGCCATGCTTTACTGCTCGCTGAACATGCAAGGGAGAATGCTCAGGAAGAAAGTGCGCTGTAGTAGTGTATTAATAAGGAGTGGAAGTTTAGGTGGGCATGTGATAGCCAGCTGGCGCGAACGCACGTAAAACCGCACAGCCACCGCCACTTTAGCAAATATATGCTCGAAGGTCACACAACGTCCCGTATATATCATGCATCGCGATCTCAAGCAATGTCATCATGGACAACGTGGTTGGCAGAACGAACTAATGACATCGCTTCTTCACATAGGGCCCAGCTAGGTCTGACGGCAGCGGTAGCATTGGGTATTGGTGTCAGCGCAACGATTGGGCTGCAAGGTGCCAGACGGTGGTATAACATACATGATCTGAAGGACTCGATCCCTGATCTAGAGTCTCCGCATGATGTCGAGAAGGTAATTCAGTGTCTCCGAGCTTTGAGACGTCAGCTAATGAGTTGGCAGATCAACAACTTCGGTGGCGCCGAGCCAGTAGAACACACAGACCAGCGAGACGATGGAAGAAGCGCTGCCCTAGCCAGAAGAGCACGACTCGGCGACTACGACGAGGATTTGATTCTGGAACAGCTCGCCCGCAATCGTGTCTTCCTCACAGATGATGGACTCGGCAAACTTCGCAACGCCTTCGTAATCGTGGTGGGCTGCGGTGGCGTTGGCTCGCATGCAGCAGCAGCATTAGCACGCTCAGGATGCGGCAAGCTGCGTCTCATAGATTTCGATCAAGTGACTCTGAGCTCGCTGAACCGGCATGCCGTCGCCACACTTGCGGACGTTGGTACGCCGAAGGTAGTGTGCTTGCAAAGACGTCTTGAGCAGATAGTACCGTGGACGCACTTCGACAGCCGCAACCAGCTTTTCGACGCCAAGTCAGCCGAGAAGCAACTCGAACCATGGAGCGACGGACAAGGACCTGACTTTGTCATCGATGCGATCGACAATATCGACTCGAAAGTCGCGCTACTACACTACTGCCACAAGAACAGCATCAAAGTCGTCTCTTCCATGGGTGCTGGCTGCAAGTCCGACCCAACCCGGGTTTTCATAGGCGATATTTCTGCTTCTACAGAAGATCCACTATCGCGTAGCACAAGGAGAAAACTGCGTCTGCTTGGAGTCAAGGACGGTATACCCGTGGTCTTCTCATCTGAAAAGACAGGACCAGGCAAAGCGCAGCTCTTACCCCTACCAGAAGAAGAATTCGCGAAAGGTTCAGTCGGGGAGCTAGGCGTGCTGCCAGACTTTCGTGTTCGGATTCTGCCGGTGCTGGGTACGATGCCAGCAGTATTCGGGCTGTGCGTGGCGAATCATGTCATGCTCGACATTACCGGCTACCCTCACGACTATCTACCCAGTAAAGCACGGGACAAGATGTATGATGGCATTCTAGCACAAGTGCAAGGTTTGGAGGAGCGAGTGGCCAGGCACCTCGGTGATGATCCTGTAGGCCTACGTATCCCGGTCACGGCTGATGATGTAGGCTATCTGATCGAAGAGGTCTGGAAGGGCCGAAGTGTGATCTCTGGTCTGGCTAGCAGGCTTGCGTTGACGAGATGGCGACAGCCTGCCGGTGAATGGATAGACCATTATTCGCCTGGTCAGAAAGCGGATAGATTGCAATTGGACGACCTCGTCTGCATGACCAAAGATGAGATGCTGAGACATGAGAAGGAAGTGCTACGTGAGGGCAGGAAGCCCGAGGATCTGTACGAGAAGAGTGTCTGTGATGCGGTAGAGCGGCGACGGGCAGAAGAGCGTGCGTTCAGAGCACAGCGGTGATTGCAAGACGACCACGTAGAGGAGACTTGAGAGACATGTATGATCAGAAATGTACAATATACTGTACCTATCACTTCAATCAAGCAAGCAAGCAAAATAGTCCTCAGATTAGCTCTCCTAGGTTCTCAACGACAACCAGCACGCCCTCCTCACTCTTTTCAGAGCAAGAAAGGCGCACGGTTGCTTTCAAATTTGGCTTTTGATAAATTCATCATCACCGGACAATGAATGCTTGCAACGCTCCCCTCTCCCGACACCACGCCACAGCCACATCCATCCCAGCCTCAACCAGACCCGTCATGCCCTCCTCACAGAACACACCGACAGCAGCAGCAAAGACGGAGCGAGTGCGGTACTCCGATTGAAAACTATCATTTTGGGCTGATCCTCATGGCTCTCGCCACTCCCGCGCTGACCTTCGTGAAGTCAGGGGTCGTGAGCAGAATGAGCTGGATCCGGAATTTTGCTCAGATTTTCGGTCATGGGCGCACTATGAATGCTGAACACGTCGAGCTGGCTGAAAGGCGCATCTGCTCAGGCAGTATTGGGCGATGAGTGCTAGTGGTGGGTTGTGTCAGTGAGGAAGGAAGAAGGTCCATTGCATGGAGGTTTGGTCTCGAGAATTTGTGAAGGACGAAAGCAAGAAGGCGACGGAGATCGGATCCTAGGATTTCTGTTCGTGACTCAGCCATTCCCGCTCTCAGCATGTGGGAAGCCGACGGATTGAAGGCAGACCCGGCAACTTGAGACAGAGGTTGCGGCTACGTGCAGGAGGGTTGTACTGTAAGCTCGGTGATCATTTTCGTCATCGGAAGGAGTCTGAGCATGTTAGTCTTTGTGCCTTTATAGGTTGGAGGGAACATCCACCTCGCGCCATTTTGCCTCGTCATTCACAAATTTGAGGTGCCAAGAAGTGAATGAGGTTGAGGTCAGTGAAAGGCAAGAGCACATGCGTGACGGCACGGCTACGGGAAGGCGCGGCCGACGGGCGGATATGTGACAGAAAAGCCAGCTATTCCCCTAGCTCAGATCACTCTCTGACCAATGACAGACGCTTCACTCGGATCCTCACGGCCTGAAGCTTTGAGCTTGATGTCACACTGCTGCAGTTGTGGTTCAGGTACAGTAGCAAGACGAACACTTAGAACAACAGACGGTAGGTCAGACAGTCTATTTCCAACCCCCTCGTTTGCTTGCTTCCTCTCACAATGTCCAACAAAATCATCCTCGCCATCAATGCTGGCTCCAGCTCTGTCAAAACCTCTGTCTTCTCATACACATCTGGTGGAAGTAAGCCAAAAGAGCTCGCAGTGATACAGGTTGCAGGGTTGACAGCACCACCTGCGACACTCAAGTACGATCGGGGAGACAAGCACATCAAGGATAAGGAGCTCTCGGAGTCAGACATCGACCCCAAGAACGCACAAGAAGGAGCATACGAATACATACTCAAGACTCTGACAGAAGACGAGGGTCTGACCGAGCTGAAACATGCAGACGACATCGAGTTCGTCTGCCACAGAGTCGTGCATGGAGGAGACTACGACAAGCCTGTACGGATGGATAAGGACACCTACGAGCATCTCGAAGCGCTGTCCGATCTTGCTCCCCTGCACAACGCAGGCGCACTAGAGATCGTGAAAGCTGTACATGAGAAGTCTCCCAAGGCCACCAATATTGCTTTCTTCGACAACGCTTTCCACCAGACACTACCGGCAGCGACAAGGACATATGCCATTGACCAGGACGTAGCTAAAAAGAACAAGCTGCGAAAGTATGGCTTCCACGGTCTAAGCTACGCCTTCATCACCAGTGCCGTTGCGTCACATCTCAACAAGTCCGCGGACGATTTAAATATCATCGCTCTGCATCTCGGAAGTGGCGCAAGCGCATGCTGCATACAAGGCGGCAAAAGCATAGATACGAGCATGGGCTTGACACCTCTCGCCGGTTTACCAGGCGCGACTCGATCAGGCTCGCTTGATCCTTCCCTTATCTTTCACTTTACTCACGACGCGGGTAAGCTGAGTCACGGCAGCAGCAAAGATTTGCATATCACGACAGCAGAAGAGATTCTGAACAAGAAGAGTGGTTGGAAGGCTTTGACAGGCACCACGGACTTCGGGGTCATCTCCAAGAAGGCTTTCGAGGGGGACGAGAAGTGCAAACTGGCATTCGACATCTTCATCAATCGCATCACGGACTTTGTGGCTGCGTATTATGTCAAGCTGGGTGGCAAGGTTGATGCGCTTGTGTTCGCTGGTGGTATCGGTGAGAAGGGATCACAATTGCGAGAGGCGGTAGTGGAGAAAGTGGCATGTCTGGGCTTCGGTCTCGATGCTGCGAAGAATGCCAAACCTGGTGAGCAAGTTGTGGTCGAGATTGGCAAAGAAGGTTTCAACCACAAAGTACTGGTATGCCAGACAGACGAGCAGACCGAGATGGCGAGGCAGTGCGCGATCGGAGCTGAGCAACTGAAGCGGCCAAGCTAAGTGAGCTGATATGCAACAACATGCGCATACTTCTCATGAAGAAGTTGATATTGTTAAATCACTACTTTCGACAAATCAGAGCCGTATCAAGCGCCATAAATCTCCCCTCGGGCAAATCGCTCCACTCTTCATACCCATTCCTGACCTCCTCCAGCTCAGCCTCAGAAGCATCCCCTCGTCTCTTCATGAAGAGCTCAACAGAGTTCGCCGCTTGATGAGCCTACGCATGGGGCCCACCTTGACCCGAAAGCTCCCATCCCCATGAACTCATCTCAATATTCTCCCATCCGCATCCCGCTTCATGCGCACAAATATGGAGACGCGCACCAAGGTTGGGGTCCAGACCAGCTGCTGTCATGAAGTCGGCGTACTGTTGCTGCATTTTCAACAGGCCACGAATGAATAATGTGACCCGCCTGGTTCGGGTTGATCAGCTTTGCCTGATGATACGTGATCCTGAACACATTGAATCCGCGTGCGGCGGAGCTCAGAGACTTTACATAAGGTCTCGCAGGGTAGGATTGTTAAGGTCGAAATGGCCGGACTACTCATTGTCGTCGTACAGAGCTATCAACTTAGCATGGGATATCAAAAGGGGGGTATCTATCCTTCAACCCTATACGCGCCAAATCATCATGATACCAAGTCATTACAATGATCAGACAAGATCATCGCCACTCCCGAAGTGAAGCTCGGAGATAGCCATTTTGACCTGCTCTTCTGCAACACATTGCCATCGCTCCCTCTCCCTCTGGTCCGTGAGGGCGGAAGCATCACCAACAAGATCGTACATTTGACGCGAGACATCTCGGTTGATATCAGTGTATTGGTCTTTGCTGATCTCTTTCTCGCGATATCTTGGCGCGAGCGCGAGCTTTACCATGCGCTGTATCTCCTCCTTTGCTGAGAAGGACAGATTGCGCGATGGCGAGCCTGAGGATGCGCGCGCCGGTATCGACGTATCACTGCCTCGCCGGTCCATCTGCGGTGTGCGCTGGCGGCCTCGGTGGTATTGTTCGTGAAGCTGTATCGGTATTGATTGAGCGCCAGGTGGCGAGAATGGCGAGAAGATCGCAGCCGGCGTCGATAAGTCAGGTAGGATGGTCGATGATAGTGGTGGTGAGATCGGCGCTTGCTGCGGCATTGGTGACAGAGCGCGCGGTGTACCAGGCCCAGACGAAGATGGCGATCGAGCAGGTGAGGAGTTGCGAGGTGACCATTGGCCACCATACTGATCTGAAGCAGCCGGCGAGCCAGCAGATAGTGGCTTGTTCTCTACATCCTTCAGCAGGGAGGACAAGAACGTACTGCGATCATCAGCACCCTGTGCAGCGGCCACGGAGGCTTCGGCGATTTTGATAGGTTTTGGTGGGGGCCGTGCCGCTCTTGTGCGCGGGCGCTTGAGCTGAGGCTGCGATTGTTCGGCGTCGTGGGGTGATGCTGGAGATGCTGTGGCTTTTCTCTTACGTCGTCGACTAGCAGCAGCCGCCTCTCCAGTTTCTCTAGCTTTGTCGAAAGCATTCCACGCCCGTATCTCCTCTTGCGATTCGGGCTTGGGCTCGACCCGAGCCTGTTGACCAACCCTGCCAGCAGCAATGTCGCGCAGTCTTTCAGTGGCAGCCCCTTGTTGCTGGGCGACGCCAAGCCGTCGCTCCCAGTGCAAAAGCTCCCGGCGCTGTGCAGGCGTTCGCTCCTCGGTGACCTCGTCATCAAAGGGGAAGTCGAGATCAAGGTCGAGTCGACGGGATACCTCCTGCCATACGCGTGCCCAGACAGTGTCGTTGCCGCGCCGGTTTCGTCTAACCAGTCTACGTGGTCGTCTTCGAGTAGAGGTGCCCAAGGAGTTTGAGCAAGCCTCGCAGTACCATTCCACAGGTGCATCATCAAAGCCGGCACAGAAGACATGGACAGCTTGTTCGCATGAGTCGCAATACATGAGTTCGTGAGTGTCGTCCGAATCGCCGCAAAGAATGCAGGATTCCCATGCCTCTACGGCGAAGAGCTCGTCTTCGAGAATCATGGTAGGGTCCAGCTCCGGTTCCTGGACCTTGTCTTGCACGGTATAGCTGTCCTCTACGGCGCCACCAACGACTCGGCTGAGCTCGACCATGTTGAACTTGGCGCGACATATCGGACAGCTGTTCGCACGTTCTACCCAGGGCTTGAGGCACGAATTGTGCAGGTCATGCTTGCAGGGCAAAAGATGTGCGATACACTCCTCGTCAGCATCAAGACTACAGAATTCAAGTCAGTAATTGTTTACAAGCGCAAACATACTGGAGGCTCCAGTAGCTTCGCGCGCATGCGCAAAGTAAAGGATAAACCTCACCTTCCAAGCTCATTCGGCGAATATCAAAAGCTATTGATGTTCGAGCCGTCCAAGTGTATGGAAGCGGGTACCAAATCGGTATCGGAGTGGTAGGCTACGGAAGCCTCCAGTATGGTGGGTCATCGCCAGCGAAGGCGGTAAAGATAGATCATCGTTTCGTTCATCGTGGATCAGGTGGTATACCTTTTGGTGCTCGTTCTTGTGAACGGCTTGTGATCGTCCTTGCCTCCGGGGCTAGCTTCAGCAGTGACAGCAGTATATTCGGCATGTTCCGACGGTGAGCTCGCATTTACTTCAGTTCGAAGGTCACCCAGACAGACAATACATGTTTCGGCCATGTGAACGACCTTTCATAGGATTGTATGTGAGATGTAGAAATTGTTGCGGTAACATGAGGTGGTGGCGAGATTGAGGTCGAATGAGGAGAGGTTGATGTTGGAGAAAGGACGATCAAGGGAAAGCGCAGCGTCGTGGCGGCGGAACATGGATCCGCGCTAATGCACAACTATCGCGACACGTGATTGTATGACTGATTGAATTATAGGCTGCAGGACAACCAACGAATCATGCCCCGTGGACTTTTGGTCGGAGTAACCGACCATGTGCAAAACAAGAAAGCCAACGACGTCTATCATAATTCACACAGTGGCCGGCGTGTCATCGTGACTGACACCGACTGCATGATGCGCTCCGTACAGAAGACTCAGGTGACCGGAACTCCCGATTAATGGATCTAGCACATATATCACGCAGATAATCTGCCGGCTCGATTGTCCTACGAAGCTCATGGAGGAAAGATGTTGCAGGAATGCTCTGAGTAGCGAATGCTCTGAGTAGCGAATGCGTGCGCCAACGAAAGTGCTGACAGTTCCGACAGCAGGGCTTGCCACAATCTGATCGTCATTAATGCTCTTGTCTTTGGTTGATATGCAGCATCGCGCAGTGCCTGGCAGTATTCGAGCTCATGGGGATGAGATATTCCCGTATTGCAGGAAATAGTCCTGCTCCCTGGGACTAGTGTCGTCCTTGGCCACATCAAGCATAGGGGTGAACAGCCACGGCGTTGGCTCGCCATGCATAGCAAAAGCAAGGATTGTTTAGTCAAGTGGATGCGTCGAAAGAGAGCATCAACGCAGGTAGCGAGATTGCCCAAGGTAACTGCCGAGGTTGTTGAGTTTTGTCATTCATGCCTTTGCTAGCTTATCAAGCCTGCTACCACAACGCAGCGCAGTAGCGGCACAGTAACGCCATAAGAGCACTCCCGATGCATCATCCTCCCTTCCCTTATACCTCAGCAATCTCGCGCAGACGTCGGATGGTCGACCTCGTGGCAGCCGCAGCTGGTGTGGACACTGTGTAGGCACCGCCGGCCATCTATGCAACAGTCAGTATATCCCACTCCCCTCCTCGTGTTTGTGTGTATTGTAGACGCACCGTCTTGCTGCACGCTCTGCACTTCCAGATACCGGTCGATTGTCTCTTCACCGTGGTCTTTCCGCAGAATGTGCAAGAGTATTTGCTGTGCTGTTGAATTTCGATCTTCTTGACCTGCTTGCGGAGCGAAGCACCGTAGCTATACAGTTGTGTTAGTCCTCATCCCATTGTAGAATTATGCCCCCAAGGTTCTTCTTCGCTCCTTCATCATCGGATGCGAGGGAGAGTCGTACCGTGTGCCGTATTTACCGGTGATGCCGACCTTCTTTGTGCGCTTCGTCATTTTGGCGAAGTGTGTGGTTGAATGGGAAGATGTGTTATCGCTGACCTCGTCGCAAGACGTTCGCTGCTTGAATTGCAGCGCTTGGTGGGCGAAAAGCGCTAGTGCTCTTGGCGTAAGCCTTAGGCATGAAGAAAATCGACTTCGTGTCCTCGCTTGCAGCTCGAAGCGAGAATACTTTCAAGGTTCCACAGTAATGTAAACATTGGAAGTACTGTCTGTTCTCTGAGCTTTTTTTGTGCTAAATCACGAGACAAGGCAGGGTCGCCTTTAATTCTCTCAAACATGGTTCAGAGCACTCGCCAATACGAGTGCATTGTCTTAGGGGCCACTGGCTACACAGGAAAATACACCTGTGAGCATATTGCCTCCAGTCTGCCGACTGATCTAAAGTGGGCCGTTGCCGGACGTTCAGAGAGCAAGCTTAAGCAAGTCGTGGATGAGATCCGGCCGTTAAACGCAGATAGGCTCCAGCCTGCAATCGAGGTCGCCCAGCTCAGCAAAGACGATCTAGTCGCTCTGGCCAGGAAGACTAAAGTCCTCATCAGTACTGTGGGACCGTATCACAAATATGGCACGCCGGTTGTTGAAGCCTGTGTAGAGACGGGCACTCACTACCTTGACTGCACAGGAGAAGTGCCTTGGGTCTATGACTTGATTCAGAACTATCACACAAAAGCACAGCAGAACGGCGCTATCATCATCCCTCAGAACGGCATTGAGAGTGCGCCTACAGATCTCATGTGCTGGAGCCTGGTGTCACATCTTCGACAGACCCTCGGTGTTGGCGCGAAGGAAATCGTGCAGGTCACTTACGACATGAAGGGCACGCCCAGCGGCGGCACACTTGCAACAGTCTTGACCCTATTCGATTCATACAGCCTCAGCCATCTTCAGAAGTCCGGACGTCCATGGTCTCTCAGTCCGATCAAGCGCTTAGGTAGTGTTCCCAGCCGTCCACTGCTTGAGCAAATTACTGGTGTGCGAGAAGTCTCGGACCTTGGTACTTTGACGGACAGTCTACAAGGCCCTGCCGATATCCCAATCGCCAACCGATCTTGGGCCTTGATAGAAGGCGGCAAGTTTTATGGCCCAAACTTTCATCTAACCTGCTACACTCGTACACGAAATGCAGTCACAGGGCTCCTCGTGCACGTGGCCATGACTGTAGGTTTCCTTGCTATTCTGTTGCCCCCGGTACGGTGGGCTCTGCAGCGCTTCGTCACGCAGCCTGGATCAGGTCCAAGCAAGGAGTAACTATATACCATATCCTCCATTTCATCCCTCTTGGTGCTGACTGAATTGCTAGGGACGTTAAGAACGACTATGTCGAGTGGCGTGCCATTGCCCATGCGGATGTCCAAGACTCGAACGATCCCAAACGAGCGGAAGCTCGCATGCGATGGCAGGGCAGCATGTATCTGCTGACAGGCGTCTGCCTGGCTGAAGCTGCGGTGACTATAGCTCGAAACAAAACAATGGCACATGAGCTCGGTGGCGGGGTCTTGACTCCTGCAACTCTGGGTGCGCCGTACCTCGAGCGTCTGCAAAAAGCTGGGGTCGAGCTGGAGGTCAAGATGTTGCCATGATGCGACTCGTAGTAAAGAAAACCTCCAACATCGAAACCAGGTTGTGGTTCGCAAGGAAATAGTGAACACCACGAGGCTGAGAACTGTATAGGTCTTTCAAGGTCGTATGGATATGCTGTCCTTCTCAAGCTCATTATACGACTACCATTTCGCCGAGTATATCATCCAATCACCAGCAAGTTCGACAGATCAATAGCACGGAATGTGCATCGAGCGCTATATCGAACATTCAGACTGCGGCCATGCCGAGAGTCACTACTACAACAAGCACTGCAAATGCCCACTTATAGTCGGCACTATTGAGCAGGCGGAGGGCCCTTGTCTGAATTGCAGGACAATTCCGGGTACTGACTCCACAGCTATGCCACTCACCCTACCAGACCATCCGCCTCCACGGCAAAGTCAAGCTGAAGTCGATGCATTACCTGCACCGGAGATTGATGCAGCACGGCGATACGACGGATTCGACGGTATGCTCTACGATGCACTATGGAGTGAACGAAGAATGTGACCTGTTTTTGACATCGCATCCTGACCGGCTGTGGCGTTATAAGGCTGGCTAATCGTTGTTGTTATGACCGAGGCTTGTAGGATAAAGCGCTCATCTGGGGCGGGGATTTAAGTGACCGCAGAACAGATCTAGCAACAATACAACGTATACCTCCGAGACCCATGCATATCTTCGTCAGCTGCTTCGAAGCGTGAGCTTCATTCAGTTGGTAGTTTTATTCAGTTGGCGGTTGTATAGTAGTGGTAAACAGTCGGGTCGAAAGAAGTATTGACTGACAAGAACGACACAGACGTATCGCTTAGGCCGGCTTGTTGACCGCTATCGAGGGCTGCGAAAGCGAGAAGGCGACCCTTTGCGAGAGGACTGGAGCTGAAAACCGACGTGCTTACAATCTTCTACATCCTCTACTGAGACCGGGCCTTTACTCTTCCCACATCTGCACATCGAGAACACGCAAAAGCCACGATGCCTTTCCTAGCACAAGAGCACTTCCCAGTACCAACAAAGGACATACCATCCTGGACTTTCGACAACATCAAATACGACCAAGACGAACCGATCTACATTGACGCCCTCAACCCCAAAAAGAATTCTGTTTCGGCTCGACAAGCCAAGCAATATGTTCATCGCCTTGTGGCCGGTCTCCATGCTCAAGGACTCCAGAAAGGCGACTGCGTATGCATGCACAGTCCCAACCATATCTTGTACCCTCTCGTATTCATGGGCGTCGTAGCTGCCGGCGGCGTCTTCGCAGCTACAAATCCGGCGTATACACCCTATGAAATGGTACATGCACTCAAAATCGCGAAAGTGAAGTTTGTTATTGCGCAGCTGGATCTTGTCAAGTCTTTAGAGAAGGCGATGCAGGATGTGGGTATGTCGAAAGACAAGGTTGTCGTGTTCAACCCTGATGGTGAAGCTGCACCGGATGGGTACAAGGTCTGGTCTGATCTTATATCTCATGGCGAGAAAGACTGGAATCGCTTCGATGACCTACAGACGGCGAAACATACGGAAGCAGCTCGACTATTCAGCTCAGGTACCACTGGTCTACCCAAAGCTGCCTCGCTATCCCATTACAATCTCGTTGCGCAACATACTTTGGTCTACGAGTCTATCGACCGGCCGTGGCGAGCGAAGCGTCTAATAGCTTTGCCCATGTTTCACGCAGCTTCCGCGCCCGTAGCTTTCACGACTCCTCTGCGTGCCGGCGAACCAGCGTATGTGCTCGCACGATTCGATCTGGAGAAGTGGTTCTGGGCTATGCAGGAATATGGCATCACGGATGTGGCGCTCGTGCCGCCTGTAGCAATCATGGCCATCAATTCTCCGCTGAGGGAGAAGTATACCCTGAAGTCTGCGAGGACTGGAGGCGTGGGTGCGGCGCCATTGGATGCTAAGGCGCAGGCCAGATTTCAGGCATTAATGGCTGGAGGCGACGCTTCCTTGACGCAGGTATGGGGCATGACTGAGACGAGCTGTATTTGTACTCGGTGAGTTGCTTCAGCATATAGCAGGATCTCCGATATGCTGACAATGCTCCGAGCTTTCCATACCCTGACAAGGATATAACTGGCAGTGTTGGGCGACCATTGCCTAACATTGATCTTAAGCTGGTCGATGACAGCGGCAAAGACATCTCTGGCTACGATATTCGTGGCGAGATATGTGCGAGAGGACCAACGATCATAAATGGCTACTTCGAAAATCCCGAGGCCAACAAACGAGACTGGGATGACGAAGGCTTCTTTCACACTGGCGATATCGCGTACTGCGATGGCAAGACGAAGCTGTGGTATATTGTAGACCGAAAGAAGGTATGTTTCAATACGTATCATGATCCTAGCAGTCTGATGCTGACATCTAGTGAAGGAGCTCATCAAGGTGCGTGGCTTTCAAGTCACGCCACCAGAACTCGAAGGCCTGCTGCTAGATCATTCCGGCATCGTGGACGCGGCGGTGATAGGTGTTCCTGCTCCCCAGGAGAAGGATGGAGAGCTACCTCGGGCATATCTCGTGCGTAGACCTGGAGGTGATGGGAAGCTCACTGAGCAGGAGGTGCATGCATACATGCAGGAGAAATTAGCCAGCTATAAGCAGTTGACGGGTGGCATCGTGTTCTCCGACGCAATACCGAAGAATGCGAGTGGGAAGATACTAAAGAGAGTGCTGAGAGAGCAGGCGAAGAAGGAAATGGGTGCTAAGTTGTGAGAAAGATTGGTAGTACGACTAATCCGTTCAAGATACAAAGACATTTCATATCTCCCTTGACATGACATGCTCGTTGGGATCTCCCACAATTTGTCTAGAAAGTCACAGCGTATGATGTTGATATCGAGTAAGACTCGCATGTAAATGTGTGGGCGCTATAAATTTGTCAGCGACTCTTCCAGAAAGCTTCACATCTTGCTATCGACCTGTCTCATTACTACAAACCTTGTCAAGTACATGAGCCTATTACTTTAAAGAAACACTCCAACTCGTAGTCGCACTTCCCATAGACGCCAACAGCAATGTCTCGCCATCATCCCGACCTGGTCATGTGCCGCAAAACCTCTGGCATCAACATCGGCCGCCTCTGCGACAAATGCGACGGCAAATGCCCCGTCTGCGACTCTTACGTACGGCCCACCACCATCGCCCGCATCTGTGACGAGTGCTCCTTCGGCAACTACCAGAACAAATGCGTCGTCTGTGGCGGTGAGGGCATCAGCGACGCTTTCTACTGTTTCGAGTGCACGAGATTGGAGAAGGACCGGGATGGATGTCCGAAGATTATCAATTTGGGTAGTTCGAGGACGGATCTGTTCTACCAGAAGAAGAATTTCAGGAATAACCAAGGTGGTGGGAATTACTGAGGTGGTCTATCTGGGAGGATAATTAAAGATTTACGACAACGAGATAGGACTTCTGGGACAGGTCCGCAGAAGTGGCCTTACAAGAAGTCGAACTCGGGCTCGACTGGTTGGGAAACTATGAGGGGCGAATCTGCCATCGTCCGCACGGGAAACCAGGATAACACACGACCCGATCGCCCAACTTTAATGGCTGCTCAGAAGTGCAACTGTTTCGCTTGCTCACCAAGCACGGTATGGTCGCGACACTTGCGCAATCCGCCTCAGTCTGAGATCATATCTCGAAGAGGCCGAGGCGGTGACGATGGAAACAAGTGTGTTGGAGGATAGCGGTAGCCTTGGCAGGGTATGCAATCAACCCTCAGATATCCAGAATCTTTGCTTATACCTTTCAGCTGCCACTAGTCTTCGTTTGCACACCACGAACCGCCTTCTCTCGCGACCCGTGCGTTCTTTTCGCTTCTTGTAGCCCGGGCGACCTTAAAACGGTATAACAGCTTACACTGGGTCGCGCGATAACGCAACATCTGCTAGGTCTCTGACTTGAAGTCGCAAGTATGAGTTCCTTCCCTTTTTGGCGCCAATCAGGTTGCGCAGCTTTTACTTTCTATCTCTGTCACAGCTGGTCGGCATCAGGCACGATCTCGCGCCGGCTGAGAACACTTTCCTGCCTTAGTCCGCTCACGCTGCCTCCAGTAGAAGCATCCTACTCTAATATAGCAGCTTCACAAGACGTACGAGTCATCTAATAGAGCCATTCCTCGGTATCAGGTACGCACACCTGAAGCGTGGGGTACGCCTCGATGTGACCGAGGTCAACCAACAAATCGTCATACAGATGTGTACATATATGTAAGTGAGGCGCAAGTATACTTTCGTTGTGCTTTAATATATACACACCGGTTGCTTGACATCTATCCTTACTTGGTATTCATCGAACCTATTGATGCACAGCTGAACGCGGATCAGTAGAGTCATTTGATCATGGCCACAACAACGACGGCCACTGTGCCGCAGAAAATGCGAGCAGTCCAGATAGTCGAATACAACAAACCACATGAGATCCGTACGATCGATACACCGCAACCTAAAGATTTACGACCTCACGAAATCTTGCTCAAAATTGCCGTGCCAGGCCTATGCCACTCCGACCTCGAATACCTAGCAGGCCACATGCCAACCAAACTCCCCGTGACAGGCTCCCACGAAGGTACGGGGACAGTAATCGCCACCGGTAGCGACATGAGCTCGCACTTCAAGCCCGGCGACCGTGTCCTAGCAGGCAAGACGTTCGGCCGCTGTGGCGAATGCGAGATCTGCCAGGGACCGGAGAATTATCGACACTATTGTCGGAAGCGCGACAGTATGATGAGTGTAGAGCGGGATGGTGCCTTTCAGCAATATCTGGTTGTGGATGGGAGGGAGTCGACGATTTTGCCGGAGAAGATGAGTTTTGCTACTGCGGCGCCGTTGGCTTGTGCTGGAATGACGAGTTGGAGGGCGATATTGCAGTGTCAGCTGAAGCCGGGTGCGTGGATCGGTATTGTTGGGTCTGGGGGTGGGTTGGGTCATCTTGTATGTCATTGCTCTATCTGAGCACGTATGTCATGCTGATGGTTTGATACAGGCTGTCCAGATGGCGAAGAAAGCTAAAGGCTTGAACGTCGTCGGCATCGATGCCCGAGACAGCGGCTTGGAGCTCACACGTGAGTCTGGTGCTGATCTCGTCCTCGACGCACGGAAAGGCGTCCCAGCCATGGTCGAAGAAGTGCAAAAGGCTACGGGCTCCACTGGCGTCCACGCATCGATAGTAGTGTCTGATCACATCACTGCAGCTCCTGCAGCTTGCGCCATCACAGCTTTTCACGGTCGGGTAGTGCAAGTAGCTGTGCAGGACAAAGTCACGATTTCAGGAACCATGGACCTTATCTTCAAGGATCTCAGGCTTAGTGGAAGCTTTATGGCGAGTCAGAAGGAGACGGAGGAGATGTTATATGCTGTTGTCGAGCAGGGCATCAAGGTGGAGAATAATATCTTCACTGGACTTGATGAGGTGCCGAAGGCTGTTGAGATGTTGAAGAAAGGAGAGTATCGTGGTAAGGCATGCTTCATTGTGGATGAGGACGCCGTTGGGCTGAGGCCGGGTGACGGATACGTCTAAGCTGCGAGCGTCGATCTGCCATATCACTTCCCAATGAGATCTTTCAGCAGGCCTTCATCATGGATCTTCCAGCCGTGGCATTTCGAGCTCGTCTAGAACAACCCGCTCTGGCCCAGCAGAAATTTTGCTTGATGCTTCTCTAGATCCACCTCTCAAGTGACGTTCGCCGAATCCATAAGCTTTGAACCTCGATATTGGCCATTCGCGAGCTCCGTTTTCATGCACACCACCCAGCCCGTCGATGATCGTCACTATCACCAAGCTCTCGTCCTAGACAGCTGCCGAATCCGCCCACGACTCCGACCCCATCACATCCCTCCACAGCCGCTCCTTGCCCTTGTCCGAGCCAATCCTCAAGCCATCCATCACCGCGTCCTCCATAATAACGCATTCATCCAACGCCAGAACGAGCGGATGATCACATGCTTCAACATACCTCGTAGATTCAAAAGAAACCCGCTCAACAGCAGGAAGCCCATCATACTCCCACAGCCTCCCCGCCAAATCATACAGAAGATCCAGGAGATCATCCTCCGGGTCCGTCGCACGACCGGCTATCTCCAGACGCATACGACCGAACGGCAAGCTCAGGATGTGGAACTGAACCTCTTGCCGCCTGTAGAAGTTCGACAGTATATCGCGAGAGAAGACTCTGACGGTGAGGGTGGTGCGTCGATAGATCTCGGGGTGCAGGCGGCTGTAGAGTTCTCGGCAGGTCGCGGCTAATGATCTGGCGTTATCATGGTTGGTAGGTGGCGAGCTGATGATTTGACTTACTCTGTAGAGACTGCCGTCTTTGAGGAAGGAGACAGATACCGTATATCCGCCCGGCAGTACGCAGTCGAGGATGCGGAGGTGCAGCTCGGGTGTCAGTCGCAGCAGATGGCAGGGGTTCTGGTTGTCGTCGCCTGCCATGATGGTTTGGAACCTGATTGGTGGGCGAAGAAATGCAAAGGGCTGAGAATAGGTCCTTATAGGTTCGCTCCACCAAGGCAGCGGAGGTTGATTAAGGCAATCGAGGAGGTGAAGTGACGTTGAGTGAGGTCGCCCTGCCTAAGCGAATCGAGTCTGCAAATCAGCCGAGCCGGGAAGAAGTGGTATCATCAGGTCGAGATGAGGCCTGCCGCCAGAGGTCGCATCCAAGGAGCAATACCACGAAGCTACTCGCATGCTATCAAACCTATCACCCAAGCACCATGGCTGGACTGCCCCCCTCCACCTTCACCGCACTTTGTGCACTGCTCTATGCAGACATCACCTTGCCCAAGCATTCCAGGAGAGAAAGAAAGAAAAGAGGACAGAGTCTCAAAAGGGCCTTAGGGTAGAAATATAGATACCACCTGCATAATCATCCAAAGGACTCCCTATGAGTACAACCATCGCCGTACCATACCCAAAAGAACAAATTCCTTTCCAGAAAAGCCGACATAGCCTTTCTTATCCTGATCACATGCGAATTTCGTTCTGGAGGGCATCCAATACACACACTTTTTCGTCTCCTACCACCTCTCGCCAAAGCCCTGTCTGGTCCTTCCTGCTCGTAAGCACTAATATGCACCAGTATCAGTGACTCTGCTGTCGGCCCTTCCGGCAAAGTATTCAGCGAATCAACCAGCCGGTTCAGCATCGCCGCCCTGCATCGGATAAGATGGAGGTGGGAGTCGAGCGAGTCTAGAAGTCAGGAAACAGCTTCCCATGCCTATAATGACGGAGTCAGCACACCAGAAGAAAGTATGCAAAAGAAGGAAAGGAAAGGAAAGAGAACTTACTCATCACTTCCCCCCTGCCCATAAGCCTCCGTCTCCTCCGGATACTTATCAAACAAACTCGCATCGCCCACCCCACCCCTCACGGGCGGCACATACGGCGCATCGATATCCTTCTTCGACAACCGCTCCCACGTCACCTCCGCAAACCACGCATGCGTCATCACATCCCTGCTCCCCCCATGCAAATTCCCCAGTCTTTTAGTAAGATCCGCCGTGATCAGTTTACTCAACAAATCCTGCGCATCGGGGTGGATATAAGGTGGGTACTTCACCCGTCCCTTCAGGATGTTTTCGTAGATTTTCAGAGGACTGCCGGAATCCCAGAACGGGGTGAAGCCCGCTAGCATTTCGAAGATCAGGATGCCGAGGGACCACCAGTCAACGGATTTGTTGTAGCCTTTGCTGCTTACTACCTCTGGAGCGAGGTAATCGGGTGTGCCGCAAAGCGTCCAGGTGATGTCGGGGACTTCCTTGGCGAAGCCGAAATCGGTGATTTTGAGGTGGCCGTGGCGGTCTAGGAGTAAGTTTTCAGGTTTCAGGTCGCGGTAGATGATGTTCATGCTGTGGAGGTAGTCCAACGCGAGAGTGACTTCGGCGGCGTAGAATTTGGCGACGGGGTTTGGGAAGCGCTGGGTCATATCAGTACCACCCTCTCATACCTGGCTTCTATGCTGCGTGTATTGTATGGACTTACCTGACTCTTCCGCAACAGACTAAACAGCTCCCCACCCTCAATAAAGTCCATGACCATATACAGATTCTTGCTATCCTGCCATGTGCCCCACAGAGTAATCAGAAACGGATGCCTACACCGCTGCAGCATCCGCCTCTCATCATTCGTATGCTCCACCTGCTTCATCTTGACCACCTGCGCCTTCTTCAACACTTTCACGGCATAGTATCGCTGGTTGTGTTTACTCTGGACCAGGTGGACGCGGCCGAAGGAACCCGTGCCGAGAGTTCGGCTGATCTGGAAGTCGGTCAGGGTGTATTTCCCTTTGGTCTCGCGGGAGGGGTTGGCGTTGCCGCGTTGTTGGGGGAGGTTGAGGGCGGGGGCGCTGCCGTTGCCGTCTGTGCTGCTGCCGTAGCCGGAGTCGGTGTGCTGGGAGCTGCCATAGTTCGGCGGGTGGATCAGATTGTGGATGGAGGGCACGTTCTGAGTCTTGGCGTTGGCATCCTGGCCCTGCAGCTGGCCCGTTGCTTGGGCGTTCATTGAGGTGTTATTGTTATTGCTCGTCGGCGCCGCCACGGCCTTTGTCCCTCCCGAGCTCGCCGGCGGCGATGTGGCGGAGGACTGGGCGGAGTCGTTGGTGAAGGTTGTCTCAGGCTCGGCGAAGAGGTTGCTGCTCTTGGAGAGCTGTGGTGACAGGGCGGAACCTAACCCCGCAGTGTTGGAGACGGGCGAGGTGGGCGTGAAGTCGGAGCCCGACGAGTCCTTTGTGCGCTTCTTCTTCAGGAATCCGAGGGTCGGCATGGAGTCAGAAGGATGGGAGGGATGGCGGCGCTTGGCTGGGACGAGAGGAGGCGCTGCGGTGGTGGGTGGGAGTGGAGGCACCGTCGGCCAGAGTGTCTCGGATAGCTGCCGAGGAATGCTGGGTCTGGAGACTCCGCGTGGAGATTCTCGGATTCTAGGTGCGACTGTCGATGCTGATGCTGATGATGATGATGATGCTGATGATGATGCTGCTACTGCGCGCTCGCTGGATCTCGTGACTGGGGCGGGTGCTGGCGGGTAGGACGAATGGGCAAGCTTGTAATGCGAATGTGCTGCTGCTTGACTCGTGAGACAGGGTGGAGTAGCTTTCGTGGGTGGTAGAGGAGCTGCTCAACTTGCGTCCTGCCTCCTTTTCCCTCTATGGACGGCCAGCTCGGCAAGGGAGGCGATGCGAATGTGTTTGCGCTGTGCTGTGCCGCTCTAATCCAGAAGCGTTGCTGCTACCGGAGCGGCGGAATCGTATGAAGCTTATAAGGTTAACAGCTGCTGTGGAACGTTACAGTCTGTCTCACTCCACGAAGCCCAGTCCCAACTCGCGCAGGTCATGAAACTGTAGGATATGTGATACGTATACGGTATGGCTGTCGATGTACGGATAGATCACGTAGGCGAACGGGGTGGAATAATAATGCGGGTGGGAGTTGGAGCTTTGTTGCTTGCTGTGCCTAGTGCCTGTGCCTGGAAGCTGGGTCAAGCGGAGATAGACATCCAATGTTGACGATATGTAGGGACGATATGTAGGGACGATATGTAGGTCGAACGCATGTATGATCAGAATAATAATGAATAGGAAAGACAGAGCATCGCTATCACGGCAAAAGGACCGACTTGAGGGTACCGACTGCTGCTGTTCCTCCTGCACATGCAGAGACAGAGAGAGCGGCAGACTACTACTGGCCAACAATGATCCATCGCCAGCCAAGGCACGAAAGCAAGCAGCAGCCCCGCTTCCCGTCATGCGGAGGCAGCGGAAGCGAGGGCAAGCCACAACAATCCTCTTGACCACACAGCCATAAGGGACCATTATGATCTTCCAGACCAACTTCTAATTGATCGGGCCCTCTCCCATCTCATCCCCCCGCAAATATCTCTCATCATCATACAGTAGCCGAGCACGTAATAGTCCCTATCTGCACTCGATTTGCCACCCATACTTTACCTGGTACTTTTGGAGACAACATGCTCAGCAAGGATCTGATCCAAAACAAAGAGTAGAGTCCATTCCCTGAAGCTCCTACCACACCTGCAACTCGTGATCCCCGACTACTTCTGTCCTACCCACACGAATGCGTGCTTGGTGTCCGGCTGGTTGTGAAGACTGGTGATAGAGGATACCAGCGACTAGCATGCGAGTCCGGGCGGCCTCGATATGGCAGAGAAGATATTGAGTCGGCGGGATGCCTGGCTGCCATTCTTCGTATTTTACTTCCACGGGGAGGACTTTCGCTTAAGATGTGGGTTGAGTTAGTGAGTGAGTGACTGAATTAATCAACCGCCGGTAAGCATCTCAATAGCTATAAGTGCCGAGCCGCTGTCACTGGTCAGTGATAGGCGTCAGCTTTTGCTTGGTGAATGCCTCAAAAGAAACATGACTTCAGATCCAAGATTTTATGATAACGGTCTGATCTCACCACATCCAGTCCACGTGTACCCCAGCAGAAAGACGCTTTGACACGCTCTCGTCTCCCTCCTCGACACCATGAGCAGACTCCGCATATCAGGGCCACCAGTACCAGGTAGCGACAATGCTCCCGCCCCTCCAACCCTACTTACTCGCCCACCCGAACTTCGTCTCCAGATCTAAGACCTCCTAATCTCCGATTTCACAATCACAACAACCGTCATCCTCGACGAGCTCCCTACTACGCGGACGACCACATGCCAGGACATCGCCGCGTGGTCCACATATACTGCTCTCGCTCAAACCTGCAAAGGCATCCACGCTGAACTTCAACCACTCCTCGACGCCCGGATTTACCACACCATTCAAGCATATGACACAGTAAGAAAATGGACTTTCCACCTCCCATCAGGGAGAGTGGGAGATCTAGATTGGACGGTCTACTTCGGGCGTGAAGATCGGGAGTCCTGGGCTGGTGCATTCGTACTATCCCCCCGGCACTACCACTAGCGCTTTTGAATCTAAATCCTCTGCTCACACCACCGATGTTGCTCACCTTAAGGCTCATCAGACCCCGATTCTGCAGCTGGATCCCGAGAGGAGAGCGAGGCGGATAGATGTCATCGTCGAGCCGCCTGCCAAAATCGTCGAAACGAGGTCTCGTTCGCCACTTGACCGTTCACCAGCTCGAGATATCCTTCCTGGCTGGCGTAACTGGGGTCGGTGTCAGGATCGTGCGGAAGGGAGAGCTACCTAACGGGTGGGAGGATTATTACGGAAATGGATTTCGGTATACATAACGTGTTATACATAACAGGGTATGCGCTCACCGGAACTCCACTCAGCTCACAGCGCACATCAACCACTACTTCCGATCCACCTCACCACCATCCACCTCACCACCACTTCCACCCACACCCCTCTTCCGACAAGAATAAACCAACCCCCCATCCCGCCCCACCAAATCCCACCCCCTCTCATCGCAAAGCCCCCTCGCCGTCACCGCCAACCCCTCCGCCTGCTCACTCCACATCTCCCTCACATCCGGAAACCTGAACCACTCCATCACCTCCTCGCTCACATCCTCCCCACGCTTGAACTGGCGTCCATCCAGCGCGCTTTCGTCCAAGATAGGTTCCTGTTGCTGTTGGGCGCTGCGGAGCTTGGGGCCGCGTAGGGAAGCGGCCTTTTGTTCGCGGGCCAGGGCGGAGAGGTAGAGTGAATGGGCTGTGCAGGCGTTGAAGACTTGGGTGAGGTAGGTTTTGGCGAGGTCGGTGTGTGAGGCGGTGCGGGGGATGAGGGGGTCTTCGGGCGGTTCATCCTGCTTTTCGGCGGAGTTGGGCTTGACGATTGGGTTTTTGGCTTCGTAGTCGGCTTTGTTGGCGTATTTGTAACGCTCCGCGGTCATGTGGAGTGCGGCTTTCGGGGCTTGCGCTTGCGCCCAGTATCGTTCATGTACGAGCATTTGGGCGGCGTAGAGGTAGGAGGGGGCGTACATGTGTTGCATGGCCAGCTTTAGCCAGTGGGAGGCCATCAGCCAGCGGTGTTGGGGTGTAGATGGGAACGCGGCCGTGTGGAAAAGATCGTCGGATTCGCGTTTCGCTGCTTCTGTTGCAGTTTGTGGTGGGAAGAAGGTGAACATGCGTTGGAGAGTTGACAGGAGACTCGTGGAGTCAGAAGGATAGCTATCAAAGGGTGTCGGTTTCACATGATCCGGCGGTTCGTCGTCGATGTATTTCCATCCACTCTCGGCATAGAAGATACCCAGTTTATGGCACGCGATAGCATGTCCTGAGGTAGCTGCTTTAGTCATGTGATATAGCCAAACGGAAGTATGTTTTGTCGTCCCATCCGGGTCGGCCTTCTTGAAGAACTCAGCTTTGTGATAGTGGCTAGTCGGATCATCCATCCTGCAACCGATGTCTGCAGCTTTCTCCGCTTTTTCAAGCTCAGCCTGTGCCGCCGTGAAATCGTTTTGTCCCCAGAAACGCACATATCGATCATATCGCAACAGGGTCAATTCGATCCACGGGCTAGAGAGCTCGACGGAATCCCGCTGTTGTAGGACACGCTCAGCCTGCAGCTCGGAGATCACTCCCCTCCTCTTCATATCTAGCATGCGCTGCCCACGCGCCACCGCAGCACCCATCCCCTTCTCCCACATCGCCAGAGCCTCATCTTCATCACCCAGCGCTCGCATGATCTTGCCCTCTAGCACCATGGCACGGTAGCTCTTCCCGTACCTCGCCAACTGCTTCAGATGGCCCCGCGCATACACAATCTCGGCGCTTCGCAATAAGTTCGGCCTGACCTTGTTCCCCAGCAACGCGTGACTGCAGATGGAGATGGTGGCATCTTCCAACCCGGCAACACTCAGCGCAAACATGAGTTTCTTCCCCAGGTAGTTATCCCCCGGCACATTGACCAGGATGAGGTTGAGATTGAAGAGATCTTGCATGGGCAAGCCCGACTCCTTGACCAGGGCCTGGAATTCCGTCTTGTTCACGTTCCGACCCATATGCCGCGCCACCAGCTTCTCAAAATCCTGCAAGAAGGCCGCGGCCCTGGCTGCTGTCATGACCCGGAAGGCTTGGGGAAGATTGGCGAGGATGTCGGTGACCGCGCTGGCATTGTGCTCGTTGAGTGCCTTGCGTTCCTTTGCGCCTGTCGCTGTCAGCACTTGGCTTTTTTCTTGGCGGGCTTTGGCGTAGGTCGAGGGGGCTTTGCGGCTGGAAGAGGCGGAACGTCGTTGGGGAAGGAAGAGGGAGCCGCAGGTGCAGCTGCAGAGTGTGCATGGTGGTGGAAATGTGACATGGCGGGCGGTAGAGTGGGCGATGGATCGTGGCAACATTGAAGGCAATATATAGCCTGGTTACATCGAGGATAACATGAGGAAGTCGCCATCTTCAATGCTGACGTAAGCGTGCATGAAGTCTGATCTCCTTTTGAATGACAATGATAATGAAACATGTCGATACACAACCACCAATCATGATATAGATAACCCACGCACCATGCCGAGCTGACAGACGGACTCGAGACAATGTCCGACTATCCAACCCTGCTCCAAACTTCCGTGGCCACCACAGCACTAAAAGTCCTCCTCTGGCCAGCCTAGTACGCCACCATATCAACCCTATCTCACAACAATGATCCCAACTAACACACCAGCAGCAAATCAACCGACTTCGAAGTCCACCGTAACTGGCTAGCCCTTACCCACTCCCTCCCCTTCCAACAATGGTACTACGAAAACACCTCAGAATGGACCCTCGACTACCCTCCCTTCTTTGCCTACTTTGAATGGACCCTCTCCCAGGCAGCCAAATACATCGACCCGCGCATGCTAGAAGTAGCGAACCTGGGTTATGCTAGCTGGAACACGATTTTCTTCCAGCGAAGTACAGTCATCGTGACCGAATTCGTGCTGGTTTTCGCTCTATGGCTGTTCGTGAAGAGCAGTCCTGCGAAGGAGAAGAGGCAAGCGCATGCTGCTGCTTTGTCTATCCTCTTGAGTCCCGGCCTCTTGATTATCGATCACATCCACTTCCAGTACAATGGGTTCTTGTACGGCATCCTCATCCTCAGTATCGTGCTCGCGCGCAAGAAATCCGGACTCCTGGTTTCCGGGCTTCTGTTTGCGGCTCTGCTGTGCTTGAAGCATATCTACTTGTACTTGGCGCCAGCCTACTTTGTCTACCTACTTCGAGCATATTGTTTGGGGTCTAAGTCGATATTCGATATTCAATGGTTGAACTGCGTCAAGCTTGGCCTTGGGATTGGTGTTGTCGCTGGACTGGCTTTCGGACCGTTCGTTTACATGGGTCAGATGGAGCAGTTGCTCTCGAGGTTGTTTCCGTTCTCGAGAGGTCTCTGTCATGCGTATTGGGCACCAAATGTGTGGGCACTGTATTCACTCTGTGATAGAGTGCTCATCTATGGTATGTCACGGCCGGATTTTCATGGGAAGGAGACCCGCTAACAATCTTCACACAACAGCCGCACCCTATCTCAAACTCGCCCTCAACCACGAAGCCGTCAATAGCGTCACACGAGGTCTGGTCGGCGACACCGCCTTCGCCATCCTGCCAAATATCACGCCACGAATGACGTTCATCCTCACCCTAGCCGCGCAAATCGTAAGTCCGCCCTCCAACCAACAGACACAGACAAAGACAACCACACAACTGACAAGAAACCCTCACACCAAAACAGCCCGCCCTAATAAAACTCTTCCTCCACCCAACCTGGCACACCTTCACGAGCACTCTCACCCTCTGCGCCTACGCCTCTTTCCTCTTCGGCTGGCACGTGCACGAAAAAGCCATATTATTGGTACTAATCCCCTTCTCCCTCCTGGCATTGACCGACCGTCGGTACCTCGGCGCCTTCCGCCCGCTAGCTGTAGCCGGACACGTGAGCTTGTTCCCGCTGCTCTTCACGGTCATGGAGGGGCCGATCAAGGTGGTTTATACCATCATCTGGCTCGTAGTCATGCTTGTTGGGTTCGATGGACTGGCTCCTGCGTAAGTTGCTGAAGATCACGGTCCAGTCCAATTGCCATGCACGAGTCGCTGACCAAACCATTCATATAGCTCACCCCGACCGCGCGTCTTTCTCCTCGATCGCTTCACACTGCTCTATATCGCTGTGGCGATCCCGCTTATGCTATACTGCTCGCTAGTGCACCAACTCGTCTTCGGAGCAAATTATGAGTTCCTGCCGCTGATGTTCGTGAGCACGTACTCCGCTATAGGCGTGGTGGGCAGTTGGCTAGGCTTCTTGGTCGTTTTCTTCACTTCATAGAAAGACATCCACACATGTAAATGCAAATCAAAGAAGAACCTCGCTCCCGCAGCAAGGCTTACCACATCTCTAACCTACCCCAACCAACCGAAATCTATATTAAACGACAGCTCCATCCCTCAAATACGCAAACCCCGCCTCCGCCTTCAAAACAGCATACCCCGAACTATCCACCTTCGGCAAGATCGATATCTTCCTCTCCGTCTCCCTCTCGTTCGCCTCCACCCACCGCCGCACCTCCCTCTCCTCACTCCAATCACTCACCTCCTCCTCTCCCCTCCCAACCTGATGCAATTGAGACCCCGAACTCTGCGTATTCAACGGCAAGGGAACAGAATTCTCTATCGCGCCATGCACCCTCCCCTCCAGAATCTCCTTGCATAGATATGGTTCCGCGGCCAAAGGTCGGCCGATGCCTACCCCGTCGCAGGCTCCTGTCTCGATGGCAGCAACCATCCCGGAAGCTGTGCGAAAGCCGCCAGTGACGTAGACTTTGGTTTTCTTTAGAAGTGGTCGTATCATCTCCGAGAACTCAATAAAGTAGCTCTCCCGTTTCTTGGTACTCTCCTTCTTATGCTCGAAAGCACGTCCCTCGAAAGTCCCACCCGAAAGATCCACGAAATCGACTTCGGCTTCCTCGAGCTTGAGGCAGAGGTTTTTGCAGTCATCTGGTGTTTGCCCTCCAGGCTGGAATTCGACGGAGTTGATTTTCACACAGATCATGAATTTAGGGTCAGGGACACGTCGTTTGATCTCTGTTATGATCTCGAATATAATTCGGCTTCGGTTTTCGAGCTTGCCGCCGTATTCGTCTGTTCGTTTGTTCGTTGTTAGGCTCAGGAATTGGGCGAGGAGGTACCCGTGTGCGCAATGGACTTGTACTCCGTCAAATCCGGCTTTGTAGCAGAGATAGGCGGTCTCACCCCATTGTCGCACTACTTCGTGGATCTCCGGGACGGTGAGGGCACGGGGTTTGTTAAATTTGTTTCCCGCCCACTCGATTTTGAGCTGGACATCACTGGCGCTGACGGGATTCGGGTTCAGAGCCGCACCGCCTTGCCGTCCTGGATGCGAGAGCTGGGCGATGAAAAGGGAGCCGTGTTTCTTCGCCACCTCGCTCACTTTCCTGAAAGCCGCGGTTCGATTATCGTGGTCGTCCTGTAAGATGGGATTCCCAAAGGCCTCGACGGCGTCGTAGCGAAGCATCAGATTTCCTGCTACGATGATCCCGATCCCGCCTTCGCCCCAGCGCCGATAGAGGTGCGTGTATTCTTCTGTTGGGTAGCCGCGCGCTGAGATAGGTTCGGATTCGGTGTTCCAGCGACAGAGGCGTTCGGTCATGGGGGCTTTGAGGAAGCGGTTTGGGGCTGTCAGGCCGGAGAAGGGGAAGGTGATGGGTTGGGATAGGGGTGAGGTGTTGACTGCTGGGCCGTTGATGCGAAGTTTGCCATCTTTGCTACTTGAGGTTGTGGTGGTGGAGTGGGCGTAGGATTGTGATTCTGGTTCTGCTGGGCCGGTGGATTTGTCGTATTCCATTATGGGCAGCGGTAGAGGGAACAGCGAGGAGATAGGAATATGTGGGATACTGCCACTTACTTGCTCAGGTTGGCTGCATATAAAGCACATATGTAGTCTTTTTACGAACCAGGTGTTCCCCGCATTGTTAGTAAGAGCGTGATCTCATCCGAGGCTACAAGCGTGATACCAGCATAATAAAGTAGTAGACAGATTTCCATCGGTCATCGTCACGTTGCGGCTTTGTCAACGAGCTGACTGCATGTAGCGGTCCATCATCATATTGTCGAAAGTTTTGACGACGGCGCGATCGGTCTGTCATTCAATGGCGGGCCAAGGGCAAGCTTATCGATTATGTTCTTCACGGTGACTCTGGACTGCCAGAGAGGTATTGCAGCCTATCTCGGTTTTGGCAGGTCCATGAGGTTGTTCACTTCGGCGATGTGAGCTCGCCTTCCATTGGGCAACACCGCAATGTCAAGCCTTGGTTAGCATGTCAAAGCGGCTTGTCGCTAACGAATCGTTTTCGATGTGATATGCTTCGCCTTACCCTTGCCAGCTCGCCATCGAGGAGTCTTCCTGTTGGTCTAGATTCGTGGGACAGGCTATGTGATGACTGTGCCACCCGGTCATCGAAGAACAACAATAATAATCTCCCGCCGCAAAGCACACGCCCGTGGGATGGCACAAGCCGCTCATGCATCCGTCCTTCTCCACAAATGGACCGGACGCTAGACTTCATCAGCTCAGGATCCAGGAACAAGCGAGCTCTATTCGTTGAACCGCACTGGCAGCACACGAGCTTCACGAATCGTATATTCAAGACTTCTCTAGTTCTACATATCATAATGCTCTTGATTCTTCATACAAAGATGGAACATCTTATCGTGCCTTGCTCTCTACAGCCCTTCGAGCCAACCTCTGCCACCCACAAAACGACACACACAACGTCTTTCATGCCTAGGCGCAAAGGTCCGTCCGGTGCGCTGGGACCATCTCATTTCTCCCCTATTAGCACTCCTTGATGCATGCCAGACCCATGCCTCCATAACTTTCACCTGGAATACTACTATTGCGTGTACAGACTGCAGCCCTTCTCTTTTTCCCTGCCAGCGTTATACTGCTGCTCTTTGGCACAGTCGTCATTCCTTCACTTGTCCTTCTACTATCAGCTTCTATATCCTTCAGAGCCTTTGTTTAAGTCTTGTTCCATTCCATATTATCCATTCTTCGTCCGTCCAGGAAGGCCATCATTCCGCCCAAGCTAATCACTTGTTACATTGGACACCGCTTGAGATTGGCGACATCTTGAAAGAGAAGACCCCGTGTATACACCTGCAAGTGGCATAGCTGGCGATTTGAAGCAACAGCAGCTGAAGAGCGAGAGCGATCGAGGCGTGGCCAGCGACCACCAGCGATCGATAGCGATACAGATCGAGTAACGTTGGGCCGCTTTCAGGATATCTTTATACAGGCCACTTGACCTTGTTATCGTCATCCTCATCTGACAGGACCGTTGGACACCGTTTGATCAAGGCCAGCTACCGAGACATACTCCGTGCGGCTATAGTACCTCCACTCCCTACTACAGTATCCTATCATCACCTATGTTAAGCATGCAGGCCAGCGACGCGATGCCCGTCACATCGGGCTTCGGACATCGTCACACACAGTCATTTGCGCCAAAGTCTTCCCTAGCAGGCGACATTGGCAGCTTTTCTCACTCCTCTTTTCACAACGCCCAACCATCGATTGGCGGATACGCAGACAGGCATCCTCAGCGCTCAAACGTACAACCCATCAATACTGGTCGACCTTCAATCAGCCACTACAATGCGCCCGACATGCAGACCCCACAGACCGGCTACGACATGAATTTCACTCCGCTATTGCCTTCACAACTGTTGATGGGTAGCCCCTTCCAACCTGGCTCGCCTCCTACCTTCCAGTCCCCGCAATTTCAGAGCTTCTCCAACTTCGCACCACAAACCAATGGCCATCGCCAGAACTCGCTCCAGCGGATGAACACCACCTTCCACCAGCAGCAGTCAATCATGTCGCCCGGCGCATATGTTGGTATGACATCGCCGACTGCGCTTGGTGCCTCGTCGTACTTTGGTGGTGTGCAGTCTCCCACGACCGGCTTCAACGCTCTGGCGAACCCTGGTATGGGTGGTATGGGCGGCATGGGTGGTATGGCTGGCTATGGCAACGCGATGCAGCTTGCGCCTGGTCTTGTCTCCGGAACGAGCAGGACTGTCTACCTTGGTAACATCCCTCCGGAGACGACAGCTGAGGAGATCCTTGGCCATGTCAGGAGCGGACAGATTGAGTCCGTACGCTTGTTGCCCGACAAGAACTGCGCCTTCATTTCCTTCTTGGACGGTTCCTCTGCGACGCACTTTCATTCCGACGCGATTTTGAAGAAGCTGTCTGTAAAGGGTCAAGATATCAAGGTTGGCTGGGGTAAGCCTTCGTCCGTGCCTACCTCTGTTGCGCTTGCGGTACAGCAGTCTGGTGCCTCGCGCAATGTCTACCTTGGCAACCTGCCGGAAGAGGTGACAGAGGACGAGCTGCGCGAAGATCTCAGCAACTTCGGGCCAATCGACACAGTGAAAATCGTCCGTGAGAAGGCGATCGGCTTCGTCCACTTCTTGTCTATTGGAAATGCGATCAAAGCGGTCACGCAGCTTCCTCAAGAAGCAAAGTGGCAGGCACCTCGCCGAGTGTACTATGGCAAGGATCGATGCGCATACGTGTCAAAGACCCAGCAGCAAAACGCTGCTCAATATCTCGGCATTGCGCCTGGGTATGCTCACGTGCTTAATAGCGCTGACCGCGACTTGATCACAAATGCGCTTGCACAGCAATCCGTTGCCGCCGCTGCAGTAGCAACTACTGCGGGAGGTGTGAGCAACCTAGGCAACAGGACTGTCTATCTTGGCAACATTCATCCCGAGACCACTATCGAGGAGATTTGCAACGTTGTGCGTGGTGGCCTTCTCCACCACATCCGGTACATTCCCGACAAGCATATCTGCTTCGTGACATTCATCGACCCTACATCAGCTGCTTCGTTTTATGCGCTCAGCAACTTGCAGGGTCTTATGATACACAATCGCCGCCTCAAGATTGGTTGGGGCAAGCACTCCGGTGCACTGCCACCAGCCATCGCACTTGCCGTCTCCGGTGGTGCGTCACGAAACGTGTACATTGGCAACCTGGACGAGTCATGGAGTGAAGAGCGCTTGAGACAGGATTTCCAGGAGTACGGCGAGATCGAGCTTGTGAACACGCTACGCGAAAAGAGTTGTGCTTTCGTCAACTTCACAAACATTGCCAACGCCATCAAGGCCATCGAGGCAGTGAGACAGAAGGAGGAGTATAAGCGCTTCAAGGTGAACTTTGGCAAGGACAGGTGTGGCAACCCACCAAGACAGGTCATGAATCAGCACCACATGCAGCAGCAGGCCCAGCAGCAGGCTCAACAACACTCGCCTCAAGAGCAAAACGGCGTTGGCTCGCCCTCCCCAGTCAACGGACTTCAGCCCAATCGTGCACATAATTCTATCTCGCCTGCGAGTTCTGGTGCGAACACAAACAACGCATACAATCCTCTTCATGGCCCCACGGCGTCCACGATCTTCAACTCTGGCAACAACAACCCGCTGACCTTGTACCTCGCCGCATCACAACAGAGTGCGCAAGCCGTAGCCGAGCAAGCACAGCAGCAACTCCAACAGATGTCGCTAGACGATGCGAGTCCACCGACTGCATACGCGCAACCCTACTCCACTCAGCCGCAGCAGCCGTCAGCACAACAAGCGTTCTACAGCTCACCAAATGAAGTGACCTCGACCAGAGCCACCACGAACGGCGGTCTCGAGGTCCCCATGTCCCAACCCTTCGGCCACGGAAGCCACCAGAGTGTGAATATCACCCACGGCCTAGGCGGCATGTCTGGTCTGAACTCCTTCTCCAACCAGCAAGCACAACGGAGTCAGCACAGCCGTGCCGTGAGTCTACCAGCTTTCAACCTGCAGCAAGCACAACAGGTACAACAGCAGCAAAACGGAGCACTCGTCGGCCTAGGATCGAACTTGGGTAACGGGTACGGCGGCTATGGACTAGGCGTCTCGGAGCAAGGTGGTCTGAACGGCTGGGCAGAGGAGGAAGTCGCATAAGCGACAGGCAACTTTTCCTTTCTTGTCTGCATTGCTATGATCGTTTTCGGGTTGATAAGAGAGGGAGGAAGGATCGTCCACTAATACCAGCGTACACATGCTGAGGGAGTTGGATGAACATGTACCTGTATTGTCTTGCGCGCCGTGATCTACCAATGCATAAGTGGCGTTTGGATGGGTCGCTGGGTATTGCTTGCTCTGAGCGATTTGGCACGCTCGAGCTCGTTGTGTTTGCTTGGGCTGCAGAGCGTGTCTTGGGCAGATAGGATCAGATTGATAGCGCATGGAAAGCTGGTTGCAGATCCCCTTCTCGCTCTTGGAAGATCAAGCGTGTCTTCGATGCAGCGTTCTAGATCCGTGCAGTGCTTCTCCCATGCTGCAGTCTTTGTCATAAGCGATGTAAGCGGACGAAAAGATTGAGGATCAACAAGGTATCGGTTTATAGGGCTTGAGGCACCCATGGATCGATTGAAGATCAACTGTCTAGCAGTAACTCCACTCTTTGGTTTGGTCTTCGAGCAAAACTTTCGCCATTTCTAGCAGTCCCCTCGGCAAGCAGCGAGCTCACTCGAAAGCAGCATAATCCCCCACACAGCTTCAGCTTCAGCACCGAACATTGGGGGCCCTCTCGAACACCGCGCTAAAGTCAACAAGTCCCACACATCCCTTACATCCCAGCACATCACCTACTTGAAGCTGTAGTTCCCACCCTGCCTCGTGACCAGCTTCCCAGTGGACCGACTAACAAGCGTAGCCGCGCCCTTCTGGCTCACAGCAACCTTAACCTTCTTTTCCTTCTTCCGCTCCGGCCTGGAGTGGATATGTCCGTACTCCTCCAGAGCCATACCATTCGTCCACTTGCAGCATCTTTGCTTCGCCTCGGCACTGTCTTCCTTTGCAGCATGACGAGTACTGACCCTCGTTGCGTGCTCCTCTTCCGCCTCGACTTTACGAGCCGCTTCGCCATTGATGAACGACTTTTTCGCCTCCATGAACTGCGCAATGATTTCTCGCCAATCGCAGAGCTCTTTCCGTAGCTTCTTCTCACGCTCGCCACGCTCGTCGAGCCAAGCGATGAGTTGGTCCAGACGCTCCGGATCATCGTAGTAGCCCCACTCCTGCGCATTCATGAGACTCGTGGTGCCCTCTTCCTGCTTGCGACGCTCCAGCACACTGACTCCGTTCCGAAGGCGATACGCCTTTTGGTCTTCTGGCGCAAGATCAATGAAGCCCTCCAGCTCCAGATCGTCCGGACCCTGCACCCAGATTCGGCCATTCGCATAGCCATAGCTTGCCGTGCTCGATCTAGGCAGACCGCCAAAGGGCTGACCATTACGCTCGAACCAGTAGTAGCGATTGCAGTAGCGATCTTTCCCGAGTACCTTCGTACGCTGGACATTAGCCTCGCGCAGGTCGGCATCACAGTCCGCAATCTTAGCCTCGAGATCAAAAATGTGTTCCTTGAGCTCATCAATCTCTTTGAGCAGCTTCTTGAATTCCTTCGACTGCTTGTTCTCCTTCTTCGCAGCCTCAGCTTTCTCGGCCTTCTCCTTCTCGCGCCGAGCATTGTCCTCGTCACGCTTCCGCTTGCGATCGCTTGCACGACGTAGTGAGCGGCCAGACGCTGGCGCCTCGTCCTCTGGATCGGAACTACCAGCTCCGTTGGTCTCGAGTGTGTCGTCACCATCGCCATTTGCCGAAGTCACCGAGACTGGCTCTGCGCTCTCCTGCTTCGGCGAATCCGGCATGTTCTGGGGCCACAAGATCCTGCGGTCTCTATCCTTGGTCTGTAGCTCCTCAGCACAAACTTTCTTCTCGCGTTGGTGCTCAATTTTTCGCTTGCGCACATCTGTCATGTCGTCACTGCAAGACTCCAAGAACTGCTTGATGGCAGGCGTGCTAATCGAAAGCAAGGTGATCATCTGCAAGGCTGACAGGCGTAAATTGACGTTAAGCTCCTGGTACCGCTCGATGGCTGTCTCTGGTGTCGCGTCGAGGTCAACAGGCGCAAGCTCAGCCAGGATCTTGTCACAACGAATCTTCCACATGGGCTTGGCGGAAAGCTGATGTAGCAGACCAATCATGATAAGTAGCCAACCACCATTCTCGAACTCACGGGCCGCAAGCCTGGTCTTCCACCCGCGCTCACCAAGCATTTCGGCTGCGCGATGAGGCCTATCGCTGGTGGGTGTTCGACCGTTCTCGACTGCAGGGTCGACGTGACTGAGACGGCTACGTGTTGAGCGAGCAGGAACGTCAGGCTGTGGCGTTGAGACCTCGCTCTCGATGTGGCCGTCCGAGACGGTATCATCGACATCAGCAACCATGTCAGCCATCCCACCAACGATCTGCAACTTGCCATTTTTGTCCACAATTTGCGACAAAACTGCGCAATGAACCTCGTCCAGCAACTCGCAAGGTGTGTCGACGTCCCGGTAGTTCATAGCGTCTTTGAAGTCGTCGAGGGTGAAGCTATCGAGCACATACACCTCGCATTGGACGTTGAGCGTATTCCAGGTTTCGAGCAGCAGGCCAGTCGACTCCATGGAGACGTCGTCAAACTCGATACGACGGCCGCTCTCAACATATGCTTTCTGCTCGTCGGTCAAGAAGTCCATCTGTGGTCGTTGTTTACCTTGCGGTGGCAAGTCCGTGTCTTCGATCGGATAGCGGATTGGCGGTGGCGGAAGCGGTCGAGGCTCCATACGAGAGGCCAGCGGCTGGTGATAGCCCTGCTGGAGATGGTGCGGCGGCGCTCCAGGGTGCTAGATCTTGAGTCAGTGGAAGTGCTGCAAATCCATAGTCGACGTTATACTGACCTGTTGCATCTGCAAGCGAGCTAGCTCTTGCTGTTGTCTCGCATGCTCTTCGGATGGACGACCGCGACGGCTTTTCGGTGTCTTCATCTGGAGCATTTGCTAGTGAGGGTCAGCTGAATGTTCGTCCACATGTTTTCTGTCGCCAGAGGACACGCATACCTTGTTCGCGAGCAGCTTAGCGTCTTGCATGAGGTGTGGCGGGATCTCCATGGGCAGGCGGTGCGTGATCGCCAAGTGCTCCTTGACGAGCCATGGAGCGCCAATCCAGGACTCGCGCTGCAACGAGCTTTTCAGGAACTGACGAAGATTCTGCTTGGTGAATACTTTCTTGTCACGCCGAATGTGCTTGTCGTCGACCAGAGCCTCCTTGTCGGGCATATCAGGCAGACGAACGAAGTAGCGAGAGAACGCAGGACGCTGAACGGCACCGTCGGGACCTCTGAGTAGTGTATAAGCAAATGTATCAACCAGTTTGGTCATTACGACCCCTGAATCGACTTGCCTGATCATGGGGAACTTGGCCTTTTCGCGAATGAGACCCGTGAAGTTGTCGCCATCTTCGAAGAATACATGAACGTTCTCGCCTGGGAAGAAGTCCTTCTTGAACTCGTCGAATACAGCGCTCACTGTATATGGATCAGTATCGAAAATGTCGGCTTGCTTGGTTTTTCTTACCAAGGTCGTCCATCCGTGAGATAGTCGAGAACTGCACTTTGCGCAGTATGGGGTCCTTGAGTGGAGGCGGGAAGATGTCCTCGATGGCTTTCGCACTTCGATTCTGCTCGCTTGTTAAAGATTATATCTTCGTAGGAAGTCATGTGACATCATACCTCAGACTCAAGTGCCTCGAAGAAGGTTAGGCCAGACTTGCCGTTGACAGCGTCGATGAACTTCTTCTGCAGCTGTGTTAGTAGTGTGGACATATATTGCTGCTTGTCACGTGTTCGCGCACCTGCTTCAAGTACTCCAGCCTAGAGGTAGTCAGCATTTGATGGTGACATCGACATATGAGTTGTGCATGTACGAACCGTCTGATATAGCTCTCGTAGTCTGGGAAGAACTCATTGGTCCCACTCATGGCCCATCCTTCCGTGGTGTCCGTCACATTCTTAGGAGTGTCCAGTATCACGACAACTTTCTTGCCCCGGACCACCATCTTGACTGTCTGTGGTGCCGCTCGGGGGCAGCAATATATTGACGAGCCAGGCAGTGATAGGATTGGTGATGGTGTGCGATGGTTATGGAAGTATTTGGTGAAGGAGGGATGACGTGGTCGCGTTGCCTGTTTGCGAATGTGGGTTGGCGCGCAGAGCTTGCGCGAGGTGGTCACGATGGGGGAAAGGATGGTGATGAGGTTCAGGTCGAGGTTCGACGCGTCGTGGTGGAACTGTGTGGTTGCGCAGCAGTGGCTGCAGTCAGCAGTTATGTGTTGGAGAGAATGAACGCGGGAGGAGGCAAGAGAATGTACAGGTCAAGCATAAGTCTGAGGCTCGGGGTACCTAGTGTAGGACTCTTCTGGTGGAACTCTGCCGGCTGTCAAGACGTCGATATGTTGACGTCCCTCTCGCTTCCCTGGGCGCAATAGACGTGCTTCGAGCACGCTACGTATACTATGCGTTACCGACACTTTCAGCGCGCGCGACACAAGGTTTTGTTCGTCGATTGCAGCCATGTTCAACGACTTCTTTGCCATCATCAATCGCAATCATTGAGATGGGCGCCACACACAAAAGCCACAGCGGAACGGCACCATCTGCGCTAAAACTCTAGCGCCATGTTGCTTGGAATCGGTTTGGGGCTCCTCAAGAATTCTGCCCTTCCCTACGTCGAGTTCGTAACGGTAGACTCCTGATCAGACTTTCGTAACCCATGTATTTGTATTCGTTCTAATCGCCTTTGCATGGACCATAACATCAGCACACTTCACTGCTCACTGGATGTATCGATACCCTCTAATATCGGGAGATAGCACAGGTGTCAATTTCTCCTTCATCGCAACCATGCTGAAAGTATGAATCGAGTCTGTCGAGCAATCTACCGATTGCCAACGCACACAGCGCGAGAAACGGATGGATAAAATGTACGGACGGAGGCGATAGACTGTACACGCCTTTCATCCGATCGCTACTGAATTGAGACTTCGTAGCCGGATAATTCATCCCATCAAACATTGTCAGACCCGCCGTATCTTGCTCACCACTCAGAGGGTATGCTCGATCGTTGCGGCGGAGAAAATATACTCAAAATTGCAAGTCAAGACAAGATGGCTCACGACTCATACTTGGACACTCTCAGTGCTGCACTCCCAGCCACAGGTGTCTCGACTATGATAAGCGGTACGATGTTGTCGTCTTGGCGCATATTAATGATGAGTAGCTCGTTTCTCCGCAGCGAAGCACCACTGCTGAAGTACTGGTAGACTATGCATCCGCAGGTACGATACTCGCAGTTGCGAAATCACGTTCGGCAGCTGCAAATGCTAGGGACACCCTTTTGGTCGTGGTAGATAGCAGTAGCAGCCCGATTGGCGGCGCGAGCCACAGCAAACCAAGGCGCTCTATCTTAGTGGGGTACAAGCGTCAAGAATGTCTTCGGCGCATGAGGTTCCGGGGACTGGCATACTAGCGAATCCTGTAGCATGCCTGATAGAGCGCTTACGTCTAGACCGTGGATGCCACCCTTATCCACCACGAGGCATTGGTTCATTCCTTTCCACGTCCTGTATGGTCAGAGAGTCCGCCTTGTGAGCGTTGACTGGTCGTTGTTGATAGATTTCGAGCATACACGCCCTAGTGTTCGACGAATGTGAGCAACGTAAGTACAAATCATGTCTCTGTTTCGTATGTTAAAGACCCAAATTCGGGGGTTGTGCAAAGCATCCGGTCTCCCTATTACTGTTGAATTGTAATGCAGTACGGGAGGATCATACACCAGCTCATCATACTCCGCCTGTCATACGGAGACGATGAAATAGTGTCGGTCTCTGGTCTATGCACATTCATGGTAATCCCAGATCGTGCAGCCCACGCCAGAGTCAATACATGGCAGTTGATTTATAAAGTCGAAACGAAGCTCGGTCTGAATCGCATGGGGCGCTGTGATATGATCTCGAAAATCCGGCTGTGGGCTGAATTGTCGACAGCAGTGTGAGTATCCTCGGTCTCATGAATGTCGAGTTCGAAAGGACTACCTTCTCCAGCTGATGTTGAGCAGTCTATTGGCCCATCCTGCTTCATTATTGTCTTGCTAAGTTGATGAGCTTCATAAATAACGGTCGGAGTCTGGACTCTTTGAAGCTATAGTCCTCCAAGGCTAGTAATCACCACGGTCGCACATGAACGGTTTGGTATTTGAGCGCTCAGTCCCTATACCCAGGAAGTCAAAGCCTATAGCAAAGAAATGAGTCCGAAGGCACAGGCGCCGCATCGTATAGTCTCCATATTTGGGGATACAGGCTGCGATACGTGCTCAACCTACCTGGGCTGGTGATGCCGACCTCGCCTCCTGACGACCATGGTGACTTAGTGCGAAGGTCGATATCGGCGAGATGGTCACTTATCTGAAAGACGCCAGGCTGAGTATCTCCCGTTGTTTGGCCGCTCGATGGGATCAAATGGAGGAACTTCGATCAGTATGCTCTGGCCCACTGAAAGCCATCTCGGCAGTGTGGCTTGTTCGTTCGCATATCTACAATGTCCGCTTAGGATTATTGATATCAAGGATCATGCGCATGAGTACGATATTCATCATCGCTTCGTGATTTGGTCAGGGGAAAGCTGTATCATTCTTGGCGTCTCATATGTATTAGAAGGACATGATTCAAGGTGAGGTTGGAGTCGAGAAGTTCGCCGACCAGACGGCACGCTAGGCCCGATACGAGAGGAGTCTGACCTTCCTCCATGGCAATACCACAGTTATCGCTATCACAACGTACTTTCGCCGTCTTCAAACACGCCTGGTGAGCTTCATCTCCAAGTCGATACTTCTAATGCCATCTGAAACTCCTTGAGCGCCCGTCACGAAATGCCTCATCTGCCATGCCACACGTCATCGGCGACCGGACACTGCCCCTGACATGCGTGCGTGCTCATGCTCAACAGATTCCTTGTATGGGTGGACCATGGTGAGACATCCTTCCCTTTCAAAGCACCTTCCTCAGTACCTCGAGCATCCACCCAGGATGGTCTTGGTTTTCTTATCTCCTTGAGTTCCTCCTCCCAGACGCTTCGGCGTTATGCTTCCAATCCTTCGACGATGGGCTTTTCATATCACCCTCATCACAGTCGCTCTTTTCCTTCTCGTTCAGGCCGTCTCTCTCCTTCACGGCAATGGCACAGCACGTCAGACACCCATACAGCGTCTCACTCACCCTGGGCTTTTTGGCAAGAAGTTTAGATGGCGGGACTTACCCCAAAGACACCCAGTCGACAACTTCACCGCACCGCCATCAGGACCGCTTGAGCACATCCCGAAGATACAGCACGACTTTGCGGAAGAGACGCCTACCCAGCGGGCTGAGAGGCAATCTCGCTTGGCCGCTGTGAAGGAAGCTTTCGTTCACAGTTGGGAGGGCTACAAAAAGAATGCATGGCTGCAGGATGAGGTCGCTCCAATATCTGGCAAGTCTCACAATGGGTTTGGAGGATGGGGTGCTACACTGGTAGACTCGCTGGATACGCTATGGATCATGGGTTTGCAGAAGGACTTTGCTGTCGCCGTTGCCGAGCTAAGGAAGATTGACTTCACCACCTGTTCATTAAACGAGGTCAACGTGTTTGAGACGACGATACGATACCTCGGTGGTCTGCTCAGTGCATACGATGTCAGCGGCCATAAGTACGATATCCTGCTAGACAAGGCTGTTGAGCTTGGTGACATGCTATACGGAGCATTCGATACTCCTAACCGCATGCCTGTTACACGATGGGACTGGAAGAACAGCGCCCTGGGTGGCTTGCAAGAAGCAGCTAGATTCTCCTTACTTGCTGAAGTCGGCTCTTTGACGCTGGAATTCACACGATTGTCTCAGCTTACTGGCAATCACAAGTGGTACGATGCCATTGCTCGCATCACAGACTTGTTCGAGGACCAGCAGAATCGTACGAAAGTGCCTGGGCTGTTCGCCACTCAGATCGATACGAAGAATGCAGACTTCACGCGGGACGTTACATTCTCTTTTGGCGGCATGGCAGACTCGCTGTACGAGTACTTCCCGAAACAACATCTCATGCTTGGCGGCCGAAGTGAGCAGTATCGTACACTATACAATACAGCTCTTGCGTCGGCCAAAGAGCACATGTTCTTCAGACCACTAAATCCAGACAACCAAGAACTGTTGGTGATAGGCTCAGTCAAGCGAAAATCTGCTGCCCACCTGATTTTCACACCGGAAGGTGAGCACCTCACATGCTTTGCTGGAGGTATGGTGGCACTGGCCGCAAAGATCTTCCGACAGACGCACGATGTGGAGACTGCCCGTCAACTCGTGGATGGCTGTCTCTGGGCCTATGATAGTATGCCTAGCGGTATCATGCCAGAGATATACCGTGCCGCGCCGTGTACGGTGACAGCTACTGACGACTGCGCATGGTCCAACAAACGGTGGTACGATGCCATCACGCACGATGGAGCAGAAGAGGCGCAAGCCATCATCTCCTCCAACAAACTTCCACCAGGATTCGTAAGCATCGAGGACTCGAGGTATCAGCTTCGACCTGAGGCCATCGAGAGTCTGTTCGTGCTGTACCGCGTCACGGGAGACACTACTTTGCCAGACAAGGCGTGGACTATGTTCCAGTCGATTAGTAACCTGACCAAGACCAAGATCGCTTATGCCGGTCTTGAGGATGTCACGCAACGACACCCGAAGCTGATTGATAGCATGGAGAGCTTCTGGACGGCAGAAACCCTGAAGTATTTCTTCTTGATATTCAGCGAGCCCGATGTGATCAGTCTGGATGAATATGTGTTGTAAGTGGGCCCCTTCGCGTGTACCTCCAGTGGGACTTGAGCACTGCAAGCTGTCGTGTCGTACGGCAGCCATATCCCTTTGACTGGCAGGACGGAGAATTGGTCGCTGTGATGCTGATTAGATGTAGGAACACGGAGGCTCATCCACTTCTTCGACCCATTGACTAGGATACACCTATGATGCGGACGCACGAGATCTCGACACTCTGGCTCAAGCTCGTTGATTCGCGCGCACTCTAGGGACACGATTTAGGATCTCGTTCCGTTCCCCATGACTCATCCTGCAGCTTTGATAGCGGCTGTATCAGGTCCTCTTCCCATTGTCAGAGAGCGCTGGAACTCAGGCAGTGGCCAGAAGCATTAGACTTATGGAGCGGGTGTAGTGTATCGCCTTCACTCATTCTTGTCCTTCACTGCACCGAGCTCTATCGCAGTGGCGAAGCCGCCGCGCAGCTTCTCGCCGTATACGCTCAACCAGCCTCAGACATGGTTGACAAGACGACATTGCCATGTGGCAGCCAGGATGTAGACTGAGATGCCCTCCTTACGGACTTGCAGGCCAAGTTGTACAAGATCTTGGGCAACTATACATATCGATCTTGCGTAGTGAAGGCCGTATGAGGTGTGGCTTTTAGTCACTAGATCATGTTGCGAAGCTCAGATGGCAATGAGAGTAACGATGACTACTGTCAAGCCACTGTCGGTACTTACTGTTGGATTGCATGGCTTGAACAAGTGACTTGGACGTTTTCGAGACTAAACGACAGTGTATTTACGCGCTGTCTCGATGCTTGACTGCGTACTGGGGAGTTTACATGAAGAAAAGGCTTGAGGTACTCGCATTCCAAATGTGGACATCGATATGGGTTTGCAAGAAAACAGAGGCTTCTCTGCTATTGATCTCCACCCACATTGGAAACAACCTACGAATACCATTCCTTCTCTCAACATAGCTCGACCGCCATGAGCAGACGGGACTCTCCGTCAGTATACGCAATTTCCGACGATGGAGATGACAACCGGTCATGTCGATCGTATGATGGCTGTCAGTCCTCCGGCTTTATCTTCATACCCACGCCGCATCCTTGGCTGCAATAGCACGATGAAACATTTCTAGCACCTCCTCGACCTCATTCCAAGGCCTCTTACGCATCCTAGCGACTATGCACATAGCACTATCTATGATCTCGCCGTTCCCTCGACCAGGATCAGCACCGGCTTGTGCTCTGTCGTAGTCGTTCTCGTGCAGCTCGGCAAGGAATCGAAAGAAGTTTCCCCACTCTGGCGATCCTCTGAAGACAATCTCTGGGGGTGTAATCAGGTGTGCGTCCTTGTGGGAGACAAGACCAGACTGATAAGCGTGGTCGAACAGCACGCTGTAGCATGTTGTACTAATCATGCTGAAAGCACTGTCGCAATCGACGACATCGATCTTGATGCGCCAGCTCGTGAACCATATGCTGAACGCTTCGTGACGGGTTTGGCGATCCGTTCGCAGGATTGCTGGAACTTGGACATATGGCTTGGACTTGGTCAACACACTGTCTTGTGGCAAGGCCAAGAGCCATATCTGCGAGCGCAGCTTTGTCGGTAGGCAGTAGAAGAGGGACGGTCTGATATGTGTCAGAGACTGGCAGCTGGTTGGGAGCATGTAGACTAACGATCTGACCATCCTTTCTGCCTTTCTTCGCCCGGCCGCAGCGCTTCGCCATTCGCTGGAGCGGTTTTGGCGCCATGTTGCGAGGAATCGATCGTGTTACACTACTGGGTTAGTATTTAAAGTCGCTTCAGGGTGGCGGCAGTAGTGTGTTTGCAGGTCACTCATTCGGCACAAACGCTGAATCGACCATCCACTTCTACACTGCATGTCCCAACAGAGCATCACTTGGACTGTTGACTTCCCACGCCTTGCCGTCAGGAAGTGAACATGATGCGTCCAGCACGGCAGCCGCGGCGCTCCAAAGATTTAGTGAGGGTCGACATCAGGAGCTTTTCCACACTTCATGGTAATGGTCATATTTTGATTTTTCGGGTACACTACAGTGCCCCTCTCTCCTTTCCCCATGGACATCGTTCGAAACACAGCACAGGTGCTCAATGACTGTCGGCCGTGATTCCATGGCTCAAAGTAGACATTGTTCAAGGAGAGCGTCAAGCCAAGATAGACAAGTTCTCCATAATCAGCGACATGTTCACAAACACAACTCTGGTCGGGAGCCTCATACAGCCACCTTCGGTTGCATCCGCCCTCGTGTCCTGGCTGCTTCTTTAGATGGATGTGCAAGAGCTCAGTGCGCCCAGTCATCAGAGGCTGGTCCGCTCTGCTTGGCGATCTGTTAGTCAATCTGCGGCGAGCAGACCACACATCCATGTCACGACCCAGTATCGCGGGTAGCCAGGCAGCGACAACTTTCGAGTGTTTACAAGGGCGATGACCCTTCGTTGATCGGTAGACCATGTATACGAGAGCTCTAATGGGATTGGAAGCACGCAAATGTTCTCGATCAATCGCTTCAATGATTGCTATCTACAAGAACGCTCGAGTAACAGCTCTGCAGTCGCCTGCGTATGATCTTCGAATGTTACAGACTCGGTCCCGTCATAAAATCGTAGTAATACATTGCCGCACATATGTACAATGAGATCCGCGTGTGTACATATGTACAAAAAGTCGAATAGCCAGCACTTGGTCGTAATTCGTAACGTTGGGGGTATCACAGCGGTAAAGATGATGTGTAAGGACGTGTGTACTTCATGCTTCTTCCATCAGCGACTCGTCGCTAGTCTCGCGCCAGTCCCGGCTGCACTCCGCCAGTCGCTTGATGCCAGGAATGCGAGCTGCCCACATTGACTCAGACGTCGTGCGGTAGGTATAGCCGCGTTGAGAGCTGATGACGCCGATGGCTTGAAGGACAGATTTGCGAGCGTCACGTGCAAAGACTGCAGGGTGTGAAATCCACTCCAGACTTGACTCAAGCTCAGAGTCGAGAGCTGCCATGGTCGATGTATCAATGCCTGCTGCTGGTGTAAATGGATTCATGGTCTCGCTTCGCGGTGGCGACGGTGTGCGCCTGTGATCCGGTAGTGGCATCTGGGAAGCCTCGGTGGGCGATCCTCGCAAGTCACCAGTCCGTGGCGTAGGCGGAAGAGTGGCGCTCGGCGGGGGCGGGAGTGGTGGCAGTCCACCTTTGCCAAGACCTTTGAGTATAGACCGAGTCTCGGCGAGGAGATGTTGTGCTCGCTCGGGTTGATTTCTACTGGCTAGTGTGAGCGCACGCGAGAGCATGTCTGATGTTAACAGTTCCATGCGCCGCTGGACAATAGATGGATGCGGTGGAATCGGAGGTGTCGCTGGTCGTGCGTGTGGATGCTTCTTGGCAGAGGATGGCAGCATCGTGATTGCAAGTAATGAGGGTCTTGGCAGTTGCGCCAGATTGCCCTCACGCAAGATGTCTCCCCAGCTGAGATCTGCCTGCACAAGAGGAAGTTCTTCCACTGACAAGTTGCGGGAATCATCTGACTCGATTGGTCCGCCCAGTGCTTCGAGGCCAGCTATGACATTCTCCCACGGGTCAGATGGTAGCGAGTCTGGGCTCGAGGTGTCGGGTGCAATGGCTAGTTGTACCAGAATATCACGCTTGTCACCAAAGCGTAGGTCTCCGAGCATCGCCTCTGCGTCACGTCCGGTCGCGCGCTTTGTCACTTGCAGTGCTCCGCTGATCTTGACAAATTTTGCTGGCGAGCCCTCAGGAAGTCGCAGCTTCAGCTTGACATTTTGATGCGATGTGCTCTGAAGTGCGCCGAGACATCCAGCCAAGCACTCCCGAAGCATCATCCAGTCCTTGACGTATGTATAGCTGGCCTTGGTCCTGGTAGACAACTCGACCATGGTGTCGGGCTTGTGTGTCAATCCTAAGCCGAATGAGTGGATTGCGATTTTCGCAGCTTCAGCGCGAGACACGACAAAGTCGACGCTTTCATGGTCAGAGGTGGCCGAGTCGCTGATCAACAAAATGCTGGACAGTGGATTGGACGTTTTGCGCTGCATTAGCAGATCCATGGCCACGTTTGCACCCTCGACCACATCAGCGCGCATGCTCTTCTGTCCAAGCGGGCGAATTGACTCGACCACCTTTGACCATCCAGACCAAGCTTTTGTGGTCATACCGACCAGAGGTACACCGCCGCCTCCAGAACCGAACGTAACCAGTCCCATGCGGTCGCGCTCTCCAAGACCTGATACGAGGAAGCGCAGTGCATCTCTCAGTAGATTGATCTTCAAGCCCTGCATCGAGGAGGATACTGGAATGACTACCACGATGTCAAGAGGCACATGGATCGACGTCGCACTTATTCGGACGTCCTGTGCGCCCGCTCGGGAATTGGTATATTCCGTAGGAGCAGTGACTTGTGAGCGGTTGGCGCCATATGACGAAGAATTCACGGATGACACTCGCTTGGTTGTCCTGGATGTCTGCGTCGTGTACTCATCGTCATCAGTGCCAGAAGTGTCGTGGTCGACTTCGGCATTTTGCGGCTCCGGCGCTTCTGTGCGATTAATGTTGACGAGGGCATGGCGCCAGGTATCCAGCTGGCTGCGTTCGTGGAATCGCAGATGGAAATGTGGTAGTTCAGCAACAGACAAGCTCAGCGTTAGAACGTCCAGATCTGTAGCTAAATTAGCTTCATTCGTGTTCTGTACTAAGACACGATAGCATACCTGGTAACAACTCAACCTGCTTTAAGTGCTTCTTGATCAGGATCGAGCCCTTGAGCGTGCATCGGGGCTTTTGCTTTGGACCGTCCGCACCGTTCCATTGCTGGCTCGCGTTCGATCCAATCTTCTTCTCCTTGACGCAGATGAGCATCTCCGTGAAAAGATAGCATTCTAGCTCCTGCCATGCCTGTTTATCTTTGCCAACGCGGACATTGCCATGCAGGAGAAGTCGACCAAAGCGCGCAAAGTCGAGGCCGTGCCAGTTATCGACACGTTTGTACAAGTCTTCCTTGACTTCTTCCATGGCCTGCAGATCTTCGTGCACACTGTCGATGGCATGGCTTTGCGCAATGGGCCTCGAGGCTGGAGCCGCCTTACGCTGTAAGTATGCATGCTCCGTGGCACTTGCATTCGTCGCTGGCGGGCTGCGTAAGTCTTCTGGGTTGGCTTGCCATTTACCGTCGACAACTTCCACCGTGATTAGACATGTCAAGCTCTGCTGTTGTCGCGACTTGCTCAGCGTTGGGAACTCGCTCCGGACTGTCACAATGGGTGCTGGTATTGGGTTCCTTGCTGCATGTCGTGGTGCGCTAAGGGTAGTCTCCATCGATTGGACATCGTAGTCATGCCGCCTGCCATTGATATGATGGTTCTCGGCATATTCGGTAGTCGACGCGAGGCCAGTATCGCCACTTTCATTCCTTCCGTGAACGCCATGATAGCGATCTCCCGAGTTACGCACAGTTTGTTCGGGGAGGAGATGATCTCGGGTTGATCGTGCATCTTGGCGCTGTCGGGCTTGCACATTCTGTCGGATGGTATCGTTATCTTTGTCCCATGGAGACGGCGCGACTGTATTCTGCGTTTCTCGAAATCGGCTGGACAGGTCAGGAGTCTGTACTGATCGAACAAGCCTGTTCAAGTTCTCGAAGTCAATGCCACCACCTCTGCTTGTATCCAGACCCAAGGGTGCACTACAGCATGGGCAGGTCTGCGCCTCGAACTCCTTAATATACTCGTAGAAGCAGGCCTCATGTGAAACATGACCACATGAGAGTTGTAGGATTCGCTCGCCGCGTAGTGTGTGCTCCAGAGGTTCCTCGCAAGCGGCACATTCACTTCCGATGAAGGTGCGTTCGCGCCGACTCTCGCGCGTTTTGCCAGCGAACATGCTGGTACGCCGCTCCTTAAGCTGGGCCAACGAAGACGATCTTGCGTGGGTAGACTTTCTCGGAGCTGCAGAGCTGGACAGCTTTTGTGTTGTCTTCGAGGTCTGCCGATCCGGGACCTGATTCCGAGACAAGCGACCTTCCTTGGTACCTGAGACACGGCGAGACGTCGTCAGCCTGTGACTTTCGAGAAGACTTGCGCGCAGTACTAAGGCGCACGATGGAGGCAGATTCCGTACTTTGATGATCCACACCTGTCTCTAACCCGACGGCTCTGCTCTGCTTGGTGTTTCTGCTGTGGTTAGGTGAAAGAAGGCCGGCCGCTACCAACTTCTCCAATTGCTCCTGCTGCGCTTGCTCTGTCCTCCCCAAGCGACGGTCTCCGACTGGCAGTGGCGGCGTGCGGTGTGTATTAGCATACATAAGAGACCACGGAAGATGTGCGGTCACAGTAGGGGACCCGTAGATTCACCATCTACTTTGAGTCGGTGGATAAGCATGCAAAACCCGCCTTGACAGGGTGGTCTGCCACGAGTGGGGACAGGCACTACAAGTAGGCGAACTCTGTCGCCATGACCCAGATAGGAGGGCACAAAGAGGCTAACTGCTAGCATGGTGGCATTTCCAGGCCGCCGCCACAATCTGGTAGAAGGGAAGACCGGACTGAAGTGCCATGACAAGGGCCTTGCTATCCTGGGTGATGCATGCGCAAGCGCGCCTCATGCTAGAAGCTCGCTCGGCAAGTAGCGTTTCTGCCGCGCACGACCCAGCAGAAGGCTCTTCCAGGGCTCGTGCCGGCGATCTAACTGCTTCAAGACTGCTGGCGAGCCCATGTCCTGCATTGCCAAAGTCATGTCCATGCGGAAAGGTGGGCTGGCTGGTCATGCTAGGAGGAGCAGAGACAGTGGGCCGAGCTTGTCTAACCGTCTTGGCCAAGGTTACGACTAGATTGTTACTATTGTGCATACGGTTGGCATCGAACAATAAAGAAACAAGGAGGCGTTCGTCCGAGACAGCCCGCATCCGCTATCCTTGGAGGTCAACTCCGACAAGCCATAAATTCGGGCATCCAATAACCTGACGGCGTGAGGTGAGCAGAGCAAATTCCCGGTACCGCAGATCACAGTGAAAAGCTCATTTGATGTCACATTCGCTGGACCTTGGGAATCGGTACGGTACGGTACGGCCACAATTGCACGTGCTGGATCGATGAACCTAGATCCAGGAAGAGCTCATGAGCGCCAATTGTGCTTCGTGTTGTGATAAAAATTTGATTGCGTCTCTCGAATTGCACACGGCCTTCATCCAAGTCCAACAAGCAGTCTGAAGAGGCCTCGAGACGCAGGATGCCGTCGCAGCAACCGAAACAAAGCATCCAAATTGTGGTGAGCTTCCTCCTCAACGGCTGCGTATGCTGACTAGGCAAGTGGAATGTCGATCAAGCGTCGCCCGCTGTAGCGCGCACATGGCATGGTAACGCAATTCGGATCAGCTCCTCGGCTAAGACTTCCAGGCACAGGCTTTTCCAACCAGATCGTTGGTGAGATTGTCGCCATCCGGTGCTCACGGTTCTCCCTTTCAATGTGCATAATGATGGCTGTGTCAGGCTCTTCGTAACAGTGCGATGCTCTACATCGTACACAACATCGTCGACATATACGAGTGACTGGATCTCGCACCAAAGCTTGCCGACATCGCCGAACGCCTCCACCAAGAATCCGCTCAGAATCTGCGATGCTACAGGTTGAGCTCTATCGGGCCGGAAAGCCAATGCGCGATCCCTGCGTAGCGTGCCATGAGGTTGAAGTCTAACGATCAGCAATGCAGCATGCAGCCCTCGAAAGCATGAAGGACAGAAGAAGTGTCCTGTTGTGACGATGGGAGAGGTGGACAAGCCGAGCACAACAGTACGAGTTTGACCATACCGTGGATGACATCTCGATCTTGTTTGCCGGCCACATCATGAGGGCTGCGCCACCAAAAGTTACACTTCATAAGAAACGGGCTCTTCAATTGGCACAGTGTGTCAACTTCTACCAACAGCGGGCCAGCGCTCCTGAGACCATCGCTTATCACACGTGGTTCGAACATCTGCGAACTTGTAATCCGGGCTTGCTCTTATCAGCAAGAGCATCGAAGACATGCAGTCCTTCGGTTCTCGAACTGCCAGGCTCGTGAGATGAAACAACGCCTCTGATGCTCTGCGTGGGGTCATTGGCGTTCCTGTGGCTTCGATTGCATCAACGGCTCACTTCTCGCAAGCCAACGATAGCGATGTAACTTTGCTTGCCTTCCTCGATGCCGTACCATACAGCACGATCTTGCCTGTGGGTTAGACCGTCGGCTTTCACTCAAATGTGTGCTGAAGCAGCGCCATCTGCAGTAGTGTGCATACCTTACAGTGCATGCATTGCCAGGCACGGAGGATTTGATTGACTAATGGGAACCAATGAGAGCCTGTACCGGCAGACATCTCATTAATCTATATCCTGGTCGTCGGAATGTTGCACGTTTGGCCGTTCCTGTTTACGTAGACAAGATCGGCCCTGATGAACCATGGATGTGTCATCCCGCATGTCAGTACTGTAGCAAATTGGTTGGTACAGCAGCAGCAATGCCATGTGGCCATCAGAAGTCGATCGTGCGATGCATGTGTGGATAAATGGATATAAAGGTAGTGAGCAGAGTACCTCGTACCTACTCTAATGGATATGATCTCGGTGAGATCAGGCATGATCAAGCTGCTCCTCGTTGCTTTGGGAAGAGATCGCGCATCCGCCCGGAGGGAGTATCATGCTTCTGTTGGCATCTCTGCGATTGACACGTTATGCAAGGCAGTACGTTCAGGACTCGGTATCCTTGCGTTTCGAACCTGCCGAGACGCAGGTACAATGTTCCTCCCAAGGCAGAGTTGGACTACCCAAAGGCAGAGCACCATCTCGACCAGCTGACCGTATACGCCACTACAGCATCATGATTGACCTGCATGATTGCGACGGTAGTGTGGTCTTGCTGCCCAACTGATCGTCGATAGACTTCAGATAACGAGGGCGAGGCATGGATCTCGACCAGCTCACATGCAATACTGAGAAATTTGTCACCCCCTCCAGACATACACAGGCATTTCAAGGCAATAGAGACGTTTCAGCTAAAGTGGGCGCAGTATCTACGATTTGTCGTCGAGGCTACGAACGGCCTATTGCACGCTTTCTACAACCGCTCAAGGCTTCGCGCTACAATACGAGAAAGAACGCACGAAAGCAAGTCAGCTACTGTACTACCAGTTCCGTAGTGCCTACTGCAGTGCTGGTGGTGGAGCATATAATTAGGTGCATAAGCCCCTGGATTGACTCGTTTCTATCCTTCTAGCGTACTGCACGCGGCAGCACGCAAACGCTATTATTGAATCTACAGCGCACCCATCTCTTAGCGTGTCGAAGCATAATTCTCGCTCGCGTGGCCTCCACCAAAGTTTCTTGTGTCAGGGTCGACGACACGGTTCAGCACTGGGCTGACAGAGGCGAGTCAGGGCAGGCACACCAGCATGAATAATGATGCCCAAGAGTACCGACATGAAGGCGTGGACGCCCGCGGCCGCCGTCACTGCCCATAATGACCACGAGGCTGTCGGTCCTTCTGACAGGATTGTTGTTAGTTCGCCGAAAAGCCGCACGTGGCATGGAACTCTGGAGCACTACTAGGGCACACCTATATTCTTGCCGATAGACCGTCATACATATAGCAGACGAATTCAGTATACGCGGCGTTTGGTCGGGGCGGAAGATATCTGGACTTGAGATTCTGAACCTTATATGATGTCTTTTGCGCAGGTGAACAGACGTTGTTCCGGGTGGACAGCGTGTGCAATAGGCTAGGTACGAGATGCGGATCACCTCGCGGTGAGATGCGTCTTGTGCCACCGAATCACTACAACGTTGGGCACGGATGGCTGACAGCAACAGTGCTGGATCCGCAGAGTCATGCTCATGCTCCTCAATCCGCACCAAGCACATACTCAGGCAGTCAGCCGTACTAGGTGACACGCCCTCCGCCCACCCCGACCACGCCCACTACGGTGTACGTTCAACCGGAAGACATATCGCAAGCCAGAGCTGCCGAGTGCCCATCTTCTGACGTTTCGATATCGCAGTGGGGGTGCAGAAACCACCATGTCCTCGGCTGACCTCTGCCAGCCGCTCTTCCCTAGCGTGGTTGGTCGAGCATCAACTTTTGTTGATCTTCGAGGTTGGATGACAATCAGCTGTCACGGCTGCTGATAACCGCCTTAGCGTGTGGTCGTTGTAGCCAATCGCCCGATCGCTACTGTACTGTTGAACTACTGCTGCCGATCTTAGGTCTCCTTCGCTCGCTGCTGGTTATAGGCCTTATTTGCCCAGAACCAGATCCCTGATATAAACAAAGTTGTCTCAAAAGGAAGCTACACTTTCCTTGTCGATTTAGCCGACACTACTTTTGAGGTCCAGTGGCTGGCTGATGGTAAGACACTAGGTAAATCTCAAAGTTGTAGCATATATTTCGGAAGATGTCTGGTCATGTCTCATGTACGAAGCCTGCGATGCACGAAGCCTGCGATGCACGAAACCTCCTGCTAAATAATACAGCCTTACATCTTACACTCGTCGCACTTAATGACGAGAAGCACGTGAAGTCTACGTACGACCATCGCGTGTCTGAGCAGCAAATCCTTCCAAAGTTGATCACAGTACAATGCAGATGACAAACTTGTCCTGTTCACGTCATAAAAACCACCTGCCTCCCACACTCGTCTTCACCGTCCACTGCACGCGACCCCGGTGGAAGCAAACGTGCGTCTGGCGTAGGGCCACTGCGCGACCGTATAATTCGCTCTGCGCACCACACAGTACACCATGCTTCCGCATTCGAGCCAGTACTGGTACTTGGTCCGAACAGAACTACGGCGATGTAGGCCAGAGATCACTTCCGAAAAGGCGTCTTTGGTGGCGTAGGCGGAAGTTCAGCTCGAGGTGAGTCAGGAGCTACCCATTGCTTCCGGACAAGAGGCTGCGTGATGAAGCCAACCTGTATTTGCTTTGGCGTACAATACGGACATGGTCCTCGTAGCGTCACCCGCGTGGTCTGGTAGTCTTCGCAGAAGATGACTCTCGAGGCGTCGTCGGTCAGATTCTTTGGACAGAGATGCGTGTGGAGTGGTATGTGAGTCTTGCAGGCGCCGTAGTGGGTATATTTGTGATAGCACATTGCTTGTGGTCGTATGAGGCAGGCGGGGTGAGGGTCTTGGTGCTGAGTCGACTGTGGCGTCGTGATGTTGTTGCGTGTCCGCTACGATCGAAGGTCGTATTTTCCTGTCTGGTGCTGCATATCGCACTTTATCTCCTGCCTTGCGCAGTAGTATATTGCTTCTACGTGATGAGCTTGATGCCGCGCTTTCGGTGTTTGCAGCTTTGCTGCATCCTGCAGATACAAACAACACCATGTGTTGCTTGTCGATCCCATCGCAAACAGACATTGTTTCTATTCTGGATTAGGTGCACGCTCTTTTCGCGATGCTGGCAAGACTTGTACAGTACAAGAAGTCTTTGGTACTGTTTGTGCCACGCCGTGCGCAGTATGGTATCAATAACATACGCTTGCTTGTCAGCACACCACTCTACCTCGGCAGGACATTCACCATCGCCATGGAGGAGCATAGAGCAAGTGTTCAGCAATCTAGATCACGCTATGGTCTCATCCTGCAACCATAGCAAATGCCCACTGGCATCCAGCAGGAACCAATGGCACGACTGGATGAGCAAGCGCACCCGATCTGATCCTCGCCAGCCATACAGCATCTGCGTTCTCCTTCTCTAGTGCCTGTCGGATATCTTCTTGTTCCAGCACAGGCGCAAGCATGTCCAGAGCTTCATCGAAATTGTCTGGCGAAGGTGCGACATAGCGCACAGAAGCGGTGATCGTACTGACGAGTGCTGTCCACAATAGACGCAGGTTTGTGTTCGTGTAATCTACTGGTGAGGACTCCAGCCTTGCTACAGCATTGTGCAGACCGTTGTTGTGCGAAACCAATGCAACCGCACCTGGCTTATGAGTCTCTTGCTCCTTATACCCAGCTTTGCCAGCACCGTAACCTGTGAACAAAATCTCCTTCACTAACCTCGCATGCATTTCGAGCAAGAGAGGCCACAAACGCACAATCCGACTTCGCATGAAGTTCCCGGCGTGCTCGCATAATACAGCAACTGTGTCGAGTGCCGCGGCCTGTACGTGCATTTCTTCATCTTCCAGTCTACTAACGATCTCCGGCCAGAGAGTATTGATGAGTGGCAGAAACGAGTTCTCGTGCCGAGCTATCGCGGGAACAGTCGTGCGAGTCAGTGAAAGCAGATTTGTGCGTAGTGATGGAGAGGCCGAGGGCAGGAAGTGCTGCGTGAGCTCAGTGATCTTGAACAAGATTTGATAGGTCTTCGGAGCCGGCGGTGGGACGTCGGCGTCGTCAATCTGCTGGTCCTGGGCGTCTTCTTCATCTTGCTCCCCATCTCTGGTCCCATCATCCGACTGCTCAGGGTCTTTCCATGGTCGTTTTGGATGACCTTCACCCACACTTGAGCCATATGCATTCGTCTTCATCTCCTCCATTGCTTTCTCCTTCAGTAGCTCAGCCACATTAGCAATGCTGATCGGTCTCAAGGCATCCTCTTCAGCGAACCCAGCGGCGGCAAGAGCTTTCTTTGCACCCTCAACAAGCGCCGGCGCCTTAGCACCTTCCTCAGCAACCACGGCCAAAACTCTGAACAGCAGCTCAACCAGCAGACCATACCCATGATAACTCTCAAGTACAGCAAATATGCTGTCAATCGTGTCCTCTAGAAACGGCAACAGACTCGGCCCGGCCAGACTGACCATCATAAGCAGCACCTGTGGCGCTTGAGGCGAGATGTCGAAGGCGTTGAGCTTCAGTGCCACGCTGTTGGTCAGGTAGTCGACGTTCTCTACGATGAGTTCACGGACGGACGAGTACTCGCAAGCTTGGGCGATGATGGTGAGAGTGGTGGTGCTGTCGCGCTGGAGTACATCTTCCGGTGTTGCCAGGCTATGTAGGACTGGATATAGAGCGTCGATGAGCTCGTAGCGGAAATCCTTGCCGGCATGTTGTGCCCGAAGCGCTACAGTCCGCAGTGCTAGTGAGCACATCCGAGCATCGGGTGAAGCGTCGTCGTTAGAGGTACTATTGAGTACGCTCAATGCAAAGGCGTAGATCTCTTCGAGGGCTTCAGTCGGAGGCGAAGCATCGTGATCGCCAAGATCAAGAAAGTCGGTCACGACGTCGCTGACTTGTGTCGCTGACTGTTTGACTATTAACAACAACCAGAAGTCCGCTAGCTGGGTATCGCCTTCAGACAGACGCAGAGAACGTGAAGTGTCTGCGACAAGTGCTGACGAGGCTGCAGACTTGCTGACGATACGGACGAAGCTCTCTATGCGGTCTAGTACTCCTGCTTGTCCCTTATAAGTGACCATTGACTGACCATATTCGGTGCTCCATCGGTTGCCATCAAGATTTGTCAAATCCATCGATTGCACACTAGACGAGTGGGTTGAGATGACGTCTGAGCTCTTGCGAGAGGCCTGCAGGGTGATAACGACACTATCTCGCAGAGCACTTGCAAGGACTTTATCCAGAATTGAGTTGTCTGCTCCAATATCGTTGAGCAATTCATACGCAGCCTGAACCTGCTCGATCCTTCGCATCTTGAGCTGCTCATCGGATGACTGCATTGCAGTAGGCAATGATCGTAGCTTGTCGTAGACAACAGTCTGTAGTTGCTCACACAGTGTCGAGTCGGCACCGACGAGACGCTCGAGTTCCATGCGCACTGAGCTCTGGTCCTCAGGCAGTGATAGTGATAGCAGTGCCTCTATGGCAGGAGCAGAACAATCTGCAAGGGATTTGCGGCAATATTCAAGTAGTGTCAGACAGAGCTTCGCAAGCGCCCCCGTTACATCGTCTCTGGGGTGGCTCTGTAAACACATAATGGATCTTAACGCGGGCTCGAGCTTCTTCGCGGCTGTCTCCTCCCATCCCTTGGAAGCGACGAACTCAGTGGTTTTGCTAGACTCTAGACGTTTGCCGGAAGTAGACTCATCGGATAAGGTCTTTCGGACGAGGTTAGTGAAGATGTTCATACATCCTATGAGCACTTGATGGTTTCGCCGTTGCTTGGTAGTTGGCGTCAAGACTTTTGTCAGATTGCCTACTAAGCCCGGCAAGAAAGACGTGCATGCCTCTTTCGTCATGACACCATCTGTCAAAGCCTCCAGAGCTTCTGTCGCTGCAAGCTGCGGCTCTAATGAAGGGGCGTCACTGATACCTTTGAGGACGACAGTGATAGTTTGACCAAGCTGTGGGAAGTTGGCTTCTGATACGAAAGATGCCTGACATGACGGACTCCTGCCTGCAGCATCAAACACATGATGTAGACAATGAAGAGAAGCAGCTTGAAGCTCGTCCGTACTCTCGTCGAATGCAAAGCCCTTGGGCTTGCGCTCAGCCATGAGAGTACAGAGGATGACAATCTGTGCAGCGAGCTGCGGCTCTATGTTCTGCCGCCATCCGTGGGCCACAAGCGCGGCGAGGCATTGCAAGCTGAGCTCCAGACATCGAATTGTCAGCCGGTTGCTTAGTTTCAGGACTTGAGATAGAGGGAAGAAGATGTAGTCGGCAAGCTTGGCATCCAACAGGCCAGGGACTGAAAGCTTGAAAACGGTGCCTTTCAATCGTTCTAAAAGCTCGATGATGGTCGAGAAGCTTCGTGCTTGTCCGTTGGCAGTGAGCGCAGCTTGGCTGAGGGCGACGCATTGAGGCTTGAGGGCCTGGAACGCTTGATTCCTGCTTTCCATGTTGGGACCGAGGAGAGGCATGGCTGGTCAATGGCCGATCATCGTATTCCGCCACCTTCAAAGATCAGAGAATGCAAAGTGTCGGTAATCGTGAATGCTAAGGTCTTCGGAAGGTGTATGACCATGAGCACAGTAGTTTATCCAGCCATCGCCTAGTACACGAATAATCGTACGTCTGGAAGTCGCAGGGTACTCGTCACAGGTGCTCCAGGCGACATAGCACTCCAAGAAGTGGCCGGAGGTATAGTCGATGCTGCTATGCAACTTCGTGTGGTGAGGGGCCTCAGGCATCATGATTAGTCATGCACAATCACATGTCACGTCGTCATGTCTTCGCAGTCATCTACTACATACAGCCTTGTTGCTACTGCCTAGTGCGCGACGACAACTTTGGGGGGACGATTAGCCTGGCAGTACAACATGGCTGGCGCGACCGGTCGGAAAGGTATAGGACTTGACTCTATTCCTGTTGAAAGGAATCCCAATCTAACACTCCACAGCTCCCAAACAGGCCAAGACCGACAATATGGCCTCGAATCGGGCTCTAGGCCTAGACAATCTATTCGACGACCTTGAGGATATTACGCCGGTCTTGCGCGATGACGTGCGCAAAGGCCTCCCAGTGATCGAGAAACCTGGTCATTGGGACTCCAAGATCACGGTACCGAAACCGGACGATAAGGAGAATGAGACAAGCTCGCCATCGATGCCCACAAAACTACCTGGCAGCATAGCACGTGCCTTCCCGAACGGCAAACTGCTTGGCGACCGCCCAGAAGTGCTCAAATGCACGCATTGCAAACGACCCGTCCTCAAACATGCCATGCCAGCGCATATCGAGCGCTGTCTCAACAAGAAACAGGAGAAACAGCGTAAGAAGAAGGAGGCAAAAGACGCCCGCGATGCCGCAGCGCGCAAGGAGAAGAGCCAAGGCGACAGCGACGGAGAAGACGATGAAGAAGGTGGGAAGAAGACCGCGAGCAAAGGCGGCATGACCTCCAGCAAGAAGCGAAAAGCGATAGACGAGGGTGACGACGGCGGTCCCAACAAGAAGAAAAAGAAGAAAGATCTGGAGAAGACCAAAACAGCACGACCCAAGGCACCAGTGGACGTGGAAAAACAATGCGGAGTTGAATTGCCTCAAGGAGGACAATGCGCGCGTTCCCTTACGTGTAAATCACACAGCATGGGAGCCAAGCGCTCAGTACCCGGCCGCAGCGCCCCCTACGATAAGCTGTTGATGGAATATCAGCGCCGCAACGCCGCCAAGGAAGCCAAAGCCAAGATCGATGCCTCAGCGCCGAATCCAGACGATGACGAGTCGCAGAACGGGCCCGTAGACATAGAAGAAGAGACGAATGCAGTCATGGCTGGTATAGCACGAGGATGGGGCGGGGCACCATTGCATGAGGCGCCACGAGTCTCCCTCAAACATCGATATGAGCACAACAGGATACGTAACGCGCTCGATAGTGCTCTGGGCGATCGGAGGATGGGCATATTCGGCGGCGGTGTTGTGAACAGCAATACTGGGATCAATTTTTTCACCGGTCTACCTCGGCAGCCGCCAGAGGGTGACAGGAGAGGAAGTGTTATCCCTCGTGTGGCTCCGCAGGCGTCTCGGAAGCCTAGTGTGGCTATGGCTACATGAGAACCGGCTTGGCTTGATATTGTTGACGAACCCTCATGGAGCCGCTCATGTGAGATGCGCCTACATCTTGCGTTGGCGGAGACTACTGGGAAGTAGAGTGGTGGCGTTCTGGGATGTTGTTGCTATCAAGATACCCCTGGGATTGTATGGCGTTTTGTTTCTCCTAACGGTAGCCAAGCCTAATGAATCAGGCTACTGTTGACTTCTTCCCAGTTTCATGACCTGCCGAGAAATACTTGCGTGGTGATGTCGTGCTAGCATGCTCGCAACACCAGCGCCGCCTCAAGGCCTTGCAGACATCCAGAAATCCGATCAACACTTTCACCTTCGAGTCTCAAGTATTGTTGCTAACAAAAACATTGGAGGTCTGCTCGACCTATCAGGGTTGGCTGAACGATCTGGAGATAGACCACGCGAGCGCATCAGCCGTGGAACAAGCAAGATTCTGAGTAATGGTCAGCAGCGCATGAAAATCGATATTTGCTTGGCACTACGATGCGCACTATCGATACAATACTGGAGCTCATGACAACCGACAAAAGATCACAACACACGCCTCACATCACTCATCGCGGGAACAAACCTCCGCTGCTTCGATGAAGATACAACAGATGTGGTCTCAAACTCCACTTCCCACGGCACGTGATCACTGGAAAGGCCCAAATGCCACAAATGTGAGTCGACTGCACTCCAGCGCGAAAATCCGAAGGAAAATTGGCGGATTACGACTGCCAGGATCGTCGACTGAGCAGAGTCGATCACGCCTACTTTGCCTTCCACGAGAGCTCAGGGATATGATCTGGCATGAATGTGCCACGGATGGACCTATGACGAGGACCATAGAGAATTGCCGCCCGCAGGTACCAGCCCTTCTGCACACGTGCCGTGAGATCAGATCAGATGCCATGGTCGTGTGGCTTGCAGACGCACGATTCGACGTTGATGTGATCGACTTTGACGGGGCATGGATGGTCGACTTTGATCGAGATTTGCAGCTTATGGCGAAGTCGGCGCTGGACAGGTCCACGTTTGAGCGTGCAATGTCTCGTGTTATATACCGCGTCGACTACGATGGTGTTCCGAATTGGGCAAACTTGGTTCGCACTTGCAGGGCATGGTGTGGGAGGCTCGCCACGCCGCCTCCACGGGTATACTAGAGGACGCAATTTCGGCTCCGACTTACAAGGTGCTGGATGCCGCAGAAGCTCTCGTACTTTCGATGAAGAACCGTCCATGGAAAGAGGTAGAGAAGCTGCTAGAGGTGTGTATTCATAGGCCTGTTGCGGCTCTTAGTCCTGCTTGGGCTTGAATGAGGAAGATGCGTGAATAAGCAATTTAGAGTACTACTATTGGATCTTGCAACGGAGAGCAAAGTAAGCTATGTGCTGTCCTTTCACACAGCACTTCAACGTACAGCTGATCGGAGTCTCCAGTGAGTGATTCCACTGACGTCGCTTTGGCTTCACATAAAGGCGTGATTGGCCAGCTTGCCTTGTTGTTGCTAGTGAAAACTCTAGTGGCTACTCAAAGGGAAGGCACACACAAGCTCCGCTCTCCTTTTCAATGACTTCGGCTCCGTTCCGACGTTCTTTCCAAACAGGAACAGGCTCACACCCTCCACGAAATGATTGATGTCATGAACCGACCGAACAACTCTGAGCCTGGAAGGCAGAAGGCAGGCCTCTTGACCATTCCCGCCGAGCTCAGAGACATTATCTACGCCTACACGCTAGCCGCAGGAACCGACGTGCACATCCATATCGGGAGACAACAGCCTGCATTCTTGCGAACATCTCGTCAAGTTCGTGCAGAGACTATCGAGCTCTACTACTCGGACAACACCTTCTGCTTCACCGTCCACGCCTATCGCGGACCAGAGATACGACCATTCACCAAGCTACTGCAGAGATACAGCAAATATGGCCGAGACAATCTCTCCGTCGAGCTGTGCAGCGACCTGAAGTGCGCCGATTGTCATGGCTGGCTACTGCTATGGAACCTCATGGTGTGGCTACAAGCATACTACGCGGACAAGCTGCTCGTGCCAGGCCTTCGGCAGGATGCAGTAGAGGAGCACACTCGTGGCAGGACCCTCGCAAGGCGCACTTTCTCCGTGGTCGACAACATGCGCCACTTGCCCTGGGACGAAGTCGTAGGCGTACTCGATGCCTTCATAGATGCCATTGAGCACTTTGAGGAGGAGGATTGTGAAGCTGGAGAGGGGTATCATGAGCACTTGAGCGATGATGAAGATGATAGCAGTGAGGAAGATGGGAGCGCCGATGAGGATGAGAGTGCTGATAGCAGCGAGCGAGATGATAGCAGCGGGGAAGACGACAGCAGTGATTAGGATGGCGATACCGTCGGAGAGGAGGATACAGACGAGATCGACAATGACAGCGAGAGCGAGGACCATGTCGATGGGAGAAGCGGATGGCGAGGGGCTGCGTCGATTGAGCTGGCTGGTGGTCCCCGGTCGGGATCGAGAACGCTTGAGTATATGGCAGTCGTCTAGGGTGCTGAGAAGTGGGTAATTGCGAGCCGCTACATCTCTACTTGACGAAGGGTATTAGGGTGCCGACCCGCTTCTTGTATGCCCTGTAGTCATCACCGAAGAATTGTATGAGTGTTCGTTCTTCGGCTACAATGAACGTGATTCGTTAGCATCAGCCAAGAAGATCAGGAAGGGAAGATGTAGCTTCAGGATATTGCACTCACCTCTGATACGTCGACTGAAGAACGTCCACAACACATAAGCATACCCCAAGAAGCATACTTTATTTCCCACCAGCACTTGCGTGCCCAGCGTCCACCAGAAGAAGCCAAAGTAGCTAGGGTGGCGGCTGAACCTGTACATGCCATGTGTCACAAGTACATGTCCTTCCTCTCGTTTCTGTACTGGCGTATGATTGAAGTTGGTGCCCGCTTGAGCCATCGCCACACTCCTCACAATCTGCCCAACGACGATCATGCCCATGGCAAGCACGATCGTGTACGGTGTCCAGACAAAGAGCTGGCCATACCATGATGGGAGAAAGTAGCGAGACGCGATAATCTCCAGTGCGGCGCATGTGTGGGCGACATTGTACGCCACGCCATTGTTGAGAAGGAAACTGTTGGCTCGAGTGGCGGGGATGTTGTAGCGAGCTGTAATGTAGAACTCGAGGAAGTGGAAGAATGCCAGACAACTGAAGAAGGCGGGTAGTCTCCAGATCGTATCGTGCTTCTCCAGTGCGAGTTTGTGGATAAGCAGAAGACTGGCCGCCAGCATGAATCCGCAGCCGAATGCTTGAGAGCTGATTGCCGTCAAGCTGCGGCTTCCTTTTGGTAGGAGAGTGACATCGAACGGGACTGGCGCCATCATGGATGAGTAGCGTCGCTTGAGGAGGTCCCAGTCGAAGGTTGGACCCTCGTAATCGTCTTCATCTTTATGTTTGATAGGCGTTGTCGAAGCTTCTTGCGCTTGGGTAGCGGGCGTGCCTTCCGTACTTGCCGATGCAGTAGCGTGGCCGCTTGCCGCGATTGTTGATGAGGTTGACAGACGAGCCATTCTGATGCTGTTTACTCGCCGAATTGAACAAGCACGATATCACTGCTTATGGAAGTACGAAAGATTCATGTCTGGCCGATTGCGTATTCTTGTTTCCCGTCCGAGTCTCACGTGCTTAGTATTGTACTGTCCAAATTAATAATACAGCAACTGCGAGGAATGCTGCGGATGCGGGAGAAGCCGCTTTCATGGGTGCGTCACTCGAGATCCGAATCGATAATTATAGTTCGTTGCGATTCCTTGCTGGTGTCTAACACGTTGTGCGCCCAAAACCTCAAGCCTTCAGGTGTAGCACAAGCTTCGTGATGCCATCCTTGGAGGATAGCAGAAGGCAGGTTGAGAAGAACTTGGCCAGTCTATCACAAGGGCCGGATCACAACGATATACTGGCTCGGCTGCAGGACGAGATAGACAAGCACAACGCGGTAAAAGACGGGCTGCGCGATACCATCGATCGAGAAGGCCATGATGGAGAGGGGATGTGCTCGAAGCATAGTACACGTTCCGCCAAGTTCAGGTTCAAGGATGGAAAAGAAGTGGACAGAAAGCGTGGTCATCGTTCACACCGGCGTGATGAGGAGCGCAAACATAAGCGTCGTAGGGAAGAGTACCCAACCCCACCATCAGCGGACACTGAAGCAGCCCACCCCTTCCCACGTGAACCCACTACTCTAGATGAGCCCGGAGCACCGAATGACGATGCAGCATTTCGTCACTCTCTGTTCGATGCTTTGGCAGACGACGAAGGTGCAGCGTACTGGGAGGGTGTATACGAGCAGCCCATCCACATATATGATAGGCCTACTGTGTCCACCCCACAAGGTGAGCTGGAGCAGATGTCAGATGCGGAATACGCTGCACATGTGAAAACGAGAATGTGGGAGCGCAAGCATCCCGAGGTTGTGATCGAGAGGGAGCGAAGTGAGCGGAAGCGAAAAGAGGCCGAGGAAGAACGGGCACGAGAGCGAGAGGCATTTATCAGGAGGAAGGAGCAGGCTGCCTGGGAGAGAGCGGAGGGGAGGAATGCTAGGAAGTTTGCGGACGATAAGGGTGATTACGAGAAAACACACTGGAGACGGGCTGAGTACGAATTCGCCGGTGAAGCCAACACCTACGCGGATGCGGACCACGACCAACAGGCTCGCAAAGAGGAATATATTGCGGCATGGGCGCGGTACCTCACAGCGTGGGATAGACTCAAACTCGAGCTGCTCGACGAGCGGACCAATCCACCTACGACTACGCTGACAGCTTCGAAGCGCATACCGTGGCCTGTTCTGAAGTCGAAGCCTGTCATACGAGGCAATATTGAGGACTTCTTGCGGCACGGTACTCGTTCTGGCGAGGGGAATGCACTCAGCCTCTTGAAGGCCGAGAGAGTTCGCTGGCATCCGGACAAGGTGCAGCAGCGCTTTGCTGGCATCGTGGAGGAGGGCACGATGAAGCTCGTGACAGGCGTGTTCCAAGTTGTGGATGCACTTTTTGAGGAGGAGAGGAAGAAAGCCCGATGCAAATAATGTGCAATCGTATCACTAAGAGTGAGATTATCATCTGAGTGCACTGTTTGACTGCCTCGTGCATGACTGATGCCAAAGCAATCTCTATTCCGCTCAAACCCCCTCAACCACCCGAATCTCCCTCCCCTCGGCCTTCATTCCCATCCACCACCTCCCAAACCTCATCCGCCGTCAGCACTGCCACATCCCCACTCTCCCTCCCACGCCACTTCATCCACAATATCCCACCGGCCTCCTCAGCATCGGTATACTCTTCCATCTTGGCGAGAGCCAGCAAAAGCGTTCTCGACCATTCCTGCGCAGGACCAGCGGGCTGCATATCCCTTGTCAAAAATAGACTCGGGATCGACCCTCCAGTATAGTCGGATGGTGGCTAAGCTTACATATCGCCCGCCAGTGATCGAAATGGGCTTCGCGAGCCCGGGAAGGGTCTCAGCGGTGTACCGCTCTACGCTGGCCCAGGGGGCGGTATCTGTCTCGCCGAGAATGACCCGGTCATTACTGGCACCGAAGAGGTCGCCAATGTCGCCAAGATCTGGCGGTGTCCCCGTATCTTGGAGTGGTGCTTGAGCTGCCATATCCTGTGGCAGTGGTGTATAGTGGCTCACCGTGATCGGAAGCGGTGCGTTTCGCTTGAGCGTTTTGGGCCCAGCAGGTCGGAATGGCAATGATGCCTCGGGGGCATTTCTCTTGCGTCCAGGCATAATATAGTACTGCCGTGCTATTCGATAGCTTGAAGATGTGTTTCGCTGCTGGGAATGCCGTGAAGGTCAAGGTATGGAGCAGTCACGAATTTTCAGCTCTAGGTCATATACTTGCTTCAACGTCACTTCACAGGCACTTACCAGCTCAACTACGGCAGCAGAATAAGTGGAATATATCAATAAGGTTGATAATTACGCTTTCATACGTACAGTTGAGCTGGGCCCGGCTCAAGGTGATTCATTTCATCCCTGGGTGACACCCAGGTTTGTTACGTCTGGGGACCAGGGGGTATGCATGATCGGCCAAACGTCTCCTGCCTCCTTAAGCCTGAGCCGGATGGGCAGGAGGTGGTGCAAGCTCAAGTCGCTACGCCCATTATGTTCTTTCATTCTTCATTCTTAATCACACTCTTTCGAGAGCGGTATGTCTCAGGCATATGGTAAGTTGAAATGTAAAGTCTCCCGCCGAGCGGTTGTAGACTTTCCCCTGAGATGCACTGGGACGCTGGTGTGTTCTTAGGTTTTTGTCGCTGGTAGTTCCTTTTTGGTCCATGAAGTGACGTTGGCCAGCCAGGCAGCCAGTTCGAAACACACACGGTACAAACCCCCTTGATCTGATCTTGATGTCAGTAACCACCCAGTACTCCAACACAAGTTCAGGAAAGCACTCGAGAGCGAGAACATGATCGGGAAGAGGATAAGCAATTACTACGATCCGTGCGGGGGCAAGATCTTTCTTCTTGGGCATATGTATTGATACGAGCTTGTCACGGTGCAAGAAGCCAAGCTCGCCGTCCTGATTGGTAGCCCGTGGATGAGGCATGGCATCTTAACAGAAAAGAGGACTTACAGGCACCGTTGCGGTGATGCAACAGGGTTCACATGATACAGCATCATCATCAGAATCTCGTGGGTAGATATCCTTTGATCGCACAAGGCTTCACCCCTCACCACGTTCCTTGGCAGCCTTTCTCGCCAGATACCTCGCCTTCGCATCCATTTTATCCGTATCAGTCTTCTGGGTCTTCGCAGCATTCTCCAGCCTCACCCTCTCCTCTTCCTCCTCCTCTCGTGCTCTCTTGGTCTTCTCCGCAAGCTGCTCCTCCATCATGCGACTCTGCCGCTCTCTCTGTGCATCTCGTGCAGCATTGTTGCGCTGGAAAGCTGGTTGTGTCTGCTTGTTTCCCGACACTCGCAAGTGATCTGCATTACTTGCGTTGCTATCGCCGGGCTTGGCGGACACATTTAGACCTGCTGTGAGGAGTTCTCGTTTGTCGATGATTTGGCCGTCTTCGTTGAGGTGGATGCCTTTGGCTCGTAGATCTGCGGCGTTCTCACCTGTCGTACCGCTTGATTGCGTGTTCTCTCCAGTTGGTGAGATTTTAGCAGCCTTCGCAGCAGCATCTATGGATTCCTGATGCTGTTGCTCCGTAAGATCCATCATATTCTTGTAAAAGCCCTGCATGCCTCCACCACCCAGAGCACGTTTTCGCTTGGCCTCTGCCTCTGTCTTCTGCTTCTCTTCTTCCTCCAGACGCCTGGTCTCCTCTTGCTGCTCCTTGTAGGCTCCAGTCACGAACTTCTCCTTATCTGCGAACTCAGCGCCCTCTGCTTCCCGTTCCTTCTGTAGCAGCTTCTCCTTAGCGATCGTCTGATCCTGCTTCCGTCTTGCAGCGGCGTCCAGGAGATCGTTTATGTATTTCGGCTTCCTCTCGACAGCATCCTGCCGGGCAGCAGCTTTTTTCGCATCGGAGACAGTTGTCTTGGCATCGTGGAAGGAATCGTAATCGAAGATGGAGGCGTCCAATTCTTCAGCTGCCTTCACTTTTGCCGTCGCTGCGTTCATCGACGACAGATCCACTCCATCATCCTGCTCAGCCTCTTTCCGTCTGGGTAGTAGTGCTCCAGTTCGGCGACCTTTCAGGGTTGGGGGAGGAGGCACTTGCTCCTGCTCGTCGTCCTCGTCACCGTCGTCATCAAACACTGTCTTCCGCACGGGAGCTGCCTTCGCGCCCTTCACATTTAGACCATATCCAAGAGGCATCGTTGCTGGAACTGCATCTGATTTGAGGTGAACTTGTAGAAGTGGATATGACCTCGAGGAAGGTATGGCGACTTACTTGGCGTTCGGACAAGATCCAGCCGAAAGCCACGTGTGAATGCTATGCGTGCCTGCCCTTCACGGCATGCTTCATAGCTGTATCTTCTAAACGAGAAGAGACCGTTGTCGTCCGTTAGATCAATCATGCCAGTCTCTGAGAACAAGGCACGTGCGCTGCGTGGTGAACTATATTACGCTTTCACACCAGAATTGACCAAAGAGCGCACAAACTGTCACCGCCACATCGTAGAGTTCAACAACGCAGGCGAGATCTCACGGCGGGAGAAGACGACGATCTGGAGAAAGTATTGCTCCTCACTCCACTTTGTCCCGTCACTTCCTATGCTCACGCCAGATGCAGCATAGTCCAAGACGAAACACCTCTCCCACCACAAGCAGCCACAGAAGATGACGACGACGCTCTCTTCGCCGAAGAACCCTGGGTCGAGCCTCCGTTTCATGCAGACTATGGGTACAACATCAAATTAGGCCAAAACGTCTTTCTTAACTTCAACACCACTATCATCGACACCTGCCTCGTGACGATTGGAGCACGAACCCTCTTTGGCCCGAATGTTTCATTATACACAGGATCGCATCCTTTGGATGGTGACCTTAGAAACGGTACCAAAGGCCCAGAGTCTGGCGGCGAGATCCACATCGAGGAAGATTGCTGGATAGGCGGTAATGCTATACTCCTGCCAGGCGTCAGGATAGGAAGAGGGAGCACTGTTGGGGCTGGGAGTGTTGTCACCAAAGTAAGCTACCCGAGTTTCTTTGCTGCATGTTCTGTGTTGAAATCCTTGCTGATCATGTTGTCTACAGGATGTTGGGCCATATACAGTCGTGGTAGGCAATCCGGCGAGAAAGCTAAGGGATGTGCCAAGAGGTAAATACGATGCAGAAGCCAAAGAGGCATTGGCGGCTCTAGAGCGAGATGAGGCGAGGTCGAAAACCTCATAGACATAGATAGTAGACGGTACAAAATAGCTCACCTATTGACCACCCGCAAATCAGCCCACCGAATGCATCATGAATTCAACGCTATGCTGGAACGCTCACTGCCCACCTTCACTATGCATATGCATCTCAGACTCAAATGCAGAAATTGATTGACTATTCTTCCTTCTCCCGTACCTCCTTAATATAATGCACGAAACGCTTCTTATGCACCAAACCAGCATATCTCCCCTCCTTCAAGACACAAATATACCTCAATCCAAGCTTAACAAAGCATTCGAACACCAGGTCCATGGGACTGCAAATATCCAACGCTACGGGTGCTGGATCTATGAATGGTGTGAAATCTGTTGGGTCGGCGGACCCGCCGCCGTGGAGAGGCTGTTGTTCAGCGGCATCGAGATCTTGTTCTGCTGCACCATCGACGTCTATGTTATGATCGTGAGGATCTGTACCGCGACCTGGTCCCTGCCATCGCTCTTGTGGAGACATGAGACAGAGTGCATCGTCCTCTTTCTCGAGGCGATCAAGTGCGTATTCGAGATCGGGCGCCGGAATCAAGCCTACCAATACGCCATCACGTAGTATCGGTAATCCGCCATCTAGCTCGCCGGCCATATGGAGATACTCCAGTTTTGACCGTAATTGTTTCGCAGGCACGAGTGGAGCGGTCGTGACGTCGACAATCCTGTTCTTGCTTGGAGGACGTGTGATGTCGCCTAATTCGGTAGTGAAGGTCGGGCGTGCCTTGGAGTCAAGGTATGGATACGAGTTCATATCGGTCAGCAAATCGTAGATACTGAGAGGCTCCACGGCATCTGCTGTCCACTTCGCTATGAGCACACCTAGCGAGAACGGTAAGACGTGCTCAAGAGAACCAGTAAGCTCAAACAGGATTACAGCAAGAGTGACCGAAAGGCGAGTGACTCCACACATGGTCGCACCAGCGGCCACTAGTGCATATACACCCGGCACGACACAAGACTCTGGTCCTCCATCCTTTGGACAGGCGGCAAATAAGCCGAAGTTCGGGTATTTCAGCGTCAGCAGCTGGATGACATGACCCACAATCCTACCAAGCAAGCCACCGATGACCATGGAAGGTACATAGATGCCGGCAGGTACCTTGATACCAAACGTGACGACCGTGAGCGCAGACTTGATGACGAAGGCAGCACAGAGATACCAGATGACATCCGTGATGCGCTCTCGAGTCGGACACAACCCAGAGCCGTCTTTGGTAAAGGCGTCGCACGGTGCCGCAAGCTCGAATAGTAGCTCGGCCACGGGCAGTCTGGTGTACCTGTTCCAGAAGCTGACAAGTCCAGTGACTAGGGCGACGAGGAGCACCTCTACGAGAGGATATTTTTTAATAACGCCGATCTTGCGGAAAGTCTTCGCCCAGAAGCGAGATGCTTTGATGAAGAGTGCACCCGTCAGACCACCCAAGACGCCAAGGAGTGCAAAGACAATCAGCTCGAATACTTTCCAGTCGATCAGGTAGCGGACCTGGAACAAAACAATCTTCCCCGTTCCGTATGGATTGAGACCTCGTAACGAAAGTGCTGCAGCAATACAGCAGAAAAAAGTGCGGAACAGCACTTTCGGTGGGAAGTAGTAGCTGACTTCCTCGAGGCTGAACAGTAGACCACTGATTGGTGCACCAAACGCAACGGCGACTCCAGCTGCTGCGGAGGCCGAAAGCACTTCACGACGCTTACCATCATTCGTGCGGTACTTCTTGAACATGCGACAGGTGATGTTGCCGATGCACGTTGCGATGTGTACGTATGGTCCCTCCTTGCCGATAGACAGACCTGAGGCAACACTCAGAATGAGGCCGATGGTCTTGGCCATAAGCGTTGTGACTCCCAAGTAGCCGTGCAGCACGAATCCAGATAAGATAACTTTGACTTCTGCCACACCTGAACCTGCAGCAGGATAGTATATGACAGGTGGCCGTTGCGCAGCCTCGTTAAAGCGACGAGTGGGGCTCACGCTGGTCCTTCTGCCCTCGGTATCGTCTTTCGAAGTGTCGGCTTTGTCAGCTCCCAGATTCTCGTCTAGTGTCGACAACGAGATCGCAGACGATACCACGGTCTTGGTCTGAAGCGTAACGAGACAGCCAAGTAAAGCAAGTACCACGACCCAAGCGATGTAGGCAGCAAAGTTCGACCATAACTTTGCATTGCCCTCGCTATGTATCAGACTGGACCATCTGTTCCAGTCATCGCACATGGCGACCCCAGAGCAGCATTTACGCTTGTTGTGATACCATTTCGTGCTGCAGTAGCCAGTCTTTAAGTCAAAGATTGCAGCTTCGGTGATGTCAATAACGTATGCAAAGCCAGCGGTGACCACGCCTATGATGGCCACAACGATCCACCCTTGTGCACTGTCGAATAAAGCATAGGCTCTACCTTTGAAGTCCTTTCTGGCTCTGAGCTCTTTGACCCGGAAGGCGTCTGCTATGCTATCGTGCACCCAGTCCGTTGATGTGAACTGATCGTACCATATACGATCATCCGCGAAGATAGAGGGCTTCGACTGCTCAAGATCGGCAGATTCTGTCAGATTGGCATCTGTGCCAAGAGCTCGTGCAAGTCGAAGCCCTATCGATCCTTTCCGACTGTGGTTACGGAGTCTGCTGGTGTTCAACTGGCTATGCTGTCTGCTGAGCGGAAACCTTGGTGTTGCTGGCACGCTGGCAGGTAGAGTACGGTAGCCCGAGTTATGGCCGTCCATATGTCCAAGAAGCCCAGTCGTTTCATCCATCACAAGTGGACGTTCTGGTAGCCTACTACGCAAATCCAGATCAGATGTTCTTGATGATCCATGTGTTCGAGTGTCTACAGGCGAGACTGGTGCAGTCCGACTATGTTGGGCATTTATGACAGCATTCCTGATAGCCAGCTCTTCAACTTCGTCGACCTCATCGTCGGAGTGGTCGTTGTGTGGATCGTAGTCGGACGCATAGCTACGGTATGACCGAGTGGAAGCTACAGACTTCGGCATGACGTGGTATGGACCTCAGTAGCTAGGAGTACCATCGTAAGCCTTTTTGTTATGTGATCTGGAGGGGAGAAGGCACAATGAAACAAAGGGTCATGCTGTCGTGGTTGGTATGTGCGTATCAGGAATGTGTTCACGTGCATTGCCTTGTGTCATGCCGTGGGGCAGGTAGCAACAGCGAACATGACTCCGGCGCATTCCTACCATAAGACGGGTGTTGTGGCCAACCAGATACTCGATTATTGTAAGATGACCGAAGACTTACCGATTCCATGCCCAGGTCACACGAACGCCTCGCGGCGGAGTCGGTCTGGCAGTGAGCAAGCGTATCTCCTTACTAAAGGAGAAGGATGACAGGGAACAAATCTATACTTATCGACACCGCCATATCTCAACTCACCACACAACTGTCAAGACTGCGCTAAGCCAACAGCTCACACCATGGATGGTGCAACACAGCCCGGGACAATTTGGCTCGTGATGTTTAGGAAAAGACGAGTTTAAAGCCGCTGTAGGCGCATGTTTTCATGCACATCATCGGACGGCTGGGCCCGCAATCATCCACAGGACCACATGAGCCCTGCAGATGATCTCGTGGATGCAGTCGTATGCACAAAGGCGTCAGCTGTGTAACCTCAGACGTCGCTAGAGCCGACAGCTTCACTACCGACTTCAGACCGATATGCAGCTCGTGCAGCAAGTACGGCTGGGCGAGCTTTGGGATGAGATAGTGAGATAGGCGAGCGAAGAGTTGATCGCCGACAAACTTGAGCCTCCTTTTATTGCAGGCAGAACAATATCTGACTGAGTCGGCTGATTAGTAACTAGGGAGCTGAGTTGGGCAAGTCCTCGTGAAGGCTACTGAACACCGGGACGTGGGATGCAGCGATTCGAGCTCCCCTGTCAATTGCACAATCCCCACTGACCTCGCAGCTCATCAGATCTCAAGCAAGTGCTCCCAGCAAGACACTACCGGAAGAGAGCAAGCTGGTCTTTTGGACCGAGCCGTGACTGGCTGAACGGCGAAGAGGTCATGCAAGGACGATCTGGACACTGGACTATCGCTTATTAGCGCGCAGACAGCCCGTATGATACTCACGGCAAAGCCTCAAGTCCTCGATAACAACAGTGAGACGACTATTGGATGACCACCATGGTTCTTGGGCCTGGTCCAGCCATGGCAGATTCTCCACCTCAAACAGAAACCTCTCCACTGCTCGACCTCCCAGTAGAGCTTCGCCTGAGCATTCTGGAATCAGTCCTCAACAATGCTGACAGCATCATCGTCAGTACAACATTCCAGCCAGAAGACAGGTTTGATAGCTTTCCCCAGCACCTAACACCACCAGCATTGGCAAGAACATGCCGCGTGCTACGTAGGGAGAGCCTCCCAATCCACTACAGCAACAACACCTTCGAGATCCAGATCTACATGCGGATCGTATCCCCATCTTCCGGAATCAGGACCATCGCTCGCACAAAAGAATGGCTCGAGACTATTGGCCTAGAGCAAGCCCGACTTATCAGGCATTTAGTCGTGTGTACCAGTGCTACCTCAAACATGATCGCGAGCATGATTGAACGTGCTCGGACAAGATGGTTGGACGAAGACCGCGGCGGTGTACTAGACGTGGCACTCATCGGTGGTGAGGTTGAGAATGAACGCTGTATGTTGGATGGGCGTCTCGAAGCTGTGCTGTTGCATTATAAGATGGAGATCACCTCGAAAGTGAGCGGGATGGCGATATCTGTCGATCGGCTTCTTTAGCATTGTACTAGCAAGTATGCCTCGTATCTTCATTAAGCTTGTTCAGTGGTGAGCTGGTATGTCGGCCAGCATACCACCATTCCTGTGGCAGACCTACGGCATCGTGGGGTGAACGGCATCATGGCGTGCACAATCAAAACAGAGATTGCAGCAGCTTGAAGCCCGCATTCGCACGAATCATTCTGAATACATGCTACCAAGACATTACGGAAGGAGTCGTAGAGACACAACAGTAGGAACAGCAACGCTAGCAAAGAAAATCAGCCCCATTATCATTCGCCCCTCCTAGGTCGCTGCGAAGACTTGATAGGCTCTGCTCGGGGTTGAGCATGTGTATGAGCGTGAGGATGACTCCCACTCCCAAATCTATTCCCGAAACTCGAGTGACGGCCACTGCGTGATATGGAACCCACGTCGTGTTTACCTGCAACGACAATTAGCAATCAGGACTAGATCACAGCATGCTGGGTGGAGGAGATCTTACCATCACAACAAGCCCTCACATTCTCCAACCGGTCCGCCTCCTTCTCCTGCCTCTCGATCACATTCCGCAAGTCTTCCGCACTGTCGCTTACAACACTAGCATCGTAGATCTCGGCCGGATCGCCTGTGCGGCCGCCGAAGGAACTGTGTCCACGTGTTGTTGAGAAGCTTCCGCGTTGACTGCTCCCGGGACGGAATCTACTCGCCAGCGAGCTCAGTCGACCCGAGAAGCTGCCCCGATCACTGCGCATTGTGCTTGTTCGTGGGTCCGTGTCGGACTTCTGAGTGCTTGCCGCCGCCGGCGGAGCCAGGGTAGAGGCAGCTGCAGCTGCCGGCGCGGTCTTTGTCTTCAGAGCTGCGTTTGACTGTCGTTGCGTCAAGCTATTAGCTGGTGCCTCAGCACGGCGAGGACTACTCGCGCGTGTCCCACGGCTGTTATAGCTGCTCAGACTCTGTCTGCTCTGGCTATGATCGCGACCCGTCATACGACTGATACTTCGGCGGATGCTGAAACCGGGGTTGAACTCCCCCAGTTCCGCTTCGTCAAAAGTGTCATCTGCTTCTTTCTTCTCCTGCTCTGTGCGAAGGAGGAGGTATGAAAGGGCGTTGAACCATGTCTCGTGGCGTTGGCCAGTAGGTGCCGTGAACACGATTTCCCGACCCGGTGTTACCACCACGATAGACTTTCGGTGGAGACCAGGCGGGTTGGTATTGTCATCAGTAATGACGCGTACAGATTGTATCGCCATACTCTTCGCCTTCAGCACGTCTCTACCAGCCGTACTCGGATCCTTCTCACTCCAGTATAGCGTCCGCGTATACGGGTGCACCCAGAAGAACCGTCGATGTCTCGTAGTAGAAGTCTCGCTCCTTCCAGCTTTGCGTGTGTATTTCCACAGGTACTCACCAATCATGGTCTGGGTAATAGCCTGAATCATGCGTGGATCTGTAGCGGGCACAACGTCGCTCGGATACATCAGATCGCCCCGCCCAATGTTAAAGCGCTCGTCGAGCTCTGATGCAAAGGATGATACAGAGCCGCGTCGAGACACGCCGGCAGACCCGGGTACAGCGTTTCTACTATCACGGTGTCGGATCGGGCGAGGTGTTGTGCCGTCACGAGACATTTGGCGCTCGGCTGCGCGGTCGACGGGTGTCTTTGGCCTGCTGGACTTGTATGCTGAAGCCGGCATGATCGGTGGACCCATCGAACCAGCCGTGGCCGACCCAGAAGAAGTAGGGTGGTGCTGTGCAGCTGTGATACGAGCGGTGGAATCTTCGGGAAGTGGCGGAGGTACCGCTATAGCTCCCTTGTTGCGCATGCTGCCTGCACTTGCTGGTCGTCTAGGTCCGCGACCCAGTAGAGCATCATTGAGTACCGCGCCATCGATCGAACGACGCGTTGGTGTGGTCGACTTACCAGGGAAATAGCCGCCATCGGTCATAGATGACGTGCGACTCTTGTTGCGCAGCATATCATCGATCTCAGTGCCAGACACCATCGTCTGTGAGCTCTCATCCACCATCGGCTTCTTGACTTGCAGAGGCTTGGTCACTGGTATCATGCTATCGTTCGAGATAGAGCGCTCGTGGGGAGGCATGGTGTTAGCTGAGCTTGGCACCAGGAAATCATGCGGCTCCTCGCGAGTATCATCGTCGTCACCGAAGATGAGCGTAGGGATACCGCTTGAGCCAGACCGAACACCACCAAACACCTTCGGCTCGATGAGGTCGCGGTCATTCTCCAGCCTGGAAGGTAGGGCCGGGTGGCTCTGCGATCGCGTCCGCTTCAATAGCGGAGGTGCCATGGCAAAGAAGGCTGCACCTGGTCTTGCAAAGTCGGTGCCAGGGATCTCACGCGAGGACATGTCTGGAAGACCCGCCTCTGGCTCCTCATCGTCGTACAGCATGTCTAGTCTCCGCGAGCTACGCTTCGGCAAAAGAGGCGTGAGTGGCCCTTGCGCTCCGATAGGCTCGAAGTGCTGAGCGTCAACAGACGCGTAGTTGAGGTTCTGCGCTTCATGGCCTTGTACAGCCAACGGGGCAGCAGCCTTGTGCGGCGTTTCGGGCTGAGCAGCTTGTCTCTGAATGGGCGCAGGAGCCCGTATCTGTTCAGGCAGCTGAGGCGTAATCGGTTCCGTTTCCTGCGAGATGATCATCGACTGCTGGAAGGGTATTACAGGAGCTCTGATCTCGGTAAACATGCTTGCGAGGGACTTTTGCTCTTTGAGCACGGTGGCTGAGGTGTCCGGTATCTCAGAGTTCTCTCGCGATAGGGCCTTAGCAGGATCGACTGCGGCAGAAGCATGACTTGGTACCATGGGCACAGCAGCGGCGGCCGCAACGTCTTCCGCGTCCGGTGCCTCGTCGTCGTGAGACGCTTTCTTGACAAGAACTTGGGCCTGGGAAGGTGCCTCCGTCCTCGTGATCTCAGGCACATCCTTCTCAGCACCAGGCTCTACATGCTCCCCAGCGTCTTTGTCATCGTGATGACTCTTGGCCAGACTCCCAAGCCCAAAGCCAGCAAGCGCACCTCCCACAATCTCAGTAGCGCGATCACGGATGGTATGCTTTTCAGCGGAAGACTGCACCGCCGGCCCCCAAGGCTCAGTCATCATACCAGCATCTACCATACCAGCCTTCTTGACTGCAAATTCATGTGCAAGCATGGCAACATTGGCCTGGTAAGCCATTTCTTCTTGTTCGCCATGTGCAGGCGCGTGTCCGGGACTCATGGTTGGGCTGCTGATTTCCGGCTCATACTCTGCTTCGTTGGCAGTCCCCGCATCTCCAGCTGTCGCCGGTGACTCCAACTCAAGGCTGCGCTGTCGCTCCGTCGCAGGTGAAGTCGCAGGATCATCGAGGATGCGACTCGGTGTCCCCTCCGTGCTATCATCGTCGAGAGCGTCGAGCTCGTCGCCAAGGCTTTGACCAGCGGGTTGTGGTGTACCGTTGCTTGAAGAAGGGCTGTTTGCGAAGTTCGGGCTATCGCTCATGATGTCGCTGGCGCGTCCCGAGCGTCTGTTTCCACCACGACCCATGCGAAGCTTGTACTTCGGTTGTACCGCTGGAACAGGTGTGCGGATCTCATCGTCTTCATCGGCTGATGTCGAAGCAGTGGACATGTATGACCGTCTGTCGCCAGCCTTAGCGCTAGAAAGAGATGGGCGGCTATTGCTAGAGCGGTTGAGACCACTTTCAGTTTCAGTCAGATCGCCCTCGCCATCCGAACGGCCCTCGTTACTAGTCTCGAACTCTGTGCTCTCCTTCTCATTAGCCGTCTCAAAGGCATCCGTGGTGCTGCTCTCTTCACCGAATGAGGCGTGATCGAAAGCAGCCACTCCAACAGCTCCAGCAAGTGCGCCGCCGGCCATGGGAGCGAAATGAGACTTGCTGGGTGTTCTCTCGCCCTCATGATCTTCCCAATCCGGCTCATCCTCCATGATCTCGGTCGTGCTATTCCTGTTGGCACCAAGACCACCAAGTCGCGTAGGCTTCTTGTTCTTGTTCTCCACTTCACCCTTGCGCTTCTTCGCCATGCTGGCACCGGCGCCAGTCTCACCTCGTCGTGCTTCGACCTCGTCCCGGGCGTCCTGGAGCATGCGCTTGAGCTCGATCTTTTCAGTCTTCTCCCTGTGGATGTTATTCTTGAGATTCTGGATCATCCTATGAGCGTGGTTGAGACTCGATCGCAACGTCTCGGACTCGAGCATGCCATGGCCCGGTGTACCCTTCACAGGCGACACAGGCACAGAGTGCTCAGGTGAAGCATCGCCGTCGCTCATGTCTTCGGTGGCTAATACGAGCTCGCTATCATATGCTTGGCCACGCTGATTCCAGTTCGAGGAGACCGCTCGTGCAAGCTCGGTGTTCTGCATCGTGAGCTCGGTGACTCTCTTGTGCAATGTCTCATTTTCAGTCTGATGATTGGCCACGTCTCTTCGAAGCGTGTGTATATCACCCTCCTGCTGTCTCTTGACAAGCGCCTGATCCTCGCTCAATTTATCGTGTGACACGCGCAGCTCGTCTAGCTCCCTCTGAGCGCCTGTATGCTCAGTCTGAGTAGACTTGAGTGTCTGATGCAACCGATCGTGCTTGTCCGTGGTATCTCTGAGACTGCCCTCCAGCTCCTGAAGTTTCATCTCAAGATTCCAATTCTCATCCTTGTATCTCTGCTCATGCTCATCCATCTGCTTAATCCGCGCAACCAAACCCGCTGCCTCAGACTCCAGCTGCAGCTTTGCCGAAGTGGTCTCCTTGAGTGCATCGTCCTTCTCCGCAAGGGCCGTCTGTAATTGCCTGACTTGGGCAAGCAAGGAAGTACTAATTTCCGTTGCAAATTCAATGTCGTGGACACGATTATTAGGCTGGTTACGTTGTCGTCTGGATGGCGCAGAGACCTTGGTCGGCGATTCTCTGGCTTGTCCGCTGAGTACTGTGGGTGTTTCGCCATTCTCATTGCCAAGCGGTGGTGCTCGGGACTTGGGCAGAAATGCTCTCGCTGACTCCTTCCCCACCTCATTGTACTCCTTCTCCAGCTCGGCGAGCTTCTTGCGGAGATCTGCAGGCACCTCATCATCTTGCTGGACCTGCTTGATATCCTCTAGCCTCGCATTCAACTCCTTCCGCTGCTGTACCAGAGTAGTTCCTAAGCGCGAAGCATCCTGAATCCGACGGTCGGTGTCGCGTAAGTGCGCCTCCAGGGCTCTCTTCGCGTGTGATGGAGAATTTGTAGAATATATCGAAAGCTGGTCTGTATCAAGCGAGGCATATCTTAGTGGGCCAGGATTGCCTCCAGTGAAAGGGTCGTTCATGCCGTTGGCCGGGATAGCACCAGGCGGAAGGTTGGCTGAAGTCGCCATTATGAAGTCATAGATGAAATAGTAGGGAATGATGCGTGAGGTTGGCGACAGGGGTTATAGCGGTGAAATAAGCGATGCCAGAGTCGTTTCGCGATGGTGATGAGACAGGGTCAGGAGCCGTAAGACACTGAAGACAGTCCGGAGAGCGCCCGTATACTGCAGTACTGCTGAAGCGCATGCAATTGTGCTCGCACGTCAACAATAATGGGCCAGTATATGCAGCGGGGTTGTGGCCTGGTAGTGTCTCGGACAGATTGCGGAGCCGGGCAATATAACAACAGTCTCGTTCCGCACAACAAGAATTAGAATAGGACTAATTGAAATGAAAGCGGGAAATGAGGTGGTGTGTTGCCGGACCCGACGGTTGTGGGTGAGGGTGAGGAGGGCGAAAAGGACAGACGAGACGAGCTGGCGGTAAGACTTGGATGCAGACGAGACGATGACAACAAACACACGCTCGAGCCAAGATGTGAGATGTGATTGGCCGGCTGACGGCATGAAACATTGCGACATTAGCGTGATTATTATTGCGTTCTCGACACGGGCCACTCCTTCGAGAAGCTGGCAAGTAGACTTACTTTTACAGCTGTAGAGCACAAGCAGCGATGTTGTTTTCCGTGAACTGCTGCAGGATGGTAATGTATCGATGGCCCCTTCGTGTACGAAATAGACCGCGTCAAGTACACGCGATGCGAAGGTTTGAACCCCCCACAAACACGCCACATTTGTCAGCCACATCTTAAACAGCGAGTCATGTGTTGATGATATATGCAGAGCACTTGTCGCTTGTTTCTAAGCAGCACTAAACTTACGTATCTTCTAACACGTTGGTCGAAACAACTAACGGAGGACCACTACCATGGCAGACGTAGCACCTCCAGCATTCAAGAAGCGCGCCAACAAGAACTCGAACATACGCAAACGACCAGCAACAACAGCACTAGACGACTCAGCATCGGAATCAGACTACACAGATGACGACGAAGCGGGCATACGAGTCAAGAGGCGACGGAAAGAGGGCGTCAAAGTGGTAGGCGAAACCCAGCGACAATCACAGACTTTCAGCAAATCCACTGCCTTCGAAGCCGACCGCACAAAAGTCATAACAGCCAACGATGATGCGACCAAGTCTTCAAACTGGTACAACGAGGCCTCGAACGCTGCCGAAACCGTACGAGCCACAGCACGGCATTTGCGGGAAGAGAAGGAGTCCGGCGACGACAGCTACAAAGGCAGCTCGAAGTACTCCGACTTCATACAGAAGGACACGAATGGCTCGAGCAGACAAGTTGGTCCCGTGAAGACCTCGACGAACGTGCGGATGATCACGGTGACGGATTTCGCGCCAGACGTGTGTAAAGACTACAAGCAAACGGGCTTCTGCGGGTTCGGCGACAACTGCAAATACCTGCACATCCGCGAGGACTTCAAACAAGGCTGGCAACTCGACAAAGAATGGGAGAAAGCTGGCAAGGACAAGAAGCCTGGCAAGAAACCCGACGAACCGGACAGCGAGGAGAAGATGCTTGAGAATATCCCCTTCAAGTGCATTATCTGCAAGGAGGATTATAAGCGGCCTATCGTAACGAAATGTGGGCATTACTTTTGTGAGAAGTGTGCGATGGTGAGGTATATGAAGGAGAAGAAGAAGGGGTGTGCGAATTGTGGGGTTGATACGGGGGGGACGTTTAATGTGGCGAGGAGGCTTAAGGAGTTGCTTGAGAGGAAGAGGGAGAGGGAGGAGGCGAAGCAGAAGGAGGAGGAGGGTGGGGAGGGTGGGGAGGAGTAGATTTTGTATGAGTATGCATTCCTATCTAGCCGTGGTACTGCTGGGTTTAGATGCTGTCCAGTGTTGCAAATGCTGATATCGCGGGATGACTGCGTGGGCGACAGTAAATGAAGTCTCGAGACCTGACTCTAGTGATTGCAAGGCCGACTTCGTGTCATCATCGCTACTTTCCAGGGCAATAACTACCTGTCCTCCAATAATGTAGCAATTAATCGCGAGAGCCCATAGTACAGTACAGTACAGTACGGCACAATATACTCTGGCAAGGGCCACGGACTGCCGATTCCTCCGATGCCCGTTTGTCCCGGCACGCGGGTTACACAGCACGAGCCATATCGGCGGCTGAGACCTAGATCGACAGATCATGACGACAGAGTTTGTGCTCTCGAAACCACGAACAGGATGAGCGAACACCACGATGTGTATGGTGAGAACGGCTCGAAGCCTCGGACTCTTCGGCAAAACAACAAACAACATCTACATGAGTGATTCCAACCTTCACCAACGGTACAGGAGGGCAGAGGATCATATCCGGGTCGTTCTCAAACATATCCCGGCATCGTCCAATCCGTTGACTAGCTTGCTTTTGAAGGAGATCCTTAATGGTGCTGCTTAGCAAATCAGTCCCGTATAGATAGTGCAGGAGATCATAGAAGTTCCGAAAACGATTACTATTCGCTTCTGCCTACTTGCTTCTGTGACTCGTCTTCGCTGCCACAGTCCGCATCGCTGAATCTCGTTCCCAGCGCAGTGGCACGCGACATCCGGCAGAGCCCCAGGTACGATCTCCGTCGTGCAACTTCGTGGTCGGGTAAGCATCTCTAAGCACGCACCACTAGCAACGCAAGCCAAGGTCAGCAAAGAGAATCTCTCGCAATGGATACAGCCGAAGCAGCCATCGAAGCCGAAGTCGAACTCGACCAACAAGCCCTCGCCGAACGACGAGCACATAGACGAAGAGATGGCGAAAGAGCAGCACAGATTTCAAAAGGAGGAATAGACATCAACGTCGCGCACCGACAACGAGAAGACTACTATAATGGCGGTAATAATGCCTCAGACGATGCGGGCGAAGACTCGCCTTTGCTCCGCCAACTCACACCAGATGATCGACGGCCATCGTACGAGGTCGAGGATTACTCCCATCTACCCTGGTATCGCCGACCCAGCGTCTTCTGGATGCTCGGCCCCTTCCTCCTCATGACCCTAGCATTCGGCGGTTCGATCCCACCCAAGATCAACCTCACATTGGAGTTGATCTGTCGGCAATACATTTCTGAGCGCCAGCTCGCAGACCCAGCCTTCACAATGGTGCCCGTCGACTTCGGAAGTGGCGATAACGATCAATGCCGTATCCCCGAAGTTCAGTCCCGCGTAGCCCTCTTTACGCTGTGGGGGAGTCTGCTAGCGGGTGTCTTCTCGGCGATCACGAGTCCGAAGCTGGGTGCGTTGTCGGATAGGTATGGGCGCAAACCTATACTTATCTTCACCTCCATCGGCACGATCTGCGCGGAGATCATCACGATCTTTGCTGCTCTCTACCCGGAGACTTTCCCCGTAGATCTGCTGCTCGTGGGGTACGCCATTGACGGCCTCTTCGGGTCCTTCATCGTAGCCATGGCCATCGCGAATTCTTACGCTGCGGACTGCACACCGCCTCAGCTGCGGAACGTGGCGTTTGGATATTTCCATGGTTGCCTCTTCTCTGGTCTCGCGCTAGGTCCCATACTTGCTGGATACCTTGTGAAATGGACGGGACACATCGTAGTGGTATTTTACATCCTCCTCGCCGTCCACACCTTCTTCGTCCTCTTCATCGGCTTCGCAGTCCCGGAATCGCTGTCCAAGAAACGCCAATTCGCGTCCCGTGAGAAACACCGCAAGGAGCTGGCGGAACTTGGTCCAGCAAGCGATTGGGTCTGGTGGGGTCGTCAGGTCAACTTGCTCGAGCCCCTCAAGATCTTGTGGCCGACGGGTCGTCATTCCAGCTCGAAGCTGAGGTGGAACCTGATCGTCCTTGCGGCCGTGGATACCATTGCCTTTGGTGTTGCCATGGGCAGTATGACTTTAGTGCTGATTTACACGAACTACCAGTTCGGCTGGAAGACTTTCGAGTCCTCGCGGTTCATGAGTATTGTCAACAGCTCACGAGTCTTCTGTCTTATTGTCGTGTTACCGCTTATCACTCGCCTCGTGAGGGGGAAAGTGGATGCGAAGAAAAAGAATACGGGCTCTGATGATTTTGACCTTACCGTCATCCGGGTAGCGATCCTGTTCGATACGCTTGGGTACCTGGGCTATGCTCTTTCGAGGGACGCAGGACTGTTCATGCTTTCGGGTGTGGTGGCGGCTATTGGTGGGATTGGGTCACCTACTCTTCAGTCAGCGCTGACAAAACACGTCCCTGCGGACCAGACTGGACAATTGCTTGGTGCTAGTGGGCTGTTGCATGCGCTGGCCAGGGTGGTAGCCCCGACGGCGTTCAATGCAATCTACTCTGCTACGGTCGGCAAGTATACACAGACGGTCTTCGTATGTCTGGCCGCTACGTTCGGGTTGGCGTTCGTGATCAGTTGGTTTATTAGGCCACATGGTAAGCTTTCACCGGCATGCACTGATCTTGTGCGATGTCTTGCTAATTCTCTGTAGTCTACCTGGACCCCAGCGATATGAAAGACGAAGATGAGGAAGTCGACGAGACTACCAATGCCAGCGCCAACATACCGATTGTTTCGAGCATTGGAGCAGTGGTAACTTCCGTTGTTGGCAAGGTCGTGTCGGGTTGATGATCTTTGACTTGGTCTTTCACACCATACCGAGCATGCAAGGCGCAATGTATACATGATGGCTTAGACTTGTACGAGAAGACATGCAGCAGATTATTGTTGCCTTCGGAAGGTATCGTATTACGTCGTTGATCTCAACGTCCTCACGGGGACGATGGAGTACCTCTTAGCACATCCTGCACATCGCTGAACTGTGACGCATCTTGCGAGCGCGTACATATAGTCTCTCGGCTCGCGTGGCAAACTTATGAGTGACGGTCCACCTTGTGCGGTCGAGTCCTTCGTAGTGGTTGTGGTAGATGCGGCTTCAGTAGCTCTGAGCCCACTTCGTCTGTGATCAAGGAACGTGCGGTTATGTTTGGCCATGAGATCCGCGGTGCTGATTACTTGGTGTCCTCGGTTCTGTGTCTTGACATGAATATCCTGTATGGTATGGAGAGGAATGTGGGGCAATTTCTCCTGCTCTTGCCTCACCTGTTTTGGCAGGAATCGCACGATGCTAGCGCCGGCTGTCCCGCACGTGCTGCTTGCTTCATGGTGCTTGTCTCGCGGCTAATAGTTTGCATCACAGACGAAGATATCGCAATGTCTGATGATGAGAGCCGCTCAGGCTCGGATGGTTCGGGGTCTTCTGATGGAGAGGAGGATGTCGAGGCGACAGGCCTGATCGCGACGCGCGAGAAGCGGGCCACAGCTGGCAACCTGTACAGCTCACTGCGTGCCGAGATCGACGAGGATGACGCACTGAAGGACATTTTCCTGGAGGACGAAGAAGACGAGGGCGATTACGAGGGATCGGATAGTGGTGATGACGAAGGCGCTTTGGGGTCATCTTCAGACGAAGATGATGCTGGACCACAGCAGGAGGGACAAGCGGAGGATTTGACGGGCGAGAAGGAGTTGAAGAAGGCTGAACGCGTGCAACAGAGGCAGAAGAGGAAAGTGCAAGACGCGCGACTGAAATTACCGGCATGGCAGAAGAAGAAGGTGAAGCTGGCGGATGATGTCAAGACTGAGGACGGCGCGCCTACGAAGCCCAAGAAGAAGAGCGAGCGCACAAATTGGCTGCCTGGTGAAGAAGATGCGCCGAAGCGCCAGTCAAGACGCTCTCTGGCAGTTGCAAACCGTGAGGTGGTCCATGCCAACCTCAAGCAGTCGCACGAAAGATCTGAGAAGCAGCGCAAGGTTATGAAGCATGCGGCGGAAAAGGTCAAACAGAAGAAGCGACAGGAGATTAGTCAGGAGGATCGCATGAAGATGTGCGAGAGGATCTCTAGGCAGACGGACAAGGAGTTTGGGAGATGGGAGAGGGAGGAGGCGGAGCGACAGCGGACGAGGGACGAGCAGCTGGCCGCTAGCAGGAGGAGGGATATGGATGGGCCGTATATCAAGTACTACAGTGGAAGTGTCATCTGGAGGGATGGGAAGTTGGAGAGGAAGAGGGTCGAACATGGGAGTATGGATGTTACGACTATTCCGGATGAGCCGAAGCAGCCTGCTTTTGAGCTTGTCGTCAAATCAGATCATACTTCAGGGACGATATCAGCGAATCAGCCAGCTTCGAGTACGAGCCCATCGACCTCAGCAGCCCCTCAGCCAGTTGTCGCATCCTCAAGCAAAGTCGCAAGCACGGAAACATCGTTGCCGACCCCATCTGACCCACCAGCTCCTTGGCTGTCTGGCATTCACGAGTATGCTTCGCAGACTTATTCCGTGCCTTCCATTCCAATCCCAATTCCACAGCCAGCCTCGTCGGATGCCGTCAGCGAGAAAGCCGCTGGGAAACGACGGGAGCTCATATCAGAAGGGCCACAAGCAACCACACCCACATTACCTGCAGCACCACCGGCATCGTCTTCGACACCGGCAACCTACCACGGCTGGCCGCCCGGCTCGCAGCAATTCGCAATCAACCTCCCGGCACCTCCAGCTCCTCCTACCGTCCGAGAACAAGCTCAAAGATCTCTAGTAATACTAGAAAAATTCGAAGGTCTCGAGCCAGTATCTTCCAAGCGGACCGCAAAATCAGCCACCATACCAGGAGCCGCCGCCACTGAAACAGCCAACGCTCTCATCCCCGATGCCTTCCCCGCCTTCAACGCCGACGAACTCCGTTATCTCCTCGCCAAACAGTCTACCCGCCGTGCCGCCGTCTCAAACATGCCCGCGCCGCCGGAGAAGCCGCATTGCTCTCTTATCCCTTCGAAGGTGGCGAGTTACCGTGATCCGAATACCGGGCTGCCGTACTTGGATCTGCAGTGTTATAAGATCATTCAGAGGGTGTTGGCGGGAGGCTGTCAGTGGAGTCCAGTTTTGGGGTGTTGGGTTGGCCCTAGCTATGGTGTTATGGGTAGGCCGGCCGTGGGAGTGCCTACAGGGTTTGGGGCACCGGGACCTAGGGTCGGTGGGGGCAATGCTGATGGTTGACAAGATATCCATCTACGCAAAAGGTGGGCATTGGCACGTCGGGGACGCTCGATGCTACCAGTAGGCGAGCTCTATTGGCGGGTTACTTTGAAGTATCTATCTTCGCGACCAGTACCAACCGACTGCCATCAGAGTCACAAGAGCAGGTATTACCTTACTACCAATCCTTACCGCCGCCCTCCTCAAGCTCTTGGCAATATATAGTTGAATCTTCTCCTGCACAATTTTCGTCTCATTGACCCTCGGAAACGGCACGTTAGGCACTTCCTTACCTAGAAACTTACACAATGGTTCCCAGCCATGCTCAAGATCAAACATCAACAGTTTATCTTCCGGCGCCAAACGCTTCACATTCTCATAGTGCTGCCTATAGGTCGCTCTTGCATTCTCCCTCCATTGATCGAAGAAATGCCCGTTATCCCAGAACGCCCTGGTGCCGTGCGGATAAGTGACGCCAAAGACATGCCAGGCCATAAGGTCTGTCTGCATCGCATACTGGCGCAAGAACTCCGGGCTCAGCACCGCCGCATACGGAATCGCCGGGCTCGCCGAACCCGCTATCACGGTCTCTGAGAAACTCTTATACCATTTCTCTTCGTCTCGCTCGACTAAGATGATCTTGGCTTCGGGATAGGCGAGTATGAGTTCCTCGGCGAAGACGAAGGCGGGTTGGTCTACGCAGGCGCTCCAGGAACCGAGGAGTTGGTCGAATTCTGCTCGGGTATAGGGGGATGAGGTGGTGGTTTCGGGGGCGAATTTAGCGCGCAGGGCGTCGGTCCACATTGCCATGTCGAGGGTGTTTTGCGCCATGGTTATGTTGTGCCAGGTTGGTATGCCTAGGATCTCTAGGGCGGCTTTGAGGGCTTGGGAAACATTTTTAGCTGCGATGTGGTGATGTTTGTGCTGTTGTGGACGGCATGTTGTGCTTACTCATTGTTCCTGTCCTCGACCATCCCAGTGATAGCACTTCCATTGGCACTGTACGAACCCGTTGTCGAGGGTCGTCATCGTGCTGGACGTAGATGTGCGAGTGCTGAACTGACTTCGATGCCATGTCTTTGGCACTGGCTTGTAATACATCTTAGCCAGAGTGACAGACGTACAAGGTCTATATACGTTGTTTTCTAATCGTCTGTAGCAGCGTGGTGCGGCTGAAGCCTGAGAGCATTGCTTGTGGAAAACAGCTAATATCGGACCCACTTGGATTCTAGGGCTGCCAGTTGTAAGTCGCCTTTGCACACGCTGTCACCATTATCTGATTGGACCGTGAGATGTTCGCGAACATAATCTTTGACGACATATATTGGTCAATATATCGTCGTTGTTTGACCTTGCTTTTCGGACCTGTTACATGATACTCGCAGGCAAAGACTATCGACACAGATTCTAAGCTGCACAAGGGTAGGGTCTTGTAGATCCCAATAGTATATTGGTGATAATGGCGAATGGAGGGCCATGACCGACCGATTCAATGTATTACTGAGTTGCTACGTTCGTTGGCCTTCCGAACACTGTAGAGAGCTTGCACATTTGCTTTGCGCTCAAGTAGACACTTTGTACACAACGCTTCACGTTGCCGTAGGGAACACGCGCTTCAGCAAGACGTTGCGACTACCGTCTCGTCTCGAGGACTTTAGTGTCTTAGTCAGCAAGCTCACAATGAAAAACGTAAGGACTTTGACCACAGCTTTCGTAGACGAAGGGGCGCTCTACTTCGAACGCCAAGCAGTCATTTGTTGCATGGGCGCGAATTGTTTGGTTTCGTCCCGTGCCACGAGTTCGCGCTCAACAAGTCAAGTTAGCATCGCTACCGTGAAGACGGCGACGGTATACTGCCATGGTCGAAGCTACGGACAGTCGATGAAGGTACATACGACCCAATAGTCTTCCAATGGCAGTGGAGCGGCGTGTCAATGATGGGATAGTCGTAGCGCTATCTCACGAGAATCTCCTCTAGGATCATGGAGACTACGCCATTGCTGAGCAGCGGTGTGATATGAGGATCGCACGATGCCCGTTAAACGACCATGCAACAAATGGAGGCAGTAATCCTTTGCACTTGGGTTGTACAGACATTACTGCGGCTTTGGGCGTTTCAAACTGTGCCGTCCGACTTACTCGCTATCGTCATATGTGAAATCCTTGCAATGCGTGTGCTGAGTCGTCACCAGGTCAGGAAGGCCAACGTCTTCAGATCATCTGGGACCCCAGTGTCACACAAGGAAAAACACTCCGCACAACACAATTGGTAGGTGAGAGAAGCATGATGGCCTGCGACATCAAGAGACTACTCTTGCAGCCGCTAATGGCCGGGGGTATATGACAGTATTCGCGGAAGACATATACGCAATGCCAAGGAATAGGACGCGAATGCCCATCGTGGCAAGAGAGCTTGTCAAGTATTGTAGCACAAGAGCGATGTGAAATCACCTATCGCTGCCACGGTTCACAAGGCATATCATCTGCACCCGCCGGGACTACTGAAGAGCCACACCCTCGCAGAGAAAGAACCTCAAGGACGACAGTTTCGGGCTTATAATGAGGAAGGCAGCATGGCTATGAGGCAGTTCCGTCCATGAGGCGACCAGGATTCAGGTCGTCATGGATGGCATGAGTTCGCATCCTGCAGAAGGCAGAGGATAGCGGTAGGTGTCGTCGTGGTAGAACCGCACACAGACCCTCCGACGGATGGCCCTGATTGATGATTGCAAACTCGCGAATCCGTAAACCATAGTCCGAATTAAGCATTGTACACCCGTCCACCCGGAACGTGGAAGATGCGGCTGCCGCACAGGACGAGTCAAGCGGATCGTACCTATCCGTTTACTCGACTCGTCCAAATATAAACCTTCTCTACAGCGTGGCAGGAGCTTGGCACTTCTGATGTCACCAGAGCTTCCGCTCTCCCACTCCATAGCGTGAACCTTCTTCACAGCAGACTTTCGGACGAGGTCGACACCGGCATCCGAAAAATGTCTCTCAGCCATAAGAATTGGTCGGCTCGGTTTCACAGCCAAACTTTTGACTTTTGCGTAATACTACAGCTATCAGAGTCGCCTGTGTAGTGTCTCTGCTCTGCATAACCAGGAATTATGCTTACCTCGGAAACAGGCCACTGGGCTTCTGTCGGCCATGTTGCACCTCAACCACCAATAATGAAAAGCTTCCGCGGAGAGAGGTCGAGAACTGGTGCGAAAGCCCAATGCTCAACGAAATCACATCCGTTCTGTTCCAGCTATGTCGTATGCCATGGCTTTCTGCTTACCTCAGAGTGTGGTGGCATTTGTGCAAGGTTATGGTTTGGCTGAGCGCGTTCTCATATAGCTGCTCTTCGTCCCTAAATGCGACTGGCGATCATTGTTCATAGACTTCTCGACTTTCAGCTGCAGTAGGCTGTCAGAAGCCGCAGCTTCTACTCTAGCAGCGAGTACTCAGTCAACATGACCTCACCTGCTGGAATCATCAGGACTTCTTCCGGACGACAAACATATGCACCTGATGGATTGACGAGCGACAATGGCTTGGACGAAAAGGCCGACATCAAGCCGCATCAAGACTCGACTGGTTCGCATGGCCTCAGCGATGACGACTCTCGCACGGAAGCCGGATACTTCGACGGGGAAGGTAAAGAAACCATCGAGAAGGCAGTGGATGGTGAGGATAGCTCCGAAAACGAGGATGGCATATTTGAGCCCATTCATCCTGGCGACGAAGCCACATTACGTCGATTGGCGACTCAATTGTCTCGAACACAGTCTTCAAGACATGCCCCGTCAAGACGCAGCAGCACTAACAACAGTGCGCTGGAGAGGAAAGATACACTGGCAGGACTTGAGCTTAACGACCCAGTATTCGACCCAAGCTCACCGAAGTTCGACCTCTACAAATATCTTCGGATGTTCATAAAGCTGAACGAGGATGAGAACATCAAGATCAAGCGTGCTGGCATAGTGTTCAAAGACGTCAATGTCAAAGGTACCGGCGCAGCACTCAATTTACAGAGTAATGTCGGGAGCTTGTTCATGTCGCCATTGCGATTCAAGGAGAACTTTAGCTTCGGCAGCAAGCCTTCGAAGCACATTCTACGGCAATTCAACGGGCTTCTCAGGAGCGGTGAGCTACTCATCGTTCTGGGCAGACCGGGTTCCGGCTGTAGCACATTCTTGAAGACGCTTTGTGGTGAGCTACATGGCCTGGAGCTTGATAAGAAGTCGACTGTCAACTACAATGGTATCCCTCAGAAACAGATGATGAAGGAGTTCTTTGGTGATGTTGTCTACAATCGTGCGTACTTTTCATTGAGAGGTTTTGACTCATTGCTGATTCTCGCTCATAGAGGAGGTCGACAAACACTTCCCACACTTGACCGTCGGCGAGACTCTGGAGCATGCTGCGGCATTGAGGACCCCAGACCGACGTCCACTCGACGTCACAAGGAAGCAGCTCGTCAAGCACATTGTACAAGTTGTGATGGCGGTTTATGGACTCTCGCATACATATAACACCAAAGTCGGCAATGACTTCGTTCGTGGGGTGTCCGGCGGTGAACGCAAACGTGTCAGTATTGCGGAGATGACACTTGCAGGTTCACCCATTGCTGCGTGGGACAACAGCACTCGAGGATTAGACAGCGCAACCGCACTTTCGTTTGTGAAAGCGCTGCGTCTGTCATCGAACATCGCTAGCGCTACCTATGCCGTTGCAATCTACCAGGCTAGTCAAGCTATCTACGACCTTTTCGATCGAGCAGTAGTGCTGTACGAAGGCAGACAGATATATTACGGCCCTGCTAAGCACGCAAAGATATACTTCGAGGAGATGGGCTGGTTCTGTCCACAACGACAAACAACTGGTGACTTTCTCACCAGCGTGACGAACCCATCTGAGCGACAAGCTCGCGACGGCTTCGAAAATAAGGTGCCACGGACACCAGACGAGTTCGAGGCGTACTGGCAGCGCAGCAAGGAGTTCGCAAATCTTCAGAAGGACATTCAGCAGTACGAGCAAGACTATCCTCATGGCAACGAGGGCGAGCTGCAAGGTCTACGAGAAGTGAAGAACGATCAGCAGGCCAAGCACGTTCGACCAAAATCGCCATATATGGTCAGCACCGGCATGCAAGTCAGTCTGAACGCCAAGAGAGCATATCATCGCATGATGAACGACAAGGCATCCACCTTCACTCCGGTCATAGGCAATATTATCATGTCCTTGATCATTGGTTCCGTGTTCTTCAACACTCCCGACGCAACAGCCGGTTTCCAGTCGAAAGGAGCTGTTCTGTTCTTTGCTGTGCTGCTGAACGCTTTATCCGCCATTGCTGAGATCAACAGCCTTTACTCGCAGAGACCCATTGTCGAAAAGCACAAATCGTATGCGTTCTATCATCCGTGGACTGAGGCTTTCGCTGGAATTGGCACGTCTTGCAGGAACTTACTCTCCCGGCCTTCGCTAACCCATCTGCAGTACTGGATATACCTATCAAATTCATGCAGGCCGTGTGCTTCAACGTGATACTATACTTCATGGCCGGACTCCGTCGAGAACCCTCGCAGTTCTTCATATTCTTCCTGATCGCCTTCGTCTCCACATTCGTTATGTCGGCAGTAAGTCTGGATGAAATCTCGCATGTGCATGAACTATCGACACTGACAAGTGCAATAGGTCTTCCGTACTTTGGCGGCTATCACGAAAACGATCTCCCAGGCCATGGCCTTGGCTGGAGTTCTGGTGCTTGCAATCGTGGTCTACACTGGCTTCACGATACCGGTGCCTTATATGCACCCATGGTTCTCCTGGATACGGTTCTTGAACCCAGGTATGTCTTGCAGCCACTTTTATCACTTTCAAACGTTCGCTACAAGACCTGGAGACAAATCCTCCATCGTCTTGGTACTATTGAAGCATTGAGATCTCGAAGCTAACCATGGACAGTTTTCTACGCCTTCGAGATCCTGATCGCAAACGAGTTCCATGGCAGGCAGTTTACCTGCTCACAATTTATACCTGGATACACGCCATTGCCTGGCAACTCGTTCATCTGCTCCTCGAAAGGCGCAATCGCTGGTGTGCGCACCGTCAGTGGCGACGATTATATCCAGGCATCTTACACCTACACCTACGCTCACGTCTGGCGCAATTTCGGCATTCTCCTTGCCTTCCTGATCGGCTTCCTTACGTTGTACTTCGTGGCAGTAGAGCTCAACTCGTCGACAAGCTCGACTGCAGAAGTCTTGGTGTTTCGTCGCGGTCACGTGCCCAAGTACATGCAAGAGAGTGACAAGAAAGCGGACGACGAAGAGCTCGCAGCGCCCGAGAAAGGTGTGGCGACGAAGGAAGAGGAAGGTAAAGACGACGTAAATGCCATCCCGCCCCAGACAGATATCTTCACATGGCGGAACGTCAAGTATGACATTGAGATCAAGGGCGAGCCACGAACACTACTGGACAACGTCTCTGGCTGGGTGAAACCGGGCACACTAACAGCTCTCATGGGTACATCTGGTGCTGGAAAGACTACTCTGCTTGATGTGAGTCTCCAATGAACGCACATTTCCAGATCTCGCTAATAGCGCTCCAGACACTTGCGCAACGTACGACGATGGGTGTAGTCACGGGCGACATGTTTGTCAACGGAAAGGAACTAGATGGTAGCTTCCAGCGCAAGACTGGTTATGGTGAGACACACTCCATCTAGTCTGGGCTTGACATGTGCTGACATGCAGTGAATAGTGCAACAACAAGATCTGCATCTGGAAACATCGACCGTACGAGAGTCGCTTCGCTTTTCAGCGATGCTTCGGCAGCCCAAGACGGTCAGCAAGAAGGAGAAATACGACTATGTCGAAGACGTTATTAAGATGCTCGGTATGGAAGACTTCGCGGAAGCGGTCGTGGGTGTTCCAGGCGAAGGACTTAACGTCGAGCAGCGCAAGTTGTTGACCATCGGTGTCGAGCTCGCTGCGAAGCCAAAGCTGTTGTTATTCTTGGACGAGCCGACATCTGGACTGGACTCCCAATCGTCATGGGCGATTTGCGCTTTCTTGCGCAAGCTCGCCGATAGTGGACAGGTCTGTTCTCATGCTGAAGATCGATTGCAACCCCACTGACTGACTGTGACATAGGCCGTGCTATGCACCATCCATCAGCCCTCCGCCATCCTATTTGAGCAATTCGATAGACTGCTGTTCCTTCGCAAAGGAGGTCAGACGGTCTACTTCGGCGACCTTGGCAAGAGCTCCCGGACTCTTCTTGATTATTTTGAGCAGAATGGTGCCAGAGCATGCGCGGAGGACGAGAACCCTGCTGAGTACATGCTCGAGATTGCGGCGAGCAAAGACATCGATTGGCATGAGACATGGAAATCGAGCTCCGAAGCTCAGGGCATTTTCGATGGCATTGATAAGATCCACGAAGAGACCGCACACATGGAGAACAAGGATGATGATCCTACTGCTCACAATGAGTTCGCGATGCCATTCACTACGCAGCTCTACGAGGTTACATACCGAGTCTTCCAGCAGTAAGTTCCCGCGGCTCAAGGTCGGCACTTGGCATATTATTAACACTTGGCAGGTACTGGCGTATGCCCTCCTACATCATGGCGAAGTTTTTGCTTGGTCTTGCCTCTGGATTGTTCATCGGGTTCTCCTTCTACAACGCTGATAACAGCCAGCAAGGCATGCAAAACGTCCTCTACGGCCTTTTCATGGTCAGCTCGATATTCAGCACCATTGTTCAGCAAATCATGCCGCTTTTCGTGACGCAGCGATCGCTCTACGAGGTTCGAGAACGACCGAGCAAGGCTTACTCCTGGAAAGCCTTCTTGTGCGCCAACATCATTGTTGAATGGCCATATCAAATGATTGTTGGGATTCTGGTTTTCGCTACGTTCTACTACCCCATCGTTGGCATCCAGGACTCCGAACGACAAGGCCTGGTCCTCGTACTCTGCATAGTGTTCTTCATCTACGCAGCGACGTTCGCACATTTATGTATCGCCGCTCTTCCGGATGCTCAGACGGCCGGTAGCATTGTCACCATCCTATTTGCTATGACTTTGATCTTCAACGGTGTTATGCAATCTCCCTCAGCACTCCCTGGCTTCTGGATCTTCATGTATCGGGTATCCCCTCTTACATACTGGGTTGGAGGTATGGCAGATGCGATGCTTTACGGCCGTCCGGTGCAGTGCTCCAGCGATGAGACTAGTGTTTTCAACCCCCCAAGCGGCCAGACCTGCGGCTCATACATGGCGGCATATCTGACCCAAGCACCTGGTACGCTCCAGAACCCGGACGCAACGTCAGACTGCCAATACTGCGCTCTACGCTCTGCCAACCAATTCCTGGCCGGTGTCAATATATCCTGGGCGGACAGATGGCGTGACTTTGGCCTGATGTGGGTGTACGTTGGGTTCAACGTCATGGGCGTCATCTTCTTGTACTGGTACTTCCGCGTCCGCAAATCGAGCGGCAAGAAGTCCGTCGGTTTCCGTGGCAGGATGGGCCAGCTCAAGCAAAGCTTCGACAACATCTACAAGACCAGGGCCAAGGTCAACAAGAGCAACGCGCAGGTGTTCTGATCTTCTGCTGTTACATCTTCCTCTTTCTAGCATTTGGTCTTAGCCTTGGGTTCTAGCGTTCGACTTTAGCGTTCGACCCTGATAGTTTAATGATGATTTCGAAACATTAAATACCCGATATTTCCCATCGACACATCGCCTCTGCGTTCCATCGAGCAGGAAACGTCGTCGCTAGACGAGCAGGTGTCCTGCAGCTTGTACATGCACGTATCCTTAGCCTCAACAGAGGCCAACAATGGTAGCTCGTTCAGCCTTTTCTAGCCTGAAGTCATGGACCGCGTAGTAAGCCCTCGCTGCGAGACTCTACGGTGAGACGTGTAACTGTGACTTTGTGCGCATCCCGAGAGGTTGACTCGCCTCGACATGTTTATGACCGTGCTGATCTGGGCTTATAGAGTAGCACCCACCTCTCATGCTGGCGACGGTGGCAACCTTGACGGACAGTCTGAGTTCCTTCGGTCCATGCGTAGAGCTTTTGTTGCTGACGGCGACAGAGATATTCTGCCAGAGATGTGCCAGAAATCATACCCAAGATAGCGTAGCGCTTAGGCTTCGAAGCCGTTCACAGCCCTCCTTGTATAGCGAAGGAGGCGAGGATCAGAGCCAGAGCATTGATGATTCCCCAAGACAGCGGTACCCAGGTCGACATCCGAAAGTAACCCACCGTGTAGACGCCACCAAGTCTGAATGACACTATTAGCACTGCCTAAGTTCCAATACGGTCGCCAACTCACAGTCCACCAACAACATTGCCAGCAATCAATGCTTCGACGCCCCCAATAAGCAAATATAGGATGGGCACGATCCAGATGACTTTCCAATTCTTGGTCTGCATTACCACGGCATAGCCGGCGGCAGCCATGTGTACGCCGACTACGCAGATCAGTGTCCAGTATAATGTAAAGCGCCACATAGACGTGGCATCATACAAGTAGGCAGTCTGTGTTCCGCTGATGGGGAAGGGCCAGTAGAGTGATGGGAAGGGTGGCGGCGTGTAGCCTACCGGTTTGCCATTTACTACGATCTTCAGGAATGTGTCACTGTGATAATGTTAGATTGTTGGTCTGGATTCTAGCATTCTGAAACGTATATTGAGCGTACCTCATCTTGTGCGACTGCACAGGCTATGGCCAAGATTTTTCTTTCGTCAATGTCTCAATGTTGGCCGACTTTGGCCAGAGAGGGTGTGGTCATTGGCATCTATGCAGCTTTTGGCGACAGCTGAGTCGTTGAATCTGTTCGTACTGCAGGAGTTATTGTGGAAGGAAGACAGGAAAGATGGTCGTGATTAGGTTGCTCCGATGCTGGGCGTCCGTGCACATCGCGGCTGCCGAGCGATTCCTCACTTCATGTAGTGCCGTCGACCGTCCTACAGCGTACGTTATGCACATCAGATCATCATCCATGCTTAAACCCATACTGCACAATCACGAAATCGTCGCGACAAGAAAACATGCCGGCTGACCGCTTGCTTGGTACTCTATTAAGATCCCTTCAGACATATACCGACCAACAGGATACGCCGAGGTACGTTGCGACCTGGTGAGACTGTTGCAGTACTTGCTATTGACCCTTCTCATAGACTCTTAGGCACAACAGCATCTCTTCTGACGACTCTAAACAACCCTCTCAATGTCACGCTACTGACAAGCCAACTACTGTCCGCACCTGCGATATGGGCCTACCCGGAGGGGCTACGAACCTGCATGCGATGTCTCAGTGTATTCCACTCTGCAGCACAAGCACTTCTCAAGCACGAGGCTTCACCACGCGACCGTACCGCTGATCAAGACTTCACGCAACTTCAGCTTGAACGTACTTTACCGAAGGATGAATGGATTCGAGCTGTAGTAAGTGGTGCGGACGAGCACTCGCCCAGATGGCGGCACGTGCTAGTCTTAGGCGGCCTGTTGTTAGGTTTTGGTCCACGAGAGGACGAATCACTTTCGCGCAGCATGCGAGCGACGCTGGAGACTGGCTTTGTGACGGCTGTGAATGCATCGCTGCAGGAATTTGAGCCTGGAGATGAGCTAGGTCAGCAAGCTGTGACTGCCATCGTCAATCACTGCTTTCCTCTTCTCAGGGATCATGAGAGAGCGCAGCTAGACTACGATGTCCTATGTCCGGCCCTTGTGCAAGCATGGCTCCACTCGTCGGAAGGGTTGCAATCTGCGTACTTCCTAGGTGCCATTGATGTGGATGTACGGCCAGCCTCAAACACGCAATTTCGGTGGCCAGAAAGTTCGAGGTCCTTCCAGCTCATCCAGGCTATGCTTTCCAGTCCACTAATAGGCTCTCTTGGACCGCTAGCACGGCTCGTTGGACATGCTGTCGAGAATGTCCGGGATCCTAGCATCGTGCTAGCAACCATGACAGAATTCGAAAGCTTCTCGAGGAGTTTATACATGCAGTGGCGGCAGATCAAGCTCTCGGAGATCGATGCCTCTGAGGAAGCTGTGTATCTTACGCCTGAAAGTCTGGAGAGGACAGTACCTGCACTTTGGAAGCTATTTCGGTCAACACTTTATGCAGTCGTCATCATCCTTAGGAGTATCATAGGTCGCATGCTTGGAGACAGCAGGCTAGGGGCAGACAATGGTATGTTGCCCGATTTAACAGGATTACGTCTAACTAACGCACATCCAGCCGCCCCTCGACTCGTAGCACAAGCTCTGCATACTCTACGATACCTGTCCTTCATCTCTTCGCGAGCAGGATCCTCCGCATTCTCGCAATACACATTCGTCTACTTGACTGCAATGGACATTCTTGCGACATACCCACAGGAGGCAGAGGCTTTCTTGCAAGCCATAAGACCAGGAGAGCTCAGTACTATTCCACGACATCCACTGGAACGAAGCCTTGACCTCTTCTTCTTGAACACTGCGGAGCACTTCACATTAGTTCTGCCCCAACGCTTGAGTGAAGAGCTTGTCTTGGCAGCAGCTACTCCCTATCTCGCACCTGATTGTAACAATAATCTTCTTCCAATCTTCGAAGCAGCGCACAGTCTTATACTGGCGGCCTTTTCCGCGCCACAGAATACAGCTCTGACTGCGAAGCACCTGCCTTTCTACGTCGAAGCACTTTTCAGAGTCTTCCCAAGCAATCTTTCCATGAGGCAATTCCGACTTGCTTTCAAGACTTTGGTACGGTTGACCGCACCTCCGTCTCCTCTCTCCGCGACTCAGCCTATGCTGCCGGTCATATTACTGGATCTGCTGCATGAAAGAGCAATTCATGCATCGCAGGTTCCGCTCTTCCCGGAAGCAACGTCTACGGCACCAGATGGTCCGCCGGAGGCACTGATGGAGCTCTCAGAGCAGACCGTCCTGACTCTGACTATCATCGACACCCTGACACATCTGCCTCTGGAATTACTAAAGGAGTGGCTGCCACTCACGGCTGAGATGGTCAATCGAGTTGATGACTTCGGCATGCGAGAACACTGCAAGGAACATTTCTGGGCTCTGTTAGTCGGCGGCGAGATGGACCCAGATCAAAGCCAGCTTTGTGCTGGATGGTGGAGCACGGCTGGCGGTAAGGAGCTGCTTTTATATGGACAGGAGAACCACGAGTCGGACAAATATACCATGAGCGGGGCATTGCCCAGTTCTGATGACAGCAAGCTGTGACTGGGCTTGCCAAGATACACGGATCGTTGTTTGAATCTAGAGCGCCGGTCACATAATTTTTCAACGGACCGAACGGTACTGCTGCCCCTAAGCACTATCATTTCGCAAACATACACATTCTACGTCTTGACTAATGGCAAAGTGAACGGCTCGACGGGTAGACGGCTCTTCTCGTTCCATGCCTACCCCGCAAAGACCAAGCTAAACCTCACGAGTGGGCGTGCGCGAAGCTTGTCTCCTGGATGATCATCCACATCGACTCCACCTCCAGACGTCTCTATCCATCCTTTGCCCGCACTGATTTGTACACATCCGGCCATGGTTAGGACGAAAGTGGCAGGTAGGATGTGCACTGCTGCAACTCATCGCAGATGATTTGCTCAAGGGACGGGACGAGTACCTGGCTAGCAATGCACATCAGCTTCGGGTCATGCATCGATTAATGGTGATGGCTAGACAAACGTGCCGATCGATGCACTCCCTCATGGTGTGTCTTATGATCTCGAGTATCGCTTTATGGCTTTTCTTGTAGGTGCACCTTCCTGTCTTTCTCATCTCAATCTGCTGCGGACGCAGTCAAGGAAACATCTTCATCTGCTCGGGCTTGATCACAGTCCAGATAATCGATCTCCACCATGCATTCAGCCTCGTACCTGGTATCAGTACTGGCAGCCGTTACATCTGTAACCAGCCAGCATGTTCATTTTGATATCCCGGAGGTTGAGGGCTTCGTCGCTTCTCAGCTTGAACGTTTCGGGCAGTATGCTATGACCGACGACGACAGACTATTTGAACACACGCTGACGTTGATAGGTGGACACACTACCCAGGCCCATCACCGACATACTGGCACCACCCGTCGCCGAGCCCGACAAAGCCTGCTCCATCACCCACGAACACTTGTGACTATTGGCTAGAAGACATAAAACACCAAGGTATCGCCGCCTTCAACCCCGATCCGAGTGGCTATCAGGTGTTCAGGAATGTCAAGGACTTTGGTGCAAAAGGAGATGGAGTCACAGACGACACTGCTGCGATCAACAATGCCATATCAAGTGGTGGCAGACTCGGACCAGCACAAGGAGGCTCAACGACGGTCACACCAGCCATTGTATACTTCCCCCAGGGTGTATATATGATCAACGCAAGCATCATCGACTACTATTATACCCAGATCATAGGCAATCCGAACTGCCTCCCAACCATTCGTGCCTTTGCTACATTTACTGGCGGCCTTGGACTCATCGACGGCGACCAGTATGGTGCCAATGGTCTTGGCTTTGGTGCTACCAATGTGTTCTGGCGCCAGATCAGAAATTTTATCATTGACATGACATTGGTGAGATGATCTCATTTCGTGAGTACAAGCTTCGCCATTGCTTACAACCTTACCAGATCCCCGGGTCAAGTGCGGTTACAGGCATACACTGGCCGACAGCACAAGCGACCAGCCTGCAGAACATCGTGTTCCAGATGAATAGTGATGTTGGGACACAGCATCAGGGCATCTTCATCGAATCAGGCTCGGGAGGCTTCATGAACGATCTCATCTTTTACGGTGGTCTCAATGGCGCGACCTTTGGCAATCAGCAGTTCACAATGCGCAATCTGACATTTTATAATGCCGTGACCGCCATCAACCAAATGTGAGTACATCCGTATGTTCGAGAGAAATATGAGCTGATCAATCTCGATAGCTGGGACTGGACATGGCTGTACCAGAACATCAACATCTACAACTGCTCTGTGGGTTTGAACATGAGCTCTGGTGGGAGCACTGCACAGTCCGTGGGCTCTGTCACTTTGATCGACAGCAGCATCAGCAACACCCAAGTTGGCATACTGTCCGCCCATGGACCTAATTCACAGCCACCGACTGCGGGTTCACTAGTGCTAGAGAACGTCGTGTTCAATAACGTGGGCACCGTGCTGATCGACAACTTCCCCAACAATAACACAGCTATCGCAGGTGGCAGTCTCACCGTCTCCGGATACGCACAAGGCCATGCCTACACACCTAACGGCCCAAACAACATCCAGGGTACCATCACCCCAGACCCTCGTCCCCAGTCGTTGTTGCAAGGCAATGGCAAATACTACGAGCGCTCGAAGCCCCAGTACGAGAAATACAGCGTCAATCAAATCCTGTCTGCTCGCAGCTTTGGCGCCACTGGCAACGGCCACACCGATGATACCGCAGCGCTCCAGCTTGCCATATCTGCCGCCAAGTTCCAGGGCAAGGTCCTGTTCGTCGACCAAGGCGACTACTTGGTGACGAGCACGATTTACATTCCAGCTGGTTCCAAAATTGTCGGAGAGAGCTACAGTGTGATCTTATCTCACGGACCCTTCTTCAACAATATCAACCTCCCACAGCCTGTCGTCCGGATCGGCCTACCCGGTGAAAGCGGCTCAATCGAATGGAGCGACATGATCGTCTCGACACAAGGTCAGCAGCGAGGCGCCGTCTTGTTCGAATACAACCTCAATTCACCCTCCAGCTCCCCTTCAGGACTCTGGGACGTCCATGCTCGCGTTGGTGGATTTGCGGGCTCGAATTTGCAGTTCGCACAGTGTCCTACTACACCTGATGTTAATGTTACGTCTACGAACCTCAACCAGAATTGCATTGCTGCTTTCATGACGATGCACCTCACCAAGCAGTCTGCTGGCTTGTACCTTGAGAATGTTTGGTATGACATCTTTGGTTCAATGCAACTACTGTCAAGCTATGCTAATAGATTGATAGTAAGTTATGAACCCTCGAGCCCGAGTAGCACGCCTTCTTCCTTCGATACTCCTATCTCGTGCTAGGAAGAGTCCAGAATAAGAAGACATGGGATCACACCCCAAGGTGACTGGCTCTTACATTACAGGATCAGCTAACGTGTCCCTCATCTTTTAGGGCTTTGGGTAGCGGACCATGATGTCGAAGACCCGCAACTACGGCAAATCACCATATACGCTGGCCGAGGCTTGCTGGACGAGAGCTCCGGTGGCAATATCTGGATGGTCGGCACGGCGGTGGAGCATCACACACTGTACCAATACCAGTTCGCCAACACCCAGAACCTGTTTGCTGGCGTGGTAAGTCAAAGCTACTGCTCCGCACTTCATCCTTCATTGACTAATGACATCAACAGATCCAGACAGAAACACCCTACTACCAACCCAACCCCAGCGCGCCCATCCCCTGGCCCTACGTCGCCAGCCTAAACGACCCGCGATTTCCGAACCCAACAGCCACAGACGGCAACCTCACCATCCCCAACGCAGACGCCTGGGGCCTCCGCATCGTCAACAGCAAAGCTCTGAATTTCTACGGAGCCGGTCTCTACAGTTTCTTCGACAACTACAGCACCACGTGCAGTAACCAGGGCAACGGTGAAGTATGCCAGAATCGGATCTTTGAGGTCGTCAAGTCTAGTGGTGTTGATGTGTATAATCTGAATACTGTGGGCACGCATTATATGATTGAGGCGGATGGGAAGAATGTTGCGTACTATGGGGATAATCTGGATGGGTTTGTGGACACGATTGTTTTGTATAGGGATTAGTGGTAGTGTATATGAGTGTGTAGGTAGAGTCTACCACTACAGCTCATTATTTCAGCAAGAAGCTTTGTGACTAAGCTCTCTCCAATGCAAGCCGAGATCCGCCCCGACGTCATCTTGCAGCAGCTATCGCGTGCAAAGAGGCACGAAACAAGCAGCTGGAGCTCTTCGGGACGGAGTGCGGCGGAAACGATGGAACTGTGTACCAGCCTTCTTCACAGGCACACTTTTGCTCCTACATCTGCTCTCATACCACTCCTCTCCCACTCTCAGCTGTTTCTGTGTGCCATTGGCATTGTGTGTGCGAGATAGCCAGACGAAGAGACACAGCAGAGCATATCCCACCACCACCACAACCATGTCTTCAGCCAAACCCCAAGCACCCGGCGCGGTAACACCAGCCCGCAAAATCGAGCTCTTCTCCGGCACCTACTTCGCCGCCTGCACACTAGGTGGTATCATAGGTACTAACCCTCCCCTCCCCTCCCCTCCCCTCACTCCACTCCTCCAACCACAATCTAACACCCTGTTCCTCCTCCCAGCCTGCGGCCCAACCCACACCTCCGTCACCCCTCTCGACCTCGTGAAATGCCGACGCCAAGTCGACCCTAAAATCTACTCCTCCAACATCCAAGCCTGGCGCAGCATCTATTCGGCCGAAGGCCTCCGCGGTGTCTTCTTCGGCTGGGCCCCAACGCTCGTAGGCTACTCGTTCCAAGGCGCGGGAAAGTACGGCGCCTACGAAGTCTTCAAGTACTACTACGGCGAGAAGCTCTTCCCGAACAGCCCCAAGACGATCGTCTACCTAGGAGCGAGCGCAACAGCCGAGTTCATCGCCGATCTATTCCTCTGTCCCTTCGAAGCGATCAAAGTCCGCATGCAAACCACCCTCCCACCCTACGCGTCAAACCTCCGCGAAGGCTGGAGCAAAATCGTCGCGCAGGAAGGCTTCGGCGGCCTATACAAAGGCCTCTATCCATTATGGGCACGCCAAATACCATATACAATGGTGAAATTCGCGACCTTCGAGTCCGCCGTCGCGCAGATCTACTCCACCCTCGGCAAACCAAAGGAATCGTACAACACGCTGCAACAGACCGGTGTCTCGTTCCTCGGAGGCTACATTGCCGGGATCGGGTGCGCGGTCGTGTCGCACCCGGCGGACGTGATGGTGAGTAAATTGAATGCGGACCGGAAGGCTGGCGAGGGGGCGGGACAGGCGATTGGGAGGATCTATAGGAATATTGGGTTTTCGGGGTTGTGGAATGGGTTGGGGACGAGGATTGCGATGATTGGGACGCTTACGGCGTTTCAATGGCTGATTTATGATTCGTTCAAGGTGTACTTGGGTGTAAGTGATTTTTTCAATTATCATGGGATTGCTTTCGTTGCTGACTTGTATGACTTCCAGCTTCCCACTACAGGTGGACACTAGACGGTCATCCACCGTACACCCTCTTATGTACATGCCTCGGGGACTTTTATTTGCAAATATAGCTCGGCAAGGCGTTCAGGACACAAATGCAAGGACATGGACACTCCCTCACGACAGGGAACAATCATGTTCCAGTAATCTTGTAAGTACGTGGATAGAGAGACAAACAGCGATAAATTGCAATGCGATGGACAAGAAATTCCTCACATCCTTGTGCTTCATGCTCATGCTTCTGCTCTAAACATATGCGGGCGGCTCATAAACGTGCCTGCTCGCCAACAAACTCGTCCCTGCCCGACATTGCAAAATCATATCCGTCGCGGGTAGTTTCATACCCACGATGGCAACACCCCTCCCAACCAAAGCAGACTCCTGAACGCCAGCCACCTTCCCACATAGATCGCCAAACAGGAAACAGAAAATCACATGTGCAACATCGCATTCCATCGCCTCATCTCAAATGACATCGTCAAGCATCCTTCTCGGCCTCCCGACACACGAAGCTCCTCTTGTTTCCCGACACGCTGCCCAAGACGACCGGACAGCGCCCCCCCGGCGATCAGACGCGGATATCCCAGTGTCCTTCTGCCGGGTCTCGAACCACCTCTTGTTTCTTCTGGCCTCTAACTTGTAACTGCCGCTTAAGTCACGCGATCATGTCGACCTGCTTATCAAATTTCATGTCCCGTCATGCTCACCAGCACGCTCATACCTCTCATCACCCATATTCGACTCACCCCAACCTTGTTCCCGCCCATCATTCTCGTAAACATCCCTCATAACCGCATCCTCCTGCCCGCTCGCCACTTTCCTCGAATTCTCCTCGTGGATCTCCTCAACAAGCCGTCTTCCTTCGTCCGAATACCCATACGAGGGTCTCTCACCATAAGCCGGATCCTCATACGGTGCGATGACAGGGGGTGGGGGGCTGGCAGCCACGGTCCTGTAAGCAGCGGAGGAGGAAGAAGGGATCGGGGAGGATGAGAGCAGACTACTATGGCGAGGTGAAGCGGCGGGGGTGGAGGTACCGGATTGTTGGTGGTGGTGGTCGTCGAGAGGAGGGGCGAAAGACCAGACCTATATGTAAGCACGAAACATTAGCACAAATTTCTGTCCGTCTCGAACATCGGACCACACCAGCGGATGAACGGTTGTTTGTTGGTAAGGCGGACTCACCTCCATGACAGTCTTGCCCCCCCTACTAGCAAGCACAACCGCCTTCTCCTCCTCAAACACCACCCTCCAGACCGCCTCAGCCGGACTCCCCAGTTCCCTAACCAAACTCCCCCTCGCCAAATCCCACACTTTCACCCTGCCATCACTACCCCCGGACACGATCCTCCCATCATCGAATTGCAGCGAAGTAACACTGTTATCGTGCGCCGCGAGCCTATGAACAGCGGAGAAAGTGTTCAAACTCCAGACGCGCACGGAGCCGTCTGAACCTCCTGTCACGAGAGTGTTATCTCTAAGTTGTAGTTGGCCGACAAGGGAAGTATGGCCCTGGAGCTGGGCGAGGCAGCGGCCGGTATGGGGGTCCCAGACGCGGACAGAAGTATCCAAGGACCCCGTAGCGACGCGGCGGCCATCAAACGCCACAGCATAGATTTGGCTGAAATGCCCCTGTAGCGTCCTCAAACACCTTCCCTCGGAAATCGACCAGATCCTAGCCGTCGTATCATACGATCCCGACACGACCAAATCGCCATGAATCTCCAAACACCTGACACTCGCTTGATGGCCGATGAGGACATGTTTACAAACCCCGCGTCGAATATCCCACACCCTGAGCGTCGTGTCCCTCGACCCGGAGATGGCGATGTCCTTGCCGCTCATCTTGAGACAGCGGACAGTACTCGTATGGCCCCTAAGCATATGCGTCGCCATCCCCGTCGTGAGATCCCAAACTCGGACGTCCCGGTCGCAACCACCGGAGACTAGGGTATCGCCACAGGGCACCATGGCCCAGACGCCCATGACGTGGCCTTGGAGACAGCGTAAGTGGTGGCCTTGGGTGTCGAAGACGTGGATCTTGGCGTTGTCTAGAGCCACGATGATGTAGGAGGGCGTGAGGTGGAGCGAGGTTACTACGCCCTGGTCCGGGGTGATTTGCTTCGTGGAGACGATGCCGCCGTGGCGCCAGGCGGTCTCGACTTGGTAGCGTTGTTTGAAGTGGGAGCGGTAGGAGATGGGTTTTTGGTGGAGGCCTTTTCGGCGGGTGGAGGAGGCGGAGCGGGTGCTGAGGGTTGGAGGCAGGATGGCGGAGGGGTTTGTGTTGAGGCTTGTGCGGCGGGTGAGGTCTGGGGCGCTGGAGGAGAGGGTGGCGACGAGGGAGTTGGAGGCGTGGTGGAAGGGTTGTTGGGGATTGTAGCCGTAGGGTGAGTTGTATGATTGGCCATTGTGGCTAGATCCAGATTGTGCGCCCGGAATTGGTCGCGCACCGCTGCTTGTTGGACTTTCGTCTGAGAGGCGTCGGTAGGCGTGTCTTTCGCATAAGCTCTTCCAGGCCATGTCGTCGCTGACCAGTTCCCTCCACCGTCTACTAACTTGCGAACTCCTCGCCAACGACGTCGCATCCATGATGAACGTCAAGATCCTCAGACATAGCTCATTCGGCAAAACGCTGAAGGGATCACGTTTCAGTCTCGGCCCGACAAAGTTCGCGACGAAACCTAGCAGTTTGCCATCACACATATTCAGCAGCTCGGACAACATCCGCTGCCGCTCGTCATTGTCCATATCGGCAAACATGGCGCGCATATGCCGATAGCCGAACCCATAGCCACGAGCTGAGCCGGTGCTCGTCTGCTGCGAGGCATCCGCATGACCGTCATCGAGCTCGATATCACCCATATCCTCGCTCGGGTCGGCGGTACTCCAGTCCGGACCACGATGCATCGGGGTCGGAGAAGGCGCAGGCGTCGGCGGACTTGCAGGCGCAGAGGGTAGAGTATTGCCGGGTATGACATTAGGATTTGCTGGGATCGCAATCGGCATGGTGGGTACGCTTATCATGGATGAGCTGGGCGTGGTTGTAATCGGGCCTGGCCGAGGTCGAGTATGATGGGCTGCTGCTTTGCCATGTCGGGATGTGTAGAAGCTGCGGTTGTTGTGGGATTGCGAAGGCACGCGAGTAAGAGGGGCATGTTGCTCGTCGTTGATCGGGGATGTGTAGTCCATGATACTGCTGCTCGGGCGTCTACGGCTCCAGTCTTCGTCCATGGTGGTGTCGCTTGTCGTCTACACCGGATGCAACTACGTGTATAACTCGGCTTATGCTATAATAGGCGTGAACAGCGGCAATCGAGCACAAGCTGCGCAGATCCAGTGACTGGGCGGTAAGAGTAGCAGGACCTTCAATCGCCTGACCGCACTCTATATCTCAAGCCTTCTTCCTCCTCAAAGACCAGACGAAGCCAATACACTCTCTCCACACGATCCCTTCACACGACAAGTCCAGACCTCGCGAAGTGCCAGCCCTATGTACCTCCCTTCCCCAAGCACTCGTCAACACATGCTTGCCACAGAAGTCCCAACTCTTAACCCAATATACCGACCGTCACACCAACGAACAGCCCAGGTCAAGCCAAGCGATAGCTCCAGAAGCGTTCTCACCCCACTGATCTACCGTCCTTCTTTGTTCTCCTAAAAGCCCAATCAAGAGGGAAGAGGGAGAAAGCCGGGGACTTGGGCACTGTTTCGCAAACACAGCAGCTGGAATGGCTCACGTGGCGGTGATATCAGCAGCAGAGGGAAACAAAAGGACGCTGTACAGTAATCGTATAGTATCGTGTAGAATCGTGTGGTGTGGCAGAGGAATGGCGCAAGAGGTGTGTAGGTCATCAGTTACCCGCCCACGCTCACGCCCTCGCCCTGAACCCAAAAGAGCCCCGGCTGATCTGCAGAGCCATCATCCCAGGCCCGCATCCGCAGCCGAGATTCTGCCTTTCTTGCTTCTACATATATCGACCATATATACAGTGCACCACTGCATAACACAACTTCCACAGTGAGCAGCCTCCACGTCTAGACGTGTCGCATGCTCGGGCAGTCCTCCTCGCACAAAAGCCTCATGCCTGATCAGATCGAGACGCCCCCCATCGCCACCTTTGTCAGCGCTGGAAACAGATAGACGGTAGACACTCGAGGCCCTGCAGCGGCACTCTTTGAACTCTATCATTTCTACCGGGAGAAGCGTATACATGTAAAGCACACCTTTTTGACATCCAGCAGGAGAAATCTTCACGTTGTACATCGGGATCGACGAACACTCAATCGTCCTTGTATCGCCATCTTCCCGGTGATCGGACGATGCTTCAAGCAGTAGATCCATACTCAGGGAGCCTCTCTTACCACTGAATGAGCACAGTCAGACCTTGAATGAAGGAGGGAAGGGTTGATGCTGAAGTAGATCGCAGTAGTACAATGCTCCTACCACAAGCAGCAGCAGCAACAACACAAGCAAGTAGATGCACCCGCAAGCAAGCAAAGCAACGCCACGCCTTTCGCTGAATTAAAGGACGGTACGGTACACAAACTCCTTCCTCTCACTTCATATCTGCCTACCACCTCCCCTCTCATCACCCTCCACCCCTGCTCCCTCTTCCTCCCGACTAGATCTAAGCACTCGTAGCCGGCGCATCCGGGACCTGCACCGGCCTCTCAGGATAATAAAAGTTCTCCTCCGGCGTCCTGCCCCTCAAAAACTGCGGCTCGGAACCCCTAACATAAATATCCTCAAACAACACCTCGGGCGTCGCATCCGGAGCCTCCATCTTCTCCGCGATCGCCACCTCCTCATCCACGTGCGCGCGCGCCTGCTTATCCATCTCCTTCAGGTCCTGCTCGGAGGCTACGTCCCACTCGAGCAACTTCTGCTTGATGCCGGCGATGGGGTCGTTGGTGCTTCGCATGCGCTGGATCTCCTCGCGGGTGCGGTAGGTGGTGCCGGGGTCGGACATGGAGTGGCCTCCGTAGCGGTAGGTGACGAATTCGTAAACCAGAGGACCCTTGCCGGCGGCACACCATTCTTTGCCGTATTGGACGGCGGCTTTGACGGCGAGGACGTCCATGCCGTTGATTTTGAGGCCGGGGATGTATTGGCCGCGTTTGTAGTAGTCGGTCAGGGCGGAGGAGCGGTTAGCTGCTGTGCCCATGCCGTACTTGTTGTCTGTAAGATGATATATTAGCAGTGTTCATAGTTCCGTGAGTTGGGTAGGACTCACTCTCGCAAGCGAAGATGACAGGGATATTCCATAGCTTAGCCATGTTGAAAGCCTCAAACACCTGTCCCTGGTTGGAAGCACCATCGCCATAAAGCGACACGGTCACGTTCTTCTTGCCCATATACTGGTTCGCAAAGGCAATACCCGCACCGACCGGCACCTGAGCACCAACGATACCATTCCCACCGTAAAACCCAGTAGAGAACATGTGCATACTTCCACCCTTGCCATACGCAATCCCTTCCCTCCTTCCAAGCAACTCGCCAATAATACTCCTCACACTGCCACCCCTCATCATAGCGAACCCGTGACATCGGTACGCAGTAATGATATTATCGCTCTTCTCAATCGCGTGCTCCATCCCCACCGCCACGGCTTCTTGACCGGTGGACAGATGGCAGAATCCGCGAATCTTCTTCTCCTTGTACAGACGATCGGCGGCCATCTCCATCCGGCGGACGGCAACCATGTCGTAGTACATCTGTTTGAGCTCATTCTTGGTGGTGTCGAGGGTGTTAGGGGGTGGGTCGAGCTCGTATGTTTCGAAGGCTTCGTCGGAAAGTTTGACCTGGAAGGGTTGGTCGTCGGCCTGGACAGGAAAGTGTTAGTATGGTAGATGGAGCTTGAGTATTATTGAGGGCATACATCAGGGATATCGCTCTTCTCAGCATGTGTGCTGGCGGCATCTGTGGTAACCGTTCTCCTCACCACAGCTGGGCTGAAAGCTGCTCGGAGGGGAGCATTGCATCGCACTGGCGCGAGGAACGCACGAGGCGCGAATCTGGACAGCATCCTTCGCAATCACACCTGCACACAATTCGAGGTCAAATGAGTGTGGATGAAGCGAAGAGGTGATAGGCTGGGTGGAGAGATGGCAATGTCAGAAATGTTATCGTCGAGCTCACTCACGCTCCTCTGTTGAGAGCAACGCACTTTCCCTAGAAGCTCCGAAGGTCTGTGCACGGGATCGTGTGAGATGTCCGGGCGGGCCGACTCTGAATTTAGCTCAGCTCAGGCATTATTGGACTTCACTTCCGCGAGTTGTGACATACATGCATGGACAGTTCCTCCATTGATGTCACAAGTTCTGTGCCTCTGGTGGCTTCGAGTCTCGAGCTGGGACAAGTAATATGTACGCTTATAAGCCTATGAACCCAGGCGAAGTTGCATATCCTGCACGACCACTCCGCCATCAAGGCTGCCCCACCACGAAAGGACATGCTAGATATGTGTTGATACGCCGTTGTTGTCGTCTGTACGACTGCTCTCAGGAAGAACTTTCGGGCTGTCCTCATTGACGGCCACTATGGTAGCTACTAACACTCACTTCTCATACTCACCGCTCGATACCTCACAACGTCAATTCCGCCTGGTCCGCCTCCTTCCCGGTGGCAGCGAGAACAAGGTGAAAGCAGAACTGGCCTCGTTCTCCCTCGACGCAGAAGTCTCATACATCGCCCTATCATACCGCTGGGGTGCACCAACGCCACTCTATAAGATCCAGCTCAATGGCCAACCATTCGACATACAGCCGAACCTTCATGAGTTCCTGCAGTACGTCCGAGTCGACAAGAGCACGGATTGGTACTTTATAGATGCCATCTGTATCAACCAGAACGACGCTGCTGAAAGGAGCAGCCAGGTTCGTCTCATGGGTAAGGTCTATAGTTCTGCCCATTCCGTCACGGCCTGGCTGAGCGATGCCACGGATCGCAAGTTCCGAAGAAGAATGGACACCTTCATCGACACTTATGGTACGGATGAGAAGATACAAGCTTCTCGAGAGGCCTTCGAGAACGAGATCGTGGCCATAGTCTGGTCCTGCATCTACTGGACCCGCCTCTGGATCATCCAGGAGCTGGTGCTCGCCAAGCGGATCGTGGTACAGCTCGAACACTATCGTCTCACTTGGGTTGCGCTAGTAAGCGGTATGCGCTCTTTCTTCGCCCGAGAAGTTGGAGATCCGACGCTATGGATGACGAACGAGTGGTACCCTCTTAGCAACTCCAATCGAAATGCCCGGGTCATGCTTGGGATCATGGAGATCAGACGGCAACGAGCTGCAGTACTTTTACCTCATGCGATGATCATGTTTGGGCAGCAGGGTAGTGCGGTCTTGCATGATAAGGCTTTTGCGCTGCTTGGTATTGCTATCAGCTCAATGCAGGTGGACTACGATGCCCCAATCTCACAGATCTACATTCGAGTCTTGATCGAAGGGATCAGACAGATCGAGATACAAGCCAGACAGCCGTACACCGCGACAGATATGCTTCGTAAAGTCGTTTGGATGTCTGTCATATCTGCGACTACTGCTTTTGGTTGGACGACCAGCAACGAGACTGTCTGTCTCATTGTTCAGGAAGTCACTTCTCGTGACGATTTGCGGGTGATACGCTCGCTTGGCTTCGGCGCTTCAGCAGTATCGAGATGGAAGTATCCCAAAGGTCTCGGCTTTGTGTATGATGCTATGGACCAGCTGGCAAGGACACCGTGGTATTCTGATTACATCGATAAAAAGCTGCAGCGGAAGCTGGAAAGACTTTCTGAGCAAAGTGAGCGGATGCACCTGCCTGGTTGTGTGGATGACGCTCGCACAGTCGCGGAGTGGATTGCACTGATTGATGGAGTTCGGAGACAAGTCGAGACTGATGTTGCTAGTCCTGGCTATGCTGCGAAAGTTCGAAGTGCGCTGGTCCTGAACGATAATCACAGTGCTCTTGTAGAGCCGGATAAGGTGGAATGATTGAGTACCATGCTCGAGCGCGCACACATCCGCTTGGCGAAAGCTGATGGCCAACGGAAAGGTAAGCTTAAGGCTAATCGTAACATCACCTGCGCTGCTTGTCAAAGTCAAGTGTAGAGAGGATGATGGAACTTCCTTCTCACTTTTCGTGCCCTTCGTCCATTACACAGCCAGCAAGATGTCTGCCCACAGCAGTTCACCACCGAGCTACGTTTCAAAGAAAGACATGGTGCCCAAGCACACCAACGAACATGAACGCTATGCAAGCGACACTACACATCAGCAACAGCAGCAGCAGACCGTCCAGACCCAGTCCTACGTCCGCAACATGAAACATCCCTCAACAAGGCAGATGCTCCATGGCCCAAGCGTGGCCATTACTTCTCTGGATTTACCCATCGACCGCCATTATGGATATGCACAATACCACTTCGTCTTCCCACCTTGCTTTGATCCTGTAAGAGTGTTCCGGAGCATGTGCGATCCAGGTGAGAAGCTACCAAGACACTTGATCCGGCTCCGCGGCGAGAAGCGGAATTGTGTCCTTGAGCCGATCGTGGTGGTGCGAAAATCGAACCAGATGGGTCCTGGGAAGGAGGAGGATAAAATCGAGGCGGATGCTGTTGTTGTTAGGCTTGCGGGTGCTTATTGCGATGAAATCTGCGCCATCGTGGAGAAGACTGTTGGGAAGGAGGCCGATGCTCTTGGCAAGGCTTTGGGTAGCGTCCAGGAGATGCAGCAGGCTATGAATTACTCCAACGAAAGATGTTGGCGCTGGAAGTACCATAGGAAGGCAGGTACTATCATCAGCCGCCACGAGGCTTAGTACAGGGGTGTGTTGGGCGCTGAGGGGGTGGTGGGGAGTTTACGGGAGTATCTTGAATGGATCGGGAAGACGCAGGAGTATGCTGGTTCTTGGAGAGGATGGAGGAGTTGCTTGGTTTCATACGCAGCAACAGGAAATCGATTGTTCAGTACCAGAAGTGAGTTTTGACGACGGGTATTTAGAACGATCCTTTTGCGGGAGATGGTAGCATTCCCCATCATGTGATTCTGCTCATGTCGAAACGATACTTGTGCTTATGCTCCTTCGTGACACTGTAAGCTACCGAGCATAGTTGTGCCTGCTGCGAAACTGCACAAACGTGGATCCGTCAAGGAACAAAGTCGTGGCGAGCAGCGGAATTGTTTCGACATCTCCTCACCTCGTGTATCAGACCTCAATCATGTCTGAGCGGATCTTAACACCGGACTACATATTACAACAAGCCCTGGCTGCGCATGGTACGGCTCTATCTTCCTACTTGCAGGACAAAGATGTCCCCGGCAGTGCGGCAATTTCTCAACAGAATGGCGACTCCTGTCTCACAATCGTTGGCTGCGGTACTATCGGCACGGCTATCTTGGGAGGCATACTGAAGTCACTGGATGTTGCCTCGAATTTTGGGAACCAAGAAAACATAGAGACTGTGGCCTCCAAGTCAGCTTCCAGACGACTGCCAAAGCGCTTCAATGCTTGTGTACGGAGTTCTGGAAGTACGAAGCGCATACGGGAAGCACTGGAGCATTACAGCAGCTTTTCGACCGTGGCTATCCATGACAGCAAAACCCTCGAGGCCGTTAAGGATGCAGATACCACTCTGCTCTGCTGCAAACCTTACCTGCTGGAAGAGATTTTGCAAGAGCCTGGCATGGCCGAAGCACTTGCTGGCAAATTACTTATCAGCGTCTGTGCCGGTGTGACAGAAGAGCATATTGCCACCCTTTTACCACGTGGGAACGGCAGTCCATACTGCACGATTGTGTGCGCGATGCCCAATACTGCAGCTGCTATTGGCGAGAGCATGACCGTGATCAGCATACCCAGCACAATCCTCGCCGAAAACGAGAAAGCCATAGTAGACTGGATCTTCAACAGCATCGGTCGCGTGAGCTATATCCCACCCCAACTCATGGACGTAAGCACGGCTCTGTGCGCCTCTGGGCCAGCTTTCGTCGCTGTGATGGTTGAGAGCTTAGCAGCTGGCGCCATGGCTCAAGGCTTACCACGAGATCAGGCCTATATGATGGCAGCGCAGATGATGCGTGGGACGACCGGGCTACTACTGCATGGCGAACATCCTGCTGTACTACGTGATAAGGTGAGTACTCCTGGAGGATGTACAACAAAGGGTTTGATGGTGCTGGAGGAGGGCGGTGTCAGAGGTATAGTCGCGAAGGCTGTGAGAGAAGCTGCAATGGCGGCTAGTCGATCGGAGAAGACCTGACAGTGAGTCTGTTAGGCGACGGACATCTTCATCACCATCTCCATGGCGTACGTGGATGCGGTCCGGTTTGGCTCTGTAGTCGGAGAGTAAATCGTCCTGAGAAGACCTGGAACAGAGTCGATACAATCGGATCCACATCGCGTAGCTCAGTGTAGACTGATGTACAACGATGCTCACGAGTGGCTGAAGGCTTAAGCACGCGGGAAGTACAAGTCATATGTTCATCGTTGCATAAAACATATCTAGCTAGTCTAGGCACCGTCGCTCTCCTCTCATGGAATTTCATCAATCACCAAACCACCTTCTATCTTGCATGAAATTATCATGGCAGATCTTCCGACTGCTTTGATCGTAGAAGCAGGTGCCTGCGGTGCATCGACGGCAATCCATCCATCAAGACGTGGCTATGGCAGCAGAGTGATAGTCCTTGATCCATACGGGATGCCATCGTCAATGTCGGCCAGCAAGGAGAACAAGTATGTAGGTGATGGGTCATCAGCACGCTGTGTATTGTCGGTGAAGCCAATCGCGATATCTGGTTTTTTTGTGCAAGCAGGTCCTTCCTCCAAACTCGAGCATAATGCGAGATACGCAATAGACCGCCTGGCAAGGGACACTCTCAAGTATCAGGAGACGTATACAGTCTTGAGTGGCAGTGATCATGGCTTCATGCATATTCCAGTGGTGAGGGGCTGCATCGTTGACTGTGGGAGAGGCAATCTACATCCATGTCTGGCCAAGAGCTGCTCGAGGCCAGAGAGTGCTGTTGGGAGGATTTTAGAGATTCGAAGGTAGAATGGGAGGCAGCTACAAGGTGTTGTACTTGGCAGATCACAGACGAAAAGTGAATAAGATTAGCCTCACTCTTCTTGTTCGTCCTTCCAGCCTAACATCGAGTCAGATGTCTTCCTTCGTAAGCAACGGACGAACATGCTCCGTCCAAATCATTGACTCGCCGAAGAGATTTATAGTCTTTATTAAGCAGATAGTGCCTCCAATGGCTCATCTATATCCTTGCCAATGAGAGCACGGGAATAGCAATGGCCCCCAGACGGAACCCGCCGACGATGCTTTGCAATCTCCTTTCTCTAATTCTAGGCTGCAACCGAAACCGAAGCACAACAAACTTCACGTTTCAGCCCTACACACAGTAACGCCATTGAGTGAAGTGGAAGATTTTGTGTTCGCGTGGCGTGCCCAGGACCAATGACATTTGGCTGGTCGGCTCTACTTCAGGAACTACATGCAGGAGCCTCGACGAGGACTTACAGCACATCTGCACGATGTCCACCTACCACTAGCCGCCAGGAACAAGGCGTCCCATGCTGACTACTCTCGCAATCTGCCGTCGATGTGGAACTCGCTTCAGTATGCCTGGCAAGCGAATGCAGTGTCGATCGCTGCCACGAGTCGTAGCGGCGAGCACGAAGCAGAAGCCTTGGCCGGTGTTTTGACAGTTCAAAGACTACAATGTCGCCGGCACCTTCGCCCAATGTAGCCTACCCACCGACTTCAGTCCTTCTTTTGCACTATGCGTGCGCTCACACTCGTTTCTGGGTTCTTTGCCTGCGTTTTGACGACCAGTATTCTTGTGAATGCTCAGTCGTCGTCTTCTTCTTCTGATGGTGTAGCGAGCGCGATCCTCCAAGGGCTGGGTTTGGCAACATCGTCCTCTGCTAACACGCCACCTACCCTGAGTGCCTTCGCTACCAAGTCGTATGTTTATAATTTCACCAACAGTACCACATCATCTAGTACTACCTCAACAACATTGATCTTGACCGACCAGTCATCGTCGAGTACATCCGTCCTTGCAAGTACATCCATCCTTACGAGTAAATCGATCCAGACGTCGACATCCGCATCCCTCGAGGCGAACTCAACAACCTCGACTGTGAGCACGATTTCTAGCAGCGTCAACGGCACGACCTCGACCTCTTTACAAGCTTCGAGCTTTTCAACATTCACCAACATTAGCTCGAGCAATGCCACTTATTCGACGACTTCGCCAAGCTCTACGGCTGCCTTCTTGAACAGTTCGGTCACTCTCAATGGCTCATCGTCATGGCAGACTGGCACTACGAGCCAACGCACGGTCAACGGAAGTGCAGTTTGGACTGTCCCAAGTACTGGTACTGGTGAGTGCCTCCATACGTGTTTATGTGCAGGACGCTCGCAATTCCGAAAAAGCTGACGGTCATCAGGCGCGGCTTATGCCTCCAAGTGCAACCAGGAATGGCAGTCTTACTACAACATATCGACAAATGCGATAACGGGTTCCTACACAAGCTACGTATCGTCTTATGTTGTGACCAACTATTCGGCGCCTCTTACGACGCTATGCGCGGGTAATACTCAAGTCAACGGTCCTCCAGTCCCTACAGCCTCGTTCACACTGCCATGGACTACAGGCAACAGCCTCTTTCCTCCGACCATCACAATGGCAGCTACACCATCTTGCACTGTACCAGCGTCGGAGTGTGGTGCTGTTGGTGTGACTTCAGATCAGTATTATAGCATTCCTGCTGGCTGCAGCTCGTCATCCACATCTGGATCATCCGATGCCTCTGATGCTGGAGCTTGTACTATCAAAGGTTCAGATGTGCAGGTCATCTATTTCAAGCCCTCTTCGACTGCGAACGCGACGCAAGACCTCTGCGCGCCATCTCCTACAGCAGCGGCAGCAGCGAATAATGATAATTGTCCTTATGGGTCTTTCATTACGAGTACCAGCACAAGGACGACTACTTTTACGGGAGTCACGAACACAGCTACTACCACTTACATGATGGATTCTATCACCGAGACTGAGGCGTTACAAGGATCTAAGCTGTACACCACAGTCTATACTGAGACAGCTAGCGAGTGTGTCTACTCTTCTGCTTCGCTCGGATATCAGAACAGGACAGGTGAGTTTGGAGCCACTATGGTGCCATCAGCGCTAATGGCAACACAGCTTCATACATCGTTTCCGACGGATACAAATATTACGAAGACATGGTATACCTATCCTTCAAGAGCGTCTGGGCGGTGAACAGTGCAGGAAGCACAGTCGGTACTCCACGTGCTGGCAGCTTGGTGCCTATGCCTTCGAGCGAGGTATACTCCGTCTGCACCAAACAGGCTGGGCAAGCTGCATACTCATACAACTTTAACGATTTCTCTGGCTATGTACCTGCCAGCGCTTGGAATTGTCAACCTTACTGCGAGATGGTCTGGAATGAGTATGCGAGTGGCCACGGCGGTCCATCTCAGCAGCTTCCAGACGATACCCCTGAAGGTCTGGCTGCTGTCATGCGGCCGGGACCAGGGGACTTCTACGTCAACGACAAGCTTGTCTTCGAGAAAGAGGGAGGTTACTGTGGTCAGTTTCCTTATCAGAGCTGGTACAAACCTTATATTGCCGTGCCCCCACAGGTCAGAGCTCTGGATCCTGCGTGGGGCTCTTGTGTGCTGGCTTTCGAGGGTTGGTATGATCCGCCCACGGCCTTGACCCAGCAAACCTCGGAAATACTACCAAGCTCGCCCAGCGCTGCGCCAGCATCGACGCCTCAGACTGCTGCTGCTCAGACAACGACGCAAAGCAGCACTACTCTGAGTCCGCAGCCGTCGAGTAGCCTTGTCAGTATTCCAACACAGACAGCGGAGTCCTCTGGTCCCGGAGTCAGTTCTACGTCGCAAAGCTCAATCGCCTCGGTCAATATTCTCTCTGCTCAAGACCCTTCTTCGTCCGCTGTCGATCCTGGCGTTAGCACTTCTACTTCAAGCGGTGCCGCGGTCGCCGCTAGTAACATCCTATCTGCTCTGAATTCGACACCTGCCTCTTCTCAGCAATTATCTGCGAGCCCAGTGTCTACTGGCGGAGATCCCAGTACCAGTTCTCCAAGTAGTAGTCTTGCTCAGGTGGCTGCTAGTAACATTTTGTCAGCACTCAGCGTAGCGAGCACTTCTGCTGCCGGAACAGTCCAGTTGCAAGGAAATACAGCCCCGGCCTCAACTCAAGCAGCCAATTCCTCCCCGGGAACGATCCAGTCGTCAGCGAACGCAGATCCAGCATCAAGTCGAGCCTCGAGCAGTGCCGCACAAATTGTTGCTAGCAACATTCTCTCCGCTTTAAGCGTAATATCGACAACCACGCAGCAGGCTACTGCGGTTGCTACACCATCGAGCGTCGCTGCAAACAGTCCCGTGCTTGCATCAAGTGTCAGCGCGATCAAGGATCCTGAAGCTAGTGCATCGTCCCAAATTCATACCACGGTCAACGTGGCCGGCAACAGTGTCACCATTTCGCAAAACTCTGCCAGCAGCATTGCTGTTATCGACGGCACAACTGTGGCACAAGGCTCACAGGCCACCGTCAATGGTCAGACAGTATCTGTAGGATCTCAAGGAGTGCAAATTGGTAGCACGTACATCTCTGCTGCACAGGATCCTACAACTACGCAAGCGGCGGCCCAGGTCACGATCGGTTCCTCAGCCTTTACAGTGGCACCGATCGCCGATCCTACTGGTTCTTCTGCTGTTATCGTTGCTGCTGGAGGCTCAACGGCTACCCTCACTGCTGGTCAAACCACTAATGTTAGAGGACAAGCTGTTAGTGCGCCTTCTTCTGGGGGCGTTGTCGTTGGCCAAGGCAGCAGTGCCAAGACAGTTGTTGTGCCTGCCATCAGCACGCCAAGCTCCGCCGCTTCTGCTATAATCACAGTCCAAGGACAGTCGATCACTGCAATCCAGTCGGGGAGTGCAGTGATTGTTGCCGGGATCTCCTCGACTCTTGTCCTTTCACAAGGTGCCACAGGGACAATTGAAGGGAATCCGATTACTGTAGCTTCGAGCGCTTCTGGACTCGTGGTCGGTGGATCCACTGCCATCTTATCGCACGCTCCCTCTGTGACTACTCAAGCTGTGATTACTGGCAGCGCTGGACAGTCGATCACTCTGGTTCAGCAAGGACAGTCTTTCTCGCTTATTGGCAGTAGCAGTACTGTGGTTCTGGCGGCTGGTGCTAGTACGACGTTCCAAGGCCAAACAATAAGTGTGCCTCTCAGTACTGGCGCTGCTAACGTCAATGGCAACTCAGTGACACTATCGGCAGCTTCTCCTGCACCCGCCAGCGTGGTCACGCAAGCCGTAATCTCGAGCAACAGCGGCCAGGCTGTGACTGTACTGCAGCAAGGCTCCAGCTACGAAGTGCAGTTAGGTACGAGCACGATCCATTTGACAGCTGGTGGCATTACCACGATCGCTGGAGCGACAATCAGCGCACCTACGAGCGGCAGTGTGCTACTTGTCAACGGCCATAGCACTCTATTATCGACCCAGGCGGTCACCAGCAATCCGGTAGGGGCCGTTTTGACCGGATCTGGTTCTCAACTGGCGACGATAGTACAATCTGGCTCATCATACGTTGTGCAAGCTGGCACAACGACTTTCGGACTGGCAGCGGGCTCTGGTACTATAGTCAACGGCGTCACTTTGAGTGTACCCATTGGTGGAAGCACCCCTCTTGCGAACGGGAAGACAATCGTATTATCGACCCAGGCGCCCACTAGCAGTCTGATTGGGGCCGTTTTGACGGGGTCTAATTCTCAGCTGGCGACTGTAGTGCAGTCTGGCTCATCGTATCTCGTGCGAGCCGGCACATCAACTTTCGGACTGGCCGCAGGCTCTGGTACCGTCGTCGATGGTGTCACTTTGAGCATACCTACTGGCGGGAGCACTCCTCTTGCGAACGGCAAGATCATCTCAATGTCGACCATGTCACTGTCTTCACAGCCAGCCGTGGTTACACAAGCAGCTTTGACGGGTGTCAGTTCGAAGCCATTCACGGTGCTGCAGCAGGGATCCTCGTTCCTAGTGCAGGACGGTAGTAGCACTGTCACTCTCGACGCTGGCTCTCAGACACTCTTCAATGGTGCCACCATCAGTATGCCTACCACTGGAGGTGCTGTGGTTGCCAATGGCCAAACTGTCCCCCTGTCCACCGTCAGCAGCTTACCGTCTTCTTTGGCTTCGTCCTCTGGCCTTGGCACTTCCACTCCTGCTTCTTCTCGCACTTCGTCAACCAGTGTGGCTGCTACATCTTCGACTCGCCCGGAACAAGCTAATGGCGGTGGCCGTCAGTACGGATTGACAGCGCTAGGCTTGGCATCAGTTTTGTTTGCAATGGCTTTGTCCATATTCATGCTATAGACGTAATGATAATCGGTACATAGAGAGCGTGATATGGTTCTTGGACTGAGCTTGGTCAATGCCCTGCCTTCACATCGGTGATTTCAAAAGGGCCTGCCAGCCGCGAGCCTAGCACGACTAAGCTCGATCGACGCGTAAGATGGCCAATATCCTCAGAAGACCACAGGTCCAGTATGCTTATGCTTGGCATCCACGTCTGTGGCAAGCTCGAACAACGAACTGCTAGATTGAGGTCGATCGACACATTACATACATCATAAGCTCAAGCAGCCGCGACCCTAGCTTACCTAGGTTCGGCACCCAAGCTTCTTTTCAAGCTAGTTCCATACCTGCGATGCAATCATGACATCAAGAAGCTTCACCGGCCGCGACTTTGGCATGTCCCGGCTCAACACCAAGCCTCTTCGCCTGCTCCTGCAGCGATGGCTTCACATCTTCCTTCAAACTATACCCCTTCGGATCCCATCTCAGCGTTGCCCTCGCCCTCTTAGCTCTCGCTCGACTATTAGCACCCCAAAGCGCCGCACCATGAGCCGTAAGACCATTAGCCTCATCTTTACCAATGGACTTGACATCCCTCTCCTTGATCAACCCCTGCTTATACGCTTCCGTAGCCACTAACTCCGAGATGTCACCCCAGACATGCTCGCCGTTCTCACAGAAGTAGTAACCTTCCGCTCCCCAGATCGCGGGTTTACCTGGCCAATCGGCCGTCGACCCCCCATGAGCTGCTTCCTCGACGAGCTTGAGATAGAGGTCCGAGAGGTCGTGGACGTGGACGTTGCCCCAGTATGTTTTGCCGGTTCCGACCTTGACCCCGTGACCTTTCTGTAGCGTGGCTCGACAGAGCTCTGGTAATTGGTGGGATATTTGATTCCCTGGTCCACGCCCAGGTCCGTAAATAGTAGGTGGGCACACGATAGCGGTCTTGATCCTGTCGCTGTGGTTTGTACCGGCTGCAAGGACGATCTTGTCGACGTTCCGGTGCGAAGCTTCGTCTGGCAGAGAAGTGACCTCTGAGACGTTCTCGAGGTCATCGTATGTCTTCTCTGAAGTTTCACCGTAAGTTGACGACTTGATGTCTGTGAACATGAGGATACCGGTCCCAGAGGTATGGATATAGAAGCCTGGTCGTTCTGCTTCTCGAGCAGCAAGTCCTTTCACGATGGCGTTTGCAGACGCTACATGATCTGCATTGGCAAAGTCTACAAATCGCATCTATGTTAGCAACCGACATTCAATTGATCTCAGCCAGTACACAACGACTCACGACAAACGACATCAGCCTTCGTCGACTCTTCGGTGATCAGCTCAACACTATCAAGGTCGCCAAAGACGAGCCTGATCTTGGCATAGTCTTTCAGCACCTGGGCTCCTTTGTCTGAATTCCGCACGAGGGCAGTGATCTCGTACTCCGGATGAGCATTCACAATAGCATAAAGTGCGTCGCCTCCAATGTAGCCCGTAGCACCGGTGATGAAGAGTTTCGTCATGATGCGATTCCGGATTTTCTATTCAGTCAACTTGCGAAAGAACCTGCAGGTGTCAACTTGCGAAAGAACCTGCAGGAAGACACGATAGCTAGTGCTCTGAGAAATGCAAACTCGCTCGCGCTGCCACCATACGATCGATGGTCTGGGGTAGTATATATACACGATGCTCCTTCCGCAAGACTCACCTTAGACTTCATGCAGTGAAGTCGGTCATGCCGAGCCAACGCCGACAATCCTGTAGAATGCCGAGTCATCACCGCGCAACATGGCGGAAGTGGTGGCTGAAGGACGAACCTGCTACAATTAACGAGGAAGAGCACATCACGACAATTATGTGATCTGCAGACGAGATATGACTATTACAATATGACTACAAAGCGCGCTATCACTGCCTACGCCTCCGCCGCAGATCCCACTGCATGTCCGCGGGCCCGAAGGAGTCATCGTCCTCATAGATGTCCTCTACCTTGAGCTCAGTACTGGCCTCGCCTTCCGACTCAATCCTCCCATCCATCCCGCCGGTGTCGTCCAAGATCGGCCGAAGCTCAACACGACTCTTAGTAGCACCCGCAGCATCATAAACCTCACCCAAGAAATTCCCAAAGTAAAGCACCGCCTCCAAAACCTCCTTACCAGTCGGCACGATATTCTCCCTCGGCAACAGAAACCCATACGTCCCTCGATCTCTCAACTTGATCTGGTACGCGTACCTCACTTTCATCTCATGGTAGAACCAATCTAGTGCCGAGCCGCCTGCAGCTTCCATACGTGGCCATAATCTTTGCTTGCCATCCGCGGCTTTTGCAGAGGACGCGACATTGCCTTCACATGCCGGCATGACTTCGTAGCTGTGGCCGCCTGAGATCCTGATAGCTTTCGCCAGACCAAAGGCTAACTCCTCGAGGTTCTCGAGGCCTGGCGGAGTGGCGTCGCAGGAGTAGCTGTATGGGTAGAGAATTTGCTGCGAGTAGCTGTGGAGGTCTAGAAAGCCGACAAACTCGACGTTGTTGTGTTTCGTCTCGTTCTTCGCCCAGTCTGCTAGACGCTTCGCCTCAGTGGCCGCAAAGGGTTGTTCGCCTGCAAAACTTTCGGAGCAAGGGTTGCCGGTTGTTGTGACATCGCCGTCCCATTGGTAGCCAAAAGCACGATCGATGTCGATACCTTGACAGAAGCGGAAGTTGGTCGACTGTCGGTTCTTGCGCCATAGACGATCTGTATTCCAGGTATAAGCATATCCGTCTGGGTTCAGAGACGGCACGAAAACAAAGTCAAAGTCCTCTAGCATGTGGGTGATGCTCGGTATCTTGCCGTAGCCTGTTATCAAACTATAAGCCACGAAGTTGACAGAGGCTGTACTGATCCATTCGCGAGCGTGACTTCCACCAACTACGAGGACGGTTTTGCGTTTCGAAGATGGCTCGTCATTATTTGTCGGATGTACACCAACACGCAAGCCGACAATGTCGCGACCTTGTCCAGATACGCCGATGGTGACTTTACGCACGTGTGTGGTAAAGAGCGAGGCGAGCAGTCTCATCCACGGATCAATGACCGACAGAGGCTGGTAGTCGGCGAAGAATATGTTGCTTTCGCCTTCTCGCGATGGCTTCAGCGAGGAGCCAAAGACGGGCGAAGGTGCCCTGTTCGTGGTCTGTATACTTTGATCATTCTGACCCTTCGGCGACGGATATGTGTCGAAGATGGCCTGCACAAGATCGCGTTGTCCAAGAAGTGGTGTATGCGAGTGCTGTAATGAAGCAGGCAGAAGTCCAAGCAAAGGTGCCACAATGTCCTTGCTCAACCTAATATCCACCCAATCTTCCGCGTACTCCCAGACGTCTAATATGAGCGTATCTGCCGCCTCCGCTAAACTCTTCGCCTCTTCTGCTGTGCTGACATTGAAGCGTAGAACGATATCACTGCCGTATCTCGCAAAGGTATGTGGTGGAGCCTGTCTATTGCCTCTCAAGATCTTATCTGGTCCGGGTTGATCATCAAAATTGCCAAACACCGTATCAATCAGCTTATCCGACAGCATCCGCCATCGTGAGGGAGTGGGAGGTGCTGGCGCTGAGAAGGGTCGTTGCTCTACATAAGCAGCAGGTGAGGGTATGGCAGCGACGATGGAGATGAGTAAGGCGGCAGGCAATGCCAGCATGGCTGTGTTGAGGAGCATGTCATACGTGAGACTCTAGAACATGTTGTTGAACGGCAGTGGGAGTGGTGGAAGAGATGAACAATTCTGTCACCTGCTGGGGAGATGTTTGTTTGCTTGCCCCGCCATCGGCACGCGAGCACTCTACAGCAAAGCTTGTTGGTCAGAACAGGGACAGGGATAGGGGTGGTCGAGGTACAGGTACGCTACGGAGAGTTGGCAAAGTCTGGTAAGATACTGATGTAGCACTCCGACAGGCGACAGCGCTCTAGGTTATTAGTGGGGGGGCGTATTGTATGTACTGATTCGATTGATCTCGTCTCGCGCTCGAGCAGGGATATTTATGCAAGCCTCTCTGCACGGAAAGCCGGTCTACCAAGCTAGGATGCTGATCAGGCTATTACTGTAACAAACCTCCGATAGCTCAACGACAGCCTTGTTGGCTCTTATATACAGAGCGTCGTGAACCACTGTTTTGTCACTTCAGCATCCACCTGCGTCGTCAGCGTAGTTTCTCAGTCCCCACCGTCGTCGCAACACTCCTAGTCTGCCGGAGCTCCTCGGCTGCACCAATGTCACGGCACGGTGAATGCACCAGCCACACAGTCTCATCAGTCTCAGCCCTATGAAAGTCTGCTCCGTGGGATTCCATGTGAAGGAGAGGCCCAACTTGAAGGCCAAGCATAGCTTACCACGTTGCTTTGTTCTGCTTCCACCCTTGATACACATACACACACTCGCTTAGTATTTCGTTCGTGCCAATGAGTGCGGGAGTGTGGGAGAAGTGCTGGTCACTATGCCTCTGCTATCACGACGCCGCAGTCTGTTGGACCTCTTGAACGTGGCAGATGATGGGAATCTACCCAGGCCCAGCGACAACACGAATACCTTGAGTGCGCCCACGATGGTTGTGCGACCGGCTAGTGAGCATGGATACGCTCCATCGAGGTTGTCGCATGAGCTGCTGGCGGGAGATGTCGTGGCGCCGGGTGCAGTGGAGGGGAACAGGAAAAGGTTCAGCATGATGAAGCTCAGAAACTATTCCGAATCACACCTGTCAGCCAAGGCGAAGGAGGATGCACTGAAGCGCGGTGCAGAGAGGCCACCCATGCCTGCGCTGCCATCTCATGACACAGTGCCCGCGATAGTGAAGACTGCGCCGACAATGGAACATGGCGGAGAAGAAGTAGAGCTGGAGCCAGAGAGGAGAGTCCGACCATCGCTATTCAAGCGTTCGACCTCGCGAAGCAACATGTCAGAGAACAAGGAACCGCGTAAGTCAATGGACAATCGCCGACCGGAGAAGGTGAAAGGATCATCTCTCAGCTGGCGGAGGAAGCAAGGCAGGAGCACCGGACTGGAAGATCTGGCCCGACTGTCAAGCATACACGCCCAGCAGAACAGCAATAACAATCGAGCTGCTCCTCCCTCATATGGCGAAGAAGCTGATTCTGCTCTTGCCCTTCCTGTTCCAGACCCCAGATCCACGGAACCCCGAGAGTCAGACGAGAGTAATGGCTCGGGCGACATATACGGCCAAACCACGACCACCACACATACAGTCTCAACGCATACGACGTTCTTCAAATTACCGCGGCGCAACAAAAACAGAAACTCTTTGTTCCCATTACCCGTCAAGCTTCCTCCACCTGGGCAATTGTCGCCACCAGCCAATGAGCCCGCCACACCGCGTGCATCGACCAGCGCATACTCCACGAAGTCTGCACATTCGCCTGACGCGCGCAGTCCACCCCTTACACTTCTCCAACGTAGACATACCGGAACAAGCCCAACAAAGCAGAGAGACAGGGGTCCACGACCTCCTCTACCGTCTACGGCGAGCGCATTGGCCAAAGGCGGTCTGGCCTTTGCAGAGCCTTCCATGTCCTTGGACCGCAATGGCTCACATCGATCGCGTGGGTCCTCGACATCGTCACCACTGCAACCGCCGATGAGACTGGGGATGCGAGATAGAGCCTCCACCGCCAGCTCCTTTGGGCAGCAGTCGCACGAGATGGACACGCCGCCACCATTGACGGTCAGCGGCCGCGATTCGTCCTCTACTACCGGACGATCGAGCTTCGGGGGCTTGCTCACATTGTCGCGCTTCCGAGGTGGTTCGCAACCAGATTCGCCACGGCATAGTTCGCCCGGTACTAGGAGCAAGTCGAACTCGTTTGCTATCAGCCGCGAAGTGGTGCTTGTTATACCCGAGCGTGAAGAGGGCGATACGCCTGGCAAGTATCTGGAACGGCTGGAAGCTGCTGTGGCGCGTAGTATGATCGCTGGCATACTCTCGAAGTCGGCGGATCCGTTTGCACAAGCAGTATTGCGGAGCTACACGAGACGATTTGCATTCTTTGGCGAGCCGATTGACATGTCGTTGCGCAAATTCTTGCTCGAAGCGGAGCTGCCGAAGGAGACGCAGCAGGTGGATCGTGTGATACAAGCATTCGCCGATCGCTATCATGAGTGCAACCCTGGCATCTTCAAGTCCCCAGATCAGGCCTATGTTATCGCTTTTTCGCTCATGATGCTACACACGGACGCATTCAACAAGAACAACAAGCGCAAGATGCAGCGACACGACTACATCAAAAACACTTCGGGTCAGCATGTGGCGGATGAAGTGCTTGGCTGCTTCTACGACAACATCTGTTATACACCGTTCGTGCACTACGAGGAAGAAGTTGACATAAATGGCGAGCGTGTCATGCCATTCAAGCCGAAAAAGAGCAAGCTCAAAGGCGCATTGCCCGAGAATGGCATGCCTGGCAAGAAGCCCAGCGGACCTGTCGATCCTTACAATCTGCTTGTCGATCAGAAGCTTGACATGCTTAGGCCCGTGGACAAGGATTCTGTCGCCTTTGACGATCCATACAACTATCGCAGCAACGCCCAAGGGGAGCTAGATCTGCACTATTTGCAGCGTGCATTCACACACACCGGCATCCTGCAGATCATCTCTGCACGTTCAAGACCGACGGCTTATGAAGGTACTCTGACCGCGAACAACCCTAACCCAGCCGAGACGCAAGCAGGTATCATTGATCTGAAGATTACCAAAGTGGGCACGCTGTGGCGAAAGTCTGCGAAGAAGAAGAAGACACGCTCGCCGTGGCAGGAATGGGGTGCAATTCTGACGGGTTCGCAACTATATCTGTTCAAGAATGCGCATTGGGCAAAAGGCCTGGTACATCAATTCACGGCAGCACAACGGCCTGGGCAGCCACGGACACCAGTCATCTTCAAGCCACCGCTCTCTGACTTCAAACCAGATGCACTGATCAAGACGGACAATGCCGCCGCTCTCATTGACAATACGTATAACAGGCACAAGAACGCTTTCACTTTCTTCCGAGCAGGAGGACAAGAAGAAGTGCTCCTGGCTGACAACGAGCCCGAACTACACGACTGGCTTGCTCTGATCAATTACGCCGCTGCTTTTCGGGCGGCTGGAGTACGCATTCGTGGTATGGTTGGCGGCAATGAAGAAGATCTTCGCAGACGCGAGAGCTCCATGCTGGAATCGGGTCCTCCTGTGCGACAAATACAATCTGCCAGTGGAGAAGTCACGGTCATGCGAGGTGCTCTGAGTCCTCAGTTACAGCGCCAAGTCATGGCCGCAAGACGGCAGATCATGGTCCAGAAGATCGCGGAGTCAGAGCAGGAAGTCGCGGAAACAAATAAGAAGCTTGAAGATAGGCTGAGGGATGCTCGACACCTACTTATTCTTGCACCCATCGCGCCGAAGAGTCGCGAAGATGTGATACACGCCGCCGCACGCTCTGATGCCATGATCAAGTGGCTTCGCCGCGATATATGGCGCATCAAGACTCATCGAGACATCCTCGCCATGGACGTGCAGCTGGATGGTATGTCTTCCTCCCAGCTACACACCTTGACCAGTCGGCAGGCTAGTGCCGTCGAAGCCATCAAGCGGGTGAGAGCGTCGAGCCTGGTGCGCGATACATCCAAGACTATTATGCTCCCTCGCAGCCCACCCCAAAGTCCAACTTCACCTGCTCGTAGTCGCAAGAGCGAGCGTCCATCTGCTACTGGCTCTATTGAGACGTTCATGGGGAATGATGTGTTTGCCACACCGCCGGAGACGGCCAGCGAGGCTCAACCGAGTGACACTTACCGCTTGCCGCCACTGCAGCTTAATGTGCAGCAGTCGAACGAGCACCGTGGGTCTGTCACCAGTACGCTCCTGTCGGTCTCCTCACCTGGTCGCGGAACACTGTCGCACGCCTCATCCACCTCGAGTGTACGACAATTGGAGCGTCAGCCTTCTGAGCAGCCGTCTGAAGCTCCTTCTAGGAAAGTCCATGCGACGCCCGTGCACAATGAGCGCGATCATGAGGTTGAGATGCTTGCCAGGACTACCGTGCAACCGGACACCACTCCCCGCCTTCCAGCGAATCTAGACGGTACCAGCCCAGCCGTCTCAACGCCCGATAACAAGCACAAAGGTGTCCGCCGCAGCCTGCAAAAAACCCTCCGCGAAGCCCAACAGAACGCCGGCAGCGTCCACCGCCACCGCCGGGGCAAAGAAAGCGACGGCACCATCCGGTCAGGCGGTGGCGAAGGCTCCGCCATCGCGGGCGAGGAAGGACCAGAAGGAACCCCGCAACTGCACCGCGAAAAAGGCCGGTTCATCCTCCACGGCAAACAAGCCTCGGTCATCCAATTCGGCAACGATTGGCCGAACGAACGCATGAAGCAGAGACGTGAGAGGTGGAGACGGGACAGTACGAGCACGAATGCCGCATCCCCTCGCGACGAAACGACGCCGCGACCTACGACGGGGAGTCGCGCGGAGTCGCAGGCTGAGTTTGCTAGTCCTTCGGTTGGGACGGGGGATCGGGAGTTCGGGTTCGGTCAGGGGACTGGGAATGGGAATGGGATGGAGAGTGAGGAGGAGAGCGAGGGGACGGCGGCTTCGCATGAGTTTCGGGAGGATGTGGAGGCCGCGCATGCTTTTGCTACTTCGGCTGGGAGCAGTAGTCCGGAGGATGTGCGACGGCTGGGTGGCGGGGGTGCGGAGGAGTATTTTGATGCCGTGGGCTGGGATCCTAAAGCTGCTGCTGCTGCTTCTGCTGCTCGAGGAAAGAGGACGACGGTTATTGGGCCTAAGGCACGGGATGGTCAGGCCGCACCTGAACCCGATCAAGGCGCCGAGTCGGATGTGGATGATTACTCCCTCGGCCCTCGCGATGATCGACGTACAGTCATTGGTTCTTTGCCGGATACATCCAGTCACAACATCATCTACAGCAATACTAGTACAACCCACGCTCCCGCCAAGGCCCACGCATACAAAACCAGCGACATCTCGGCCAATGGCGGCGCGGAGCAGGAACGTGACGACCTGTTTACGGAGCATGAGCACGAGCACGGGTATGAAGACCACGCGTACGAAGGGGTGGAGAATCTAGAAGAAGAAGAAGAAGGAGAAGACGACTCCATGATCTCGGGCCCGATCGAAGATGAAGAACTCAGGCGGATGACTCAGCGAGCTGTCCCGACCATCGAGGTCGGTGGGAAGGTACAGTAGTCTACAGCAAAGTGAGCGTAAGTGCACCATAGCCGCACAACCCACGGGCGAGGCGAAATAGTCAGCGCAAGGCATCAGTCAATCCGTGTCATAGCATTTCCAGCGTAACGTGTCCGAGGCAAGAGGTCTATCCGACCATACCCATTTCTGCCATTGCCTGGCAATCACCCCCCCCCCCCCAAAAAATGAGACATGTTCATAATGTGTAGACGTGCTTTTGTGGGAAAGCCCCACTTTTTGTGCATGCATGGATGGCATTTGGAATGGGTGGGTTCGTCATCGCTCTCGCCTGCCTGCTCGCGACGGGGGGGGGGGAGTTAATTACGTGATGTAGGACTCGCGCAAGGACTCGCGTGGGGGAATTAAAAAAAGGACGAAATGGCAGCAGGGTCGTCGACCGGGGGAGGGTTGCAAGTAAAAGAGGCTACTGAGCGAACAAGCAAGGAGAAGGGAATCTCGGGGAAATTCTGAAAAGATTGCCCTTGGGATATGGATTCCAATCCTCCCCATCCATAGAGAAATAGTAAGGTACCTATTTCAGAACCAAGCCCCCCGCCTATCTAGCCAGGTGGGAAAGACGTGTCTGACGCTTGCTACTAATGGGTTTACGATGAGCACACTCAGGCTCCTGCTCCCGCCAGATGCAAATCGCTGCTGAGGATGAAGACCTTGATTCAAACGTGCTATCTGCTGAAGAAGAGGATGGGTCGCTCGCTGCCGGTTGCGGTTTGTAGAATGCTCGTGACAGGCCGTGTAGAGCCCGACGTTGAATTCGGAGACTGAGGAGGAGCCAGGCTGGGGCGATGATGGCTGGGAGAGACGCGCTACTTCTGCATCATCAGCTGCACGAATTCGTTGTCTGTAAGAAACATATTAGCATCTCCCTTCCCCTCTCCACAATCAGTGGGAAAGGCTTGTCTTGTTTCGGGAGAATGGAAAAGCAACGCACAATCAATCCGCCCATCCCCATCCTGGTCCGCCTCCCGAATCATCTCATCCACCTCATCATCCGTCAGCTTCTCCCCAATACTCGTCATGACATGCCTCAGCTCGGCGGCGGAGATGAAACCATTGTTATCGCGATCGAAGACCTTGAAGGCCTCGCGGATCTCCTCCTCGGAATCCGTGTCCTTCATCTTGCGCGCCATCATGGTGAGGAATTCGGGGAAGTCGATGGTGCCGTTGTTGTCGGCGTCGACTTCGTTGATCATGTCTTGGAGTTCGGATTCCGAGGGGTTTTGGCCCAGCGAACGCATGACGGTGCCGAGTTCTTTGGTGGTGATTTGGCCTGTGTGGGAGAAGTGGTGTTAGGAGGGGGGAGGGGGTGGTGGTGGTAGGGAGTAGGTGGGGGGAGGCTCGTACCATCGCCGTCTTTGTCCTGTGTGGAGTGGTTAGTATTGGCTTGTTTTGTGGTAGTTGGTGGTGGGTAGTGGGGTCAGGCTATGGCGGTGGTGGGGTGAGGGTGAGGGGTGAGGGGTGAGGACTTACGAAGAGGGAAAAGGCCTCCTTGAACTCGGAGACTTGCTCTTCAGTCAGTGAGTCGGCCTAGCATAGATAAGATAGTCAGCACTCATATCACCAGCAATTCCTTTCTTCCCCCCAAGACAAGGTGGGGCTACCGCATTGCGAGGCAGAGAAAGAGAAAGAGGTGGTGTGGGGTCCAAGACTCAAGCGTACCATAGTTGCGGTGAAGCGGTGAAGCGGTGAAGCGGTGAAGCGGGTTGTGTTGTGTTGTGTTGTGATGTGGCGAGGACGTTGGTGATAAGATGTGACTGCAGTGTCTTGTTCCAGAATTGTTTGCTGGTGGAGGTGGGAGAAGAGTGTTCGTGTTTGTGTTTGTGATGAGGGCAGCTGCAGCCTGGGGAAAGTGGGCAGAAGCAGGTGAGATTATGTACAATGCTCAATCCTCAATCCATAAACTCGTGGCACTCTCGCTTAAGCAATCATACTCTAGCTGCCTCACGTCGATCAATGCAATACATCTTTCCCTTCAGCTGCCATCATCATGCACGATATCAGGCGATGAGGCTAGGCTTGACCACCACCCACGATCACGAGGACTCGCCATGTGCTGAGGCAGCATGCACGTGAGCAAGACACAATCCGGCAGGCACGCATCTTCCCAGCCATGTCGACGGAGAAGCTAGGCGCATGGCGGGACAGGACGAATCTCTTCATCTCCTACCGCCAATCCTACACCCACCACCCAGCCAAACCCACCCGACCAACCCACCACCCCTACCACGATGGCGACTCCGAACGCGCCGGCCTCATGTCCAACCTAGGCGGCGATCACAACGACGGCGACGCAGTCATCGAAATGGACCTCCTCCCCCCCCGTTGGCTCGACATCCAAGACGAAATCTCCACCATCCTGTCCGGCGTCACCACCAAGATGCGCAAGCTCGACCACCTCCACGCCAAACACGTCCTCCCGGGCTTCGACGACGAGAGCGTCAAAGACAAAGAAGCCCGCGACATCGAGAGCCTGACCTCGGAAATCACCCGCGCCTTCACCACCTCCCAATCCCGCATCCGCCGCATCGACACCTTGCTCGCCGAGCAGCGCGGCCATTCCCCCACCAACAACAACGGCGACATCCCCCAAGCCGACACAACCATGGCCCGCAATCTCAAAATCAGCCTCGCGACAAGAGTAAGCGAAGTTAGCACCACCTTCCGCAAAAAACAGTCCGCCTACCTCAGGAAACTCCGCTCCCTCGACGGCCTCTCCACCCCGCTAGCCTCGGATCGCTCAAATACACCCTCCGGAGCCCATCAAAATCCCTACACCGACCCCGCAATGATGGAATCCGAAACCGACCGCACCACCGCCCAAACCACCCTGCTCCAACAAACCGCGCAATCCCAAGTCCGTCGCAGAACAGGAATGCAAGACACCGCCATCCTACAACGGGAGCAAGAAATCGAGAAGATCGCCCAGGGGGTAATAGACCTGAGTAATATCTTCCAGGAACTCAACACCATGGTGATAGACCAAGGCACGATCCTCGATCGCATCGATTATAACGTCGAGCGCACGGCGGAACATGTGCAAGCGGCGGAGAAGGAGTTGGTGGTCGCGACGGGGTATCAGAAGAAGGGGACGAGGAGGAATGTGATTTTTTTGTTGGTGTTGATTGTGGTGGGGATGGTCATCTTGCTTGTTATTAAGCCGAAGGGGAGGGGAGGGGCTGTGACTTCTCCTAAGCCTGCGCCTGTGCTGGGGGAGCCGGCGCCGCCTTTGGGGCCGGGGGGTGGGTTGCCGCCGGATAATTTCAGGGAGGTGGTTGGGCGGGCGAGAAGTGGGAGTGGGAGTGGGAGTGGGAGTGGGAGTGGGCGGGCGGCGGGGAGGAGACGGTGGGAGTGGAAACAGCGCAGGCGACGAGGGACTGGAGCGACGCTGTACAATAGTCGTTCCTCGCTTGTGTCGATATAGCTCGTCAATTCTAGCAAGGGGACGTCAGATCCTTATGTACTTCGTCCACCCACATATATATCTAACACCACAACATCTTCACCACCCCCACCACCACCCTCCTCCTCCTCCTCCTCCTCCTCCTCGCCCCCACGACGACGACTGCCCCACCAAAAACCTCCCGACCTCCCCCGCCAAAATCTCATGAGTATGCGAAGTCAAATGTCCCGTGTTAAACCAGAAATACTTCTCCAAAGCCTCACATCCATACTTCCCCGGATCGGTCCCAATATCCGGTTGATCGTAACCGGGACAATAGCCCGTGGTATTCTGGATCCCGTACTCGGCCGCATGATCAAGGACGTAATTGAGGAAAGTCGTGGTATCGAAGACTAAGGCGTTGGAGCCCGGGTGCTTGGATTGGAAGGCGAGGGCACGGGTGGTGAGGGCGTTGTTGTACCAATTTATCATTGTGGCGTTGGGGAGGGGTCCTCCGGCGGCGCGGACGAGGTTGGGCGGGCTGCGGTTTAAAGGCGGGAGGAGCATGATGAGGTAAGTTTTATAGCCTGCTTCGGCTACGGGATCTAGGGAGGCGAAGAGCGTGGTTGTGAGGTTGGCGTAGAAGGTCGGGAAGTCGACGGCGTAGTGGGCGGAGTCGCCGATATCGTTGATTCCTATCCAGATGACTACTAGTGTTTTGTCTTTGTCGATTAGAGGGGTGAGGACAGGGTCTGCGTAGGTGAGGAATTGCTCGGTTTGGTTTACGAGGGAGACGGTGAAGGGGTGGTGGAGGGGGGTGTAGGTTGTGGAGATGTCGGCGCCGGCGAAAGCAAAGTCCCAGAGTTGGATAGGGCAGGTTTGGGGGTCGGTGAGGCCTGGGGTCAGGCCGCAGGTTGTTAGGTATTCGAGGTAGTTTGGGCCGCCTTCGGCTGTGGAGGTTTGGTTTTGGACGATGCGGTTGGAGAGGAGGTCGTGGGGGCTGAAGGCGAGGTTGGAGGCGTCGCCGATCTATGCGGTGTAGGTTAGTCGATCGCCCTTCCCTCTGCAGGCGGTTGAGTATGCATACGAAGCTGTAGTTCTGATGGCCATGAGTTCCTTGGACATAGGTGTATGAGTCGCCGAAGGCGATGAGGTACTTCGTATCTGCCCAAGAGAAATCCGGTGAATGCGGTCTTGGGAGGGCGACTGCACGGCCAAGTACTGCTATGGCCGTGGTCGTCGTTGATAGCTTCATCTTGGCAGGATCCGAGACGATTGTGCAATCCGTTGCGAGACGACACGGGACTCGTCCAGCTGCGTGACAGGATCCATAGCGCTATTATGCAACTCAGTGTGTATGACCGACGTCAATAATATTGATGCCTTGCATTGTTCCTCGTTCTGGATGAACAGTGATTGGTGGAAAGTACCTCACATTGTCGATCTCCACCTCCGCGTTTTCATGCTTCGGTTCAGACTAAACCGAAGGTACGAAGTCGCCTGGCCGTGGTGATGTCTGTACAGAATCTATCTCTGTATCCTACAGTCGTCGTCGTGTTGTAACAGAATCATCACCGATGCTCACCAAGCAGTAATATCGTCCACCTCCGCCTCCCCAAATGTACTCTCTTTTGCCTTCCTCTGCTCCTCAACCTTCGGCGGCCAATTCACAGGCGTGCGTTGCATGATGTGCGATACTTCTCTCCTCAAGAACTCAAGCAAGAGCGCATTAACCTGCCTGAATTCAAGCAAGAACGCATCATGGCCTTCTGGTGAGTCGATGGTTCGGAGCTGACTATTCGGTATCGAAGCCGCTAGTTCCTGCTGTTCGGCGTACGTGAAAAGGCCATCTGATTGTATGCCTAAAACCAGCGTTGGTTGTTCGATCAGCGCTAAGGCGGCTTTGACCTGGACATCGAGGGGCTCGTCTGTGTCATCTGTTCGGCCACGCGAGACATCGTGGGTATCGAGTTTTCGCGTGATGGCTATGTAGCAATTTGCGTCGAAGCGGTTGATGAATTTTTCGCCTTGGTAGCGGAGGTAGGATTGGGCGGAGTAGTAGGTTGAGATGCGTTTTCTGTTGCTGTTGTTGTTGGATGGTCGGGGGCCTGGTAAGAGTGTGGCACCGCGGAATTGAGGGTCTGTAACTTCGATTGGTGATTGTAAAGAGTCTACTGAGGATGAGAGGTCGCCGTTTGTGCGTAGACGAGGTGAGCCTGCTGTTCGGTGGCCTTCGTTGTGGATGGCGAAGTGCTCGTTTGTGGGTGTGTGTGGTCGCGACGAGCCATTGATGTTCTGTCTTCGGGACGGATCTGGGGTGTTTCGTCCGAAGCGAGTCTCGAATGAATCTCGACTTCGATATGTAAGTAATGCCGACATCCGAGCTGCGCCCAAACCAGCAGCCGGAGGGTCCTCGAAAGTATAGTAGCCGTCGTCGTACTTCGGATCGCTGTAGATGCTCTGCCTTTGCGCCTCACCCCAGCTGATGCCCCAAGCACTGTATCGTGCTGACGTCGCAATGGCTATGATTGATCGCACGTATTCATGGCCAAAGTATGCGAATTCTAGCACCAACATCCCACCCATAGATCCTCCGATCACTGTTGCGATCTGCTTCACACCTAGATCATCCAAAAGCACCTTGAACAAATTCACATCATCCCGTATCGTCGTCAACGGAAACTCAGGCCCATAGTGCTCGTTCTCCGCGTCGCCTTCTTTCGCGGTCACCGGACTCGCACTGCCGTATGGACTCCCAAGACTGTTGATACACACAACGAAGAAACGTGACTGATCAAACGCTCTTGCCTCTTTTCCCTCCTCGCCAGGTCCTCCTAGCAGTGGTCCCCACCAGTCCCCAACGTCAGCACTTCCTGTCAACGCATGACATATGACCATCGCATTGTCTCCATCGGGCGCCAGTGTGCCGTACGTCTTGTATGCGACAGGTACATTCTGTAATACAACACCGGATTCAAGCTCAAAGGTTGGAACTATGGCAAGTGTCTGGTCGGGAATGAGCTTGATGAAAGGGTTCTCCGGCTGGTCCTTCGATGTTATGCGTCCTACGATTGATCAGCTCGAACCGCCTCAATACACAAGGCAGTCTGGCGCATACTGAATTTTGCGCCATTGACTTTGGCATTGGCTGTCGAGCCGTCAACAGTGTGTGTAGACATTCTGGTGTATTGACTAGGTTATACCAGTGTCAGAGAGCACTCGTTGCAGAACACCCATGATCATCCTTCGTCAAGGCTGGAATGACTCGAGGTTCGACTCACCTTGTAGAAAGAAGTGGTCATTGGAAATCTTCAAACATTGACTGACTGCGATGCAAAGAGCTCGCTTAAGCACGACATTAGCGGCATTTCTGTTAAACCTTGTTCAATACCAATCAATTGTACTCGAACGTCCGACATTGGTCTTGTCGCGCGTCAAGGACGTATCTTGTTTTGCTTCCCAACATCCTCGCATGGAAACACGGTTTGCTGGTAGACCCATCGAGTATCTACGCGTGGAGTGATGGCTCACGACAACACTGCAATGGCGACATCGCTGATCCTCGGCCGATCCAATTAGCGAGGCCCCAGAGTCGATCACTTTTGGTTCAATAAATATCAAGAACCTCATATTTGTTTTGTATCCCACTCTCTGTTTCAAGCCATGGCGGGTAAATCTCATATTGTCATTATCGGCGCCGGCGTTACGGGTCTGACGACTGCTGTATTTCTCGCTGAGGAATGCTACAAAGTCACGATTGTGGCCGCCCATGTACCAGGAGACAGTAGCATCGAGTACACATCACCATGGTATGTATGAAGTCTCGCATATTGCCGGACGTGATTGCACAACATGAGATGACAAGGGTAACTCGACCATGATCTGATAGCCACGCAGGGCTGGAGCTCACTGGCATACCCACGCCACAAGAGACAACCCTGTAGAATGCGACTGGGACATCCAGACCTACGACTACTGGCTCGAAATACTCCAAAATGAGAAGAAAGACCCTCAGCTACCCAGATCAGGCCTCAAGCTTATGACAGCCTACAAGTACTGGGACTTCCCAACCACGACAGATATCTGGTGGTCACCATACGTGAAGGACTTTGAAGAAGTCAACGCCAGCCGCGAGCCGATCAAATCCATCAACAAGCGAGCACGCGAGGGAGAACCGATGATCGTGGATGCGATGATGCAGAAGGAGTTTGCAATCAATGTTCCGCAGTATCTGCTCTATCTACAGGAACGGGCACGTAAAGCCGGTGCTGAGGTCATCCAACAACGCTTGCCAATCGAGTCTGGTCTGAACAATGCGATGGAAGCTGCTGAAGGTCATGCTGTGGCTGCTGGTCGTGGGAATGCTGACTGCTTTGTCAATGCCTCCGGGTTAGGTGCTGGCAAGCTCTGTGGCGATCAGGCGATGTATCCTATTCGTGGCCAGACTGTCTTGGTCAAGGGCGAGGCAGTCAACCCGTATACTCGCAGTGGAAAGGACTACGGCTCGTACTGTATCGTTCGTCCAGGTTCCGGTACCAGTATCCTTGGTGGTACGCGGGAAGCCGACGTCTGGGATGAGACACCAGATCCTGCAGTCACGCAGCGTATCATCAAGTACGCTGCTATGAATGTGCCAGAGCTCCTGACAGGTCCAGACGGCGGTTTTGAGGTCGTGAGTGTACAGTGTGGGCTTCGGCCGGGCAGAAAAGGCGGGCCGAGGATTGGAATAGAGGCGCTTGATGGGTATAAGATTGTGCATGCTTATGGGCATGCTGGCGGCGGATACCAGAATTCGATAGGGTCGGCACGGCTGGTTTCGAAGTTGGTCCAGGAGAGCTTGTCGAGCTCGACGCAAGCTGTGGCGAAGCTCTGAGATAGATGAGACTGCAGAATCACTCATGCCCCGTTCACGGCCACATTCCTCTTATTGGACGCTGCGAGTCCGTCGGTAACAGTGCCTTGCTGTAGCTGTGTAAGCTGCTGTAAAAGCCCTGCGATAGCCTTGGCGTCTTCGTCCGTCTGGCGCTGTGCTTTGCTATCTTCTAGAGTGTTGAGCTGTCCGAAGAGCCACACTTCCTGTAGCTGACGGATGAGGGACTGCGCATCCTCGGCAGTAGTGATCTATGTTTATGTCAGGATTATCGCAGTGACGCAGTGTTGGGGATCATAGTACCAGGGCAGCTGTTTCGACCTGGATCTGATACTGCACAATTGCAGCACTGTTACGATCTGTCGCTCCTACCTATGAATGAATAAGTAGTGGTCCTATGGGGTTGTGCTATCTCACATACACTCGAGAGGTTGACGATCATCTGAAATCGACGTATGAGTTCATCGCGTAGTTTCTCGATCCTAGCTGATTGATATCAGCGCTTGTTGGCAATTATGTATCATGCGAGACTGATTACCGATGATCGCAGGTGTGTTTCTTGCAGCACTGCTCATCTCGGCGAGGGTGCACTGAGGTAGTGCTGCACACACAAATGTCAATTCAATTGGTGCAAGGAGGGTGGTGTACAATTATGGCTGTTGCACAATTGAACCAATGAGGACGTTTCATTGTGAGCTTCGATCGATGACGGAATGTGTCCGTCCTCACATGAGTGAATATACTTCACCACTGCCACTACTGATGACCTATCCTTGCCACCCTCACTGTTGAGTGCTGAAGTGCAGCCCGGTCTCGCTGGTCGAGGACGATGGGTACACTGACAGCCACCTCAGAGCGTCTGCCGGGCTTCTGCGAGCACAAGCTTCCCACATCCTGCCGTCTTACATCGATACCCGGGTGCTGCGCTTGTACTGACGAACGAGCGCACGCCCCATCCTACAGTACTTGTGTCGATGGTGTGGGATTTGTGCCGTGGGGCAATAGATGGCAAAGATACTGCTGGTACTGTCGTGAATTCTGGGAGAGGCGGGTCAATGTGTCAGGCATCAGGCCAGCGCAGACGAGGATACCTGGGACACCGAACCAGTCAGAATTCTTGGAGAGATGGTATGAGTTCCACCGAGGTTACCGGATAGTCACGAAAGAAGATGGCAGTGAGGAAAGGGTGGCCGTGCTGGGCGAGCCGTTCGTAGATGTCGATCCTGGGTGTCTGCCCAGAACACTGGACGAGATGAGGGCGGGACGTTTGGCTAGCGAGGCTGCTATAGCAGTGCAACAGGCACCTGCGACGACACAGGAGTCAGCGGGACCCTCTTTGGACGATACGCTTGAGCAGATGTTTGCAGACGCCGACTCGGAAGAGAACCCCACGCTCGGAACCACGGCGGCAGTCACGCATTCCAGACTCGTCGGAACGGGGATACAGCCGTCAGCTTTGGTGGAAGGTAGTGGAAACCCCAGCATTCGAGCAGATCGCAACATCCATGCTCAGACTATGACAGCGACAGGCAGCCGCAACCGTGAGTACCAAGCACGCCGAGTGACAGCTCTACGTCGCGAGCTGCATCGCATGCGCAATGGCATCGAACGTGTAATGACTGGTCTTCGTGATCTTGGAGAGGCAGTGCCTGATCACCAAGAAGCCACGACGAGGCTGACTGACCTCGGCACAAGACTGGACGCTCTTGATGGTCGGCCGTCTCATGAAGACGCTGCGCAGGCTATCAATAGCGTCAACGCGCTAGTCAGTGATTCGAGTGCGTCGCAGACTGATCGTGCCATGGTTACTATGCAGTCTAGTGTCGATGAAGCAAGACGACAGATGAATGAAGCCAGGCAAAATCGCGACCAAGCCGCTTCGGAGCTCGATGCTGCAGAATCAGAGTTTAGAACGTCTCAGCAAAGACTGCAGCAACTTCAGCGCGAACAAAGGACCACTGAGAACTACATGCGATTATTTGGCACCCGCGAGGAGATGGCAGCGCAAGGAGACCAGTATGAGAGCCCCATTGGCGGCATGTTTACTCGTGCTTACGAGCGCTTCCGAGCTGCCGAGGAGGTCCGGCAAGAAGAGCGTACGCTGCGGCGTGTGATGGAAGACGAAGCTCGGGTCGGCGGCGAAGCTCACGCCGCACAGCTGGCAGAGCTAGAGAATCGAGATCGTGATGTATGGGGTGTGCCACAGCAAGCCGCACGCACCAATGAAGACACAAATGTCCTCGCGGACGTGGAGCAAGAGCCACGAGGAGAGCTGGAAGAGTACTACGCTCTGCTACGCAGGCAGGACTGGCGACAGCGACCATCGGACGGCGACAGGGCTCAACCACCCCTTGCATCAGCCAGGGCTGGGATCGCCTACCAGATGGGCCACCGTGTTGGGCTTGAGCAGCGCGTCGAGAATTTCCCGCGCAGCATGCTTCGAGAGCCGAGCCTTTCGATTTCATCCACGGCCCAGAGCGAAAGCCATCCGCTGGATCATGTACTTGACGCCAGGTTACCGCCAGGAGATGACTGGCGCCAGGATGTGCTTTACATGGTTGCGCAGCTCATGGCCTCGGATATTGACATGATGGAGCTCGATCCAGGACGACCAAACACCACGACCTTGAATGCTATACTAGAGGGACTCATGAATGATTCGCAGGTCAGCCAACAAATGCAAGAGATCTGCAACAACCTACTACGCACTACCGATGCTGTCTGGCGGACCGGTCTACCCACCCAGCGACTACAGCGACGGCGTACGCGAGGTCTCTCACCAGCCTTGACCCCTGATTTGACACACTTTGACGATTACATGCTGTATATGGACAATGTCGAGATCATGGCTGAGGCATATCAGATGTCAGCCGACGTACGTAGACGCGCCTCCTCGATGACTCCACCAGAACGTCTGAGTATGCTTTACCGCTTGCAGGCTGGGACTAGAGAAACGCAAGATGTGATGAGACTGCAGAGTATGCTCGCAGACCACGACACATTTGCGCTTGCCGACCGGACTCATCGTGCGATGAGTGAGGCGGACCCTGGATTCCTCTCGGAGCACCGAACCCACATCGATCAGCAAAGACGTCATGCTGCTCGGCAAGGCGATCACTCTCGCCAGGAGCTCAATACCTCCCGACAAGCTGCTTCGGCACTAGCTGTGGCGGCTGGCCGCACAGCAATGCAAACCAGTCCCGACACACTACTCGAACGCATGGCAGCTGCTGATGAAGAGACTCGTGCCGCCTACGACCGCCTTCGTCAGAACGGCTGGGCACCGAATGGGCCGACGTCGTCTGCTCGTGCTCTACGCTTGACGATGTATCGACCGCTGAATCTTGCAGACCTTGCATCACCATCCGATACTGACTCGGAAGGAGAAGAAGACGAAGCTCAGGGGCTAGATGCCAAGGACACTGGACGCCCTGAGCCTAAGACAGAAGAGGAGATGCAAGTCAGTATGGAGTGCAGGATCTGCTACACTCAGCTAGCCGAGGTTGCTTGCCTGCCTTGCGGACATTTGGTGATGTGTAAGTGGTGTTCGGAACAGCACAGCCCTGTCATGCAACATGATCGGACAAGGCCCAAACGTGCGGCTGGGTGTCCTGTGTGCAGGAAGGGGATTAGGCAGAAATATCGAGTGTTCAGGGCTTGAGAGGATGTTCTACCTCTGAGCTAAATAAGCTTCACGACTATAGACGCTGGAGGCGGGCAGCCTATAGCTATCATCAACCTGTACGCTCTACAAAGCCTTCCATCACATAACATGCCTCTTCAAGTGCGATTGATCATTCTCAAGCCTCCATCGCCCGGCAAGGTGCCAAGAACTGATGGCCTACAAAAGTCAGTAGTGGAAAGGGGTAGACATACCTGGCCGCAGCCTGTACATGTCACAAGTCACACGAGCACACATGGACACGACATCGGTACAAGCTATATATTGCCAAACGAGGGTGCGAGCTCCTGTCTATCCATCCACCCTGGACCCACCGTAAGGCCAATGGCACAATGTACGATGAGCGCGAGGGGAGTGTGAGTCAAGTCTCGGGTATGCAGATGAGGGATCCTGCACCTTCCCTCCAGGTTACCAGCCCCAAGAGGCTGCCTTAGTACTTGGTGCGCTCGCTATGATTTCCTCCCTTCAAACGAATGTAGAAAATGGTCGATGTTTGTGGATGAAGCCAGAAGGTCAATGAGCGAGGGGTTCCAAAGTATTTATGCTTGCGACGACAGGAGCTTGGACCGACAGCTGGGCCTTGGCTGACATGTGCTCTATTCACCTCACCCATTCACTGCGTTGCTTGCGCGCCCGCAGCAGTGCGGTACCGGGCCGCATCTCAGTGCTGCCTACATAAGGCGCTGCCTTCCTCGAAGCTTGAGGCAAATTAGAACAAGAAAACATTTGCTCGACACATGCATCCGACCAGGATTCCAGTAGCAAGCGTCGACTCGTATCGTCCAAGCTCGCTGCAACCTTTGAAGTGATGACAACCAGCCGAATATTGAGCAGGGCGGCCCAACGCAGTCTTCACAATGGCCTTCCAGACACCAACAACACCTCTGTCTTCACAAATTCATCGAGCTCAGACGAGACTAAGGAGAAAGCCACCACCTCCGACGAAGGCTTCAATGATGATGACCTAGCGAACGTCGTCCAGAGCATCGAGGATCCACAGACAGGTTTCGCTCCGGATGTGGACGTTCCGAAGAAAGATGCATATCCAAGCAGTCCCGGGACCCACCACTCATCACGCTTTGATCTTGCTTTCGTCGACTCCCCTCCTACTGCTGACGCAGCTCATCACCACAACATTCGACTCCTGAAGCCGCTCCACAGGCAATCTCGTCTTGGAAACGCATGGTCGCCTTCACCAGGTTCATTCAGAACCCGGAGCCTAGGTCTGTTGCGCGAGTCGGCACAATGGGTAAGCCCTGGGACCCCTGGATGGCGTGTAGTTGATCAATGAAGGGATGGTCATCGGACTGGTCGGTCGGCGAGTGGCCACACCTCAGTGATGGACGGTCAAGCGCAGTCAGCTGCTGCTAGGCTTTCTCTTGATCGCAAGCTGCAGCACGAACGAGTTATGAATTTTAGCATCTTTCACAACCCGTGTAAAGCATGACAATATGCACCAATGAAGCATCATCCGTTTCACCATGAGGTATCGTGATCATGCTCTGCAGCCAGCCTGTCTTCGTGCGCACTTCACCTTGACAGCCCTCAAGATAAGCCGCATTCTCTGCACTGCGTGGCAACACTTAGCTTAGAAATGGCTTTGATGTGCTGTCGTGGTCTGTAGAAGCAGAGAGTGAAGTGAAGTGAAGTCGTAGTCGATCACGCGTCCCCGCGTCACTTTCGCGATCAGGCAGTGACGTCTGCCTACAGCTTCACAACCTACGACGAGACTTCGAGACCCCCAAACGAGGACAATTCAATGTAGACTTGACAACCTTCAGTAAGTCGTGAAAACGGTCGTTAACCTCGAATCAATGTCAGGACTACCGTACCGCGACAAGACGGGCGACTCTTCCCACTACGGTCGCGGCGATGATGACGAGGAAGAGGAAGATGAGATTGAGGAGGGAGGCTACAAGCAGATCAAGGATGCAGTGCTCTTCGCGATCGATGTCAGTAAGAGTATGCTCACGAAGCCATCGGAAGGCGATGTGAAGAAACCGGACACACTCTTGTCGCCGACAGTGGCAGCTCTAAAGTGTGCATATGCCTTGATGCAGCAGCGTATCATCAGCAATCCTAACGATATGATGGGAGTGCTCCTCTTTGGAACGGAGAAGAGCAAGTTCCAGGAAGGCGACGAAGAGAGTGGTAGAAGTGGACTGCAATACCCACACTGCTATCTTTTGACAGATCTGGACATACCAGCTGCGGCGGACGTAAAGCATTTACGGAATATGGTAGAAGACGAAGAAGAGGCGGAGGAGCTTCTTGTGGCTGCTCACGAGGAAGTCAGCATGGCCAATGTCTTATTTTGCGCCAACCAGATCTTTACCACTAAAGCCGCCAACTTCTCCTCGCGAAGGTTGTTCCTGGTGACTGACAACGACTACCCGCATGCCTCGAACAGGGATGCACGCAACAGTGCAGCGGTGCGGGCAAAAGACTTGTATGACCTCGGAGTGACGATCGAGCTCTTCCCCATCTCTCATCCAGATCGTGGCTACACTTTTGACCGAAGCAAATTCTACAATGACATTGTCTACTCTTCGACGCCATCGGATCCAGATGCACCACAGCCGTTGACCACGGATATCAAGCCTGCGAGCTCAGCCGCTAAGGACGGTATCAGCTTACTGCAGGCTCTACTGTCTTCCGTTCAGTCACGCGCAGCACCACGAAGAGCTATGTTCAGCAATATGTCATTTGAGATTGCCCCAGGATTCAAGATCAGTGTAAAGGGCTTCATCCTGATCAAGCGACAAACGCCAAAACGCACGTCATATGTCTATTTACCGAAAGACAGCGAGAAGCCACAAATCGTGACGGGTGTAGGACAGATGATTGCTGACGATACTGCGCGCTCTGTCGAGAAGACCGAAGTGCGCCGGGCTTACAAGTTTGGCGGTGAGACCATCAGCTTCAGTGACGAGGAGCTGGCGAAGATCAAGAATTTCGGCGATCCTGTCATCCGCATCATCGGGTTCAAGCCAATGTCCATGCTGCCACTCTGGGCACAGCTTCACCAAAACTACTTCATTTACCCGTCTGAGGAGGACTATATTGGCAGTTCGCGTGTCTTCTCTGCTTTGCATCAGAAACTGCTGAAAGACCAGAAAATGGCCGTAGCATGGTTTATTGCACGTCGTAATGCGAAGCCCGTTCTTGCAGCACTACTGCCAGGCAAGGAGCATCGTAATGAGGAAGGCGAGCAAACGATGCCGCCCGGCATCTGGATCAAGCAACTACCGTTCGCAGACGACATCCGTGAGCCACCAGAAACGGAGGTTGTGAAAGCACCGTACGATGTCGTCGACAGAATGAGAGTCGTTGTCCAGCAGCTGCAGCTTCCCAAAGCTGTCTACGACCCGTACAAGTACTCAAACCCTTCTTTGCAATGGTTCTACCGCATCTTGCAAGCACTAGCACTTGAAGAGGATCTGCCTGAGAAAGCAGAAGACAAGACTTTGCCACGACACAAGCAAATCCACAAACGTGCTGGCAACTACGTAATTGAATGGGGTCGGGTACTTGACGAGCAATTTGGACTATGGCAGCAGAACAATGATCGGAAACCGAAGTCAATCACAAATGGTGGTGCAACAAAGCGTGGAGCCCCAGCTGGTGGCGCGACGAAGAAGATTAAGGCTGAGGACGGGGACGGTGGGATCACGGATGAGGAGATGCGAGCCGCGTTTGCCAAGACTGCGGTCAAAAGGTTCACAGTGGCCCAGTTGAAGGAATGGATGAGCGGCAAGAACATTGGCAAAGGACTAAGCAAGAAGGCTGACCTTGTGGAAGCTGTTGAAGGATACTTCGAGACGAAGATGGAGACTGACTAAGCTCTGGGCTGTATCGGGACAGAGATCGGAAAGGCGTATAAGGCGTACAGGATGCTCTGTGCGATAGATACCCATATTTGAAGCAAATGGCACATCTTCATCGGGTGACGAATGTACCAGGGTGCGAGGCCGCGCCTTCCTGCTACGTACCTTGAACGTCAGCTTCATGACTTCACTTCATGTCATGACAACTCTTCTTCCCAACAGTTGGATCTCCCCTTCATGAGTCGAGTCACCACCAGAGTTCCTATCCTGCTCAGACACTCGATCTCATGAACTCCACTGCAATGGCGCCACAGCGACATCATTTCGAATTTGATGTTCCACCTCCTGCGACACATTACCCGGTTGATCACGACATCATTTTGTCCGCCTCATTGAGACAGACACATCTGGCGCCAAACGAGCAACACCCTAGCAGACCTGTCTCAAGACACCCACCGAACATGAGGAGAACCTCCCGCAAGCGACATCATGAGGGTGCAAGAGCTCGAGCATCTCAAGTCAACAGCGTAGACTTCGGAGCATCTCTCCGAGCTATCGATTTCGGCTTCCGCATCAAGAGTCCAATAGTATCCGATCCACCAATGAGTAAGCCATTGCCGTTGGCCGATGCTGCACTGAAGCACCCATGGCCACGAGCAAGCGACGCAGGATTCCGTGATGCTTCTTCTACGGAGACGGTCATGCCTCAGCGGACGTTCAGAGAAGTCTCCTCAAGTATCCGACAAGCTCTGCGATCGATCACGCATCCTCGTGGCCCGCCGTATTATGCTGCAACCGAATGGGTTCCGGTGTATGGCTTTGCTAAGCACTTGACATACTATGCCATCACCGCGGCAAACGATTCTCGCAGCCTCAGCTTCGAAGAGTTGAGAATGATGGTGTATCAGATTTGATGATGAGATGAAGGTCGTACAGACGTTTGGGAGAAGAACGACCCCGACAAGCATACATATCCGACACTGCTTCTGTTCTTGTGGCTTGCGATGACATCTTGACTACGCTGACAGCAGCCATGATGGGTGATGCTCAAAGTGGTCAGTAGTGCCATGGAAGCGCCATACATCCAAGCCGCACTTGCTGATAGCCGAGCTGCACTCAATCTATTCTCTGTACCAATCTTCAACGTCCGCCCACAACATCCGGTCGTTACACAGCTGTTAGTATGCGAGAGTAGTGCTGACTATGCATGGCCTAGGCATTGTACTGAACCATGCGTCAGAGCTTGCAAGACATATCTCGTTGGCTTCATCCTTCGCAGGACCATATGCAACCTTGTTCCGTTCATTCTTGCCTCGCGATTCTAACATGCCGTTCACTCGTACACTTCTGATCTCGGCTGCGAGCTTTTGCGTAGGTCACAATATTACAAGGAAAATCTTCCAAGCGGCGATAGCAGACAAGGTTGATCTATACAACCTACCATTCGCCACAACCGCATTGTCGTCCATACAGACTATCTACGATAAGCTTGACGACTCTGCAATACCAGCTGCGCTTATCAATGCTACCATAGTCGATCTGCACTCTCACATCGTTCCACCATGGTATCATGCCATCGTCCCATTGTCAGGCCAGGTCCCGACCCCCAATTGGACGCTGGCGGAACATCTGAGCTTCATGGCGAACAACAGCATTGGGCACAGTGTGCTGTCCATCTCGACACCAGGTTCTGTCGTCTTCCCGGGTGATGAAGCGAAGTCTGCGGCTTTAGCGAGGTTGTTGAACGAGTATATGGCTGCTGTATGCTCTAGTTCTGTCCCCCGCGTAGCTTCAGCATGCTGATGAGCAAGACCAGATCGTCTATAAACTCCCAAAGTACTTCTCGTTCTTCGCCGTCACACCACTACCTTATACACACAAACAGCGTAAGCCCTGCCACTCCAAGTTGATCTGCCCTCAGCTAAGATTTTGCATAGCATAACGGAAATAAATTACGCTACTGCCCACCTCAAAGCCTTCGGCACCGGCCTCCTCTCAAATCACGAAGGTTACTATCTCGGCAACCACACCTTCACGCCCCTGTTCAGCCACTTGAACATCTCGGCCAACAACAAGGTCTTCATCCACCCAACAGACCCTTGCATACATGATCCGCAGAATAGTAGTCAACTCCTCTCGGCCAACCCGTCACCATATCCTTCCGGTCTCATAGAGTACTACTTCGAGACCGCCCGCACACTTGCCGACCTGACAGTCACCCAGACGATCCTGAACTTCACGAACCTGCAATGGATCGTCCCTCACGGCGGTGGTGCATTTCCAGCTGTAGAAGACAGATTCATTACTTCGCAGCCCCCAGCTGTGCAAGCAGGGAGTAGAGCGGCGTATGCTTCGCGCTGTTTCTGGGACGTGGCAGGACCAGTGTTCCCGCACCAAGTGCTGGGTCTGCTGGGATATGGGGTTCCTACTAAGCGGCTGGTTTATGGATCGGTAAGTGACGTTGAGGCTGTGCTACTGCTTTCTCCTTCGTAGCTGAGGCTGAATCTTGCCTACAGGACTTCCCATACGCGCCGAGCTTCACGTACGCCGCCGAGATTGCAGCGGTCAGGAACTCGTCGTTGCTGTCCGCGGAGGAGAAGATAGGGTTGTTTGCTGGCAACAGCGTCATTTAAAGGATCCAGCATCAGCTTTGCAGGTTGGGAGGGTGGCAGCATGTGAAACGTAGTCCTGGGCAACTTGCCAGTCTTTAATCACCAGTCTTGTCCGTCTAGGCCGTCTAGGCAAAATCCCATACGTGACGTCCTGCAGACCTCATCCACCCCAGCCCTGTGTGAATGTGAAGCAAAGCAACATAAGTCTTATCAAGAATTTTCTCCTTCATACGCAAATAAACTGAAACATGCTTCTCCCCAAAGTCGTGACCGCAATCAAAACATCCAGCACATGACCTATCGACCTGACTCCTGATTCCCGCAAGAATGTCGTGGTCGGGTTGCGCGAACCTCCATCACCCAAGGGTTACGTCGCCGCTCGCTCACAATGTGATCACCGCCTCTGATCCAAGCAGTTACTTCGCCGACCCTGGTAGTCCATGTGACAGTGCTGCTGCCTCTGCTGCGTCTTCCCCTTCACCTCCGCCTTCTCCAGGTCTTCAACTCCCGAGATTGACAACCACGATCAAGCGCCCAAGGAAGGCTCTCAATGGTGTTGCGCTCCCAGAAGTCGAAGAAGCGGAGGTCGAGGAGGCACGGGCTTCACCGGAAATTGCTTCGCAAGGGAGTCCCAGGGAGGGCGAAGACGGCCCACTTTCGCCACGCGACCATAAATACGCAGTGCTTCAACCAGCAGCACCACCTTCAACAAACACGCCATCAACAGCACCGCTCGCATCCCTAGCCCTTGCCGCGGTCTCAGAACAGGCGACATCACAGCCACTGCAATCGAACCTCGACCCGCAGCTCTTCCTTTCGAACTTTCGAAGCTATGAAACGACAAGCCCGACGCTACCAGGGAGCAAGCCATCAGACAACGGAAATAATGATGCAACGTCGCCCGACCTCAGTTCCGACAACGAACGTCTGTCGGATCCTACCACCACGACTTCACTCTCCGAACACCACGCATCACTGACATCGCCACAAAGCCTCAAGCGCAAAGCCAGCGAGCTGGAAGGCCATGAGGACGAGGAGGTTGTTGCGACGACGGAGCTAGAGGAGGGCGAGATAAGAGGAGCTGAGGACGATAATAGCGGAGCGGAGTACGAGGATGAGTACGATGGCGAAGGCGAGGACCAGTATGAGCCACTGGCATCCTTCTCACCAAAGCGGCACAAGAGTCGTCGTGCAGTGGAAGATAGTGCCCAATGGCGGAGAATAGTAGCCGAAAATATGCGGTATGCCTTTTACTTGGAGGAGCCGGAGGGTGATGGGGCGAGGCTGGAAGCATGAATTTCCTGGAACAGCTGTCTGCACTGCCTTTCTTCGAAGTCATAGTCTTACGTTGCAGGATATCCACCTTGGATACGCTCCTGGCATTGTAATAGCCCTCGTGGCACGATTCGTGTCTACCGCTCAGCGAGCATATTCCGCACGCTACTCCAATACCCCCGTCCCACTTTCTTCTCGACCTCCTCCTTAGCCAACCAAGCCCACTCCTTCAATCCATACGCGTTCTCCTTGAGCTCCGGCTGCCCGGCCATGATCCTAGCCTTCATGAAAAACAACTTCTCGCCATACTCTTCTCTCTCCATTTCTTTGCTCGTGCCTACCAACGGGTTTGCTAGGATAAGGGAGGTGATAGGGCCGGAGGTGGAGGGGTAGTGGTGGGTGTGCTGGCCTATGGGGTGGTTGCCGACGAGCCAGGTGTTCATGTTAATGCCGCAAGATTGGACTAGGATGCGTTCGGCGGCCTGGACAAAGATTAGCAAGAGCACTGAGAGAAGTAGTGGAGAGTATAGTGTGCGTACCTGATGCAGGTTCTCTCGCCCATATATTCTGTCCTCCGGAAACCTCCACCTCCCCTCCCCGTTCTTTACAATCAAATACAACGTCCGGTCCAACTTCCGATTCAGACTCTTCTCATCTCCGCTCCTGTCTGCCTCTGTGAGCCTTGCCTGCGGCCTCTCAACCTCAATTCTCACCGCTTCTCGCCTCTGCCCCTCGCCTATTTGCGGATCTCCAGCAATAGGTGCACCCTTGTCCTTCTCCGCTTCTTCAACAATACTCTTCCCCTCCGCATCCCTGATCAAACTCTCCACCACACTCTCCCTCTCCCCCGTCTGATCACCCACCAGCACCTCGTCGTTCCATCCTTCATCCCCATAAGCATCATACACCCCAATATCCCTACTCGGCGTCTTCCGACTTGCGAACTTGCGTTTCCATTCTGGGTCCGCGGGTGTACCTTTGTTGTAGTAGAAGTAGCGGCTGAACGGCATTGCTAGGCGTTCATTTAGGCGTTTTTGGTAGAGGTAGAAGGCTTTCTCGAATGATGTCAAATCTCTGGTGAGTTGAGGCGGGCGAGAGAGGACTGTGCCGGCCATGAGGCGGTACGCTTTTCGAGGGCCTTTAGCTGTTACGGGAGGATTTGCTCGTGGATTAGATTGAGATGAGATGGTATTCAAGGGCTCGGAGACGGCCGCAGCGGTTGCTGCATGGCGGCGCGATTGCTGTGATAGACGATGCCGGCAGGAGAAGCAGATGGTGTCGCGTGAGAAGGCATCTGGGACTATCATTAGCGAGACTTGTTCTGCCCAATTTGGAAAACACGCATACTATTCCCTGACGCAATCCGCCTCGCGCTCTGTTGACCAGCGTTCATAGTGTTCGATCAGATATCTACAGCCAATATACGACCACTCTTTTCCTATGTCTCGATGAAGCCCAATGTCCAAACCACGCATCTACACTTTTGGCCGCGGCAGAGCCAAGCCGGGCACACCCGCACATGCAACCGGCCTCCAAAAACTTCATGCACTACAACCTCGTCCTTTCGTTTCGCTACATTCATGGCACCTTTCACTTATCCCCACTGCTACCTGTCTCCCATAGCGCAATGGTCATTCACGGTGCCCAGACCAAGTCTCACGATAACGCAGTCTTTTTTCGCTAGCGGCGCCTTTTATTCCTCCAAGGGAATGCGGTTAGATAGACTCTGCTGACATCTTTCAATATTCATGCACTGGCCATTATATGGGTATGATATACAGATGCATGGTGCTTCGGGAGCTATGCTGGTTGGCACAGGCTCTGAGAGTGGATTGCGGCACCTGTCTGTCAAGATGGCACTGCCTCATAGCAGTAAGTAGTCAAAGTATATGAAAACAAAGTTCATTTGACAACCGAGAAAAATGTGCTCGAAACTGCTCAGTACACAAATAAAATGCCCCTCTCCTGATCTCGAAATCGGCCGGCCAAAATCATCAATCCTATTCGACAGCCAAAAGAGCAAAACCTAAGACCACGTCTCTCACACGCTTTACCCTGGGGAAAGACTCGAAGTCTTTCGTTACAGAGTTCCGTCAATATCATACGTCCCTAAGCTCGCATCAATGTCTCGGCCTGAAAGCGTATCACACGACGGCCTGGAAGTACGTCAACCACCGTAAAGGCAGCTCGGTAATGCCCCCTGAACCCACAGAGTGATGCGACTTGGTACACCACATCGAGATGATATGTGTTTAATGAACCGACGCGCAACTTCAGTTCACGGAGGAGCATGATTGTTCAGTCCATTATGTTGTTCATTGGATCTGCCGCTGTTCAGCCGAGCGGCGGCGGCGACGGGGAATCACATGCTTGAGGTGAATGAGTACCGCGTCGCGCCTTCCTTGTTCGGAACGGGACATGGGTATACTTTCACATTTTCACATTTTTCAGCTTCACGAACACGAGAGGCGCAAAATCGTCTTGAACTCACCTATCAGCAGCATGCCTCGACGCTATAGCAGGGACAGTGCGTTCGACGACGACGGTAAGCAACCCGTGGTGAAGCGTGTCAACAAGTGCAGCCCGACTGCTCAGGACGATCTGCCTAAGAAGCGCTGGAAGCGCGAGAGCGTTCGCTGGCATAAGACTGGACAACCTGTAAAGACGACGTATCGAGACATATCTGAGCAGATCCCGAAGCGTGTAGCCGGACGTGTCGCTGCTACACCCGTACTCGACGATGTGGGACCGTTAGAGCTGGTCGAAACGCCACACGAGTTCGATGATGTGATCAAAGAGCTGGAAGCATGTCTTCCGGATCCGACGGTCGAAACGAACGCAGCGATAACGGCCACCCTCGACATCAAGCTTGACGGTCTCTTTGAGAAAGATGCAGCACTCAATTCCCCTTACCGGGAAGACGACAATCCCAATGCTGCCAGAAGCTGGCGAGCCGACTGTACCCGATTCCAGTCTCGATCGTCCAACTTTGAGCCTCCCGCTCTGGTTAACGCGGAAGCAGAGACGGAAGCAGGATACCTTCCTGAGGACCTGTACAATTTTGAGCAGGGGGAGAACGATGATGCCTGCTTCAGCACTATCACCACTACCCCCAATACTGACACGGGCTTAGCTCTTTACGCCAAGCCGTCAACAAACGCTGGCAGAAATTCCCACGATCTTTATCAGATCCAGTACGTATGGCGAGGCGCAGTGGAAGATCCTTTGCTCCGAACTCTGCAGCCCAGCGGCCCAGCGACGCATTGGGATAGGAAGCTCATCCGGGCACTGGCACGAATAGCGTACTATGGTACTGCACATGAGATCAACCGACTATTGTGGCAGAAGGTTTCGGAAAGAGGGGCATGAGCTGGCAGTACTACGCTCAGAGAGGATGAGGTGTACGGAGTGATTCGAGATTTAGAGGCGAAGGGCATTGAGCCAAGAAAGGTATCGGACGTGGACTTCTTCTAGGACAATTAGATGACAGAGCCTGCTGGTCGACACTCCTTGCAAATTCCACCGGCCCCGCCAGGACTACAAGCTGCTGTAGGAGATGGTATGTATGTATATGGAAAGCGACATTGGGATCAACGCTGCTTAGCGTGATGCTGGAGAGTGCTTCTTATTGTTTACAACTCATTGCTGCCAGGTACTACCTCCTATAATACAAACGCCATGCCACAATGCTCAGCATGTGCATCCAGTCTGTTCGAGCAAAGCCCTACCTCAGCTTGATCGAGTTCAGATAGGGAGTCAAATGCTTTGAGTTACGTAACAGAAACCCGCCGACCACAGCCGCCGTGCTCACCAGTCCCAGAGCCAACAACGTCCTATCACTCATCTGTGTCTCCTCAACCACTCTACCGATCTTCAAGGACTTCTGGCGCTCCACAATAGTCTTGCCCGAACCTTCAGCAATGTAGTCCTCATAATCGACCTTGCTCAAGATCTCCTGGTACTCGACCACAGTGCCGCTCCAGTTGTTAGTAATCATACCTTGCTCATTCTTGTACCAAGAATTGCACGTCGAGTCGTTGAAGCTTGAATTCTTGAGCACTTCTTGAACCCTCTCGTTGTACGCCTTGACCTTCTCGTCCTTTGGCCGTAGGCTGAGCGATTTGCCTTGTTTGCGTGCTTCTAGCACCGGCTTGATCAGACCGTTGATATACTTGCTCTGAGCTTCGATCATGAGAATGATGCTGTTGTGGCCTAAGTTCGTATTCGGTCCGTAGAGCATACCAAAGTTGGGAAGGTCGGTCACGCAAGTGCCGTTGTAGCCGTGGGCGCCATCTTTCCAGATGTCGTGGAGTGAGCGACCACCTTTGCCGTAGATCTTGATGGGATGCATAAATTCCAACGTCCTGAAGCCGGTCGCGCAGACCAGGAGGTCGTAGTCGGTGTCGGTGTCGACGGCATCGCCAATATCAGTCTTGACCTTGACGTTCTTGCCGCTTACACTGGCGATGGGTCTTACCTCTAGCGACACGTTGTCTTGGTTAATTGCTGGGTAGTAGTCGTCGGAGATGATGATGCGCTTGCAGCCGAGCGTGTACGTCGGTGTGAGCTTTTCCCACATCTCAGGCTGATCTGGTAGTTGCCGGTGTAACATGTCGAGTGCCAACTCCTTGAACTGCTTTGCAGGCTCCGAGCTTGGGTCAACTATGGCGCCGTAAGTCCACTCACGAAAGTCCATCTGAACGGCACGCTTGCGCCAACGAAGAGGTGGAACGTATCGAAGCATATTTCGCATCAGTGGAGTGATTGGCTGGTCGGCGCGAGGAACGACCCAGTTTGGAGTTCTCTGGAAGACTGTGACATGCTTTGCATCCTTGGCTATTTCCGGTAGGATCTGGACGGCCGTGCAGCCTAGGAAATGGTTAACCTCCAATGCAATGACAGCGTGAAACCTGCGAACACATACCATTGCCGATGAGTGCGATCTTCTTGTCCTTCAAGTCATAGCTCCAATCCCACCTCGCACTATGCATCTTCTTCCCGTCGAAGTTGTCCAGCCCATCGATCTTGGGGTACGCCGGCTGGTTGAGTTGGCCCACAGCAGAAACGAGAAAGTCACTCTTGATCTCATAATTTGGATTGAACTCTGCCTCCTTACTGCCGGGCGCGGTGGAGACCTTCGTCCTCCATTTCTGGAGCTCATCATCCCACCTAGCCTCATCCACCGTCGTGTTAAAGCGCACGTGCTGATACAGCTTGTACTCTTGAGCGACTCGAGTGAGATACGATAAGATCTCTTCTTGGCCTGGGTACTCTCGGGTCCAGTCACTATTCTGAGCAAAGCTGTAGCTGTAGAGGGAAGACCACACATCGCAGCAGCAGCCTGGGTACTTGTTATCGTGCCTTGCCGCTCATTAGTACCGCGTCCTCGTCTCCAAACGGGGATATGCTTTACCATGTGCCGCCTACACCTGCACTCTTCTCCAAGATGATGAAGTTGCGGCAGTTGTTACGTTTGATCAAGTCGATGGCAGTGCACATGCCAGAGATACCAGCACCGATGATGACGACAGCTGCGTTGGCATGGTTCTTGTTGCCAATGGCCTAGCAGCGAAACCTTAGTGTCAGTGATATTGTCCTGGTCCTGCCGCCGCTTGGTAGACTTACCACCTCAGGCCAGGGCATATCACCGGCCATGTTGTCTGGAGTCTTCCTGTATCGTATATGGGTATTGAGGTGAGTTGCTCTTAGTCAGGTGGCGCTGAATACGAGTGAGGAGATTGTGTTGATAAAAGTTGCTGAGGACGGAAGTGAAGTAAAGAACGATGCTTCGAGCACACGCGTACCTACCTCGACGATCTTCTGACTCGTTCACTTGCGACGGACTAACGGCAGTGCACAAGGGTTGTTTGTGCAAGAGCGAGGTTGGAAGCAGGAGCGATGGAGTGAAACAAAGTTCGCCTCGGTTGAGACTCACCCCGCACATCACGAACTCTCCACATTGGTCAAAGACGAGGACGAGGATTGCTCAATCGCTTGGCAACGACACAAGCAAAGTGTGTCAAGTCATAAAGCGTGATTAGTGAGCACAGGCTGCTGGATCTGCGGTAGCAAAAGTGAAAGAGTAGTGGTAGTGCCAGGACGACCGGGTTGACCTTCTCAAAATCCTTGCTGCCTATGCCACTTCTCCTCCCACCCAGGATAAAACGGTGACTCGTCCAGCGTATGAGGCTCCCAATCCTTCTCTATCAAGCCCTTCTCGACCTGCTCACGTTCATACTCCTCCAAGGCTCGCATGACCACATGCTCCGTATGCCACGTATTCTTGTACTCCATCAAATTCTTCTTGCCCTCCTTGAGAACCTTTAATATCAGCGTGGGAATGTATGGTTCGTCCCTGAACTCCTTGACTGGTGTGAAGACAGCTTTGAAATTGAAGACGATCGCTCCCGATAGTGGAAGTCGGCGAAGTGTCTGCCAGTCGACTCGGAGATGGCAGCGGTCGATAGTATGGGTAGGATCTTGCGCCTCTCGCAGCTTCTCGTGAGGATCGTCCGGCGGCATGAATAGTGGCTCGTCAATCTCCAGTCCCCAACTACCGCGCTGTATAGCTCTATCGGTGGGCTTCTTCGCAAAGTATCGGTCCATGGAGAATTGCATCTTCTCCTTGTAATCGGGAACGACACCATGGATTTCATGCAGCTTGAGACCAATCTTTGTGCCAAGGTTCCAGCCGAGACTGCTGCAGATAATACCAGCTCGGAAGCTGTAGATGCCAGTGATCGGATTGCGAAGCATGATGGCAAAATCTTCCGGCACATTATGCAACAAGACCTGCAAGGGCTCGACTGCTCGCAAGTCCGTCTTAGTGCCCAGGATGCTGTTATGGAAGATCATATGCTCAAGATCGAGCTGGAAGTACTGTGGGTATCGTGCACGTAGGAACTGTAAGCACATCTCCATCAACTCTTTCGAAGCTATTTCAGCACCAGGGAGCTGTTGCAGCATCATTGGGCCGTACTTCTCAAACAGCTCGGCACGCTGTTTGATGCGGTCCGAATACGTTTTCTCAAGCTCAAGCCACCAATCAGATTCCATCTTTATCAATGCTGTAATGTATCAGTAGAATTTATCTAGTCAGGGCAGCGACATCTTACACATCGTCTGATGGTAGGCCCATCTGAAAGGTCGGAAGGGCCTAGGCAGGGCCTTATTGATGTCGAACTCAGTATACGGTTGGGGAAGTGGCACGCCGCTCAGTGCAGCATAATCTGGGAAGTCGCCAAGCCGTTGGATCTCGTCTACTGTGAAGCCAGTAGCCGTGGCGTGCTCAGAGAGATCCTCCGTATTGCCGACCTCGCAGTCCGGCACACGCTTGCTATAGTCTGTCTCACGAGCAGCTAGCACTGCTGTTGAGTTTCCTGGCCCTTTCAAGGCATCACTTGGTAGATCAGCCAGTGCAGACCTACGGCTAGGTGGAAAGATATCGCCATAGTCCGGACCTTGTGGTGGTTTGTTCGGTGCCGGACCTTGCTTCTCGGGCGACAACGAACGTGGCGGCGTGAATGTACCAGATGCTCGATTTCGCCGAATTTGAAGTCGGTCGAAGACGATAGCTCGTTGTTTGCGGCTGAAGATCAAAGTTCCAATCAGGTACACCACTAAGATGCCTAAGCCGTAGGCAAAGTACTGTGTGTGCAAGTTCAGCATGGTTTGTACGACGATTTGTGCTTTACAATCAGTCGTACGAGCATCACGTATGCCTCGGGATGCTGCAAGAAATGTATAAGAAGTCTTCAGAAAGCTACAGGCACTGACATCAACTGAAGAGCCACGATTCGGGACATACCTACCTCGTCGGGCGTGAGAGCTCTGTCATGTGCTTGGTACTGTGTACTCACGCATACTCGTCTTGCGACCAATGGCGACGCGCAATCTTGGCCCTTATCGCTGAGGAGAGTGGCAGCAGCTGGAGCTTGAGGCGGTATCGTGTGTCGTGCAAGCACGTTACCCAATATGGACTTTGAATCCCGATCAAAAAATTCATGCCTGAGGCCACCGAAAATTCTACCGCGACCATCCTGTGCTTTCGAGGCGTACCCGCAGCTATAGCGTCTCGAGATTCTGCTACGTCTTACGCACGACTTTACTCTCACTACTGGTGGGATCTAGGCCAACCTTAATTCGGTACCCTTTCACCACACTTCTGTCCACGAAGCTCGAGATCGGCTCCCAGGTGGTGTTGTCATAGCCCCTCCACTTGACCTGGTACAACAGGACTGGCTGACGACCATATTCAGGTCCGTGGCTCTTTGGATCAGACATACGGTGGGCTAGGACAGACTCAACCTCATAGGAGTCATTTTCTTCGTCGTCCTCGCTGTCCTCGGATTGATCGTCCTCATCATGATCAGTACCCTGTATCACTGGGGCTGTAGCCACGCTCAATAAATTCGAACTGTCCTCCAGATTGGTCTTCATCTTTGCAATGCCAGAAGTTACTATAGCAGTGTGTCTTGTTCTTTGAACAGCAGCACCACTGTATTGTAACAAGGTCGCTGCTCTGATACTGTCCTGCTGCGCAACATATATATGGTAGTCTTCGACGATTCCGACATCCGGAAAACTCTCAATTGGCTCCCATGTTGGATCGTCGTACCCTTCCCATTTGACCTTGTAAAGCATCACGGGTTCCCTACCTAGCTCCGTGGCGTGTGTTCGTGGATCGGACATGTGATGAGCTAAGATGCTCTCGATCATCCATTCGCCGTCTTCAAGTTCCTCATCTTCCTCGATCTGACTGACACCAGCAATATCCGTATCCAGTGTAGGACGTGAGATCGACGTTCGTTCGACAGTTATTGGCGCTGGCGATCCTTCGCTTTCCGATGTCACACCAGCTGACTGAACCATCGCCGCGCTTGCAAGCATGCCGTGAGAGGCACCAGGTAATGATTTTCGAGGTGTATTGTGCACGGATCGCGTGGCCGAGGAAGCCAGCATACCATATCCAGGGACACGTTGTGTGGTCGGTACGACATTGACCTCGTCTTCATCATCCTCGGAAGACTCGTCTTCGGCATGTTTGGCAGGACTAGGCAGCACGACGTGACCAGAAGTGGATCTACCGGAGGATGATTGACTGTCAAGCTTGACTCGTTTTGCTTGATGATCCTGTGCGATGCTCAACCTGTGCATCGCAGGCGACATTGCACCAACATCAGTTCCGCGAGCGCCTGAAGTCCCAGATATTTTCTCCCCGTCTGGATCGTAGCGCCATCCAAACGGCATGAGTTCATTCGTGATAGGATGCCGGCGCCTGCGCCGACGCTTCTTGCTGACATCCTCAGTAGGCCCTGCGAACGAACCGCCTAAGGCCATGCCGCGCCCAGTGACCTGTCCGAGTGGCAGTAGCTCCCTAGTGATGGGGTCTCGCTTTCGCCGTCGGCGTTTTGAAGGCTCAGACGCAGAGTGTGATGGGTGGCCAGGCATGTCTGGCGCCTGCTCATCATCCTGTGACGATTCAATCATCACATCGCCCTGCACCATCTCGACGTCGCTTAATGGTATGAGCTCACCCGTCAGAGGATCGCGCTTTCTGCGTCGCCGTTCCAGTGGGATCTTGAAGAGATGCGAGTAAGTAGGTCGTGCTCTGCCGTGCTTGCCAGTTGCCACTACAGCCTCCTCGGCCTCTTCTTGCTCGGCATATTCTTGACTAGGGACAGCATAGCCTGCGACACCCTTCAGCTTCGCGCGTTGCTTCCTTCGTTGCCGCTCCTCATACTCTCGGCGCTCCTCCTCAGCCTCAGCAATGCGAAGCAATTCAGCCTCCTCCACGAACTGATTGTTCTCATAGTCCTCCAAATGCTGAGCAGAGACGTAGTCCAGAATCTCTGAGACGCCGATATCATTCAACGTCACATCGCCGATTTTGACATCGTAGTAGGCGCCATTGTCGCCGAGCACTCTACTGACTATTGTGGCATCCGTTGGCGATTCATCAGACAGCTTGACCAGAAGGGGACCCTTGCCATATAGCCTTCTCTCAGGATCCAATGCCAGGCGACGCCTGGAGTGATGCTTAGAAGTGCTCTGTGAAGGCAAAGAGCTGAATAGCGGTATTGTAACGCTTGCGAGAGCCGGCATGCTTGTTTGCCAATTTCGAGATCTTGAGCGTGGTGTGGTTGGATAAACTTCTCAGGGTCGCCAGATGACCCTCACCTAGCATGTCTTTCTGGTCTGTAAGCTTCTCATCGCCTCATTATTATTGGTAACGGTAGAAAGCGTACATGTACTTTGGTCTCGACAAGCATGTGTATATATACATATATCTGCGAGATACCTTTTAGTCAGCAGCTCGAGCGCTAGCCGTAATGAACACCGGACACGACGATGACACGCAAACACGAAGGAGAAAAGAGCATCGGGGGGTGTGAAGATAGGTGCCAAAGCACTTGTTACGCGATGTAAGTCTATGGGTAATACAACCAGGCTCACCGGCCACTTTAGGGGGTATCTCTTGCACGTGGGACCAGCCTCTCCATGCGCCGTTGTGCTCCGTAATCTGCATGCAACACAAGAACCACCATTCACCATCTATATCCTGCCGGGGCCTTTCTACGACAATTTCCTCCCGCCAAATCCTCCGAGCTGACCGAAAGGAGCCCCGAAGTTGACGCTAGGCTTCTTCTTCAGCTTCACCCCGTTGTACAGCTCTTGTGGTGCTTCGGCTGCCGGCGCGAGAGAGCCAGGCGAAATAGCGGGCGAGTGCTGTGATGCTGAGTGCGGGTGGTCCGAGACAGCTGAGTCCAAGGGCGCTGGTTCTTTCGGCGACAGCATACCTGGGCTGGGCTCATTGTATATCGTTGGCCTAGACTCCTCCGGGCTCCGTGCTACTTGCTCGAGTCGCTTCGACAATGCCTCGAGCGTGAAGTTGGATGCATCGGGCTGGTTGGGCAGCTCTGGCATACACAGTGGACCCTTCAGTAAGACGTCATCTTCGTCTTCATTGCTTCTCGTCAACATGAGATTGATGTGTGTGTTGTTGCGCGTGGGAGTGTCTTCGATGCCATCGAAGGTCATCTTGCCTGGAGGGGGAGTCGATGGCCGATCGGCGGCCTTGAGTGGTGTGTGACCAGCCTCAGCACGGTTAGCTGGGGAAAGAGGCGACATTGGCATCGCAGATGTAGGGGGCGAGATGGGTACCTCATCTACTCTGATCTCCTGGTCAAACGAGACTGAACTTTGTCTTTGCGAACGGCTTGATCTCGCTAGTGTAACTGCAGGCACAGGTGGCCGCCTCGAGAAGTCGATGGATACTGGAGCACCATCTCGCCTTCGCGACAGCGGCATTGGCTGAATGCCATCGTCTTCAGCGATGCTCGGTAAGTGAGGAGTGCCGCTCATTGCTCGAGATTGTGGTGATGAGATGATGCCATTGCCATTGAAAACGGTGCTCAATGGTGACATAACAGGCGATTTGGCAGGACTGCGCGACTATGTTAGTTGCCACTCTTCCACTATCCGCAAATCATGTAACCAACCTATGGTGATCCCTCGTCTTCAGCAGCTGCTCCAGGCTTGCTATGCGCTGGTGCAACCAGTCCTTCTCCAGATTCCATACCTGACGCTCTGCCGCAAATGCTTCATGCAGCCTGTCCATAGCACTCGCCTGCTGATCAACAATAACCTGCAGGTCCTGTTCTCCTCGTGGACTCATGATCCCCGTGATGGATTGCGGTCCGAGCGACTGTGATGACTTCTCTGTCTGTTTCGAAGGTGACGGGATACGTGGTGCAAGAGAGTCGTTCGAGGTTGGCTCGAAGGCGAGCGCAGGACTCTTTGGTGTTGGGTCTGAAGAGGGAGGAGGTGAGACCACGAATTCAGAGTGGTGAGAGTCCATTATGTTTGTATTGATGCGCTCATTCACTTGCTGCTGCAGGGGCAATTGCTTCCCAACGTCAAGACCAGTCGGGAGAACAGTTCACTACCTCCGCCAGAGACAGGTGGAGCAGGAGGAATCGAAGGACTGGCTGATGGAAGGCCACGCGAGACCGACTGGGAAACTTCGGCCAAAGATCCAATCACACGTCATTCACATGCTAGGACAAGGGGTATCCATGCAGGAGGCTCCACCGGCCCGCTTGCCGTGAATGTTCCTGAAAATCCGGCAAGGCTTAAATATCTTCTAGAACACACTGAAACGATTCTGTCCATGTACACCTACTTCTGTAAGCTTTTGCGATGCCGCACTGACAAGCCTCCGAGTGGCAAGCGAACGTCTCGCACGTCCTCTTGCGATGTACTCGTCGATGATTGTGATGTCAATCTCTGTCCCCGTGACGTGGCGCCTTTGCGCTTGGGCCAGTTTCCGAGCGGTGAGAACGTGGCATATTGGCCCGCCAATACAACATGAATAGCTGAACAGCAAGAGATCTTTCAATCGAATTGCAGTTCGAGTAGCTGGCTCCAGAACGTCACTCGATCTCGCGCCAGCACTGAAGCCGCTAGGTGGCAACATGCTCTCGAAGATCTGGCTGCCATTGCACACTACCACACGTCTGAAAACCTCTGCGCGGATGTCAACCTCCCATCACTCCCCGTGCTCATCTGAACGATGAATAGGCTCTTCAGGCGTCCTTCGGCCTGGCCACGAGTGTGCGAAGAGCTTGTCTCGACAGCTTGCATTCTGTCGCAGTCGAGTGACCTATGAGTCGTGGCGCAGGCGAAAATTGGGGCTTGAATGTGCTCGTCGTGTATCAAGGCCATTCCCAATGAGATTACAACTTAGTAGGAGGTAGCAGGTGATCATACGTGCTGAGTCACCGGAAGACACCGATCCCTTGCTTCGGTTCACATTCCGTAATGCGGACAGAGGTATGTAAACAAGCCAGGGCCGAAGCACAAAAGCGTGCCCTCTCCCGCCACCACTACTGCACAATGTTCGATGATACATCGGAGTGTGGAGATACTGGAGGCACTCTCCTCAACCAGAGACTAGCCGCTCCTGCACAGTACTCTTTCGAGCATGACAGGTGGTACCTTGCGCAACACATGTGACAATTGTCTCGCCGGACTCCGCGAGGGCGCATGATGGCGTCCAGGCGGGCATGCTACTGGCTGGGATAAGTAGTGCGGTATACTCTCATCTCTCCTACAATTATTACCATCAAGATCGTCCGTTGTCGCTCTTTACCAGTCACTCTTTCATAGCCAGCACGCAGGATCCAGCGGTCGGACATCAAGCCAAGTCGCAAGGAACAGGATAGCCATGCTGTTCTCCTCCATTAGCACTCTGCTCCTGGCGGCCACAATCACTACAGTATTAGACAAGCCCGTTCCAGTTACACTGGGCGAGATCGAACGTCGATGGTCACAAGGACATTCAGAGGTACGTCAAATCATTTTGGGTGTATCATCATTCTTTGTCTTGGCCTGGCTACAGTCCTAGAAGGTATGCTGTGCCAGCGCAGAACCAGGCATCCGGTATCTCCGTGATACGTGGGATGAGTTTTCATGACTAACTGTGGATCAGCACGAGATTCACCCTTCACACGACATCCGAGAGGCCACACCAGCATGGACTGTCAAACGAGACCCGGACATGGCAATCATGACGACCGACTCCTTCGACTCCACGACAGACGAACGCACAATGCTAGTGCGAGGATATCAACCTCGTAACGCACGTCTGAGAAGACGAGTCGACAATGATGCCGGCCTCGTACCAAAAATGAAGCAGTTCGTCGAAGACTTCATGCGTAGCAAGGGCCTAACAACTATGATTACTCGTAGCACTGAGGATGCTGTGGACGAGGCGCCGGTGCTGAAGCCGAAAAGGGGTATGCGGTACAGGTTTACTGCTTGATGATGTGCTTCCAGTACTGGGTGGGTATTCATGCAAGCATGATTGGCGCGCTGGATTTGGAGCTGGGTTGACCTGGTCTTACGATGTCACGATATTGCTGAGGATCAGTTGGAGTTCGACTCAAGATAGAACGTTCATAGGCAGGGCGAATCTTTCCGCCTACAAGCATGCTCCGATTTATGAGAGCCACGTCTAATTGGTTAGCTTTCTACAGACGTCACCTATTCTTCCTGTTCTCCCGCTTGGAGTCGTAGTACTCCGCATAGTCGGCCTCGTAGCCCAGCAGATACTGGCCGATTCCCACACCCACAATGAGACCGAAGAGATAGGATAGTGGATGAGCAAGCCATGTCGGACCTGGAAAGGCCATACTGACCTCGGCACTATGGAGCTGTAGCAAGAGTTGCGGTAGTGACGGGGACACGTTTTGGATGTAGCAATCGTCGAGATACTGGTAGATATTGCGGAAGCTGTTTTCAGAATTAGCACTGTATTCGTGCTCGTTGGAATGAGATAGACGAACAATTTCTCGTTGGGTCCTTCGGCCTCGGGATCGTCCTTCGGGCTGCGTGGCGAGATGCCGGTCGAGATCTCGATCGTACAAGAGCCTTCGTGGGTATCGTCGACACGGAAAGTATGTCTCGCACGTGCTGGGATATGTACGGGCTGTGGATCGGACGCTGATACGGCCGTCTCCTTACCCTCGAGGGTGAAGAGGTAGCGTCTACTCCGTAATTAGTAGCTGGGGTGGCATATACAAGTATTCTTGCGTAGACGAACCCTTCTCTGATGTGGAAGAACTCATCTTGGTACCAGTGCCAGTGAGGTGGTGGTGTTAGGTAGTTGAGCTTCTCGGGGACTTTCTGCAAATCCGTTGGTCGGTGGGTTGTCTGTATCTCAAGGACACTTTTGCCATCGGGTGGCGTGACCCATCTTGTGGAGCGAATGCCGTTGTATTGTTGCACGGTGTCCAGTTGTGCTGTTTTGGTCCTCCGGACGTGGAAGTTGGTAGAAGACATTTTTGCGCTACGAGCGAGATGGGGACGAAGGCAAGCTGCCTGTCCAGTTGGAAACCTCTTCGTACTGTTGAAATGACCTCACCCGTAATGCGATTACGGCTTTCCGATGATCAGGACTTCGCTAGGATTGGCTGCTAGGGAAGGCACGATAGTTCGAAGGCCGAATTCGTCACGTGGAGGCGGGAGATCTCGCGTTACTTCCGCGCTGCCGAGAACGCGTCTCACACTTGACATCTCGTGTCATCTTTGCCTGAGCATTACGTCTGGAGGGCAGATAGAGCATGCCACCCATGACGTCCGTCCATCACTATGACGGCCGCTGTATACCGCAGTGGCACCCCTTCCCTGTCAATTCCACAGACTCAGAATACTGCTCCGGTCCTCGAATTCAACTGCCTCTACACGCACGATCTCAGAAAGAAGCAAAAGAAATGGCACGATGGGTTCCTACGCTTCCATACGTTCAACAAGCGGATCATGGTGTACGACATCCCGCGCAACTACATTGGCGATATGCACTGGACGGCCGGCGAAGTGCTGCAAGAGGGCGACGAGCTTATGCTTGAAAAAGGCGGGGCCATGGTAGAGGTTGCAGACGCTATAGGAAGAACTGAGACCGACTTAACGGAGCTTAGAGCAAGTAGGAAGAAGCCTGTCACTGGCAACGGATCTTCGCCTGCACGAGTACCGCAGACACCTGCTGTACGGATTCCTAGCATGACGGCGTCCAGACCAGGTACCGCGCTCAAGCACAGATCACTCAATGCATTGCTAGGAACATCGAAAGGACCTGTAGGGAAGGCAGCACTACCTACAAAGTCACCGTTCGAGGTACGACATGCTGGTCTGGAGAACGATGCTTGGAACGAAGGACGATCGCCAAAGCGACAGCGGGTAGGGAGACCGGTAGCTATGAGCGTGGTGAAGCCTGCCAAGGATTCAACGCCGCTATGGGCACGCACATCAGATGCTGCTAACGCAAGAAAGAAGGCACAGATTCTACAGGATCAGCGATCACCGCAATCAGTTGAGATAATCGAGCTAGAGGACGATGCACCTTCAGACAAGTTTCTGCCTGGCTTTTCGAGTGATGCTCTGGTTCCACCGTCTTCTCCACCAAGACACAGACCACGCAGAGAAGCAACAGCACCGCCTGCTCGGTCAAGCTCACCTGCATTTCAGACACAAAAGCCCGCCATGGAACGGTTAGCGCGGGAGACTCCGCTTGTCAAGTCCGCCAGTGCGGCGCATTCATCTGCTACAGTTCGACAAGGGACGCCGCTCCGGCATAACATATCGAGCAACAGCGCGGCAAGCAAAGGTAGTGCAGTCGAGCGAGAGGCAACCAAGCTCGCATCAAGGCCGTCACTGCCACTAGCGAAAGCAAACGTCGACACGCCACGCAGTAAGAAGCCTGGTACGGCTCTGAAGATTGCGGCGAGTGCTCCAAAGAAGAAAATGCTGGTATGTCAGGACCAGCTGACAACGAAAGCCCCTCGTCTGCCGAACACTGACCTGGCTGATGCTCCTGATCTGACTGGTGATGAGCGCGATGATAGTCGAGACCGTGGCGCGAAGACAAAGACGCAGCGGCAACTGCTAGATGAGCGCCTCAGAAAAGTAAAAGGCCATATTAAACCGATCACGAAGGCCGCCGCCATAGAGCCTATGGCTGAATCGCTCGATTCTGGGCAGACCAATCATGACGGCACAGAAAAGTCGTGCGGCATCAAAGATCACCAATTTCAGAGTATCGTCAACACCAGCAGCAGTTTCGTGGATATCGACACCATGCTGCCGCAAGCTCTCATGCAGGAACAGATACCACTAGGCGGTCATGATGAAAGCTCACGAACAGATCTATTGGAAATCCCCAAGCATCCCGCGCCCCACAGTTCTCCGACGGTTAATTCGGTGAGGGCTGACAAGACTACGGCTGAGAGCATGCATGTTGTCCACCGACCGGACTTTCCACTTGCAGTTGTACTCGATTCACATAAGCAACAGGGCACGAAGGTAAAGCTCTCTTCTCCTCGCAGAAGAAGGCGCATCGGTAGGAAAGAGATACGCCAGAGTGCTCAATCATGTTTTCCGCCGCCTGCTGAGTCCATAGCGCAAGCTGCCCAAGCTGCTGGCATTGGGGACCGATCTGCCGAGGCTAGCGTTGGACCTGACACTCCGGACGTTGTATCGACGACTGGCAAGGCTCCCATTGAGATGGTATCTGGCATTGACAATCCCGCTATCCAGGAAGGAACACCTCAGATCTCCTTGCTCGACCATGGCGGGCAAGTCATTGAAACGCTGAAGCGTGTCCCGGGTCTTCCTATGCGGTTCACCCCATCGCCGCAAAAGCAAGCACAGCTGGTAAGACAGACCGACGCAGCTAAAGCCTCTGAGCAAGTAGTGCTATCGGACCAAGTTCAGACCGCCGGATCAGAAACGATAGGCAATGAAACAACGACAGCGCCAGCGTTCGCGAAGCCAGCCTTGCCAGCGTCCAAAAGGACCAATAAGAAAGCAGCAAAGCAGCCCGTCACGCTCAGTACAGCAACGTCTGGGACAGCGGCCGTCATGCTCGGTCGACCATTTCAAGCACCGAAGAAGGCCAAAGTGGCTACGGAAGCGGTTGCTAGATCGGTTACGAAGCATAGTCCGACAGAAGTCCCAATGACGGCGGATCCGTGGAGCAGGGAGGCCTTTGATCTGTTCGACTGGCGACCGCCTGGGTGGGACGAGGAGCGGTGGTGTTTGAAGGATGTTGCGGATGCGCTTGGTGAGACCACAAAGACGTGAATATGTGGACGATGTCGCTGCCACAGTCAGCTGTGATCATCAACTGCCGTGCTTTCGAGAATGGGGAGGCTTTGATTCAATCTTGATAGGGAGGTAGTATATACAATACGCCGATCAGATGGCGCAACGAGCAGTGCTTGAAAGATCAGTGAATCGTGCGTGGTCGCAAGCACGATTGAACTTGTTCTCACTCTATTCATGTTATATACGAACGCTGCCGACCCTCGTTCCTTTGCCTGACTCGTCGTTGGTCCGAAAATCAAGTCAATGGCTTTGCTCGTTTTGGGGGTGCCTATCCACCGATAGCTGCATGAGGCTATCAGCCACGATCCCGAGACAGTGGGAAGTGTAGTGAATGCGCGCCATCTTTTTGCACGAATTAGTGGCAGATCTATCACAGCCAATCATATGCTGCTGATCGGAAACCCTGAAGTCTAAATCGTGCCCCGCCAAAGTTGGTGTTCGAGCTGCTGCGTGTGAGCTGCGGGTCACGGACACGGACAGCCTGACGTGGAGGCAGCGGCGTGCACATCGCCCACTAACATCACCTTTACTACCGCCATCCTACCTCTCCTTCAGACTCAATCAAATCAGACACCATGCAAAACCTCATCCACACCTTCATCGACCCCCTCCGTGACCGCTTCGCCCCACTCTCCCACCAGTCAACCTTCCGCACCACAGGCCAAATCACCCCCGAAGAGTTCCTCGCAGCAGGCGACTTCCTCGTCTACAAGTTCCCGTCCTGGAGCTGGGCCGATGCAGCGACACCGGATCGTCGGGTCAGCTATTTCCCGCCTGGCAAGCAATATCTCGTCACCCGTGGAGTGCCTTGTCGGAACCGGGTGAAGGATGGGCTTGGATTGGGTAATAGTGGCGACGGTGACGACCAGGTGGTGAGGGATATGTTGGAGGGACCTGGCGAGGAAGCGGGATCGGAGAATGATGGGTGGTTGAAGGCGGGGTCTGGGAGTGGGGGTATGAGCAAGAGTGCGGAGTTGAGGATGAAGGATGTGAGGACTGTGGATGATAATGGGAAGACGGAGCAGGTGGAGGAAGACGAGGAGGAGGAGATCCCGGATATGGAGGATGAGGAGGACGATGAGGAGGCTATCATACGTGATACCAAGACTGGGAGAGGCGAGGAAGGGTGAGATGAACGCGCATATCCGTCACCTGAAAAGTCTACTAATGAACGCTCAGTCTACGAACATACACCCTCTACATCACCTACACACCCTACTACCGCACCCCACGCCTCTACCTCCTCGGCTACCACGCCGCCTCCAATCAACCACTCCCTCCTATCAGCATGATGGAGGACATCATTGGCGACTACAAGGACAAAACAGTAACACTCGAGGACTTCTCCTTCACCTCCCCACCCATCAAAACTGCCTCAGTCCATCCCTGCAAACACGCCAGTGTCATGAAAGTCCTGCTCGATCGCGCCGACGCAGCCTTGAAGTTGCGGATGGAGAAATTGAAGCAGGGCGGAAAAGCTAGTAGTGCCGGTATGGAAGGGCTAGTGGAACAGACATCCAGCTGGAGCCTGGACAAGAAGAAGCCAGCGGACACGAAGGCATCTACTTCTGCCTCGACCTCAGGAGCTAACCAAGGCGGCGACGGCGAATGGGAAGTCCTAGACGAATCCTCCGACCAACCAGAAGAAGTCGCTATCCGTGTGGATCAATACCTCGTCGTCTTCCTGAAATTCATGGCATCCGTGACGCCGGGCATCGAGCACGATTTCACCATGGGCGTGTAGCTACGCTCGGGCCCCCATGATACTCTATCCTTGGTGGAGAAAGCTGCGAGCGACGTGTTGAGCCGAAGGGAGGGGTACGAGTGCCTCGAGATTCCGAGAATTCGGACGGATGGTAGGGCTCTGGAGGACCTGGTGAGGGAAGAATATGTCAAGTTGTTTCCCGGGGTGGATTTTCCTAGGGAGGTGGAGTGGATGGAGGTGAGGAGGATGTTTGGAGGTGGGTTAATGGCGGTGGGTATGGATTAGGTCTCCTTTTCCTATGACAGTCGGCACTGGATATGGTGGTCATGGTTATTAACGTTGATGCGGATGGCACCAGGCTGGCGCATGAGGGGAAGTGTTCTCCTAGGTCCTGAATGGGTCGCATGGCGTTGCGGCGCGATACTATGGTAAGGTATCCGCTGCATATTGGACATAGATACCGTGGGTCTGACATCGCTCTCGATGACCTCAAGCGAGTTTGTGTCCTACAAGGCGCTTTTCCGTCATTCTGTACTTTTGACTTTCCGGATCCAGTTCGAGAATAATGCATGGCTTTACAATCATCCTTCGTAAGGCGGCGGTGGCGGCAATAATCCCGAATGCACTTGCTTTTCGACTTGGCTACTTCCCACACTCATACCAGCCTGATATTCCGGCGCAGCGCCGTCTCCCTGATCTGGTTGTGCAGCACCGACTTCGATATCCATTCTCTTCTCTACATCCGCCAGTTCACCCGCAACACTGAACCGACAAGTAATCGCTAGGACATACTGCCGACTGATATTCCAGGTCTTAAAACTGGGAATCAAGTCCTTCTTGACCACTCGACTCGTCGTCTCCTCCGGCGTGGCACTACCGAGGACCAACGGGAGGCCGCCTTCCCGCCAAGTCTTCTGTACGATAAGCTGTTCCTTCCGTTCGACTTCCGAGGAATGCTCGCTCATTATCTCCTTCTCCGCTCGGACTCGAGTCGTCGAGAGCAAGTATATGGATAAGGATTGTAGCATGATATCGGGCGTATCAACGGCTGAGTCTTGTTTCTGATCTACGCCCTGTACAGCATAGGGTGCCGCACCTACAGCCACTTCGAACCAGCTCCCTGTCCAGATCTTCTCTGGCGTCATAATCTTCACTAACCAGGTGAACGAGGGCGTAGTCTGCCGCTCACCAGACATCATAGCTTTGGCCTTTTGTCGAAGACCATGCCGTTGCGCATTCTCGGGTAAAAGCCTCCTCGTCCTTACAACAGCCAATTCTCTACAAGATTGAGTACGACCAGCTCGTTGAGCTTGCGCCTGCTTCTCAGCTGATGAGGAAACCACGTACACGAACTTCAAATCCCGCACCTTCTGCACCTGAACATCAATCCCTGGCATCTCCAAGCGAGCACTAATCCAGTACTCCACGAAACTCTCAAATGGCGGACGCCCAGAATATACCGACGCGTCGTCTTTACATTGTACCTCCATTGTCGGCGGCAGAGCATGCCCTTCATTCGCAAAATAAGCATGCGACTCGTATACCGACGGGACGCTCTGATCCCGGATCTCTTGAGCCTGTGTCGGCATCTTGAGCGCAAACGGGAAGATCAATTCTTCTTTGCCATCGGCCTGGACAGGGGAGTCGTGGATACGGTGGAATCGATTTACCAGTTCTGCACGGCCGCGGTAGGTGGTATGGCTGTACATTGTACGTTCGAAGATCTTGGTTTTGGAACGGCCGCATAGCTGGAGAATGATTTTGAGGGGGCCGAAGAGGGTGCCGGATGTGTTTGCTGAGCTGTAGTTGTAGAGGATGGCTACGTGGCCGGTTATATATGGGTCCTGGTTTGTGTAGCTGTTCTTATCGAGGATGATACGGGAGGTTAGACTGCCTAGTGACATTTTTGCAATGTTGAACGTATGTTTAGTGCCCAACGATAATGAAGCAGTGGGCTAGAGACTTATCTTATCGTGCTACTGACTATCTTGCTAAGTGGGCATACGGTATTGTACAGACGCGACCATTCCATACCAAGGCTGCACTGTAGTCTGCTGATGAGGCAGTGGAAGCGTGAAAAGAAGCGGTCGAAGGATTGTGGCGGTAAAGACGGCAAGCGGAAGGATGCTGCTTGGCCCACGTCAATTCATGGCGATCAACACAAGAAAGTAGACTGTTCGTGTAAGTCGATTGGTATGTACACCGCAGTCATTGAAATCGGCCAACGTGGCGTTGCGGCGGACTTTGGGACTCTTCATACAGGTCCTTTGTCCTCCGTCTGGTTTGCTCAATTCGGATCTGGTCGAGATATCTTCAAAATTTTCAGCGGAACGGCAGTAGCATAGAAGAGTGCAATCTGCTCGCGCATGGGTTTGGGTTGGAACTCAACGTCCTCTACTGAGAAGTGGTTTCTTGCTAGGGTCCATGTCAGTACCTGATCATCTGCTCGGCCAGAATCAGCTGCTTACAGCAAGCATGTCGAAACGTCTCAAACGTTTCTGCGTTCCGTACTGCACCCGAGATGATGACTTCCAGCTGTGGACGCATGTCGAAAAGTGATCGCAGAGTTGCCACGAGTGCAGAGATAGCCACTTTGTCGTATGTCTGTATGGAGGTTAGCACAACGGCTCGCAACCGGTGTTCAGTTCAACAAACAATGTCTGCGCCAACAACGACATCGTACGGCCATGACTCGCAATCTTCTTCAACCCATGTCCCTCGTAGACCTTGACCCCATCTCAGTATACTCGTCAGTACCTTCAACTCATCGTCGAGATCGTTGAGGAACAGATTTTCTCGCAAAGACTCTACCACGCCTTCGTCACCGTCGGTAGTAGTAACGTGCTTCGCTTGAAGATGCTTGGCGCAGAGGATAGACAAGAACCCAGTCCCAGCTCCAAGTTCCAGCACATTCCTGCCCTGCACGAGTGGCCGTCCGTCCGAGGTCATAAGGTACGAACCAAGATGTAGTGCCGCCTCCCAAGTGCGAAAGCCAGTCGTTCTTGAGCCAGAGATCAGGTGTCTGCGTTCTAGAAGTGTGGCCGTTGGCTCATTACCGTTATCATCCAATGATGTAGATGCAGAAGGCGGGAGACAGCTGAAGGTTACGTATGTCTTTTGCTGCACTGCTGTGGTTTCAGGAGGCAGAGTGGTGGCAATGAGAGTAGAGAAATGGGTCATGAGTTCGTCTGAGATCTCCTGCAAAGAAAAGAAAGGCCGTCAGAGACGATTATGGAGGGAGCGAGGGATTTGAGAGTGACTATTGTAGCGACCTACATCTTCTTCTTCGTCATCGATGGACTGTTCTATCTTGGCTAGTAGCGGCTTGAGGGCTCGGATCTGGTATTGCTCTGGTGGCAGCCGGATGGTATGCTTTGCATCGAATAGCTTCTTGTATACCCATGACTGTATATGGGGATCTTTGAGCAGGACTTTCGGTGGCCATGCTAGGAAGTCGGGCTCCACTAGCTGGAGATATTGTCGCCGAAAGAGAAGGAGTTGCGGGTCCATTTCCAAAGTGATAGATCAGGGCTAGAGCATCGATAGCAGTAATGGAGAAAGCCAGTTCTTCACTCCTGATCAGCTTCTTCTCCACTTCCACCGTGCCAACAATGGAGGTAGTGAACCTAAAGCGAGAAGAGCAGATTGAAGTTCTTCGTGCCTGTTATTCTTGGATAGTCAACCTCAGGCACAGATATCGCGCCAAGACCACGGCAAAGCTCCGCATCAAGCCCACATCGGCAATTTGCTGCAGCACATCGACGACGACTTTACGGCCTGGCAAGCGCTCACTCGAACATCTCGACATCCTCAAATACCGCAATCATGTCGGAAGGCCAGGTGACTTTGCGCACGCGCAAGTTCATCCGCAACCCACTCCTCGCCCGCAAGCAAATGGTCGTGTGCGTACATCCCTTCGAGAACATCCACGAATACACCATACTACGAAACGTTGGCCATGAACATCAGGAAAACCGAGATACTAACATCTTTGTGATTATGCAGTGACGTCCTTCACCCCAACCGCCCCAATGTGAGCAAAGACGAACTCCGCGACAAGCTGGCCGAACTCTACAAGGCACCCAAGGACCAAGTCTCCTGCTTCGGCTTCCGAACACAGTATGGTGGTGGCAAGAGCACGGGTTTCGCTCTCGTCTACGATTCCGCTGAGGCGATCAAGAAGTTCGAGCCCCATTACAGACTTGTGCGATACGGACAGGCGAGCAAGATTGAGAAGGCTAGCAGGCAGCAACGTACGTACAGTATACACAAGACATGTTGGGCGAAGGCTAATATCTGTTGATAGGCAAGCAGAGGAAGAACCGCATGAAGGAGCTTCGGGGTACGGCCAAGGTCAAGGGTGCGAAGAGCAAGAAGGAGAAATAGTGGTTGGGCGCTCGGGCTTATGCTACTGCGTGGTGGCAATCGAGTGTACACATCCGCATCTCGAGTTTTTGTGGTGTTTGCATGATCTGGTGCAAGGACTGTACCGGCATGGCGTTGATGTTATAGGTATAACCTGAAATAAACCTTCTCTGCCACACGCCACTCGAACTGCTCATCCCCTACTTTCTTTGCTCGACGTCTGGGTTCGGTCTGCTCGCTGCTTTCCCGCTTATCGGTGTCAGCGACGTCTAGTTTACACGCTCGAGGCGATCGGAGACTGTGTTCGGTGTGACCATCGGCGCGAGACGACTCTTGCACTTCCTGGCAGCAACACTCATTGCATGCTCTCACCGTTCACTACCGCACGGTATAATTCCATAATTGCAGGCAGGTGATCATGTGTGTATACTGCCGCTTCGGTATGGCAGAGTCGACAGCTCAATGGCCGTCACGCTCATGGGGAATGTATAGGCCTCGTGAGGAGGGATACCTGCGATCGCCGGTTGTTCTGATCGTCATGTCCGTGCCTCTTACATAACATGGCAACAACGTATACACTGTGATATCTTGAACAGGACGGATCCATGTACTTAGTGATCAAGCTTGGCAAGTCATCACACGATCGCTGCAATCGTGCTTGCCGCCCCCTGCTCACGCTGTGTTTCATCTGTTTGACCAGTGACAGAGCTCGAACGAGCATACTGCTTGAAAGTGGCCGCGAAGCTCCTGAAAAGCGCATACTTGGCCTGAAATTGAGCGATCATCTTCTCGTCGCATGAGTACTTTCTCAACTTACATTGTTCGGTGTCTTCGCGGCTTCGAGAAGAAGAGCGACCGCTGCCGCCATCGAGTCTGAAACTAGCCACTGCCACACCTCAAACGGCGCGGGCGCAGCCGAATCCGCTAGGGTTGGAAATCGGGTCGCCCATCACATCCTCCCAAGCAATCACCCACCAACCTCTTCCACCTTTACCACCTCTTCTTGTACTCTATTGACCCGGAAAGTGGCTCGGCGTGGCCTCTTTCCCATCTCCTTCGCCAGGTCAAGCCATCGTACTACTGCGGCGGCCACCTGTCTATTCTCCTAAGGCAGATCTAATTTACGGAGTGCTTCGCAAGCAAGCGAGAGCATACGGGCTGACGCCGACCCTCGAGTCTCCAACACCACGCACTCTCCTTTCGCACATACTTCAGCATACTCGTATACTACCTATTATCGATCTATCGCCGAACTGTTGAGTCGAATCAAACTCGAGGATTTCGGCCCCGTACACGCGAGCAAACATTCCGACAACCCGAGTCTGTCCTCTTCACCGCAACCCATTGGCCTCCCTCGACCACTACTTGCTGCGATAAAATCAGCTGCTCATTGACCGACCGCATTCCGTTGCAAGCTGGGCTTTAGCAACGAAGCTGTGAGCACCGTACAGCCAACTTATACCACGATCAACGACACTCCTTCCATCCTAGTATACTATCTATAACCACATATAATGGCACCTACTTCCCGCCCAGACTTCAAGATGAATCTGGAGGGTCTCGGGTCTCTGAACCCTTCACAAACACGATCGGCCAACAATTCAGGTACCAACTCGCCTAGCGAGCCTGCTGGATCAGGTCTACGATACCCCCTGGGTAATGGTCTCGGCAATGCCACAGCGCAGGCGGCTACTGGCAGGGCAGGAGCAGGATCTCCATCGAAAGAGTTTGGCAGTCGACTGTTCCCAAAAAGGTGTGTGAAAAGAAAAGTGCAATGATCTTCGCTCCAGCTGACTTTCCCAGGGCACGTGAGATACAAGCACAGGAAGGACTGGCACCACAGATATGGGGACCACCAACGACAGGCAGTGGCCACTCCACACCTCTACGTGAGACGATCCCGGAATCCCCAGGCAGCGATAGCTTTCCGGATTTTGATGCAGGCCAAGCGACAGCCGGAGCTGCAAGCTCGATGCCAGCAGCCAACTCGAGCAGACGTGCCAGAGCCGGCACAGTGCCTTCTCGCTTCCCTCCCATCAGCTCCTTGAATGGCTCGCAAACTTCGTTACTACCGAAGTCGAACAGAGCATCAGCGTCTAGCAGTCCGTATGGCGCGAACACACCACCTTCTGCTGAGCTCGGCGCGCAGATAGCGAGTAATGCAGCTTTACTGTCACGATTAAGAGCAGGATCAATGCCACAACGGAACTATATAGGCAGCGGCAGTCCATTTGGCTCTTCGCTTTTCGCAAGCAATTGGATGGCAGGGCGTGATCGAGCAACCACACTGCAAAGTATAAGATCCTCTGACGCGCCTTCTTCTCCACGAGACTCCTCGGCAGAGAACGACGTGAGCACGTTGGAATATCTTGGTCTGGCAGATACACCACAGCAGGTGCTCAACTCTCATGGTGTCACGATTGCGGAGCTCGCGGCGTTGAATGCATATAACAACAAGAACACGGCAAACAGATTTCGATCATATTCTGTAAATGCGAAAGAGAAGTACGCGGATGTGGACGAGGATGAGCTTGACCAATACGAGCAGCTGCAGCAGATGTATGGTGGACAGGTCACGCCTGGGTCGGAAAATGCAGCGGCTCAAGCTGCAGCGATCCACGAAGCCGTTCGTCAGCACAACTTGGAGGTTCAGGCGTTCGCAAACTTCGCGAGTGCAAATCGACCACGCGCACGCACGGCTGGGGTTCTCGACTCTCCCACGAACCGCGTCATGCGTAGCTATCTGCCCACCCCATCACGTATGGAGAACAGCATCAGTGCTGCGGATCTGCAGAGCAACCACGGCACCGAGTTCAATGGCCTCTCGAGCGCTGTACAGAACATGCAGCTGAATTCGAAGCCTTCATATGACAGTGGCCTGGACAACTCGCTCGACAACCCTACACGCTCACTCTGGCTCGGCAATATCCCTTCTTCCACCACTGTATCTTCCTTGAACGTCATCTTCGGACACTTCGGACCGATTGAGTTTGCGCGTGTGCTAACCCACAAGAGTTGTGGTTTCGTCAATTTCGAGAACATTGGCAGTGCGATCGCGGCCAAGTCGCAATTCAATGGCAAGGAGATCTTTCCTGGATGTGGTCCGATCAGAATCGGATTTGCGAAAGAGCAGAGCGCGACCAACACTCCCGGCGCGAATGGTGCATACCCGTCACCAAGCCCGGATCCTTTCGTAGCCAAATCTCGTATGGAAAATCCGAACGCTGGAGCACTACCATTAGGCGTCAACATCAACGCAGATACCGCAGCAGCTGCCATGGCGACACCTAGTCTGCTCGAGCTCAAGGACGAAATCCAGACAATCGTGCAGCAATACGGTGCGGCACCTGACGAAGTGCCTCGCATCATGGCAAATCTTGACCTCGCGATGAGCTTGAATAATTACTACCCAGAAGTGCCTCCGATGCCAGAACCGAACCACAACCGCGTACACGATGCACCAAGGCTACGCGAGATCAGAAAGCGTATCGATAACAATTCTTGCACTGCTTTGGAGATCGAATCTATTGCTATTGAGATCCTACCTGAAATTGCTGAACTCGCATCCGACTATCTTGGCAATACTGTCGTGCAGAAGTTGTTCGAGCACTGCTCGGAGGAGACCAAGGAAGCAATGCTGATGCAGATAACGCCACGCCTGGCCGAGATTGGCGTGCACAAGAACGGTACCTGGGCCGCGCAGAAGATCATCGATGTTGCGCGCACACCTCAACAAATGAGCATGATTGTGGATGCACTTCGCCCTCACGGCGTCAACTTGTTCCTCGATCAGTATGGTAACTATGTCATGCAATGCTGTCTACGCTTTCAGGCGCCTGCGAACAACTTCATCTTCGAGACGATGCTAAACAGGCTGTGGGATGTCGCACAGGGCCGATTTGGCGCAAGGGCTGTACGTGCGTGTCTAGAAAGCCACTTTGCCACTACCGATCAAAGAAGACTCATGGCTGCTGCTATTGCTCTGCATAGCGTCCAGCTTTCCACCAACTCGAATGGAGCGCTTCTGCTGACCTGGTTCCTGGATACGTGCACCTTCCCGAAACGCCGATCTGTGCTTGCGCCACGACTCATCCCACATCTTGTCCACCTCTGCACGCACAAGGTTGCATACCTCACTGTGCTCAAGATCATTAATCAGCGCAATGAGACGGATGCTCGGGACAGCATGCTGAAGGCATTGTTCTTCGATGAGAAGACCCTCACCGATATTGTCAGCGATCAAATGTGCGGCGCAACTCTTATCTTCAAAGTCCTTACTACCCCGTTCTTGGACGACAGCGTTAGGCCAGAATGTGTCGAAAACGTGCGAAACGTGCTTCTGCAACTCAAGGCACAGCCGTCGCAAGGCTACAAGCGGCTAATGGACGAGGTTGGGCTCTCAACAAGGCATGGAAGCACGCCAGTCAGCCATGATGGTGGTCGATCTGCATCGAAGACTCGCCAAGCCAACGGACTGCCTATGCTTGACACTGCACAGAACGGCTATGCTAGATCACCTTACGGCACAATGACACCTCAGCATCAACAGCAAATGGACCAAGGTATCAGCCCTCATCTCCATCGCACGGTCAGTATGGACTCGAACAGCTTTGATCCCTACGGCAATGGCCAGTTCACACCACAGTACAGCCACAGTCCCGCCATGTCAGCAGCAGGTATCAGTCCCATCAATCCACAAATGCATCAATATCAGCAAGCTATGCTCGCCCAAGCTCAAGCCAACCAACAACGAAACGCTCCGGGCTATTATGGCGGTGGACCCATGTCGCAACCTCTCCAACAGAACGGCATGGCATACAGCACCGCATCGCCTGCGCCTCCACAGATGATGCATCAGCAGGATCCTTATAGGCAACCCATGATGCCACCGGGTATTGGAGGTGGATATCCGCAACAGCAGGGCTATGGTAGTCCCATGATGGGAGGTATGAGTGGCTATGGTGGTCAGTATGGGATGCCTCAGCAAAATCAACAGCAACAGCAATATTATGGTGGTCAGGGACAGATGGGTGGGCAGCGCAGGGGCAGGGTAAGCTGATTCGACTTGTGCTATCGCCCACAGGAATTGAGCTGACGGCTCTTGCGCAGCGATGAGATGGTCCTGAAGGGCCAGTGGACACCTATTCAATTCGTGCAATTTATCTATATACCCAGAACGATCCTCATGACTTATAGCGAGCAGGCACAATATGGGCAGGGGCAGGTTGTAAAGCAGCAGACAATGTATAAGCAATCTGTAGGGAGAGTCCAGACAATGGTCCGTATCAGATCGGGTGCATAGTCGAGACACAGTTCTGAGTGATCTGACACAGCAGAAACCGGGTAACATTCCATCAGGATCCGTTACTAGCAGAAGGCGTAGCGTAGCAACGGGGTATATAGTGATCGCACAGTCATGAGAAGTAGTACTGTAGCTAGCTGGGGCGGGGTGGAAAGTGTAGTCGTACACAAGTGCTCGACCGAAAACTCAACGTGTGTTCATGACAGCATGACAAATCGGCACTCAACATCCGCTTTCGCGACGGCCGCGATCGATTTGGAGTTGTCAATGGTGCGGCGAGGGACCTTGAAGCTCTTTCTATTTTCAAGTACAGCTCTTCGGCTCTCCTGGCGACGACGTACGCGAGGACGGTATTGTTAAGGACAGCCAGAACACGCCTTCCAGCGGAGTCTATATTGTCCTAATCAACAGAGCTGCACATCGAGCCTCTACAACTTGCTTGGTGCGTGGAAGGAAATCAATGCTCCAGGGCACACTCCGCTGGGCTCGCTGCCTGCTCCACGAGCAATGGCAGCATTGATGGCGTCGCAAGGCAATCCGGCAACTTTGCTTTCGTACGCATCTGTGGTGCTGGTCGTCGAGCTGCTTTTGATCGGGCGCTACCAGTGTTCAACAGTACCATCCATCCGCTGGATGTGGCTACAGAAACGGTCGGGAATCGTGTGTTATAAATTAGGGGGTAGCAATGCTAGTCGAGAATGGCTGTCCGGCTAGCGGCGACGACGAAGACGAAGTCAACAATCAAGTCTACCCTGTCTGAACCATGATTGATAGTGTACGATGTTCTTTGCCGGTGCATTACGTGCTACCTAGTACATGTCTGTCGAAATCCACAGAGCAACGAATTTCTTTCAAAATCCATCCCACCTCATCTCAACCCCAGCATGGCAGTGGAGTTGAGAGCACTCCTCCGTTTCGATAATCTTGTTGCAAAAGGTGCTCTGCTCTGGCATGACGCACCTCCTCGCAACGTGGCGGCAGTGCCTTTCGATGTAGGTATGGCCGCAATGCTCATTCTCATCAGCCATTGTGGAAGGTCTAAGGTACTGAATTGATACCTGCCAGTTCGAGTTCCGTATAGCTAAATGCCTCTCGCACAAACCAATGGACCCGGTGAACGCCAAACGCAAGACCGCATTCGAAGATAGTGACCCAGATTTCGTCGTTCTAGAGCAAGTTGGTGCAAGATACAGACTCATCCTCAACAAGTATTGCGTTGTACGGCCGCAATTCGTCCTCCACACCCAGTGCCTCAAGCCACAGACTGCTCTTCTCGACTTCGACGACATTCATGCAGCATGGACAGCGCTCGATCACCTTGGAGAAAATTACGTGGCCATATACAATGGTGGCAAAGATGCTGGAGCCAGCATCGGGCACAAACATCTTCAAATTCTGCCACGACCTTCATCCTTTGGACTAGACTTCCTGATAATGAAGTACCTGCGTTGCGAGGCCGACAACAAAGACGAAAAGAACGGCATCTCCAGGTCGGCCAGACAACTCAAGCTCGCTACATTATTGAGTGAGGTGCCGTATCAGCTCGGAGTACGCGGATTGTCAGACGGCATCGACAGTTCAACTGTACACAACACATACAACGAGCTGCAAGAGAAGCTGAGCTTAGATCACGATTCGCCAAACAATCTCATACTGACACGAGACTACATCATGCTCATACCACGGCACAGAGCTCACATCGACCAAATCTCTGGCTACATTGCCAACGCAGCTGCGATGATGGGCATGGTGTGGGTGCAATCTGAGAATCTTTTTGAAGGCTGGCTACAATATGGGCCGATGCGAGTACTGAACGCGCAGACAAGACCTCGCAATGGTGCACAAGGTGTTCCATGATGACTACGGCCAACGTATCAAACCATAGCAACATTCTGCCCATGTATGATATTGACTTGAGCTCGCCGCCTCCGCCGCAAATTCTGCAATAGTGACCACAGCGGAGGATAAGATTGCCACATCCACCAAGTAGCAACAACCAGAATAGTCAGAGGCAGAGTCAATGCCACGTATAACCACCACTTCACATGGTTGCTAAGCATCGTCATGCCAAAGACGGAAGACAAGAAAGTGCCGGGGAGGAAGAGCATTGTGAGAGCCGCAATGACCTTCATGGAGGTACCATCGGCCTTTGCTTCACGAGCGATTGTAGTGCTAGTGGCGGCGTCTTGTAGTGTGACGAGGTTGAACACCTGCGTTTGTCAGTGACTGATCTTCTCAAGCACAAAATTTGCACTGACCAGATTCATAGCTATGTCTTTCCTCGCCTTGTAGCTCTCCAGCCACCGTCGTTGCGCATCTACAGACTCCGCGAGATAGTCCAGCGCATCAGCCGTCTTCGTGGAAGAGTTCACGAGAGCGACAGATCCCAGGCTTTCTCGATAACGCGTGTGACCCTTGATCAAGCGACGTACGATCATGCTGGTCATGTCCGTGCCAGCTGTCATCGAATCAATCTCTTGCGACACGACGTGCAGTCCGATGGTGAGCTCCTCCAGATCTCCCTTGCCTCGCTCGTGTGCAGATTTCTTGGAATAGTTGTCCACTCGGTCGAGCTGGTCATACAGCTGATGTCGAACGGGCGTGATTACAGTCTTGGCATCCAAGAATGTCTCGTGGACTATCATGGCGTGGAACATGAATGGATCCTGATACTCAGTGGATCGAAGATTGTCTAATAGGCGTCGCTTCATTTCGCGCATCCCCAAATGATCTGAATCTCCAACGACTATGTAAGTGGTGGAGTCTGTCTTCGGCTCAAATGCCATGTAGGTGCTGAAAGGCATGTCCTTTGTGTGGATATGCCAACGCGGCTGTTGACTGAATGACTCTGTATCCAAAGTCAGTAGAGGTGCTTGAGACACGACACCACCTATCTTACCAATCCTGCTCAAGACTCCGTCCGCATTGTACTCGGCATAGTCGCCCGGTGCCCAGTAATCTGGCTCGCCGAAGAGATATCCAAGAAATTGTGGACTGAGCTTCATGACTTCTGCTAGTCGAACCAGGCACGAGGAGCTGAGGGAGACTCTGCATCCGAAGGACGTACCGTCTGCTCTGCATGTGTAGCAGAAGCTTCTTTTGCATCAGTGACTGGTGGCTCGATTGTCAAGATTGATGCAGACATACATGGCTCGGAAGCGACAAGTACCCTGCGCACTTTGGCGAGCAACATCCTTCGCTCCACGTTAGCAAAGACCTGAGCCAGTATCGAGATGCTCAAGCACAAACGTCGATGTAAGCGTGACAATGCTTGTCCCCAGCGATCGAGCGCTGCGCAATGCGACCTCGTAGGACTTCGATTATCTCAAATTGACTCTCTTCAGAGAAGTTTGCTTCATTAAGGAGTAGTCCTTGATAGTATGCAAGATCCTGTACTGCACCCACGAATGCGTCAGACGGCGATGGGTACTTGGTACTGTCGAGCTTTACTCTCGCCACCAGCTTGAAATTGCTGGCTCTCCTTACGCCCGTGCCCTTCCTGTGTTGAGCGTCGATCGCCATAGGCGAAGTTTCTTTGCGAAGCAAGCAAATGAGGTGTAGGGAAGAGGTGTACAGAACAGTATCTCCTGGTATATATGTCAAACGCCGGCGCACAAGGCCTCAGAAGGCTGGAATAGCAGGGCGGATTCTCTCGATTCGAGGATGACCCGTCAAGTGATGCTGAGCCATGCGACATTCTGCCATGGAAGGCACATGCGTTGTCGTCGCCTGGCAGCGTGGCCTGATCCTGGGTGTAGTTGAGGCCGCCCAGACAACCCATCTGGGCATAGCTTCGCAGATTGGGGCAAGGCCTCAAAGTCGTGCATGCCGCGCTCTACAACTGCCACCAAACAAAGATCGGTCTCGAGAAAAAGTGCAGTATTGCTACTTGCTCTCGGCATGCACTTCGGTGCGCCCTCCCTTAACCATTAATTCTCTCTCTCTCTCCTTATAACGGACAAAAGGCAAAAAGAAGGTGCGATGAGCCTTGATTATGCCTTTGTTTATGACCAATGAATGATCTGGATAGGAATAGCCGAAGGCGGGGCTCGAACCCGCGACCTTGAGGTGTCTTTCACATAACAAGAGTTATGATAAGAGCCACACGCTGGGAGAACAGTCAGCGTTGGCTGATCCACAGGTGTTGATCTTGGCTAGGCCAAGTCAAGGGATGGTGCGATTTACCTCTACCGATTGAGCTACCCCGGCAGGGTTTAATTGATGGCGGAGAAAGTGCTTCATCAAATATATAGAGCACTCCATGTGGCCGATGTGCTCCCGATGCCAGAGAGCGGTCGTGGCTGCTCATGACAAGGCAGAGTCAACCAGGTGAGAGCAAACAGAAAATTCTTGTTTAAGGTGGGGCCAACTTGGGAAGACTGGTCGGCTAGCAGCAGATTGTCGTATGGGGTACCCGTCGCCGTCTGGAGTTCGACCCGGATCGGTCTTCTATCATGGCTGGTATCGTTGAGCGTTCGACACCTCGCTAGTCGACATTGATTGGACTTCTGTAATCCAAGCTCCGTACAGTGGCCTGGTTCACCGCAATTTGAGGCTGTATGCTGTTGTCGAAGTCATCTGAACGCGTTGCTACGTTGCAGGAGCTGAGGTCAAGATTGGCCGATCGGAGTCCGGCCGAATCTCCGCCGACCAGCCAAAAGACCAGACGACATTAATGACAGAGCAAGGAGGACTTTCATCACAGTCGTCTGAAAGTACATTGCATGAAGCAGCTATCGTCATAACGTACAGCATATACGTATAGGAAGGAATAGTGTATAATCTGACAGACGACCATATCGCCGTGAGCTGATGTTCCGTGAGTGTATTCTGATACCACGATTGATCGTAGGACAGAAATACAATACAGCTACTCAGGAGTAGTGCAACATACAACTACATCTTCGACTCTTTGTAACAGACGCTCCGTACGCTCGAACACAGATCTGATATGACGGTTCGATGTCATCCGGCATACTGACACTTTCGATCGTTGCTGAGGTGGGACTGACCATCTCGCTATCCTCGTATATTGCGTGCTACTGCATGAAGTCGTCAGAGCACTTGACAAAGTGCATTACAGGTCTGCCTCGTTGCCCATGCTTGATCACACTGTTGTCTTGAATCTCGAGCTTGCAAACACTTTGTCAGTATACACACGATCCTCGATAATAGTCTTGTCTCTGCTTTTTTGGCCGTTATGAAAGCTGCTTACACGCTTGCTGCTCCGGCTTCCAACAATACCATTCCATACTTACGCTTCCCTACTCATCAAATCAGCATCGGCCAGTTCATGGTAGCCTTCACTCCCTAAAGAGTAGTCCAGACGAATGTGATAGCTCGAGATGAAAGACGGGAATGTTGAAGAGCCCCATCGCGAATGATTCGGTGGTCGATGCCTCCGGTTTGAGGACATTGTGCTGGTCTACGAGACTGTCGTCTTTTCTTCTCTGCTGGGATGGCCACTCGGGTCGTTGATGCGGTGTACTTCACACCGACCGCATAGGTCGATTGTATTCCAGCGGCCGAGATCTTGATGACTTTGCTAGCGTCTAAGTGGAAACAATAGGGGCATCTGGAGTTCAAGATGCAGATAGAGTTCAGCCAATGCGTAGGTCCGCCTGTCGTGCACGTGCGATCCTACAGAGTGACTTTCCAGCGGCACTAGCTCATAATAATTACAGTAGACACGGACGCGCCTAATGCACGCCTAGATTGGACGTGACAGCTCGCCAGCTGCCTTCGACCTGCAGTAGACTACTGTCGGCATCGGCTCGTGTTGTTCTGCTGTTCCTGGGTTCATCGTCATGAGTGCCATTGCAGATAGTATTGGTCGACCAGGAGAAGTGGTGGAGGATGGTCGTCCGGGCAAACAGAGCAAAGTAGAAGAGGGGTCGCTGGGTCCGGCGCGACACGACAGTAAGAATAGCGTGGTTGAAGGTCAGCAGGCGCGGGCGCAGGTACAGTCACAGTCTGCCCAGCTTACAGGAGGCTCTGCCCTGTCGCCGGACGAGCTGCAGCAGGCAGCGCTGAGGAACCAGCAAGCCGTAGGCCATAATGCAGGCATTCAGCCTCTATCATTACCCACCATCAATACGACCTGGAGTTCACCGCAGCCTACGCTGGTCCACCGAGGCAGTCCGAAGCATTCACCAGGCCTGCATGTACGCACCGACGTGGCCGCTCCCAGTAGTATGGGTTTCGCGCGGCTGAACGAGACGCCCACTATCTTCGAGACGCCAGTATCCACAGAGCCTTCACTTGCGCCGGCGCAGAGCTTGACATCACCCATGAGTATACCTGCGCGCGGATCCAGTCTTCGAAGCAACTTGTCCACGTCTAGTATCGGCTCATCTTTCTCGCCTGGTTCCGCACTGCCCTCACCGTATCTCGCTGCACTGGGTGACCTCACCCCGCTGCCTTCACCACTTATCGGTGCTGGACCGGAGTCGCCGACTGGACTATGGCGGAGACCAGGATCGGGAGGCACGCCTAATCGATCACGACAGAGTTCACTCGCCGACGACTCCATACCAGCCACCATATCAGAACTACCACCCGTCCCAGGCTCCTCGACTTCGCCTCCGAAGAAGAGGAAGGGCTACGGCAATCTACAGCAGGAGATCGTGGTAGCGAACGCTGCCGCTGCACAAGAGAATGCGCAGGGTGGCTCGCTGAATGGACACGGCCGCAACAGAAGCATATCCGAGTTCAAGCCAGAAACACTGCACAATCTCCGACCCAGGCATGTCACATTCGGACCTGGCGACACCGCATCACTGGAAGCCGCCGAGTATCACATGCAAAGAGAAGCGTACCTAGCTGCACAACGAGGACTGCATGCACCCGGCACCGAGAAGCAGTTGCCTTCACCGCCTCCTAGTACGAGCAGTGTAGCCGAGAGCGACGAGGCGGATGACGATCCTATGCTGGAAGGGGACACAGCAGCAGAATACCTGGAGATCCACTGTGGTATACACAACAAGCGACGAAAGTTCCGACAATTGCGCCAGCTCGGCCAAGGCACCTTTAGTACAGTGGTGCTCGCGACACGAGAGCGCATACCAGCAAACTTCACCCCAGAAATCGAACAATCCCTCGATCCGCATAAGCTCGTGGCAGTGAAGATCGTAAGCCATGGACCTGCGGGTGGCGCGGACGAAGAACGTATCGAAACGAGTCTGAAACGCGAAGTCGAAATGCTCAAAGCAGTCTCGCACCCGTCACTAATCCACCTCAAAGCATGCGAATACCAAACCAAACGCAGCCTTTTAGTCCTCACCTACTGTCCCGGCGGCGACCTCTTCGACCTCGCATCCCAAAAACGAGACCTTCTCACGCCTCGACTAATCCAGCGCATGTTCGCCGAGCTCGTAAGTGCGGTACGCTACCTGCATACCCACTGGATCGTGCACCGGGACATCAAGCTCGAGAACGTGTTGGTAAACATGCCCGTGGACGACCTAAGCCAGATCACAGATCCGATAGAGCATCCGACGCCGATCATCACACTCACGGACCTAGGACTAAGTAGACGTATCCCACAGCCACCTGAATCGCCATTCCTGACTACGAGATGTGGAAGCGAAGACTACGCCGCCCCTGAGATCCTGCTAGGACAGCCGTACGATGGACGTCAGACTGATGCTTGGGCTCTCGGTGTGCTCCTCTTCGCTCTTATGGAAGGGAGGCTACCATTCGATACTCCGCCTGGGAAGCCGGAGCGGAGTCGAAATACTCATCGTATTGCCAGATGTGATTGGATATGGTGCAAATTCGGAGACGAGGATGGCGAGTGGGACGAGGCTGGGCAGGCTGGGAAGGGGTTGGAGGGTGCTAGGTTGGTTGTGGAGGGGTTGTTGAAGAAGGTTCGGATGGGACGGAAGTCGATTGAGTTTATTGAGGATCTTGTTTGGGTGAGAGAAGGCGTCAAAGTGGATGGCAGATTGAAGGTGAGGGAAGAAGACGAGGACGAGCTGTGAGCCGCCTCTGGTGCAGTGATATTCCACGGCGTATGCGTTGGCCCGAACGACGGTGTTTCTGGGATGCATTTGGGCTTTTTGTATGAGATACCAAGGGCCGCTTGTTAGGAGTCATTTGTCTGCTTGGGGTTATAGTGTTCCCCTTCTGCATCGCAAGGCTGGCTGGCACAACGTTAGATAGGTATGTGTAGATGACAGCTAAAGAGCATCTCACATCTCAGCCCAATCTTTCAAGGGCAAGAGCTGCAGCAGATTGTGCAAGAAAGCCGACTATTCGACAGGTGATGCCATGTCAATGCACGGGCCGCACTCGATGGTACACGGTCGCCACAGGTGAAGACAAGTCTATTGAAGGACGACCAAGTAAGGTGCATTGTTGGGCGCTCGTGTGAGTGAGCACAGTGAGGTCACTCCATGCTCACATCGAAACGTCAGTAGCATCAGAGCCATACATAAGGCCTTTAGCCACTTCGACACGGCCACTTCACCACAATCCTCCCGTGCACACAGCGTCAACATACTCTCAACCCAAGCACGAACACAGGTTCCAACAGAAAAGATGTCACAGTACAGCTTCAACCTCATGACACCACAACGCTCCTCGTACGATACGGTCGCCAGCTACATACTCACTCCACCTGACAGCGAGAATGGCGACTACGATGCTTATGGACTTGCTCGCGAGGTCAAAGAGCTCCACAACAGCTTAGATCAGGAGGAACGCAAATCCATTATTCACATCAAGGATGCCTACGATGTCTCGGGTGAGGGCATGCTCTTCAATCTAGACATGACCTCTACCTTCAAGAACGTCTTCGACGCCTTCAAGGCTGCGTCCTCTAAGGGTTGTCGTCCTGCTAGTGGCATGGGGTTCAAAGCAGATGCAAGAAAGCTCAAAGACACAGACACCCCTGCCACGATTGTAAGTGTGCCAGCCATACACAAGCCAATGGAGCTAATCATGAGTAGCCCAACCTCAAGCACGCCCAGACTCTCTCCATCAAAGTCTACTCGAACGAGCCAGGCCTGAAGTGCGTCGTCTGTAAGGATAACGGCTATCCATCCACCAACTGCCGATATCTGGATGGGAACATCACTCAGCTTCACAACGTCCAAGAGCCTCGTGGTCGACTCATTCGCCTTCTCTTCCGCGATCCAACCCAGGCAATCACCCAGAACATCGTCACCAGCACGTATCAGTTGCGTCATGCCATGGGAGACTACGCTCGCCGTGTGGAGGTCGATCTTTGTACTTTGTACTTCTCCGATTGCGGTAGACGATACTGCTGAGGAGGTAAGTGTCGGCTTCAGGTCGATCGCTTGGTGTGCGTTGCTAACCATGCAGTAGATGGGCATGAAGAACAATTCGGTCATCGATGTTCACATGCTCTGTTTTGGTGCTTGAGTCGGCAATTGTCCCTGTCATCGATTGGCTGCCTGGAGCTGCTGAGAAACCATTGGCATGACAGCGTGAGTCGTCATAGCGTGCTAGTACTGCTACTAGCATAGGGTCGTAAATATTCACTTGGCAGGAACAAGGAAAACTAACGGGAACAACAAACTTCAAGTTTTCTACTCTTGTCATCGCTGTCGTAAAACAAAAGGTACCACGCAACCTTCTTGCACGTCCAGAAAACAGGAGGTTGTACCACACCACTCGGACCTGGACAAACTATCACTCTTGGACGCTCAGATGTAGTATCTGTATTCTCCACCTCCGCTCAGCCCTTCATATCTGTCCTTGCGACGGAAGAGCAACAGGCAGACTCGATCCAAGCGTCCCTCGGCTACTTTCGAAGTGTACGTCGTGCGGCCTTCAGCATCCTTGCGGTATTGCGGTGACGGAAAGAGTACCAGATTTTGGAGCAGCCGACCAGGTATGCCTACTGCGGTATCATCGACGATGGCCTGCGGGAGCCTCTCGTGGCCTCCTTGGCTGCCTTTATCATGGCGCTTGACGTTCTTCGATGTTGGGGAAGACATCGACCGGGGCTTGTTGGGAACGAGGCTGCGAGTGAGGCTGCGCATCTGGACGGGATTGATGGCATATAGACGGCCCTAGCTGGATTCCTGGATCGGCATCTTTTGGTGGAACTTGAGAGCCGCCTGTCTGGCATGGTTCACCATCATACATACCGCGCTTCTCAGGGTAGATCAAGGTCTCGTACGCGCTCTCTAGGTTCTCCAACCCTCGGCCTTGTTTGACGGGCACCTGCAGCATCCTTTGCGGTACGCCTTCTTGATGGCCGCGTCATTGGCAGAGTGGCAAACTGAGAGGCGCAGGTAGTGACTCGTACTAGGCCCGTCTACCAATGTTGTCTGCGTTCCAATCTGCGATCTAAATCCTTTGGCAGAGGTGTCAGATGCTTGTTGCGGCACGGCTCTCAATTCCACGCTGTCGACATTCATTAACACTGAATGAACTCTTGGGGTGGTATAAAACGTCTTCTCTTCGCGAACACAACCTGGAACACCGTATTCGCACCACTTAACACACAATGGCCGATGCAGAAGCACCATCACAGCGATACGACGTCTACACGTTAACGATTTGTTCCCCTGCGAGATTGGTGCCGATGCTGACGTACCGTACAGTTCCGCCCACATATCAGCATCTACGACGGCGAGTGGAAAATCCTGCGCGAGGCAGCGCTGGCGACCGTTCGCCAGGTCGTGGGTGCATCATCATCCGATCACACCACGAGTCCCTCTTCGTGTAGGCGTACAAGTCTTCCCCCAGATTGTGGTCTCTGCTAATGCGCCTTGAAGCTTCGCCCTGCCGGCGGGCACAGCCAACCCAATCCAACCCTCCGACCCCGTCTTCAAAGAGAAGCACACCATGGATGTCGAGCTCGCGCGTCAGGACCTTCCCGCCTAGCAAACCTGGCCACCGAGTACGGTGGCGAGAGGCGCAAGCGTAGCTCTGACGGAGATCGAAGGCGATGGCCGGCAAGAAAGACGAGAGGTTCGCCCATCAAGCGTGATCGACATGAGCTGTTATCACGAAAGCAGAGAGCCAGGTCTTCGCTGCAAGAGAAAATGTGTAGTAATGGTAGCACAGTAGCTCTGAAGTCGTGAGATCTGCGGCTTATCAGCCCTACCAAAGCATCCTCCTTCACCTCCTTCACTCCCCACGCTCGATGCAGTGGGGCAAAACCCTTAAGTACAGTCCATCCATTGGAAGACTAGAACCTACTCTACCACATGTCACATAGTCAATCAGCTTGTCTCTAATCTGTTGCTGTGACTCGACACTGTTGCGGCGGGCCCTGGCTAGTGATCCGATGCACATAAAGTCAAAGACATGTCCCGGAGAGTACCCGACTGCCCGACTCGTCTTGAACCAGCACTTCGAAAGTGTTCATGGTAGGGTACCAAGAGTTATGCCTTTGATCGAGAGTCAAAGACGTTGATACGCAGAGAGCGAATCATTCTACTCATACAAACTTTTGAACGTCATGAAGTGGTGAAGCTAGTGAGCAGGCATACTTCTGGGAGACAGAAGACCAATGATAGCAGAAAGACCATCTTGCCTTAGTATCAAAAACCCAAGAAGGCGGCGTATTGTCTCATTGTTCGAACTTTTCATTCATAGTTGTTGGGTTACATATCTGTACCCTTGCTCATCATCCTTTCGTGGATGTGGCATATCATCGGCTGTAATCAAGCATCGTGCTCTTTCTTTCTACCATCCCACTACATCTAGTAGTTGTCGGAGCTGCCTTGGTTGTAGCCACTACCAGCGCCGCCAGTCTGATCACGCTTCATAGCACCCTTCTCTTCCATCCCTTTGTTGCCCATCATTGACCCAGCCTTTTCCATAAGCTTGCCCATGGTGCTGTCGTTCTTACCAGACTTGTTGCTGGAAGAGTTGTTCTCGTCGTAGCGGTCGTTAGAAGAGCTGCCAAAACCACCTGCGCCAGAGGAGGCGCCAGTGGTACCACCCTGACCGTAGGCGCTTGTGTCGGTGCCGCCAGTCGACGAGCCGTAGGTGTCAGAACCACCCAGGCCACTGCTGGTGTTGGACGAGCCGTATGTGTCACGCCCGCCAATACCGCTGCTTGTGTTCGAAGAGTCGAGGTTGTCACGTCCCCCGATCCCGCTGCCGGTGTTGGACGAGCCATAGTTGGCACGCCCTCCGAGTCCGCTGCCGGTGTTGGACGAACCATAGTTGTCACGCCCTCCGATTCCGCTGCCGGTGTTGGACGAATCATAGTTGTCCGAGCCGCTCAACCCACTGCCAGTGTTGGACGAACCATAGTTGTCACGCCCTCCGAGTCCGCTGCCGGTGTTGGACGAACCATAATTGTCACGACCGCCGGGGCCGCTACCGGTATTGGACGAGCCGTACGAATCATCGCCTCCGAGACCGCTTGAGCCACGGCCGGTGGTACCTGACGACCCATAATTGTCACCGCCTGACAAGCCGCTGGATCCACCAGTGCGCCCGCCGCTCAGAGAGTCGTCACCATAGCCAGAGGAGCCTGTGTTGGAGCTGCCGAAAGTGTCCCTGCCGGAGTTCTGCGTTATGTCAGCTAACTATGTTCCCGACGAAGAAGCAATGTTAGACTCACACCACCAAGTCCGCTGCGACCACTGGACAAGCTGTCATCCCCGTAGTTGTCACTGCCGATGCCACCCTGGCGACCTGGAAGATGTCTTAGCTCATGGGTTCTTAACAGAACAGGGACTCTGTGTCATGACTTACCGGACTGACCAGAAAGCGTGTCGTCACCGTAGCTGTCTCCGCCTGTGCGGCCAGAGTTCTATACAAGGTCAGTGAGGGGCTAAGGGCTATGCCTGTGGGGTCCGTTTGCTTACACCGCCGGATAGACCGCTGTTGTTGCCAGACAGGCCGCTGTCATTGCCGTAGCCGCGGCCAGTGTTGTTGTCGTCGTAGTTGGACATGATTGCTGATTGTTAATAGCAGAGGTTGGTATTTGATTTGATGTGTTGAAGAGGAGGTGTTGTTGGGCTTCTGCTTTCTACCCACGATGCAGGGAGCTCTTATTATACTTCAACTCACCCTGCTTCACTAGTCTGAAATATGCCCCGAAGTCGTGCCAAGGTCACAAGCTCGATACACGTCAAGCTACGCAACCAACGTCATGCCCACTACAGTAACCAGGAACCTGGCCAGCCGGGGAAGATGATGCCGAACCCCTCCACCCACGTGTGCGCAACGACCAGAACGGATCAGGCAAGCACGCCCTGCACACCAAGTCACGAGCAGGTTTATAGCACGAATCCAACTTGTGAGCTCTTTAGCCTCGCCAATGGCAGTTTCACAATTGAGCCAAAACCTGGTAGCAAAATGGGAGCTGACGACGAGTGGCTCGGTGGCTTCGCATAACGAGGCATGATATACCACCCTTGTGCCATGATCCGGCATCTGAAGCTCTTCACTACTTGGCCGAGCAAGAGCAGGATTGATTGCGGGTGGTGGCGAAGAGGGGAGCTTGCGCTGCCTTGCACCTGCATGTCGTCGTTTTAAGCCGAGAACATGACGTAGCTCCAGGTGGGGGCGGTCTCGATCGAATCCACGTGATTTGGGCGAGTGGAGACTTTTGAAGAGCGTGTGGCGTCGTATGCAGGTCTGCCGCCCACGATCTTCGATGAACTTTGCCATGTGAGATTGGACTGTTCGTCTGAGCATTCGCAAAGTGATCGTGGCATGAACACGATCTGTCCTGATGCGCTCTCCCAAAACGAATCTGAGTGTTGCAGAGTCCCATACATGAGACCACCGTTTATAGGATCAAATGAAGAATGGGAGAAGCGTGCTCCAAGGCATCACATGTCTGACACGAGATCGCATCAATGATGCCTTGGGCCTGATGTCGCTCAGCCTTACTATCATCGTGTCCTCTGTAAGATGTTATCTGCAAAGCATTTGGCTGGCTGCGGTAGCCTCCATCCGACTCTTCTGCTTGTTCACGATCTTCTCCAAGGCTGGTTTCGCTTCATCTTCATAGATGAGCCACAGCGGCATATCCAACCACTCCAGCCCGATCACCCTAGCAACAATATAGACTATGAACTCGTACAGCTATGGCTGAGCTATGCTCAACTATACATGGGGCAGATCGGAACGAACCACAACTCGGTTAACCAGGTCGCTCTTACAAGGCCCGTGCACGTTGGGCAGAATCTATCCGTCCCCAAGCCGCGCAGCAAGAACACAAGCTATCGTAGCGGCCACCAGGAGGTTCAGCGTGGATGATGTGAGGAGACTATTCAGCCCCGGAAGAAAAGAGATACTTTCAAAAGAGCTACATTCCTCGTCTCGCATAAGGTCTGAGATAATTGCCCTGCCGACGGCTTGGCCTTTATTATGAGTATCAAAAAATGGCGAATAGCGAGAGGAAGCCGATGCCATAAAATCTTAGGTAGGACTGCACTTGACAGCGGCTGGTAGGCTAGCACCTGACAAGCTTCGACATATTTCGCTAATCTCTTTGGCAGTCGAAGATTTCGCGCCTCTCTACGTCAGCTTGTGCTTAGTAGTAGCGTTGTACTGCATACCTCAAATTCGACGAAGGCAAGTGTATTCAATGCACTTCGATCTCTTCCGACTTAGCAACATTGCTTTCATCCCGAAGGACACGTACCAGTCACTGCGTAAGATCGATACCTCTTCGACCGCATCCGACAGATTCCATCAGACCAAGTCGTTTACACCACTCGCGACCAATGGTAAGCCACGATCAGAGCCCTTCACTGATGAATGCAGACGACCAATATCGTCCGAGCATGCCGGTATCAGTACCAGGTCCTGCGAAGATGGTCTCAACGGTATCGACCGTAGCCTTGACATACGATGATGCGAATGAGAGGCCGGGAGTTGGACACAAACCGAGGGGATGATCTTCCGAATGGAGAGAATCATAGATTGCGCAGCCTCGGAACGATTTCCCTTGAGCATAGCTTTGTCGCCACATATCTCCTCTAGTATCACGGTTGACACGATATCGGAAATGCATGTTTTTGATGTCACAGAACGTGCGTTCAGTCCATGCATGTACCTAGAGTCGCCGATCGGATGGGAATATCCGGGGGACCGCGCAGTCTGGAAGATCTCTTTATCCGACGAGAGCTCAAGCACGCACTAAAACAACAGCTTTCGAGATGGGTATGACGGTGGAGAGGATGTTTAGTCGCTCGTCATCTGTTATCGTGTAGTCATGACTTTGAAATTTGACAATAGTGGTTTCGTGCTTGGTAAAAGTGGTGACTATCAGAACCGTAAGTACGGTGTACAGCTTGGCGTTGTAGGTCGGCTGTCATCGTCCTGCTGGCGCTGTGGCGTCTGATCGTGGCTTCCACGCGAAGGTCATGGTCGTTGAGTGAGCCAGGAATTGGTGATCATTGAATGTTTTATCATGTATACGGTGCCGTACTGATCCGCCAGAATATGATGTCCTCGTTCAAACCTTGCAGTAGATTTGAGCTTGCGCCTTTGCAGCAGTTCTGTCATGGATCTAATTGTTATGCCGGGCGATTGATGCAAGGCCCCAAAAATGCGCGTACTGTGTCGAAAGAATTTGTGCAGGACAGCGTATTTGTAGTCTTTAGTGTTGCCGAAAGTGATCGTAGTCTACCATGTTCTCTCGATTGCATGCACGTGTGTGCGTAAAACAGATAGACCACCTATCTCATGCACGCAGTATCAGGTTAATTGCCATGTATGAGCTCCGCTTGTGAAATGAGGCTCGGTGAGCATGTCTTCCCTCTTAACTTTCTATGCCAGCTCAAATCGATATCATAAGGTAGGTATGCTTGGAAACGAACCAGAGATAGTCTTTTCCATGGCGGAGCGCATTGGCTTCGGACTTAAGTCCGAAGCCGTGATGATCGAGAAACTGGATCCCGATGACTGCCGCCACCCATCTCGCCCATCCGCCAGTGCAAAGTCATGCGTCGCATAACATCCTGGGCGGTACAGATCTTGCAAAGAAGGACAAGTTCACGTGGCAAATGCGTCGGACAAGCCTGGCAGCTGGAGATATCGCCACACTTCTAACGACCACCGACATACCCACCTGGCTCGGGGACGACACGCGCTGGCATCACCTGCCGCCAATTGTCGGCACTCAGGCGCTGCGACCAGGATAGTGCTGCACTTGAAGGTACACACACCGTACGACTAAACCATCTGCTGAGGCCTCACTCGAATCTCGTTGCATCTCACATCTGCATCTGGGGCGATCTGGATTTTTGATGCGAGATCGTGGCCAGGCCATCGCCACGATTCATCTTCCAATTCAACCACGACTCTCAACTAATTTCTAAACGTTTTCATGACGGGTTGATTGCTGGTGCGACTAAAAAGTCTTGCCTCCTTGGTCAAGTCTTTACTCATCTCGCGCTTCAAACCCGTTGTTGCGCGCACCCTCGCCTGTCCCGACAAGCTTCCTACGAAGTCGTCTATACACACCTCATCTCTGACCCAGGACCTCGCCGAGTCTGGTTTCAAGGAGGCGGCAGGTACGCCGCAAGACACCGCTTGCGCGCACAAGGCCTACTCTATTTCCGCATTGCCCGGACAAACGAGGCATCCTGGGCCAGCGCACATAGAAGACATCCCGCATGGCGTCTTTCGCGCACCTCGAGTCGTCAGACTCATCGCAGCGCCGCGAACGAGCTGCAATCGCCGCGCAGGCCTGTCAAACATGTCGTAACCGGTAAGCCGGCGGCGGGATCATCTCCGATCAGCACGTGATTTCGACAGAGCGTGGTGACTGACAGTCTTGCAGCAAGAGCAAATGTGACGAGCAACGGCCCAAATGTATGTATCGCGTGCCTGCCTCATGTGGACATGATTGCTTATCATCGCGCAGGTGGGCTATGTCAGCGCCTCAGTGTGGATTGCGAGTATCGAGAGCCTTTGCCGACGAAGTAAGTGTTGTCCAGGACTAAGGTCGTAGTCAGGAGGCATTGACAGTCGGTCTCAACCTGACTTCACTGTATCTTGCTAGGCTAGATGTTGCAAGCGGCTAGACCAGTGATCACGACAAGTTTGCTAACTGGCCCATTAGGAAAGACAAAACCATGGTCCACATTCTAGATACCTTGACCCGACTGGAGAACAAGTTCGACAATATGGCTATAACCCAGGGAAGCAGCCCAGACATGAGCTCACCAGGCGCCCATGCTTCGGTGAGTGGTACGTCGTCGGCGTCGCTCGTGAAGGCATCGCAAAGCGAGACTGCCCAGCGGAAACCAGAAGGGTCGGCAGCCAGCGATAATATGCCAAAGCCTTATCAGCACCTCACTGTACCTCACAAAATCATGCTATGGCCTGGCATATACATTCATCTGCTCAACTCTGGTATCTCGGCGGCATCTGACCTGCAGTATGTCCTCCAAGAAGGAACGCCATGGTTCATCAAGCGAGAGATGAGCAAGCATCCTGATCCACTACCATCTGACGTTGGATTACCATGCTTCACGATGGCCACTGGCAATACAGAGCAAAGCAGAGCAACCAATGTCGTTTTCCCGACTCTTGGTGTTCAGCAAATACAAGAGCTTTCCGACGCCTATTTCAACACATTTAACGTTCTCTATCCAGTACTCAATCGAGAAACCTTCATGAACGGTACTGTGGCGAAACTCCTGCGAGATGGCTACGGAGATGGCGATTCCGCGAGTGTGCTGGCTCTTCTGGTCTTCGCGCTGGGCGCTGTAGCGGTCGATGGTGTTTTCGAGAGACCTGTCAGTGTCGTCAACGGTCAGCCAAGTGGTTTCCGTGGCGGCACTGTTGACCACCCACCGGGGCTCGCCCTGTTCAACGAAGCTAGAAGAAGACTTGGCTTCATCTGGACGCAATGCACCTTAGAAAATGTCCAACTCAATCTATTACAAGCTACCTACTACGAAGCGACTTCTCGGCATCTAGACTTCTGGCGCTGTACAGTTGCCGCTTCGATGGCGTGCCAAGTCTTGATTCGTTGCGAGCCAATCGACTGGTCATCTGCTAATGGCGACCTTGTGAAACGTGCGTATTGGACTTGCGTCTTCAGCGAAGATCTATACCACCTAGATCTCGACTTCCCGCAAACCGGCATAAACACCATGGAGGACGAAGTGCCTCTACCATATTTCCACGAAGCACAAGAACAACACCAAGGCAGCAGTGTCGCAGGAGGTTCCGCCCAGGCCAACCAAGAGCGCAGTCATTTCCAGTACCACTTCCTCGCAATGATTGCGCTACGACGTCTCATCGCACGCATCCACAATGTGATACATGAATGTGAGCGTGCCATGCAGGCCGAGCCATTGTGGCGAGGCTCCCAACGGGCAAGTGGGACATCAGCTCACAAGACCCTTGCAGCATCCTCGGCCCAGGCGGAGAACTTCGACGACTATGGCGGTCCCCCTGTGGCCGTTATCAGAGAGATGATGCGGCAGCTAGACAGTTGGAGAGCCTTACTCCCGCGACCTCTGCAGTGGAGCGACAATGATAGGTTTGAGTTCCCAGCTACGGACCCCATGACCAGGCGACCGAACGAGCCACTTTTTAGTCCGGATCAAGGTCCGATACCGATTGGACACAAGTATAATTTGGATGTTGTAACGGCACAACTTCGGACAAGGTTCTACTATGCTCGATTTATGATGTATCGACCTTTCGTGTACAAGGCGCTGCATTTTCCGGAACTGATGACAGAGGAAGATGGCAACTGCTGCGCTCTCGCTCTCAAGAGCGCGTGTCTGTGGCCGCTCGCCATGGCACCGCCGAAGAACAAGAAGAGGCTAGTCCCGCATATGTTCGCGTGGACGCAGAACTTTATGGGCATTTTGCTCGTGCTTAATATGTGTTCGGTGAACGACTGTTTACGACAGATTGTTGACGAGGGTACTGTGGTTAGTAGGCGGGAGATTGAAAGTACGATCGGTCTTTTGCTAGAGTGGATGAGGGATGTGAAGCAGGTGGATGGGATTGCAGAATGGAGTTGGGGGATACTGGAGCCGTTGTACGGCCTCCGACCAGAACGATGAGCCGGCAGACTGTGAAAGAGCTCAACATGATAAATCGCTGGACCTTTGGCGCGCAGAAGGCCGGAGAAAGCCGACGATCATGGCGCTGGAGCATCCTCGATCGCGCCAAAGGAACCAAGTCGGTGGTGTTGCGAGAACGGGATGAACAGGCAGAGGCATGCTCGCCGTAGTCATCATCGTCTCGTGCCCAGAGTGTGATCGATTGACAAGCGCCGTCAAGTCGTGTGAGCGCCAAGGTGGATAATTCAAAAGTTGTAGATAGCACGAACACAAGAGATACACATTGCCACCCTTTATCATATCGTGTACATGTATTGTATTTTAAGGACTTCCTTCATCGATATGCGAGATGGAGAGAGATCCCGTTCCATCGTGCACTAGCGGTAAAAGGTAATCTGTCGGCTGTATCCGCATCATGCATGTCAGGACTATTCCAACATGGTAATACACATTGCCCTACCGTCTATGCCCGAGATGTATTCATGACACTATGGCCAAGAGATGTTCAACGGCAAATCACGACCTGTGCCTTCGAAGGATGCCCTCAAAGTGCTGTATCAGCTAGCATATATCTCGTCAGGGACAGCAGCAGGAGCGGCAACACTGTTCGCTGAGGAGCAGCGGAGGAGAACACAATATGTGCAGAGGATCGCGGATAATGCGCGGCGGGTACGGCAGAGTCCGCGGCATTATCTGAGCGCTGCTGTGGCATGTCAGGAAGGGAGTGAGGATGTAGTTGGATCAGAGGGCGGAGTGCAATGGGTGGAGCAGGATGAAGATGGGAGCGCAGAGGAGAGGCGCAGAGCCTTCACACCGCTGGGCCGGCCGTATAAGGCGCCTGACCTGCCGTCGGTAGTTGAGAAGGGGTATGTGCAGGTGCAGACACATCATGTATCGCGGGTGGAAGCTGCAGGCAAACGGTCGTACGACCCTTCTGCACCCGTACGGCCGGGAGACAACCTGCGGACGACAAGATCGGAGCTATCTGCTGCTGCCGCGAGTGTAAAGGACGATGGGATGGCCAAGTACGGCGGGCGAATACCTCCAAAGCACGAACTTGCGGCCCTTCCGAGGCCTGACACTGGGAAATCAAGACTCCGAGAGCCATACCGTGAGGCACAAGATTACGAGACATCAAGAGACCGGTCTTTTTCAAACAGACAATCTCCTTCTGGCCAGAGAGATGCTCGCGTGAAGCGGGATACGACGCACCAACGAACGAGTCAGAAGGACCTCCGGAAAGAAGCTTTGCAAGCTGAGCTTGCGTTGCTGCCATCTCTGGCACAAGAACAGTTCCGATGGATTGTCAATCATGGAACGAAACGTCCGATGGCATCGTCCCGCGAGCTCGAAGCGGCCATCAGCAGCTGCCTTCGTATGTGCCACGATGCCAAGCTGGCCATGGTCGCTCTTCGTGTGTTTCAATCCGCTAGAGAAGCGACTTCCTCTGATCATTTCCGAGAGATATGCCAGTCGTTCTTGACTCTCTGCGAGACACACGGTTCCTACAACCTCGTTCGCCGGCTGTTTGGTGCTCGTCGAATAAGCAAAGACTTTGATGTGGAGCATCTCAGCGACCAGGGGCGTGAGATTGTTGCATTTGCTTATATCCAGGTGCGTAGAAGCAAAGCTGCTTCTCGAAGCTATGCCATTAACCTATATCGAACACTACCACCGCATTTGCGCTCACGTGTCGACAGAGCATGGATGAGTCTGCCGCTACTGGATTTGTGGCGCTCAACGCATAATCTGGATCAGGTTTTGAAAGAGGCGCATGACATGCGGGTGGAGACAGAAGCCGCCAAGGGCAGCAAGGTAGCACGACTTATCGACACTACACTTCTGGAAATTCTGCTCAGTGCGAACGCTCACACCGAGGCTCTGGATTTGCTTAGCAATATGTACCGGGAGGTGCCAGACGATGCCTTGGCTATCACTGTAGCAGCCGTCTCTTTCGCTAAGAAGGGCGCATGGGATGCTCTGCAGCAAACACTGGCTGTAGCTAAAGACAGAGGATCATTCACGATATGCTCCGATGCTGTACGGAGACTGAATCATGTTATCCATCTGTACACGAAGGCGCATACGGCCGCTGAAAGTTGGAAGTTTGTTACTGGCCTCGTGGACGACCTTGGCTTCCGTCCGAACCAGGCCACAAGCGAGATCATGATGCAATGTTTCCTTGCTGAAGGATGCATATGGCTCATAACGAAGTGGCTGCGGTATGTCCGTATCGTTGGCGTCCGGTTCACGCTCGATGCGCGGGTGGCAGGAAAGATGCTGGGCAGGTTCTATGTGCAGTACCGTCCTTCGCATATCGTAATGCTCTGGTTCACACGGAATATCATGCACGGTGCCCCGGCTCTGTCGGGTCCGGAACTGATGGACCCAGTCAAGGAGGCTATCGCGTACGATTTCCGAAATATCGGTGGGCAGCATGGACTACGGAACCGAGGAAGGTTGGAAGAGGATGTGCGTGTCCTTGAAGGGTTGTCGGCAGATGCCAACAGAGCACGGGAGCAGCACGAGAAGAATGATGCTCAGTGCGAGAATGATATCGATATTGGAGAAAGTCCCGACTATTGGGATGATGAGCTGTCAAGTATGATTCACCTGGACGAAACCGTAGATTCAAGGATCGACTCAGATTCGAAGGCATTGGAGCCCTCCGGCTCTTTAGAGACGATGTCGATGGTTCACGTTGCCCGAGATGACCTGTTCTCGGGTCCTTCCCTCACAAGCGACGGCATCGAGCGAGACATGTTACTGGCCTTATCGCTTGAAAGGTACGATCAGGTCGTCTCATTATATCGCTCGTCATTGGACGCCAATGGCTTACCCATCTCTCCCTTCGCCCTGGAGGTCACGATCCAAGCATGTCTCAAACGCGACAGCGGCAATACCGCACTGGCAACCGAAATCTTACGGGAGGCGGGACAATGTGGCATGAACATCACTTGCGCCATGGGACCGATGCTTGCAAACCAAATGAAGCAGATGAGGGCAACCAGCACTCGAAAAGATATGGCTGGTCTGAAGCAAAGCGTACTCGAGTATTATCAAGTAATCGATGGGAATGGCTGGCCAATAAAGCACCACGTCGGCGTCACTGCCGCTAATCGGCTACTCAGAGCCGGGATGCCGCACCTTGCGATTGAAGCGCTGCAGACTATATTCGAGTCCGAGCAGGCTCGTAAGCGACAACCTGACATTGTGGTATTTACTGCCGCCCTGCGAGCATACACCGCCATAAGATCAGAGAAAGGCATTAGGGTCATCTTCCGTAACGTCCTCGATAGCAATATGCGCATCGACCAGCGCTTTTTGCGGGTTGCGAAACTAACCCTCAGACAGTACAGATTGGAAGTCGAGGCCGGCAACCGTATTGAGACAAATCTTAATATGCGACGCCATTTGGTGGACTTCATCCGGGAGTGCCATGATCGGAGGCAACAGCAGATGTTCGATGCGAAGATCATAGGCAGGAAACTGGTTGCATGCCTGATCAAACTTTCGAACGAGGCGGAGAAGCCGACCGTCCCGCTAAATCTCCGAGCAGATATCGAGACAAGCATTTTCGGGGCTGCAGATGGTAATGCCAATCCTCAATCAGTAGAAGTGAGGGCCAGTCAACCTCAGAGGCAGCGCGATCGTTCACAGACGCGGAAGTCGGCCATTCTACAGGCTGTACGAAGTGATCACGGGCTGGATCGGTACAAGTCCCGCACTAGTGCTCTGCAGCACGATGGTCTGAAATGGCTACGGCAGTATCGAGCATATTTGCGACTTGATCTGGTCGCACCCGGAAACAAGGTCGCATCTTTTCGCTTTCGGGAGGTAGAGGACAACGCGAGGTTGTCCTCCTACGGTGGCGGGCCAAAGATAGTACGAAGGTGTTTGTCGTAGAGTGAGAGGACTATACTGTACTATATCACGAACTGCATAGCGAAGGCGAAGACAATCTAGATGTGTGGTGAGATTCATAAGATTAATGCGAGATCATCCTGATCGATTCATCCTTTTTGGCGAGCACTTCAGCCATTGGCTCGAACAAGGATACACCCAGCTCCCACTCTCCACCTTCTCCATGTCAGCCTGAACATGCATCGCCGTGAGGAGAATGAAGCAAGGGCACTTGAGTCGGCACTGCGCTTGTACACCGGTCCAGGGAGGAGAACATCAGCGGCTGAACACTCTGGGACCAATTAAACATTGAGTGAGACTGCCGGGAGTTTTGTGACTCGTGACCTTGACTCAGCTTACCCACAACCCTATCCCTATTTCACGAGTGCCGTGAGAATAACGAGAAGCTTATCGCGAGCCGGTGGGGAAAGATCGCTGGCGTGTGCTGGGTCTGGAACTGTGTCCGGGAAACTCTGACTGGCTCTCCTATCCGGCATGCGCGCACATGATGCGATTTGTTGGCTCGTTCGTGCTTCCTGCCTTCTAATACTCTCGTTACCCTTCGCTGATACCTTGCATTGGTCGGTCTTGTGTACAATATCGTGGTGTTTTCCGCCATTCGCACATCGACGCCGCGTTGTCCCGTCTCGTGTTTCTGGAATCTCACCAGCCCGCCAAGGCCGACACTCGGACGTATGCGGTCGGACGCCTTCAAAGTGGTAATAATAGGCGCACATGCATGAGCAGGGCGTGCGATGGCAGGGAGGGCGGGCGCGGTGGTCGAGACACGACGGCCGAGCTTTCGCAAGGGTTTGAGGGATGCTGAGCAGTTGTTGCCGGAGGAGTATCTGGATCAATTGGAACAGAAACGGAAACAGTTGGATGAGAGTATACATAAGTATATCGCGTCTAAGGAGCGCGAGTATAAGCAATTTGAAAGGGATCTGAAACATCGGAGCAAGACTAGTGGTGCGGCGACAGCTGTGGCTTTGGCAACGGGTGCGGGCAATCAGTCACAGGTGTTAGAGCAGAGTGAAGGGAATGGTATGTTATCCTTGCCGAAACGACGGACGAGCTCCGAATCTACACAGAGCACGACTACCGGAAGTCCATTCCTTGCAGGGCAGCAGAATGATGCTGTGAACGTTCTACTCTCGTCTGGTGGGCGGAGAGTAGCAGATGCTCAAGTGGTGGACGAAGAAGAGCCAACGGAGCGGACTGCTTTGGCTGGCTTGCAGGACACTCGGTCTAGCGAAGAGAGAGAAAAGGAGCTCATAGGACTCTTCACGCCATCCTACTTACCAGCCATCGACCACAAGGACGAGACACCGCTGGAGCTAACAGAATCTGCTCCGCCTGACGTCGAGCCCTTGAGTGAGATTGCCACAGGACCTGACGCCACCAATCCAGTGCCTGACGCTTCCAATCCCGCATCCTTGACACGGACTCCCTCCGACACTGCAGCCAACCCCAAGGTCAAACGGCCCGCGCATCTCCAGCTCTCGTCGAGAACATCGTCGTCCGGCTCCAGCGCAGATGGGAAGCTGGCTTCAGCCATGAAATCACCATCGCATACTGCTCAACGACCGAAGAGGAAACGTGTATCACTGGCTGTAGGCGATAGCATCGTAGCACCGAGCGACAACGTGCCAAGCGCCCTCCATATCAGTAGCACGCCATCGCACTCCCGGACCAGATCGCCAGATAGTGATCGAGCGGCTGGTGTACCTGCCGGGATCTCGGCCACCCTAGACTTTGCGAAGAAACCTCTAGCCGCCTCCACAACAAGTCTAAGTACTTCAACGGTGGGCGGAGCATCGACAGTAGTGTCGCCCCCACATCCAGGCGCTGCTGGGACAGTGGCTGCCACGTCGCCTACAATTCGCAATATCGATCCTGATGGAGACCTGTTTGATCTCGAGGACGAGGCAGAAACGCCTGCGCATGCCACCATGGACGCATCTGAGAACGCCCTGACAGATGAAGATGAAGAGAGTGAAGCCGAGGGTGTATCTGGCCGAATCGCCACAATCCCGGATCACAATGGGTCGGCATTGATACCCACCACATCGCCGAGTGCATCGGGGAATGAAAAGTATGCCTACGACCCAGAAGCAGGTATCGTACCCGAACCATCCGACACCAGAGAGCCCAGCTGGAGTGCCGAGCAGAAAGAAACCATCGATCTTGACTTCGGCCCTGGTTCCTCTGGTTTCGCAGCGAATGCATCACAACAACCCGCGGTGCCGGGTTTCAGGCGACCGTCTGTAATCTCGGATCCCAAGTTCCGTGGAGCAGACTACAGCACCGAAGAGCTCAAGGCCGCGACGGAGGAAGTGTACGGTTCCTCGTATACACGGCCGACGAAGGGCTCGTTCACGGGTGGATCGCTGGGGGAGTCTTATATGGCTAAGCATGCGGAGCAGATGATGCAGCTGCGGCTGGAGAAGCGGGAGCAGGATGTACGATAGTGGGTTTTGGGAGATGGGTGGCGGGGATGCTGTGTAGGATGTGTATATATTGAGGGCCAAGAGAGTATGATATCTGCCAAAGCATACGAGGGCCTCGTCCTCACTACCATGCCCAAAGAGATCATCTTTTGTAGGTTCGCTCTTCCTCTAGCTTGCCGCAGAATAAGCAACGCTCTAACTTCCTGCCAAAGGGTGCTGTATAGCGCTCCCCGCTGTCCTGAGCAGCAGGTACCAATGTTACGTGCGCCCATCCATATGCTAGACGCTACGGCATCGCGCGGGTCCCATCGACAGTAGATGTAGTGCAGCCATTGTAAATGGATGGAGTCGAGCCGAACACGTTCATATCTACCTGCTATCCGCTGGTCTGCCGACCAACGGGGTGGCGGATGGGTAGTAGCAGATCGTAGTCGAAGACTGCTCGTGCTCCGTATACATGGCGGTAAAGCGAACGTAGACAGTCATATGACCGGTGGCGGAATAGCAGAAGGTGGTGAAGCTACGATAGTCGAGAAAGAAGAATGGCACAACTTATGCGCAATAGACGAAAGGTATGTGCGCATTCTCCGTGCAATTGCGTATTATGAGTCACGATCCATAAGAGCCCGCACCCATACACATCTGCCAGACAATAATTCCTCTCTCTACCTGCCATCTTCTCCGCCCACCGACCTCAAGCAATACCCACCACTTCCCGATATAGCGGCACCAGGACTCAGCGCCTGCTCGGAAAAAGTATAATCCACGATACCCTACCACAACATACCTGTACACGCATTATGGCATCTTTCAATCCAGCCCGATCGCGGCAGCTGCCGAAGTCCCAGCACTATAACCAAGCAATCAATCTTTCAGTATTCACATATACTGCACAGCACAATTACTTCAGGGCATAAGGAAGGATAAACTTACCTCTTCCGCCTTGCTGCGTCCAGAACAGCCTTCGCCTCCTTGGCCGCGAGTTTCAATTCCGCGATCTCGTAAGCGTCCTCGAGGTCTGCAATGTCGAGACCTGTGGTGCTGACGTTGGTCGCCACGCTCGTGCTCTGCTGCTGCTGCGGGGCTAGCGACATTGGTATCGGGATTGGGTTCGGGGCGCTGAGGTCCCTCGAAAGGCCCTGCTCTGTGATAGGGCCGCTTCGCTCGGAAAATGTGGAGAGGCGAGTCAGGGCAGGTGTCAAGGGGTTGTCTGTCTCGATCTTGATACGTTTTCGTGCTGGCTCCGGTGTGTCGCAGCGGATCTGATCCTTGAGATCTTGTTGTTCATCGTGCTCGTCGATGGTGGGCAGAAATTCTTCGTCGTCTTCGTCGTAAGCGTCGGGATAGTAGGAAGTGCAGCGACCTGTCGCAAGGCCACGAGTTGTGCGGCGGGTGATCATTTCTTCTGCGCAACCGTCGTCTGTTGTTGGTGCGGCGCGGGAGCGACGTAACGTATACGTGCTGACGATCGGACCGAGTGCGACGGAAGGTGCTCGCGCGACCTCGGAGGCGATGTTGCAAGCCTGTCGCATCAGCTCATAGAGTGCACCCGTAGTCCTCGAGCCTTTGATGATGCCCCGTCGGTGGTCTGGCAAAAGATCGTAGGATTGACGGATACAAGCATGCATTGTTGGCAGGTCGCCTTTGGTGCTCGTGGCAAGGTTGGTTATAAGCTCGAGCAGCATCGTCGGCCAATGCTGAGCCATTTTGAGCACGACTGGATTAGACTCTGCCGTACCAGCGACGATCTCCGTTGGAGTCGCATACCCGGGGAGCCATGTCGTGTAATCCTCGCCGCAGATGGATGAGATATCGGCAATGTTCTTGGTCCGTCGTTGCCTGGTGACTCTGCCTGCTTCGTCGAAAGAAGCACTGATCTTGCGGGAACAGGCCCAACCCACTTTCTTGGATTTGGACCTCGACTTTCGAGTGTGGTGATCGCCGGTACTTACCGTGATGGTTGTGTCTGTTGTGTCTAAGACGGTACTTGGGGGAGCAGTTGTGGTAATTGTGTCAGGCCTGGTAGGGTTGTTGTCGGCTGCAGAACTGGGAAGATCTTGCTGGGCTGTGTGGAGTGCCGTAGTAAGCGCGGCTAGAGGGTCTTCGGGAGGCGCTATGTCGACGGGTGTCGTGCTGGGCAGTGTAGCCACATGGCAGCCTGCAGCAGAGCCTGGTTGGGCCACCATCGTCGTTTTCTGTGGCACGAGACGCTGGTCCACACCATCGTTTGCGGTAGCAGGGTGGCGAGTGACATCTTGAGCGAGGTACCATCGAGGAGGATAGTGCTGAATATACGGCAAGTGCTGTCTCACCCAATCTTCGCCAGGCATTTCATGGCGGTGTTTGCAGCGCTGAGGTCCAAGGTGACACCATCCGCGTCTGATCCAGGCGAAGCAGTACCTGTAGACGTCGTGATTGCTAAGCTGTCGCGCTTCGGCACTGGGGGGGAACTCCTCGTGAGCGCCGTTTGTGATGAGAGGGTCTGGTCTGTAGTAGTCGGGGTACCTTACCGCCATATCGGCAAGCGTATTGGAAGTGCAGAAGAGGTGGAGGAGGTGAAGGAAAAGAAGCGAAGGGAGACAGGAGAAGAGATGAATGACGAGTGAGTTCGCATGTTCGGTTGTATGCCACTCAATCGACGGCTAGGTCGTTTGCACGCCACCATTTGCATGCCCAACAGACCGGGGTACGCTCCTGCATAGTCCAGACACGGGTCTGACACCGCGGCAGATCACATGAACTTGTTGCCTACGACGCACGCTTGACAGGGCAAGATGTAGGATCCCGACGTCGCTGGTGGGTCTTGATGTGGAGTGTTACCATGCATCGCATGTATCAGAGCGGCCTGACTGGTACGTCTCTCAGGCAGGAAGACGAGCACCGCAAGCTGGTAAGTCGGCCGGCGAGTGTCCAGTATTTCAAGAGCGGACGGGGATGCTGGGTACGGACGATCATATTGATGGTATAGAAGTGGTGGCTACAGCGCGTTGCATCTGTCCGCGTCGCACATTGGGCCCTGTAACTCTCGGTGTACGTGGTCTACTGCTTGAGATGGAGGAGTCAGATATGGCAAACGCCTTCACTACCATTTAACTAAGATGTCCCAAGACAGCCGCCATGTTGGATCGTGGTTGAAGATCTCCTCGCAAAAGGCTTCCCAGGAGGTGAAGAACAGCTCCCTAAAGTAGCTTAGCCTTGTTTTGGCGAGCTGTGGTGTTGACAGTTGGAGAGATTAGCATAAAGCAGCACAAACTCCCCTCGCTTTCACGACGAGCCGCACTTTTCCATCTCTCGCACCACTTTCAGCCCCGGCCCCAGCCCCAAGCTCGGACCAATTTTATACGTCATCTCTGCAGCTCACTACCAGTAGCTTTGTTTGCATTTGGCAACATTGGATTATTGTTCTAGGAAGGAACGTGAGAGAGGCAGTACGTACTCGCACCTTCGCGTGTTGGCGCTGGCCCCAGTCGCGCCACCAATCCTCAAGATATATTGTTCTGTGAATTGTGCCATGAATTCGGCATGGATTATCGACCACAAAGTCCAGACCTTTCCTCGCTCCTCCACGCCCCACAATCACCAGATTTATCGGGCTTGAAACAAAATCCCACAGTACAACCATCGCCACGTTTTACTGGTTCTTTTGGACAACACTATCAACCCCAACACAATCGTTTCTCGAGCGCCTCATACTCTAGTCACGGCTTTGCTGGAACTGTGAGCTCTTCTCCGACATCTGTGCCACAATTCCAGCAACCACAGCAGGAGATATATAACTACAATAGCCAACACTCCACCGACATGGCACGAGCAATGAAGAAAGAGGCGCACGAAGACGAGTGGATGATGGATGCGCACGACTCGAAGCGAGCACACAACGGCCAGCAACAACCCTTCGGTCAGGACCTACCCGACGCAACTCTCGGCGTCCACCTCAAAACCTCCTTCCCTGTCGCCCGAATCAAGCGCATCATGCAAGCCGACGAAGACATCGGGAAAGTCGCCCAAGTTACCCCTCACGTCGTCAGTCGAGCCCTCGAACTATTCATGATTCGACTCATCACCGCATCCGCCCAACAAGCCAGTGGTGGAGCAGGAGGCGGCGGCAAAGGTCCAAAGAAGATCCAGGCACAGCATATGAAGCGTGCGATTCAGGGCAACGAGAATTTCGACTTTTTGAACGAGATTGCGGTGAAAGTGCCTGATGCGCCGGCTAAGACGAGTAAGAAGCAAGAGGTTGATAGCGATACCGAGGACGCGAAGCCCAGGAAGAAGAGCACGAGCAAGAAGCGTAAGGGATCGGGCGACGATGTCTGAGCAGGGCCTGGAAGCAAAAGATTCTTCATAATTAAAACTGTATGGGCTAGGAACGCTCAGTATCCGACCACTGAGCAACAGAATAGTCTGGCTGTTGGAAAGAATAGTCTAGATCGTTGCGAAGCGAGAGGCCCGTTAGAGGATGCCCAGGAAAGTTCTCGAGCCGTGGACCATAAGCATGAGAAAATGTAACGGCACGGGCCGTCCTGTCAGCTCGATCGAGAAGGATCAGCTCGATCGAGAAGGAGCAGCTCACTGAAGCTCTTCCCCGCATGACGATGGCCATACCAGTACTACCTCGGAAGATGATTGCGAGTGGCCGTAGATGACAGTACGACGCAGATGAGATATGTATTATACCTAATTCACAGCTTACTACACCCAATGCATCCTCCTCTCTGCACTCATAGCATTCCCATTCACCACATCTTGCATTGACGCACATCACTAACCCGCACACCACCACCAACATGGCCAACCAAAAGAAAACCCTAGACGATGTCAAAAACAAGAACCTCCTCAAGCACAAAGGCCTCATCAACGGCGAATGGGTCGATTCCGCCTCCAGCGCCAGCACCTTCGACGTCGTCGACCCGGCCACCCTCGACAAGCTCGCCACCCTCCCCGAAATGGACAAACACGACACCGCCCTCGCCGTCGACGCCGCGCACACGGCCTTTAAATCCTGGAAAACCACCTCCGCCCGGCAGCGCGCGAGGATGCTACGGAAATGGTCGGATCTCTGCCTTGAGAACGCGGACGATCTAGCTTTGATAATGACGCTGGAGAACGGTAAGACGTTGACTGAAGCCAAAGGCGAAGTCGTTTACGGCGCCTCCTTCCTTGAGTGGTTCGCCACCCAAGCTGAAATGATACACGGCCAAGTCGTGCCCCCTGCCAACCAAAACCAACGCATCGTCACTTTCAAACAACCTATCGGCGTCGCGGCCTGTTTGGCCCCCTGGAACTTCCCTATTGCGATGATCACGCGGAAATGCGGCGCTGCGCTCGCCGCGGGGTGTACGACTGTGTGGAAACCTGCCGGCGAGACGCCGTTGAGTGCGATTGCGCAGGCTGTGCTGGCCGAGGAGGCTGGGTTTCCGAAAGGCACGATCAATCTGATCACGAGTTTGACGACGGTCGCGGAGGTGGGGGAGGAGCTTTGTGTGAATCCCAAGGTGCATAAGCTTTCTTTTACGGGTTCCACGCGGGTGGGGAAGTTGCTGATGCGGCAGTGTGCCTCTACGCTTAAGAAGCTGAGTTTGGAACTCGGGGGCAATAGTCCCTTTATCGTTTTTGACGACGCGAAGATGAGTACGGCTGTTGAGGCGGCTGTTCTGGCGAAGTTCCGCAATTCGGGTCAGACTTGCGTGACGGCGAATCGGGTCTTTGTGCAGGCGGGGATTTACGATGAGTTTGCTAAGCAGCTCACTGAGCGCATCAAGACGCTCAAGGTGGGTGCGGGGACGGATAGTGATGTTTTTGTTGGACCCCTGACGCACGAACGGGCGGTGGAGAAGGCAGTGGCTCATATTGAGGATGCGAAGAAACATGGTGGGGAGGTGGTGTACGGTGGGAAAGCCATGGAGGGGATGGGCAAGGGCTACTTCCTCCAACCTACCGTCATCACGGGTATGAACACCAAGATGCTCACCACCCGCGAAGAGACGTTCGCTCCCGTAGTCGGGTTATATAAGTTCGAAACAGAGGAGGAGGTGATTGCCCTCGCGAACGACTGCGATGTCGGCTTGGGTAGCTTTGTGATCACGGAGAATATGGCGCGGAGTTGGCGCGTGGCGGAGGCCTTGGAGGTGGGGATGGTGGGTGTGAATTTGGGGATGCTGAGTGCGTGCGAGTCGCCTTTTGGCGGGGTCAAGGGGTCCGGGTTCGGGCGCGAGGGGGGGACGCAGGGGATCGAGGAGTATCTTTTCACAAAATCTATGCTGATTAATGTGGCGAATTGAATGGAAGGGTTTGTTCTCGATAAGAACGACATTTAGCAGGTGCGTCTAGTCTTGTTGAAGTAACAGTCCAACCTGGTATATGTATAAATATGCTGCTTATGCTGTGGAGTGCTGTGCTCGCCCTTTGATGTTCCATGCCCTCTTGACGCCTTGAGATGTATGAGTGCTCGCAGACCCAGCATGTAGTCCCGCTGTGTAGTCTCCGCATGTGGCGTTCTCAGCTTCCGTAGCACCGCCCAGTACGCCGTTCATTTTGTATACCCAGTTAAATTTAAAAGTCGTGGAGAATTGAAAGATTGTCCAAGTAGTGGCCGCAAACCAAGCTGGCCATAGAAGTGTGGAGTAGTGCAAAGTCTTCGAAGACGGGAAAAGAGGACATGTCCAGGTAGTGTCCGGTGCGATGTACGTGCTGCACGCCCGTGATCTATGTCATTAGACGTAAGGAACTGTGTACCCTTGCTCGATCCCTCAATAACGCCGCGCCGTTGTCGTATGCAGTCATTCCTCGTCATCGTCCCCGAAAACGCTATCCGCTGGGTCCGCATCCGAGTCCTCAGGCGGTGGGGTCTGCAAGCGAGTATCACGCGCGGTCGACAAATCCGGCCCTGCTGGTTCATTCATCTGAAGATTCGAACGCTTGCGAGCCTCGAGGACCAGCGTCGTGGAAATGCTCAGAGAGCGTTTCCGCCGGGCCTCAGATCTCTCTTGTCGTCTCTCTAGGGACCTCTGCTCAGATTTGAGGTGCCCGATATGGTCGTGCTCCTGTTCGCAGAGAACGCCGTCGTCGTGGACATGCCATCTACAGGGTCCTTGGAGGTAGGCTTGCCATTGAATCGGTGATGGTGGGACACGGGTCCGGCGGAAAAGCGTTTTGCTGATATCTGTCGTGATGCCGTGGTACCACCTCATCGACGCCGGGGCTTGGCTGCGGTCCATGTAGGGTACGAGCGTCATGCCCGTGTAGTGCATCAGCAATAGGAGAAGCTTGGAGTTCTCGCCGGCGTGTTTCTGGATATATGACACCGTGGCGGGCTCCAGTAGTTGTGGCACCACCTGAAGACGGTATCGGAAAGTATCTACCAGCAGGTCTTGAAGGCCGTTGACTAGGTACCGTCTCGCGAAGACGTAGAGTTTGGCGATGGCATCGTAGTCGAGTAGGATCGCGAGGTTGGCGGGCGGCTGTTTACTGTCGGGCACGGAGAGGAACATTGTGAATTGTTCGAATGTCGCATGCTCAACGTTCTTGAGACACACTTTGTTGTCATTCGCTTGCTGTCCAGCTTCCCTCCATGTACCCGAGAGGATACTGTTGAAGAACCTTGAGCTGGCGCACAGGGCCTGCTTGTCCATGATAAACGTCTCCTTAGCAGTATCCAGGCCGACCATAATCTCGACGGTCTCCTTGACAGAGCCAGCAGCTACGTCAGCGTTGCTGGTGTCGACACTAGCCTCCTCACCGGGGACGTGGGCTTCGCTGTTTCCATTTTGATGTGCCTGAACTTGCGCTGTTCGCCTCAAAAACATTTGAAGTTCGCGCACTTCGTCCCGCCACATTTTGAGCTGCTGCGAGAGCTGATAGGGGCGTTCTTGAGCATCTCCACTGGGACTCTGGGCGTCGCCACTAGGACCTTGCGTGGCGCGATCCCGAGTCCGGGATATAGGCAGTGTCATCGTGTTCTCGGCCATTGCAATCTGAAGTGAAAGGCAGGCTCACGAGGAGTGTGGTGTCTGGTAATTTGCTTACCTACAAGCACAAAGGGCGCAGGGCAACCTTTTTGAGGGGAAGAGAGGAAGAAATAGAGGAACGTGCGTCTTGTCTTACCTTTGAGGTGAATGTTATTGGGTCCAGAGTTGTTGGGTGCCCGTCACGTGCTCTTGCAGTGTTGGGGGACTCGTACTGCCTCACAGCCATCAATGGGAGTGGTATCATAAGTATCGTCTGCAACGTGGAGCTCATGGCAATATTGTGGCAATGTGGAAGAACTCCGCCGATCAGGAGTCCCGGGAGTGGTACTTGTGATGCTTCAGGAGATGTTGGCAGTCAACAGCTCAAGGGAGATCCAGCCTGGCAGTCCAGTGGGCTCAAGCGTAAAGGTCATGACGGAGGAGTTCGGTGGATCTACAAAGGCCTAGCATCTTTGCATCTCGAGGTCGGGTCGAGGCAATCGATTTGGTGATCACGACTGGACTGTCAAGTCTGTCACGCGCAATAGCTGTGAGTCCACCCTGAAAGTGCTCACAGGCTATGCAGAAGTAGTGTAGATGTGTTGTCGTGCTGCATACAAGCCATGGATATCATAGCACCTGCTCATCAACATCCTGAAGGAGGTGTTATTGGGAGGTTTTGCTGGAGGATGAGGATTATTAAGTGAGGCGTTTCCGACCAGCGCCACAGCCGAGATCGCCCATGCAAGCTGTCTCCAATGCTTGACCCTGTCGATCAATCATATATTGTTCTGATATATTGATCTCTCATGTGCACTCGAGTCGCTTGTGGCACTGGCAGGTCTGATCATGGTCTTGCGGTAACATTGGAAGACTTGAACAACTGCAACCGGCATCATGGACTCTGCAGGTAGTATAAATGCAACGACATGGTCAATCATCGACACTCTGACCTCAGTACCTATTGGAGCATGGGCGGGTCTAGCATTTGTCTTCATATGTGGTATTCCCATATTGGTATGCAAGCCCATCTGCCTTTCCTGAAGGTACAGAGACTGATCAATGACGCAACAGCTCATCGTCGCACTACGAGACTATGTCAAAGACCCTCGACCACCTAGGCGATCCGAGAAGCAGTATATCACATGTCAAGCCAATGGCAAAACCTCAACACCACAGCCGCTAACATGTTGGTACGACAACTACCTCGCTCTCCGAGAAATGGCAGACCGCAAACAAATCTCCATCGACGAAGCACATCAGATCCGAGACGCAGAAGTGTTCATGAGTCTAGTCGTACCTGCATATAACGAGGAGGATCGGTTACCAGGTATGCTGGAAGAGGCAGTGGAGTACCTGGAAGAGCAATACGGACACCACGGGACTGTCAGCAAAAGCAGTAGCAATGGTAGTCTGCAAGCTAGTGGACGGCAAGGTGACCCGAACAGAGGCTGGGAGATCCTCATCGTGAGCGACGGAAGCAAGGATAAGACGGTGGAGATAGCTCTGGACTTCGCGAGGACACACCAGCTCAATAAGCCCGCGCCTACACCTAAGGGACCATGGAATGGTGCGGGAAGGCCGACGAATATTACTCCTGGTGCTATCAGAGTCGTGCAGCTGGAGGAGAATAGAGGTAAAGGTGGTGCGGTTACACATGGTATGAGGCATGCGAGAGGGACATATGTGGTCTTCGCCGATGCGGATGGTGCAAGTCGGTTTGGCGATCTTGGCAAATTGGTGGTGGGCTGTGAGAAGGCGAAGGACAAGCAAGGGCGGGCGGTGGGTGTGGGCTCGCGGGCACATATGGTTGGTACTGAGGCTGTTGTGAAGGTGTGTGCAATGGGCCTACTGTGGTAATCTATGACTGACTTTGTTTGTAGCGATCACTCCTCCGCAATATGCTCATGCGTGCCTTTCACCTCTGCATCTGGCTCCTGACTACCGAGAAAACGGCAACGATCAAGGATACACAATGCGGCTTCAAGCTGTTCTCTCGGCCTTCGTTACCTTACATTATACCTTATATGCACTCTGAAGGATGGATCTTCGATGTCGAGATGCTGATGCTGGCCGAGAGCGCCGATATCCCAATGGTCGAGGTACCGATCGGATGGAAGGAAGTGCAGGGCAGCAAGCTGAATGTGATCAAAGATAGTCTGGGCATGGCGATTGGGCTGGCTGTGCTGAGGGTCTGCTGGGGGTTGGGGATATATAGTCGTGATTAGGTCAGTAAGAAGGTGTCCCAAAGCTGAACGCTTATGGCATAATGGCAGACACAATGCACCACATTCCTGCCCTTGCGAGCGCATCTGGACGCCTGGAGGACGATGCGACAGCCTCTATGCAGGACTTCGGGCCAACGAAGCATGTGAAATACCATATAAGCCGAGAAGACGAAGCCGGCCCTGCTTGCCACTTTCACTACGGCTGGTCCGTGCTCGAAGCGCCTTGCTTCAGCTGTGTGCAATCCTTTCCACAGTCCGCCTCGTCGCTCACACCAACACCACCCCTGGTAAGCACAACGAGCTATCAGATCGAGGTCAGGATTGCTCCGAAAGGCGGAGCGTCGCTACCATGACGCCGCTCTCCATGAAGACACCTCCGCCATCTACGTTGGATCAGTACCCACCAACGTGAGTGATTTCTTGCTCTCAAGCCTGCAAAATGCTGACGTAGATTTTCTAGTGAAGCTTTAGACACCATCATCGAGCTCAAGGTCGGCCAGCATCCGAATATCAAATCCTTCTTCGTACACAAAGACCTGATCACATTTTTCTCCGGCTTCTTTCGTGCAGCGATTTGCGGCAACTTTGCTGAGGCAGCCAGCGGCGTCGTAAACCTACCCACTGAGGACGCCGATACGGTCGCAGCTTTCATCAGCTTGCTTTACTTTCGCATACTTCCTGTCTCCAGCGGTGAAACATCAAAATTCTGGCCAATCTGTACACTGTGGATACTTGCGGACAGATGGGAGACACCCATAATGGCCAACGCCCTGATTGATCACATGCGTGATCAAGCCGTCACACTGTGGATCCACCCGTCGAATCTACTCAACCTTATGTACGAAAATGCGCTGGAGAGTCCAGGGCTCAGAAGGTTTGCCACCATGGTTGTCGTAGCTGTTCTGTCGAACAAGAAATTGAAGGAGATGCAAGAGACATTTGAGTGGTCTTCAGATGTGAGACTTGGCATTCTACAGGAGTTGTTATCGCATGGCACGGATCGCAAGCTGGTTGGCCGGGAGGAATTGGCCATGCTAGATCTTTGTCAGTATCATCAGCACAAGGAGGGTGTCAGATGCTCGAAGTAAGCGCTCGGTTGAGCATAATGAGTCTTCGATCACTAGCTACAGCTGTACACCGGGGCCAGCATAGCGGGATCCGTGCTCGGGTATCGGGCGGCTGGGTCTCCTACGCCGGTGAGACGAGCCTGTGCAACTGTTCCGGAAGACTTATGCGATCGAAACGGCAGGTGCTTGATATGGGAGCTTGGGGACATTGATATGAAGAAATGTGACTGAGGAGTTGCTGGGGAGAAAGACCCACGAGGTGGATACATGTGTATACAGCTATCTAGACGTCGGAATGTTCCTTGGCCCATCCAAGCTACCCGGCTCAACCCAGACCCGCACCTCCTTGTCCATATCTCGATAGCCAACCTCCTGGTCGAACATAGCCTTCTCGCCCTTATCCCGCAACTCACGCCAAAAGGACTCCTTCGCTGCGTTGATCCAAGTATCCCGCTTGGTCAGGCTTGGGTCGATACCGATTGGGAACTGGACCTCTTTGGTGAAATAGTCGATAGCTTTAGCATTGGCTAGGTCAAGGGTGGTGTATACGGCATTCTTGACAGTGACTCCGTCTGGTGGTGTAGCTGAGTCTCGTTCCGGTTCTTCGCCGAATAATTCCAGCTCCGTGTCTGCAGGTGGAGGAGGCTTGAATGCCGTACTCCTCTTCACGAAGAAGACCGTTCTTGATAACTCGAACGCTGAAGCCTTGGGCAGGACCCCGTCTCCGTGAGACCGCATCCGCTGCTCGACTCTGACTTCGACCACGCCAGCATCCTTTGTCGTCATCTTCGCGCACCGGAGTCCATCTTTATCCAGTTGGCGGTCGTGTAACGCACCTCTTGCAATGGCCGTTGCTGTCTCCGGATCATTCGATACGAACGCCTGCTTGTCAGCCTTCAGGTTTGCTTCGAGGTAGCTCTCCAGAGGCAAGCCGACATCAAGCCAAGGCATGTCCTCGATGTCGACTGGCTCTTCTGCGAAGGCCTCTTCCTGACTGATCTCGCGGCGTTGCACCTGATAGATATAGTGGCATTTATCTTTGTCCTCAACAGTATTCTTGTTCTCCACCTTATGCTTAAGCCCTTCCTCACTATCGCTCTCTGGACAGTTTTGATCAGCCCAGGCACCAAAGCATACTCTGAACAAGGCAGGACCAATAGTCTTGCCACCCTCCGTCGATCGACCCGTAGTATCGCGAGCCACTGGTGAGTCAAGAGAAAGACCGTTCGTGTTCGCCCAGAAGTCCTCATCGATACTCTCACTCGAAAATGACGAGTTGGTATCAGCTGGCCCGCGGTCGCCAGAGACGAGATAGCCATTTCGCTTGGTGGCAGTATATGGCACTTTCGGTCGCCTCCCAGAAACCTTGATTTCCGGTACTGGCCACACCCCATGGACCGCAATGTTCAGCCTCTCGATCGCTGCTTGCTCTCCAACCATCGCATCATCGAGCAGGTCATCATCAACCGCACCCGTCCAGCGGACATGATCAATAGCGGCCTTGACTTTCTTGTACCGGTACTGTGCGACGTGATGCTCGCGATAGACTCCTGTGAGTTCTTGTAGCCGCCCTGTAATTACGCTAAACGTCAGGCCACTATCTCGCCACTGCATGAGCTGGATATCGTGAGGGACGATTTCTCCCAAGGTTGGGTCGACCTTGCGGCTATTTGAAGTATGCTTTGCAGTATTTGGGCGAAAGTGCGTGGATGGTGTCTTCACTCCATTAGGTCGAGTGAGACGCACGGCGTCGTTCAGCCGATCGAGCGCATCCTGGTCTCCAGCTTCGATATCGTCCAGTGTTACCTCGTCTACGCCGGCATGTTCGACCAGTTCCTTGGCTTGTCTGTATCGATTGCGCAGACTACCCTTGCTACGAAATGGCAAGTCCATATTCTCGGACTCCTCCATGATGCTGGCCCAAATCATACCTTTTGATCTCAGACGCATGAGCTTAATGTCCGCCGCTGTTATGAGGCCTGATTGCACAGCGGTTTGGGTTGGTCGGTGGGATATAGGAGCTGAGGGACGGATGACAGGAGCCGGTCGTTGAAACTTAGAGGTAGGTCGCTTTGCATCGATCATCGCATTGAGCTCGGCCAGAGCATCGTGCTCACCCTGCACCGCTCGGTTGAGCAGCCCCGGTTCTGAATCCAGCTCGAGCAGAGTATCTCTTATCTGTGCCACTTTGCACTGCAAAGTGTAGGTAGCATACTCACGGCCGGTTGAGTCCGCAAACATTTGGCCAATTTCATTCCAGTGTACTCCCTCTTCTGACCAGACGAAGAGCTTGATGTCGACTGTTGTCATCGTGCTCAGTTTGGTACCATATTTGCTCTTGTGATAGTCTTCATTCCAGGAGAAGGCGTTATTGCGGACACTTGGCGAACGTTTCGACTTGGCGACAGCGGCTGTACCAGCTGCACTTGTCAAGCTGATAGGTCCTGTGGCCGACGCAAGTGATTTGAAATACGACTTCGTGGGGGGTAGATTCGTGGTCGTAGCCGGCAATGGTGCAAACGCATCAGCAGACTGTTCCGGCACAGCTGGCTCTTGTTCAGCAGCCGCGACTTTATTGCGTGCGTTCCTCCCCTTCATGTGTCGGACACGCTCCTCGCGCGACGCTTTGCTTTCGAGATCGACGCCGGATTGGACAGTCTCTCCATTGTGTATAGGTAAGTCCGATAGCTCAGCAATCGCCGAAGCGGGCTCCGTGCAGTCCCCCATTTTTGCATGGCCAGTCGCGGCAGTCTCGCCAACCTTCTGCTCCTCTTTGGATAGTACTGAAGGCAATGCTAGTCCACCAGTGATGGGTAGACCAGCAAACATACTCCTCGCCTCAGCCTGCTTCCGCCTCATCTTCTCCTCCCTCTTCCTCGCCTCCGCTTCCTTCTTTACCCTCTCCTTCCTCTCCCCAGCCGCTTTCAATGCCGCCAGATCATCATGAACCTTCTGCCTCTTATCAGCCTCCTCCTGACGCTTCCGCTCCATCACCATCTTCCACCCGTCTTCTCTCTCTTTAGCCTCATCCTCTCGCTTCTTAGCCTCCGCAACCCTCTGCCTCGCCTCCCTAGCAATCTGCGCCTCGCTCTCAGCCTTCTCCTCCACCTCCTTCTTCTCCCGAGCCTCACGGACAGCTAGTGCAGCTTTCCGGGCTTCTGCTGCGTGCGCACGGATCTGAGCTGCTACACTCTCCTCACGCTGTTTGGCTTTGGCGGGCCGGATCTTCCGCTGTGCTTCTTCATCTTCGTCCTGGAGCAGGGACGGGACGTGCGTGGTGACGGAACCTGTTGGTGGTGGCCTGAGCTTGAGGACAGGAACGGGCTTGACTGTTTTGCGAAAGATACTTGTCAGAGCCGGAATGGGATTAATGCTGGACACGAAAGAGCCTTCGAAGCTCATAGAGCAGTCCGTGGTCGCTTCAGCTTTCGCTGTGTCCTCAGGAGCCTTTGCATTAGGTTTCATGCCCTCGTCCTGCGCCTCAGCTCCTGTATTCTCTATTCCAGCCATCTGCACCTGGTCATCACAATCAGTGGTATCGACATCCTCGATCCGACTATCTTCCTTCATCTTCCTCTCCATAGCCTCCTGCCTCAACCGTAAAGAAGTCAGACGCTGCTTCTCCTTTTGTTGTGCAACCTGTGCCTCAACCTTCACCGTCGTCGTACCCCGCTCACCATGGCTTTTGGTTGAACATGTCGAACTAGCGATCACAGACGGCGCCGCAACGACTTCAGCCTCTTCATCCGAGTCCTCGATCTCAATGAACGGAGTAGTAGCCTTCTTCGTAGCCACTTTAAGACCAGGAACGGAGTGCCTAGCCGGCTGCACCACCCTCGTGAATTGAAAAGGCTTGACTTCCTTTCCAGAGCTCAATGATCGAGGCGGAGCAACCGGGTACGTCGTCCGCTTGGTACGGGAGGCGAAGACACCGTGGAGATAGCTGGATCCCGCTCTCTTGGTTTCAGGGGTAGGAGACTCGGTTTTGATTCTTTTGCTTGGAGTGGTGGTAGACTCATCGTCCCATCGGCGTTTAGATCCTGATAATGAGGAAGAGACGACGATGATCTCGTCGTCTATCACCTCCTCTTCGTCCTCTTCGTTCTCACTCTCATTCAACTCAATAATCTGTCTCTTGATGTTGGTGTTTGGGATACGAGATCCAGGCAAAGAGAGCGAAGGACCCGCTGCCACGATGATATTATCTTCCATCCCCTCATACTCATCGCTGTCTTCCGCTGCTCCAAGGGCGTCAGAAGATGGATCTGGGATCTCGGTCAGAGACGAGCAGTCCCAGCTTGCGCCTGTACCGGGGCCACCAAATAGGGAGGATCGGTGAGCTGACATCATCGTCGCCATGGCCCGCAACGGAGAATTCGTCCAGTCGCTGCTCTGTGAGAGTGTCTCGAGGAAGCATCCGGGGTAGATAGATGGTGTGGAATCGGAGATAGAATGTGCTGGTGGACTGTTGGGTTGGGAGGATGAGTAGGATGAGTTCTTGTGGCGACCTGAAAGGTGGCGGCTCTGGTGATGTAAGTGAAGCCCTTCCGACCATACAATCTAGTGCTGAGATCCTTTCCCCTGTACCTGGGATGTTCCCTCCAACCTCGCTCTAGTCGAAGTACCTTTATCTCAACAGATGAAGTGTCTGAAGATGGTGGGCCTGTTGTCGCTGAAGTTGAGTGTTATCAGCACCTTATGAGAGGCCTATGGTCCATTTTGTTCAGGATTGGTAAGAGTTGTGAGCAAGAAGTGATGTGGTGTGATGTGATGTGATGTGTTGTGATAGTGGTGCTGTATTCGAAGAACTTCCAAGGTAGAAAGGCACTATAGGCCCTCTCAACTAGCGCCGGCATCACGTGTCATGGTGGTTGTTGCCGGTTCAAGTGAAGTTCGGGTGGATATGGTGGATGTACCCTTCCGAGCAACCATTGCATCAATTCGTTCAGTTATTCTGTTGTTATATTCATGGATGGCTTGTCTCGATGCGCTCTGAGCCTTGCCGTGCATTACCAGCTCGTCAGTCGCCGTAGACTTTTGACATCATACTCATCGTACACATTTCACGCTGAACCTCCAACGCCACGCTGCTTGGAAATTCACAACATTCTTCCAACCCAATCACCCCACCGGCCTTTCCATCACCCTCTCATTCTCCGCACTCAACTCCAACCCCATCGCCCCTATCTTCGCCTGCCTAGCTTTCTCATCCTCCGCCAACCTCTCCTTCAACAAGCGATCGAACATCTTGGCCTTTTCCAACGAGGCATTGACACAAGTTAATACGCTCAGCCCCTCGATCCCCACGCCTCCGTATTTGGCTATATTGCATACCTCTCCATGCCGATTGAGCGAGATCGTTAGACTGCCAGTCCGACATTGTTCCTCTTGCAGTGTGGTGTCAAGAACACTAATGAGATCATCGTCCGAACCTTGTCGAGAAGGGTAGAAGGAGGTCGTGATGCAAAAAGGATGATGTGTCATGGTCAACTTGACCGGTTCTCGTTCCCTGACACTGTACACCGTGACCTCCTCCCCCTCGATCGAGACATCCGGTCGTCGGAAATGTAATAGAGCTGCCATTAAGGCGAAACAGGCGGCATCTAGTACATTCCCATCGTGATCCAATATATGTATGTCTGCTCGTAGGTGAAAGCATTTCTGTCCTGCCACAATACACAAGCTCTCCGTATCCAGCGCCCCACTTCTCCGTACTGTCTTCTCTAGTATCCGTGACAAGATAATCTCCGTCTGGTCTTGTCGCCCTACCTCCCACGCCGGTGATCCCATAGGGCCAAGTTCGCAACTGATCGTGAAGACGCCATCGAATTTTCGGTCTGGGTATGGTGCTCCTACTTCGCAGCTGATGTTGCAGAGGACTCGTGTTTTGCCTATTCGGACGTCTGTCTGGCCGTAGGTATCTGGGTCGGAAGAGAAGGTTAGGTCTATAGGCCTGTAGGTGTCGAGGGGACGGGAGTCGAGGCGGAGGTTTTGACGGAGGGCAGTGAGGATGAAGTCGTGGTTGTTCGTGGAGGGGGTGACTTCGGAGGGCATCGTCTTGTTTTCTTCTGTAGAGACTGTGGTGGTGGTATGGTGGGTTGAATGTGGGAGATGGACCGTGGGGGATTTTGATTGGTGCGCATGTGGTTTTTGATACATGCACGAGTCATGTGTACTTGAGCTGTGAGTTGGACTTTCTATCTACGATTTATCCTGCAATACTGCAAGACATTTCATACTCTCCCAGTCAATCGCTAACATGACTACCGCCCATCGTCCCACCTTCGACCCAGCACGCGGCAAAGAAGCTGCTCGTGGCGAGGCATACCATCAACGACTACTTCCTGCACACAAAACCCTCAAATACCGGCAGCCGTTACAAGGCAATCCGGAACAACAGGCGAGGAGGGATCTGAAAGCGGAATTGCTACGAAGTGAGGCGAAAGCACAAGCGAAGAAGGAAGGGAGGGAGCTGGACGACGATGAAGATATCAAGGACTCCGCGTTACGAATGAAAAGCGGCGCCGACGACGAGGTAGAAAGCGGTGTCAAGCGCAAACTCGCCGAGACATCTACCGGCGACGCAGAAGCAGAAGAAAAAGAAGACTACGAGGCCAAAAAACGCCGCATCCTAGCCGAAACAAAAGACATCGATGCCGACTCCGATGCCGCCTCCGAAGCCAGCTCAGAGGAATCAGATTCCGACGATGACGAAGAAGACGAAACGGCCCAACTAATGGCCGAACTCGCCAAGATCAAAGCCGAGCGCGCCGAAGCTGCTGCGAAAGCTGCGGCGGAACAGGCGAGGAAGGATGAGGTGCAGCGGGAGAAGGATATTGCGTTGGGCAATCCGCTTCTTAATGGTGGGAGTGGGAGTGGTGGTGGAGGAGCGGAGTATGGGGTCAAGAGGCGTTGGGACGATGATGTGGTGTTTAGGAATCAGGGACGCGGGACGGAGGAGAGGGGGAAGGAGAAGAGGTTTGTGAATGATTTGTTGAGGAGTGACTTCCATCGGCGGTTTATGGATAAGTATGTGCGATGATTTGGGGGTAGTGGTGATCAGGGAGAGAAGGAGCTCGGTTGGGCAAACACCGCTGTGCCTTTTGGTGGGCATGGATACCATTTGATACTCCCTTGATGACTGCGAGAGTACACAGGATCCGTGATGGATATCCTAAAAGCCAGTGGCTCGTGTCGAAGCGGCGATGCTCCGATCATGCTTACTCCGTGCATACCTCAGACTCGCCAAAAGACTACTCACTTTCTGGTACTCGTCCCGTATCGTTGATCTCCTGCCCGGTAAGCCCATTCTCGTGAAGACGTTCAACCTCACTGGTGGCCATGTTGTATGGTTCTACTCACGGTCAGGAACATCGACAACCTCCTAGCCGGCTCAGCAGGCCTACTATGGACCGCCACAAAACCCCCCTACTATGCCGTACGACTGCGTGCCACTACTCGCGTAATGGCCAGCGTACCGTCCCACATCTCGAGCGATTACGCAGAGTGGCACCGGGATAGTACACCTCCAGCCTCTGCTACCACTTCCTCGATGAGCCTCCTCGGTAGTCCTTTGGCGAACACTTCGAATTCTGTCTGGCAGCACGACTTGAGTAGACGAAGCGCATCGATGGCCTCCGTACCGTGAAGCCCTTTCCCATAGGCCGAGCAGAACTGTTGAAATTCGACTCGATCGATAGCCAGACGACCATTTGTGGCGACTCCTATCGTGGCGATCAGTTCTTTTATGAGATCGCCAGCAGAGATCAGCGCAGCCTGGTCGTACGCATACACGGCTATCGTGATGCGCAAGGTGAGCCGGCGAACGTGCCTCAAGAACATATGCTCCTTGATAGTACCAGATCGCGGCCCATCCTGAGGGTTGCTAGAGGGGCGAATATTGATGCTGACGTAGAATGGGGTCGATGCATACAGGTCTGGTAGGAACTTTGTGCGGATGGTGCGGCAGACGGAGGCTAAAGCACCGTTTGAATGGAAAAGTGAAAATTTCCTGCGAAGCGGGCCATCGGGAACGATCTGGATGCGGCATATGTGATGAGGATCTGATGGGTTACTTGGCTGGAGCACCAATTCGTAGATATGGATGCGGAGCTCCGGGGGTAGCTCTAGCAGGCGGCTCATGCTGGTGGGGACCTGCGTGTCGAGATGTACGAGGAGCACAGGATGAGTGTTGTTGAAGATCTGGTGCCTGCTTTGGTGAGGAGAGGTATTCAGAAAAGTGATCTTCGATATATGTATTGTTGGCGCTAAAATGTAAAGGTAGTGCGCCGCAGACGGGGAAGCGTGCTTGCCAAAACGGGCTTTACCATTCACCTCCATTCGTAGACTCCAAATTCACGCGATTCAAGCACCCTGGGGGTCAAGTGTCGCTGGTAGTGGTAATAGCATACGCCAATATCTCAGGAGAGCTGCCATAGAAGGCGCTACCATGATACTAACCCCAGCACATCTACATGGAGCCTGCCAATCAGCGCCACCTCAACAACCTCTGTAACCATCCAGCCCCCTCATGCATCCTCCTCATCCTCGTCTTCATCCTCGCCAACCAACACCCCCCCCCAATCTCCTCAACCATAGCCGCGACCTCCTCCGACGCCCCCATAAAACATCCACCTCAAAACCCCCCCTAGCCCTCAACCCCCCAAACCCCCTCAAAACCTCCACCAAATCTCCACCACCCTCATAATCAAAAACATCATACACCACAGACAACCCCCCCACCACTATCCCACCCCTGACCTTACTCCCGACGATCTCGACAAACGTCTCCACCATCTCCGCCGTGAAATCCGCAGGCCACATATCCGACCCCGGAACCCCAAGCCGCTCATGCTGATCATTTACTTTACCCACCGTAACCCACAGCTGCAAGAACTTAACATGACGCAAAAAGTCACACTCCTCCACCGCCCCCAAATCCTTCCACGACTCCTCCGTGTCCTCACACTCCTCCGTATAGAATTCGATCTGGAATAACGTGGAAACATACAACACGGGCTTCGCCTCCACAAGAATCTGTTTGCAAGTCCTCAACAGCGCGATCTTATTCTCCTCGCCAATGAATTCCCGGTCGGAGTTGCTGTAGTCTTTGCAGTAGACGTTTTCGGGGCGGGAGATGTCGAGGACGCAGGGGATTTTCTCGCCGGCGGAGGCGAAGAGGTGGGTGTAGATCAGGTGGCGGGTTTCGAGGGGCAGGCGGAGAAAGTAGTTGGGTTTGGAGGTGGTCGGCATGATGGTGATGTTTGCTGTTGATGGAGTTTCGACAGTTGTGTTTGTGTCTGCTGGGTGTAGATAATCAGAAGATGGTAGAAGGGAGGCAAGTCTTGGAATATATAGTAGGATTTTTCGTTCTCTGCTTGGAGCGAGAAGGTGACATTCAGCGTCCGAGAAATTGCAGTGACATGTAGTCGAGTGTGAATTCCCGACCATCATGGACTCAAATCCGATCTTGGACAGGCTACGTACTCAGGATAGCTCGCACCCGCAATCGCAGCCTATACCACTCCCACCTTCCCACAACCACAATAACCGTCCCATCTCCTCAATTTTCCACCTCCATCCCTCAAACCTGCACGCCACCCTGTCCCTCCTCCTCACTACCCTCCCCACTCCCGCCTGCATCGAGCACACAAACCGCCTCCTCCGTCCCGAAAACTCTCATTCGATTGCCATAGACACGCCAGAAATCACTCCCGAACCCCGGCATCCCGTCTTCCACCCTTCCCGCAGGCGGAGGCACGTATCGATGCTTGAGGTTCTTGGGATCGTACTTGAAGGAGTCGTCTGGGCCGCTAGTACCAGCTACTGTTGGATCGCCGCGACGTTTCCATTTCGCGCCTGGGACGGAGGGCGTGAAGCCGTCTTCTGCTACAGCAGTCGCTGAGGAAACGGAGGAAGTGGAGGGGTCAGAGATGGTAAGGGGGTTGATCTCGACTGGTGTGTCATCCCTGGAGTTCTGTCCTGCTAGGGTCCAGGTGTTGAGAGAAGGGTCGTTCGCGTTGGCGTCCACGTCGACATACTGTCCTGCCTTCTCTAGCTTGCTGCTCAGGCGGACCGCCACACCAGCGGTGAGATAGCTGTCGAAACCAGCTTCATGGAAGGCTTCGACGTCCTTGTACTTTGAGTGCTCGGCCGCGAGCTCGATGGTGGGAGTCTTCTGCTCACTCAGCTGCTCCGCGATCTGCTCGAGTGAAGACGCAGGGCTGATATCGCCGCAGTTGTGGGTGGACATGTACTTCGTGTCGACGATGGTAGGCCAGTGCGAGTGGAGCTTGCGCTGATACTCCTCGACGGTGTCCGGAAGAGGGCCGATGAAAGTGCGGTAGATGTAGATGAAATCCAGGAAGCAATTGTGACCGACCAAGACTCGCGGATTTCGATACATCAGAGCGTGAGCGCGGTGGAACTGCGATTTGAATTCATCCATGTCTGCGAATATCTGCTCGCCGGTCACTGGATACCTGGCGCACTCTCTCAGATCAAGTCGAGTGATATCGCTGCCCATCAAAGCTTCGATGATCCATCTGAAACCCTTCTGCCGGTTGATACGCTCATCTGAGTCCCGCTTGCGACCGGCAGCGATACTATCCTCGCGCTCCTTGTCGAAACGCACGATCTGCACGAAGCCACGCTTGCTCACCGTTACGAGATCCGGAAATTCAGCCCTCACGAGTTGGTGAACAAGACGCTTCTCGAATCGTGAAAGCTCAGCAGGTGCTTCGGCATCCTTAACGATCTCAGCACCGACAGGAGCAATGTTTACATAATTCGTTGCTTCGTAAGTTGGCGAGGCGAGCCAGCCACGGATCTCGGACCTTACTCGCTCGAGGAAAGCAAGGGACTCGAGTTCGGTGGGTTTGATCTGAATATCGGCTAGGGCGCTCTTGTCCTGGCGTTTGGCATGCTTGTCTCGAGCTTCGCGTGTCTCGAGGCGGGAAAGGTACGGCACGCCATGGGTGTAGGGTCGCGCCATATCAAAGCCCACCTTGAGCAAGAACTCTGCTGCACCGGACTGGTAGCTGAAGATGCGTTCGATATCGAGACCGCGCTCAGCGATGACGGGGCTGAGGTCGAAGTTGTAGGGTTTGAGGATGTATTTCTGATTTGCCACATCCTGCTCGACACACGTGAGGCCGAATTGCAGGATTTGGTAGCGCTCGGCGGCTTCTTTCGTCTCGGTATATCGTTGTTGGAGAGTTGGTTTGCCTTGGCTGTGGGCGCCTTTGGATGGCACGCCACTCAATTCGAGATCTATCGCCACGAAATGTGCTTCGCTGATATCTGTGAGGAGGTCCAAGAGGAGTGGGTAGAAGGACACCTTGTCGACGTCCATTTTGCTGGCAGTAGACCTTGCTTGTGGCAAGATACTCGAAGATGCAGAATGGTGTGGTGGAAGAAGAAATTGATGGAAGGAAGTAGGTAGCAGTCGTGTTATGAGTCGGAAGAGCGAAGTCTTGATTGAGGAAGGAGTAATGGAGAAGCCAACTTGCCGTTGAGTATGCTTTGCAGTGCGTTGCTCGCCGTCTGTAGTCAGGCGTGGTGTGTATGAGAAGTGGCGTCGTGCAGAAGGTAGTCGGTGTAAGTGAATGCTTCTGCTTACCACCACTCGATTCGTGCCTGCCTTCAATCGAACAGCATGTTGCATGTGACCGTGGATCGAATGAATGACTCCTCTGCCTCCTCGCTCGAAACCGCCTCCTGGTTGAAGCAAGTGTCGGATCTTCCCACCATTGATGATAGCAGCAAACATTTCTCAAACGCGTTTCTGCGCGTCATCTACACGCTGTGGGCACGTGCACCCAACCTCGGCCTGTCGCATCTCGCAATTCGCATCTCAAGAGTCCAACCTTCGCGTTTAGACGGTAGACGAGCAAGTATCTGGTCTAAGACAAGACTGGCTACAATGGCGACGACGTTGACCTCGACCTACCAGGATACACAGTACATTTCCAGCTCCATCTCCAGCCTCTCGCGATCCCGATCCACCAACTCACTGATCGTCCGAACATACAAGGAAGCCACTCAACTATACCTCACGAAACGATTCAAAGAAGCTCTTGAGACGCTAGAACCGATCATCAGTGCTCCACGACCGGACGAACCGCAGAATGGGGAGAGCAATGGAATCTCGGCCGCTCCCATCGCGCAGAGCTCGAAGGGCACAAGGACGAAGGTCTGGGTCTTCTACTTGAGTCTGCTGCATGCGATCGTCGAGCTAGGCGCGGAGGAAGGAAAGCTGATCTTCGGGTCAGCACGGTGGCGGCAGCTAGCAGCCAGGGCGCGAGAGGGCTCGGTGTGGGAGGAGATTGTCAAGGCTGGCTATGCGGGAGAAGAGGGAGAGGTGGATGCGGATGTCGTGGTGAACCTGGCTACACTACTGCTAGGACATATGAGCCATCAGAAACTCACTCAGCAGAAACTCGAGGCATGGTTGACGACGACGAGCGATATGGGAGGCCAGCATGTTTCGTTCGCAGACGGCACGATGAGTCCTGCTCCGAACGGCAATGCTGGACCTAAAGCCCTGGCTACTCGCTTAAAAATACTGGAGCTGTACGCGCTACATGTGCTACCTGCGAATGGAGAGTGGGAGTATGCGCAGCAGTTCATCGAGTTGAACGACTCGCTAGATGAGGAGAGGAAGGAAGCATTCTCACATGCTCTGCAGGAGTTGCGGGAGGAGAAGGATGGAACGGCGCAGAGAGAGCGCGAGCTGAACGAGCAGAGAGAGCGAGAGATGGAAGAACGGAGACTGGAGGAAGAACGACAAAGAGTCGAGCAGGAGAGGGAGGCCGAGGAGAAACGGAAGCAGGTGGAGCAAGAGCGAGTTGCTAAGCCGATGAAAGATAGCGGGAATGCGAAGCCGACTGCCAATAGCTCAGCCGGCTCTGCTAAGCCTCCAGCAAACGGCACGACCAAACCAGCCCCATCACCCACCAGCCGCATCCCACCCGCAAGAAATCCCCGCAAACCACCACCACCTCCACCAACAACCCTCTACCGCCGCGCCACCTCCGCACTCGGCGACTTCCAGCAGATGGTGCTACAAGCCAGCCGCAACATGACAGGCGGTGGCCGATTCTCCTTCGCAGCTTTCCGATTCCTGATGTTTTTGGTCGCTTTCTTGGTCGTGGTGGCGAGACGGGACGTAAGGGTGAGATTGAGGAGGTTGATGGGGAATGGGTGGGGAAAGGTGAGGAAGACGGTGGGGATGGGGGTTAAGGTTAGTTACCTTTGAGTTGCTTATTTATGGCTTGCTGTGAGAGCGAATCCGTATGATCTTATTCGCGCCTGCCTATACGTCCTTCAAATGCGAGGTCCTCAGCTTGTACGCGTACGCCTCCTTCGACAGCCCTCGATTGTTTCGGTTGATCGCCTAAGCCAACACGTCCTCGGGAAACTTCGCAAACGCGATCCAGCTCTGGCAATGGCAACCCAATCTTTGCCGTGTCGAGGCGTCCGCAACAGAAGAGGATGGAACGTTGTCGCGCGGCTTGTCAGAGGCTAAGAAGCAGAGCTTCCATTCCTCGCGCACCTCCGGATACTCGTGAAGTCGGCCGTATGTCTTCGAGTAGGTCAGTCTTCGACGCTGGCCGAAGCTTTGTGTGGCGGCTCGGTTACTCGAGTGGTGATGAGATTATGCGGGTGTTCCCTTTTAATTTTATCGCCGCTTCGATCCAACTTCGATCTTCAGAAACGCGTGGCAAGGCAACCTGGCAGGTGGAATAGGAGATCCGCGAATGTTAAGTTTGCACGAGCTTTACGCATCGCCGATCTGCTAGGGAACGCCGCCGGCTTGTCAACAAACTCCTTCAGATTACTAGCTTTGTCGCGGTTACTAGCCGGCTGAGCCAAGTATGTAGGGTTGATGTCGAGGTTGGGGTGTGCCTCTGGAGAGCCGGTCGAAGCTCGCGATCCTGCTTCTTAGTACCATATCTACTAGTATGCTCCGGGTGGCGGACGTATACAAAAGCGAACAGTTCCACGCCCTGCAGGCGTGCCAAAACGGCTTTTGAAATATTGGTGGCGGTAGCGTTGGCCCTTGGGCGGACATCCCTATGTACTTGGATATGCCCCTCGGGTTTCTTCATCCAATGGTTTTGATTCCAAGCTTTTCAGATGTAAACAGCAGCGTAATCGGCGGTGGTGTGTAGACTATGCAAAAAGTTGATGTTCTCGCCACGTGACCGTGTTCAATCGAGGAGGCACGACGAGTTGTGAGCTTCGTTCCCGAGACTAGACACCGACTGCCAAAACACCGAGCAGGGCCATGCACCACTGAGAAACACAATACTCTGTTTGACATAGTTATACGACAAAATAGCATCGCCTAGTGAAAGCACAGTCACTACTGGGACCAAAAGCGTGTGCTACCACTGCGTGGCAAGCATCGATAGTCAGAACTCCAACACGAGTGCTTACAATAATCATACCGAAGACCAACAAGACTCAAGCGATCCCTTCCTAAGACCATCATGGCGATGGTGAAGTCAAGTCGGCTGGCCGCCAGCATATACCGGACACAACCGACAATCCTTCTAGGCCTCGCACGATGTTATATGGTGACCAGCGTGCAGGCCAAGCGCTTCAGAAATATGACCACTGTAATCGATTCCAAGATATATGGCAATGTGTTCGCCACACCGGAGGTCAAAGCGATATGGTCCGACAGACAGCGAACAAATTATTTCCTCTTATTTGAGGCTGCCTTGGCTAAGGTCCAAGCCGAGATAGGTATCATACCACAAAAGGCAGCCGACACTATCGTCAAGCACTGTAACGTGGACGATTACGATTTCGACGAACTACGAAAGAAAACAGAACTTATTGGCTATCCGGTCTTACCTGTAGTTCAGCAACTAGTGGCAAAAGTCAATGCGGTAGAAGCAGGACTCGGTGAGTGGGCACATTGGGGCACCACGACCCAGGATCTGACTGACACGGCTGTCATACTACAACTCCGAGATACCCTGATTCTGGTCGAGAAAACTCTCGACAACATTATCAAGGCGCTGAGGAAGCTGTCTGAGAAGCACAAAGCAACGCCCATGGCGGCACGATCAAATTTGCAACAAGCTGTGCCAATATCCTTCGGCTTCAAGATGGCGAGACTACTGGCTTGCTTTGAGCGCCACAAGGAGCGTCTTGCAGAATTGAAACCTCGTCTACTCGTTCTGCAGTTTAGCGGCGCTGCCGGCACTCTTGCGACCATCACTTCAGCATCCTCGCACAATGCTCCAGATATGGTCGATGGCATACCACTTGGCTTGCGTTGCCAGATACTTCTAGCGGCAGAACTAGGCCTCGCTGTGCCTGAGATAGCATGGCATACTGAGCGGGACAATCTGGCTGAGGTATCGAACTACCTCGCTGTGCTGACGGCGACATGTGCAAAGTTCGCCACTGATCTGAAAGTCATGATGCAGCTGGAAATTGGCGAGGCTCGAGAGCCGTATGTGCCACATCGTGGCAGTAGCTCTACTATGCCGCAGAAGCGTAATCCGGTTGGCTGTGCGTACATTTGTTCGATGGCCAGTACCGTACGAGGAATGGCTAGTAGTATGGTCGAGGCTGTCGTGGCGGATTTTGAGCGCAGTACTGGTCCTTGGGAGATTGAGTGGATCGTGCTGCCGCAAGTTGTGGGTGCACACCGTGGATTCATTCAAGTCATCTGCTGATCTTTCTCTCCCAGTGTGCTCTTAGTCAAGCTTGTCTCGAGCAGACGCACTATCTCCTCGACGGTCTAGAGGTAGACGAGGAGGGTATGAAGCGCAATCTGGCACTCACGAAAGGCAACGTCGTAAGCGAAGCCGTGATGATGGGTCTAGGCAAGGCCATTGGCAGGCAATGTAAGCATCCGCAATATCAAGAACCTAATACCAGATCGGATATTGACATGTCTTATCAGATGCACATGATCTTGTGTATGACTTGTGTCGAAGAGCCCAGCTCGAAGACAAGTCGTTGCTCGAACTGTTGTGCCAGCATGAGACCGTGAAGAAAGCAGGCCTCTCTGAAGAACGTCTAGCAGAGCTCTGTGATCCAACCAACTATCTTGGTCTGAGCGAAGTGATGGTTGATCGTGTGCTCGATAGACGTGTGTAGCATGCGTGCAAGAAATAGAGTCACGACCAATTCTGTCATTTGTTTACCTTATAGCTTACTGTTCTTCACAGACTTGCGGTCTCTATTCTGCTGCATTACCTTCAAGAGGGCATACATGCTCTCAACACGAGGCATCACAACGCCTTTCTCCCTTGCCATCCGCAGAGGATTGCCAAGAATGACTTCGAGTTCCATGGGACGACCCTCGTCCCAATCTACAAGCATGCTTGATCTGTTACCTTCGTATCCGGTGTTTCGCTGAATGGATCTCAAGAACTGTTCAGGAGTAGGCAAAGTAGGTGGCACTGCTGACTCCAATATAGTAGGGGCAGCTCTACGAAGCTCCCACATGACCGCCAGTAGGTGGTCCGCCAAGTTCTCGTCAAGTGTCATGCTTCGATTATCGGATCCGCCGCAAAGCACAGAAGTGCAGTTCATGGCTATATTGATGCCGACTTTCGACCAACGAATTTGTTGTATGCTTGTGGCGTCGTGTAGCTCTGCATCCTCTATCCCGCCTGCCTTGAGGAGTTCCACAAAGTGTGAGCAGGACTGCAGTACACTTTCTTCGCTCGTCGCTGATAGAGACTGCGCATCAGGCGATTTTAGGTATGGCCCCACTGACATCTTCGTCCATGCATGGTGCTTGATGACTCCCGGACTCTCCTGTACGGCGTGTGCATATGCGGCTGCAGTGAGAATGCGTGCCTGAGGGAATCGCGTCCTGTACGGTGCTTCATTACCCATGCCATTCTGCGCTAGCACAATGCTCGTGCCCGGGTCTACGAGTCCTTCTAGTATAACACTGTCATCGCGCACATCCGGGATTGCTTTCGTTGCCACCAGCAGGTAATCAAATTTCGACGTGGCCCGCTTTGCCTCACCAATATGGCGGAAGACCTGCTCCGGCCGAAAGCCTGACTGACCATAGACTGGACTGGTCAACTGGAAACCATGATCTTTGACAGCCTTGTAGTTTGAGCGACAAAGGGCGGAGACCAATGTATGCGGTGCGGTAGCAAGGCGAGAACCATAGAAGGCACCAATAGCTCCAGCTCCCACGATCAGTATTCGCGTTGGCATTCTGATCCTTTGTCGCGACCCAAGAGGTCCGTCTGCAGCATGAGGATGTCCTCACCAAGCCTGAGATTGTGCCGATTCGAGGAAAATTGAGAGACTATGCCTGATCCACGATGTCATTCTGGTAATTGCTTACTTCGGAAGCTAGCCGGCTCTCCTTCTCTACGGAAAAATCGATCGCATCTCATTGACATTGACATGCTGAGGTAAGAATGTGTTGGCGCTGCCACAGTAATCCCAGTGTCTTCCATCAGAGTCCTGACTCTCTACCACATGATCAAGAGGCTCATACTGCTTGCCCATGTTGATGTCGACGTCATGATTGCCATTGGCTTGCCAATTGCGTCCGGCTCACCATGCGATCAATGCCCAAGAACATCACCCCCTCACATCCCCATGCTTCCGAAGACTTTAACCAGCCACATCTCTGCTTTTACCCAGTAGAAAAGACGACTGCTGCAAACAGCCTTTCGACCAGAGTGCCGATGGCCGAACGTCTGAAATGCATGGCATCGTCACGACTCCTCTTGCGAAGGAGTCCTACCGGGGTGTCTCTAGGTAAGATGGGGTAGCGGTAATCAAGAGGTAGGACAATAGATATCTCAAACGACGAAAGGTTCTGGAAATAGTTGAGCCTGTCTTCTGCATAACTTTCAATGTTGCCTAGCATGTTAAAGATCCTCATCGGCCTGGCTGCGGTGGCGGCAGCAACGCCAACTGCATACAATGCTCGACCGTACTCACAGGTAGCCAAAAGACAAGCCTCATATGGCAGCAGCAGCAGCAAGCTCACCGTCGACCTTGGTTACAGCGTCTACGAGGGCTTCACGAACACTTCCGCCGGCCTCGACAATTATTATGGGTACGCTATGTACGTCCATTTACAGACTTGATTGTCGTGTTGACAAGAGACACAGCATACGATTTGCGTCGGCCCCGACAGGTAATCTGAGATTCCAAGCACCAATAGCACCAGAGTTAAACCGCTCGGCAACTATCACAGCAACGCAGTATGGTGCAATTTGTGCCCAGAGTCCGTCATCCGGTGCAGCCGGTTTCCGGCCCCAGAGCCAGGTCAATGCAAGCGAGGACTGCTTGTTCGTAAGTTTTGGTCAGGTCTGTATCGTGTTGCGTGGCGATGCTGACATGGTCACCTCAAGCTTAACGTGCAGACTCCGAGCAATGCAAGCGGACCACTCCCTGTCCTTGTCTGGATCCATGGAGGTCAGCAGTTGCTCTCATCAATCTGCTCTACGAAACCTGTACTGATAAGAGCCAGGTGGCTACGGTCAAGGCAATGGAAGGCAAGACTTGACGGCTATCATGGGCACAAACGGAAACTCCTTTGTTGGTGTCTCTATACAGTACAGAGTCAGTTACATCATCAAAGCGCGACGAACTCGGATCTAATATATAACACAGCTTGGAGCATTAGGGTTCGTCTCATCCGACGAGGTCTTCCGCAAGGGCGCTGTCAACGCCGGTATTCTTGACCAACATCTCGCGCTACAATGGGTCCAGCAGTATATCCATCTGTTCAACGGCGACCCAGCCAAAGTGACGATCAGCGGCGAAAGTGCTGGTGCTGGCAGTGTCATGCTCCAGGACATGGCTTACGGTGGCTCACTCGGCACGCAGCTCTTTCAGAACAGCGTTGTGGCGAGCCCATATTTGCCTATGCAGTACGGCTATAAAGACTGGGAGCCATCTCAAGCATACTATGCCTTTGCGACTGCAGCAGGTTGTGCACCGACGACCGCGTATGGTGCAAACCATACCACTCCTATTTTCGAATGCTTGGTCAGCAAAGATTCTGCTACGGTCATCAACGCTAGCGCTACGGTATCGCAGCTGGTGTCCTATGGTACGTGGGCCTTCCTGCCAGTCACAGATGGTGTCTTCATCCAGGATCTTCCTAGTCGACAGCTTGGTCGTGGTCAAGTGAACGGTCTGCGCATTCTTTCGGGCAACAATGCCAATGAGGGCGTGGGTTTCACCCCTCAGACCATAAAAACGGAGGATGATCTAGTTGCTTACCTTCGAGGACTCCTTCCGCTCTTCTCGGACAATGACATCGCAAAAGTGCTGTTGTACTACCCTTCGACCAATGCTTCTGTTAGTTCTTCGAACCCAACGTTCGCCACTACTGGCGACTCAGGTCCCACGGCACTCAATCAAAGCTCCGTCGGTACAGGACAACAGCAACGAGCAGACAACATATACGCCGAGACAACATTCGTATGCCCATCGTATTGGTTGGCCGAAGCTTACGGTAGCAGCAAGAGTGGTGGGGAGGCATGGAAGTACCAGTTCTCGATTCCTCCTGCTTACCATGGTGGAGATGTCTCAGGGTACGAACGCTCCAGTGTTAGTATAAGGCCAGCCTGCTGACCACCAGAAATCAGATACTTCAACTACCCAGGGCAAACCTACGACGTTGACTTCACCACGGCATTCCAGAAGATCTGGGGCAACTTCATAACATCCGATAACCCATCGATCTCGAACGCTATCGCCAATGGTATCACGACTTCGAATGTGTCTATCAACAGCGCAAGTGACTGGCCGCCATATGCTATTTACTCACCATATCAGCTCGATCTTAACACCACATGTCCCGGTATTGTGAACGGTATCTGTGGCGGGGCCAACGCTACAAACACGATCAGGTTGGCCAATGCATACACATGGGAGGGTGGCAGAGGCATGAGATGTGACTTCTGGAAGTCCGTTGGCGAGATCGTCCCTGAGTAGGTCAAAGACGACAGAACCTCGGCCAGAAGGTTCCGATGGTTGGTCTCATGACGCTGATAACCAGGTTGGATATAGCTAGTCCTGAGCATCTAGCAGCTACCAGACATTGATAAAGAACGTGACGAAAGTATGCGGGCGAAATTGATTACGCTAATGTCACTTCTCGCTCAAATTCTTTTCTCCGAAAGACCCCAGCCAGGCCTCCATCCCAGCCCTGATACCTGGCCATTCGGTACGAGGGATGAGGTAAAGATCCGTGGTCGTACTTCGCACCTTATCCCAATATCGACGTCGGGGTATCTCTGGCAAGCCTATGCCTTGCAGGACGCCATACCCACTCTCCAGCTCGTATTGCCCGGACTCTCCAACAACACTCGTGTATCCGTCGCACTTAAATGCACTCCGACATACCAAGAACATGCTCGCCACTCCGAGATCGACGCGTCTGCTCTGCTCTGAGAAGAACATGGTCGACTTCAACTCGGCGTGATTGCTTGGCATGCTAATGTAACCCCATCCTCGGAGATCGTTGTTCAAAGCGTCCCTGAATGTAAAGAATATCTTCTCCGAGTCTTGACCCTCACGACCGATCACGATGCGCAATTCATCCAGCGTCGCATCACGACTAGCAGTAAACTTCTCGAGCAGAGACTGGTTCGCTTTTTGCTTGGCTATTAACCACAGGGCCGGCAAGTCGCTGTTCTGTAGAGCACAGATTTTGTACAGTTTCCCTTGTATTGCCTCGTGGCGCAGGACTTTTAGCGACACATCGCACTTGGTCACATCGTCCTCGCTCCTGGTGACACGGATTTCCTGAGGCCAGGCGTCCATTGTGATGTCGTGCTGGTATGAGATCGCATAGAGGTTGAGGATACCCACCTCAGACAGATGATCGACTTAAGTTGTGCTTGATGTCGACATCACTTCTCTTGACACCGCTGCGCCACTTGTAACCGTGTTGGACATGATTTACTCAGAAGCTGTATCTTGTGGGCTAAATTGAGGTGGCCTGCTGACATAATGTTGGCTGAAATGGTGACCGCAAACACCCTTCATCTGCTTGTAGGTGCATAAGCGCTCGAGGTGCCTCAGCTAAAAGCTGAAGGGATAGCTGCCGCTGCGTCAGCCTGCGATGCTCGGATTTGAATAGAGATCGTGGGATACAGTCGTCTCACCTCAAACCTCTGGTCTGCCCAGAGAAGACAGCCATGCTTCAATGCAAGACTTTAACATACGCCATTGCTGGACTGTCGCAGTATACACATCAGTCGTACTGCTTTGTGTTCTGACCAGATGCTGATTTCGAAGTACGTTGACCAGACCGAACCCGAAGACTTTGTGCTCGCAACCAGGCATATTGGCCAGCTTGCTCATATGTAGTCGCAGCTCCGTATAGCCATCACAGTCGAACGCGCTCTTCATGACAAGGTAGATGACTTGAATAGTCATCTCAGCCGCATCGTCCGTGAAGAAAAGATAGCACTTGAGTGGACTGGTGGTCTCGGTCAATTCAATGCGACCCCATCCTCGAGGTCTGTCGTCTTGTGTGTCTTTGACCGTGAAGTGCACCTTCTGCGGGTCACCGATCTCCTTGGCGAGCATCTTGTCGAAGTGGTCGAAGTTTTCGATGTGTACTCCATATACTTGCTCGAGCAGGAGAAGGTTTGCCTCCTCACTTGTGATCGGCCACAACGCTAGCATGTCAGTGTGGCTCAGGGTCGATAAGTACACATTTTTACTCGGCACACTCGTTGTGTGCAGTCGAGCGACAAGACCGCGACTGCCCTCTCTTGCTGCAGAGCCATCGCGAAGTCCGGTAGGATTCATCTAGCTCGAAAGATCGTAAGGATTGCTGCCATCTGTGAGAGGCAAAAGCTTGGTACTTGCCAGCTTATACCTGATTGATTGCATGAGTACGCATACTAGCCTTCTTTGACGCAAGTAGGCTCTGTTCCTGTGGGACCATACTCTAGCTAGTGTCGGCCAGCCATAAGCAACAATGATGTCCCAGTACCGTCGGCATACCGTTACACACCCAATGGCTGAAGACAGCCAATGATGTTCTGTCGCCAATATCGTCTATTGCGGACCCAGCGGATAGCACGGTAGACGGCGACCTGCGAGCATGATGACTGCTACGTACGTATCTACGGTCAGTGGCGTCTGGAATGCTGTGTGCTGTGGCTTCGGCACCTCCTCGTTACGATGATGTGTCCCACACCGCTCGGGAGCAGGGATCGATTTGGACGATTACCGCATGACATCAGGATGTCACATTAAGTGTTCGAGCCTTTACCCGGATGCAGAAACAGGTGCTGAGTCGCGCGTGTTTATTATTCCTTGAAGGACGTCTTGGCGGCTGACTGATCCACGCGCTAGACCTGGTTCTTTGAGATCGTCTCCACTTGTACGCTCTCCCTGTTCACTACAAACGACATACATCAGGACAGCCAGCAATGCGAATAAAAATCGCTGCAAACCACCACCTGGGGGTATATGTGCAGCCTTGGGACTTCATTTGTCGTCACGGGAAAGCTGATGACTTTGCTTGCCCCGCGCAAAGCTTTTCCCAATGCCGAGCAAAATCGTAACTCAGGTAGGGCGTGAAGTACAAACGGGCTACCCTGAACAAGTAGGTATTCTGCTCTCTTCAAACGCATGGTATCTGTTCGCTGTTACCGGGTCTATACGGCAATCGCTGGATTGAACACTGGCACGACGATGGGTCCGGAGCATGACGAGGCAGTTTTTGAATTACGCAATAGGACTTCTGACCACCCCGAAGAGGATGGCACGCATATCTCTTCCCTGCCGCCCGTCGACGGCGGTAAAGGAGCATGGCTTGCCCTCGCGGGCGCCTTTACGCTGGAAGCATTAGTCTGGGGCTTTCCATACTCATTCGGCATCTTTCAAAAGTACTACCTGACTCACGAGCCATTTTCACGCAATCCATCTGCTATTGCGGCAACCTCTACGACAGGAACAGCTATAATGTTCCTGTCGTCGCCTTTCGTGGCTTTGTTGATCCAACGACGGCCAAACTTACGTCTGGCATCTGGACTCGGAGGTCTGGCCATTGTGGTAGCGAGTCTCCTGGCTGCAAGCTACTGCAACACTACTGCCGGCATTCTCGCCTGTCAGGGTATCCTGTATTCCATAGGAGGGCTATTTCTTTACTTTCCGGCCTTTTCAGTCATTGACCAATGGTTCGTGGCGCGCAAAGGACTGAGCTTCGGAATAGTTTGGACTGGGACGAGTGTAGCAGGCGCCATATTCCCATGGATCTCGCAGTGGCTGCTTGATGCATATGGCTTTCGAACGGCGCTCCGCGTGTGGGCAATTATCTTCGCCATTTGTGGCGCGCCCTGTCCATTCATTATGAGACCGCGTCTGCCGGCAACTAAGGGCGCAACCAGGCTGCCGCCCACGGACTGGAGCTTTCTGAAGCTGCCAGCCTTCTGGTGGTTCGAGGCTGGTGTAATATTGCAAAGCCTTGCATACTTTTGCCCTTCTCTATGGATACCAACATTCACGGTCGCGGTCGGCCTGCCAGATTTTACAGGCCCTTTGGCACTGTGTCTCATCAACGTTGCCGCATGTGTTGGGTACTTGCTGCAAGGTAGGCTCGTAGATCACTACAAGTCCACTACCGTGATCTTTGCAGCGACGGCTGTATCGATGCTGGCAATATTTGTTTTCTGGGGCCTTGCTAGCAGTCAGCCAATGCTGTACGTCTTTGCTATACTCTGGGGTCTTTCAGGATGCAGTCTCGCAGCAACCTGGGCTGGCTCAGTGAAGGATGTGCGTAGAAGGTGCGAAACAATCGATACAGGAATAGTTCTGTCCTTCATGTGTGTAGGAAAGGGTGTCGGATCTGTGCTCGCTGGACCAATAAGCGAAAAGCTGCTACAAGTGCAGCCGTGGCGAGGAGCTGGTTACGCATATGGCAGTGAGTTTGGAGCTATCATAGTGTTCGTAAGTGCAATAGGCTGGGCTCATCTCTGGAACATTCGCGAATTCATGCTGACACTGTTCCCAGACCGGTATCACGGCCATCGCAGGAGGTTGTGCTTGTCTTGGCAGAACCATGAAGATGGTGTGACGGTCTGCTGCATATCAGTAGCGATGTCGACATCCAAGCTGAAAGGTGGTCAATCTGCATGACATGGCTTGTGTCACTGATATTCTGTCTGCAAGTCTGATGTTTGCATAAGCTTGTTAATGGGGACATGGATTATGATACTCCATGCATCGAGTTATACCACCAGTAACCTCCATATGATACTATGATGCGCGTACTGGGCGAACGTCCCACGACGCCATCAGCCTCAAGACGATGGGTGCATACGCGTGAAACGAGCTGTTCACCATAGATAGACACGTGTGTCTATGTAACCCCTGAACCTGAGCCACGCAATGGAGTCAAGCAACACAAGCAATCAAGAGGACGGTCCATGCTACTTGCTATCGGCCAGTCAGGCTTCGACATCTGGGCCCCCATCGCTTATCTGTTCAGCCAAGGAATGCTTCCGAGCGCAATGCATGCCCATAGTGGTTTAGCTTCGTATCTAAGATTTGCAAAGTCACCACGAAGGTGCAGCTTTCCGACCCTATGCGAAAAAGGTACCCTTGCGACGGCATCACCGACTTCGTAGATCTGCACAGTCGCCTGAGTAGCACGCTGCAGAGTAAACGCAATGGCCGACAATTTTCAGTACTGTCACTAGCTAGCTACTGTGAATGGTCAGTCGGGGTGTTGAGACGATTGATGGTTCTCCAAGCCAGTCAATCTCCAAAACAGATGCGCTTGACTCAGCTCGTCGCAACTCCTGCCCGGCTCGTGATAGCAGGCGAGCTTGGATGTTGCAAGGCGCTTGAGTATATGTATCGTGCCGTCTTCGTGTTCCATTCATATTATCGTCCACGCAAGTATTTCGCACCATAGAGACGCAGCTACTACACCGCCAGGTCTTGCAACAACTCCTAGACACGATAACAGACCATCCTCAATGCTCATTCCGACCCAAACACCGGCGGAGAGGCCGTTCTCTCTCGAACACGCCATGCTGCATATGCGAGCTTTGGGATTCGCTAGTACTTCCAACATCACCTGCGCAGCACCTCAGCCTGGCCTCGTCGGCGAGCCTATCACTGGTTCCTTGACCTTTCACCACATCATGATCCTGATAGCGGCTGCATGTATGGGTGTCACAGTCCTCAGCACGATCTACGCATCTTGGACCCATCTCCATCGATACACTATACCACAGGAGCAACGTCAAATCCTGCGCATCATTAACTTGCCTGCGGCATACAGTATCTTCAACTTCCTCGCACTGCTATTCTACAACGACTACTACTACATAGCACCAATCGCCGGAGTATACGAGGCCTTCACAGTTGCTGCGCTTTTCCTGCTGATGCTCGAATTCGTTTGCCCGGATGGAACAGATCGGGAAAAGTTCTTCGACGCTCTGCCTGCAGTGGACAAGAAAGGCAATCCGGTTGGTGGTGGCAGTTTGCCATGGTTCAAGGTAAGTCTCAAAAAAGTATGAAGCCTCTTTCGAGACATGTTCTGACAATTTGTGCAATAGCGAACCTGGGCGCAGGTTTTCCAGTACCCTCTCAGTAAACTGGTCTTCGTCGTCATCCAGATTGTGACGCAGTACTACCACGTGTACTGCGAGAACTCCTTCAGCCCGAAGTACGCTCATCTCTGGCTGACGATCGCCGATTTCCTGTTCGTTGGTGGCGCGCTGGGAGCTACCATCAAGTTCGTTCAGCGCATGGGGAAGGCCAAGGCTTTCAACATAAACCAGAAAATACGAGCGAAGGTCTACTCGTATATAGGCATACTGGTGTTCCAGATGCTGCAGGATATTGTGTTCGGCCTCCTCAATGGCAAGCTATTTAACCCTTCTAAAAAGGTCACCTATAACGACATCAACTTCGGCATCCCGGCTTTCCTCACATGTTTGGAGACAGCCATATTCTCCTTCATCTTCATGTGGGCTTATAGCTCCAAGGAGTACTCTGAAGGCCGTCGCATGGATCGTTTCGGCCAAGCGCCAGCAACACGCACTAAGACCTTCAAGGCCATCTTCGATGCTCTGAACCTGTCGGACATTGTTGCCGGCACAGTGATTGCGATTGGATCGCTAGTCATGCGTATTCAGAGTCGATATGGTGGCAGCTCGACGCCACAGCGCGAGAAGCTCATGCAGGATGGGGTGGGCATGGAGCCATTGTCAAATCGCAACCGCATGCGTGGCTACAGTGGAGGATCAGACTTCGACGACCAGTACACCCCGCCACTGGACACCCAGTATGACGGCCGCACGACATACGCGCCTGCCATGCCACAGGCCACGCGCGATCCCTCGCCTCCAGATCGTACGAGGACGTTTCGAGCGGATGGGTTGAGACCACAGGAGTATCAGCCTTTGACACGGTCGAGAGATCATAGTCCTAGCGGTGGGGCAGAACAGTACCCAAGGAACATGGTCTAGAAGCGCAATCTTCGTGTTTAGCTGGCCGCTTTTCTTCATTAATTAGCTTGTGTCCATTGTATAGTATCCGTTATATTTGGCTCATGTTCAGACAGTTCGAATTGTCTACCACGGTCTTAGTTTTGAGGCCGATGCCGGCTTTGGGGTTGGATTCACAAATGTCCGCACAAGGCTGCCGAGAGAGTTGACTTACCGCACCGGACACACTTCATCTATGGTCCAATATGCTCATGTCTCGTGTGTACCTAATCTGTAGCACCAACAGCAGAATTTGGAGATTCTGATGCTCCATACGCTGAACTTGTCATCCCACGCAAGCGACCTCGCACGCCAAGCCAGCTTGACACTTCATACAGTGGGACTCCCATCTAATGTGGGCCGTCGATACACTTCTATCCATCTGCTTTTGGATTACATTTTAGTAGCTATTCATTTATCTGATCTTCGCCTCGACGCTTGGATGATCTGATAACAACAGAGACATTGTGGTCCTTGCACTGTTCATGTGGCGCCGCTTAGTTCTACCTCATTTTATATGGCAGGCCACGATACACAATATGGAACACTCCCGTCCCAACAGCAGCAACATGACATCTCGACTGACGAAATGGCGGTAGCCGACACAGCAGCGCTGGCGAGTTCGGCGCACGAGGAGATACCGCTGCGACGGACGAGCAGCAGGCCTGAGAAGGCGAAGAGTGTAAGCGGCGTGGAACATGATGATGACCAAGACTTGGAAGCTGCTGCACGACCCGAGACGCCGGCCAGCATTGAGAGTGCGCAAGTCGGTGTCAAGCGTGCAGAAGCTATCGCGTCAACGTGGTCGAAGACGGCACTATATGTTGCATACCTCGGTATCGCGCTAACAGCATGGGCGACCTCACTGGAGAGCCAGACAACCGTCAATCTGGCAGTCTATGCCACCAGCGCTTTCTCCGCGCACTCGCTGGTGTCAACTGTGATGGTCGTGCAAGGCGTCGTGCTGTCGGTCGCGAAACCGCCCATGTCAAAGATCGCAGACGTCTTCGGCCGGTTCGAAGCCTTCAGCTTGTCAGTCCTGATCTATGTCATCGGTTACATACAACAAGCCGCTGCCGATAATGTCAAGACTTATGCGGCGGCGCAGATATTCTACTCCGCTGGTTCGACTGGCCTACAGATCTTGATCCAAATCTTCGTCGCCGACACCAGTGATCTTCTCAATCGCTCGCTTGTCGCCACATTGCCGGATGTGCCCTTCCTGGTCAATGTCTGGATTGGTCCGTCGCTGGCCGACACAATCTTAAAGAATTTGAACTGGCGATGGGGCTATGCGATATGGGCGGTCGTCCTCCCAGTGGCATTCATGCCTCTTGCTCTCACTTTGTGGATGACACAGCGAAAGGCCGCAAAGAAAGGGCTCTTGCCACCTTCGCCATTCAAGGACAAGACGGCAATGGAGGTGGCGAAGAGTCTGTGGTATGAGCTTGATATCTTTGGCCTTTTGCTGATCTGCGCTGGCTTCTCTCTGATCCTCATCCCACTCACGATTGGACCCTCTATATCCTGGGACAACCCAAGCGTGGTGGCCATGCTTGTGGTTGGTGCGATGTGTGTAATTGGTTTCCCCTTCTGGGAGAGCAGTAAGACACTTGCTCCACGAGCATTCTTTCCTCGAGCGCTGTTCAAGAATCGCACTGTTCTTGCTGGCCTGACGTTTGCATTCTTCTATTTCTGTAAGCACTCCCCATTCTTGACCTACCGACATGTGCTGATCAGAGACAGCTGCCTTCTATCTATCTATCCTACCCTACTTCCAGTCATACCTGCTCGTGGTGCACGGCCTCTCTGTTACTTCCGCCGGTCGCATCACACAGATCTTCACGTTTTCTGGCACTATTACAGCAATCCTTGTATCGTTCATCATCAAGTACACTAAGCGCTATCGAATACTGGTCACTGCAGGCGCCTGTATATATGTCCTTGGCCTAGTTTGCATGGTGTTCACCCGGACACAGAAGTCGTCTCTGCTGGCTATTGGAGCATCGCAGCTACTAGTGGGCATCGGAGGCGGAATGTGCCATGGTCCTGCGCAGCTTGGTGTACAGGCTTCGGCAAGCCACTCAGAAGTAGCTGCAGCCACGGCGGCCTTCTTGACTTTGCTTGAGATCGGTGGTGCAGTCGGCTCAGCGATATCTGGTGCTGTCTGGAGTGGCAATATTCTCACGAAGCTTGAACTATACTTGCCACCCGAAACACAGGATCGAGCAGTCGACATTTATGGAAGCATAAGTCTAGCCTCGACTGGCTGGCCGATGGGTGACCCTACTAGGGAAGCCATCAACCTAGCATATCAGGAGACGATGACGAAGATACTTATCATAGCGGTGTGCATGGCGACACCATGCATCTTCCTTAGTCTGATGATGAAGGACTACAAGCTGGACGAGATCGAACAGCATGTCACTGGCGTTGTCATAGGGAGTACGCAGGACGCGACATACACTGCGGAGGCTGGACCTTCAGATGAGTCTACGGTCAGACTACTGGGCGGCGGAGGAGATGATGGTGACGATGATGATGATGACGAGACCTACGGTAGTACGAACGGTAACGACAGACGTGACAAGCAGACGGGCTCATTGTTTGGTGGCAAGCAGGTGAAGCGAGCATGAGCGCGCGTGTTGATATTTTCATCATGGCATTGCGCGGCGTTGAACGGTGTGACCTTTGGATACCCACGAGAGCATTAGCGATGCATGGTCGCGAGACACACTTTGTTCATGAGCATAGCACAGAATACCTGTAGACACGAAGACCACATTATTGCTTACGATGCTACGTTCTTTGATGATTTCCTTCACAATCCAACCTCAGGTACCCCATATTTTTTGATTTCCGGCCCAAGTCAATATACTTGCGTGACACGCTACGGAAGCCTCTCAGCGTCTCGCTTGGCCACACCTGCATCCACAGCCCTTAGCCGGTGCAGCATTCTGGGCCGCTGGCAGCACTTCACCGTCGCCGATCTTTCCTCGGAACTTGCGCGTCTTCTGCTTTGATAGCTTGCTTCACTTCGACCATCACCCGGGACTTATTCGTCTTGAGATCGCGAAGCATTAGTGGGTGGACGATACAGCGGTGCCTTGCTGCGTGCTTTCCCCGCCACGGGACGAGACGAGAGTGGTGACAGGCAGAGTGCGACACTTTTGGAGCGATACCAGGACGAAGTGAGCCTTCACTACACAGATCTCGTGATTCTGGTGTTCGCGTGTCTTTGGCCAATGGATGGTGCTTGACATGTGCTGAGCTTTACAGGACGTCGTACCGATTAGCGCCGGCAGCAGCAATCTATCTCTCTCTCTCTCTCTACACTCGCTCGAGACCACGATCGCGACTACTTCTTACCACGATATCCAAGCGATCACCCTGGAGGAGCAGTCATTGAATACTAGCGAGAAGCTCCGCGCAGAGGGACAATGGTTGTCGCCACGATAAAGTACGCAACATGTCCTCTGCCTCCCAACCTAGCAATCCTCTGCGACTCGCTGCCACACGATACTCGCCCAAGATTGGCCTGTTGAAGACGCCTTCAGTACTAAGTGTCAATGCCAAGATCTTCGAAAGCGAGTTCTGCAAGGACAGGACGATGAAGTTGGATCAAGATGGGACAATACATATACGACAGAGCGTCGCTAATCATATACGTGGTGCAGATGCGTGGTCGTGGGTGACGGTGCGGTCGGCAAGACGTGTTTGCTCATCAGCTACACAACCAACAAGTTTCCTTCGGAGTATGTGCCGACGGTCTTTGACAACTATGCGGTCACGGTGATGTATGTGCCTAACTATACGAGATGAAAGTAAGTCAAAACTAAATGTGATCAGGATCGGCGATGAGCCATATACACTTGGTCTCTTCGATACTGCTGGACAGGAAGATTACGACCGCCTCCGTCCACTCTCATACCCACAGACAGACGTCTTCCTCGTCTGCTTCTCCGTCACATCACCCGCCTCCTTCGAGAACGTTCGAGAGAAGTGGTTCCCGGAAGTGCATCACCATTGTCCGGGTGTGCCATGTCTTATAGTAGGCACCCAGACCGATTTGCGAGACGACCCGCAAGTGAGAGACAAGCTGGCGAAGCAGAAGATGCAGCCTGTAAGAAAGGAGGACGGTGAGAGGATGGCGAAGGACTTGGGGGCGGTGAAATACGTGGAATGTTCGGCACTCACGCAGTACAAGCTCAAGGATGTCTTTGATGAGGCCATTGTAGCAGCTTTGGAACCACCAGTTGCGAAGACTGGAAAGAAGCGTGAGATGTCCTAGATTCAGGACTTGAGAGGCGTTTTACTGATATGCTTTTCACAGGGAAAGGCAAAGGCTGCGTTGTGCTATAGATGCAAGCGCGGACCACGACTTCAGCTCAGCGGTAAGGTGAAAGGCGTTCCGTGAGGCGTTGGTCAGAGGCGAATGCCTGGCGCTCGAACCTGGTTACTGTAGTCCATCTCTTATGTGCAATAACTTCGAACGAAGCTGCATTTGACCTATAGGTCCTTCATCACATCGATATACTCCCAGTCTGCTGGACTTTTCTTGCCCGGCTAGCAGCGGACTGCAAGCCGCGGCGTGTCCTATGCTAGTCCTGCCGAGCCAAAGTGCATATCAGGGATGGTCGAGAGGCATGTGACTGGTGCTGTGTGAAGATGACGTCGCGTTCCTTCCGCTTTGAGTTGGATTACTTTGTTTATTGACAGGCGCAGAATACTCGTTTTGCACTGACGCGACGAAAGTCGTAGATTCACAACGCACAGCCAGGTACACAATCGCCTTTGGACTATTGTTGAGATTCCCCTATTGTTGTCTTAAGTATACATATTTGGCTGCTCGGCACCATTCGCTGCAGCACAATGCAGATTCGATCCACTACGCCCTCCGGCGAGAGGACAACATCGCCAGCGACATCGAGAAGAAGTTCGCACAACATCGTTCAAGCACAATCTATCTCACAGACACCGACCATACCACAAGTAACACCGACCATACCACAAGTAACACCGTCTGCCAGCGCCTTCTTGCAGCAGGCTGCGATGATGAAGCGCTATCGGCTCGAGGGCAACGCGTTCTACCAACAGGAGGTGCACAGGCGACGGATCACACCACCCACAGGCACGCACCCTGCGCTTCGCACACGCAGCGACTCTGACAGCTTTTGTCCTTTGCAGCACGTTGAGATGCTTGATCCACGTGGCTCGACACTCACTACAATGTCTTCGTTCATCGATGCTGCCAATGTCGCGCACGGCCCTTCGCCACCCATGGGCCTGCTTCCCGAGAATGAGCGCTTTGCTGAGCCGACACATCGTGGCATTATCGAGGAACTCCGCGAGCAGTCCATACATGAAGCCTCCGGCTCGGAAGATGATCGTACACCTGTCTACCAAACGTACGCTCCGACCCCAAAACCAGAGAGCTCGGAATTCACAAGTCACACTCAGCCGACTGGACACAGGACACCACGCAAGTCACGCGTTTTCTTGCCGCGCAAAGATACTGGCACTCTACCAGGCAGCATCCCACCGAAGAGTCCGAAGAAGACATTCTTTAAGAAGCTAGGCATGAAGCGCACGAACACAACACCCTCTCCCTCTGTGAGCACTCTCACAGGCCATGAGGTATTCGTGGTAGACGAAGCTGGTATTCCAGTGAAGGCACAAGCAGTGTTGGGTGCATCTCCCTCGAAAGCCACTCTCATTCGCTCGCCATCGAAGCAGAAGAAGCTCTTTCCTTCTTTGCGCAAGGCGGGTGATGTGACGAGTGTTCCGCCGCCGACATTGCGCTCACCTACATCAATGACGAGCCAAGAGACCCCACGTACAGCAGGCAGCTTAACGAAGACACCACAAATTGCCTACACTGATCCGACGCACTACAGCTCTCTGAACAGCAGGCATATACCATCCCAGACCTTGTCTGAAATGGGTGCTCCTGACTCGCAGCAGGTAGCGAAGTGCGCCATTCAGCGCTCGCAGAGCCTCAAATACTTCGACTCTGGCGTACCACCTACACCACCAGCGAAGAACACCCCCCCAAACATTAAGGCTGCTCGTGAAGCTGCTGCGGCAGCTGGGACGCTCAACGTTCCTCCAAAGCTTACGGAGAGCACGCCTTCCAAGTCTCCTCTCGGTGTTATCAGCACAAGCGATCGCATCAGCCCAACTAGGTTCGGCAGCTACGCGCACAAGGAAACTGCCAGACTAGTTACCAAGCCCAGTATGTACTCGTTGCACGCCTCAGTCGTGCCCGAGGTCATGGAGGCGAGCACTTTCGAGGAGATGAAGGCCCGAATTGATGGGCTGGGTCTGGAAGGCTTCAGTTTGCCGGAGGAGACGCAGTACCAGCGTTCACCTGAAATGATCTATTCACCCAGCATCTACGGCAGTGAATGGGATGTTCGGCCGAGCATGACCGAGAAGAACTCGCGTGCGTCTAAACGCTTCTCAGTTCATGAGTTGCCTGTTCTGGCGGAAGTGTCTGCTGAGCGCGAAGGAAGCCATCGCGCCAAGCAGAGCTCATCTAGTGGTGGGACCATACCCGTCTGCTATCCCCACCTGGCGTCCGATCACGCCATGTCTGACTCGACACCTCTCAAGAGCGGTCATGTGAGGTCGAACACCAGCCCTGACCTTGAGCGTGTCAAGGGCGAGTCGCTGAAGTCGGAGATGCCTGTACATGGTCGTACACACTCGCGCGACCACAGCAATAGTCCGAGGCAATCGACCGACGTCAACATTTTCGCTCTACCTGCAGAAGAGCTGTATGACGCGGAACTTGCCTCGCCAGCGTCCAAATACTACCCAAGTGCTATGCCGTCTCCATTGCACTACCTGCCGGCTACCGTGTATACACCTCCTGTAAAGCGCACGAGAGAAGAGCTTTTCCCACCCACGAACAAGAACGAATCATCGTCTTGTCATGATAGTGGCCTAGGTATTTCGCATCAGAGATCTGCTTCGTCTTCGCCAGCTCGCAGTCAGAACGTGCTGCAAGGTGCGCCGAAGTGGCAGGCCCCATCCGACTCACCTCCCCTCTCCCACATGTTTCAATTCGGTAAGACGACCCAGAAGAACCTCGAACCGGAGAAGTCGGTCGCAAAAGAGGGAGAAAATTCCAAAATGGACAAAGTCCTTGCGATGCTCCAGACGATCTCGACCCGAAGCAACAAGGTCGAGGAGCTAAATGAAGAGATGCGTGCCACCAATATCAGTCTTGAGGGCCGCCTGGGTCGTATGGAGGATATGCAACGTTGTTCATCGCCGGGTAGCTCCTTTCTTGGTTCGGATGGGACTTCCAGCCAGCGAATGCAGGATGACAGATTGTCAGGGAAACAGCAGAAGCGTGTGTCGACCTCCGTGGCACACGATTTTTATCGTCTTGGTCAGACGCAGGATGTGCCGTCTTCGCCACTGATTAGTCTGTCTAGTGCGGATGAGGATGTGTTGGAGGACTCCATGGGTATTCACAACGTCGGAATCGAGACAGAGAACGAGGACAAGATTGCTGGACTTACGAAGGCTAATAGGGAATTGACTGATTTGCTGGCTGGGTTGGCCGCGCAATTGGCGGAGATGAGGAAGAAGTTGGATGAGCAGGCTGGATAGGTACTTTCCCAGGGATCTTGCCACAGTGTTGAGCTACTCAGGCGGGCTTTTGTGACGTTCAAAACACCGGGCAGGTTTGAGCTGCTCGCGTGGCGAGCTTCGTACTGTTGCTTGGAAAGTTTTGTTTTGGTTGTCTAGTAATTGGCTCGAACGCAGCCTTAGCGACTAAATGCTATACTCACGCTGATGTCATGACCGAGTCAACCTTCTCCAGATTCTCATGCTTATCCTTCTCAATACCCTGCCTTATATCCTTAGCAGCAGCCTCATCGCCCTCCTCCTCCGCCTCCTCCGCAAGCCATCCCCGACACATCTGCACCGCCTTCTCCCACTTCCTGAACATCTTGTTCCGTGCCTTGACATCGATCTTGCTATCGAACTGTGTCTGGCCAGCGGTGTTGACATTCTTCAGCTCCTCGAAGTTCTTCCATACGCCACTTGCGAAGCCCGCGGCAATGGCTGCACCTAGAGCAGTAGTCTCACGCATTTTTGGTCGTACGATCGGGATGCCAACGAGGTCTGCTTGGGTCTGCATACAGAGGCCGGAATTAGACATGCCACCGTCGACTGCGAGCTCGGTGAGCTTGTGGCCACTGTCCTTTTCCATGGCGTCTAGGATCGCTTTTGTTTGGAAGCAGACTGCTTCTAGCGTAGCTCGCGCAATGTGGCCACGTTCTGTGTGGTGTGTTATGCCAACTGGATGGGGAGGATGTCAGCATTGGGCTCGAGTCAAAGTGCTGCGGTAAACTTACACATCGTGCCATGGGCATCGTCGATCCAGTACGGCGCGAAGAGGCCACTAAATGCAGTAACGAATACCAAGCCGCCATTGTCCGGTACCGTCTCTGCGAGCTCGGTAATTTTGTGCGATGCATGGCTGAAACCAAGATTGTTCATCAAAAACTTGACACCAGATCCTGCCACAGCTATGCTACCTTCCAAGGCATAGACGGGCTTTTCACCGAAATCGAAAGCAACCGTGGTGAGCAGACCGTGAGTAGAGATGACAGGCTTCTCGCCAGTGTTATATAGCAAGAAGCAGCCAGTACCGTACGTGTTCTTGGCACTACCAGCCTCAAAACCTTTCTGTCCGACTAGTGCAGCAGACTGGTCGCCCAAGCATCCCATGATAGGGAAGCCTTTCAGGGGACCAGATGAGAGCTCGCCGTACGCTTTCGTGTCTGCAGACTTTACAATCTTGGGCATGTGCACTTTTCGAAGATCGAACTCGTAGGATAGGAAGTCGAGCATTGCATCGCTGTACTTCAGAGTCCGAATATCCATGAACATTGTTCTGCTGGCATTTGTTGGGTCTGACACGAAGACGTTCTTGTCCGAGCCGCCGTTGAGCTTGTAGGCCAACCATGTATCAATGGTACCAAAAGCAAGATTTCCAGCCTCATAGACCTGACGGACTTTCTCCACGTTCTTGAGCAGCCATAGGAGCTTCGTCGACGAAGGATAGGAGGAGATTGGCTCCCCGCAGATGTTCAGTACTTGATCACTCTTCGGTTGGGCTTTGAGGTCGCGAGCAATGGCAGCTGTTCGTGTATCTGTCCAGACGATTGCATTGTGAAGAGCCTGGCCAGTGGTCACATCCCAGACGACTGTGGTCTCTCTTTGGTTGGTAATACCAATGGCCTTGATACTGCTTTTGGAGTGGCCGTCCTTCTCGAAGATCTTGATGGCGCCTTCTATGCAGTTCTCAACGGATCTGACGATCTCCTCTGGATCATGCTCATGCCAGCTAACTTTCTGTCAGCTGCAGCCTGTCCTCATGTTGGACGTAAGCACATACCCAGGGTTTGGGTAGATCTGTGTGAACTCTTCTTGGTGCACCGCCACCGGCTCGCCCTCCTTGTTGAAAATCAAGAATCTTGAGCTCGTTGTGCCTTGGTCTATGCTACCAACGAAGACCTCCTCGGTGTTCGACATTGTGGGCGATCGCTGTGTTCCAATAAGAATATCCTTGAGCCTGTTTGCAGCCGTAGACATATACCAATTCGGGTATCGAGAGGGATGATGAGAACCAGAAGAACAAGATGGGCGCCTGTAAGCAGAAGTAACACTTATTGCATGGTAGTCGGAAGAATGAAGGCCAACTGCGGTCGTATATTGACCGCGGCGAAGCTGCTGAGTTGGCACAGCATGTGATAGTAGCTCCCCCGAATAGCTCCCTCGTGCGGAGGAAGAGCTCCATCGACGGAGGAACAATAGGGCGGGTCCGCTCCACAAGCATGTGACCATAGCCCGAGCAATTGAGGAGCATACATCCGTTTAGTCCGCTCTCACAGCCCTCGTCGCCAAGTATAGCGAACTCGTGGCCTCTGCTCGCGTGCCTTCGCGATGTCTGTGCGCCTCGTGTCGTGGCTCTCGGCGACCTTGCCGTGTTTGACGCCACTGACAGACTTCGGCCGTTTTGATTGCATCCAATGCAACAAAGAACGGATAACGATACTAGAGCTCTCCACAGATTGGCCGGACCAGGAGAAGCGGAGTGTGGCCTCGGCGTTAGGACTTCCGAGGTGCCAAGATCTACAGTACCCCGCGTGGCCCCCGTGGGTGGCGGCGGATGGCGGGGGATCGGCATGAGCGGTTTCGCGACCTCGACCGCATGTGTCTGCCGTGTTACAACACTGCCTTTTACTCAACAGAGGTCTACAGTATGGGAGGGCGTCCTCCAGCTGTATTGAAGCACCTGTGCTACGCAAGGAAGAACATACCAAGCGCCGGTAACGTGCTGTACAACCTTCACATCTTGAGCCGTATCGTCAGTGTCCGCGTACCTCCGACATCTCTATGTAGTTGGTCCTAGGGTAGGATGGAAGTGGCATGGCGCGCCGTGCACTTGCATACTGTGGGAAAACCTTCTCTTGCGCCATCATCGATCGTGGAGCCGACATAGACGGCAGGGACTACAATTCTGTGCTTGCTGACACTCGCTGCAAGGTCGTACGGGTCCCCGACGTGACGGGGCAAGACATGGGTAGCTTGGGCAAAAGTAGCGAGCCTCTCGCAAAGATGAAGCATCTGGATCACTCAACGATGGTGGAGCATGCGTGAGGCATGCAATGAGCCTGCAGACTGCTTAGAGCCACCAAGGTTTGATTCTGTGAAAACAGCTCGCCAAGGGCTTGTGCAACGCCTGACACGAGGCCGTGAAGACTAGCAAAGCTGTCAGCGATTGATGTCCGAAGCAGGTAAGTTCTTGCGGCTGACCAGCTAAGTCGATGCTACTCCAGACGGGTCAAAGTCCTCTCTTCCTCGCACCTCAGACCCCGCCATTCTCTTGAACCCTCGTCTAGCTAGAAGCGAACGCGGCCGGCTTCATCCTGCTCAACCAAAGATTGGCCGATGGTGACACAGCTCCCAGCTGCACTCGACCGGCAAATCGTTCGGCACAATGCAACCGTGCGATGCAGCCGGTACCTGGATGCCAAGTACCTCACCAAGGGCCAGTCTTACCTCGACCGCGTTGTTTGTTCATCCAGACCTACAGATGGCTCCGTTCTGCAATCATACTTCAGCTATAGTGCGGATGTAAGCACAAGGTTCGACGTCGGCTCGTGGCAGTGTTGGCGTGCGGAGAGAGACTTTCGTAGGCGCATCCCGATGTGTCCTCCGAGTCTCTTGCGGGAGGTACACTGGACTCCACAGTGCTGTATTACGAGTCGCAGGATCGGTAGCGCAGCACTCCTTGGTCGGATGTAGCACAGCTTACGGCAAGCTGCCTCGGAAGCATAGGAAGCGTAATCGAGTGACTCGAGTACGTTGCACGTTACCTCCCCTGCGTACATGAGGAGCTGTTCGATGCTACAAGTAGGCTCTGATCGAAGTATCACCTGTGCACAGTAGCATTCTCAACACCAGTCAACTTACTTTCCTTGCCATTGGTAATACTCCGCACAAGTAACGATCGACACATTTGACTTTTTGATCCTACAGCATTGACTCCATCCACTGCATCTCAGGACTGCCCGCGTCTTGCTACGATAGCTCTTCAATCAGCAGGAGGTCTAACAGCACTCAAGTCCGCGGCACAGTGCGATGGACGAGAAGATGGACGACGGTCTCAAGATCCAGCACATGAACGCACCTCCGTCGCCAGATTCTCTGCACGTAGGCCATCACGAGTATAAGCAGAGCAACTCTTCAGCCGGCACAACCATTCCATACCCGGACGGACAAATACACGATGCAGAGTATGCTCAACCATGCAGCATGAACAATGGTTGGACGCTGATGTTTCGACAGTGTCAAAGGCTCACCTGTACCATACGCCGAGCATGGAGTACTGATCGATCGTACCCGGTATGTTCAACGACATGGTTCCCGTCCATCACAGTCTTGTTGACGATCCTTAGTACCGGTCTCAAGAAGAAGCCATTGAATTCTGGTCTAAGATGGCCACGGATACGACGGATATTTCGAGAGGTACGTATTCTTGGTCATCGGTCCTCGTTCGCGGACTGACATTTCGTTCCTCAGCCATTTTCTGAATTCATGGGAACGTTCATTCTGATCATGTTTGGCGATGGTGTCGTTGCACAGGTCGTCCTAAGTAACGGCACAAAGGGCGACTATCAATCGATCTCCTGGGGATGGGTACGCATACTATGGTTCGTCTCGCCCTAAACATCACTAACGTTAGCTAGGGCATCGGGGTCATGCTCGGCGTCTATGCCTCAGGGATCTCAGGAGCACACATCAATCCGGCGGTCACCTTCGCCAACTGCCTGTATCGAAAGTTTCCCTGGCGAAAGTTTCCGATATACATGCTTGCACAGGTCCTGGGTGCTATGTGCGCGGCAGCAGTCGTCTATGGCAACTACAAGTCGGCCATCGACACTTTCGAGGGCGGTGCGGGAATCAGGACTGTACCAGGATATTCGCCGAACGCAAGCGCTGGCATCTTCTGCACCTACCCAGCGGCCTTCATGTCGAATACTGGCCAATTCTTTTCCGAATTCATAGCTTCGACCTTGCTCATGTTCTGTATCTATGCTCTAAAAGACGACGGCAATATCGGGGCTGGTAACCTGACACCGCTTGGCTTGTTCTTCATCATCTTCGGTATCGGAGCCTGTTTCGGGTGGGAGACAGGCTATGCCATCAACTTGGCTCGAGATTTTGGTCCTAGGCTGGTCTCCTACATGATCGGCTATGGTCCAGATGTGTGGCGAGCGGGCAACTACTATTTCTGGGTAAGTCGTGCTCCACAAGTGTATGGCTGTAGTTGCTAAAATTCCCTCCAGGTCCCGATGGTGGCGCCATTCTTTGGCTGTGCATTCGGCGGCTTCTTGTACGATCTGCTGCTATTCACTGGCGAGAGCCCGATCAATACGCCATACCTGGGTCTCTACCGCTTCATCCCTGGCATGAGGCATATGTACGATGGTGTCTCATTCAACCCCGAGGACGTCAAGGAAGACGATCCTGTGTAAGGGCAAGGTCGGGTGGCCTGACAAACGATACAGATGCTTTGGCGGCAATATGCAGTCTTTGTTCATAGCCATGAGATGAGACACAGGCTCGTGATTTGAAGCATTGCATCCAGCGCGTACTGTCTTCCTATGCCGTTCGTCAACGCTGAACAGCTGGCGGCCGATACGCCAGCCAGCGTAAGAAGACTAATGACGAGTTGGGAGTCATCCTCGTGCTGATATGCTGATGACAGCGCGGGCATTGCCATTTAGCTTGCCAGGAGACTGGTGATCAGTTCTGTCTCATATCTTCATTCTTGCAAATTTTGATTAATCAAGGAAGCGAAGCAATTCCCCGGACTCCATAAAAACTAAATGCGGCGGCCTCCCAACGTTCTCGTAAATATCTGGGTCAGTGGCAATTAACGGCCAAGCGTTGTGTGGTATTTCTGGGGTGAGGAGACCGCTGTACCGGCGCTCATACTGCCCAACAGAACATCTCGATTCCCATCCTAGAAACGCCAAATCGTACATACAACCCTCACATCCACCTCTTATACCAAGACTCATGACGCCAAACCCAGTAATCATCGTACTGCTCTCTTCCTAGCCGGTAAGTCCGTCAGAACTGAGCAGTCAGCCAATCTACTTCTTCTTAGCAGCCCCAATATGCGTTCCATGAACTTTACTCCCAAACAACAAACTACTCCTGCTCTCCTGCCAATGAGCCTGCAGAGGCGAGAGATGCAACAACATAAGCGTGCGGCTGCTCTTACCATTGGCCGCTGTGCCTCCCAGTGAAGATTGGAGGAGATATGTCAACTGCACATTTGCGTCAGCTTCGATTCTCAACGTGACAGATATCATGTTAGCTGGGATAAGTGAGTGAACGAACCTTGCTATTACGATACGGGATATGACTCTCATCCCCCTTCTTATTCCCCAACGCCGCAATCACATCTCCAAGCGAAGACAACGATTTATTGATCGCTGCCGTCTCCTTGGCCCTATTGCCTTCGGCACCGGATTGCTTCAGGCGTTCACTCCCTGCCAAATCGACAAGGTTCAAGACTCCCTCGCTGCTTTCTCCTGTGGCTTCGCAGCGGCCGCGTAAGGTAAGCACGAATATACTATGTGAGCGGGAACTGCGCTCGTTCGACTTCGTGGCGGCGACACGACGGTTCTTGGCGGCTGTGTCGAGGAGCTGATTGACTGCTTTTTCTGTGTAGCTTTCCGTGTTTGTCTCGCCTGTGATTTTGGCCGCAGGAGGCCATTGGCCATCGTTTTCCGGAGGCGGCCAGAGGGACACAGAAGACAGGTTCGTGACGGTCGTCTTGCCTGATATTGGGTCGTGATGGATTTCGTGCTTTTCTTTCCTCTTGCCTCGAACACTGCCGCTCAGATCATCGCCTTCATCCCATGTCTTCGCGTCGCCGAGCAGATCGTTGATCGTCTCGTTGTAGACTTCCACGAACGAAGCAGCTACGTTGTACTGCCAGCCTTTCTCGTCTAGACGATGCATCTCTGCCAGCAGCATAGCGATGGCTGACGGTATAATGCCGTTGGGTCCAGACATGCCGTACGTTTTGCCACTGCCCGTTTGACCGTACGATAAGATCGAGACGTTGTAGCCATCGATAACACTTTGTATGAGGTCCCGGCAGTCGTCAAAGACTTGGCCGTTGGCTGTAGCAGGCGAGAACACACGATCGAAGCCATAGTTGTGCTTCTCGTTGCGCTCCTTACCCGTTGCTGAGAAGGTCATAGGAGCATGTACTACCATCTCCTTACCTCCGTCCAAGGAGTCCACGTCCGGATAGTCGACCTTAGCAGGGTCTTCTTCGCCAGCGAGTAGAGGCCTTAGTCGTACGAAGACTCGAATATTGCCGCGCAGCTCCAGAATAGTTGCGTTCAGCTTCCGTCGCATCATCTCCTCCTTTCGTAAGGTGACAAGCGTGCCTTCTTTAGAGGAGATCGCATCCTGGAGTTGCTGTCGCATGGTCGTGAACTCATGACTCTGGGCTTCCTGATTGCCTTCCAGGAAGTGCGTCTTCGATACCAGCGCTGCTTTCTCCAGCTCAAGCGCCGTATTGCGACTGTCTTCGGATACGATACGAGCGCGTAGACTCGTCACTGTAGCGTTAGTCGCCTCAATCTGGTTCTGCAGGCCGGCAATCGTGCTCCGCATTTCCTCAACCTCACTCGCAGATTCTGTAGCTCTGCTCTCACCAGCATGTTGTAGTTCCTCGAGCTGCCTTTGCAATGCTGCCTTCTCGCCGTCGTACTTCTTCCTGAGGTTCTCCAACTCGTCAAAGTGCGCAGTGCTCATCTCAAACGCCTCATCGTCTTTCTGTCTGTTCCACTTCTGTTTTGTTTCTTCCGCCTCTCGTCTGTACCGCTCTGTATCTCGTTCGCGCTCTCTTATCAAACTCTCTGCCTGTTTCTCCAACTTCTGCGTCCGGTCTGACAGCTCTTTGTCGTGTTTTCGCTCAATGTCAAGGAGATCTCGTTCGTGGTCTCGTCGTGCCTGGCGTAGGTCTGTCGTCGTGGTATGGAGATCCGTTCGTGCTCGTTCGATGTCGCCTGTCATGTTGCGATTTGCAGTCGTGATTTCTCGGTTGAGGTCGGTCAGCTCTTGGACTGTATAGCATTAGCAGGCATCCTGTCCGGGTATGATATCTGTAGACATACCTCTGCTTTTATACAAAGCAAGCGACTCTTCGAGAGCATCTTTCGAGTCGGCGGCGGAGGCAAATTGAGTACGGAGCTGTGTATACATCGCCTCCATACCCTCAAGTCGGCCTTTGGTGTCCCAGGCTGATTTCACAGGTGTAAGTGAGTCTTTCGTTAAGAAGAATGGAGTCTCATCTTTGGGTCTCGCACTTGTCCGTGGAGTATGTAGCCCGTTGATAGACGATTTGTGCTTCATAGGGGAGGGGGTTTGTAGTGCAAGGGAAGAGTGTGCATGACGAAGGGAAGGTGTGGTGGAGAACTTGGGGATCTTGGAGGGGGAGACCTCTTCGCTGATACGCTCGAGCGAAGGGCGATGCTTGGGTGCAGAAGGGTGACGTGGTTCGGGGTGAGGGAGAGCTCAGCAAATGCCGATGTGATGGAGATGTTGTGATTCTGCGCAACGCTTCCTTCGTCCGACGATGTTGAGCCACCGGACGCGCTTCGAGAAGTCCCTCCCGAGGACGAACTCTCTGCTCCAGCACTGGTGTTGCGCATGCCAGTGCGGAGGTCTTCATGTGTTCGAGTCTTGCGGAGGGTCGTGTGGTTAAAGGACATGACTGGTGTACCTTTTCGCTTGCCCGTGACTCCCGCGTCTTCATCTTCCTCCTCGGCCGTCGATGGTCGTTGGCGAGATATTGGTCGCATGCCGTTGGAGGAAGCAATGGCAGACACAGCAGACGCACGTCGAGAGTGGCCATAATAGCTCCCTCCGCGTGGTAATGTCGTCTTGGAGGGCGGCTGGATGTGCGATCTTGACGGGTTTATCGGTTCGCCAGCACGTTCGGCGAGTGTCTTTCTTTTCGGGACCGACTCGGGCAGACCAGGTATGCGATGCTTGATAGAACCATTCATGCTCGGTGGCGGCCCCATTGAGCCATTGTTGAAGCCATTGCGCGCATTCAGATCGCTCTGGCTGGTCTCGAGGAGTGTGTTCCGGCTTCCATTAGACATCATCGCCGGTAATCGTGAAGGCGGTTTGATGCCACTAGCATTCGGCCGTACATTCTCCAGCTGAGAGGGAGGTCGCTCCATGGTATTTTCAGTATCGTCCAAACAGTCGTACACAGTGCAATGGCGCGTTCCCTTCAATCCACAGTCATCACGGCTCCTTAATGCTCAGGCGTAGCAACGCTGTTTATGCCGTAAACATTCAAGATCGCGCTAGTGAGCGGAAGATCGGACGATCCCGTGTTTGGCCCATGCACCCGCACGACCTGTCACATGTTAGCCAGATATAATACGGTGCGTAGATGCGAAATATGACGATGCTGTGAACCTTTGCCACCGCTGCTGCTGTCTGGACTGACTGGTCGCGTGCTCTGCTGTAAAGTCGTGGACAAGCACGTTTGACACTAATGCGATAGATTCAGACCACAACACCTCAAACACATGCACAGACGGCTATATCCTGATCAACATCTGAAACATGGAGAAATACGGCCAGTATAGGGACAAAGGTGTGGTGATCAATCTACATTCTCGAACATTATATTGACGAGAGCAGGCTCGGGCATCGCACCCTTCTTCCCAATCTCGCCACCAGCCAGCACACCATTACTACTACCATGGCACATCTTCCTCTTCTGCATCCGGATTCCACTCCTGACAGTAGCGTGGCTGATCTGGCTCTTCATCATCCAGTGGTTCCCAGCAGGCGGCATCCTACGTAAAGCAAACCAATGGTGTCTCCTCGGAATCCCAGGCGTCTGGTGGATCGACCTCCAAGTCGACGGCGTGCGACGAGGTTCCTTGGCCCAGACACCACGAGGACGACTTCCGTACCCTGGTACCATCATCGCATCGAGCTATACTTCACCGCTAGATGTGCTATACCTAGCAGCCATCTTCGACCCCATTTTCACTCAGAGCTTTAGGAACAGCAGGCACGTCCAACCCATCTCCCAAGAAACAGCCCTTGCAAACTGCTTCAACATCGAGAACCCACTGGAACGCGGTAAGGAACATAAGACTACCGATCTTGCGACCCTAGTGAAGCAAAATCCAGGCCGAGTGATCGTCGTCTTCCCCGAAACCACCACAAGCAATGGCCGAGGCATAATGAAACTCTCACCTTCCCTGCTCTCCGCAGCAAAAGATACCAAAATCTTCGCCGTCTCCCTCCGCTACACACCCGCGGATGTAGTAACGCCTATACCCGGCTGGCTAGAAGTCTTCCGTTTCATCTGGCGTCTGAATAGTCGACAGACACATTGTATACGCGTACGAATCGGGCAACCAATGACGATAGCAAAACTCCCCGCTTCCTCTGGCGTCAGCGGTGAGAGCTCGCCTGCTGCTTCGCCGGCAGGTAAGAGTAATGCGAGGTCGAGAACTAAGGAGGCGAGAAGGAGTAGCAATTTCGAGAGTAATTTCTTTGACACATTGCAAGCCGAGACTACACAGAAAGTGGCGGGAGATAGGGAGAGTGTCGGAAGCGAGACGACGGATGAGGAAGGCGAGGCTATGTCTGCTGTAGAAAAGCGGGTGCTTGATGCAGTGGCGGATGATCTCGCCCGGCTTGGAAGGGTGAAGAGGGTTAGTTTGGGGGTGGAGGAGAAGGCGAAGTTTGTGGATGCGTGGGCCAAGGGGACTAAGAGTCGGAAGTAGGGTGGTGCAGTCGCGGTATTGGTTCTACTTAGGCGTCTAGCTGCAGCGTCGATGGAGCTCGCGGCGTGGAATTTTCGACGTGGGCGGCTTGGAGACTGCCTTGGCATCATCCTCGCCTAAGCTGTTGCAGATACGAATCCTTCAGATCACCACTTGGAGCCCGACTTGACCCTCCAGTACCCACTCCCTTGGCGCTGTCACGCTATCGTTGAACTCATCAGACGGTAAGATCGGTCCTCGCCGCCCAATGACAACTTGCCAAGCTTAGTGAACGTGCATGCAGCTGGGGACCTTGATGGACAACCTTGATGTCAGGTGGTCGACCCAAAATATTGATCCGCGCCTGCCTCCACCCACACCTGCCACTGCTTCTTCTCGGCCATCCAGATTGTGTTCAGCGCTACGGACTTCATGCCGCTACTGCCGCCACGTCAGTCACGGTGCCCCTATGGGTTCGATCACGTGACCGTTCTAACGTACGAATATGTTGTGATTGGAAGGGCTCGAGCTGCAGACAGTGAGTACATGCTTCGGATCGTTAGCTGTACCGTTCCACTGGGAAGGAGCTCGAGAGTGTGGGATTCGTGGTTGCTTTCATGCAAAAACAAGCATGTGAGTGACTTTCGAGCTTCGAGCTCCACATTCGCGAGCTATGCAGTGAGGGTATATGAAGGCTTTCCACCCGCAAATCTCCTTCCTCTTCCTCCTCATCTCATATTCAAACCGCGAAGACATCTCGAAAATCGAAAGTGATCTCAAGCCGAATAACACCTTTCCCAAGACAACCAATCGCCCTCTTCTCGAATGCAATAATGGGTCCCTGTGGTATGCTCCTATACTTCTGTGATACGTTACCCAGCACAGCGGCGAAAGACTGACACGAAGTATAGGATCTTGCTCCAGTGCTGACTGCACTTGCAAGGATGGTAGCTGCACTTGCGTACGTATCAAAGGCTAGGGCACACTGGCATATCGTCACGACTGGGGACTAACTTCATGCCAGAAGTAACAAACACACGATGATGATTTGAAGGAGGGAGTGAGATCATGAGACCGGCGATGTGGGAGATACAGGGAGTGAGGGATGAGCTGGCCTTAGAGGAAAGGGATTTCCTGATGTGGAAGGCACGGCAGATAAGGGGGCACTAAAGGTCTATCAGATGTAGCTGAACATATGTAGCTACGGCAAGCTTCTTGACCAAGTGCTGGAACAGATGCCCTGTGGTTGTGATGCTGTCCTACCTGAGTTGTCTTGTGAGGAGGAGTTGAGGTGACACAGATTAGTGGTCATGCTTACAGGCAAAGATCGACGACGATCTTGTCGGGTAGGTGTCGTACGGTCTGTCATCCTTATGAGATCTCCTATGTTGATCTCCGTTTTTACGTTGTCCTGTGCCCGATCAGATGATAAAGTAAAGACGGTCGTGGAGGAGGAAGTCTAACTGTTCGTTATCAGGGTTGCTGGCATGACTCGCGTAGAGCAATAGCGACTTTCACGTGCAGAAGCTCGCTCGTACTTTCTGTCCACGACTGAGCAAAAGCGAGTACACATCGCCAAGGACCCTCGATCATGGCGTTAGTATCGTATTCGGATAGTGAAGGATCAGACAACGAGGTGCCAGCGATTGCACCAAAAGCAGCGACAGCCAAGCCCACCATCATCCACAAGACCGAGTCGCGAAAGATCAAGGTCGACTTGCCCACAACCAGACCCGAGCCCAGCCAGACAGACGAAGATGGAGCTAAGCCACCACCAGCGAAACGGGCGAGGACGACAGGCGCTTTCGGTGGCTTCAATAGCATGCTCCCGGCACCGAAGCGAGCGGAAGCGCAGCCTAGTGGACTGAAGAAAGGCGTGAGCTTGAAGACGAGCTCGGAGGCGGCTTTTAGTCGCGCGCCACTGCCTCCTCCTCCTGCTGCTGAAGAGCCGGTTGCGAGTGGTGGCGGCGCAGACAACGAGTATGACGAGTACGGGAACAAGGCGCAGACAGCATCAACACTGCCGGCAGAGAGCAAGAGTACAGATGTGCCAAGTACAGAAGTCAAGATCACGGGCAAGGCGACGAGGTTTCGACCGCTAAGCGTGGCAAACAATAAGAAGAAGAAAGCTGTGAAGAAATCTGTGGCGCCAGTGGACAGAACGAACCCAGCAATGCTCGAGACATCACAGGGCGTGTCGACGGAGAGCACTGCGCTGCTACAGCCTGTAGCTCCTGCTGTGAAGGTGAAGAAGAGTCTCTTTTCTTTGCAGCAAGAAGAAGCACCCGCGGAAGACCACGATGATGAGGACGAGTACAACTTCTTCCAGGCCGCCGACGAGGCTCCACCGGACGACTTATCTCAATCTACAATACAAACCCGACCAGCACCAAACGCACTTGAGGAAGTGGCCACCGACCTCAATCTCACAGCTGCACAACGCCGACATCTCTTCGGTCGACAAGGCAAGAATGGCCCGGCAAATATAGCGCACTTCAACATGGACGCCGAATACGCCAACAACGAAGTCATTCGGCAATCAGGCGAGACCGTCCAGCACAAGGCCGTCAAGGCCGTCGCGCCTGGTAAGCACAGTCTACAGCAGCTCGTCAACAACGCGAGGAGCAATCAAGACTCCATCGAGGATAAGTGGGCAGAAGGACGCAGGAATCGAGGCGAAGGTGGGAGCAAGTATGGGTGGTCGAATGGTTGAAGAAAGAAATATGATCAGCCGTAACAGAACGCTACATAAAATCATCAAGCACAATCCACCGTCCGAAACTAAAAGAAAACAATCGTCCTGATCTCCACGCTCTCCCGGAAAGGCGCATCCTTCTTCGACGTCGGATCCTCAAAAGCACTATGCCCCACAAACCTCGCCTTACTCCTCTCACTATCGAAAGTCTTGAGCAAAATCACCTTATCCGCCTCCATATCAGGGAAATAAATCCACTTGTGCTCCGGCGAATACCGCATGACATAGTTCTCCCCCGTACGATCGCGATACCTCAGGAACAACTTGAAGAAATCATCCGGAGGCGAAGAAGTGACATCGCACATGGCCAACGGCATCTCCTCCACTTTGGCCAACGGCTTCCACACATTCACAAACGCCACCCGTCTCGTTAACAGATCGTCCGCCTCGTCCGGTAAAAGCTGCTTGACGCGCACCGGGCCTGATTCGGCTGTATAATCACAATGCACCAACCGCACGGGCGCCCGCTGCGTCGTATTCGTCTCCTGCGTGAGCTTCTTGCCCTGATTCCCCTTGGTGCGGATGGTATGGTCGAAAACAAGAACGCGCTTCGCGCCCAACTCCTTTTCCAAAAACTCCACCACCTCCGGGTAAAACTTCTCCTTGACCCCTGCCTCGTCCTCCCAACCGCCCGAGTACTTTGAAGAGAAATTTTTCACCGCGAAACCATGCTTATCGTAATCGAACTCCTTGACCCTATTCCACCCATCGTGAAAAGAAACTTCGTGCTCGTCATCCCCCGGCTCATGGATATCCTTCCACTTCCCCTCCTGGTCCTCGTAGAAATAGATTTCGGTCAATTGGCCCTGGCCGCTAAGATCCTTGGTGTAATTTAGCGTCGACCTCACAGAAGCCTTGCCGTCGGCACCATGGCCATTGGCTTGTTGGCGGAGAGGGAGCTGCTCACCATTCTTCTGCTGCTGCTTCTTCCACACACTCGGCACCAACCCTTTAATCACCGCATCGTTCGTCTCCTTCCAACACGGCAGCTTCTCAATCTCCGCGAACCATTTCTGCAGCGCAGAGTACTTCTCAATCGGGAACTTGGCATGAGGATGTAAATGCATGCACGACGCGACCGCAATATCCGCAATCGTCACCTCCTCCCCAGCAACAAATTTATGTTTCTGCAACTGTCCATCCAACACCGCAGCCAATTTCTCCCACCTGGGTTTCTCCTCCCCTACGACTTTCTCATCCGGCTGCGCGCTCATCAGTTCCGGCTTGGCCACGTTCTCAATCGTGTAGACGTAGCAGGACGCAAACCAGACGGAAGCTTCCCAGAACAACCATTTGTTGATCTCGGCCCGCTTCTTGATGTCCTTTGGATAAGCGGCGTGGTCTTTGCCGTCCAAATCGCCGGCGTATTGGAGAATACTATTGCTTTCGGTCAGGACGAGGTCGCCGTCGACGCCGGCGGGGACGGTGGCCATGGGGTTGATTTTGGTGAAGGAGGGGTCTTTTTGGCCGCCCGCGAAGCTAGGATTTGCAGTGTTAGTTTGGATATTCTTTTCTGTTTGATGTGTGGAGGGGGGATATGGTCTCGTACTAGTCGATGAAGTGGTAGTTGTATTTCACGTCCAACAGCGCGAGGCCGGCGAGCACCTTACGGCAGTTGATCGTGCATGGGTCGAGGTAGATGTCCAACATGGTGCCGGCTGTGGTAAGAATACGGTTGGTGGTTGATAGAACGAGATCACGCCGAAGGAATGGGGATGTGAGCAACGATACGGAAGAAGTGTAGGGATGGATGACGGTGACGCAAGTAGGGTATGTACGTCTTATGTTCTGGCCACTATGGTAGATCTTGCGTATTGGTATTATCCCCGGTTACCAAGTCTGGGCCTTATAGCTTTTCTGTTAAGAGGGAGGTGCGATCAGGCCATACCTCGCTTGACCCACGAACGGACCAGTGGAACCAGAAGAACGGACAGGAAGGGACAGAAATGGACACGCAGACTGACGTCCGTGGCTCCAGGGTGTGACCATGCTCCAACCACGAACCGGGTGAGGGTAAACTTTATACAGCTCTTGCCCCGCCAGACGAGCGTCGATCATTTCATTGACCCCGCATTCCTCTCTTCTAGTAGAAGTGGCTTGGGGCGCTCGTACGCACACGTGACAGTCCACGTGATGACAGCGTATCATCGCCGCCGGTCACAGCACGCTCACCTCTTTCCCTTCTTCTTCTTCCCACCCCCACCCCCACCAACACTCTTCCCCTTCAAAACCTCCGCCCCGGGGGTAGCAGGCCTGGAATCCTCATTCCCACTCCCCTGCGCCATCACAGCACCCTGCGACAACGCCTCCCGTCTCGCCTTCCCCTTCTTGCCCTTAGGCCTGTATGTACTCCTGTCTCGCAGGGGAAGCCAACGCTCGGGGTCCGGCTGCTTGTTGGGATCGTAATCCTTTGGGAGGCGCGATTTGCGGGGTTTCTTCGCTTTGATGGGTTTGCTATCTGCTGGTGCGGGACGTTTGAGCGATGTGCTGGTTGTGGTGGTTGGTTGGGCGATCCCGGCGTGTTCTAGTTCGTCCACGTCTATCGAGGCGACGAGCCGGTCGATCGACTGCAGCGATTGCGTCTGTGTATTCGTGGCCGTCTGTGGCGAAGCGGCTAGTAATCCAGCAGCGGCATATCGATCCTTCTCATCCCTCTGATGCAGATCTGTGAAGATGCCTGCTGCCAATTCTTGATGCTCCTTCTCTTCCGACTCCAGCAATGAGCTCCCAGCCGCCTTGAACAGATTCACCACTCCGCCTGGAAGTTTCCCACTGCTCTCCTTCCCCTTCCGCTGCCAATACTGTGCAGCTTCCGCCAACTCCGCACGAGCATGTCCTCGTCTCCCAGCACTTTGGTACAAACTCACCATCGCCCCAACAAGACCGGGCGCGAACCTCACATCCATTTCCTTCACACTTCCAGCCTGCTCCAGTCGACTCAAGAACTTCTCCAGCATCGTAATCGCCGTACTCGAATTCCCAGTCAAAACATACAATTGCGCGATCGTGAGTACCAGTCCGACATCATACGGTCGCTTCTCAAGCTCAGGCAGAATATACTTGAGCGCCTCCTTCCCGGACCGTGCTTTCGCATGCGCTGCCGCGTTGACTACAGAAAGCACATTATACTCCGGATCGAGCGTCGAAGACGTCTGCCCTGCAAGCACCACCTTCGTCGACCGAACCAAGCCCTCGAACTTCGCGCTTTGAAGCTCTAGCGCGTACTGGTTCTGCCTCAACACCTTCGCCTGGAACTCGAAAGGCTGATCCTGCTTCGCCTCACCACTCCTCACAGTATCATCACGATTCCGTCCCAGCACCCTCGACGCCAGAAACGGGTTCCCCTCCCCACCCTCAGCAACCATCCTATTAACCCTCCCTACCAACCCCAATCCCCCAACCCCACCCTCAATTTCCCCCATCACCCCCCTCGCCTCCTCCCCCCTCCCCAATCTAAGCAAAACAAACCCCCACATCGCCAAAATCGGCCCCACCTCCCCCTTCTTCTCTTCAGCACTCAACTCCTCCATCCCCTCACACAACCCCTTCGCCCGCTTCAACAGCACCTCCCCCTGCGCCAACTCCCCTTGCGCAATACTGGCGCAAGCGGCATTATACGCCGTTTCGAACGCCTCCAGATCCTCCCGTTCAGGTTTCTTCTTCGTCACGAGATCACCGCGGTACGTCCATTCTAGCTGTGCGTCCACGGCTCCCGTATTAATTCTGAGATCCGCTTCCGCATCGTCGTCGTCGTCATTGTCGTTGTCGTCGGGTGATGCGAGTTGGGTATACAATTCTTTTGCCCGCGGGAAATCTTCAGTCCGATACGCCGCCTGTGCTTCAACATGTCTATACCCTCTCTCCTCTCCACCCTCCCTCGCTACCCCCGCCGCCTCCTCGGCTTTCCCAGTCTTGTAAAGCGCGTATGCATATTCCAACCTCGCTTTCTGCTTCAAACCCCCCCCTTCTGCTGTGTCAAAAGCGTGTACGGCGTCCTCGAACCGATCGAGTTTGAGTAAGGCTACTACCTTCGCATGTTGGGCATCCAAATCATTCTTCTTCTGCTTCAGGGCTGCGTTGGCGGCGCGCAGAATCTCCTCGTGGTCGGTGATTCGGGTGCGTTTGAGGAGGGAGGGGAGGTCGGAGGACATGTTTGTGATGGCAGGAATGTATGGGTGTATGCTATCGATCTCTGACCATCATTATTGACACCATTCGTTACGTCTTCAGTGAGATGGTCTCGTGCTCCTCCTCACACTCTCCCCGCCAAATGTTCAAAACGACGAACTTGACGTGCGCTTGGCGGCGCATTTCCGCTGTTCTGTTCTGTCCTGTTCTGATTTGCCCCACCTTGCTGTATGTATGAGGTATACACATATATCACGAGACGAAGGCAAGTACAGGATCAGGCCACGAGGGTGGCGCAAACAGAGTACGGCTTGAGATGTCAGTCATGAGTAGCTCATGTACATTACATTGTACTCTAAACAGCCCCGATCTATGCGTTTTCCATCTCATACAGGGTCTTTCATAAGATCATCGTCCATCCACACATACCCTCGCCCCTCACCCTCGCCGCTATCACTCACCCTCACCCTCACCCTCACCCTCACCCACACCCATAACCCCATCCTCCACCCTCCTTCTCCTCCACCCTCCTTCTCCTCCACCCTCCTCCTCCACCACCCTCCTTCTCCTCCACCCTCCCTCTCCTCCCTCCTCCCCCCCTCCTCCCCCATTACGTTCAGTCCTCATCCCAATTAGCATTCGGCCCCGGCGGCTTCGGCCCCCCCGCCTGCCTCGCCACAATAATCTGATCCACACTCAACACCGTCCTCGCCGCCTCCGTGGCCAGCTTGATCGCCCAGAGCTTAGGCAACATGAGATCCAGAATCCCTTCTTCCGAGGCATCTAGTAGACCCGTGCCGGAGGAGTTTTCCACGTCGACGCCTGTGCAGTCGATTTCTTCTTCTTCTTCTTCTTCTTCTTCTTCTTCTTCTTCCTCGTCGGCATCATCGTCGTCGGCATCATCGTCGGCGGCTTTCGATGATCGCGGTCTTGACGTGCCGTTTGCTGAGGAAGACCCGTTGGCCTGTGGTTTGGCTGCTGATGTGGATGACGGAATCCGAGCCTGGTGCGCCGTATACAACTTCGCGAGCACCTCCGTAGCATCCAGCCCCGCACTCTCCGCCAACGTCCTGGGGACAACCTCGAACGCTTCGGCGTACTTCCTCATAGCATACTGTGCCAATCCCGGCGTTTTATCCGCAACAGCTGTGATGCGCTCCACAAGTTCCATCTCGGATGCTCCTGCGCCGGGCACGAGTCGACTATCCCGCGTGATGGCTTTAACAACGTTGACGCCGTCGTCTACCGCTCTTTCCACATCGTCGAGATGGTTCTGTGTCGCGCCTCGGAGCACGAGAGTAGCTGTCCGCGTCTGCTCGTTTTCTTGTCTGAACACTGTTACGCGGTCGCCACCGATCTCCATCGTCTCTACCACATCGATGTTCCCCATCTCGTCCGGCATAGGGGCGCCTAGACGTGCAAGCGGTGTGGCGCCCACGACCCTGCAAAGGCGTCGCAGCTCGAATTTCGACAGGACTTTGATGACGAGGAGGCCGAAGCGGTTGAGGTAGTGGAGTGCCAGCTCGCCGACTGTGGCGCCCGCAACCACTACACGCATACCGGAGTCGTGAAGTTCCTTGATCGCATTCTCCATCTGCTTCTCCTCTCCCTTGGTAAAGTCGAAGAGCTCCTTGCTATTCTTCAGCAGAACCGTGCCCTTCGTCTCCGTCTGCGAGATGTCGATCGGACAGCTGAAGACACCCACCTTCGCCTTGGTAGCCTTGGTCACAATCCCATCCGGCTGCCTCCCAAACACCATCCCTTTCACCACTTTACTCTGCTCCAGCGCGCCACCCATAATCTTCACCACCCGAATATTATCCACATTGAAATTATACGGATTCTTCGGCAACACCGCCAACACAGCCTCGGCCACCAGATCCGCCAAAAACTCCTCATTCCCACTCTGCTTGGCCGCGATGACCGTCTTCAACGCCTTGGCGAGTTCTGCCTGATCCCGAACATTCTCCACGCTCTCCACCTCCAACTCCTCCAACGTCTCCAACGCCACCTTCTGCGCCCGCTCATACCCGGCATTGATCTCCGCCGTCTTTAACCCCATGCGCAACAAATCCTCCGCTTTCTTCAGTAGTTCCCCAGCCAGCACAATGACCAGGTTCGTGGCGTCACCCATCTCGGCTTCTTGTTGCTGGCTGGCCATTACGAGGAGTTTGGCGGCCGGGTGCACGACGTCCAGTTCGCGGAGGATGGTGGCGGCGTCGTTGGTGAGGATCATTTTTTGGAGGTGGTTGATGACGATTTTGTTGCGGCCGTAGGGGCCGAGGGAGGTGAGGACGGTGTTGGCGATGGTGCGGCAGGCGTCGATGTTGCGCAGGACGGCACCATCTTCGGCGTCGTAGCTGTATGATCGTATTAGTATTTATGTGTGAGAGTGAGTGTTGTGTGGGAGGATGTTACTTTTGGTAGCCTGGTTTGAAGAGGGATTGTTGTTGGGGGATTGTTAGTGACATGATTGGTAAGATGTCGATGTATATGGGATTGGTACCCGTCGTAGGTGAGGTAGGAGTCGCTGTTGTGTGATGCTTATCCTCCTTTCGGAATCTTGTGTCTGGCTGCTTGTCGCGTGTGTGGGCGCGTTTTCTCGAAAGCTCTCCTCCACAATTCTGAGCATAAGCTTTCGGTGCGGGGCGCGGCGGGCATGTCCGTCAACATCAATCATCCTTGTCGCTGGCATGTGCCTCGCTCTCTCTGTTGTACAGTACTGTAGATCACGAATGCGTTGCGCTCACTCGTGCTTGCTTCATGATACCAACACAACACATTCGTTCCTTCCCGACTTAGAAGGACAATACTCTGATAGTAATCGCGACTGTTTCAATACAAGTACTTCTGAGAAGCAGCAGCAATGCCTCCACCTTCAGGTAAGAAGAGTCCATGTCGCAAACAAAACATCATGCCGCAAACACATGGGCGACTAGCATGATAGCCACCACCACTCCAAAGCCAAACAAGCTAATACAAATAAAATATCCAGAACAATCCACCGCCGGCACGCCCCTCGCCCCGAGCGTAGAGAAAGCGTACTACCGCAAATGCATCGAGCTCAAACGCCGCCTCAACGAAGTGGAAGCCGCCAACGACGAGGCCAAGATGCGCCGCGTCCGCCTCGATCGCGCCATCATGAAGATGCGCCTGGAACGCGCCTTCCTCCTCGAGCAGCTGAGTAAGCGCATGGAGCCGAATGTGGATGGGAGTGAGGGCAGTGGGGACGAGGGGGTCTTGGCGACGGTGAGTGCTGTTGCCGTTGCGGGTGCGGGTGCGGGTGCTCAGTAAGGATTTTTGTGTGTGTGTGTGTGTGTGTGTGTCCACCTTCCTTTCCTGTCCTTTCCACCTATATTGTCTGGCGGATGCGGATCAAGCTTGACTTTGGCCTTTGCGGGCGTTTGGGATGGCGATGCTGATTGGGAATGTGAGGCAGCCTCCACTCGAGCGGCCGCATCGGGATAAGAGACGGCAGACGAACGAGGAGAGGCCGATGTCGGGGGGTGGTGTGGTACCCATTCTCCAACCTCATCCCTCGTCCCTTGGTCATGCTCATGCGCAACATGTATCGCCGTATGCGCAGCAGATACCCCCTACACAACGAGCGCCCTCGGATCCGCAGAATCTAGGAGCACTAAACCCATCTTATGGCTCGACGTACAGTCCACCACATCAACCAACCGCTCGGCCAACGTCGTCCTATGGTCATCCGTCACACGAGAGTCCCTATCGTGCTCCTGTCGGCATGCCAGGGGCTACCGTGTCTACTCAAATCAACAACATAGATGGTACAACGGAAGAAGCCGCCCCTTCAAGTTTCGACCGCGCTGAGAGTGTTACGGGACAGGCACTCACGGCCGGTCCACGGATCAGAGCAGATAGAAACGGCGAGCGACGGGCGGTGGCAGAGGACAATGTTGAAGTCGATGGCGATGAGCTTGATCCTGGACATGGTAGTTTGGGCGGTGGCGGAACGGGGGGCGATGGGTTCCCCGCCGTGAATCAACAATAAGCTTGCTAATGATGGGGATTGCCTAGCTATAGCGAATTACGAACTTTATGGAATCAAGTAGACCACGATCATGCCTCGACCTCTCTTTCCCTCTCCTGCAGTCAGCATATTCTCGCCTGTCGTCAAACTGCTAGACCGAGCTCGGGTGCACGTATATTCGGGCCAGCGATCAACGCCGCTCTGGCTCGCTGTACGACTGTTACACGACTTTGGGGGGGGTGGGGGGGGGGGACGATATATCCAAAGCTGAGGATGGGCCCGGAGCACGGCAGGCTACAGATTTCCTGACCATGCTTGCAACGGGTCGCTGTCACTGGCACGTTCCCGATCAAGATGGAATTGGAAAGACTGTTTGCGAGGAAAGGCGCAGTAGCCCCTGTCTGTTTCGACTCTCTCCCTCTCTCGCACTCCACCTAACCCACCGTCCTACATCCGACTACACCGGCCCAAGCACATCCCCACTCCCAGCCAAATTACACTGCCGGAACACCCTCACCTCCTCCGGCCGGAAAGAGCCAGTAACACTATGCAGAACCCCGCGATTATTGAAAAGCGCCAGATCCCCTTCCTCCCAATCCACCGCCAACACCAACCCCGGCGCGATTCCCGGTCGTTGCATCCTGTACACTATCCCCCTCACCTCCTTCAAATCCTCCATCACCGTCCCATCAGCCAGATGCAACTTCTCCACCGCCGAAGGGTGGACCTGCAGCGCCAGGTTTCCCGTCACGGGATTTCGCCAGCACATGGGTAGAATCTTCACTTCCTCCTCTTCTATAGGCGGGAGCTCGGAGCGAGGGAGTTCGAGCCCTTCACTCACTAGTCCTAACCCATCACTTCGGGATCGGGCGGCCGACATCCAGATATAGGGGTGTGGCGCATATTGCACTTTCGTCGTGCGGGCGAAGCTCTTATCTTCTTCGCTTAGGAGGTCGTACATCCGATAGGAGGAAACGAAGGCCGTGCTGCCGCGTGAGACTTTCATTTCCTCCCCACTTCCATCATCGTAGCGCAGATTCTGGTATTCGGTCCTCGGAACCCGGACGGCCATCAGGGACGTCACGAGCGGAGGGTGGAGGGCGTAAAGCGCGGCGTCGATGTGCCAGCGGTAGAAGCGCGTGTTCTCTCTATCTTCAGCCTCGGGGATGACATCCTTGTGGAAAGTCTTGTGATGGGGATGTTGGAGGACGATATCCCGCAGTCCCTCAAACTCCGCCACGGCTCCATTCCCTATCACCTGGACCTGAGGCTGGTGCGGGATGGTTTTCAGATCGGGGTGGAGAATGGATTTCTTGGCATCCAGAGTCTTGCCGTGGCCGTAGGAGGTCACGGATGGGTCGAAGAGGCGGGTCAGCTCGTACTGGGCTTTGGGGGAGAGATTTTGTTGGTTCTTGAAGATGAGGACTTGGTTTTCGTAGAGGGCGCGGCGGATGATGTCGAAGTCGAGTTCGGAGATGTTGCCTAGATCCGCGCCTTGCAATTCGGCGCCGAAGTCGATGGTGGAGCCTTTAGGTGGTGTGAGCTTGTGGACGGTAATGCGAGATTTGATGGCCATTTCAGGGGCTTGGATGACTGGCAGTATTGATCTGAAATTGGCAAGTCTGGTGTTTGAGAATGAGCTCGAGCTCTGTGATGATGTGAGTAGGTTTGGGTATTACTATGGCGGACATGAGTCTAGAGATATGCTCTTCCGCATCGCTGGAGCCCGCCGCATGTGAGAGATGTTCCTTATCTCGTGCATCGTGAACTCGTGGGTGGATCTCGGAGAAGTGCTCCACTGGGCTGAAATTTGTCGCGGTCAGCTCCGAAAGCCAGCCAATTCTGGACAGAATCGCACAAATTGCGAAAAGGTTCAGCGACACTGTGATGTAGAACATCCGTACAGGAAAGCAACACAGATATGCGTTCATTCGTAATAAAGCGGTCGAAGGCGGTGTTCCTGTGCCGTGGGTGAAGTGACACCGTGGATGAACCATGTGGCGCATGTGAGAGACACAACAACCAGAGAGAATACGACCCCTTATTTGCATTCCTTGTTGGAGGTAGCTGCCAGATGTGATCTTACATCCGTTCAAATCTGGAGCTGTTGCGCAGGGACGAAACCAGGAGATTGACCTGGTGTCGTTCTGAGGCCACTCAAAGACAGGCCAACGCCTCCTCCCGGAGTGTTCTGGCCATTCCGCCCGGCATTCATAATTATGATGTCTTGACGTAAGCTGTGTGATATCAGTCTCACAGCACCCAGTCGCTTGACTAGGTGTTCAACTCACTAGCATCAATCTTCTTCACCTGCGGCAACGCCAACCTAACTTTATTCCTATACAACACCGGCCCTGACCTCTGCACCGGATTCCCCTCGAAATACACCTCCTCCAACTTCGTCTTATCCTTCAACACCCTTTCAATCTCCTGGAAAGAATCGATCTTGCAATTGCTGGCCCAGAGATCTTCGAGCGCGTGTAGACCTTCGATGCCGGTCAAGGAGGAGATGGGGTTGGTTTGGAAATCGAGGATTTCCAGTTTGGTGGTGTGGGATAGAGGGTTGAGGGAGGTGACTTGGTTGTCGGAGATGTAGAGTTCGGTTAGTTGGGGGAGGGCTTCGATGCCGGTGAGGGTGGTCAGGCGGTTGGCTTGGATGCTGAGGGTGCGGAGGTTTGTGAGTGTGCTCAGACCATTGAGCTCGGTGATTTTATTTTGGCCTAGCCAGAGGCTTGTGAGTTTGACGAGCTTTTCGAGACCTTCGATTGCTCGGATTCGGTTTGCTCCGAGTTCGAGGTATGTCAGTTCTTGCAGCGTTTCCAGGTTCTCAATCTTGGATAGCCGGTTTTGCACAAAGTAGAGGTGGTCTAGCTTTGTCAGGGTGGACAGGTTCTTGATATGCTTGAGCTTATTGTAGCTGAGATCGAGGCTCTTGAGAGTTGTGAACTGCTCCACGCCGTCGGTGTGCTTGATGAGGTTGTCATATAGCTCGAGCTCTTCCAGTCCAGCATTTAGAACATCCGGCAGCTCAATCTTCTGTATGCTATTCTGCCGGAGGCATAAACGTCGTAGTCGAGGGAAGCGGTGGAGCCGTAAGGCAGGTATCGATGTGACGCGGGAGTGTTGGACGTCAAGCTCCTATACCAACAGCAATCAGTGATATGATCTCTTCGTCTCTTGCCTGCTTGGACCATACTTCTATCTCTGGGTCTTCCGAGTCCAGCAGATCTGAAATGGTCAGTCACTTTCTGCTCGTTCAAATTCATGCTCGGTGCTATTTGCTCACCCTCGTCAGCTTCAATCTGGTCTACAGGCGGTGCATCCTCGTCTGAGTAGTCTGGATCGCTCAGTGCCTCTGGGTTGGCGAGTACGGCTTGCTTGTTGACTCTCAGTTTGCCATCCCATCCTGATTTGCTATGCGGTGTTCCTGGCTTTGAGGAAGTGCCGTTGGCGTTGTCAGTACCGTTCGGTGCTCCGTTGAGGTCTGACATGGTTTTGGCTGCTTGCAAAGATGTACGATGGTGATCAGGCAGAGAGCACACTCAACTTATTGGGGTGATACAAGAGGGACACAAAGATGTGTCAGCTGCGATTTGAAGTACAGAGCCAACAGATTTGCCACCGCTGCCGCTGCCGCGTGGGAATCAAGGCTCCAGCATCGTCAGAGTACGGCTGAGATGTCACGTGGGAGCCTGAGACAGTATCAGAAGAGGGACTGCTGGAAATGTATCTCACTCCTGCTGTATACAAAACCAGAATCAAACACGATCACGAGATGCGCATGTGCTTTTGGGGGGGCGGGTCAAGCCACAGCAGAGTAGCCACACCTCGCGCCCTGTTGTTCCCGAACCGTCTGGTCTTGTTTCCGCTGATAAGACTGCACTCAATACCTCACCCGCTGGCCCACGGAGTCGTTGCTTCTGACGGCGACGCTATCGATGTTGAACGGCAGATCAGCACAACCCCATCATACCTGAACTCTGATATCAGACCGCCGCTTCGATAAGACGATGGTTCAGGTAGGTGTAGTAAGTATGGTTTCGACTACAACGAAGCTCTCTTAATCCCACTTCCCCCATACTTCGACCCTCTGTCCGACCCTGCCAGTTCTTGTCCTTTGAGAATGGGGTAGGTTTTATCACCTGGTCAACTGATAGCAAGACATACCACTCGCAAAGATGGCACAATCTTGGCCCGAGCTGGGAACCAAGGAGACCACAGCGCCGAATGCTCTCGAGCTCATCTCGCAACCACTAACACTCCCATGCGGCCTCACCCTCCCAAACCGACTAGTCAAATGTCCCATGCAAGAAACCCAAGCACAAGGACCGTGGTTCGACCCGCCCATGTCAACCTTCAGTAATCTATACGGTCTCTGGGCCCGATCAAGCTACGGACTACTAATCACAGGCCAAGTCCAAATCGACCGCCGTTTCCTCTCCATCGCCGGCGACGTCTGCTGCCACGAACGCTCTCCCGAATCAGCGATCTTTGCATTGTGGAAGGAATGGGCTCAAACGGCCCAAAAGCACGGCACACCCTGTATCGTCCAGCTCGCACACCCGGGTAGGATGTCACCCGCCGGAGCCGGCATCCGACCACCAGACATGCGTGCCCTTTGCGCCAGCGCAGTCCCCGTCGAACTCGGTGACTCCTTCCTCGACAAATGGGCATTGGAAAAGGCCCTCGGTATACCCAAAGCCATGACTGTCGCTGAAATCGACGAGGTAGTCGCCATGTTCATCCGCGGTGCCGAAGTCGCACGCGATGCAGGTTTCGCCGGCTGCCAACTCCACGGCGCTCATGGGTTCCTACTCTCCCAGTTCCTCTCTCCGCGCACGAATTGCCGGACGGACGACTACGGCGGAACAGCTGAGAAACGCATGAAGCTCCTTCAGCGACTAGTCACGGAGATCCGAGCCTTGTGTCCACCACCTTACTGCCTTTCCGTCAAACTGAACAGCGCGGACTACATGGCCGCGGGTCAAGGTCTCCAAATCGAAGAAGGTCTGGAACAAGTCCGATGGTTACGGGAATGTGGCATGGTGGACTTCGTGGAGATCAGCGGCGGCAATGCCGAGCAGAAGAGTGACAGGCTACGGCCAAGTTTCAGTGCGCGATCGGCGGAGAAGGCGCAGGTGATGCGGGAGAGTACGAGGATAAGAGAGGCGTTTTATACCGAGTTTGCGGATCGAGTCATGCAGATGGAGTCGGATGTTCCTGTGCAGCTATCTGGTGGGTTTAGGACGAGGAGGGGGATGGCGGATGCGATTTATAGCCGTTCTTGCGACCTTATCGGCCTTGGCCGCGCAGCTGTGTTGGAGCCGGAACTCCCTCGTAATGTTCTCCTCAACCCTTCCTACGACGACGAAGGAGCATTGGCGAGGAGTCATCAGATCCGTGGGCAGTGGTTCGCTAGGATGATCCCTATCAAGATTGTAGGTGGAGGGCTTCCCATTCAGTTCTTCTATCATAATATGAGGAGGTTGGAGAGGGGTCTCAGTAGTGATCCGGATATTAGTATACTGGGTGTACTGTTTGCTAGTTCTTGGGAGACCTTATTGAGTGGGTTTGGGCAGACTATGCAGAGGGTTATTGCTAGCATTGGTGGGTCGAGGGTGAAGACTGAGTGAGGTGTGAGAAGGGTGGCAATGACTGAAGACAGCTCAGTTGACGCCTGCTCTCAAGGTCCCAGCATCGCGAGGAGCTAAAAATGAAGCTTTCCCTCCCCTGTCAGGTAAATCTACAGCAATCTCTGCCAGCTAGTGAACGACTACCTCGGACTACTCCATCCATCAACGCGACAATCGAAGAACATGTCATCAGATGAAGAGCTGATATCTAACGCCATTGCGGACACACACAAGGCATCGGACAGAGCCATCCAAGAGCGGCAGGACAAAGGGCTTGAGGCTCTGCGAAACAAACATGGAGAAGAGGAGCGCCAGCTGAGCGACCAGCATCAAAGCACAACTAAGGCGGTAAGCCAGGAGCTGTCCGAACGACCAGAATTCTGGACAGACGAGACGCGAGCAGCCATTGCTTGTACCATTTCCCGAATGAGGGCAGATACCGAGACGCGCACATCGCAGCTTTTGGCGGAGAATCTGCGACTACGTGAGCTTAACGAGAGTCTGAATACGACGATAGAGCAGCAAAAGATTGAACTTGCAGAGACCGCCGACAGATGCAAGAGGTACGAGGCAGCTGAGAGGAGCCAAACCAGAGCAGCCTGCCAGATCAGCGACCCGCATAAAACCCTGGACGAAGCACAAAAGCGCGCCCTTGCCGTTAGCGTTGATGCTCTAATGAATGATACCGGCTCCAATTGCTTCCGCGATTTCGACGACCCACGGCACATGAACCTTGCTGCGGTGGCTCGCAAGCTGCAAGCTGGCGACTATGCCACCTTCGGTGAGCATATGGCTAATATCAAGCATGTCCGCAACCGCATTTGCAGAATGAGGCCTGGAAGCCGAGCGTCGACGATGCTGGCAAAGGAAGATGGCTGATAAGTTCAAAGACATAATTGCGGATGTCCGAAAGCTGCTTCCTTCAAACAGTTTTGCAGAGTCCAGGAAGCGCCCTGCTGAAAGTTCCAAGGAGCGGGACTCGACAGAGCGTGCGAGAAAGTTGGCGAAGCATTAGCATTGAGGTTGTTACTGAACGCGAGACAGCTTCACTGATCCCATAGTGGCCCTTCAGCGCAGTTGGCTTTCCACGAGTAGGAAAGCAGAAGAAACAGAGAAATGGCGATTTATGTTCATGAAACCAACGCCTAATCGAGCTGTACGTGTTAGCTCTTCAAAACATCTTCACATGCAAGCTTCACTTTCTCCTGTTTACATCACCTGACTTGTGTACTTGCCTAGAGCTTTATCTCAGAAAGGTATTATCACGATTGTACATACTGCCCGCTTTACACTTCTCACTTCTCACACCATGACCCTCACATCCTCACCCTAAGTGGCAATATCGCCATCCCAATCGACCTGGTAGACGTCGTACACCAGATACCCGAGTAGCATCAACTAAACTACGGTGTCCAACCAGGCGACCATCATGCACAAGTACAACGACCTGAAAGCTCAAGCCGTGGCGGCGGCGGCTCGCGATGCGATGATCCGCAAGCGTGAAGAAGCACGTCGTATGGAGCTCGAGGCACTTAGTGTCAAGCATGCGAAGGAGGTTTACGAGGTCGAGCAGAAGCATGACGACATCATCGCAGCACTGCAGCAGGAACTCGACAGGGGCCCCGAGGCCTTGATTGAGCTCCATGAGATGGCCATGAGCGCCCTCGCTGAAGCTATGAGCGGCGATCCGGTCATCGAAAGACAGGCACCGACAAGTGGGAAGCGTGACCGAGCCAAGGTGGACGAGGAAGGGGCGAGCCAGCCTCATTATGGCAAGAGCGGCCTGTCGAACGACACCAACAAGAATACCGAAACCAGCAAGACTGATTCAACACCCGCCAAGAAACGCCAAAGACGTGCAGGCGATGCCGACTCCAACGATATGTCGTTCTGTCGTCAACTCCTGGACAAGATCACAGGTCCACGGTACCGCAACATCGCAAGCGTCTTCCTGGAGCCAGTCAATCCCATCGAACTCGACATCCCGACGTATTTCAAAGTCATCGAGCATTCGATGGATCTCTCCACGATTGGTTTCAAGCTGAGCAATGGGGATTATCACAGCCCCAGAGCCTTCAAAGTCGACCTTGATCTCATGGTTCAGAATAGTCTCCTGTTTAACCCACGCAGCCACCCGGTTCACGGAATGGGCATGGATCTGTCGAATGTGGTGGACTTCATGTGGTCGACAGGTACTACTCCAGATGAGGTGGAGGGTGTTGAGTGCGTGCATGTTGAGAAGATCGTCAAACATAGGTTTGACAGAAGTGGTGAGCTATCGTGTCTGGTCAAGTGGCTTGGCTACGATGATCAAGAGGATCAGACCTGGGAGCCAGTACGCAATTTGTGAGTTCGTTGATGACCATACATATCGGTTCGAAGCTGACCCGTGACAGGGGGAATTCGAAAGAGTTACGGATGTACTTCAAAAAGATTGGCGGAGTGCCTGCGCCTAACACCGAGCGCGATAAGAAGTAGGGCCGCAAACAGACGAGACGTGCACTCTGGGGATTGGAAGCCTGGAGCCAGCCTTGCGCAGTCTAAGGGGAGAAGCGGGAGAAGCGGCAACGTATGCAGAGGATCGGCCGCGGAGACGAAGCAGATTCACGGGCTTTCTGGCTCGGTCAATTATTGGCCTCTTCGAGACTGTTCCACAGATCGCCAATGTAGTTATCGGGTCGAGTGCCAGAGGCATACTCCTCATCCCAGTTCATCAAGATATCTCTAACAATCTCGATGCCCGCCAGGTAAATGTTCTGCAAAGCAGGCACAAATCCTTCCCAGCCTGTATTGACCAGGTGATCGTACTCTGTCCGACCCGGTGGTGCTCGAGCAAAGTCAGAGGCAGTCCTCATTAAGATGATCCTCGAGAAGTCTAGTCGTTCAGCTACGGCGCCGCGCAGCAGTGCTTCCAGAGTGGCATTGTCTTCTTGTTGAGTAGTACAAGGTTCAGCCGATCCGTTGGTCAGAAGCTTGACATAGCCAGCAAATGCGTCGCCTAGCACTGAGCCAGACCACCAATTATTGCTAGTCATTGTATCGCATGCTAGGACTGTGGGTGGCTCATTCGCAGGAGCGTCGAGGTAGCCGGCACGCTTCTTCATTGCTGCCGTGGTATCGTTGAGCACAGCTCGATGAGCAATCTGTACTGCGCGCATACGTAGACGATCATTCAGCTCGAAGACCTCCGTGCCGTACAGCACGCCAGGATACTCATCAGGTCGGTGCGACTTCTGCGGCACAAAGCCTGTAGGGAAGTCTGGAGGGATCTGCGACTCGGAGAATAAATACTGCAGATCCAGCTGCACAGCATATCGGGCGAAGGTGACTGAACTTATGGTACCCATATGTGGATTTATGCCACCTATGCCGGCCAACAAGAAGTATGTTGAGGTGAGATCGAAGCAGTCGGACATCCACAATGCCATTGCACTTGCTGCGGCGTGAATTTCACCCATGTCGGTCGTCAGATGACATACTTGAGCGTCAGCTGTGCAATGGACTTGTTGGAAGCGTGGCGAGAGGCCTGGGATAGTGATGTTGAGAGCGTACAGATCAAGATCGGGGTCATTGTGCCAGACCACAGTCTCTCGTGCGAACTACAACTACAGTGTCAGGATGGCGTCCACTGGGTGCTGATGATATTACGCACATAACTGAAGATCATGATTCTGGGACTGTAAGTCAAGCGGCAGCTGAGCTTGTGTCGGCTCGATCGGTGTGGTAATCTATGCTCAGGGAGAACTTGCTGCGTCTGGTCTGGTGTGCTTTGTAGGTCCCTGCCTTGGACCAGACATGGTAACAGTGATAGGGAACAGGAGAGCCAGCAGATGCTGTTCAGCCAGGTGCTGGCCATGCGAAATTGCTGATACGGCTGTCACTAGTCGAGACAGTCTCTTGGCCAAGGCACTCTTGACGGGCTGCGCATCCAAAGATTAGCGTTCGAGAGAGCTGAAGTCGTCTTTGCCTCCAACGGCCTGGTTTGCTTTCCAGAACTGAGTCATTTGGTAGAAGATGATTCGATCGGATCGATTGATGAAGGAACGGCACGCGCCATACGACCCACCTTGGCCCAGCAGTTAGTGTCTTCGCTCCACAGTTGCCCTCTCTCGCAGACTAGAGTATAGGTTGTCACATCAGCTTCTCTCTTGTAGAAGGACAGAGATCAAGCAGAAGCCGAGGCTGAGGTGAATACTACGACTGTTACACAATCAGAATGGAGCCGCAACGCACGGGCTTCAGGCAGATCGCGTCGCCTTTCACGCGACAGCTTCACTTCGAAGAGTGACCTGTCTCACTGTGCTGCAACTACTTTCTTTCATGCTGTATCGCACGGTAAACTCTCCTTGACAAGACTCTATTTCTCCACGATCCCTTCTCTCTGACCGAGCAGCTCGGACACGACACCACTCACACCAATAGCCAAAACCCTTGCAAACCAACACAGCCTTGCGATGAAGCTCGAGGCGATTGAGGGACTCACGGTGAGCATACGCAGCAACCACAACAACCTGGACGAGTACGAGGACGATTCCGATGAGTTGTACGTGCCGTCCATCGGTCGCAAATATGTACAAGCAGGCTCCGGCGATGCCTTCAAAGTGCACTGCAAATTCAAGAAGAAGCACCTGATCTCGCCCGACAAGCGTGATGAGATCAACTGCTGTGTGTATCTCGATGGACAGTATGCGGCCGGCTCAATCATCAGGCACAACACGCACGCCCATGACTACACCCATGATACCGAGGGTGTGCATGAGCAGAGTGCTGGGGACACCTTCTTCAGGCCGTTCACTTTCTCAGCTCTCGCCACGGGTATGGCGCACACTTACTATAGTCTATCAATTCCCTGCTGACTTTATCATCTTAGATGATCGCCCTGCGAATGACAGCAACTTTAAGGCGATGAAGAAGCTAGGCGAGATCAAGGTCACCTGTACCTGGATGCGCACTACTTCCGCCCCTCGACCAGTACCCGTACACCATGGCTACAAGTCTGTCGTCGACGGAAGTGTTCCAGAGAAGTGCCTGAAGGGTAGAGCCATCTCGCAATCAGCAGGGTGAATATTAGTGCCTATCTCGCATGAAGGAGAGACTGCTAATTAGGCCTAGCTTGGGAGCTGCACGTCCAGCTGCGGCTCGAACTGAGGTTTCTGTCGAACACCCTTACGGCAAGAACCCGTTCGCTACCTTCATCTTCAAGTATCGGTCGAGACGTAAGCTAACGTGGCGTCTACACGGGTGCCGTAGCACGTACTAATCATTCTTCTAGACGACCTACAGATTGAAGGCATCATTCCTCGCAGCCCATCACCAGTGCCACTCGAGGAGCGCGATCCGGATAGTCTGTCCGCCGAAGAGGCACGTGAACTCGTCCGTCGTATGCGAGAGCGCGAACATGACATGGCTAAGGTCAAGCGCGAGAAGCGTCGTTATTCGCCGACAGTGATTCGCGATGGGGAGGATGGCGAAGATGACGACGACGTGACCATCGAGGCAGAAGGCCATCGACGCAAGCGCAATCGCGTGTCTACCGACTCTGGCGTTGACATTGTTGACCTGACTGATCTGTGAAGATTGGCTCGGTTGTGAGAATACGAATTTGATTGACGTCCTGGTCGTTCAGCAATGGCGTTCTGGTCCGGCGGCCACCAGGGAGGGTACTGCAAGGAGGCACAGCACCACGGCATGATACAGGGCGCAGCATTGTTTATGATACCCATATCGCGTTCGAATACACATTGCAATTGTCATCATGCATCTATCAGTCACTCTTCACGTGAAAGGCCAAGCGCATTCGCCCAGCTCCCCCGCGTCAGCCCTCCATGCATCTCAACGTGCCAAACCTTCCTCGTTCATGTCAATAACGTATTGTTGGGACCGACTTCCCTACGTAAGCCGATGAATTACCATGCAACACTGCGAGAGGTAGGCTATTGATTCCATCCTTCACTCACATCGTCGCTATTATATCAGACACCCTTTTTCGTATGGCGACGCCGTCGCAGCAAGATCAGACCACGCCTAGCTCGCACGCTAACGGACACATTCGCGATAATGAGATGACAGACTCAGTCAATGGCAGTCCCCCCGAACATCTGCAGCAGCAGCAGCAGCAGGAGCAGGAAGAGGCCAGGAGCAATAAGCAAGGCTCAAACAAATACAAGCACACCTTTGCCGTGCACGCGACCAGCCGCCCCTCATGCCTCAGCTCCGACACCTCCACCCTCCCCTCCTTCTTCGGCTTCCGCAACCTCGTAGGCGTCGTCCTCGTAGCCTCAAATCTCCGGCTCATGATCGAGAACTTCAAGAAATACGGTCTCCTCGTCACTCTCTCCGGTTCACGTATCGATCCGGATGACTGGCGGAACTTCTGGATACTATACCTCCTCACACCTGTCTTCCTCTTGATCGCGTACCTTATCGAGGCAGCAGCAGTACGGTACGCGAAGAATAAAGTAGGGGAGAGGAAAAGAGCAGAGGAGAAACATGATGTTCAAGCTGCCGAGAAGCAGAAAAAGTATCTATTCTCTACGTGGAGGGTGATAGCTTTCGCGCATGGGTTCAATGCTACCGTTATGCTGGTTATATCGACGTATGTGGTATACTACCACGTCCACAACCCCGGTCTAGCAGCATTCGCGGAGCTACATGCAGTTATCGTGTGGTTGAAGGTCTGCTCCTATGCGTTCACAAACAGGGACATGAGGCACGCCTACGTTAACGCTGAGCCTGACGTCACAGCAGTCCTGCCTGCATTATACAAGAACTGCGCATACCCGAACAACATCACACTGAAGAATCTGAGCTACTTCTGGTGGGCACCGACATTGGTCTACCAGCCAGTATACCCGATGACAGACCGCAGGCGCTGGGACTTCATCGCCAAACGCTTCTGCGAGTTCTTCATCCTCTCCATCGTCATCTGGCTAGCTTGCGCTCAGTACGCCGTCCCTCTTCTTGAGAATAGTCTAGATGTCATCTCCGATCTTAATCTGATCGGGATTCTGGAGCGTGTCCTTAAGCTAAGCACCATCAGCCTCGTCTGCTGGCTCGCAGGCCTCTTCGCACTATTCCAAAGCTTTCTCAATCTGCTCGCTGAGATCCTTCGGTTTGGGGACAGGGAGTTCTATGGCGATTGGTGGAACAGTTCAGATCTGCGCAGCTACTGGACCAGCTGGAATAAACCTGTCACGCATTTCATGAAGAGACATATCTATGCACCGATGGTCGGGAGAGGAGTGCCGCCGGTTGTGGCGCAGATTATTACTTTCTTGTTCAGTGGGATGCTGCATGAATTACTCGTGGGCGTGCCTACGCACAATATCCTCGGCGTCGCGTTTCTAGGCATGGTCGTCCAGATCCCGTTGATTTGGTTGACCGATCCACTTGGGAAGATGACGAGTTCGAATGGGAAGCTGGCCGGCAACCTCATATTCTGGATGACGGTAAGCATTCGATTCATATCTTACTTCAATCCTCGCTGATAGGTTTCACAGTTCTGCTTCCTTGGCCAGCCGTTCGCAGCCATCATATATTTCTTCGCATGGCAGGCGAAGTTTGGTAGTAATAACAGACCAGAATGGCCACTGGGTCTGGGCGATGTCAAGATATAGATTACTTCGATAAGCATATGCGTCTTTCGCTGGTGGCCGGGCCGTGGCTGCATGGGCCGCGCATGTCGTTTTAGGTACTTTATAAAATGTCCATACGATCAGGCGCTATCGGGTGCCCTCAATTAACCATCTTGCTGTATCATCTCGTGGATCCACCTCGTGCTCGTATACGCCGATGTATTTAGGCCCGCCGGACCGTATCGCTCGCTTATTGCACAGCACCTGATGCAGGGTCTTTCGTGAGACGTAGAGAGTCATGAGGTTGTGCTGAGTAGGAAGTTCATGAGACGCTGCATGTGAATGACACAAGAAAAATTTGACGTGAGCTAGCGTACCGAGATCTTGTGCCCAATCGCTTTGCATTGCAGCCGCGCTAGTATTCCTCCTTGAGCTGTACCTCTGGCTGAGAAGCACTCCCATCTATTTCATTGCTGACGTTGGTCCATTTATGCTTCGTATATCTCGTGAGTGCTTTACCAATGTACCTGACTGGAATCCATTGGACACTCCCTCGCCGCTTCCGAGTCGTTACCAGGCCAAAGGAATAATACAAGTGGCGTATCGTAAAGGAAGACTCACGCGACCTACCACTGGATATTGGCCGATTATATCCGCGTTCCAACAGCCTCTTGGTGTAGGATAAGCCTCCACCGGACGCCGTATAGACTTTCTCATCATGGATGGTGGCGGTCATGGCGACCATGGCCACGAGAGAAGAGGCCGGCCAAATCGGCGCAATGCCACTGACATCGGCACGACATACGCACGCTGGATGCAGAATCGCCGACAAGCGGGAAAATTAAAACGTGGAGCTGAGGCCGAGCGACCCAGTACTTCTTATGTTGTAGACATGCTTCCGCCAGCTGCGCACAGAGGTGAAGCAGTCGACAGCATACCCGCGAAACACCTGCACTCATCGCTCAATAAGGTGCGGCAACCAGTCAATGTCGTCAAATGGACGCCCGAAGGACGGAGACTGCTTACAGGATCCACGAGTGGCGAGTTCACACTATGGAATGGCACAGGCTTCAACTTCGAAACCATCATGCAGGCACACGATAGTGCTATACGAGCGATACGATACTCACACAACGACGAGTTCATCCTCTCAGCCGATCAAGAGGGTCTTGTTAAGTACTGGCAGACGAACTTCAATAATCTTCAAACCATCGAAGCACACGACGATGCCGCGGTCCGAGACGTGGCGTTTGCACCAACCGATGAGAAATTCGTGACCGCTGGTGATGACACAACACTGAAAATCTGGGACTTCTCGAGAGCTACTATGGACTCGACGCTGTCTGGCCATCAATGGGACGTGAAGTGTGCCGACTGGCATCCGACAAAAGGCTTGATCGCCTCTGGCTCGAAAGATCACACAGTCAGACTTTGGGATCCGAGGACTGGACGATCACTGACCACACTTCATGGCCATAAGAATACACTTACGATGACGAGATTCGAACCGACAAATGGAATGCTCTTGGCGTCCTGTGCTCGCGAGCAGAATGCGCGAGTATTTGATCTGAGAATGATGAGAGATGTGTTTTTACTCAAAGGAAACGACAAGGAAGTCAGCTCGCTCGCATGGCACCCCATCCATTCCTCACTGCTTTCGACTGGTGGCAACGATGGCGCAATGATGCATTATCTTCTCGATGAGCAGAATCCGCCGGCTGGATCAGCGCCCACAATTTCACCATATGATGCACCGAATCCTGCTGATGCGCCCACACAGACCATATACCCTTCTCACAGGACTACACATGCACATGAGTACGCTATCTGGAGCATGGACTGGCATCCATTGGGCCACGTCCTGGCATCTGGTTCAAATGACAGGGCTACACGATTCTGGACGAGACCTCGACCAGGCGATGACAGCTATGTCAACGACCGATGGCACATTGGGCAGGACGCTGCCGAAGCGCAAGGAACGTGGCGGAAAGCGGAGGCGCAGAGACAGCAACAGGAGGATGAGGCGGAAGATGAGGAGGATGCTTTGGCCGACCAGCAAATGCCTGTCAAGGGATTCTTGCCGGGCCTCCCAGGTCTATCAGGGTTACCGGGCTTGAGTAAGCCATCTTTCCCAGATGGTACGAGTACAGGTGGTGCTCAACCCATCAGCTTACCTAGCCTACCACTTCCACCGCTCAATGGTCAGGCGCCGCCACCACTACCACCAGGTATGGATCTCGAAGCGTTGAAACAAGCATTCGGCGGGAGTCTACCATTCCCTCCACCTGCAGCTAGTGGGACACTACCACCATTCCCCGGCTTCGCGAATGGTGCTATGCCATCTCTTCCTCCTGGCTTTGTCCCACCTCCAGGCTTCCCAATGCCGCCTTTACCAGGTATGAGTCCACCGCCGCTAGCGGATGGAGCGAGTGTGGGAGCTGCTGGCGGGCGAAGACGAGCACCACTACCGAGTCAGCAGGAGAGTTTGCAGCATGAGATGAGTCGGGGGAGGTTCAGGACTGCGAGATAAGACTGGCCAATCTTGGCGCTCCTACTCGAGCGGAGATACCATGAGTCTGCTGTTGCAACTTTTCTTACTGGTGGTTATGGCTACATGTACGATGGAGTAGGGAAGCGGTGAGTATAACGTTACTTGTTGAAGGATACCACAACGTGGTCCCACCGCCAATTTCCCTAGGATACAACACTGAAGCCATACTTCCCACCTTCATAGTCTCGAGGAATGCTCGGGATATATAGCCATTGTATCTCTAGTGACCCTTTCGAGTAACAGGCTTTACTTCGCCTCGGCACATCTATCTCCGCATATATATCGTCCACAATTTGAGGTATTCTGCGGGGATTTAGCTCGAGCTGTTACGATCAGCAATCTATAGCCGTGGTAGTCGTAGGCTTGTACCCACCTCTTCTCAAGCCTTCATTGTTGAACCTCACGGATTGGCTGTTTGAGGAGACTCGTTCGTGAACCAGGAAATATACTCGTCACAAATTGCTAGTGCCTTCGATCGATTGCATTGTCACAGCATATCTCACCATGGCCCCTGTAGCTCAAGTTCTCTCGTCAGAAAGCAATGGAAACGCCACTGTTGGCGCTCTCGGCAGGAGGAAAGATGGCAAGCCTTTGAAGGTCCGCTCATATCCTAAATTCGATACTCTGGAAGAAGAGCGACAGTACAGGAAACAACATCTAGCTGCTGCATATCGTGTATTTGGTGAACGAGGTATGGCGTTTCCAAGCATTTTCGATATGTCTACTTCAGCTAATCCATCCTCGCAGGCTTTGACGAAGGCGTAGCTGGCCATATCTCCGTTCGAGACCCAATACTTCGGGACCATTTTTGGCTCAACCCGTTGTCGATTCATTTCAGCCAGATCTCTGTCTCGGATCTCATCCTAGTGGACGAAGAAGGCACCGTAGTCATTGGCGACGAACCCATCAACGCGGCCGCTTTTGCCATCCACAGCGAGATCCACAAGGCTCGACCAGATGTCGATGCTGCTTGCCATGCTCACTCTGTGTATGGTAAAGCGTGGAGTGTCTTTGGCAAGGAACTGGATATGATGACCCAGGATAGTCTACGGTTCTGGAAGGATCATGCGGTGTATACGCAATTCAATGGGATTGTGCTTGATAGGGAGGAAGGGAGGAGGATTGCTGAGTGTCTTGGTGGTGGTAAGGCTGTGATTTTACAGAACCATGGGTTGATTACTGTACGTTCATCTCCGTTACCATTCACAGGCCGACGATATATTGACTTGGGCTTTGGCAGGTCGGTCAAACGATAGATGCCGCGGCCTTTTGGTTCCTCAGTCTCGATAAGACGTGTCAAGCGCAATTGCTCGTCGAAGCGGCGTCCGGTGGTAGTGGGATCAAGAGGACCATCATTCCCGAGGAGGAAGCAAAGTTCAGTTACCAGCAGGCCGGCACTCCTGAGAAGGGTATGTTTTTTCTTTGTGTGAGATTGAGTAGATTACTGACGAGTTCTAGGCTGGTTGGCGTTCCAGCCATACTATGATGATATTCTTGCGAAGACGAATGGTAGCTTTCTGAAGTAGATTGTGTTACTACGACACTGCTCGACCATCACTTGGGTAGGCTGTTCACAAGGCAGAGTAATACAGGTGGTTTTAAAGCATGACTTTGAAGGAGCTTGAACGATCATAGCATATGATGGGATTTGTCCATATGTCTCGGATGATGATTGTGCTGTGTCATGTCGTACCTTTGATGTCTCCCCTCGCGGTTGTTTCATATTTGGCCTCCTGTAGCCCTATTCGCCACTTCCAAATTTAGCCGCGGCTCTGACGATGACGTGCGACTGCGCGTGTTCGGGAGTAAACTGCGAACATCTGCTTGACATTTCCGTACCTCACCTTGCATTCGATCTGATATCGAACTGAATAATCGAGGGACCCTTCCCGCCATATTGCACAGTCATCCATACCATTATTGCACAACCTTATTACAATTCAGCACCGTTGTCTGTGCGGCCGAAGATCACCGCTTCCAGAATCGGTGGATGTCGGAAGTCTGAGTTAGCGCCGAGCAAAGAGAGTCAGGCTCCGCAAAGACACCTCACGCGAGCGATCACTTCACTTGTGACGCAATATCAAATCCACGACCCACCTTTGCAAGAGCGCGCTCGGCTGTGAGGTCGAAAGACAACACGCGACACCGATCTCAGCCTGGAACGCGTAACGACGCCTCTTCCAACCGCAAACTGTACCCTCCGCGATCACGACCACCGCCTCCGACACGGCCGCCACGCCCGCGAAGCCGCCCATATCCTTGGCGGCCATATACTCTCCAGCAATAGCGCACAAGTGCCACCACCATCAGTGTTACCACCGCCGCGCTCGATTGCCGCTTCCCCTCGGCGCATGGCAGTAGCCAATGCGCTGAGCACAGTAATAGATGGCATCGCAAAGCGGCCAATCAAGACGTGTAAAGGTCTACGAGCTCAAGAACAATGACTGGTATGATCGGGGCACAGGTTTCTGCTCGGGACAGGTATTACAGCCCAACGCCGACAACCCGGACGGCCGCATTGTGGTGGTCAGCGAGGATGACCCACAGCGTGCGCTACTGGAGACGCGCATCACTAAGGACGACGGCTATCAGAAGCAGCAGGATACGCTGATAGTGTGGACCGAGCAGAATGGAGTGGACATGGCGTTGAGTTTCCAAGAGGCAGATGGATGCGCCGTGATATGGGAGTTCGTGAGCGAGGTCCAGCAGCGCTTGAGCGCGCTTTTTGCTGAGGATGGACTTTCGGACGACCTACTGGACGCGCAAGCCTTCGTGCTCCCGGAGCCGGAGCTAGGACGTCTGGAAGAGATCGAGGCGAATATACGAGGAGCGTCCATGAACACGCACGGCCGAGAAGCGCTTGTCAAGTATATTATGAACCCGGAGCATCCGTACATACTGCGGCTGGCTCCTCTAGTGGAAGAGGCAGAGAAGCAGCACAACGCGCCAGCATTACATCGGTTGTGCAGTATTATGAAGCACCTGATACTGCTGAACGACAACTCAATCATCGAGTTCGTTGTAACAGACCAAGCAATCATGGGTGTTGTGGGCGCACTAGAGTGTGAGTGGCAATGGTATGTGTGTTCTTGTTGGATTATGCTTACATACTGTTGCAGATGATCCGGACTTTCCTTCACATCGAGCGAATCACCGACAGTATCTGTCCGACTCGTCGAAATTCAAGGAAGTCGTACATATAGAATCACCCGAGGTTCGGAAGAAGATTCACTGTACTTACCGATTACTATACTTGAAAGACGTCGTCCTGGCTCGAATACTGGACGACCCAACGTTCTCGGTCTTGAACAGCCTGATATTTTACCATCAAGTGGAGATTGTCACACACATCCAGGGGAACCAGGATTTCCTTTCCCAGCTCTTCGATCTATTCAGGGACGATCCACAAATCAAGCCGGAGAAGAAACGAGAAGCAGTTCTGTTCATTCAGAATTGTTGTGCGGTGAGTAAGAACATTCAGGCGCCGCAGCGAGCATCACTGTACACGAATTTCATCCACCATGGCCTTTTCACTGTCATCGCCTTCGCGCTACGACATCATGACGCGGCGGTACGAGTGGCCGGGACAGATGTACTGGTCGCATTGATAGACCACGACCCGCATCTGGTACGGAGTCATATCTTCACGGCCATGAAAGACCAGACGACGCCTCTTACGGACACCTTGATCGAACTTTTGCTTGTCGAGGTGGATCTGGGAGTGAAGAGCCAGATGGCGGATGCGATCAAGATTCTGTTGGACCCGACAAGTGCTAACGGTATGGACATGATGCGTGCTGGTCAAGCTAATAGCGAGATCATGGCGAAACGAGGTCTAACCAACGGCGCCTCGCATGCTTCACCGCAGACGGAGGCCTTTATCCAGGCTTTCTACGATGGATCAGCGAAGAGATTGTTTCGACCTCTAAAGGATCTGGAACACCGGAAAGATATGCTGGATCTCAGTGTACACGATATGAGCATGATGACCCATCTGGTGGACTGTCTGTGTTTCTTCGTACGGCAACATACCTGGCGAGCGAAGGCTTTCATACTTGGCGAAAACCTGCACAGCCGTGTGGCACAGCTTCTAGCATGTCCGCACAAGTTCATGAAGCTGACGGCACTTAAGTGGTTCCGGACGTGTATCGGCTTGCAGGACGAGTTTCACAACAGGCACATGATTCAACACCGGCTGTTTGAGCCTATGTTGGATGTGGTCTACGAGACTATGCCGCGAGACAACCTGCTCAACTCTTCTTGTCTCGAGCTTTTCGAGTTCATCAAGCGAGAGACTGTCAAGCAATTGATTATGCATCTTGCGGAACAGTACCGGGACAGGCTCCTTGGAATCACGTATGTGAATACGTTTCAGCAACTCGTGTTGAAGTACGACCAGATGCAGGCTGGATATGTGCCCGCGGCCAACGGAATCGAAGACAGCTCGTTCACCACCCAGGAAGGAACGCCTGCACGGATCGTCAATGGAACAAGATTCGCCGGCTTGAAAGACATGGACGGTGATGAGGAGGCGTACTTCAATGGAGACGACGATGCAGAGGACGACGATGACATTGGCCTTCCTACAGCGCTTAAGGCTGGTTTAACTAACGGTGCCAGTCCTGTCCGACCTTTGGTAGACTACCCTGATGACGAAGACGAGGAATTAGGGCCGATGGACGGAATGGAGCTTCTAGCCTCCAGTCCGGATCGAGACGTGCTTGTGAAGGAGAGGAAGAGCCACGTCGCCGGTGCCGACCCTCACGAGACCGCGGAAATGGATTTCTTCGAAGACGATCCACGACGGACTTCACCTGAACAAACGTCAGATCGATCACGGGACCGGGAACGAGGACGGGATCGTAGGCCGGTACCCGTCGAAGGCAGTCCCGGTCGACAAGGCTCTCCTCCAGAACCCTTGGCCTCGAAGCGGCGAAGAGATGACGAGGACGATGATGAGCTGGGCAAGATGATGGGCGGCATCAAGAGACGGAATTCGTCTGCGGCCTCTGTCACAAGTCAGACTGGACGGTCACAGGTCGACGGTCCAACAAAGACCTCTCCGCTTGTGAAGAGTTCAGGGTCGCCTGTGCAGCAGCACCCAGTAGGCGGATCGCAACCAATGCTTCGACGCAAGGGCAGCCTTAAGACTAAGAACGAAAGTAGCGGGCTTGGCAAGTTTGCCATCAAGACTTTCAATTTTGGTACCAAGCAGCAACAGCAGCACGATGACGAGACGACCAATGGCGATGCACATTTGCCCGAGTCAGAGGAGGGATCTGGCGAGGGTACCACCGTTGAGGCAGTCAAGGAGAATGGGGGCTAGGGGCTCCGAATCAGGTTGCTTGGCAAGAAGAGTATGGAGAAGTTGAGGCTTACGACTTCGCCTGATCAAGAGGAGACTGCTACTCGAACCGACACGCCGACAGAACGCATGCCGCATGCTGATGTTGAGATGATGGACGCGGCGAACGGCCTTCTTGGTCTGCGCCGCGAATCTGCAGCTCCCAAGTCACGGTCCACTCCATTCTGGCATCAGATCTCGGAAATGTACCATGGACGACACAAAGACGAGGAGCACGACGACATGGAGGAGTGACGAGCAAGCGAGCATAACGGCGTTCCTTTCTTTATCATGTCTATTCTTTCTTTCTGGCTTCTCCTCGTGTTTGGAGGAGAGGTCTATGTGTGATGAAGCAGCGCTACGAGGCGAGAGCGGCCACGACGGCGATGGTTGTTTGCTTTGCTGTGTACATGGTGTACTATGCATCCGCGGTCTCACGCAGGAACTGGAAGCGAGACGAAAGGCATTAGGTTCTGTATAACATCACTGATATGCACGGCCGTGATCATATGTGTTTTTTGACGCTGCGATGTACGTAGGCAATGGCATATTCATAGCGAGTCATGAATAGATGGGTGGATGATACTGCTCGTATTCTGGCATGCTTCATTGCAGCACTTACCCCCATCTCTCTGCCTTGTAACTGAATGCTGGATCGCCATAAACGATTCTACGGGAATGACGGTATCAAGCTGAGACATGTTGCCACATGGCAGGAGCTTCGATTCTGGTACGCGCCATGTCACCATTGTCTAAGACATTACCGAGGAGCTGGTCTGGTCCTTTTAGGCAGGTCTTGGAGTCGTGCGGTCATTATTCCAGGAAGTTGGGACTGGTTGCGTGCCTTTCCGAGGAGAGACATAGTATACTCAGATGCTTCAAGCTGTGCTTTGCCACCCTGACTGGGAGTTGTCGTTTTGGTGTAGTGTCGTGCGCCGAGATAGCACTCACTCTGCTAAATCTCCAGTTTCCGGGCGCAATTACAGTCCGAGATGATGCCTTTGCAATATCAGCCATACACAACCGAGATCTAGATGGGGTTGTACTACAGCAGGCGAAGCATCTCCGAACATGATGCCAAATGGTTACAGAGTTTCAGAAGGGCCTACCTTGCCGTGGCCTAGGTGTCTGGCCCAGTAGAGCGTATGGCAAAATGTGGCTGCGCAAATTGTAGATCAGTGGTAGCACAAGACGCCAAGTGCAGATGTGCGGTGACCATATGCTGATAGGATCAGAGTGGTGGCGTGATCATTTCGCAGCATAGCATCTGCATGCAAGACTACTCAAGGTCCTCTCTCAAGCCTATCAAGACGCACTGCATAGGATAAAGGTAGCTATAGTTGGCTTTTGGCCAGATCTCGATCGTGCAATGGCAACCACAGATAAGAGACACATGCGGGCAGGGCGACGGGGCAATATCATGGCTCTCACTACCACATCTTCTCCGCATGTTGGCGTATTGTGGTATTATAGACTGGCGGGCGCCATCACACCGTCTAGCGGAGGTGGAGAACGCGAAGTATATCTCTCGATGCTGAGGTCTTGGTATAAAAGAGGCGTGTCTGTGCGTCCATTATGTAGCTGAAATCCAACGGGCTTTCTGAAGGGGCAAATCACCAAAACCACTTTTCGGCCAACTAAGGTCTGACTCTACCAGCTTTGGTATATCAGTAAGTTACCGCCTCTGAACTCTCTTGTAAGCCCTACACCAAGCGTCCCCTGTCAAGATTATGCAGGCTGGTGAAGGCACTTTATTCGAGATGTGCAGGGCGGTCGCAACTTCGGGCCGCTATAATAAATCGCTTACCACAACTCATCTACTTCCAGCAATGGCAATGACACGGATGGTTGAGCGCATGTTCCCAGCCATGTGCCTTCGGTTCTCAACCGTCACTGCTGCGACCCGTCTTGCGCACGTGAGAGCAGCAGGGAACATGCACAACATATCGGCAACCCCAAAGTTGTGAGACAAGCGAAGCTCGAAAGATCCGGCCTAGAAAAGCCACCCGCCTCTTCCTGACAGCCGCTTCTGCCTGATCGAGCCCGTCTGCATTACCGTTTCGAGGACGCCTGTCTGTTTCTGGGTCGTGTTTTGACCCTAGCTTCTCGGCTCTGGGCTGGCGGGCGAGCTCGAAATTTCGTGGTTCAAGCGTTGCTCAACGTGGCTCGATACACCGGCCATGAGATACTCCACCAAAGGAAACCGTAATCTATGTGGACACGATTGATGACTGGCCGAGACTTTGACCAGGGCATGTGGTTCTTATCAAGCTGGCGAAGACATGCCGGTTTCGTTATCATGCTGTTATTATTATGACGGCACAGGAGTCGAGACGGATATGCAGGTCAGGACGGGACATGTCGTCTTGTCTCCCGCGCTGCAAGCTATTTTTGCCTGCCCGCCCGCGGGAATGATATTCGTCGTCTGCATACAATAACAATCTATGTCCCATGCACGCAGAATATCGGTGTGCCACTTCATCTGCGTGGGTGACAAGTTTATCGCTCAGCTCCTCTCCAAAACACCATGGGCAAATCGGCCATACCGGCAGCCACTGCCTCGTGGCGCCGTGGATCTTTCCTCTGGGTTGGCCGATCCACATGGTCGGTCCCACAAGCGGCGCCAGAGACCTCCGTGCGTATCTTCGGTATTAAGGCCCGTGCTATAGGTAGAGTTAAGGTTGCGCTGGCATACTGGTCTAGCAGCAGATCGGGGCATGGAAGTCACCGTGACGTGCCGTATTTGTTGCGCACTGGGCAACATCGCTTTCTTAGCGAAAACATCTATGTGGCCTTGGCTATAGTTCAGCCTGCCCGAGAGCTCGAGGGTCAAGGATCAAGTAGCTCAATGATCCCCAGACCCGACGGCCGTCAGTCAAGTCACTCGTTCTTATTTGCCGGTGCTTTCACCACCCGCTATTCTCTTCTTTCGTGTCTGATTATTCTGGTTCTAAAGCATCGCATTGCTAATTCTGTACTCTCGCGTTGCCAGGTGCAGCGTTCCTGGTATCGTTGCCTTCTCCTTTTCGTGCCGAAACCCGCAATATGTCCATCTTCAAAAAGAAGAGCAAGGCGGAGAAGGAAAAGAAGGGCAGCAAGCAAGACAGCAAGAAAGATAGCAAGAAGCAGGCACCTGAGGAGGTGAAACCCGCCCAAGCACCGTACAAGCATGTTCCGACGCATGCTGCGGCAGACGCTGTACCAAGAGTACCTCACGCCACCGACCATCGACTTTCGAAAGAAGCCAACCAGTATGCCAACGCGTCAGCAGCGGTAGTCAACGAACAACCGTACGCACAAAGCAATGGACGCAACAACCCACTCCCTCCATACAGAGGCTTCAATGGCGGATTCAACATGCAGCGCAACAAGAGCGCCGAAATCTTTACCACAGATCCCGACGCACCTCCATTACCAGGTCAATCGCCGATGCCTCAGTACAACGACAACTCTCAGCACAAGGAGCTCACCCAAGATACCAACTACTTCCAGCATCAGCAGACCGCGCCATCCTTTGAGTCGCCAATGCTCGGGAATCCCAAGATGGCCGCCGCTGCAAGGGATCGAGGCTACATCAATCCCCACAATTCGGCAGATTCAGGGTATGGCTCTGTTGGGCACTCTCGAGCCCCAAGTGAACAAGGTCTTGGTTCTGACTTCGACAGCAAGCCGCATCTACCTCGAGACAACAGTGGATTCCTGCCCGAGCTCAGCTTGAGCGAGGAGCTGGCTAGGGAGCCGGCTTTCTCGGAGGCTTCCTTCGGCGGAGACGAGCCTGTGGAGCCAGTCGTACACAAGCAACCCGAGAGTGTTCTCAAGAACATTCGGAGCTCAATGCGAGAAGTAGAAACTGGCAAGCCGTCACGACTGAGCAAGTCGTACAGAATACAGAAGGCGAAGCAAGCCCGCTTCGAGCACGCAACCGACCTTGTAACGCACGAGGATACGCAGTCTGGAGGACAACCAGACCAGCGCTATAAAAGGATACCTCCCTCACAATACTTACCGGTCGCGGTACAAGAAGTACGACCGGAATCGGCCACCCTGCCTCAACAACAGCACTACTCGCAGCCACAGCCTGTTCGGAGCGCCACGCCAACATTCGTGGACTACGATGTTCCTAGGGCGTCTGAACCCAGACAATCTATGTCCGCCGCACATCGCGGAGACGAACAACAAACTCAAGGACCATCGAGGGTGCTCTCGCTTCTAAGTGCTCGAGATCACGACCAACAGCCGTTACCCATGCGTTTCGCCTCTCCACCACCCGTCATGCATCAGCCACCCTTTGCGCCCCTCACACAAATCAGCTCTGCCATCTCTATGGGTGGTCTAGAGGGACTCAAGGTCAACAAGCGAGGCAAAGTACTCGATGAAGAAGGAGACGTCATTGGGGAGTTGGTCGATGGAGACATCATGGACTGTGTTAGACAACGATGCAATGCTTACGGCGAGGTTCTTGATGATCGTGGTCGGGTGGTGGGACGAGTGCAGACGCTCGAGAGGTCGATGGACTCACCGATTGCTAGGATAGCATCACCAGCTTTGCACACACCGCCAGTCACGCAGCCGCAGCAATACTTCCCAGAGACTCCTCGTCGGCTATCGCAGACGACCCCGTCTTCGCCAGTGTTAGCGAGAAGTACCCGTCGAGAGTCTAGCGCGTCCCAGCGTGAGACTTTCACTCCAGCTTGGCAGCGCCAGTCCCAACCCAATCAGTCAGGGATGGCGCGAGAGCTTCGCGACCACATGGCAGCCGTCGGAACCACTTCTCAGCAGCCTACACAAACAAGGGACCTGTCCCAGAACGCAGGAGCAGTGGAGCTGGAGGCACCTGACTCACAGGCGCTGGACTTCCAGATTCCGAGGGATGAGGAGGAGGTGTTGCCAATCTTCGACTACAGCGATGTCTTCATGCCACCAATGGTGCCCGAAAGGTCAAAAATCCGACCCGAATCACCGTCTGAGCACAAGGTAAAGAGCCGCCCTTATAGTCAGCAGCCAGAGACCTCAAAGACACCAGTCTCCGCCTCGCAGCCACAAGCCGAGATACGCCAGAAGCAGTCGAGACATGTGTCAGCCCCACTAGGGTCTCAAGGGTATCAAGCGACGCCATACGCACGATCGCAACAGCCAGAGATGCGAGCGGAGGCGCATGAGCCGACCGCCATGTACCCTGGACAAGATCAGACACAGGAACGAGAGCAAGAGCCCATCACGACTACGCCCGCACAAGGATCTTCTGTAGCTCAATGGGCTGCTCAGCTCCGTGGTTCTCAGCAGCCTAGCGTCGTCTCACCACCAGTTTCCAGACCGCAAAGCCAGAGCGGTCCGGCACAAACACCAGCATACCCGGTACCGAGCTCGCTGAGCCAGTTACACCAGCGCCCAGTCGTGGCTAGGAACGCCAGCGAAAACAGCATGACCGATACGGCGAAGTCGTACTCGCGTCCCACGATGAGCCCGGTACCAGAAGACGGCAGTCCCGTCGAGATCAAGGATTTTTCCTTCATGAACGGCGCAGCCAAAGGTCCAGCACTCTTCTCCTACAAGGGCGACATCCCAGCGAGTGATGGGCCGCAGTCCAATGCTCACCTGGCTCCCTCGCGCGCGGTGGGCGTGAAGTCACCACCTTTGCCCACCTTTCCCAAGCAAGCCTTCACTGGTAGTCTGCCAGGCGGAAGTCCCTTTGCGCCGATGAAGTCTGCCCAGTTTTCCTCTGCTGGTGGAATGGGCAACCGACCAATGCCTCCTCGACAGTTCAGTACCGGTGTGCCAGGTCCTCGGTCGATGCCTGGACTTCAGACTAGAAACTCGGTGACTCGAGCACCGCTTAAGCGAAGCCCGCTGAGCAGTCAGGGTAAGCAGCCTTCATTCCCGTCATCTTAGAAGTAATTGCTAACAGCCTTGCAGAGAATTCACCTCCCGATAGCGATCAAGGCTCCAACGATGGTCACCACAACGTTGGCATAGCCAGTGGTGGGCCTTCTCGCCAGCACTCCTTCCGCAGCATGGGCAGCACAGCCATGAACGGCAAAGCTCGCACATACTTTACACATGGCGGACGTGTAACAGTCGACGAGGGACAGATGACACCCGCCCAACAGGCAGCAGCGGGCAAGGCACCCGGGGAGGAGAAGGAGCCTACACCGTCTGTCATGACAGATAAAAGTAAGAAGAAGAGCAGATTCAGTCTTGGTTTCGGGAAGAAGGACAAGTCGTAATCGGCTGCTTCTCGCGGCCCTGTCAGACGACAGCATTTCTTTTGTGATTCAATTTTCCTTTTGAGTCGGATATCCTGCGTTATTAGCGATCTATCAGCCCGAGTGGCTATGTACATTCCTGTAAGCGAGGTTGATTGGGTTATAGGGTCGGGAGGAACACAGAGAGCAAGCTCTTAGGCGACAGCAAATGATAATATTCATCGAACCAACGCCTGCCGATTTCACTCTCCGGTTCTCGTTCTTGATGCTGTCGCAGTCACAAATCATGGTCGTCGGAGGCGACCGAGCAGACGACGGTAATGCACTTCCACCGCCGTCTACAAATCCATGGTGTCTAGACGCAAGGATCCACCTTTAAGAGTTCTGACGGCGTGCCCTCCAACGATTGGCTTGAGCCCCACTACCGCTACAGCGAAGCACTAGAACAAAAGAAAAAAGATAAAAAGGTGGCATGGGTTTCTGTTGATTTATCCTGTTCAGAAAGGCACCTTCATTGCCATCCAGCAGTTTCATCGACGAGCGACTTCCGGAGTCTTTGCGCTCGTCTTGTCTTTAGAAAGCTCCAACCACTTCGTCAGCCAAACCAGTATCGATCACCTAACATAATGTCGAAGTCAATGAATATCGATGAGCGTCGAGCATCGCTGGCCAACGACGTCGAGATCGGGTCTGCTGCGCCCGTCGAGCGAGTCTCTGTCCGACCGAAAGGAAGCTCGTACTCGCCGGAAGGCTCAAGCAGCAGCAACTCTGCCGGCGCTGCAAGCCATGGCGATGTCGAAATGATGCCTGGTCCGAATCCGAACCAACAGCCACCGATCGAGACGACCGTTGCTGAACTCGAGCAAAGAAAAGGTGGCAGATTCGCTTTCTTGAAGCGGCCTCAATTCTGGATCGTGCTGGCCTTGTCGCAAGTTCTGGCTATCACTCAGACTGGCACCAATACTCTCAGCACACTGCTTGCGGGCGTTGGTACCTCTATCCCGGCTTTCCAATCTCTCTTCAACTACATACTACTCGCGCTCATTTACGGCATCATCACGATATACAAGTACGGCTTTAAGGGCTGGTTTCGCATGGTTCTCAAGGATGGCTGGAAATACTTCATCCTTGCTTTCTTCGATGTGGAAGGCAATTACTTTACGGTACTGGCTTACCGATATACCACTATCCTTTCTGCGCAATTGATCAACTTCTGGGCCATTGCCGTTGTTGTGGCGATTTCTCTAATCTTCTTGAAGGTACGATATCACTTGGCTCAATATGCTGGTATTTTAGTTGCGTGCGGTGGCTTGGGTCTGTTGGTGGCTTCTGATCATATTACTGGATCGAATGGTGGACCAGCGTTGAACGCGGTCAAGGGTGATCTGTTCGCGCTGCTTGGCGCAACCTGCTACGGTCTGACCAATGTCGCTGAGGAGTTTCTGGTCAGCAAGCGTCCGATGTACGAAGTTATTGGACAACTGGGCTTCTGGGGCATGCTGATAAATTCCGTTCAGGCGGCGTGCTTTGACAAGCAGTCTTTCCGTGCTGCTACCTGGAACGGTGCAGTTGCTGGCTACTTGGTCGGCTATACTCTGCTCCTGACCCTGTTCTACTCTCTGGCACCAATCGTGTTCCGCATGGCCTCTGCAGCATTCTTCAACATTGGTCTGTTGACTGGCAATTTCTGGGGCGTGATTGTTGGACTCAAGATCTTCCATCTACACGTACATTATCTATACCCCATCGCATTTGTATTAATCATCGCCGGCCACTTTGTTTACTACGGCACTGAGGGCGTGCTTGGCGAGGCGAAGAAGCCATGGTTGGGCGAGAATCAGGAGGGTGGCGATGATGGCTTCGGTACGGCAAGGAGGCAGTTGGAGGACCCGAGAGTCATTGTTTGAGGTCATAGCGAAGGCGTTCTAAAATTTAGTACATGTATACGGCCTATCGTAGTCTTAATGTGAATTCGATCATCAAAATCTCCGTCGGACAAATCTTCCTTGCTACTCCCGATTGCGTACCACTTTGGTAATAGAAATACATGTTGCCGAGAATACCTCACCAAAGGGCTCCATTTTCACTGTGCCACTACGAGGTGGAAGGAAGTCTGAAAGGTGTTTCATCACGTGGCGTACGCAAATCTACCAACCTGGTTTCAACCACTTCATCGAAATGCACGATGTGCAGCTTCGCAGGGTACTGTGGCGATGGGTCAACATGGTGAGAAGTGGGAGATGGGGAGTTGATGCTAACGGTGTCGCTGGTAGTGTGAGAAGTGTAGAGAGGCTGATACCCAAGAACACTGGCGCGACTACCCGCTACCGATGACTTGATAGGTAGTTGCGTGCTAAGCATCCCTTGATCATTTGTTCGAGTTTAGCAGGGCTTGAGGGGATGCAGCACCCTGACCCTTACCACACCTTCGTGAGTACACAGTTATGTTATCATTACTGTGCGACATGAAAGTACTTTCCTCGGCCTCTCGGCTCGTCTACTTACTAAACTTGACACTGCTTGCCTTGCCACTGCTTTGCATCCAGTCCATACACTTCTCGGTCTCCTTCTGCATCACCGCCGTCGCTCCTTCAATGATCGATGTCAGTCCATCCTTCGCTGCATGCTCGGCCAAGTAATGCTTGTACGGGTCGTTGATCACATCATTGATGTTGCATTTCGAAATACCGTGAGAGATATTCTGCTGTAATAGCTTGCCGTTGTCGCTGCCAAACCACTCGGCGCCTGCTCCGTGTAGGACGAGCTCGACACGACCTTTCGTCGAATCTCGAATGCTCTGTAGTCGATCGTATTGGAGCTGAGGACCTTTGGGACCATACTTGCCGTGGACGTTGCCAAATGCGGGCGCGAGCCAGTCAATCCCAGTAGCGATGAACTCATCTGCTTGCTCTGGTGTAGTGAGAATGCCTTCGAGCTCAGCAGTGTCCTTGACACCATCTTCGCCACCATTGATCCGGCCTGGTTCAGCTTCGGTGATGATACCACGTGCATGGCAGTACTCTGTGAGCTCCTTCGTCAATTGCAGATTCTCCTCCTTCTCGTAGTGAGACATGTCGACCATCTGGGGATGTGTCAGCTGATGGTGTTCCCTATTCTCCACGATATGAGGATCCTAGCACTCACAATGCCGTCGAAGCCTCCAAGATCGGCTGCTCGCTTGACCATATCTGGGCTTTGGCAGTGGTCCATATGCACGGCGACTGGTACCTTTGCATTCCGAGCTGCTTCGGCCGCAGCGTGGACGAGCAGACCATCCGCATATTCCACCGCCCATGGGAAGAGCTGCAAGATGACTGGAGAGTCCTTCGCTTCGGCCGCTCGTACACTAGCCAGGATACCTTCCAGGTTGTAGAGACACATTGCTGGGACAGCCCATCCGCCTGCAGCTGCAGCGTCCACAATGGCTTTCGCCCTGTTATTGCTTGGCTTGACCATGATATTGGCTTTTTGAATTTTCAGTTAGAGTGTCGTGAAGGTTGCACGAGACGATAACGTGGCAACAGAAATGTTTTCGACCTACGCAATTCTTACCTGGAGCTACCTCACAAGACGAGCAATGGCAGAGCTCTGGGCTAAAGATGACCCGAAGGTGACGGCAATTGTCACGGCGTTTGAAAGCGAAGAACGAGGAGAACTGAAGTCGACCTCACACGCCGATTTCGCAATGCCATTTCAGGCTAGCGCATGTATGCTTACATAAGGCAAAGCTGACCAGTCGTTCTCGTTCTCGCTCAATCATCACGCTCAAACGCCTCTTTGACGCCAGCTAGACATATAAGAACATAAGATACCAGGGCGGCCTCCACGTCGATGCCAATCCGAACACTCCCTCCGCAGCCAGTATGTCCTCACAGCTGCCGGAATTCATCAGCGCCACGACTATATTCTCCCTTCTCGCTACTATAGCAATACTTGCAGCAGCTTATGGGGCCTCACTTGCACTCCTGCCAAAGAACGCCTCGACGAAGATCCGAGTGTTGTTCATATGGCATGCCTTTGATAGCCTCATTCATTTAATTCTAGAGGCAAGCTTCCTTTACAACTGCTTCTACAGCTACACGACAAAGTCTTCTGGCCTTTGGCAGTCGAACGAAGCTTTCGTCTCGCCGTACTTACCACCAAATGTCTACTTCCTGGGACACACGGACAGAATGTATGGAGCAGATTGGGGGACAGGTCCGTTCAGCGCCCTGTGGAGAGAGTATGCCAAGGCGGATAGGCGATGGGGGGGAAGCGACCTTACCGTGATATCATTGGAGCTTTTGACTGTCCTGATTGGTGGACCGCTGGCAGCGTTCATCTGTTACTGCTTGATCAAGCAGCGACCGGACATGTGGTTCTGGGCGACGGTGTTAGCAACTGGAGAACTGTACGGCGGGTTTATGACATTCGTGCCCGAGTTTCTGACAGGAAACCCGAATCTCGATACCACGAACTTCATGTACCTTTGGGTGTACTTGTTCTTTTTCAACACCCTCTGGGTCTGGCTCCCGCTTTGGATTCTGTGGGAGGCGTATGGTCGTATCTCCAACAACGCACTGTTCATTCAGAGGAATGGCGCGGCATTGAGGAGTCTGGATGAGCAGCGCAGAGGCGAGAACGACGGCAAGAAGCGGAAGTGAGGCCCCATCTGAAGAGTCTTGTCTGTGTTGGCCTTGATCTATCGTATACTAAGTCCCCAAACTGAATACCGGTCGATGACCGATCACGAGCTTCACTGCTTGCAACCCGCCGTTTACGGCGACGCCCCTCTCGAATCTCCGTCATCAATTGTACTCCGTCCGGCATTCACTCTCGCTGATGGCCTGCTGTAAAGATTCGCCGAACTAATTCCATGGACCGCTCGTGGTGTGTCAATACTGCTTTGCGCCGTAGTCCTGTCATGGGGTGGCAAGGCATCGTCCTCGAAATGATCATATTGGGTGGGTCATTGATGCGAGCATTAGGAGTGCAATATGTTAGTGATTGAGCTTCAGACCGTAGCAGAACAAAGACAACCGTCATAATCTACCGGGCAACACGTGGGTCGTGGTCGACCTCGCATGGGCTGCATGCTCCAAGCTTCCCGCCTCACATCGTCGCTGAGCCGCTGCTCCACAAAATGCAGCGTGGCAGACGGGGTATGGGGCATTTCTCAGCTGTCGTTGCCGTCTTGCTTCTGAAAGTCCCACCTGCAGCATGCAAGTATGAAAACCTCCTATCGTCCGCTGTGTCACCAACGAGAGGGGACGCCATGTGTTTGCGAGTCACAAATGCTCCGAGGATTTCACAACACGGGTCGGCCGAGACATTCGTGGCAGTCGTGGTTGTATACAGAGGTAGATATCATCATTGGAGCATGTGTACAGTAACAACGTGCTGGGATGGATCCTGTCGAAGTCCGGAGCTTAGCGGAAGAACAGCCAATCAAGCATCAGTACATGCAGAGCGACCATGCGCTATCCTGCAACCTGCATAATCATTACACCTGTATCCTCACTCCACGGCTCGCATGGTCCGCCGCCAACGTGATCGATCTCATCGAAGTCCATATCACTATGAGGTGCTGGAAAGGCCCATACCAACAGGAACACATGGCGACCACATTGAAACGCGCGAACGATTGGCTCCGACTTTACTGCTTGCTGTAACGAGCCTATCACTCGCGCTCAGGCAGATGCCATGTTGTGTTGCATACAATTGTTGGGATCCTTGTGCTGCAGGTACACCAGCCGCCGTACCTCTGCTCAGCACTTGATGTCGTCACTGGTCAACGTCGCTAATAACGCCCCCAAGATCCTGCATCGTTAAAGTTCATGTTTTCAGACCACTCACCACGAAGCCTGCCCTTGTTGCTAAAGCGGCAGAGCTTCCTCCGTCGGTATGTACCTGAATGTACTCCTCCATACTTCGCATTAGCTCCGGAGCCCAGCATACGTTCCTGGCAATCTCAATAAATCTACGGGCTCATCATGGCTTGATTCGGCCTTTGTCATGACATCGAGGCCTAACTGGAGAGATCTGGACGGCTGAAAATTGGAACATGGCAACCTAGTGCGTCCCCAGATTGTCATGTGGGGTGCGGGTATGACAGGACCTTGTGTGATCGTGCCGTGGAGAGCTGAGGCAGGGTAAATGCTAAGCTGCAAGGTGAGGTAGACACGATGGTAAGGTATATACGATGCCAAATGTCCTTCTGGCGTCTGCGAGCTCCATCTTCTCTTCTTGCTAAGCGGGCTGATCTGTCGACTGATCACGCGATTGTTCACGCTACACTTGACATCATGGCGCCGCTCTTGAGTAAGATTTTGGCGTTTGTTCTACCATTGACCTGCATTACCGTTGTCGAGGCATGGGGAGGACCTCCATCGGGTCAAGGACATGGCCAGCAGTTCAACAGGCCGAAGCTGTCGCAACAGCAGACTAATGGTGAGTGTTCGCAGTCGCCGTGTTCTTCCCGCAACACAACCTGATGCAATTTGTATAGGACAAAGCGACCTGGGATCATTGAATGCTCCCAGACTATCTCCTTTCATCGACGGACCTCATCCCAATGGCTCACCATTTCCCTGGGGCGATCGCAATGCCAGCAACTGTAATCCGTATGATCCAAGCGCTATTCCCAACACTGGTGTGACAAGGCACTATCAGTGGACGGTCACGAACACAACCCTGGCTCCCGATGGCGTGCAGTTACCTATGCTTGTAGCAAATGGAGCTTTCCCAGGTCCTGTCATCGAAGCCAATTGGGGAGACTGGATCGAAGTAGCTGTCACGAATGGCCTAGAGATAGAAGGAACAGCAATCCACTGGCATGGCTTCCTCCAGACCGGCACCCCTTACATGGACGGCACCCCGGGAGTGTCCCAGTGCCCGATCGCGCCTGGCAAGACTTTCACTTACAGATTCCGTGCTGAGCTTTACGGCACATCTTGGTGGCATGGACACTACAGTGCACAGTAGGTGAATCACATGTCGTTCATCCTACAAAATCTGATTTTGGCCACAGATACGTCAACGGCTTGAGCGGCGCCATGGTCGTTCACGGCCCATCTAGTGACAACGACTACGACATCGATGTTGGCCCAGTTCTGCTGTCCGATTGGTTCCATGACTACTACACAAATTTAATAATAGTTTGTCTCCTTTTGACGAGAGAAATTATGTAAAGCACTGGCTGACGACCTGTGCGATAGGATATCTTCTATGCCACGGAGACCTGCATTCCACATTGCCCGCCTCTCAGTTCAAATATGCTCATCAACGGCAAGAACAACTACCCATGTGGTAATGCCACTGTCGGCCAAACTTGCACACCTAATGCTGGTTTGGCCTCGTTCAAATTTCAGAGCGGCAAGAAGCATCGCCTTCGGCTTATCAACCACGCCGCCGGGGCACTCCTCTTCTTCAGCATCGATGGCTACGAGATGACTGTGATCGCCAATGATTTCGTCCCGGTCGAGCCATACAGGACAGATCTAGTCATAATGGGCGTCGGTCAACGTACGGACATTATTGTGACTGGGAAGAACAACCCCAAGGAAGCAGTGCTCATGCGTGTAAGCGAGGGTCCGTCCGGCCTGGGACCACAGGGACAGACTGGTTGCTCTCTCAATACTGGTGTGAGCATTGAGGCTATCGCGCCTATCTACTACGAAGACGCGGACACCACCATCATTCCCAACACAACTAGTTCCATCGATCCTAGCCGGTATCTCTTCCCACAGAACTGTGGTAACCAGCCCCTGGACGTCACTGTCCCGGCTTACGCCATGGAAGTCAAGGAGCCCGACAAAATTTTATCGTTCGTGATGACTGGAGGCTACAACGGCACGGGCGCCTTCGTCTGTAGTAGGTCGGAGGATTCAAGGTGGTGCTGCGACGTGATTGGCTCGCTCGCTTTCGGCGGGGTCAGGTCCGCTGGTATTCCTGTGCGAGGTCACTCGATAGATTACACAACACAACGCGTACTGAAATCAATACTATTCTACTTCAATATCACCGCACCACATCATCGACTACTAGTGACCATGTCTTCGCAAGAGTCCACCATCAACCCTCGCACGAATAAGCCGTATAGCGCAAATTACTATACCCAGCTCAAGCTGGCACAAGCCCTCCCTGTCTCGCAGCACATCGACGCGCTGCTCAAAGCAATTTCTGAGAACGTGGTTACGATCGTCGTAGCCGATACTGGTTCTGGCAAGACCACACAATTGCCGAAAGCAATCGTGCTCTCCGAGCCACTGAGGAAGAGTGAGCGGAAAGTCGTGGTGACTCAACCTCGTCGGCTGGCAGCGGACGGTGTAAGTAAACTGTAATCTAATGCTTTGTAGACTATGCTAATGATCGTTCTTTCAGACCTCCAAGCGCATTGCAGAGGAGCTGGACGTCGAGCTTGGCGATTTTGTTGGCGTGAAGTACAGGGGCATCAACAGGGTGAAGCCAGAAACTCGGCTTGAGGTCGTCACGGATGGTTCGTTGTTGATCGATCGTCATGATATTTGCTATTCCATACTTACTCGATACAGGTACTCTCCTTGCGGCTGCGACACGTGATCCCACTCTTTGCCAGTATGGGGTCATTATTGTTGATGAAGCGCATCAACATACGACAGATACTGATCTCCTGCTCGGTCTGCTGAAAGAGCTCGCGCAGAGCCGCAAGGATGATCTTAAGATCATCATAATGTCTGCCACGATCGACACGGAGCGCTTCAAGAACTACTTCGCCGGCTCCGTGGTCATGCCTGTTCCTGGAAAGGCGCACGAGGTAGATATACGCTACCTCAAAAAGCCAGTCGAGGAGAGCAGGATGGATGTCAAGATCGCCTCCTTGATTCTCCAAATCCACTTGACCGAGGATACCGGCAATATCTTGGTCTTCGTGCCCGGCGTCGGCTTGATCGACAGCATCATCACGTCTGTCGCGAACGGCCTAAGGGAATATGCCGTAGACGATGTTGGCGAGCTCGACTGCTACCCGCTCTATGGTACTCAGTCATCTGAAGAGCAAGACCTTGCTGTGGAAGCCGTTGCTCCTGCGTCCCGCAATGGCAAGCCTGGTCGCAAGGTCGTCATTTCGACCAACATCGCCGAGACGTCCGTCACTCTTACGGGCATGGTATACGTCGTCGACTCGCTGATGATGAAGAGCAAAGAGTGGAATCCTCGGAACGAGTCTCAGTGGCTGCGAGCAAAGGACTGCAGCAAGGCTACCGCGAAACAGCGGGCTGGCAGGGTTGGTCGCACGCGACCGGGCATCGTATACCGCATGTGTACGCAAGAGGCTTTCGAGACGCAGCTGATTGAACACGCTGTGCCTGCTATACTCTCGAGCGACATGCTGAGCGAGTGTGTTTCGATCAAGAAGCTGGGTCGAGATCCTCTTACGTTCCCTTACATCGAACGCCCAGCATCCGAGACGATCGCAAAAGCGCTCGGTATCCTCCAGCAATTCGGCGCGATCAATGTGAAAGGCGAGCTCACGACGCGTGGGGAGCAGATCGGGCGCTTGCCCATCGACGTGTATCCTGCTGCTATGCTGCTCGATAGCGCGAGGATCGGCTGCTCGGACGAGATCATCACCATCGTGTCGATGCTCGAGGCGACAGAGGGCATTCCTGGTCAATGCTTCGTGAGGCCCAAGACCAAGGAGGAGAAGGCCAAGCTCCAGCGCGTCAAGCGCCACTTCTCATGCAGAAGCGGCGACCACATCATGCTCCTCAATATCTACATGGCGTGGAGAACGGCCGAGGCTACAGGCACCACTGAAGCGTTCTTGCTGGAGAATCTGCTCGCGGGGAGTGTACCAAGGTCTGCACATACGACCCGGATGCAACTAGTGGCGATGCTCACCGCCCTTCCAGAGCACGAGTGGAAGCTGGTCAATCCGGATCCATCGCACCCGGAGTACTATGCCTACATCATGAAAGGTCTCTCCACTGGTAGCTTCACGCGTATCGCTAAGCGTGATCCTTTCGATCTGAAGCGATACACAACGGTCTCCTGTGGCGCAGAGGCCGAATTTGCTCTGGACGTCGACATCAGCCCTGCTCCTGAATGGGTGATGTACCACGAGTTCACCGGCTCTCAGATCTCTTGCGTCTCTCCAATCCCAGCGGAGCATCTCATCGCCACTATGCCGGAGTACTGGCGTGAGGCAGAGCTCAAGCATCACGGCCACGTCAAGGATGGGCTGATCAAGGCGATTGCGAAGATGACTGGACAATCCGAGGCTGTTGTCCGTGGAGGTATGCCGAAGCCATCGTCAGCACCCAGCACCTCCAAGTAAATCACAACTCACTACAGAGTAAAATCTGTAGTCCCCATTCCACAACTCACTGCAGAGTAAAATCTGTAGTCCCCTCATCACAAACCCACTGCAGAGTCAAATCTGTAGTACTTTCGCAACCCACTGCAGAGTAAAATCTGCAGTCCTTTCACAACTCGCTGCAGAGTAAAATCTGCAGTCCTTTCATGACGCGCTGCAGAGTAAAATTTGCAGTCCTTCATGATTTGTCGTTGGTTCTGCTGCTCGGTGCTGAGGTGGCGATTGGCTTATGGCGAGGTGGCTTGATACATAGTATAGATATAGAACATATAGAAGATATAGAAGACATACTGTTTGCTGCCGAATCCTCTCGAGTATTTCCACTCCGCCACCTCGAGTGTAGCACTTCCAACGACATCCGCATCACAATAGACCGAACTGATTCGAGAGCGGAGGCGCAATAGACGACATGATTCGGCCTATCAGCCCCCCCCACTCCTCCATTATATGCGTACTAATGTGCGCATCTCACCCGGACGTGCGTTAGGACCATGGTGGGTTAGCGCCTCCCAGCCCTGGCCTGACTTCTCCAACCTCACAGTTAATTGTATGTCGTGCTCGTACGCGGACAGCTGGAGTCAGGAATGCCCATGGGCTCACTCGAGACAGCGTGCAATACTGGCTCGCCAGGCGGATACGCATCTACACACTGAACAATGCAAAGGTGAGGGATTGTCGTACGTAGTCTGTTAGGTTCTGAATGTGGGGCAGAATTCCGGAGGAAGGTACGATTCGCGATGAAACGTCGTCTGAACACTATCTCGCCTACCTACTTTCGATTATACTGACTGACGTGCACAATAAGGAGACATGTTACTATCGAAGATACACAGCAGAGCGTCTCGACTGCGACCATCACAATACACAAAGGGGGTTCTCCCTTTATCGTCATCCCTCCTTTTCAGTATGTAAGGTCGTCCTACCACTACCTGCTCTTTCCCCGTCTCAGGCCTCAAGAGGCAGGAACGGTGGGAATGTGCTGATACTCTCGAACAATTACTTGAGTAGACTAGATGGGAAGAATAGTGACATCCAAAGCTCCAGAGGCATATCGACGACGCATACGTCGGCGTGGCAGAGTATGGGAGCACCTTCCGTCCTTCGCCCGTATGTCGTTTCAGTGAGTTCTGGCCATGCGGAACCTTAAATCAACCTGCGGTGAGGTTGGGAAAGATGCGGTCTGAGGCAGTCGTAGTCGTAGACAGTGACCATAACCATACCATACCATAACCATCACCTTGAATATCAAACGTCCAGCTCAATCATACAAATCTCATATATCGAAGCCCTTGAAAATCCACCATGGCAGCCAACCGACCAGCAAGAAAGTCGAAGGTGGCTGCAGCTGCAGATGCAGCTATAGCTGGCCCAGCATACCCGACGCCAGCGACAGCCAAGAAGCGACAGCATTTCGACTCGCAAGTCGCCAGTGAGGACGAGGAGGAGGCTGTTGGGCCTGCTAAGAGCCGACGCCGCTCGAAGAAGGCGAAGGCGGAGGCGTCTGAAGAGGAGGAGTTTGGCGGAGAGGATCCTGGTGACGTGGAGTCTGACGACGATGCCGCCTCGATCGCTATGAGCGATTGTGATCTTGAGGATGAGGATGAGGATGAGGATGGGGATGAGGTTAAGGGTGGGCTTGGGAATAGAGTTGAGGATGACGGTAGGGTTGAGGGCGAGGATGAGGATGTGTCGAAGACAACACAGAAGTCTTACGACAAACATCAAGCGTGGATGGCGAGAGAAGGCTGGGGAGATTTGAAGGCTATGCCCAAATCTAGGAGGCAGAAGAACAGCGGCAGCCAGCAGGGCCTTCGGCGTGAGGACTATGCTGGCCTGGTCGACGCTGCTGGCGAGAACAAGCTCTTGCTCGACCTTGGTCCATTGGACGAGACCAAGGTTAGCAAGTCCCTTCAGAGTGCGGACTTCGCCAGGCAGTTCCGCCAGGGACTCCGGACGGTGCTCGAAAAGCGTAAGGACCAGGCCATAGTCCTTAACGCCGACGACAAGCGCAGCTACCCCTTCGCGCCATCAGTAGCGGCCCATCTCAAGACATTAGATGTCGAACATACCAGCCGCGAGATCGTAGAGGGTATGAAGAAGAACGCCAAGAATATCTCGGCCGCTAGTGAGCTCACCATTAGCGACATCGAACGACTGGCGGGCTTCACGGATACAGACCTTGAGCAATATTTCGTGTATCGAGCGTTCCTTGTCGATAGCGAAGCGATAACCGGCCAGTATATCGGCAGCTCCATTGCAATCTCTGGAGGCGGGTGTCGTCTTTTTGCGTATCTAAAGGCAATTCGACTTGCTCTCGACGGATATTTCTCGTCCACCTTCCGCCAGAGCTATTTCTGTCAGCAGGCAGTTAGGACGCTTCGGAAGGTAGGCGGCAGGGTGCTCGTGCGTCCAGTCTATATCGGCAACAAGACGAATGACATGGCAGCCGAGTACTCACTCAAGAGGTCTGTCCGGTTCTTCGAAGGGATCTTCGGTGATGTTTTCCAGAGTATCGAGACAGGAGACATCACGACCGATGATGATCGGGTCATGAACTCGGCGGGTATCATGGAGCACCACTATGCGGTCAGACCAGCATTCCTTACCTCGCCGATACCAGGGCTCAATAAGGTATCCCCTCTGGTACAAGGACTTGGCAACCGTAATGGTTCCGGCCAGACAACAAAGGAGCGCATCAACAAGCTCCTCCTTGATGCACAGCCAAGCAACGGTCGCTGTCCCTACTGCGATATTGGCCTCATCATGGAAAGCGCCAAAACGCGGAAGGCCCGTGGAAACGACGGACGACCTCATATGTTGACAAATCGCAATCAACTGTTCGGCAAGGCGGAGTGGGTGAAGCATCCGATTATATGCGTTCACTGCTATTCCTGGATGTATGCCTTTCGCGGAAACAAGACTATCGGCAAACAAGGTATGATTCAGAATCTGCTTGCTCTTGGCGGTGAGGACGCCGTCAAAGCTTGGCACCTTAAGGGCAGACCAGGCAAGGCGGATCTCGAAGGTGGAGAGTATGGCCAGAATTGCCCCCTTTGCGAGACGAAGCTCGACAAGTCCAGTGGCTGCAATGCTCCGGCGTACCCGAAAAGCACAACCGCCTTCTCGTACGATAGCCTGAAGGATATCAAAGCCATCTGCTATCGCTGCTCGCATCACCTCTATACCTGCACCGCACCAAACGCGACTGTAAATGCCAGCAACGCGCACGAGATCCTGAAGCATTGCAGCCTCGAGATTCTCAAGAGTTTTGTTGCCAGGATTGTGAATGGCGTTGCTGCGGCTGCCGGGAGCAAGAAATTCATCAGGCACTGGGTTGACGAGCACACCCCGCAAGAGAGTAAACCGGACGTACCTCTTTCGGATAAGCCCTTCCCGTGCACGCAACCGAAGTGCGGAAAAGGTTATAACTCGAAATACACCTTGGGAGATCACGTCCGCGACAAGCATCCCGAAACCCAGTCTTGAGCATACTTGCTTCTATTACGACCAGATATTTAAGAAGGAAGTGATGCCCAGTTACGCGGAGGAGGAGACACTGGTGACCAAGTGCGGAGATCCTCAGCTGCTGACTTTGCAATCACCCCACACCACATTCACACACACTGCGAGAGTAAAATCTCCAGTCCCCTAAATAACACCCACTGCGAGAGTAAAATCTTCAGTCCCCTTTGCTTTACCCACTGCGAGAGTAAAATCTCCAGTCCCCTTGCTTTACCCACTGCGAGAGTAAAATCTCCAGTCCCTTTGCTTTTACCCACTGCGAGAGTAAAATCTCCAGTCCCGTAGCTAGATTCGTGATTTGGTTGGGTGAGCACGAAGTACAGCAGTTGAGATCTCTGGCACGATGGTTCGATAGCTTTAGTATTTTAGTCAGATAGCTTGAGTAATTTAGTCAGATAGCATGCAAAGACTCTTTTGCGAATCATAACTGCACCCTCAGATCATAGTACGTCTCTTCATCATTCATGACTGACATGCATGTAGGGGAACGAAGGCTGGAGGTGATGGTTTGAAAGGTATGACTGATGGCATTGAAGATGGAGGTAACAGTCTTGGGAAAGGAGCTGAAAACCTTGGGCAAGGAAAGAAGTGATCAAATGATCAAGTCATGTCGTGATGTATGTTGACGGCCTTGAGTGATGCTACAGTCTAGAAGAGATATGTCCACGATTTTGTATGAGCAGCTGGACAGTTTCGACAGACATCCATCCTGTGTACTCGATTTAAGAGTATCATATAACAATAGGATGACGGGTGGGCATGATATACTGATCGATGAGACAGATGCATACCCTTCTTGTACATCGCGTCCGACTTGCCTGCCCCGGCAACATCCAGCCACACTTTCTCCGCGTCGCCATTCGTCTTACCACCTTTGAAGGCCACTTCATGACTTGGATTCTCTTGAAACGTCCTTCTTGCGCTCCCTGGGTCACTGGCAGCATGCTCCTGGCAATCGTGGGCTTGACTTTGTGGTCGGCTTGGTTCTTTCCTGTCGGTCTCGCACCATACTATCGCCTTGCTCACTACCAAGCAGAAGACAACCTGTCTCTGTGAGGACGACACAGCGAGACCCTGGGCGCGGCCGCCCCTTTTCTGTGTCCATTGTCGCGACCGTTCGCTACACTC